TAAAGTAGAGTTACTTAAAATTAAAATAAATAATATATAACCTTACCTTACCTCTACTATAATAACTATACTAGTAACCCTACTTACTAAATAATCTAATACTACCCTCTAAGTAATCTAATACTACTTACTAAGTATAATCTAATACTACTTACTAAGTATAATCTAATGCTACTTACTAAGTATAATCTAATACTACTTACTATGCATAACATCACTCCCTTAGACTACAAATAGCCAGATAACCTACTAAGGATAGGCCTCACCTTAAGTAGGGGAGGATGTGATATTAGTGAATAAATATTATAAGTAGATTAATAATTATTAAGGTTAACTCTAGGTTACTAAGGTTGACCTAAGAAATCTCTATAATATCTATAACTTATCTTTTGGATAGATAGCCAGTAGCTAGGTATAAATAGAAGATCTTACCCCAGGTAAGTGAAGAGGCATTAGCCCAGCCTATTTCTCTTCACCCCTGGTGATACTACCTTACCCTTGGTAATTCCACTATAATAAGTCTTATAAAAATCTAGCTATATAAAAATCCTTCCTTTTATAAGTCTTTTAATAGTCTCTAGAATAAGGGGAAGTAGATAATAATTTTTTAGGATAATATAATTTAGATTATAATAATTAATATATAGCTAGAGAGTATTATCTTTCTTCTTTATAAAAAGAATTAATACTCTTATTATTAACTTTAATTTTTAGATCTATCTCTCTATAAGTATTATCTAAAGATACTTATAAAGTACTATTAATTCTGCTAAAAAAAAAATATAAAGAGATCTAAAGAGTAGTTACTTCTCTTCCTTTAGATCTATCTCTAGATTTATATCTTTATAATATAGTAGTAATTCCTAAGCCTTCTTCTCTAAGAAGACTATATAAAAATTTATAAGCTAGTCTAGTATAGAGTTCTTATTTTTTATTATCTCTTATAGGGTTTCTATAACTTATACTATTATAATTATTATATCTTCTACTTCTATAAACTCTTTTACTAAAACTAAATAAATTTATAGAGCTAACTTTATACTAAAGATTACTTTATCTTCTCTCTAAAGAATTATAAGATTATACTACTTTAATTATAGTATCCCTAAGATAATATAATTTATATCTAGAGATACTACTATAAGCTCTATAAAGAGCTACTCTATTCTATTATTATTTTTAATTAGAATAGTAGCTTTTACTACTTCTTTATTTCTTATTTCTTATAAGATTAATATCTCTATAAAAACTTATTATAATAGGGTATACTAGTTATTTTCCTTAGTTAATATTATAGGGATAAGATTAACTAAGCTTCTATTATTAACTAATACTTATAAGATTAGTCTCTCCCTCTTCTCTTCTATCTAAGCCTAAAGAAATATACTTAAATAAAAGAGTAAGAATCTATAATACTTTTTATTCTATTCTTTAATAATAATAATAATAATTAGTTATTTAGTCTTTATAGGGCCCTCCTACTTAGGCTTACTTAGATAATATCTTATAATATCCTCTTCTTTATTATAATTAAAATAGATCTATAAGATATTAAAGATATAAGACTATAGACCTTACCTCTTTATAAATAATATAATTATAATAGGTCCTATTATCTCTATCTTCTTAATAATAATATAATCTATAAGAGGCTTCCCTAAGTTCCTAAGGCCTTAATAATCTTTATCTTTATATAAGAGATTCTAATAAGTATTCTATTCTATACTTAGGTATAATCTTATAAGTAGAGAGATTATCTCTTTCTTAGATTTTAGGAACTTTAAATATTTATAGACCTTCTACTTAAATACTATAGAGAAGGACTTAAAGAAGAGGTATAATTATACTTTCTTTAAATTCTTTATATTATCTCTAATTTTAATTTATTACTTATATTACCTCTATTAATATATATAGTCTATTTCTCTCTTATAAGGCCTTATCTAAAATATTTATAACTATACTTCCTATTTATAATTCTCTAGATTATCTAGCTATAATTCTAAAAAAATATAAAAGTTTTTTTACTTTTAATTATAAAAGTCCTTAGATATCTTACTCTACTAAATATTAGAGAGAATATAATATAGATAGGCTATTATAATTTTAGTATACTTCTTCTTATTCTAGTTATTAGCTTCTGCAGTAGACTCTTAGCTTATAATAAAGGCTTAGTATATTATATAATTATAAGTTAAGTATCTCTTAGACTTAGGTAAGGATTAGATTTAGATATTAATTTTTTTTATAGATAATAAGAATAATTCCTCTTATTTCTAGCTTTATAAGTACTTTCTAATACCTATACCTAGATTATTATAAAGCTTTTAGATTTCTTATAGAAGCTATAGTTCTTATTATAAATACTCTCTTATAGGGGTTACCCCTATTAACTTTAGGTTTACTAAAATAAAGAAGTCTTATAAACTTAGCTTATTCTTAGAGTCTTTCTCTTTATAGGCTATCTCTTTTCCTACTATTTAACTTTATATAGTTATAGAGGAGGATTTACTAGATAGTTCTAGTCTAACTAATCTCTTTTATAATACTATTTTCCTAATAGACTAGTTTTAAAGGTTAAATAATAAAATATAAGGATCTATAATCTATAAGAATTAGAAACTAATATAAAAGAAGAATATTTATAAATAGATTTAAATATATATATTCTTATTTAAAGAGATTATTACTAAACTCTAAAGTTTAGTAGTTACAGGCAGGGTTTATATCTTTATAGGTTATATAACTATTTATATAACCTCTTATAAGGAGCCTTCTTATTATTAGATTCTTCTGTAAAGGTAGCTTTAATATAATACATAATAGACCTTTGCAATCCTTACAATAACTAGATATCTTATTATTTTAAAGCTTTAGATATACTAAGATAACTTCTATCTCTTATTTAGTTTTTTATATAGGCTTAAACTCCTAATTTAAAGCTTTTATTTTTAGCTAAGTAAGCCTCTTATCTTAAGCTATCTTAGAGTCTAGATATAAAGAGGCTCTTTCTTATTATAAGAGAATATTTTCTATATTATAAAATTACTACTTTTTTTTTACTACTAATATATAATAATAAAATTATCTCTCTTCTTACTTATATACTAGATTTATAGGGCTCTATGCTGCTATCCTAAAAAGATAGAGATTTTATCTATAAATATTCTATTTTTCTAATCTTTAAGTATCTAATCTTTATAGATAAGATAAAAGAGAAGTCTTTTCTACTTTATTTTATTAGTTAGATCTAGCTTTATAGTTATTTTTATTATCTTAAGCTTATGTTTCTTTAGGATATATAAAATAATAAAATAAGAGATACTAACTTTAAATATAAATATTTTAGATAATTTTTTATATCTATTTTAATCCTTTCTTACTAATTTAAGGATAGCCTACTTAGTAGCTCTAGTAATCTCCTTAGGGCAGTCTATATACTTCCTATCTTTTATATATTTAGGGAAGATATATAGTTTAATCTCTAATTTATAGCTATAATCTATAGTCTTTTTAATCTAGTTATAAATTATCTAAGTAGAAAGCTAAAGAGAGCTCCTTACTATTCTGATATTAATACCTATAGTTAGTAAGGTAAGGGCTTAGATATATATAGTATCTAAATAAGTAACATGCATCTTTAGCTTCTTTTTCTGTAGATTTCAGGGTATACAGCACAGAAGCAGGCAGGCAGGCAGCCTACTAAGGTATAAGAATGCTAGCTGGATTCTAACAGACCATAAGGCTAAAAGACCAACATTACCGCGAGTTGCTAGACAACTCGCGGATCCAGACCTATATAGTAGCGCACTGGGTAGCTAAGGCATCTCTCTCTCTTAGAGATCCTTACATAAGGTGGGCTGAATGCTCTGTTAAATCTATTTTGATAGAGAAAAGGGGTTGTGAATAGCTTCAAATTAGTAGAAGTCTAATAGTAAGGAATTGATGAAACTAGAAGAACTAGAGAAGATAGTTAATCAATAGCTCTTCCTATTAAATTTAGTGTATAAGCTATGTAAAACTATTACATTTAATTTTACTAGCAGCCCAGATACTTTTGCACCACACCTCCGTAGTCTGGCATGACCTAGCTTAGTGCTTAAATAGACAGAGTAAGGAACTAATCAATCAATCAATCAATCAACCATGAAGCTTTAAGATTCTAATTCTATATAGTAATATAGTTGAGTGAGTAATGATACTATGTGCACAATGCAATTAATATTAACTATATTAACCACATATACTTATATAAATATACCAGTGAACAGGTAGGGGTGAACAGAAGGTGTAGGCAGATAAAACACTAATTCTAGTACTTTGCTGATCCTTGGTTATCATTCTCCCATGCCTTCTATGGGTACAAGGTCAGCATCCAGCAACACATGACTGTACTGCCACACACCCCCGCATCTTCCTGTCCACTGATGACATTGCCAGGTAGTCAGTGACCTAAAATCCAAGCCATCAATGTGCATTGACTCATTGTTGATTTCTCAGATCAATACCTGGCGCCTAAACAACTCTAGGGAGTTGATTAGGCTGACCATCCCTCCTGGAGAAGAATTCAATCGCCTTAGATCATGAATTTACTCTCCCTGTTTTTGCCTCACACAGCAATGAAAAAACCCCCAAATGCCCCTCTTCCATCAAGCCAGTCATTGGGAATATTACTGATATTGCTTTGAGTCATATCTGTTTCTTGCCACCAGCAACAAAGAAGCAGCTTTGACAAATCATCTCTTCTGTATGTTTTGCCAACATCACTAGTTAATACTTCCATTGACTTCTATCAACACCATCTCATCAACCTTCGTCATCTACTCCCATGTGGATGCATTATACTGTCAGCAGATCATAAACCTCACATCTCTCGAGACCCCTCTATATCATATATCCCAGCTCCCCTTTTCACCTCCCCTCCATTGCTGGATATCAGCATCACCAGTGTAATGAGTTCCCATACCACCCCACTATTGGGCGAAAGTAACAAATCCAATATGAATCGGCTACCATCTGTTTCCAATCTCATGTCCCCTCCTGAATCTAAACCCATGGAAAGCTTCAATACCACTTTGTCATCTCACTCGACATCACAGGACTACACCTCGTTTGGCCATGAGATGAAACTCCCTCCGATCTCCAACGAGCGGAAACGAACACAGTCGGAGATGGACCTACCATCGCCGCCTGTTACTCCATATACTGGAAGTAAGAAAAGGAAGTCGAATACTCCAGATGAAATCGAACAAGACATTGTGCTCGGTCCCTCTAGGGATCCTGTTCTCTTTCCCCGTCTGGAGCCTCTGACGGACCTTGCCACTGACGAGCCATTGTTCGGGCCTATTCTTCCAGGGTCAGCAGAGGCTTTAGTGGAACACCATATCAAATCTCATATGGCGAGATTCGATAACAAGTTGAACAAACCAACGCATGACGAGTATTTTCTGGCTCTTTCTTGCGTGCCCGTTGTGTCAGCTCAATATAACCGTAACCCAGCTGCATGGGCCAAGGAGGAGCGCGAGACGCTAGAGCGACAATTGCTAATGATGAACCGGTTCCAACCAAAAGCATTAGAGGCCAAGTTGAAGCGAATTGCGCCAGCCCCTGTTAAAAGAGTGATTGTTACGCAACCTCACATGCAGCGGGTGCCCCGACCCAAGCGTACTCCGAGGTCCACTTCGCACCAACAGCTGCTTGGATCCTTTGATTCACCTGTGACGACAAGTGCAAGGCCTTCAAGAGGCGCGGGTACAAATCGGGATGACACTGATTATAGTTCCATCAAGGATTTCTCGCCACCATTAGAAACACTTGGTGGCAATGCTAAGGGATTGAAAGCAGACTGGAAAGGACAGATGCTAGATTTGAGCCATGATCCAGATCGGCGTCTGTTGAGCCCATCTGAGCTCAGTCTCGCTTCCACCTTGAGGCTTTCATGCGCCACTTATCTATGCAGCAAGCGTCGCATCTTCGAAGCTCGTGTGAGAGCATTGATCATCGGCAAAGAATTTCGCAAAACAGACGCCCAGCAAGCCTGCAAAATCGACGTCAACAAGGCAAGCAAGCTTTGGACGGCATTTGACCGTGTTGGTTGGTTTGGGCCTGAGCATTTCCAACAATATCTGAAGTTACATGATTCATCAATTGCACCTAGCACCTAGAGCACATTCTTCATATACCTTGCTTTGTTATTCCTAATGAGCGATTACCAGGGTTGCTGCAGGGTCGTTTCCCTCTGCTCGCCATCAATTTCGTTTTCGATTCAGTTTCTTGATCAACAATAGGTGGTTTAGACGCGTTGCTTTTTATGTCTACTCCGGTCCTGTTTTAGCATAGCTGGCCCGTGCTTAACCCACAAGAATGTCAACTTGCTATGGAACACCGAGTAATTATATACAGAGTCGGTACTTGCTACAACGTTATAGAGGTGAAGAAAGGAAAAAAGATCAAACGTACGGCAGAAAGAACATCTATATTCAAACCCACATGATACTCTGAATGATAGTCCAATTGTTATCCACTATCAGTTTTTTCCAGGCCTGCCTTTCGTCAACCCAAATGACTTTGGGTTCCTCATTCATATCTTCAATTCATCGATATATTCGCTCGATACTGCGTTTAAGTCCGTGATTCAATGAATCGCGAACGGCTAATATTGAGTATTAAGCACTATCATTACCGATTTGCTTGATTCTATCTATACCGTGCTTTTGCTCCCTCTAAACAAGTCAGTCGATAATACTCGGCAGCAGAAACATGAAAACACATACTTCTTAGCCTGATCGTATGGTCAATTACCTAGATAAGTACGCGAGAGGATAGATAGACCATTGCTTTGTCCTCCTCCTCCTCCACCACCTCCTCCTCTTCTTCTCTCTCCCCCCACCCACTCACTCCCCCGAGTAAAGAACAGCTACCAAGATACATAGGTACCTCCGGAATAGACCTAATGATTCGAATCACGGAAGGACCTATCAATATAAGAGATATGCATGTATTGGTCATATACCACAAGGACATTTATTTCACATACTCTAACAGTCGTACTAGATTGAATTCTGTCGACGTAGATGAAACACTGTATCCCACTAACTAGAATCCGGATACCTTTTTAGTGTAGCGGTATTACACAGATTTCAGTTCTACGACGAATCCACATAACTGACAGGTATATCTCTGTCGTCTGTCTGCTAGACTCCAGAGTACGTAGTTGCGTACGGAGTATTCAATGAGTAGTTTGTATTTGGTGCGGTCGCTTACTAAGCGGGAAAAGCGCAATATGTTAAAGCATGCATAACTGGACTACTCATGTTACAGTGTTATGCAAGATCCGCGGGATCCATGAGACATAAGGGGACAGAAGTCACAACTTACAACTTGCAACAACCAAAATATTCCGCGCCACTGAGCTGCATACACCTTAAATCAGACCACTTAGATCTGATTTTTTCATCCAGAGTCCCTGCTGCTATCACCCTGAACTTAAATTTATCATTTCATCTTATACCTATTGCAGATAGAAATGTCTCATGCGGAGATGACTCCACCAGGATCGTTCAAGGACCAAGACCATAGAGATGAAATCGACAGCGACAAGAAACCCAAGTCCAGAAGACCTGCCAGTGAGAGTTGTATATCTTAATCAACCAGCTGCTCTTGCTGATACAAATGACACCCACAGATACAGCTTTCAGACAACAACGGCTAAAGGCCTGGCAGTAAGCATCTGGTCTCACTCATATGCCTTCTCATACTTTGGTCAACTAACTTTCAATACTCCAGACCTATCCTCACCCCGAGAAGTGTATTGCCAATTTTTTTCGTCTTTGGAGTGATCTTTGCGCCCATCGGTGGTCTCCTTCTGTGGGCGAGCTCACAAGTATGTCTCAAAAAGCATACTCCTCGCAGGCCAGGCTACTAACTATTGTCTATCGACAAGGTGCAAGAGATTGTCATCGATTATTCAGAATGTGCGGAAAAGGCGCCTTCTTATCCTGTATCAATTGCAGACAGAGTACATTCATCATTCAAGTCATCGAGCGAGCAGTTCACTCCAACATGGGAGCGCCACATATCGAACGGCACTACGATCTGTCGTCTTAGTTTCGAGATTCCTGACACTATTGGACCACCAGTCTTCATGTACTACCGCCTCACCAATTTCTACCAGAATCACCGCCGATACGTCAAGTCTCTTGACATTGATCAGTTGAAAGGTAAAGCCGTTGACAACAAATCCATTGACAGGGGCTCATGTGACCCTCTCAAACTGGATCCTACGGGAAAAGCCTATTATCCATGCGGGCTGATTGCGAATTCCATGTTCAATGACACAATCCATAGCCCTGAGCTGCTCAGTGACTTGAACCCGAAGGTCTATTTCATGACCAATAAGAGCATCGCCTGGGACAGCGACAAAGAACTCATAAAGAAGACGCAATACAAACCATGGGAAGTGGTTCCACCGCCAAATTGGCGTGATCGTTATCCGAACGGTTATGTCGACGGTATCCCTGACCTTCATGAGGACGAAGAATTCATGGTTTGGATGAGAACCGCAGCCCTACCCGCCTTCAGCAAGCTTTCCCGCAGGAATGATACTATGCCTATGGAAGCTGGGTCTTATCGCTTGGATATTGAAGACAGTACGTACTTGTCGAGCGAAATTATAATGATGGCAGCTAATCAAGCTTAGGGTTCCCGGTCAGCGAGTATGGTGGTACGAAGTCGATTCTTATATCCACCAGGACTGTCATTGGTGGACAGAACCCGTTCATGGGGATAGCCTATGTTGTCGTTGGTGGTATTTGTGTTTTACTGGGAGCACTCTTTACACTTGCGCATCTCATTCGACCTAGGTATGGTCATGATTCTTTCTTTGATCAAGCTTTTGAAACTAACTGTGCGTAGGAAACTTGGTGACCACACCTATCTGACTTGGAATAATGAACAAGAAAGCACAGCTGTAGCAACGGGAAGAGATGAAAGATTTGGTTCCCACAATCATTGATCATTGATGAGACTGCGTGACGGATAGATTCCCCAAAGTCCTCCATGTGATGCTGTTATCGCCAATGAGTTCTTCTCAATTACCTTTTCAATTGGGATTTATGCCACCATTTAGCCGAGGAAAATGTAAGTTCGGTGGTTACCGGTGGTTGATATCGAAAAACTATTGACTGTATCAGAACGAGCAAACTATTGATCCCAATATCTTCCCTACTGGCTAGCAGATGGTGTTTATTTGAGTGGACACTATCCATTGCCAGGTTATTCCTGTTTTGACCTACAGCATTCTTGATGATGAACTAAATGCACTACATTCCGGTATCTATTGGCAACATGTCGATGTACTTTATATCCACTGCGGAGGCGGTCAACTCGGTATGAACCTCGCAAGCTTCGCAAGAGACTTACATTCGCCATGCTCTTGTTTTCCTATGCTCATAAAATCCTGCTCGTTACAGGTCTCATGAAACTGTCAAGATTTCAAACGAAAGTATCAGCTCTGCAAGGTCGTGCGTACTGTGCCACAGGTACCGCAGATGCTCTTTTGAGCGCACAGCATCAGAGGTTGAGCGTTCGTGAATCTCAGGCTGACGGTAATGAGGCCACGAAAAGATCGGAACCCATCGAAATAGACACATGGTTCCACATCGTGAGTAGTGAAGCAGATGCGGGATTGGTAACGGACGAAATGGTTTCCCTACAGGTCAGCCTCAATCGGATTATATTTTCTCGTCATATCTACTAGTAGCTAACGTTCCTAAAGCTTTCATATTTGCAAAATGCCTATAAAGACGCCGCAATATCCTATCGCCTGCAGGGTGTCACACGTCAAACAAATGACACATGGGCACGAAACGCTGATGATGCGGCCATGAAGAGTGCTCTCCGTCAAGGAGGATACAGTACGCTTAATATTTACTTCCAAACCAACCTGCAACAATTGCCCCCGCGGCTCTCCCGTGTCAGTGGAAGTCGCGACCAGCGAGCGCGTAAGCTCAATCAAGCGCTCTCAAGTGTACTTGGGTTTTGTACTCTACCGGACCCTAGCATAAATAGCAACAGTTCTCGAGCTAACTATATCCTGGATGGTTGCAATGTGCATGCTAAAACAATGCCTGGTGGCTCCTTAGCACATTACAATCGTGGCGGCACTGCGATACACGAGGTTGGTCACTGGAATGGTCTTCTACATACTTTCGAGGGAGAATCATGCTCCAGTGGTGATCCTGGTGATTACATAGCCGACACACCCCAACAATCTGTGCCTACAGAGGGATGTCCTTCGCAGAAAGATTCGTGTCTTGAAAGCCCTGGCCTGGATGCTATACATAACTTTATGGACTATTCATCGGACGATTGCTATGATTCTTTTACTCCAGACCAAGCAAGGAGAATGCGAAGCATGTGGGCCTCTGTGAGACAGGGAAAATAAGATCTCGCGATCTCTTAACGTTTGCTGTTAGCCTGTCCCTGACCCCTTGGTTTCCTGAGGGGCAACCCCTTTCTGCGCGTGTTTCCGCTCTCGACAATGTGCATACGCGGAAGGTTCAAGCATATCCCATTTCGCATAGCCTGCACTGGTCATGTCTCGGGCTATGAAGAAGATGTATGGAAATTTAATTCAATGAGCCTGGTCAGTTAGAGTCAATTTGTTTCTGGTTTCCAGGTAATGGTGCACTATGACGAGTTATACAAAGACCTACAGATATTCAGTAATCAGATGCTTAGACATTATTGTAGGATAGTAGAGTAAGCGCATGCTTCCACGGCAGATAACCCTCATGACTCACTCTACCACTCTACTGCTTTTAATCTCACCATGACCTCATTTTAGTGATATACGACCGGAAAAGTCCCAACAAGTAGGGACACTGGCAAACAATGGATCAGAGTAACTGGTTGCTTATTGTAATCAACAATATCAGATTCCTCTTTGCGGAGCCCATGATCCATCGCAGTCACTATAAAATAAATGAGCTCTGTCATTGGTGAATGAATGCTAAGATAACACAGCGACTTCGACTTCAAGTAGAACACACTAGCGCTTTCGTTTTTTACTACGCTCTTCCTCATCGAAGCCCATTTCCCTGTCCTTCTCCTTTGCTTTCCGCTCGAGTTCATCCCAATCCTCGCCACTCTCTTCCTCGGCACTAAAATCACTCTCCTCGGCACTAGCATCGTCATCAAATTCGCTGTCATCCTCTGAACTTTCGTCGGCTGCTGCCAGCTCCGACTCGGAAAGTTCAAATGCAGATTCTTCCTCTTCCTCAGATCCGTCTTCCGAGTCTGATTCTGCTGCTAAGAATGACCAGCCTCCATCGGCAAAGAAACCATATGGATCACTCACAACCGTCTTCATGATCGTTGTCCAATTAAGGTTCAAAGGTCCTTCGGTGAAAGCAATGTCGACTGAATCCAGCCAATCCTTCACGCTCTCCAGGGCTTCAACAGGAATGGTATTAACGTGTACTGGTGGCCTGTGGAAGTCCTTGAAAACAAAAACCATATCAAAGTTTTTCAGTCCGAACTACAACCGAGTTAGCGAGTTGTGGAGCTTTCTTCCGGGGGGGGACACTTTACCTGGACTCTTTCAAGATGCGCTATCTCAATCTCATTCAAAGTAATGACCAGGAAAGGAGGCTCAGTCAATTGAACGAGAGCATCAGTCGTTGGCTGAATTAGGACATTCGAGCGGTTGGGGACACCGGTGAAGCCAATCTCCCGGAACGGGATGTCGACATCCACGCCTTCGTCCTTTCCAGCATCGGCGATTTTCTCCGCAAAGGCTTTAAACTCCCTGTCCAAAGCTGCTCTCCGTCGTCTTTCTTCTTGCTCTGCTTCAAACTCCTCTTCATCCCCGTAGCGATGCTTGCGTCTGCGGTTGCCGGTTTCGTCAAATTGCATCTCGGTAGCTTCCCGGTAAAATTGCACATCTCTCGTTTTTCTTTTACCGATCATAATCGGTGTCTTCAGATGGACGTGGATGAGGACTATCAATTCATGGGCACAAGGCTGGAAAAACAGATGCTTGACGTTGCTAAAGAGTACATCGACATGCTCATTCCGAAAGGGTGACATGTACCGAAGACCATTCTGATGTATTTCGACCTCACCAGGAACCCGTTTGCCGTCTAATGGAGGTCGAAGGTAGACGTCAGGTAACTTCACAGGTCGGCGGTCTACTGATGGTCAGTAAAACTTTTTTTTATAAAAAAAAAAAAAAAAAAAAAAACATGCATAGAACAGACAAACGACATACTTCGGATCTCAACAAGCTTGTCTTGCTCAACCACATCTTCCATCTCCTTCTTCTCTTGCTCCCGCCTCAAAGCATTTTTCCTAAGTTCAGTGATATCTTGAGCCACTTGAGCCAGTCGTTCGTTGTCCTTCGACCGAAGGGTTAGATTTCGCAAAAAATGAGCCGATAGATCTTCAAAAGGTTGGTCATCCTTTCTCCCAACCCCTTGGCCGGGGGAAAGGAAGTTGATGCGAAGGTATGCATACTCGCCCTCATCGCTCTTGCTGGCATTCTTGATGGTGTTGATGTGGAACGGAACTGGTCGACCCATCACAGGAACTATTACTGTTGATGCTTTCTGGTCAACATATACCATGAGATCTTTCACTTTCGTCGGAAGTTGATTATCCCGCTTGTACGATTCGAAGCGCTTAAATTTCTTCTGAGCGACGCCGTTATCGTCCCCAGTAGTACCAGCGAATCGATCAAGGCCTTCCTTTGTTTTTTTCGATGCTAACTCCTTTTGGTGCTCACGACGTCGAGCCTCGGCGCCTTCGTTGATCTGGGTTGGTCGTTCAGCTCGAAGTTTTGTTCTTGTGATATTTCTGCTCGCAATGGCGCTACTTTTCGCTTCCTTCTTCTCCTTGACTGGCTTCTGAGGTTCCTCTTCGTCTCCAAAGTAGAACGATACAGAGTCCATGTCAATACCGGCGTCCTTGGTGAATGCGTGCGGCCCATTTTCCCCAACACGGACAGTATCTGTAATGATCATGGAATAAGTCGAGTTTTTCCTCCCTTTCAAATCCGGATCTTCAACATCCGTAAGTCCCACTGTGATGGAAAGAGTCATCCCGCTTTTTAGAGCCCTGTTGTTCTTTCCGTTGAGTACCATGTTGGAATCCCGAAGTTCGATTCCGATACCGGCACCCACGGTTTTGACAAAATGACCCTCAAGTTCAGGCTTCTTTGTCCGGATGAGGTTGAGCGCCTTGTTGTATAGGTCTTTAGCCACCGTACCGTCACGCACCTCCTTCATGACAGCTTCGTGCAGACCGAGTAAAAATGCATAATTCGTTTCTTGAGACTTGCTTGGATCTACCAAGTATGTGCGCGCAATGATTGAACTATACGTCTTATAGCGAATTCCAAACCCAGCTATGATGATGCCTGGTTCAAGACTATTGTTATCAGACACAGCTGTGAGCCTGAGATCATACTTCCCTCCACTTTGAATCACAGGTCCGTAAGCCCAATCAATCTGTTGAGCATCAAATTCGGCTGGCAGCTTCGCCAATTTGTTGAAGAATTTGGCATCATCGATTTTGGCATCAACCCGCGCGGACAAAGCTTTGTGAGTCATTTGCTTTTCTTCGTCAAGCAGGCGCGACATCTCTTCGACAAAGTATTCAGACATCAGGCCGCTGCAAGCTCGCGAAGCCTTTCTAATCGAGACCTGTCTCCAAATTAGCTACAAATGTCGACAGCGAATGAGTCTTTGGACGGACTAATTCATCGGTGTCCTTCACTGCGAAAGCAGCGGATAGGGCGGGTGATATATCAACTTCTTCGACTTCGCCTGATATATTGGCAAAGGCGCGCTTCCAGTCATCCGCGAATGGGCCAGTTGTAGTATCCTTCGGTAACACACCAACTTTTTTCTTTTCATGATTCCGTGATTTTAGCCAGATATTTATCGACCTCTCTGCGGGGGTATACTCACCCCAGCATTTTTGATCACTTCCGTGCATTTCTCGAACGCCTTAAGCTTTTGTTCTGGATCTTTAGTGGTTACCAGAATTTCAACTGGGATCTTGCCCCCTTTCAGCGGCTCAAGGTGTTTGGCTGCAAAATTTGTGGTCTGATTAGATATAATATCTCCAAAGCTCATCCGGCCATTGTTACCTTTCTTTGCAGTTGTCACAACATAAATTGCGTCGATTGTGAGAACGATAAGCGTCGCTGGAAATTCGTAGCCAAGTAACCAGAACTACGGAGCAACCAAGAGCCTATTAGCATATATGCCAGAGCCAGTGATCAAAAAGCAAGGAGCTGAGCAGAAATCAACCATACATGCATCGCATTGTTCTTCTGAAAAGTATTCGCCTCATCTGTCTTTCCCATGAGAATAACGATCGAACTAACACCGCCAAATATTGGGTGGTTCGTTCGCTTGTCTGCTCTCCATGCCGCGTAGAAGCTGGACAATCGGTTGAAAAATGAGTTCCTATCAATCACAATCTCTTCAGCCATGTTGTAATGGCATCAAAGGGAGGTTGTCTTAGGTAGGTAGACACTGTGGGCCCTATGAAATGATTGATGGGACTCTCTTATCAACCTGAAACTATTGCATCAAAGTGATAGAACAGTACTAAGTGAAGAAGGTTGCGGTGTATGATGTACTATGTAGTATGGTGGAGAATTGAAGGGATCTCTGTGAATTGCAGCAACGCGAGCCTGGGATAGATAGCACGCGTTTTCTGTTTGGACTGTTTGCTTAATTTGCCGCTCCACTCATAACTCACAACGATTTTGTACCTCTTATGTACTCCATAGTAGTTGTACCAAATACCAAGTCCCTTAATGTTTACTACTGCTAGGTAGATATACATCCGGCCTTTCCAGCTCAGCTTCCTACTGTATCAGATGGAAAACGAAGTACCTAAAAGCAATGGCGATACTACATGGCATCTCTCTAAATATTGTCTTCCCTCGCTGCTGATGCTCTACACACTCATGCATGCACTACCGACATGACCCACTATTATCTATCATACCTAATCTTCTCCGTAAGCTACGAAAGAATAATCAACTTCGATTTTTCGCTCCATCCAATCTCAAGAGTTTATTTAAATTCGTTCGTCCATTTTTTTCAGCTGTACTCGCTTGACCTCATATATATCTCTAATGGAGATTGAAGTAATAGAGATTTCTTCAAGATGTCATTTGGGAGCCTAATCACTATGAGCAACCAAATAGGCTTTGATGACCTTGATTTTGTTACGGAGATTGGCAAAGCTCCTCGACGAAATCCTCGCAACGATGCAGCGACTGGCGCTTCAGCTGCTGGTGTTCGCGCAGTCAGCGCGCAGATGGTAGCATTTTACTTCAGAGCCCCCATTAAAGCTTTTTTCCGTACTCGAGTTGAGTATGCACTTTCTCCACCATCTCCTGAAAACAAGGACTGTTGACGCATCTCGTCTAGTTACATGGTCCGTATTCAAGCACTTGCTTCTCGGGTTTCTGAATATCAAGACTTTCTTAGTCACCTTCCTCGATGGACGTGTACTAATATCTAAACCTCTCATGTTCAAATTCAAATAGGCATATGCGCGGGCTGTCTATCCTCATTCAACTGGAAAGCGTTGGTCATTACACACCACGACACCAGGCCTGATCGTTCATGCTGTTCGTACCTATGGTTGGCGCTTCATACCCAATCAGATTTTACCCCCGTTGTTGGCAAATGCCGGGTTAGTAGTCTTTCCCAGCTTGTTTTTGGCCATTTTGGATTCTAAATTTGCTGTCAGGATTGGCGCTGTCCTCTACACGTCGTACCTCCAGACCCTCGGTATACTGTATGAACCAATTTCACGTGGTGTCAAGCGTGTATATCCTCCCGCCTCTCCTTTTCATACATTTGCAGCTGGCTGTGCAGCTGGGACAATACAATCGATTGTGGCTGCGCCCCTAGATGCCCTTCAGATTCGACTTCGAGCCAATGATATGCTGCAAGGTCAATATCGAAGCATGTGGCATTATGGGCAGTGCAAATTAAGGGAGATTGGTATTCGCGGTATCTTCACTGGCTGGAGTTTATCGCTTTTGCGTGACTCACTAGGCTATGCCGTATTCTTCTGCTCTTTTGAATACATAAAGTCGCAGGCATATTATTCCTTCATCACAAGATTCTATGGATCCCTGCCCGCTCACCATTTGGACAAATTACAGTCTTCTGATTCAAGTGACCGAGGGGTACCTCTCATCAAACCCCATTACAGCCTAGAGCCGTGTTTTCTCATGTTCGCTGGTGTTGCAGCGTCTATTGCTCAACAAGCCGTGCAGCACCCGTTAGGTGTTGTTCAAGGCATTCACTATGCTCGATTAGAATACCTTGATCATCAGGTCAATCTTCTTTCTTCACAAGGGCGCATGATGCGAGTCTATTATTCCGCTTACCGAGAGACTTCCAAGCGTTGCAGAAAGAAAGCAGCGCGTGCCGGAGGTTGGCGTCGATGGCTGTTCCGTGGGTTTGCTGGAAGTGCCATCCGCCAAGTCCCTAGTACTAGTGCTGGCCTAGTGATATTCGAACTTGTGCGTCGCAAATATGCTAATCCGGCAGACGCAATCTACATCCGAAAAGATGGGTATGATATCCTCCTGACTTGAACAAGCTCTGCTGCCAGATGGCTCCTTATTATCACAACCACTATAAGCCAATTCGTTATGGTACTTAAAAGAAAACTTCTACAAGTCTTCACATGAGAATCCAGTTCAGTTTTCGAACCTAGATCGCACTTTTTCGGCCACTGAAGACGTATCCTTGCATTAGGATTGCTGTGCTGACAAAGTTTGTTGAAACTGAAAACATCTTCATGCTCAAGAAAATGACATGACAAATCAACCATTTGGCCGATGTCGATGTATTGTTTCTGCCATGACGCGAGAATCTGGTAGGCGTTTCCAGATGATGTACGCTCTGGTGTGGGATTTGTCCAGCTGAAGTGATCCTAGATACTAGGTGTTGCAGATTAATACCGGACCTATGGAGTAGATCGTTCATTTCAATTGCAAGCGTCGCTGATCACACTCCTGCTTATACCAAGTTCTTTTTCATGGCTTCCTTAATCTATTCATAAAAAAGTACCGCATTTGCGCGAGCTCTACACCAACTTGAAAACAAAACATGGTAGGTTGGATATGAAGGTTTGTGCAAAGAGGGGGAAGGGGGGAAGAAATCTCTAGGCCTCTGCTTGGGAGTGACCACAGAGTCAAGAAAGTCCCAGTGGACATGTCATCTTCCCAATGACTGTTCATGCCCATGGTGGCTTCTATAACCTCTTGTTGCATATCAAATGGTAGTCTACTGCTACAAAGGTATGTATCAGTCATATACATAGGAGTATATACACAAGTACTAGGTAGGTGAAATTCAATGAACCAATATCCAGAGTACTCTGAATCTGCTCCGTACCTCAGGTAGGTAGGTACGGACTTCCTTTTCAGCCTCAAGTTCTTCACTCACAATTATTAGGAGGTGGGGCATGGGCAGCCTCTACAGTCTACAGCCTACGCATAACGTATCTAGATGGTACCTAGTGAGTGCTAAGTAGTTTACTAGTAGTACTTGACAGATTCAGAAAGTAGGAAGAAGCAGAAGCACGGGACATGCCTTGAGATGTAGCATTGGGGTAGGTTCCTGACATTCAGAATCCCTGTAGGGGTAGACAAGTCGGAGTAGTACGTAGATACTGGATGAACTCTTGAGTCTATAGAGTAGGTAAAAAAGTAAATAACACCTGGTAGGCTGGTAGCCTGGTACTAGCTAGGAGGCGACTACGTAGGACGTAGGTAGGCAGATACATACGGAGTCCCCATGGGAAAAACGGATAGGCTATTACGTAATGGTAAGAGGACTCCGCTTCCCTCCGCACTAAGCCAAGAGCTGGCAAGTATGGGTCCTACAGGAAGTACGTCAATGATGAGCAACAACTACTCTGTAAGTATCGAGTATTGACCGAGGACCTTCTCAATACGCACCAAGAAGTACCTATGGAGTTTTTGAAGCCCGATGATCAACGCTGCCTTGCCCCCTTTCACTGTCTTATGAGTCTAAGGTATTCGATATCCCCTTCTTCCCATGATCCTACCAACTTTCGAGTTCTAACATTATTGTTATTCTTATTTTCATTGAGTAGACTAGGCACATATGTGGTTCAACAGTCCCTCAAAATAATAGGTGTTCAGCTGGCTGTAAAAGCAGCACTGCCTATGTACTCCATTTCGTTGCTCAGTCAGGGATCTACACGAAATATATTAGTCGACAGGTACCATCTACATACTACCTAGTAGATACTCTGTCCTTACTGATTGACTTGCCTACACATCATTCGAATATTAGTAGCCCTGTATTCTCCTACTTCACTGACCCACTGCCTGGCCCGTGAGTATTCACCTTATCACGCCAACACCTCCGCTTTCTGATCTCAGGTCTTGTAGATCACTGGTTACCACTTGACCACTTACTGCTTCAAGGCTGAACAGTCAGACATATCCAATCTCCCTCCTACACCGGATACACCAACTTGCACGGCGATACATCTCACAGATTGTGTAGTCAAGCTACCCCTTGATGAAGAAACCTCCATACTCACGTGGAGGAACCGGGGTACTTGCTGATTTAAATCTGCTTCTACCGTGTCTCAAAACACTCTCTCCATCCAATTCACTTTGAGTGCGGAGAGGGTTGGCAAATCCAACCAACACTACCGCCAACATTCCTCCAACAACGTCCAACCCGCGCACTTCTTCAAGCACCATTCCCCTACAGCCGCTACGAACCTATTCGCACCCCTCCTCGGCACAGTCTGTAAGGGCTACCGAATCGGCAAGTGAAAAGGGCAGCCGGCGTTCCTCCTTCTCGTCCAACGACTCTGACGAGTTCAAATCGTCCACTTGGACCGACACCGGGGATCTGGCCGAGCAGTTTGCTCATCTAGACGCTCCTCTACGAAGTCGCTTGATAGATTGCGAGTCGTCTCGACAATCAGGACCTGAAGGACGGGGGAAGCGTCAGAAGCGTGTACACTACACCACTCACCTGTCTCCTGGCCGCTCTGTTCCTGAGAAACTATCGTTTGAGGTTCCTTCGCCTCCGCCTAGACATATTTCGAGATTTGAACGCCTTCTAGCCATCGTCATGTCTCCGAGAAATAGACAGACTGCCCAGATGCATGGCCTGGTTGGGAAGCCTTTGCTGTACGAGGCCCAGGACCACGGATCCCGTTACCAGCCCTGATTTTGCTGACCTCTATCCAGCTATTTCACAAGCGTCTTCGTGTCGTTAGGCGTCTTCCTTTTTGGCTACGATCAAGGCGTCATGTCTGGAATTATTACGTCCGTCTTCCTCTCTAATCAATTTCCAGCAAATATGCCTGGAGTATCTTAACCGAAAAGGCCATAACTGATACAATTCTAGGGGCTGGTATTTCAAAGATTACTTCGATCAACCATCGCGAGCTGCTATTGGCACAGTGGTCGCCATACTCGAAGTGGGTGCGTTCATCTCGTCATTACTCGTTGGGCGGATTGGCGATTTGATAGGGCGCCGCAAAACCATTCTTTATGGCTCTATCGTGTTTTTCATCGGGGGCGCTTTCCAGACGCTAGCAACTGGGCTGCCGATGATGATGCTTGGCCGTATAATTGCGGGATTGGGTGTCGGGGCATTATCGACGATTGTGCCCGTCTATCAGTCTGAGATATCGGTATTAACATCCCATCAACCCTTTGGAGTTCTCAAATGTTGCCAGCGTTCTAACATATCACTAGCCACCTCATAGCCGAGGTAAGCTAGCATGCATTGAATTCACTGGCAATATATCGGGATATGCAGCCAGTGTCTGGGTGGATTACTTCTGTAGCTTTATTGATAGCAACTACGCATGGCGATTGCCACTGCTGTTTCAGTGCGTCATGGGTGCCCTCCTTGGCTTAGGAAGTTTGATTATCTGCGAATCTCCCAGGTAAATAAACCCTAGCCACCAGGCTACGTTTTGTTTCGTTCATGATTCTGACAGAGAGACAGATGGTTATTGGATAATGATCATGACGAAGAGGGCATGGTAGTCATTGCCAACCTCTATGGAGAGGGCGACCTACACAATGATAAAGCGCGACAAGAATATAGGGATATCAAGATGGACGTTCTTCTTCAGCGACAAGAGGGAGAACGATCTTACACCGATATGTTCAGGCGTTACCGCAAACGAGTCCTTATTGCGATGTCAGCACAGGCGTTGGCACAGCTGAATGGCATTAATGTGATATCCTACTATGCACCTCTTGTCTTTGAATCGGCGGGATGGGCAGGTCGTGATGCCATCTTGATGACGGGCATCAACGGGCTTACTTATCTCGCATCTACGATCCCCCCGTGGTATCTGGTGGACCGTTGGGGAAGACGCCCAATTCTGCTCTCTGGCGCGGTTGCCATGGTTGTGTCTTTGTCACTGATCTCATACTTCATCTACATCGACGTTGCGGCGACTCCAACTCTCACCGTTGTCTTCGTTATGATCTATAATGCGTAAGTTCATCCATTCTATCCCCTTCTTCCTCCCTTTTCTTCCAATACGTCAGATTAACGTACTCGACTTTATACTCATCTGACCTAGTGCCTTTGGGGCATCATGGGGTCCAATTCCCTGGCTCTATCCTCCTGAAATTCTCCCATTGAGTATCCGTGCCAAGGGAGCCAGTCTTAGCACAGCCACTAATTGGGCGTTCAACTGGCTTGTCGGGGAGGTTACCCCTGTGCTTCAAGCCGTGATCAAATGGCGACTTTACCTAGTCCATGCCTTCTTCTGCGCTTGTAGTTTTGTGCTTGGTAAGCCCCCCAGCCGTTCCGATTATATCTATTTAAAACTGACATATAAAATTAGTGTATTTTCTCTACCCTGAGACGAGTGGCGTTCGTCTCGAGGACATGGATGTGCTCTTCGGGGACGCAACAACTGCAATGCCGACGCCTGCAACCCAGGGGGAGCGTGGGTCTCTTGTGGGCGCTGGTTCGCCCATTCCTTCCCTCGATATTAGACGGCAATATGGCAACTTCGGGGCGGAGAGTGCCATTCCCGGCTTAGATATTGATCCTCCAAATATAAGCACCGGCGATAGCCCCAAATCAGGATCTCGCTTGATGGGTGAAAGAGGTGCTCGATCCGAGGGCTTTGGCGGTTGGATCACAAATATGGTCAGCCGTCACAAGGGTCCGATGTCAACTGCAAGAGGCAGTCAATATAGGCGACTTGGACAAGAGGAGGATGTAACTGAATAGAGGTAGGTTTGATGCTCTATCAAATGATTCTGCCATCCTACTCCTTGTTCTCTGCTCTCTCTTGTCTGTATTTCGGTGTTCATCTTCAGCCTCGATAATCGCTTCCCCAAGTCTCTTTCCACCACATCATTCCCTCCTCTATGATGCGAACAAACTTATTTTCGCCCAGACTGTTTCGTGTTGAAAGGGATATCGGAAGCTGTTCATTTTTCCCTGCGCTGTTCCTTTCTATGGCTGTAACGTTCAAAGTCATGCCATATATATTGTTGATTTTATCTTCTTTAATGTGTTTGTGCCTATACGGGCAGGACATTGGGCCAGGTTAGATACCATGCTAGATAGCTTGGATGTATGCTGCTGCCATTATAGCTATATGCCGGTCAACCTTTCTCCTTCATGTTTTATAGGTACCACTGAGTTCTGGATATTAATGATGTGGTCTGGGGTACTGAAGGCGCAGTTTGACAAACAGGGTCTGTTGATCTGTATAATAGCCGGTGGAGGGAACCTACCATATGAACAGATCGATCATGAATTATTACCTATGATGGATCATTAGGTATCTGGAAGACCTACCTTATTATGTATTCTGAATGAACCAGCAAGTAGATAGTCGTCCTATGGTAAGGTGGCCGAAGTGGGGCGGATCGACGGATGGTTTTTCCGCGTAGTCTCCAGACCAACTTTCTTAAATGTATATCTGTCTACACTCTACACTACACTCTTCAGTCTACTGTACGCAACCAAGCTTCGGGGCCAACATATATTGTGGTCTGTTTCTTTCCATATCAGCATCCCTATCTTTCGTTTTTTTTTTGTTTCTCATCAGTCATCCTTCAATATACCTATTTCCCATTTTAGTCCTGAGTCCCTGTTCCTTTTGTCTTTCCTTGCTGGTCACCCTTATCTACTTGATTTAGCTTCAAAGCGCCGGCTGGTCAAGGAACTTCCCAGACTCCTATTCATTACATTGTAAATCAATCGCCATTTACACTCTTCGACTAGTTATGCCTTTTTTTTGTCTCTGAGAACCCACCGGTATCACCGTCTTTGCTATTTGCTTCGCTACATACCCCAATTGAGCTTGGATGTTGGTCATTTCGCTCTTCCTCCCATACGTAAAGGACCGGACTGACTTTCCCTAGTTCTTCCATCATGGCGGAGATGGAGATCGCGTCGACTACCGGATTCGATGTCCGGTCTGACTTGCGGCGCCGGAATGTCAATATTACGGAGAAGACAAGCAGTTTAGCTCCTGGTGAGGATATCAAGAAAAAGCACAGACCCGAGGTATGATGATCGTCCGAGGTGTGTTCCACACCAAAGATATATGTCTTGCCACGCATGCTAATACCCTATCCCATGTCAGTCTAGTTCCTTTGCCTCAGTTCTGGATCATTGGGAGCCTATAATCGCGCCAATCCTTCTGACTGCATTGGCTGTCTTCACGCGCATGTACCGGATCGGTCGCTCGAATATCGTGACATGGGATGAAGCTCAGTACGTTTATTGTCTTTAAATGCATGCTGTATTGTGCCTATGTCTAATCCCGCCATGTAGTTTCGGTAAATTCGGTTCACACTACCTGAAACGCGAGTTCTATTTTGACGTTCATCCGCCATTGGGCAAGATGCTCGTTGGGTTATCTGGTCTCCTTGCGGGCTACAATGGATCCTTTGAATTTAAGTCTGGAGAGCAGTATCCAGAAGATGTCAATTTCACCTTCATGCGGGTCTTCAATGCCGCCTTCGGTGTTGTGTGTGTCCCTCTCGCCTACTACACTGCCCGTGAGCTCGGTTTCCGCAGGGCCACTGTCTGGCTTATCAGTCTGATGGTGCTATTTGAGAACTCGTACGCGACTATCTCAAGATTCATATTACTTGATTCGATGCTGCTTTGCTTCACCTTTACAACCACAATGTGTTGGGCCAAGTTTCATCGGCTGCAACATGCTAGCTTTTCGGTCGAATGGTTCACTTGGCTTTTCTTAACGGGCATAAGTATCGGTTGTGTCTGCAGCGTCAAATGGGTCGGCCTTTTCTGTACCTCTTTGGTGGGACTCTATACTATTGAAGACCTATGGAACAAATTTGGTGACTTGAATATGCCGAAGGTGAGTAGCAACCGAACGATAAGTTAGCCGACCCGTGACTGACAGTTGTCAATAGACAGTACTAGCCAAGCACTTCCTTTATCGTGTTTTGGGACTGATCCTCGTACCAGCTTTGGTATATCTGCTCTCCTTCTACGTCCACTTCTGGATTCTTGAAAACAGTGGGCCCGGAGATGCGCAGATGAGCTCTCTCTTCCAAGCCAACCTAAAGGGTACCGAGGTTGGAAGAGATAGCCCTCTCGAGATTGCTGTTGGTTCTCGAGTCACCCTGAAGAACATGGGCTACGGTGGGGGACTCCTGCATTCTCATGTCCAGACGTATCCAGAAGGTTCCAACCAGCAACAGGTGACCTGTTATCACCATAAAGATGCGAACAACGACTGGTTCATTTATCCTAACCGCCAGGAACCTGAATATGACCCGCAGGGTCCACTATCTTTCATTGGTGATGGCGATATCATCCGTCTCATCCATGGGCAAACAGGCCGAAATCTCCATTCCCACACTATCCCGGCTCCCGTCACCAAATCTCAGTATGAAGTCTCATGTTATGGTAATGTCACCATCGGAGATGAGAAGGATCATTGGGCAGTCGAAGTTGTCGATGACGTCGCATCTCGGGATCGAAGTAGAATTCGGACCTTGACCACTGCCTTTCGCCTCCGGCATATCATTCTGGGCTGCTATCTACGTGCTGGAAATGTCAATTTACCTCAATGGGGGTTCAAGCAGATCGAGACCACGTGCGCAAAGGAGAACAATCCACGTGATGTATACACTCATTGGAACATAGAGTCTCATTTCAACGACAGGCGTGAGTTTCCCTTCCGAATTTCCTGATGTTACTTTGCCTATTTTCATCTATACATCCCCTTTTTGCTTCTCCCCACCTTAAACAGACCCACCTTGAACATCTGAATATCCTAAATAGTCTAACCCAAAGCCTTGCAGTTCCACCTGGTGATCCAGGATCATACAAGTCCCCGTTTCTAAAAGATTTCATCCACCTGAATGTTGCCATGATGACATCGAACAATGCTCTTGTGCCCGATCCAGACAAACAGGATGACCTCGCCTCAAAATTCTGGCAATGGCCAGTGCTCAACGTTGGGCTCCGCATGTGCTCCTGGGATGATCATATCATCAAATATTACCTTCTTGGAAATCCAGTCGTCTACTGGGGTAGTACTATTAGTCTCGGTGTCTTTGGGCTTTTGATCCTTTGGCATCTTGCTCGCTGGCAGAGAGGGTACAATGATCTAAGTCAAGCGGATATAGATCACTTCCACTACTCGGGTTTCTACCCCCTTGTCGGTTGGGTCCTGCACTATCTCCCATTCATAATCATGGCTCGGGTTACATATGTTCATCATTATTATCCTGCTCTTTATTATGCCATCCTCACTTTTGGTTTCTGCGTCGACTGGCTGACAAGACCGATGAGCCCTCGAGTCCGCGGAGTACTGTTCGGCCTTCTTTACACGGTTGTCATCGGCCTGTTTGTGCACTTCCAGGCCATTGTGTTTGGCATGGAGGGCTCTAATCAACAATGGGCACATTTGAATTGGCTAAGTGGCTGGCGGATCGCTAATTAAACCAGCGAGTATCAGCCGCAATTTTTTTACAACTTGAGTGACTTTGTGCTGTTTGATGGCTTTATAATATCCACCTGTGCTCGATTTTTGCCTAATGTTACTTTTCCAACGGTGTTAATGCTCTGGGTGAACGCACTGAAGCTAATACCCTGTAGAGTTCTCCATGAGCGGTTCAACAAGAGATAATTGAAACATCACCTGATTGCATTTCTAGAGATTTCGACTTTTATATTGTTATATAGACCGGAACATGATACGATCAAAATTGTGTGGAAGAATTTAACAATCCCCGTGATAGGGTGTCTGCGTAGACATAGCAGCTTTCAGCAAAGTGATTTTGTCCGTCTAACAGCAAGCTCCACTCCAACCATTTCCGCTACTGCGCATTGCATCGTTCAATCCCAATGTAATGGTCTTTGGTACCCCAGTCCCTATCCCCCCTGTAGCCCCGAACCCTTTAACACCACTTCGACGATCGTTTAAGTCGTACTTCCCTGCTTCAATATTGCGATAGATCCTCTCGGCGACTTCGAGAAAGGCGCGCTCAACGCCATCGCCAGATTTCGCACTGGTCTCTACGTAGCGGACAACGTTGTTCAGTCGGCACCACTCCTCTGCCTCTCGTCTAGTGACACGCCTCTGATTGACTTCGGTATCCACTTCGGCAAGATCGCTTTTATTGCCAACAAGGATTACGACGATGCCATCTTCTGCGATCTGTCTAAGATCATGAAGCCATTGAGTGCAAGAGATGAATGTCGAAGGACGGGTGATATCGAAGACGAGCAAAGCACCTGAAGCGCCACGGAAATAAGAACGAGTGATAGATTTGTAAGTCTCTTGTCCTGCTGTATCCCAGAGCGAGAGCTTCATCTTTCTCTGCGGTTGAGTCTCTTGCGGCCTCCGCGGAGGGCTAGGGAGCCCTGACGCAACTAGCGGATGGGAACCGATTGTCGCTGGCAATGATGAAGCTGGCGGCGTCGAGGATGGATCATCATTGTCGAAGAAATCTATCTCGAAATTTTTTGAAGCTGGAGGGCCGACTGGGACAATGCGAGATCCAAACTCCACGCCGATAGTAACATCGTGACTAGATGAGAAGCGTCCCTCGCAGAGTCGAATCGTCAACTACGACGAGACACAAACATTAGCATGTATGCATCTGTGACGTCCGGAAAAGGTGTCACTTACACTGGACTTGCCGGTCCCAGAATCACCGATACAGACAAGTTTCGCAATATAGTCCCATGGCTGTGACATGAGTGTTGAGGATAATGATTTTGTGGACAGTCAGGTGCTTTTCTAATTATCATTCGTGCAATGTCGGTCACTTCGAAAGAAATATAGCTCAACTCATACTCTGGCAAATCCCGTTAGGTAGCCACATCGGTATGGTGGGACTTAATATCTATATCTGAGCTTGGGTGCCACGATGTACAAGTCAGGGATGCACGTAACTTGCCTGCCAGGACTGTACAGTAAGTAAGCTAATACGAAGCTATAACCATGGAAATGAAGAATACCCAGATGCTCGTAGGTTGATAAGCGGCGGCTGAGTCATCTGCATTGGTGCTTTGTGACCTTGCCATATGACGCTTGCAACACTCAAAGATAAATATGGAGTACTCCACATTATCTAGATCAACAGTACGAGCTGTCTCTGTTGGATGCACTTCCTTGCTGGCTTGCCATGATTTGTCTAAATCCGGTTGATGGAGCTTTTTCGAATGATTACTCTTTAGATGCAAACTCGCCGTGCTCTCCCACTTCCTTGCATCTTTTCTGACGATTGGTCAACCCAATATATATGGTCTACATTCACCGCACATTTTCTGGCCATAGCTATCCCCCCCGTGTAGAGTGCACCAGAGAGTTACAGAAAACATACAAAATCGGTATGAGACGAGCCACATAGCGGCCCAAGATATCTAGCTGGACATGTTCTCAGAATGTATGTATTCCAAAGCTACAGACGCTATCCCCTTCGATTCCTTCTATCGTTATCACTTCATCGTTAGCACCGTGCTCACTCGATATTTTAGATGCCTCGCGCTTCCTTGCCCAGTCACAGTCCCGTTTAACCCCCTCCTCTAACGACCGTCGAAATGGCATTGGCCATTCGAACCAGCAACCGGGCCGTCCTCGATTTTCCACATCCCGAGCCTTTCTGCAAATGACGATAGATCCCTACCAACAAGGCATATCACATATGTCAAACTTCCCATTTGGCTCGCGAACTTCTGCGCTACCTGCACCTCTCTTCTTCAGTGCCAATGATGAGTTACGTGAAGACGACGATGAGGCAGAGCGCGAGCGTGAGATAGCGGATTATTATGCTTTACAAAGATCAAGGCGCCATCTCAGCAGCAGCCGTCTGAAAGATTCACTTGGGTCTGAAGAGTATGATGACAGCTCTGCAAGTTTTGAACAGAGATCTCCCCAAGATGACAGGTATATTGAGCGCAGAGGTATCAGAAGCTCATGGCGTGCGAGTGACAAATCTACAAAGGGTGATCGGGATGTTTCGGTTGAATCGGGGGAAAGGATAGCGGCCGACAGTGAACGGTCTGATGCAACTCGGCGAAGTCATAGCCCTCAAGGAAATTTGGTTGATGTTCGTCTCGACGATACGTTGATCAGCGGGCACACTGTCAAGCGGAATGGCACATCTGAACGAGGTGATGATGAACCCCCTTCCGTTCAGCTATTTCGAGAACAACCGGGCGCTGTGGGGAACAATCATGATTTGGACCCCTTCCCTATACCGACCGTAGCAGACAAGCTATCATTACTCGATGATCCTCGAATCTTGAGCCCCGGGGCCTCTTCCCTGCCACCCATTTCGACCCAGGGCTTGGGGTCGCCATTCCATGATGCTCTATGGGGTCAACTTTTCCTACTATCCTTGGCCTGCCTCCTTGCTACGTCCTTTCTCGTTTATCTGCATACATCTGCACCCACGGGGGACAAATCAAAGTGGGGCGATACGATTTATTTCACTGTTCACGGGTCGTTCCACCTGCTCGGCTTATATACCATGATTTCAATATTCGTCTCACTCCTCTGGCTGGTACTACTGCGGTTCTACTTGCGCCCTATGGTTTATGTGATAATTTTTGCAGTCCCTCTCATTTTATACTCATTCTCTTTCTACCCATTCATCTCAAGCTTCCGTGGGCACTGGAGCGGGACTAGCATACAGGATAAAGCCCTGAGAATCGGCTCCCTTGTGCCATTTATTGTGGCAAGTGTCTGGATATACAATGTTATCCAAAGTCGCCATTCTGTCGGTAAAGCAATCAGTATCCTTGAATTCGCGTGTCGAATTCTCGCTGCGAATCTCGAATTGTTAGCAGTTGGTCTTGGCGTCCTCTCCTGTATCGTTTGTTGGACCTGGATCTGGATGCTGATGTTTGCTCGGGTTTTCCTGGGCGGGCATGTCTCAAATTCGAATGCTTTTGCTATCGATATGAGCAGCTGGTGGCTGGGAGTCTATTTCGTCATCATCTACATCTGGTCATTGGGAGTCTTCGCTGGTATTCAAAAATCGGTCACCGCCGCCACAGTGAGTCAGTGGTATTTCCATCGCCGTGCCAGCCCCAGTCCGACATCTAGGCAAGTCGTTCAAGCGGCCTTTGTCCATTCTGTCACTACATTATTCGGTACCATCTGTTTTTCCAAGTTTATTGCCTTGTCCACTCGACTTCCCCTTCTATTGTTGCCGTCCCGTGTATCTCGAATTCTGAATATCTTTGTATACTCCTTTATTCCGTCCTCTATCGCCATACTCGCTGACCCTCTCGCTCTCACTTACGCCGCGATTCACTCTCAACCTCTGGCATCGTCTGCTCGAGACCTTACGCGGATGTCGAGCATTTCGTGCCCAATAAATGCATCGTCATTCCACCCACGGTATTTTTCTTGGTCTCGTGTCGGTTCTGCACCCTTGCTTTCATATCGGCTCTCTAAGCTTATTCTTCATGCTGCTCGCTCTATGATGTCTCTGGCGCTTGGTTTCGGAGGGTGGGTAAGCACTGCTCGCAGCTTTGACTTTCCTGGCCTTAGCAATGCAACTCGTGGCAGTATGTATGCCTACGTGGTTGGACTAATAGCAGGATTAATCGGCTGGAGTATCTTAGGGGCTGCTGAAGGCGTTTTGGCAGACATTGTCGATGCCTCTGTTCTGTGTTGGAGTAGCGAAATGGGACTCCATGACGGCGAAGCTCGCTACTGCCGAGAAGCAGGATGGCTGTTTGGGGACGATCTGGCAAATGATGTTTCCAGGCGCCCGCATCTTCGTCAAGCTGAACCTTAGATGTCAGATGCCTTTTGCTCAAATCCCAGCACGAATGCATTCTAAGTTTTTGAGTTACTGTTACGTTTCGTTGCTTCACAGATCTCTTCATTGCCTGTATACCCCAGCTCTTGCCATGATTTTAAGGTTATCAATCGCCTTGCTGGATATCAGTTTTAACTCGGCATGACACGTGTTCGCTCTGGGGATCCCCTAGTATCGAACCGGAACTCTTGATTTGCACTCTTTGTTCGCTGTCTCTGCACCGGTTTGGTTGCTTTATTTCGTGTGGTACAGTTGTATTCGAGCCGCCCCTCACGTGGACTCGAAAAATCTGAGTTACAATGGGCAGCGATTCCACAAGTCTTTGTCAGTCCAGTTGCAGCTTTGGACGAGAGTCTTTCAGACAGATCATACATATCATTGTAGTCAAAGTTAAGTGAGGTAATCGGCTTTGTCCCACTATTAAGAGCTAGGTAGCGATACTGCATGGCTCAACCATCAGATGGTCTGCCTTTCCCATCCCACTTCTGACCGTTTAAGCTGATTGCAGCATTCGAACCATTTCATAGCCATCCATAGCATTACTTATCTTTCACGATCAAGGAAAAACATGTTTTGAATAAAATGAGGGTTAAAGCCTTTCTTGACATAAATATAACACTAGATATCTAGCCCAACAAGATTGAGAACTATGGGTGGTATCATATCCTGCACAACACAGCAAGCAGAAAATTGGAAAGCATTCAACGCCCGCTCTCGTCAATAAACCAACTCGTAGAGAAGAACGCCAAAGTAAATCCAGTAGATAGCGACTGAATGGAAAAGGCATCAGGGTTTCAGAGGGAAGATTAGAGAATTTGTTGTTCATAAATCGAGCCGGCTGCTCCATGCTACATCCTCTTTGATACACCACTCTCTTAGAATTGAGTGGCCAAATCGGACAGATTCCACAGGGGTTGTTGTCCGCCCAGGTGGGACCAAAAATTCACCAGCATAATCCCCGATCTTGGGCCGCTGCTTGGCGAGATCAGAGTATCTTTTTGAGCGCTTTGACCATGTCTCAGGAAATTCACGAGCGAGGATGTCTTCGGAAAGTCCTTGCAAACCTTCGAGCCACAGTCTCTGGGATTCTTTGTAACATTCGGGCAATCGATTTTTTAGCTCAAGAAATGCGTTCCAAGCCTTTCTGTTCTCGTCTGATGTGACGGTAAGGCCGTCGCTCCCCGGTGTGGGCACTGGGGCGTGGTCTCCTGGAATTGGGGTGATTGCAAGGCGCTCCAAGTCAAGGGAATGAATCGCATCGTAAGACACAGCACCGAGGATCAGACAAAGGCTATGGAGCCGAGGATAGGGAATGCTGTTCTTCCTGACCACCCGCCAATATGCGAGTATTGATAGCCACGTTGACGAGTCGCCAACTTGACGAGCCAAGCTCTTGGATTGATCATCGGCAACGAATGCGAGGATAAAGCAAATAATTGCTTCTATGGCGGTTACAGCGGCGACTTTTTCATCTGCAGCTGTTGCCGCGTCTTTGGCGGTATGCCTCTCAGCAGCATGCTTCAATTCCCTGCCCAAGTTTCCAAGACGCTGATACTCGTCTTTCCAAGCTCGGCGCTCATGAAACCGCGATTGAGGCCCCGGGCTGTTTGGCTGCGCTGGTGTGGATTTTGTGAGCGTCAACTGATCCCCCAACAGAACATCGCTATGTATTGCTTCCGTTCGATGAGTAGAGTCTTTGATGCCCTTTACGGAGGTCACCTTTGAATGCTTCAATCCTTCTGTGTGAGGCGGTGCTGAGCCAGAGATGGAAGACGTCGGCAGTCGTGATTTTTCTGAGAATTGCGTCCTTGACTCCTTAGGACGCTCCCTCAGAGAAATGGTTGCCTCGCTACCAACCACATTCTTATTTTTACCCTCCACACGATGTGATTTGTGGACAGTATGCCCATGTAAGGGTGCCTTCGGTTGGTTGTGGGGGGCTTTTATAAGGTGATGATTTTCATGATCTGTTCGTTGATGAACAGGGGAGTTCGAGGATGCAGCTTTTCTTTTCCCAGAAAATTTCAAGAGAGCCTCAACGCGCTTTCGATTTGATCTTCCGTATTTCAACTTAATCACAAGCTGCGGCTTCGCCGTCCCAAACCTTTTTACGTCCGTCAGTTGTGGCGTTTGTTCCTTTCTTTGACCGTGTAAAGCGATATTCGGCGAGTCACAGAAGTCCAAATCCTTAGAGCTCAACGGGGTAGATACGCTCTTGTCAGCTGAAGGATCCGAACTTCTGTCATTCGAGCTTAGACCAGATGCTGAATACGATTGCAGCCTGCCGTGCTCATACGATCTCGGCTTTTGTGAATCCCCTCCTAGGGCTGCAGAGTCGTATGGCCTTAATCCTTTGAACGCGCTCGATGTTGAGCAACCTTCATCGAGTCTGGAGAGCTCCTTTTCGAGATCGGGCGGAAGAGTTGGAGACAATAATCGGGGTAACCTGGGGCTGTTTGAAGTGGGCGGTAGAGTTGGTGATAGAAGATCAGGCAGCCCGTTAGACCTTGAGATTTCGGTCTTAGTATGCGATACTTTCTCAGGTGAAAGTCTCGCTTTCTTAGGAGATACTACGCCAGCATGTTTTCCCTCCCGTGATGTTAACTGCTCATGGTCAGATTCAGGCGGGCGTTTGCGCCCTACCTTGTCATTCCCGGGTCGCGCTGACGATTTGATATGAGGTACTCTAGAAATTCGTTTCCCTGCGTCCTCAGTAGGGGTATGATGTTTAGTTCCTGATTGATTGTTGCCAAGTGGATGGGACACTGGAGTCTCGATAGAAGGCTCTTGATTGATCGGAGACACTGAGGTACCGCTCTTCCTCCTTTTCCTATAGTCATTCAAGCTTATCTTTTTCTTGAGCGACACATTTGATGGCGTGCTTGCCGCACTTTGATGTCCTGAGCGCTGATCAGACATAATGCTCCCTGCCCCGTCAGACCAATCACCAACAGCTACCAACAAAGAGTCGCCGTCTTGATGAGTTAGAAAGGTCATATATTGTAGTTGTTGCTCGTCGGGAGTAAATGGTCCGTCATTACCTACTGCCCAATTGTTGACAAATCGGCCGCCGGGGCGAAAAGGCACATCGGTGGGAATAGTAAGAAGGAACGGATATAAAGGAAGGACCTCTCTCCCAAGACGTTCGAGTCGTCTGTCAAGCGAGATTAATTCTGGCGCAGAAGTTCGTTTCAGCGAGAATTCAGAAATGCTCATATCACCATCCACGGAATTAGTCGGCCGGGTCCCCGACATTGCACTCCGTCGACTGACCAGACGTCGCCCGTGAAGAGAACCCGGTGCGATGAATTTGGAACGCCTAGTGATAGTACCCCCCAGAATCCTATTATTGTTTCGTTTTCCCAAGCGCCGAATGGTCGAATGATAGGCGTCATATGGCTTTCTGCCTGAGTATCGAACAGAGGGTAACTCGAAAACCACAAAAATTGCACATAGCAAAACGAAGCCCCTGTTATGCCCAGGAAAGCTAGGTAGTGACACGAGATCTAATCAACTTAGCTCATCTAATGCCGACCTCGCGCAGCACTAAAGTTGCGACTCCAAGTGTTCGAAAATGGACGGCCAGTGAGATCGCACTTCTGATGTCGTTAACCAGGATAATATACTTATGATAATATATCTGGCGAGGACAGGTGTGGGAGGTCTGAATTGACTTTATACTCATGAGCTGTATATGAGAACGCTGACGAAAGGGAAGAATGAATGCTGGTCATGAATATCATGAGCACAAGAGCTTGGGACAAGTGACTGAAGTAGCCTAGGCTAGACCTGAAATCAAATTCCCATAGCCATCAGAGATGAGCTATATAAGTTCACTCAATAAACCAACATCAAAGAGCAGGAATAGAGAGCAAGCCCACCTGGGGAGAAAGGAGGGCGACTACTGATGGTCTAGAAGGTGAACTGTTCTAGCTTAATCTTAAGCGGAGAGATTCGGCAGTATTATGGGAACGATAACCAGTCATGGGAGGATGAGACTACAAAGCTAAGACTGCATTTATCTGCCTTGTCTCTCAACCCATTAAAGCGGGATAGAAAAAGAGTTGGAAGCAATGAGTACATCTGAAAGAAAAAGTGCATTTCTATCTTGATGTACCTTTATATATAAATCAAGTGTTTGAATAGCATTCGCCATCAGATGGGGTCATGTGTTAGATACCAGCATTATCCTAGGGAGTCAGGGACTGATCTAAGAGGGCTATTTCAGGACTGGTATCCGTCAAGCTATGAACGATCGTCCTTCGCAAAATGATCATTCCAGAAGGCCCTGAAATGTTTCTGCTGTCCAATAGATGAGATCTCGTCCACTTCTTTGGGTGTTAGTTGGAAGGCCAACACGCGCTGGTAGCTACTGAGGCGAGGTTCCTTGCTGCTTGTTGTAATTGACACACAGCCCCGGTCCATATTCCACCGCAACAGGATCTCCCCTTCACCGACGCCATACTTGTGAGCAAGCCTTGACAGCAGCTCATCAAGAGGCCCACCCGTTGCTCGAGTGACAGGGGTGAGAGGACTGTAGCTGGCTGTCCTGATTCCCATGCTCTCGTGAAAGGTAAGTAGGTCTCCATGTTGCAGATATGGATGAAATTCGATCTGATTTACCGACGGCGTAACTTTTGCGGCTTTGAGAATGACGTCGAGATGGCATTGTAGGAAGTTAGATACCCCTATAGACCTGGCCTTCCCTGAAGCCTTAACCATTTCCATGGCAGCCCATGCGTCTTGCAGTTCTTTGTCTGACTTGGCGAAGAATGGCGAGTGAATCAAGTACCTGCATCGCACAATATAGATTAGTGATCACCGTGGACACAAATGTTCACGCACTGGGATAGAATCGAGCAAACGACCTACAAATCCACGTAGCTGAGTTGGAGCTTCTCTAGACTTGCATCAATCGCCTTGGGAATGTCTGCAATGTTAGTGATCACCTTTGTGGTCACAAATAGCTGATCCCGCGCCATGCCACTCTGTTTGATAGCCTGACCTAACTCCGGTTCAGTACCATAAACCTCTGCGCCATCCAGGTGATGGTATCCTAGCCCAACTGCTCTTTTGATTGATTCCACCAATTCTTTATTGATCCCTGTGGCTTCGCCTTTTTTGAACCAGGTAGTGCCGGTCCCAAAGCCAAGCTGATTGTAGAGGCGATTTAAGTTAGACGGTGAGCGGTGCCATGTGGATAAAGTTCTGTTTCTAGAGCGAGAAGAGAAGATAGGGGAGAAGACAACAGACGAAGGGTAGAAGGTTTACTCACGACCGGGATTTCAACACCATCGTTCAGCTTGACAGAGGGGATAGCCGTACGTGTGGTCATCGCCATACTGACTGGAATAACAAAGAAGGATATCGTCGTAGATGCTGTGGGATTGAGAATTGAGACGGAATTACAATCTATTACCTCGGACAGAGGAATTCCCTACCTTTACTTTTCTTTCTTTCTTTTTCTTCTCTTGTCTTCAAGGCTCTCTAGACTCTTATCTATCCAGATAATCCTCATTAATCTGGTTAGGTATTAACGTGAAGGTTCGACAAGATGATGTCATTTGGAGCTATTTGGGTGGAGTGTGGTCTCATGGCGTCCTCTGGGATGTATTGTTACTGGTATGATGGTACTTTAGGAGTGATTTAAGATTGTTTGGCTTACTGTGTTGAGAGTGATGAATTTATTCCGAACTTGTATATATCTACTACATAGACGGACCTTGGACTTGGGATGCAAGACCGAGATACAGATACTCCAGGATCTCCCATAAGGGTTTGAATTAGTGGAAGTAACTACCTTATGTATAGAGCGTAGGGATATTAGTTACTGTACAAAGACCGACCCGACAGGGTGGAAACTTTGGACAGTCCTTGAAAATAGATATGTACACACTACTCCGTACACAGTAGTTAATACCTAATCAATATGTGGGGGCGCCAGATAAGAAATTATGAATAATACGTACTAAATCCACACCATTATTGGTACTGAATGCTGAATGAAGAGATGCAATCATACAAGAGCAACATAAATGATACCTACCTCCCAGAAAGCATTGTTCATTATTCTATCTTTGTCGCTTGCAAACACTCAGCTGTTGGCTGTTGGCAGCACCAACTACCTACTCTGTAGGTGGGAGTAAGCGAGTATCCGTATCTCCCTAGCTGAAGGAGGAGCTCCGCAGGTACCCGATTATGACTGTGGCTAACGTAGGTATGGCGTGTGCAGTAATTAGTAAATCACCCAGTTTTTGGCCTCTGTTGTTGAAGAGGACACTCCATGTTTCATAGCATCTACCTAGGTTCTCACTTCAAATGTGGGGTATAAAAAAAGTTCATATTTATCCCAGACTGAAAACCATAGAAAAAGTAACACTCCAGCCTAGACATCGCTGCGGAAACGGTGTTCTTATTGTCCCTAGGATTGCAAGGTAAGTCTCGCAGTCAGTCCACTATCAAAAAAGGAGCCTTAACTTCGATCATCAAGTGTCTGTCTGCTCACTGCGAAACCCCCCCATGCTGTTACATGTTTTCCCGATATTCATTATATCAATTGCGGCCCATGCGAAACCGGTTGAGTCTGATGGCCTCCCAACTTTCGAGTAGCGCCGCCGGTGCTTCTATCATGGAGATTCCAAAATCCAATATGTTCACAACGAAGCTGCCTCCTGATCCGGCCTTTGAAACCCCGGAGTCCTCTCACAGAGCGCCCAGAGAGGCTCTCGGGCCTCGCCTGGTGAAAGGAGCTATGTACACCTTTGTTCGGCCGGAACCATCAGAGGAGACCGAGCTTCTGGGAGTCAGCCAGAAAGCGATGAGGGATCTTGGCCTCAAAGATGGCGAGGAACTAACACCCCAATTTCAAGCGCTAGTCTCTGGAAATAAAATTTGCTGGAATGAACGAGAGGGAGGAGTATACCCCTGGGCCCAGTGTTATGGAGGTAGGTTGCACTCCGTACCAATGCCGATCCCAAATGTGTAATCTGTGTTGTTAATGGTTTCAAGGATGGCAATTGTATGTCGTGAAAGATTGCTTCTGGGGCTAAGCGAATAGCGTTGACAAGATACAGTGGCTCATGGGCCGGGCAGCTCGGTGACGGGGTAAGTCTTATACATTCGTGCTGGCTTCCCCGAACATGAAAGATTGACACATAGCTCAGCGTGCAATTAGTCTCTTCGAGTGCACCAACCCTGAAACAAATCGCCGATTTGAACTACAGTTGAAAGGGGCGGGAAAGACGCCGTATTCGCGCTTCGCAGATGGAAAAGCTGTACTTCGGTCGAGCATTCGTGAATTCATTGTATCAGAGGGTTCGTTTTATATCCATCATTGATTTTGAAATTCAATCTTATTTATTCCACAGCTTTATCGGCCCTCGGTGTGCCTACTACCCGAGCATTGTCAATAACTCTGCTCCCGAAGTCGAAGGTTTTGCGTGAGCGCATAGAGCCTGGTGCAATCGTCGCTCGATTTGCGGAGTCCTGGCTAAGAATCGGAAGCTTCGATCTTCCGCATGCGCGTGGTGATCGGGACTTGATCAGAAAGTTAGCCACGTATATTGCCGAAGACGTGTTTGGGGGCTGGGATTCTTTGCCGGCCGCCGTGTCGTTGGGCCAGGGCCATCCGTCTGATGCGGCCGACAACCCCGGCAGAGGCATTCCCCGGGATCGTGTGCAAGAGCACCAAGGCGTAGCAGAAAACCGCTTTGCAAGAACATACCGAGAGATCGTGCGACGCAACGCGAAGACCGTGGCTGTCTGGCAGGCCTACGGCTTCATGAATGGCGTGCTGAACACTGACAATACATCAATCTATGGGCTATCGCTCGATTTCGGCCCATTCGCCTTCATGGACAATTTCGACCCACACTATACTCCAAATCACGACGATCACCTCTTAAGATACTCGTACAAAAACCAACCTACTATTATATGGTGGAATCTGGTTCGGCTCGGAGAGGCCCTGGGAGAGCTGATGGGTGCTGGTGACAAGGTTGACGAGGAGTGGTTTCTGAAGGACCGGTTGACCGAGGAAACTACTCCACCAGTCGTGAAACTTGCTGAGACTATCATTGAACGGGCAGGTGATGAGTATAAAACCGTGTTCCTGAACGAATACAAACGCTTGATGAGCCGACGGCTAGGTCTGAGAACTCAGAAAGAATCGGACTTCCAGGAGTTGTTCTCAGAAATGCTCGACACTTTGGAGGCTTTGGAGCTGGACTTCAACCATTTTTTCCGTCGACTCTCCAACATCCCGCTTTCTGATATCGAATCCAAGGAGCAAAGAAGAGATATAGCACACGTTTTCTTCCACAGGGAGGGATTCGGTGGTGTTGGAGACACCGAAGATTCTGCAAGGGAACGCATCAGCAAGTGGCTTGCAAGTTGGAGAATCCGGATTCTTGAGGACTGGGGCATGGAGCATGACACAGAACGACAGAAAGCTATGAGAGACGCCAATCCAAAGGTGAGTGTTCGCCCATTGTTTTATCTTTCGCGAGCAATTGATTGTCCTTCAACCCCTTACCCACCTACCAGCCCTTTGAATTGACAGTTGTCCCGCGCTCGACTAACATGCCTTATTTGAGTTCTTACCTCGCGGATGGATTCTCGATGAAGTTATTGAGCGAGTAGAACGCAAGGGTGACCGGGAAATTCTTGGGTTTGTCATGCAGATGGCACTCGATCCCTTCAAGGAAGACTGGGGGCTGGACAAGGACGAGGAGGAACGGCTCTGTGGCGACGTTCCCAGATTCAAGAGGGCCATGATGTGCAGCTGCAGCTCATAGAACACTCGGCCATGTTGGGAAGCTTCACATTCTCCACGAAATGTGGCACTTATCAAAGTTTTGCATGGTAGTCGCGAGATGTTGAGCTTGGCATCAATTCATTAATCCTTCTGGATACATGGAATGCATGAGCATTTTTGAACCTGTATCGATCAGTGAGATGCTCAGCAATTTGTACAGGGGCCGAGGCTGTGGAAGGCTGAGCTGGCTACCTATGAGCGTAATAGCACTATCAGAAGGAGGATTTGTTGATGTACCACGCGCGGTTGGCAGACAGACAATAAACTACTGTGACCAACACGATTAAAAGCTACTTGGCCCCTGCCTAAAGCACTCCTACGCGAGCCAACATTCAAGATATCATCCTCGTCAGTGGCCATGAAAACAGACAATTATGGAAATATGTTTAGGAGGAGAACCATGGAGTCAATGTTGCTTTAAAACAGCTATTTTTTTTTGTGGACAGTCCCTTTTGATCTTCTGCATCACACCAACGTAAAATCGCACTTTGTCCACCTGCAACATTGCCCGCCTGTCCATTTGTTACGGAATCATTATTCCCACTCCTGGCAATGGACGGAAAATGGGTTAATATAGCGATTCAGTATGGGAGTGGATAATCCCCCTTCGATGTAATGCCGACATGGAAGGCTGAGAAGTGTGGAGGACCCGAAATTCAGGTTCACAAAGAGAGTCGCGTTTTTCACGACATGCAAAACTTCACGTCCACCCGTATATTGCGGCCCGGCTGGGAGAGTAGCTCCAAATCAATGGCTCGGTGTGTAATAGTGCGATTGAGAAGACAGATGATCCGAGGTATGTGCCGACTAGTTGGGGCAAGCGGCCTGGACGTGTCCAGGTTGCTTGCACTTGTAGCAAACGCGCTCACCCTTGGCCTCAGTGGGGCAATCACGAGAAACATGACCAACCTCGCCACCTACGATAATTATTATTCAAGGAATCCAATGGAAGAAAAGTGGATAGGAGATAACTCACAGTTGTAGCACTTCTGGCCCTGAGTGCAATCACGAGCCATGTGGCCAAAACCACCGCAGGAGTAGCAAGTCTGTTGACGACCGCCGAAGCCACCGCCGTAACCACCGCCGTAGTTGCCACCCTGGGAGCAGTTACGGGCGATGTGGCCAACCTGGCCACACTTGTAGCATTCCTGACCACCACCGGTGGAGGGTCCACCGTAGTTATCACCGGCACCCGACTGAGGGCATTCGCGGGAGATATGTCCAGCAACACCGCAGCGGTAGCATGACTTCTCCTTGGGAGCTACTGTGCACTCGCGGCCTAGGAAGGGAACACATCAATTTAAACTCTCCCGTCTGTCTGTGATCGGCGTAACAAGTTTGACTTACTGACATGGCCCTGACCTGTCATTGCCCGATATTATTAGAGATTTCTTCTTGTGTAGGATAAAACTGGGGGAGGGAGAGAAGGGACAACGGCATACCGCCACAGTTATAGCTGTTAGGAGAGAGAATATTAGACTGTGTAGACCTCGGAAGATTGAGCAAGGGAACATACCAGGTGGGGGTGCCCTTCTTGGGACAATCACGAGCCTAGGTGGCTGTTAACTTCCATCATATAGATACTGAAACTGCAAAATGCAAATCTCCGGAGCGGTGACATAAGAAGTCTTACCTGGTGAGAGGCATCGCCGCCTACAGTAAGAGAGTTTTGTCAGTTGTCCGTATTCCACTTGTGTTCTTCTTGATTTCTCTGCGCTGTGCAAAAGAGGGACAACTTGCAGCAAATTTCAAAAACGCATACATATCAAAGTCTGGGTGATAAGACGCGAGAGATCCAAAAAGAAGAGAAAAAAAAAAAAAAAAAAAAAAAGGAGAAAAAAAAGCAGGACAAGAAGTTTCATGCAATCGTCATCTTCCTTTACAGCAGATCTGACGGATACAATGCAGAATCATAAGAGAGACCTGGGGGAAGAGATACATTCGAGCAAAAAGATACGCGATACACCCAAATTGCGGCAGTCGAGAAGAATTTTGTGTTTCAAACAAGGAAGGACTCACAGTTGAAGCATCCACGACCTCCGGCCTGGTAATCCATTATGACAGATAATAAGGGTGTGTGTGGGGGAAGAAGATTTTTTTTTTGATAATGAATTTGAGGTGTACAGAGACAAAGGAATCTGAGGAGGCTGAGGAAGAGTGAAGGACCGGAAAATTGATCAGAGATTGATTGAATGAATTTTGTAGTTTTGCGGGAACCCGAAAAAAAAAAAGTGCTAAAGCAAATGTTCACTTGTTGGTGCGGGGTGCGAAGAGCGCGCTTCCCGTGGTTCCTGGGCTAAAGTCGCCTAGCAATTAGATGGTTAACGAGACGAGTGAGTACTAGTCGAGCCTGCGGAAAGAGTCAGCGTCCACCGTCCATCATCATTATTATCATCTTATGGAGAGCAGAGTATATCTAGTAGATTGGATTAGAATAGATAGAATCATAATATTAACAATAATTGGGAGGCAGATGTTTCTTACCAACCACCAAGGGAAGAGATGTAAACACCTGGTCATGAAGGAGGGATGCCACTGACAATTGCCCTTCCTATCCCCAGACCTCAATACTCCTCGCCTGCCGACAGCCTGCATAATTGATGCTTCGGGTTTTGATGGCTGTACGTGATGCATCCTCACCAGCAACGGCTGTTATTCGAGCAATTGCTCTGCCAAGCTGCATATTGCACGTTAATGTCCTCATCGTTCCCTGATCTAAAACACTTCTTCTACTGCTGGTATCAGTAACCGTCACGCCCCAGTTTGGGATATCTTATGAGAATCGTCAAGAGAACTGTCAAGATAAGAAGGTTGCGAAAAAGAGAGTACAATGTTCAGGTGCGATGATGTTCGAATAAAAGGAAATTTTGTGGCCTTCGATGAGTAGGATGCCACCCTCCCAAGGTCCCCAGTAGGCTCAACTGATCCATGCAGGCCGTGAGGGCAGAGGGCTCTGATTATCATCGACCCAAAAATTTTCATAACCAGCTAGTTCTCAGAGGGGCAATTGACGAGTAGATGGTAAGGCTTGAGATAAAGCCTTCTTTTCCACAATTAAATTACGATCATGGGAAGTACGTTGCCATCAGAGAGGCTCCCTTCACATTCGAAGAAGAGCATAACAGCCATTGCCATAGCCCTGGATTTATTTCTCCATTCCAGTCAATCATGTAAAATCATAGAGCTCTAATAGTTGCGTCCCGACATCCTTCTCCCAAAGTAACAGTACGCGCTCATCATCAAAGCCAATGCAGCCTCGCATTCGCCCGAGTCCTTGAGACATTTCTGCAGAGGATACCCGAGATTGATCAAGGCCACAAGAGGGAATATTTTTCGATGGACTGAATCTTCGGTGTTTTCTCCATGGCTTGTTTTCGGGACTAATCTGAATACTGTTTTCTGCCAATAATGCCCTCGAAGATCCAATTGACATGATCAGTGTTTCGAGTTCCCATACCCGGATTTCACCACCATGAGAGCTAACAGATATTGCTTTTCCACGGTCACTCACTTGGACGGCAGAAACTGACGATGTATGGCCCCATAGTCTCTGACCTCCGTGAACATAGAGCCTAGCGCCTGTGGAAACCACAAGATAAACGGTCAAGGTATTGTCTGCATGAGAGGTTAAGAGATAAGGATGAGAATAGGATATTGACGTCGGTGGTTCGTGATGTGATATCGAAGGCTCTGCTGATCTCTCATAAAGCTCATCACCCATCGATTCAGTAAAGGGAGCGGGCCCGTGTCCTCGTTTCGGCAGAAGAATTGCACCATATTGAGAGTCAACTGTAGTTGCTAGTCGCGACCTAACCTGTTGGCCGTTCTCATTGAAATGCAATTCTTGAATACCCAGCGACCAGCCACAGCCTATATGCAGGAAGCTGTACACGATCGATGCAATGATCCCCAAGCCTGCAACGCGAATGGATAAAGATATCGGGGACAGAATGCTATCTGCCTTGAGAGAGACAACCAGATGCACGCCTGCCGCTGACTCCATCGTGCTCGAATTTGGCCCATCTAATTTGCCTGGGTTCGCTAATTCAGCTGAAGATCCAATCTCATAGAGCGATAAGACCTTCTGCTGTGATACCATCAGTACATAAGGAATCGAGGAAGCCATTGCAATTATGCCTCCGTCGGCGGAGCCTGCGTGAGAGAGGCGCAATTTCAGTCGTGAAGTTGTGATATCCATGTCATATACACTAAAATCACCATTCTCAAATCCAACCGCAATCTGAACCATGTTCTGCAGCACAGAGCAGGTTACCGCCAATGCTGTTGGGTTCATTGAGGTTTTGGAACCAGAGTCCGACAGAGGCAGGCCTGCCACACATGAGCTAGGGTTGCTAGCAAGTCGACACCTAATGCCAAATTCGGCGTCTACCGTGAAAATAAAGCCAGCACAAAACTCCGCTAGCAACGGTGGTCGTACCGGCTGCGGAAACTCAACTTCAGTGACTCGGCAAGTACCCTTAGACCAATTATGACGAAGCCGATACTGTTTCTTCCAATTCGTCATTCTGCCCTCATCAGCTAGATGGGCATGACCCAACCATTTTGAAACTTGGGGCGAGTACTCGGCTTTTGAGGCTAGAGCCTTGATACGCCGAACGTTTGCGATACGACGTGCTCGAGGCCCAACCCATCGGGAATAGTATTTCCTTTTCCATAACTCCGAGTCCCCAGCCAAAGCATGGAAACGGCGAGATACCCTAAAAAAGGATGTCAGCGACTGATCATGTAGAGTTGTCAGATCAGATTGACAATCGCAAGAATGAAACTAAGAAAAAAAAAGGAGGTTAAACCTTTGGCACAATAAAAGAGACGGTATCGGAAGAAAGGATAATATCTGGAGCAAAACTTCGTCACTTAAGGACGAGAGGCGATCCCCATGATATCCTTGAACCCTACGTGTGCGCTTAGGCTGTGGAAAGTCCAAACTCTCTTCGTCAAAGCGTCTTTTGAGCATCATGCACGTCGGTATTCAAAGATAGAGATTTTACCTGAATGGAGCAGCTGCAGAAAGAGACGCTCCCGTCATTTTTATGAGGAGGGGACAGAATATGCAGCATTCAAGACATGATGTTGGATGGATGCAGTGATGTACATCAAGTTGACACTTTCAAAAATGGTATAGGAACTGATTGTGGCGGTGATAAGGCCGCCCCACAAAACTTACAAAACGTATCAAAATTACATTTCATATTTGTTACAATGTAACAATCATCAAATATGTCCCTTAATGATACCAGATAGTGGTTGTAACAAGTAAGTAGTGAAATTTACTGTATTGTCATAACATAACATAACAGACGATCACTGTCATCATATATTATGATATTAGTTAGTCCATACTTCCATTTATCTAGCAACCTCAACGCGTGAGGCGCGTCTCACGCAACCTATGGCACATTAAGCAGGAACCAATTACTCAATGGGCACTGTCCCTGCATCCTGAAATCTTCCCTCATGGAGGTCTTGAAGCAACTTCATACTTCTGTCGCCCAAGAATGTGAGAGATTGTTTGATGATGCATATAAAACTTTACGCACGGATCTTGTCCAACGTGACGCACAGTTGAGGGAAGTTGAGGAACGAGCTATGCTTGCGGATCAAGAGCGTCATGATATTGCCTTAGAGAACCAAAAACTTCGCCGCGAGAACATACTCATGAGAGAGGAAATCCGCCGAACCGATGTCGGTCAAGAGGATAATGAGGACTTGGATAATTGGACTCAATTGAAGGATCGATACTCACCGGAGCATCTTCTGTCAGGGTTCAAGACTGGTGAGCAAGGAGATGGACTCACTGCAGAGGACAGAACGAAGATTGTCTTGGATAAATATCTGTCCCTCTACGAGGATTTTCAGACATTATTCCAGGCGTCCAGGCACTTGAAGGACAAGATCAAACGGGATAAAAGAAAGCTACACTACTGGAGGACTCTTCTCGATAGAAAAGAATTCTCCCTTGTGCTCGCCAAAGGCGAGGTTAGATTCAGGCAGGTTGAAGATACCCCTGTCAACACGCCTGTTCATCCCTCAGCAATGGGATCAGCCATGTCATCTACTGACCAGCCGGTGGAGGCCGATAGCGAAGCTGCAGCAGGACTTGTACTTCCAACCTCAAATTTGACTCCAGATAAAGTCGGTGACAATCATTCCGTGTCGCTAAGTCCGGTTGAAGCCGACTTTGAACTGAATACCGATCGGATCCCGCAAGCCATGTCCTTGGCGCCAGCATCAACACAGTCTGATCCTTCCCTTGATAGTGATGAAACGACTATGATCCCTCAGTTGCCCGGACACCCGACCGCACAGAGAACTCGGATATTAAAAAGGAAGCGCGAGCTTGTGCCAGACCCAAAGCGGTTGCACAAACGAGGACTGCCGGCGAACAACAAATCGGAGCAGCCTATCCTAATCAGGAGCGAGAGCATGTCCTCTAGCCCTTTGCGAAGCTTGACTGGGAACCAAGGGGCTGGCGGAACCCAAGATTTGGATGATATTGGCGACACTGTGGAAACTCCAACAAAGAGAAAATCCAACGGACTAGACCTCGATCCCCTGAGATCATCATCAAATACGTTGAAGTCTCCACCTCGACGGTATCGGCATCGGACTGAGCCGATACAGAAGTATCCTAAGCAGCGCACAGTGCTCCAACCGGTGGACAGTAATTTGCGGGCTGGCAATGATCCTTCTAATATTCGGCCAGAACAAAAGTCGGCGAAGCCTGCGAGAAGCTCTAGGCATGCCATAGGTTCGCTGGCAGAAGACGGCGATGAAAATCTGTACCATGCTCCTCGAAAAGTGCCTAAGAAGCAGCCATTTGGCGTCCAATCAACACATTCGAGCGCCAACATGAACAGTGTCCTAACTCAGAAGCGGCTGGATAGCCTTCTTGAACAGCCATTGCCTTCTAGGCGCCCATTGGACATGCCAAGAAAAAAGGGAATCACTTCTGATAGAGAAAAGGTCCCGGAGACGACCTCCTACTCATCCACTCCTCATACCGAGAACATACAGATGGAAATTCCGAATGGCGGCGAACGAAGCGAACTGGATACCAATAGGTCTACTGCTCCAGGAACAAATCAACACAAGTCACAGTTTGCTCAGCATGGAAACCGGCTGTGGGAGCCAGGAACAGCTCCTGATATAACCGATATCCACCCGGAAGAGGAACCCTATCGAGCTCGGCCGCCTCACCGACTCGACCTTCGACACTTTAAGATCAACCCAGAGAATAATCAGGGACTGGATTTTGCATATGATACGGTTGTTCGTCGAAAGGACGAACGAAAGTGTATGACCGGCTGCACACGTCCTGGTTGCTGTGGTGATAAATTCCTTGCCATGACGCGACTTGGAGGTTCTCTTATGAACCCGAAGGGTTCATGCCAGGAGAAAGACGAGCAAAGGATCTTGGAGGAATATCTTGGCGAAGAGAATCATATACTGGATCATATAAGTGTTGAAGATCGCCAGAGACTTCTTCATGAGGCCATAGCTAGAAGTATGGCTAACACCTACGGTAGACACCGACATGACCACCACCGTCCAAGCACGCCTCCTGGATTCTGGCGCACGGATATGCCCGATACTCAGGAATTAGAACATGATCGCGCAATAGCACAACACCTCGAGAGAGAAAAGATCAATGAACGATACAGGGAGGCGATGCGAGGTGGACTGTGGAAGTTTGCCGATGAATGATCTGATGTACGAGAATGGTGACTCTTGATCTCAGGACAACGATCTGTCTGATTTGCGCTGGGGCGGATTTGAGAGACCGCGTTTTATGGATTCTGTATTATCAACATCATATTAAGGAGATACGCTATGGGGCATTTGAAATTTCTTTTGGGCTTGAATGAAATCCTGGCATGATATAACAACTGGATGTTCGAATCTGTTTTATGGGATATAGAAGTACAAAGTGTTCGGACGAGGCAGCCTGAAGGACCTTACTACAGCTGATTCCGACCAAAACGCCTGTATATGTTTATAGTGTTGAGTGTGAAGTGGTACTCTGCACAGAGAGAGGCAAGAGGGTCCTAGATTTTGGGCTCCTTTCAAGTGTTCATGTATGGTATTCGATGCAAGGGGAATAGCGTTTGTCCACCCCACCCGCAACCTCGGTATTCCTTTCCAGGAGCCGGACACGTGCCGTTCCCCGTACTACGAGGGTCACCCTTAATCGCGATGACCGATGCGAACCTCAGTTGATTCAATGTTTTACTGATTGCTGCTTCAGAACCCCGGCTCATCCATTTAATTCTAGTATTCTTTCTGCCGCTCTAATTTCTTTCAACAAAGACATTTGTCTGAGATGGAAACTTCTTGGGAAAGCCGAAGTCCTATACCTGCAGCGTTCCTGCAGCCATCCAAGTGGCTTCCATTATACGAAGACTTCGTGACGAAAAATGCTAGCTCTGTGGGCCAAGTCGAGTCGGCGCTGAGGTCTTTGACATACATAATCCCAGGTGAAAGCAGAAAGAAGCTCCCGTCCGGTTCTGCGTGGTCAAATCTAATGCTACAGCTTTCCGTAGGACGTTATCGCGATTCCGAGATATCATCAGAATGCGGTATGCATGCAGTCTAATTGTGCACTCATGTTAAAGAGTTACCTTAATACGATTTTGCAGTTCATTCAGGAGTGCAACTCCTATCACTCTACCATGACTCCCTTGTTTCCCGAGTCATTGCGAGACTTCCTTCCACTATTCCACGACCAGCACCCACATCACATACTCGATATACAAAGTTCTGGATCTCGCATTCTCCGTTATATCATCGAGTGGCTCTGACGCTCCAGATGGTACGGTATACGGAGCTGTTATGGGAGATGATTGCGCGACGACGGGGTGAAAAGGTCCGCTGGCGCGTTGTTGTTCTCATCGAAGCTATCAAGGCAATATGCCGCTTTTTCCTACTCCGTCTTACAAAATCCAGACCATTGGTCAGCCCTCCGTTACCGGAGCGCGAGATAGATCCTAGAACTGCGGACGAAGAAGAGAGCGACTGGAATGGGATGGAGACGCCTGTCAGTGAGCGATCCACTGACCTGAGTTGGACAATGCCGCGGACAGGGCTATCACTTCCTTCACTTCCTGAAGTGAATGATATCTCTAATTATCTCATATCCAAAGTTTTGACAGCCGATGATATCAAGCCTCCAAAAGCACTTCTGCATCGAGTTAGTGGCCAGGGCCAGTTCGCGGAAGTACTCTATATTCTTCGGCCGGTCATCTATGCACTAGCGATGCAAAGATGGAGTCGTGATAAAAAGAGTTGGAGACCTTGGCTAATTGGATTCGGCATGGAATATGGCTGTCGCCAACTTGCTAAATCTGATTTCCGCGAGCGGGTAGCAGGGGGCCTCCGAGGTCTCACAGGGCTTGAGCGAACGGAACTCAAAAGGCGCGGATTGGCGATGGGCTGGTGGCTCATGCGTGGTGCATTCTATGAGAACATTACCAAGTATGGAATCCTGACCTCGTTATTTTCACGTGGACTTATTGAGCTGACAATTGATAGGTCTTGTTTGAGAGGGTTGACTGGTAAGATGAAAGGCAAACCATTGCTCGACCTTGTGGGAAGCGTCATTGAAGATTATGAATACCTGTGGGACAACTATTACTTTTCGACTACGACTCTTTGATGCGTCCTTGCCGGTGTTCTCCCCACCCTTGTTTCAAAAATTTGCCATCGGTTATACATTCACTTTAACTCAGACGTCTGTTGCCTGTCATTGCGTACCTGTCACCTCGTCTGGATCAAGCTCATCACTAGGGTTCTGGAAACTATCATGCCATACATACTGTACACGTCACAAGGAGTTCAAAGGATATACCCATGGGATGTGTGATTACTACCTCATTTATAATGTTCTGTCATTGTCTTGATATTCATAACCGCTTCAGATGGGGTATCACAATACTTGTCAACCAATATTACTCCTAAAACACATAAATGCTGTTTTTCTCACAGAACTTCAGTTCTTCTGCTTCCGAACCATTCCCGCAAAGCATCCTGCTCGGTCCGCTTCACATGATTCGCGGTGGTCAGAAGGAAATCTTTTATTTGCGTACTTTCCTCTTCAACAGGCCAGTCCACTCTTGTGCCGCCCTTGAGCTCAAGCATTTCTTTTGAGGTGCCCCAACTGAATCGGCATTCGTTGCCCCAACCGAAGACGGGATCCATGTGTTTTCGGAGCCAATTTACGCATTTGGAGTCCGATGGGTACCCACTTCCCCAACTATCTGTTGCCATCTCGTGTGAAGTTTCAAGCTGTTGAAGTGCTTGAAAAGCGTCGTGACAAAGCTCTAGCGCCACGTCCCGAGTGACTTTGGCAGCGACACTGGCAGCGCTCACACATGGATACAAAGAATCGGCTTTTTTGGCGACAGTGATTTTGAGAGTAGGGAAGATTCGTTCCAATTTCTGTTGATATGTCGCTGGATTTCCGATAGTGTCAATATAGACTTCCCTGACATCAACTTTGCGCTCCTCCACAATGCCGCGGATAATCTCGACTGTGGCATCCATCGCCTGGGCATTCAAGTTATAGACGCCCGAGCCAGGCCGCATCATTCCGGAAGAGATATCTCGCGCAGACAAAAGCTTTGTTGCCCACCCACATGATGCATGGAGTGGGTTTCCAGCGGTACACAGTAAACGCATCAGATTCGCGCGGACGCCGGCGGTAAGGACTTTGCTATCATCGAAGCTATAATCGCGAGCCAATAGGGAATGATGGAGAGTATGCGGTAGGTAGAAGGCACTATAGACCATCGGACCCAGAACTGGGCCACGACCAGCTTCGTCAACACCCAAAACGAAGTACTCCGATGATCCGTGTTCCGAGAGTGAAGAAGGTGCTGTGCCATCCTGGCCGTCTTCGCCAATGGCGTGTGCTGCATTCTCTGTATTTCCCAGAGGAAATGGGGAGTAATAAGTGTACGAGTCTCCAGATAGTAAACGAGCTTGATCTATACTGGGAGGGATGAAGGATCCCGCAGAGGTACAAGGCGCATCGGATACTTCGACGGGGCATTGGTTCGGGTTTTCCATACTCAAAAAAAAAGAGCCAGTCTAAATAAATAAGAATATTAAAGTGAAGTTCAAGTGCGAATATGTCGAAGATGGTCAATGATTTGTTCACATATTCTACAAAGTAGAAAGAGAGTAGGACTTTTGGACGCGTCAAGTACCGTTCCGGACTAGCGGCGCTTCCGCGCGTGTTGTTCGCCGCCCATCATAGATTCCATTTCAATTCCCCTCCCAGGCGTCAAACCAACCTCTCACTGCCTTCAACGTTCGAATATCTTTGCCGGCATCGTGCTCGTGCTGCAGTGGAGTCTGTGCCTTCATAACACTTATACACAGTCTAATTTTCCTGAGACTGGCCTCTACGCGACTCTAACACCCAGTGTCAACCCCGTATAGTAATACTGTTAGTCCAAACGATCGTTCGTGCTTTAATTCTTGAAAATCCGCAAAAATGGCTCCTCGAGGGCCGGCGAAAACGCGCGACTATGATTATTCAAACGTCGGTAAAGCAGGAAGGTGAGTTCATGCGACCCGGGGTTTCGATGGCGGACGCTACGTCGTTGTGAAAGACAACTGACAGGAAATCCGATGCAGGCGAACAGGAATCACTTTGAAAGAGGGCAAACGCGATGAGCATGGAATGGAAGAAATCGACGGGATGTTCTCGTCTCCCGAAAACTCACCTGGGATAGAAAATGGCTTCAGCAACAATTCATCTATTGGATCAGATGGAATGTCTATGGATGAAGGTATACACACCTTTTTTTCAATTCATCGGCTCGGATACTAACTCTCGCTCTCGAATATAGGTAACGGACCTGGTCCCGCTGATTTCCTGAACGGCGCAAATGGCGGACGCGCTTCCTTTCTTCCACCACCCCACGGACGATCTCCTATGAAATCCGGGTTGACTGGATCGCCGCGACGGACTCCCGGCTTACGATCTTCTGCGACTCCTCAACGCGATATACCCTCCTCGAGTCCATCAGACGGTAAGGGCTTGGGAAGTGCAAAAGGAGATGCACGACGAGACATATCTCCCCTCACCAACCGTTCTATCAACGCACCGTCCCTGAACCAAGTCAACGGCACCAGGAACAATAAGGGAATAAACAAGACGTCAGAAATCGCAGTCGAATTTTCTGATGATGACTCTAACAGTCAGTTAAACGGAGACGAGAATGCAAATTCATCAGAACATTTGCGGGACGATTACGACAGCAGCTTCATGGCAGGCAACGATACACTCGCTGAAGAGCAACTGGAGGAGCCTGAACAGGTTGTTGTGGAAACAGATGTCTCGCCATCTTTAGTCACTGGCTCGCGCAGATCGGAGCGATCAAGAGCCGCCCCTAAGTCAAAGAAAAAGACAACATCCGGGAAAGGTCGAATTCAAGATAACATACAACCCGATGAGCCGGAAATCCAGGAGACTGCGCAAAAACGCAAGCGCCCTGGAAGGCCGCCGAAATCGCAACGCCAAAATGTTGATGATGCAGGAGAGCAACCACCCCCGAAGAAGACTAAGACTGCCGAACAGGACAAGCGAGATGTAAAGAGCTCGGGGGATCGGGAGTTGGACAAAGTGGTAGAGAATTACGTCAATCGTACAGGGCCACTCAAGGGGCGGAGTCTCTATATACTGAAGCGAGAAATGCCCACCGATGGGAGCGCCACACACACCCGGTCCGGGCGAGTGTCTGTCAGACCGCTTGCCTACTGGAAAAATGAGAGGTGTGTCTATGGTGATGGTGAAGCTGCTGAAGGTCAACGATATCCGCTTTCGACGATTAAGGAGATTATTCGGACGGAAGAGCTGGAGCCGGAGAAGAGGAAAACCAAACGGCGATCGTCCAAGAAATCGAAATCCCGAAAAAGCCGGGATGATGATTCGGATGGGGAAGAGGACAATTCCTTCGATCCTTGGGAGAAAGAAGGCGGTGTTTTGCATGGCTACGTTAGACAATGGGACCCAGAAACTCAAGCCGGTTCTGTTGAAGAAGAGGTTCTTGGTAAGGACTCCGAATTCCTTATCATTCTCATTGCCTGGTTTGCTAGTGAACACAATACGCTGACTGTCCCGTAAATGTAGACATCGCATATGCTCCATCCGGAATCGAGACCAGAGACGTCAAAGACTCCACCTTCCGGTTTGCGAAACTTCTTAGCTCGCCATTCATAGGCTCTGGTATCGTCGAATTGCCTCCCGGGGGAGTCAAAAAGCCAAAGAACTCGAAGAAGATGCACATGGTCTTTTATGTATGTCATGGACGAGTCCAGGTCGATATATCAGGCGTCCAATTTAGTGCTGGCAAAGGTTGCGTTTTCCAAGTTCCAAGGGGTAAGTTGTTTCATTCTCGCCTCCCTGTTGACTCCCTGTTTATCGGATTGTACGTACTAATCCGATGTACTTTCTTGTATGCAGGAAACTATTACAGTTTTGCCAATACGCACGGAAAAGACGCCCGACTCTTCTTCACACAGGGCTGTGTTCCTGTTGAAAATGACCTATCTAGTCCCCAGTCAGCATCGAAGCCTATTGGCACTGAGGACGATTCTAACACTGAGTCAGGTCAGGCCCCCGGTTTTGGGAAGGGTAAGCCTAGAGGCAAACAAAAAGCAGGAACTGCATCTAAGGCTTGATGATCTCCTTCACTAGCACCCTCTCAGTCGAGTTTGTTTGTTTTGATCTTGGCTGCGAACATACCCGTCGTCGAGCGTGCTCCTTGTTCTGTTTTCTTTTCTTTTCCTGTACCCGCTGGATCACATTACGCCCTTCATCTACGTGGTATATTTGATATATGTGCTTATTTTGTGGTTTTTGACCTTGAGCAGTGTAGCGATTCATTTGCATGGATACTGGAATGACGGTGTATTTGTGCTTCTTGTTCTTTTTTTTTTTTTTTGAGGCCTACCCATCCAATATGTCTTATTTCCTCCTGTCTATCGGCGACTTAATAGAACAATTGCGGGCAGAAGCCCCGCATACTTAGTTTTACTATCTTGAATAAAGACATAATTTTGCAAGGCCGTCATAAGCCTGACTATACGGTTCTTTCATTCGAGTATTGCCGTTTTTGAACAATTCGGGACATTAATGAACATTCATATCTCCTCCATTTCATCATCCAGATCGTCATCCAAGTCCAAGGGAGGGAAATCCCCCACCTGCACCTTGTCCGGTTTGATGAAGACACCTGTCTTGTTGGGGCACGTAAAATAGCGTCTACCGCTGACACTACCGTCATTCTTCCCAGTCGGCTCGTCAAGCTCGATTCCCACCCAGATGGGCAAAGGAGCCGAGTTGGCGATGTCGTCGGAAGCGGCATCCACACCAGGAAAAGGGATTGTAGGTACTGGTCCCACGAAGCGTATCGTTCCCCGTCGAATATGCGGGGGTGACGAGGGAAGGATGATAGCACGTTTGGAGACGGCAATTCCTGTGTTACGTGTGGTTTTAGTTATGACTCGTCATTACCTCCCTGAAGACTTACCTTTGCTCTGAATCTCACTATTGTCTTTCTCCGCCTGCTTGCGCATCGACTCTTCCGGTGATAGAGTATTGGGGTCAAATCGGCCAAGCTTTTGGTTCTTTTTCCAGGCTAAGACTGAGTTTGATAGCGACTCGTACGTGGCTTCAGGAAGGACATATTTCTCCACAGAGGACAAGTCACTGAAGTTGGGCCGTGCCATCTGTGGGCGAATATCATGAACCTAGATCGTGACGGTCAATCAGCTGTGCGGCCTCGGTTGTGTTGGGGGTAGCAAAGGGTTTAAGCTGAGATCCAGAAAGATTAACACGCTAAAAATATACCGCAACCCGTGCTTTCAGGCACAAAAATACAAGTGTCGGGGTTGGTCAATTCCCAGGGGTGTAGGTAGTCTGGCTGAGAAGGAGCTCTTTGGACAGACATGGGGGGGGAAGTGGATTTATGGCAAAGGATGCAGGCCATTTCGCTTTAAACGACGAAGCCCTCATGGTTCCTCAACTACACCAAAAAGGGAATTTTGCACATATGCAACGGACGCGAAAAGCAAACAAAGAAGCATAGGGCATACCTCGATCTCACAGCCCTTCATCAAGCCCCAGCTTCCGATGATACTGTCATCGCCATCGACCCACTGATCAGGACGTCCCGGTGCCTTCAGGAGTAAACGCTGGCTGCTTGGCGGCACGCCAGTCATCGTCTCCAGTTTTGACTTCAGCTGCAGAACCGTCCATGTCGGAGTCACACGACGCTCAGTGAGGAAGCGCGGCTCAGGTCCAGCAGCGGCACCAGGGGTAGTGATGATGACGGAGATATCCGTCGGAGTCGGCTGAAAAGCCATTGTGAATTATGTATCTATTGTCTGTTAGTTACAGAAAGGATAAGACGTGTATTTTAGGTATATGCTTTTGCAGAACAATGTCAGATATCAGTTTGAGATCGCAGCATGTCCAGCGAGTAGAGAGCGGGGTGGTCATTATAAAGCAGATATACAACGATATAGAGGGAAGTCAGAGTACACATGCGACCTTTCAAGGCACTGCAGCAATAGAGACAGCGCTAGTGATCGTCACCAAAGTCACCAGAGTGCTCCAGAAGACTTGAGGGTAAATAAATCCCTGAATCTCTCTGTGTGTCTCCCAGCAGATTGACTTTGACTCAACCAAGGTGATGGGATTGAGAGAAACAGAATTTATTGAAGAGACAACTCGCAAAAAGTATGTATCACTTACCCGGATATTGGCTATACCAGATAGCCTTTGGACGAAAATAATTCAATGGAGTTTCTGGTGACGATACCTAAAGCCTCAAGTCACAAGCAAGACAGCCACTGTGTGAAGCATTAGTCAGGCTTTCAACCTGGCTTAGATGCCTCAGGCAGAAATACGTGCTCCCCCAGCATGTTGTAAATGCTATTCGCAGCCAATACTAGTAAGACATCTCATTATTGTGATTCCATTGCGTCTAATCTCAAATCGTATTCTGATTCCTTCTATATGTTGACTCCTGCTGAGACTTTGCCCTTCATAAGGCCAAGAACATCCTCACCGTCCAGGGCCACGAGATCCTCGGACTTGGCAGGGCGAAGTAATACATAGAGAAAGGCTTCAAGTGCTCATAACCGAGATCGCTTGTAGCTCTGCGATAAGGACTGCCTTGAATAGGTCTGTCGGTGGCTATTTGTACAACAATTATGGACCAGTTTATGCTTGTATTAGCCCATCGTGGGACACAGCTTATCGGGTTCTGTCTAGTAGTAGTATGCACAGATTTGCAGATGAACACAAGACAGAGCCTGAAATGGGCCACTGTAATAAATACGAGAAGCGGAATCACCGAATTCCCCATAACAAGCGACTGAGAAAAAGGCACCAGGAGACTCGCAGCCTGCTTCTGCGGCGCGAAGTCAGGAATATCATCCGGATTTCAGAGCCTCATAGAGTCACAGTAGCCTGGCAGCCGTGCTGAATCAGAAATTCTCCGAAAGGCGCATCAGTAACAATGTGCCAGGCTGCCAGCACAACCTTAATTGTACCTTGTCTGTCTTTCCCGTATTCGTCATTAATATGGAAAATGCGGCCGGTGGGAAATTACCGTATTTTCCGAAAAGTTACAGAGGGCGATACCTGGTTTATTATTACCCGACGACACCTGAACCTTCAACACATTCTGCAGGTAGTTGGACAGCGACAGCTACCCCTACTACACCTACAGCTCCCCAGTCGAATATTGTTTAGAAAGTATATTTCAACGATTGTGCCTGTTTACCGTGCTAAGGAAGAGCAATCTTCCATCTTCATTGAACACCTGATACAACTGGAGCCAAGATGCCACCGCCATCCATCCCCGCGCAGGGAAATCTGCACCAGGAAGAGGCCTACGAAGAGCGGAATGTACATGAAGTGTACCAGCAGATTGCTGGGCATTTCTCAGCAACCCGTTTCAAGGTAGGTTTGCGCTATGCGCCCAATCTCCCACTTATCACTGCCCCGGCTCTAATGGGCGATAGCCATGGCCGATTGTTGAGCGCTTCCTGAAAGAGCTGCCTCCTGGTTCCATTGGTCTAGATGTGGGATGCGGCAATGGCAAGTACTTGTCTGTAAATCAAGATGTCTTTATCGTTGCTTCGGATCGGTAGGTGCCCAATCAGGATATCTTTTTCTTCACTTTTCTCTCAACACTGCATGTACCAAAGGTATTCATTGCAAAAATTTCTTTCGGAATCTCGTATAGATGTATATATTTATAGCCATTCTAGCTCAAGTCTTTCGTCCTCCTGCTAGATCTCAAGATTGACAGCTGATGCCAGGTCCGAGAATCTTGCCCGCATCGCCGTCAAACACCAGCCACATTCAACTATCGTGGCAGACATTTTAAATCTGCCACACCCAGATTCTTCCTTCGACTTCGCTATCTCGATTGCAGTGGTGCATCATCTGTCCACACCGGAACGGAGAGTCAAGGCAATCTGTGAGATTCTCCGCACATTGAAGCCTGCCTCGGGAAACTCCCCTGGAGGAAAGGTCTTGCTGTATGCTTGGGCCTTGGAACAAAAAACCAGCCGCAGAGGTTGGGATAAAGGCGATGAACAGGATGTCATGGTGCCTTGGGTCTTAAAGACCAAATCCGCAAACAGCGACTCTACCGATGAGCCAAAGACTTTCCATCGATACTATCACCTTTATGAGGAAAAAGAGCTGGAACGCGACATCGAAAATGCGGGTGGCCGTGTTCTTGAATCGGGCTATGAAAAGGACAATTGGTGGGCGATTGCGACACGGTCAGATGAATAAAAAAAAAGCAAAACAACACCGGCGTGCCTCGTTGTAGCATAGAACTCCGAGATCCAGCCTCAAGAGATCTCTTCCCACCTGCCCTCCGTTCCTTTTCATGTCGCGGGTATATGACCTCCATGGTAGATGATCAGAACAGACAAAGAAAATTCGTCAAGTTAAAAGCCGACTGGAAACGCCCAGCAGCAGGATTCCACAGGAAATGAGTTCGTTTATATGAGATATCCTCTCGCAAGGAGGAAGAAAGAAACACCCTCAACCAGCGCTATGCATGTCATGACAACAACAAACCACAAAACAAAGGAGAGCAAAAAAAAAGAGAAAAAAGCAATCAGAGAATTGCCTTCATCCACTAGGGAAGAGTTCGTGGTGGCAAACCATAAGGAGGCCCCAAGTGCCCGCCATGGCTGCCAGCCAAGTCTAAAGGACGTCCGAACTGATAAGCGTCTCGAGGTGGGGGGTATGGCGGGGCTGGTGCAAATGCGGGAACACCAGCGGTGAGTTCTTCGACTGAAGGCAGCTGTGGCGGAGGGATCGTACGCGATGTTGATCCTTTCCTTGGGCGAGATAACGAAGTGCTAGCCCGACGTATTCTGGTCGTTGGGGGATCTATAGCCGCACTCGAAAGTGAAAATGGAACCACGCCAGCTCGTCGCGCCATTTCTTGCTCCCCCAGTTGCCAATGCATCGCCTCCGCAGCTCTCCATGGGATTGCCATCTCTTCTGCTACCTTTGACCACATCTCGGCTTTGAACCTAAATAGAAAAGAGAGGGAAAAGCGTCAAGTCAGCAACCCAAGATTTCTAATTGTTGATTTCTGTCTCTGCCACCACCAATACTGCTCCCGCACTGGCAGCATATTGCGATCTTTCCATCAACGTACCTCTCGTACAGCCTCGCAAGTTTATTTTTCTTGTCCTCGTCCCACTCGCTCCGGCGCTCCAGATAATTTTGATAATGAAGACGGCAGCTGATGGCGCTTCGGCCTGGCAGCCGCTTGCTGATGTCTTCCCATTTCATCCCACTACCCCGCAGCTCTATGATCAGGGCGTCCTCCTCCGGAGACCATTTTGATTGCTTCTTGGCCGGAGACTCTGCAGTATGAGCTGGCTGCAGGCGCTTGGCTGGAACGGATGCTGGAGCTTTCCCAGTCAGAGGAAGAGTGGCAGGTATGTGCGCTGGGGCAGCGACTGGCATCATGGGAGCCAAGGAAGTGGAAGCGACGGGCCTCGGCAGGAAGGTAGAAGTGGTGGTCATCGGGGCGGCTTCTTCCTCATCTTGAGACTTTAGAAGCAGTGAGATATCCACTTTGGCAGGAGGGTAAGCAACTCGGTTTTGTAACGCAATCATAAGCGCGACTCGCAATCCATAGACTCAACCTGCAATGGTCGTTTGCTATGAACCAAGAGGAAGCTTGCGCGATCCAAAGAAGCACTTCCTGATGGCCGTACCAATAATTCGAAGGAAGTATATAGTTGAAAGCGTCGGAGATAGCAGGCAGCAATGACCAGACAGAATGACGGCAGGCTCAAGTAAAAATAAAGCAGAAATCCACCCGAAACAAAAGACGGCGAGAGAGACCGAACAAGTGGACTTTGTTGACTTTTCTTGCGCTGGTAGCCCAAGAGTTTCAGCGAAGATTAGTTGAAGGCACAACCTAGCCGTGTGACGTTTGCAAGGTAAACCACCAAACGGAGTATCAGGCTAAAAAGCAAAGTCTTGGATAAATCACCAAATGGAGAGGAACAAAAAAAAAAGGGACAGGTTCTCGAGAAGTGTCTCAGTTTAATGATTCTGGGGAGTGCAAGAGATGCAAGAGATGTTATGAATGGTAGAAGAAGGCGTGACGTGAGACCCCAGTAGATAGACCAAGGGTATATAGTATCAGTTGAGAGTCTAGAGTTGATGGATAAAGAGAGGAGGATACTTGAATACCAGATTGAAGTGAGAATCGAAGTACCACGTCCGAATGCAATAATGAGAACCGACGAAGAAAAGAAGAGGGAAGAACGAGAGAAGAAAGGAAGTGAGAGAGTAAGAGAGAAAGAGAAAGAGAGAGAGAGAGAGAGATCTAGAGGAAAAAAGGAGGGCAACTACAGGCGAGGAATTATGAAACAACTCGAGATGCAGAGGACGCGATCATCATCATTGACAGCTGATCCAGCAGATGAGGGACAGCAAATGAGAAACTATGTCAGCCATAGTAATTAAACGACTTGCTTCACAGGTTACGAGAGACGTCCAAACTCCTCTCCGAGCAACTGGAATCTAAATGAGACTAGTTGTTAGGACGGAGGCGATTAACAGGTAACAAGTTTCAGTGGGTTTAAAAAGCCCCATTGTTCGTTTAGTTTGATTATTATTATTATAATAATAATTTATAGTAGTAGTATTATTATTATCCTATCATTACCGCCAGTTTTGATTAGCTACCTAAGTGCTATGGAGTATGTAGGTACCTAGTATACATACATTAGTACCATTATTGTGGATGGATTATTTTCAATGTATAGATACACGGTATTACTGATTGTTACCAGTTGTACAGAGTACAGTATCAATCATTGATCCAAGTTCCAACTAAGGTTTCCTACCTATGAAAGGTACCTTTCGCATAGTTGGATGTACGGAGTAGGTACCTAAGCTGCAGGTAAGATAAACAAACAGAATTGCGTATCTTACGAGACAAATACCTTTCAGATATCAAATAGTCATGCTGAGTCTGATAATCACTCTATCTTGCTCTCGGCTCTGATATACTCCTAAAATCCTGGAGCATAATCATCATAAACCCCCGAGAAATACGACCACGATAATCTTGTGGCCATATGGACGGCAGGGGACTCGAGAAAGTTGGTTCATCGTTAGGAGTATTGCCATGTATAACAGGTCCCACATCGGGGGGCTACGGAGCATACTCTAATTTGAAGCCTTCTCTGGCGGTCAAACCGCTTGGAACGTTCGAGCCCTTAGTTATTCTCCATCTGGAAGATTGGGTTTGGGTTTGGTGGATGTTTGGCGGGAAAGCCAGTTGGCTGTCAACCTACGGAGTAAGGTCTACGAAATGAGAAGAACTCCACGGTGCTCAGCTTGTGAGGTTCGGAGCTTCAGAGGGAGTACAACATCGTGATACTATGCTGTGAACGGCCGATGAGACGAGAATAATCGAGCTGATTTTCATGGGTGAGCTTACTGGTAGTGACGAGCAATTCCGAAGCTCAGCAACCTCTCTCAGTTCCACCAGGAATAAACTTGAAAATGTCTCAGAATCCCAGCATTGAGTATCTGTGGGATCTGGAGATAGACATCCACCATCGACGACACCGACGGACGGAACGAGGGGAAATAAGAGGGGCACAGTTTGACTAGGTAGAATCACTAGATGTAATAATGTAGAAGCCAGTTCGAAAAGAAGCGAGTCTAAGCCATTTGGGTACTTGGACTCGCAAGTACATACCGGGAACCCCGGTTTGGCATTCTGGAAACCAACCATTAATACTGCCTGTTAGTTTCATCTCTTTGCTTGCATTTCGTCTTAATTCTTTTGTGCCAGTGCTGAACTAGTCGAGTATTATTACTCAGTAGTAGTTACCATTCTTAGTAGTTACCTAACTATGAGCAGTAGCTTACCATCTTACTAGTCTAACGGCGGCCAAGTTCCAAGTCTCAGCTTAATCGTAGTCAGTAAATAATAATAAAAGCGGGAAACAAGATTATTGTTTTAGCCACAGTGCCACACTGCCTCTCGGGAAATTTAACGAGTTACAACTTCGCAACTCAGCCTCCAGTTCTGAACCGTTTGCCTTGTCTAATTTATAAGGTTATTTCTGCATCTCTGATATGCCGGCTTTATCGGCCCAAGAAAACCCCCCCGTCTGCCAACGCAAACTACCTAAGAGTCTGAGACAGGTACCTACTACTTAGTACCTACTAACTACCTCTCCCATTAGAGGCAAATCAAAGGGGATTTTCGCATTCACTTTGAAGACTCTGAAGTCTTATGCAGTGTATCTTTCATTATTACATCTATCTCATATTGATTATCCAACGTCCAAGAAGACAACCATGGAGAGTGAGAGGAAGAGTGAGCACTTGTTGGCTTGTCTAATTGCTCCGTTCTATCACCAGGATGGCTTTTATAGTGGTCTTGGAAGTGGAGCTCCTGCTCCCTGGGTAATAAATGAAGCTTTTCTTTTCCAGTCTTGAGGACTCGATTTCCATCGAAAAGGGATTTTTCTTATGGATCAGACTGTCCGGCTTGACGTATCACTCATGTATGCACATGGCTTGCTTCCGAGCCAGCACAGCTTGTCATACTTGGGTACCTGGTCTTATCCCCCGAACCTCACTCAGACCCAATCACTTGATTATTCAGCCCACGCACCCTTAATTAGGGACCTCATCTTGAGGCGGATGATGCCTTTCGTTCTCGATCACCCCGCCAATCAACCGCAGGAAAGTTCTTGGCTCGTTTCAGTCATCTGCAATCAATCGCTCAGCCAGACTACGTGAGTCGCCCTGTATCTACTGGTTATGTTGATGCCATCAGCCCATCACCCTTTTTCGATTGAATCTAGACACTAGGTGACTAGATAGATTACTTGCCCAAAGAATCAACCGCGCAATCTGATGGGGTTAAAGGGGGGGGGTAAGGTTATCCATAATTTTCCTGCGAAATTAGGGCTTGTTGATCAGTCGGACCAGCACCACAGTTGAGAAGTTCGACCCGAATACGGAGTCTAGAACTCGCGGGTTGAATGATGCTGGCCATCATTACTAGTCTTCGACTTCTCATTATTGCTAATTTCGGTCATTTGAACTTTGAAGTGGTCGGGTATGCCACGGAGCACCCAAGACATGCAATGCTTCAATCGAGAGCACACCGCTAACCGATCAGATCTCGTTTCCGGGATTGAAGGCTCATTTGACGATCGGAAGTCCATGAGAATATTGAACAAGGTGTGTCTACCTTATGTCTACCAACTTGTGGATACATTAATACGGAGGAAAATGTACCTGTCTGTCACTCAGTCGACGGGATAGATATCAATAAGGCAATAGCAGGTACCTAACTACCTTCTTTTTCTTCGAACGACGGGGCCGCGGAACAAGGGGTTTCCCGCCTTCTGCAAGATTACCTAGGGACCCAGTGGGGCCAACGGTGGCTTGCCTTAATTAATTTTTTTCCGACTGGTCACAGAACCCCAAGCAGCCAATTAGGGGTGGATGCCTCAAGTCTGGAAGCAAACAAGTAGTTGGACAGTACCCGGGTTGGGTTTTCCTTAAGTAGTGTCATTATATGACGATAACTTTGAGAGGTCAACAATTATGATACAATTGAACTTATTCCCTTAGACAGCAAGGCTTGAGTAGAAACCAAGTATAGCCTGGTTCATGGTCTCTTGATCACTTTTTCCCTCCTTTCCTCACCAAGTATCTAGTATCTCGGAGACTGGGTATGGACTATGGAGCAGTTCGTGGGTTGTTTCTTCACCCCTGTACAAGGACAAGGCTGACCGACCTCGAGCACTTTGTGTAAGATTGTATTTCGTAGAATAAGGGTACTTGGCGGTTGCATCCGTATGGCCTAATTGGCAAGTGTCAAAGCTTTTCGCGAGTCTAACGGTAAACAGAGTAAGAAGGTAGACAGACTTCCCGTCTGGGTAAGAGGTCGTAGCCTCCATAGGTACTTAGGACAGCAGCCTAGGGTATCATAAGGTCCATAATATGGAATGAATGTGTTAGGTTACTTAGGTAGTATAATTGCTATGTATCTAGGTCTTATCAAGTATCATCCCCCCGTCATGAGCGCCAGAAAGCCCATATTTCATAACCCTCAATGCATCAGAAAGAATGTGACACGGCTCGTTCTGAGTCAGAACGCAAAGTGGCGGTGGACTTTGACTTACGAGTCAACCTCGATTGCGGGTCTAGAACACATGATGATCTTTGCATATCCGATCAAATTAATGATACATACTTAGGGCCGTATGAGCTATGGAGTTGGAAGGGCGCTTGAAAATCCGAGTACTTGCGATACGGAGCATTATGGACAATTAATCTGCAGTTCCAATGGGCAGGAGATCAACCATGGAATCAAACCTAGCGAACGGTTCTTGATGCCTGAACTTCTAGAGGCCGCGCTGATGCACTCCGCCGATCCAGCCAATGGACAACCAGGACTGTGGTCTGTGATGAATACCTTAAATTGATTCAGTTTCTTGATCCTAGCTAGCTTGATTTCTTATTCCGTGTTGCGCTTGGGATGAGAAGATCGAGCGAAGGTCTGAAACCAACCAAGCCCTAGCTGTGCCGAGTCTTCAAGTTCCAAAGTGCCAAGTAGTAAAGTTGAAGCCATTGTGGACCTTCCTAGAGCGATGCTAATATCATTCCAGACAGTGTTGTCTTGTTGAAATATGAAAATGATGAGATCTGGTCAGCAGAAACTTGATGGTGACTTCTGTGGCAGCGATGGGGCATAGAGAAGAAAACACATATGACCCGGAGTAGGTATGAAGTCCATAGATGGGCCCCTCATCGAATGATTGAAGAGGACAAATAGTGATACTCCCGTCGTCTTCACAAGTTCACAGAGTAGATACCAATGAACGATAATAGTTGTACCTTCTCGGAGCACTTGCTATTGATTTAGACAGTATGTCTCCAACGGCTGGCCAACTGGTCAACTGGCCAACCCAGTAAAGAGCTCAGAGTCAGAGCTCAAAGCAAACCACTGAGTAGCCAGACTAAGTTTGAAATTTCAAACGGTCAAGGGCCAAGGCAAGTGAGCAACACTATTTGCCCACCGGATGGTGGGGGTTCAGCGCCTAGTCCAGGGTGCATCTATTCCTGATAGATACGCAATGATCGTCGCAAAGAAAATATCCGACAGGCTCAGTGGGATGCGCCCCTTCCCCACTTCATACCGTGGTTGGAGGTAATTTCCATCAAGTCCCTGTCTTGCTCAAAAACTCAAAAGATCTTAACTCTTCAGTCTTAACTTTTGGGTTGTGCTGTACTGTAGAGTGTAAGCACTAGATAATTGTATTAAGCTGTGAAATAGTTAGCCCGGTTCATCAAAGAATCTAGGGTAGCTATCTAGCTATTGCTGGCTTTCAGATCATTAGAAAGAAATGGCGAAGACTACTGGAGCTCTGCCTTTTTTTTTTTTCCCACCCAATTTGTGTCTGTGTCCCTCAAGTCTCATCAGATGACACTGAGGTAACGAATCATCTACTGTAATACAGACGAAACCGGGCGTGTATGCATCATAATCATAACTTCCGATGGACGTCATGCATGCTAAAGTAACCATGTTCCGTAAAGTACCGTAGCGAAAATTGAAAAAAAAAAAAAATAAGCAAGAAGAGGAACCCCGCGAGCTCAGAAGGCTCCTGTGGATGATCCAGTGGCAAAGCTGACCTGCAAGCCTTGGGTGGTTGTGACCGAACGGCCGAGTGTCTAGTGTCAACACCCAGCAATAATGACATGAAAGGAATAGATATCTTGGACTTTTAAGTAGTTAGGTCCAAGTCCAACGACATCCAGACATACATACATACGTACGCTTGGGCTTCAAGCCTCACCAGTTTTTTTTTGGTTCTGCATGGCCGTTGGCCAAAGGGAGCTTCGTACTTCGTAGTGTCTACTGCTGTGGGGTCTCTTGTGGATGATAACTCATAAAACTTACGAGTACCTACATCCCAACTACATCCAAGTACATTCAGGAAATGAACCCAACTGTCACCTTCCAAAGATAGATCGGGACGGCAATTATTGAGAAAATCTCGAGTTAAAGTCATCAGCGGGTTAATTCCCTCTCTCGACAAATCTACCTGCCTTTATTTCTCTTCGCCTTTCCAGACAAATTTCCCTTTTCTCCATTCCAACTATCTTTCTTATCAGGAAATAAAAAGCCAGATGCAAAATGCGTGTTTTCTGTATCGGATTCTCTCAGTCCCAGATCAAATCAATAGCTAGCCAGTCGATGATACTCAGCAGTTGATGACTAGATTTATATAATTGAAACTTCTGTAAACAGTATACATTTTACATACGTAGTAGTATGTTAGTACCACCAAGGTCATTCTTTTCTTCTAAGCTAGATCATGGTGCATTCCGATTCTCTCTTCTGTCCTCCTGCGACGAAGACTCCGACTGCATGTTGTCTGTGCACGATGCAGAGTATTTAGGTTTTGATTGTTACACTGGGTCTTGGTCCATACTTACATTGGACTACCTATGTACTCTGCCTGTCCATCAATGCTTGCTAAGAATCTAAGGGGTGTTGATGGGTCATGACATTAACACAATAATCAACTTCCTTCGAGACAGCCCTCATCTCTGCTTCTGCCTTTCTATGACATCCTTCTCGCTGCCTCAGTCCTGCTCATCTCGCATAGATTTCGCAGTCCCCACTAGCCTTGGTCAGCCCAGGTCCAGTCCGGTAGCACCAAAAACCAATCGACCTTTGAGAGTTTCCCTGTGTCAATCACTCTAGCAGATGCGGCCAGACACCAGCGGGGGAAGTCAGATTGGGCACGAGCTCTGATTAGACTGATCAGTTGTTGACGAGGGGTCTAGGGCTTTAGGCTTGGTGTCTGGATCAGCTGTGGCCCTTGTGGGCTCCATATTTAACAAGGTGAAACGGGAATCGCAGAGATGTGGGGAATCAAACGAAATTACTCCATCGTGATGGCCTCGGGTGGGCTAATGACACGGCATTGCCGCCCTGAGATGCGTTGAGGCCTCTAGGAGGGTGGTCAAGCAGTCCAACCCCAACCATGATCTTAATCTTGATCCGACGGTGATGATGAAGCGGGACGAAATCTCTGTGTCACGATGAGAACCGGTTCATGGACCTCGAAAGAGAAAGAATCCTGGCAGGTATCGTCTCGTCTGGCGTCTGGACATGCACCATCATCATGGGTTCACCGACTTCTTTTTCAGATGCCGGGTGATGTTGGCCGGCGGGAGCGCTCTGGGTAGCATGGCACAGTATTGGTCAGTGAATTAGGACACCTAGTACTATCTATCCGGGATCACCCCAATCAGTCAATCCGTTCGTGCTGATGGGATGGTTGGGCTACATCCCGTTGGCCTGTACCTAATATATCCATGCTTCCAAGGACATATACCACAGAGTCCCAGGACAGCGTACCTCATAATGGTATGATATCCATAGTTCAACGCGTCCTCTCCTTTGAGGTGATCACCTTCTACATTCCCACGTACGCTGAAATGTATATATACTTATGTCGATGCTTCAAGAAGACCTCACAAGTCATTGTAGCTTGGTCGTAGGCGCCACCATGTTTTGTGTTTGAAGCAGTCAGTCTTTAGCCAGAACATACCGTAGTTCTTTCTCTAGCCTGCTCCTACTCAATAATTCAAATATTGAGTACTCATAACAAGCATATACAAATCCAGCAGGTAGCAGTGCCTATAATTATCTGTTGAATATAGTCAATCTGTACGCTACCATCCAACAAGCAGAATCAACAAGATGCCATCAAGCCTATCAGAATATCCTACTTCTCCTGGATTCCAATTTTCTAAATCTATATGTCAAAAAGCACAATGCAGATAAAGAGAAAAGGGTGCTGGTGACTCTGAGGGTTTATTTTATTTCGAACAAAGATGATTAAAAATAGGGAAAACAACTCAAATAGCTTAATGTGGTTCATCTTTTATAAGAAGATTTAAATTCAATTGTCATCTTATTCCAGAGAGAGTGATCAATTGCTCTTGCACACTGGTTTCTTTGTCCCGGATAGTTGGATGGGCGTTGGCTTCCTGAATTCTATATTATTGCACTCTTCAGGTTTCCCTTTAGATGCCTGATCCATAAGGAACCTCTGTGTGAAAGCAGACCGGACTCTTGATCTCCAATCTTTGTTTCTCTAAGGTGACTCCTGTCTCATCTTTTAAGAGTACAATGAACTGGCAACACAAGTTTATTTTCTGGATTCTGACAACAATGAGTCTGATACACTGCATGGGAGGAGTCAACAACAAAGGAAAGGGATCAACTGAAATACAAGACCCAACTGCCATGGCTCTCGTTTCAAGCATAAATCTTCAGGAAAATCCCCTTTCCAGTTCGCAATTTAGCATTAGGTATGGATATTTCGACTGGATACGGTTGTATCATCGCACTCAGTCAAGCGATAACCTCTTCTTTCCTCCTCTTCGTCACATATCGTCGCCTTCAATCTCCGGGCAACCCTGATCCACAGCAGCGAGCGGAGGGTATCTCGTCGGATCACCTTACAGCAATGGTCACTCAGTCCACCACAACGCCAGGGTCACCAGAGACCTCTCTGACACTAGTAAGTCAATATACCTGCCGTTTCCGACAACAAGTACAATGCTAATGCTAACCTCAATAGCGAGGCCCTGTTTTTTCTGCGTGGAGCCGACTCTATGCTGATTATGGTAGACTCACAAGAGGCTTCCAGAATACTGGCAACTATTGCTACCGCAATGTGGTCTTGGTATTGTTCCTGCATTCACCAATATTGCTGAACTGGTTACAACATTACATCTTGAGTCATTCATGTGCCCTAAGTGACTGCTTAGTCTGTACTTTTTACCGCATGAGCAATGGCTACTGGATTGATGTTAGCAACAGACAGTACCATGCATCCATGAATCGGTTCTGGAAATGCCTTTGTGACCCGAAATTCAAACCTGACCATTGGGATAAAGTTCCAGGTCGGCAAGAGGACGCCCGTGAGTTGATGGACACAATCATGTTTTTGCTTGTGAGGGAGACCCAGTCTTCTCAGTGAGTCATATGCCTTTCCACAACCCCTACACCTTATCTCAAACGCAATAGCTGAGCTGACAGCCAAAAGTGTTAATGATCTTGAGGCCTTATTCACGGTTGAACTGGACCAGGTCTTAATCTGTTCAATCTGCCAGCGGAAGGAAAGCATACCCGCAGATGGAGGGAAGTTTCTGGTTGTCGATCTTCCAAGCAGAGTCGGGAGTGTCACCATAAACGAGGCCATCGAGCTCAGCATGAAATCCAAGATACCACGATACTGCGACACTTGCAATGCGCAGACGACTCAGATCGTACAAAAAAGCATCCTGATCCCACCAGAGATGCTTTTCATCCAAGTAAATCGATACACAGCCCAGGGGAAGTTGCAGAATGAGCTCGACATTGAAGAAGAATTAGTCTTCCCTGATACTCTCATCCACGACATTGCAAAGACAAACGAAGAGCTCCGTTATGAGCTGTACGGCGTTATCTTTCACAAGGGCAGCGTGAAAAGTTTCGGGCACTATACCGCCGCAATCAAGGCTCCATCTGACGAGTGGGCGTTAGTCAATGATGAGCAGGTGAAATTTCCCCTGACGCTGGCGCAGAGCATGAGCTCACCAGAGGGCGGGAAAAAGGATGCTTACATACTTGCTTATCGGCGACTGCCTCTCCAAGGCAGTCCAGAGAAGTTCATAGTCAACCAGAAGAAAGCTGACACCAACACAGGTCCATCTGCATCTGCCAGCATCCCCCTGGCTAGGACACCCAGTCCTGGTAGGACGAGATCTTGGACTGGCTCGCCCAATTTGTCAAGCCCGGGGAAGGGCCTTCGCAATGGGGGTGTGACCATGGTAGAAACCATTCAACTAGATGGGCGAGACATTAAATGGACCATCAAACAGCAGCTAAATCTATCAGTAAACGCTGGTGGTCTTGTGAAGTTGAAGCCCCGAGCGAAGACACAGCGTGCTACTCTAACACTGACACTCATTTCAGAAGCGACAGGTGAGATCCTTGAGGGAAACGCCAACATTTCATTTAAACCAAGGATCATACGGGAGGATAGAATAGCGTCTCCAGCATCAATGAACACCAGAACCCCTAGTCCTGGGACAAAACAGACGACAAACGAGGTGTCCAGGAAAGCAGCCAAGCCGCAGGGTGTCAAGAAGAAAACAATTGAGGGAAGGAGACTGGGTTCGAACGAGCAGCCTGCTCCTCGCCGATCAGCAAGACTGCTCAAAAAGGCCTTTGAATGAAAAGAATGCGCTGAAAGGATGAGATATACCACATGGTAGTAAGTATATATGCCGAGGAAGATGAGGTTTTATTTTTTCTTGCATGACGACCGCAACTTTTATTTTGCCAGATGTGAGCCTTTGGCTTGGCAGATGTTCTCTGTAATATAGGCCATGATTTAGAATTTTTGTATATTATTTCAGAAGAGTGCTGGAATCAGTCGACGTGATTGAAGTAGAAGCGGGTATAGTATAATTTATTGAGATCTCTGTATCTTGGTGGAGACCTCACGAAAACCTAACCCAGTTTCAAGTGTCAAAGGATAGTTGAAACCATCGACCGATATATATTCATCTCATGGAGTCAGAGGTGACAGACCCACTTGATGAGCACACAAATCTTCCATTGACTGCCCAGTTCATTGATCGACTGATTTCACAACTCGAAGCATACAAACCCGAGTCCACAGACCACAGTGATGACCAGAACCAGCTCGCTGCGCGTCCCCAGCGACGCACGCTTCCAACTCAATCATCTTTCTCCGCCCTCTCCGAGGCGCAACTATCTAAAGTGAAACCGATCATGCTTACACTACACTGTCTTTTCCCAAATGAGCTCCTCCTGGCCCTGGATATCCTGGACCGGGCTCTGGTCAGACGCTTCACACAGGAAGCCCCCGTCCACGCCCGCGGCTCATGCCTTGTCCAGGAACACGCATCATCACGCTCAAGCCCCGGCGGTCTGAACCCAGGCCATGCAGAAGATCCAGGAGAAGATGTGTTCCATGTCATCTCGACTTCCGCAGCGTTGCCCGCATCGCCATCGCGGCCGCCGCTCGCTCGCACAGAGCAGGGCTACGAAGTCCGCCTACACGCCTGGAACTGCACGTGTCCCACCTTTACGCTCAATGTGTTTCGCGACCCGGGGCCGGAGACACCGCCCTCTGTCAATGGTGCTGGTGCTGGTGCTGGTGCCGGGGGCGAGGATGGCGAGTCCCATGTTGCCGACTCGAGTCCCCGATCTAGCTTGCCGTATCGGTTCGGCGGCACATTGACCTGCGGAGCCACCCGGGCCGCACCCCCGGTCTGTAAGCATCTTCTTGCTTGCTTGCTCATGGTGCGCTGTCCGGGACTTTTTGGCGGGAGTCGAGATGGGTCCGATCGTGTCGTTCTCAGCGCTGCGGAGTTGGCGGGCTGGTGTGCCGGGTGAGCATGGGCATGGTGTACCAAGTGCAATCGAGTTGTCACTCGAACTCACTACTACAAGTCTATCATTGAGACGAGCATGACAGGGGCCATGACTGTGAGTTGAGTCTTGCACGTCTCACAAGGGCCTCTATAGTGTGTCTACTTACATCCTGCGAGAGGACTTGTGCCGTGCCTATGCCCTGTCCAGGAATCAACATAGCACATGCAGTTGCGACGTGGGAGAAATGATGGTCGGTCCGAATTTTAACGGCCCATTATATCATTAGAGGCCACGAAACTACAGCCTCACCATAAGGCCCAAAATGGGGATCTTCTCCATGTATCGTAATATACATTTCCATGCATAGACTGAATTGTTCTAAGAATCGAACGAATTGTCCCTCACTTCGAGACACTTCTAGCTCTTCTTCTTGGTCTTCTCCTTGGAGCTCTCCTGGTCATCCTTCTGCTCGCCACTTACGCCGCTGGCCTTCTTCGCGCCATCCTTGTCGCTCTTGGCGGCAGTCGCCTCCTGCTCCTTCTTCGACTCGGTCTCTTCCTGTTGTTGGCGATTCTGGATTTTGTTCTCAATTAGGTCATGGAATGCAGTAATTGCGCGGATCAAGCTGCTGATGTAGATCGCCATCAGCTGATCATTGGTCTTTATGCTCATAGCCCGGGCAAGTTCGCTATTCTCCATCTGTGGCTCCGTTCCACTGAGCCGTGACGTCGTTGAGGGAGTTGACAGATTGGGAAGGAGGTTGAAGACATCCTGGAGGTTGCCCAGAATGGCGTGGTTAACAGGCAGTTCGTGATCCAACACCTTCTGAAGATATTGGCCGATATCACGCAGACGCAGATGCAAACCCTGCAGTGATTGCAATTGCGATGTGATGCGCGTTGAAAGGGTTCCGACGGCGACATCCCTGATGTCCCGGAGCAAGTGTTCGACACCAATTTCCTCAGCTTCCTCAGCCTCGATCACGGATGGAGTGTGGACAAAGGTTCTAGATGTCGTTGTGCCATCCTTTGGACAGGAACCGAGAATCGATTAGCCAAGCCACCAACTATGCAACAGAGCAATCGCGTCATTATCAACTCACATCCTTAATTTCATCAACAGCAAAGTAGGCGTCGGTAGGAACGCCAACCTCCTTCGGTTGGACATCGACAATAACCAGCAAGGGGTTAGGTGTGTATCGCTTGAAGAGTTCATTGATTTCGAGATCGGAGGCTCGTAGTTTGGGACCAGAGTGATACCATCCAATTAATTTCTCACGGGCGTTGATCTTCTTGAACATGTCCCTCATTGACTCGACGAAGTTGTGATCTAAGAACCAAACGGAGGGATCCTTCTCATCTTCTTCGAAGGGGACTATGAAGAAAACCAGTAACGTCAGTATATCATGGCCAGAGAAAAAGCAATAATCCCTTGCTACAAAGGAGCGTGGAGTGGCTGAGTGAGTAACGCACCTGCAAAGCTGTTGGAAACACGGACAGTGTCGCCCGAGTTTTCTCCTAGAAGCACACCTACCACACGCTTGCGGGTTCCCTTGGCCGAGCGGCCATAATGATCTGCAACTGATAGGAGGACTAAGGGAGCAACCGTAACGGTCCGCGTGACGAGGGAGAGGGTATCCGCCGTGGTGGCAGGCATGGCGGATGCGGACTAGATGGATGGAAGAGAGCGAAGTTGTTGGTCTCTAAAGGGGAGGAAGACTAGAGAGGATAGACAAAAGACAAGAGAGATTGAGATGGACTATCTATTGAGTGGAGGATAAGGATGGGGATGAAGTTGAGGATGATGCTGATGACGGAGCAGAAGGACGAAGCTGCTGTTGTTCTGCGCTGGAGCTCCTCCGCTGCTGAGCCACACCAGTTGCGTAGCTTCATGGTGGAAGCACCAGCCACAGTCTGACAATGCTGCCTCAGGCATGACTGTGCCCAGCACGTGCTTTGCAAATTATCCCGGACTCACCGAGTAAGAATATTACTATGAGGATAACAATATAGCACGGCCCTGTATGTGATTTATATCTTGGGACTCTATAATGGACGGAATAGATAGATGTAACCAAGTGCCATTCAAGATATTCTCCAATTGAGTAGGCCTATATAGAGTGTCTGTGCAAGTGTTGGAGCACTCATACTTGTAGTATTCCCCGAACCTCGGACGCGCGGGTCAACATCGTCCGCTCCGGTTTAGATCACTTTTCCTCCCCAACACTTGTCCTCCGATCCTCCCTTCCTTTCCGTTTCCCCGTCACTGAGCACGACTCTCTCTGCCAGGCAATTTCTTTCTTTCTTCCTTTCCTCTCTATTCTCTTTTCTTTTCCCTCCCTAAGTCCCAATTCTCTCCGCTCCCCAATAATCGCAATGGCACCCATCACAGACGAGGCCGTCAACGGTCTGAAGGATATGATTGGAAAGCTTGAGGCTCGTGTCCAGGAACTGGAGGGCCGTCTCGTTGGAGATCTCAAGCCCAAGTCGACCGCCGAGCAGATGCGCATCATCCTGATGGGTCCTCCCGGTGCAGGTATGCATTTTTCTGGCTTCTCTACATGAGCTGCGGATTACGGCTGGGTGCTTCAGCAGGAATCTGACCGATCATATTCAATCACAGGCAAGGGCACTCAGGCACCGCGTTTGAAGGAAAAATACTGCGTGTGCCATCTGGTATGTTGTCAATCTCGCGAATGATTTCTCGAAAGGCTGTTGCTGACAGTTTGTTTCCAATCGCGCAGGCCACCGGTGATATGCTGCGCTCACAGGTCGCTAAGAAGACTGAGCTCGGAAAGGAGGCTAAGAAGATCATGGACCAGGGTGGTCTCGTCAGCGATGAGATCATGGTCAACATGATCAAGAGTGAGCTTGAGACCAACTCAGAGTGCAAGAACGGGTTAGTTTTCTCCTCCCTCCGTTGCTGGAGGCGAACACCACGCCTAGAAAGGCAGGGAAAAGAGGTAGAAAGATGACTGACTGTATTTCTCTGTTTCCTTTTTCTAGTTTCATCCTGGATGGTTTCCCTCGTACTGTTGCTCAGGCCGAGCGTCTGGACGATATGCTTGAAGCCCGCAAGCAGAAGCTCCAGCATGCTGTTGAGCTGCAGATCGACGATGCCCTGCTCGTCGCTAGAATCACTGGACGTCTCGTCCACCCCGCCTCTGGACGTTCGTACCACAAGATCTTCAACCCCCCCAAGAACGAGATGCTCGACGACATCACCGGCGAGCCTCTGATCCAGCGCTCTGACGACAACGCTGAGACCCTGAAGAAGCGTCTTTCGACCTACCACGCCCAGACTGCCCCCGTTGTTGACTATTACAAGAAGACCGGCATCTGGAGAGGCATTGACGCCAGCCAGGAGCCTGGCCAGGTATGGAAGAGCCTTCTCGGTGTTTTCCAGAAGTAGATGAGGGAAGACCATATGGGTTTATGTAGGATGAAACTGGAGTGAATGATAATGCATCATAGAGGTCCTGCACTTTCCCCTTCCGGAAAGGGGAGGGAGGAGTGACAACTGCGAAGGCAAATAGTGAGATGATTTCATGTGTCCTGCAGGATGTGCCCAGCGGCTTTGTTGTGGGACCGCAAGGAAGGGTATTGGGAAAGTCATATTGACGTCCGTACATAAAAATACCTTTCGGCGGAATTAGAGCGCTATGTATAGTAATGTATCTTTGGTGAGCAAAAATTCACTCTATTCAATGATCTTTTCAGTTTGTCGGCTCTGGTCCTTCAAACACGGATATTCTGTGGTGAACACCCAGAAAGCAAGCCATGTGAGAGTATGTTCATTATCATAGTTATCATGAATTATCTACAACATTCACCATCCCAGTCTATAGCTGCGTAGGATAAACCGTAGACTCGATCTTCTCCGAATAGGTCAAACCACCCTGCCGTCTAACCTCGTCCATTACCTCCATAATAACAATGCTCTCCTCCCAGGGCAAGCCCTCGCTCTCAAGCTTGCCGTCGCGCAAGCAGCGCGCGACCTCGTCCGCCTCCCAGTACATACCCTTTCCATCCCCGGGGAACTGGGACTCCACTTCCTTGACCTCGCCGTGACCCTTCTTGGGAACAAGGCGGTACTTCTCCGGCCGGAACGCAGGGCCGAAGATTTGGATCTCGCCCTTGGTGCCCTGGATGCGGATCGATGGGCCGGTGGTGCCCTTCTCATCGGGATCGGTCGCGACCCGCAGATGGGTCATGGCCACCGCCTGGGATTGGCCGGGTTGGCCGCTGTTGCTCGGGGTGGTGGTCGGGAATGTGAGGAGGATGGTGGTGGCCTCGTCGGCGCCGGTGAGGTGGTAGAGAGACATGTGCGTGGAGATGGCCGAGGGGGGTTTCCGCTGCTCTCGGGGGAGGGTGTGGTACATTGTCTGGAAAACCCAGGTGAGGGAGTAGATTCCCACTGCAATCCATCGAGCGTTAGCACCATGTACGTTTGATCAGAAGCCGAAACTCCGAATGAGTAGGGCAGGCGCGGAAAGAGATCGCGTACAGTCCAGCAAACAACCACCGGCCAGCTCCTTGTTTACCATCCGGTGCTCGGTACCCCAGCGCTCCTCGACATCATCCCCAAAGCTGTTATCAGCAATGACACGAAGGACCTCGCCAATAACGCCCTGCTTGATCAGGTCGCGGACCTGCACACTAAGCGGGAAGTACCGAGTCCACACGGCCTCCATGAGGAAGAGATTCTTCTTTCTGGCCGTCTCGCACAGGATCTTGGCCTGCGCGGCGTTGACCGTGAAGGCCTTTTCGCAGAGGACGTTCTTGCCCGCCTCCAGAGCGAGCATCACGTTCTGGAAGTGGTGGGAGTGCGGCGTAGCGACATACACCACGTCGATGTTTGGATCGGCGACGAGCTCTGCGTACGAGCCGTACGCGGTGCAGGGGCCCGGCACGCCCGTGTCGGCGATGAACTTCTCCGCGCGGTCCTTGGACGAAGACGATGCGACAGCGGCGACGGTGTGGAAGATATCTGATGCATCACGGAGATTGGGGTCTCGTAGAAGGTCTCGCACGAAGACTGCTCGTTAGATAACCAAAGCGCTTGCGTTAGCTGGTCTGTTGATCGCTTTTGGTCTTGACCCTTGCTATAGTAGGATTCATGGGGACGCACTGTCTGCAATCCAGCCTGTGGCTATATTTGACTTCGTGTCAGTCCAAGCTACTTCTTGATGCGGGGAGAATTGACCACATAGTACACACCCATAATACCCCACCGGATGTTGTGAGGAGCCATGATGTCTCGGTGCTGGTAGAATCGATCTAATTCCTGGCGTTGGAGAGGCGAAATCAAAGGTATGCAGGTAAATAGAGGATCAGGATACGAGGTAGATTACTTTATAGGATTAATTGCATGCAGGGGACCGATGTCTGCTTTTACTTGCGTCGTCCGTCTCATTGACCCCAGAGCTGCATTTAAGCGGGGCAACACAAGGACATCCCACTCACTGCCTGGGAATGCCACATTAGTGATTACTCTTAGTTAGACCCACCGGAGTCAAGATGAAGTCAAATGAACGGTGACATGGACATAGTTCTATCTACTAGTCTCCTACATAGCGGAAAGTGACAAGGCAAGTTCTCCGTTTCTAATGCTGCGAGTATATACGATGAAGGCATCCCGGGAGTACATATATGTGCCAATAGATCAAAAAGCTCCCAACTGGGGAGAGAGAATGAACACCAAGAAACACGCTGAATCTTCGAATGCTGTGTCCCAATGCAATACAGCCGCCGGCTAAATGCACCAAAGAGTAAAATGCCATGCATGTTGCACCAGTTTAGTTTCCCATGACAAATGATACAGGTCTCAGTCCAGGAACCACACCTGAAGAGCAATGGAATGTGAGAAGAGGGAGGAACATGGGGAAATTCTTCACGCAGGTTCCATTTTGATTCGGACATTTGAGCCAGGTGAGTCAGTACCCTATTATGACGATTAGCGAGAGCAATCTCCGCATGAATGTTGTGGCCTCAACATACCTCTGCCTTGCGTTTGCCCAATACGGAGTCCGGAGTTCCAGTCCGTGCCAAAGGAGTACTACGGCTAGCCGGAGTGGGCCCGTCCTTAGTGACTTCCGCATAGCAGCTCGCATGGTAGACACGATTCCCAACTTTAACGGCATCCTGCCATATCCAGTCCTGGACATCCTCAGACCACGTCGACTCAAACTTTTCTTGGCAGATTGGACAGGGCGTGTTCCGCAACGTCGCATCGTTGGGAGCCCGGATCCATTGTTTGGGAGGCCCTTTCTTGGCCGAGCTGCCGTCGGTTCCTACAGCACCGTCGGTGGGAGCGTCTATCTCCGTCACGTCCTGGTCATCTCCAGCTTCTCGGGATTTGATCCAATCCTAGAACGTGTCAAAGCACTGCCGTAGCAAGTGAAATGATATGAGGAAAAGCCACTTACCCGTTCATCAACATACCAGCTGCGGTTCTGAGCTCGCCGGGCTGCGTCTGCCATCCGCTGGTTGGTCGCGAAGTGCCAGTCCAAATGACGAGCCTTCTTCTCCTTCCCTTCTTCGGTCGCAAAGAATCGACGCCCGCATGTTCCGCATCGATTGGACCTCGCTTCGTAAAGGCTGGCAATTAAACCTTCTCGCGGACTGCAAGCCATCCGTGTTAGAATAGTGTAGGAAGACGTAATAAAACACAACAGACTCACATTTTGATAGATGCCGTGTTCATTTGAACATTGACGGTCATAGTAGAGGAATTGGGCACCTGTGGCATAGACACGGGAGGCGTATATCGCACCTGCCCAGGCACAATGAATGGAAAGGCAGGGCCAATATTGGATGAAGGGACCGCAGTAGAAGCGGGAGGTGCTGAGGCAGGAGGAAGAAGGCCGCGCGCGCGAAGAGCTGCAATCAGAGGGCTTTCCGCTGCGGGCCCAGTCGCTGGTTGCGAGGTGCTAGTGTTCATTGGCATCTGTGGTAGGATACTGGAGATCTGCGGCGGTGGAGTAGGTTGTTGACGTGCAGCAGTAGCTTTGATGAGCTCGGCTAATGTCCCCGGGTTAAGAAGCTGCTGGAGAGGCTGGGAGAGAGTCTGGGTCGGTGGGATGGCCATGTTAGGAGTTGGGATTACTGGAATGACAGGTGGGATGGCCTGAGGGGTGGAAACAGCAGGTTTCGGCGTCAAAGCAGAGACCTGGTCCCGAACCAGCTTCAGCTGCTCTTGTGTGAGCTCCTGACGCTGAAGAATCCCTTGAAGATCTAACAGAGCCTTGAGTCGCTGTTGCACGGAAGGATCAAGGGGATTATTGGCAAAATCAGCTCGAGCTGTCGTGATTAATGTATCAATATCACGATTCAAAGCTACCAGATTCACATTCGAACGCAGTGGAAGTTGAGGAGTCGGAGTGGACCGCGGATCCAGCTGTTTCCTTTATTAGAATAGGAAGACAACCAAACGCATAAATGCATTCACAATGCCACTAGCCTGGACTTACCGAGGATTGATAACCTTGACCATGTCCATTTCGAACATGATGCGCATGCCCATTCTGGTTCGCGGCAGACGTTGAACGAGCCGCATTGTGAGTCGCAGCCGGGTTATTGCTCCAGCCTTGAGGAGGAGTGCCCACACGGCCACGGTTGAGTACATCTTGTTGGCTCCGAGCCTGTTGTTGCTGCAGCGCCGCTGTTCTCGCCTTGATCAGAGCGCTTTCAATGCTGCGGGTGATCTCAGGAGGGAAAACAGGTCTCGTATCTAGGGATCCCGGGACAGGCTCCTTCCAGGTCTTGAGCATCTCATCCAGCTTCCTGCGGGTCTGCGAGTCGACCAATGTGTAGGCATTCATGAAAGTCTGATACATATTGCGACCCAAGAAGAGCGTGTAGGGAGTTCCTACGTTCTTCACGATGGAATCGACTACATACAAGGCAGGAAGCTTCTGTGCTGGTGGTGTCTACAGAACACAATTAGAAGCGGTTCAATCGAGCGAAGCTTTTTACAGACGACTGAGCGTCCAGCAAAGTACAACTGCCAAACGGCAATGGTTGAGAGAACAAAGATGGCACCTACTGTTCGGATATGATTCTCCAGCACGCGGGAGATGGCCATAGCATGCTCCGTATTCTCCTTGGCTATGACAGTCAAATTGCTGATCTGAAACCTGTCATTTGTGGTTAGATCCTCCAGAGAATTCTTGTAATCCTCAGCGACTTCATCGGAAGCAAGTCCAGACGACATGATGGGCAGATACAATGGAACACAACGGCAGCTGTGAGAGTAAATCAGGGACGGAGATGAAGACAAAGGGAATGGGCAATAGAAAAGTTGTAGCAACCCTCGAGGAAGCCTGGGATATCGTCTTCTTTTCTGTTCTTTCAGATCCCTCTTCTTGTCTCTTTTTTTTTTCTCTCTTTGTCTTACTCTTTCTCCCTCAACGATATGGTTTTTTCTTTCTTTCCCTCTCTCTTGCACACACACTCTCACTTTTCTCCTTTTTTCTTTTTTTCTTCTCTGTGTTTTTGGCTTTGCAATATAATGATAGGTTTCTTATTCTCTCCTCCTTTGTTTCCAAGAACAATCTCCTGTAAGAGCAAGAGATGGAAAGAAAAGTCGGAACTTGTAAAATGCTTGCTAGCTATCTTTGGCGAGACTCTGGAAGATAACAACGAGAGGAAGCGAGCACCAGTCCGCAACCTAATCCATAGAAGAACCCGCGACTATCCCCCTCTGCCCACTATGAGAAAACAACCTCGTAATATATCTCGCCCGATTGACCCGTCAGAAGGGAAGATCACCAGTAAAGGAACGCAGATGGTATGGAGAGGCTGGTGAGAGAATCCGAGAATGTCTTGCGCGCTTAGAAGAAGGTTCAAAGATCACAACACCTTGAGACTGACCACCACAGCGGAAGGCGGTAAATCAAAAAGAAGAGGCCAAGAAATTGATAGACCAGAGGGGTCTATGAGATGAAAAATGGCGCAGAAAGATAACTCCCCGACAGATGGCTGCTGCAGAGGGATGATTGAATTCACAACGTGAATAACCAGCTGGAGGAATGAAAGGACTAGGTCGTGAGGTTGAGGAAGAAAACGCCAAGACTCAGGCGGCCGTCGGGGCTTAGTCATTGTCCTCATGACGCAGTGTTGGATAGATTGAGGTAACATTTGTTATCAGGAGATAATCGCCTCCGAGAGATATATAGCACCTCGAACTATTATATCGCCGTTGCGTGTATAAATAACCCCTCAGAATCTTCATCCATCTTGTCTGTATACAAGATCTATTTGCGCTAGTGGTGGTACTTTGAGAAACTTTATTTAATTTACAATGAAGCTGTTGTCTGCTTTGATTCTCGGGCTATTGCCTCTGGCCCTTGCTAAGTCGATTCTGGTCACTTACCCCCAGAACACCCCAGAATCGGTCATTAGAGAAGCGCGGGAATCCATCATCAGAAGTGTAAGTCAATCGCCTGGAGGTAGTCATCCCCGGGTATCGATTTTTTACTGATTTGCTCTGATCTCTAGGGTGGTAAGATCACTCATGAGTACCGTAAGTGCTGAGTTTCACCCTTGAATGCGATTCTGGTCGTATACTGAAATTAATTTGTTCTCTTTTCATCTCCAGAGCTTATCAAGTAGACTCTCCCTTCTACCTTACAATCTGCTTGGGCTCATATCTAACGAGATGACAGGGGATTCTCCGCAGAGGCTCCAGACACTGCCATTCAGAGCCTATCGGCACAGTCCTCCGAGTACCAGCCAACCATTGAGGGAGATCAAATCGTCTCTATCTATGGTGATAATGAGCCAAAGGTGTAGGGGTTGTGTCTCAAGCTGAAGTATTGTTCTCAAGCTGCATGGCTGCATTCCTCTGTGGGCTATACCGTCTGCCAGGATCGATTGTTAACATGGATTACCTGAAATTGTCACGATTAATGAATCTTGAATGTCTCTTGCTGGGTTTGCTACCTTGAGAATGTTGACTGTATGGACAGTTTCCATCATGTCTTTCTTTCTTTCTTTCTTTCTTTCTTTTTTTTTTCGTGCAATCAGGCCCGATCTATGGCGTTCTGATTTGTGATGATTTGTATTGCATCCTCTGTTGTCTCTGAATATCTGAATCAATAAAGGAAAACTACTTTGGTGTGTTAGTGTGAATTCATACGACAATAGCATTGTCTATAAATTTCTTTTCTTTGTGCAAATAGCACAGCATGAAATGAGTTGTTCAACCTGAAGTGAAAGATGATCTCTCATCTCCGATTGAGTACATTGTACCCCATAGATATTCGCGCGTGGAGCCCGCCTTGAGACACCCGAAGTCGCGCGAGACATCACTCAAATCAAATCCATTATTTAAACAACCATTTATTTAGCCCTGCATCACGCTACGAGATATGCGTCGTTTGCTACAATTGTCGACACACCTCCTATTGCATGCAACTGCCCCCTTTTAACGCATTCACATTCACATTCCTGAGCTCCCCTGAACCACGGATCATCCCTCCCACGCTCCGCCCAGCATGGCGTCGGAACACACGATCACTCAGGCGCTTTTAGAATGGATCAACAGCTTTTCTCTTGGTAAAACGTTGCGGGCTACAGAAGAATTGAACGATGGCACAATACTCTGGGAGATCCTGCAGGACATCGACCCCCAGTACTTCCTCAACGAGCTTCCGGAACGGAATCCTTCTGACCACTGGGTTGCGAAGCTGGCAAACCTGAAACATATTCACAAACACCTCACCGGATACCTGCGCATGCAAACTGGCAAATTGCCTTCTGGATTAGACCCATCCCCGGATCTCCAAGCCATCGCGGAAAAGAACTCGGTGAAGGATACCAACAAGCTCTTGAAACTTCTCCTGATCGCCGCCATCCGCTCGCCAAACCCAGAGAAGTTCGTCAGCGAAATCCAGAACTTGAGTTTACTGGCACAGGAAGGTCTCAAGGTTGCCATCGAGGAGTCCAATGGTGAACTGGTTACAACCGATGTCGAAGATGAAATCAGCGAAGATGCCCCCAAACAGGACCTCCCGGTTGATCTCGAGTTACAATTCGAAGAACGAGTTGGAAAAGTGATTGCGGAAAACGATCGCCTGACACACGAAAAGAAGGAGCTGGAGAAAGCACTGGAGGATTTACACAACCGCCTGGCCCGCCTGCAAGAGAACAATGACACCCTGCAGACCCGTCTTGCTTCCACGGAGGATCGCCTGGTCACACTGAAATCCGGGAAAGGAGACATTGTGGTCAGTGCGAAGGCTCTGGAATCAAAGACGCGTCAGCAGGAGGACTTGATTGCTTCTCAGGAGGAGCGAATCGCCGCAGCGCAGGATGAGATCGACGGTCTGCGCATGACTGTCGAATCATTACATGTCAAAAACCAGAGGTTTCAGAAATTGCAGGATGACTATGATGAGCTCAAGACGGAGAGGGATCAGCTTGCCCGCAAAGCTAATGCGGCGGAGAAGTATCGTCAGAAGCTGCAGGCGAGCCAGGACTTTGAGAAGGAGAACCAAACTCTGAAGAATCAAATCAAGGATGTCCAGCAGCAACTGAAGGATGCGGACTCGCAGCAACGCTGGTCGGCGGAGCGCGAAGTGGAACTTGAGGAATACAGGAGAGTTCTTCCGCGCATCGAGCAGGAATGCAGCGAGATCCAAAATCTGAAGAAACAGCTTGAATTCAACAACCACGCCCTTACGGAACGTCTCAGTAGTGCCGAAGAACAACGCGAGCGGGATGATGCATTGATCAGCGAATTAAGAGATCGAATCCGTGAACTTGAAGGCTCGCCTGGAAGTCCATCGCTCACTGCAGGAACCGAGACGCCCAAGCGAGGCACCTTGCACGAAGATTTCGAGGGCATCGGTATTAGGTACAAGCCAAAGCCACTAAACATTCTCCCCACCATAGCTGAGGAGCCTGAGCTGACTGAGTCCAGCAAATCCGAAAATGACGAATTGAGAAAGGAGGTTGAATCATTGAAGGAACAGCCAACCTCTGTAAGCCAGTCGCAGAAGGATTCACATGAACCCATTGAGCCCATCACTAACAATACCTCCTCACCACAGAGTGGCTCCCAATACGAGGGATTTTCAGAAAACTTCTCGCAGGTCCACCGACTTGCTCAGGCCAATTCGTCACAATGGTATGATATCCAACCTCTTTTCGCATTGCGTACTCACGGACCGTTTAGTGACGAATACTGGAAACTATACGACCACTACACGCAAGCGCTGGGGAAACTCTCCGACGCTCAGGATTCCCTCGACATCACCAAGAGGGCACTGGCAGACGCAATGGCGGAAGGTGAGTCGTTGATCTACTCCAAGTACAAGGCCTTCGAAAAGTTTGCTCATGGTTCCACAGTTGGACTTGTTAGCAAGGAGAAGGTGGACATGATCCACGCAGTCAAAGAGAGCAATTCAGCCGAAGTCGCCAAAATGCGGGCTGAGTGGGATGAGCTCTCGCGCAAGATCCACCTCCTCGAGGCTGAGCTTGATGCCAGTCAGGAGTTGGTACGGGAGGTTTGTGCCGAACGAGATGAGCTGCGGAGCCTCTTCGACAAAAAACAAGTTGAGATTCATGCAGAGGATCAGGAAATGTCCAATGAAATGAAGAGGCTGCTTGTCGAGCTTACATCCCAGAGTGGTGAGTCGTCGGATGCTTCTCAGAAATCCGGCCCGGAGCTCGCCAAAGAGGTTGGCGAATTGATCGAGAAATATCTTGAAAAGCTGGCGAAGCGCGCAGAGGTCAGTTTTCCCCCTTCGCCCCCTCCCAGTGGCTCCAAGTCCACACGCATCGCCATAGTGGTCCCCTTGCAATGTCGTCGCGATACCGGCCTTGCTAGATCGAATGCCTTGCTTCAGCGCCCACCTACTCCTATACCAGGGCTTTCGAGCAGGCACAACCCTTCTCAATCACGTAAGAACGATGCACGTCCATCGCGCGTGAGGAGCTTTGTGTCAAGATTCAAGCGTCACTGAGGGGGTCGCTCTGCACCAATGTGACGCAAACTAGAGGCTGACCAGCACTCTTGTGATATAGTATATCCATCATCAAAACGAACATATCAAATTCCTTCAAGATCGTATCACGCACTTTGAGGAAGATGACACAAATGATGGTATCAGCAAGGAACGCGAGGTGAGCCTCCAATTTTATTCAGTATTTATAGCAACTATATTGTCCGAGAGTGAACGGACATTTTTTTTCTCTTCGTCCCCATTGTGTATCTTCTGACTAATGAGTCCGACTTTCCATCCAGCTCGAGCTCCAGAAGGTCATCGACAATCAGGCCCGCGAATTGGCTCTTGTCAGCTCTGCCTGGTTCGATACTCAGAGTCGCTTGCAGAACAACAATGTTACGGTGTCGAGGTATCGGCACGGTGCCAACATGGCTGAGTTCCAGAAGGGCTGGCTAGGGCGTCAGAGAAGCATGGTCGCTGGACGCTAGCATGGATGGCATCGACTTGCTGTAAGTCAACGTATAGCTTTGTTGTTGATTCCCTGCCTTTTGCGCAAAGGTCATTTTTCCTTTGGTTCCTTACTTTTGAGATCCCAGCACTACATAGAGATACACTGTGTTTTATTATATATACACATATATGCTATTGATTGATACCCGGCTTCTTTCGCAGATTGTCACCCTTTCGGGAAGATCTAGTAGGAAGAATTATAGAGAACCAAGGACAATATATGCACAATATATGATTTCTATATTTTGAGCGCCTTATCCTTACTATACAATACAAAGGTAGAATAAAAAAATCCGTACACGTGGGCCAGAGCCTAGCCCATCAGACCCATTGTCTCGGGTTCTTAAGCACATCCATCAACTCCCTTTCAGGAGCCATGCTCTTAATCACAAGCTCTTCCTCCTCAGTCGGAGAGCCCTCGGTGCGAGTCCCGGATACCGGATCCATGTATGCCCAGCTGGCGGTGCGGGGCAGACTCATGAGGATGCTCTCGACACGAGCGTTGGGGGTGCGGAGACCAAAGCTGGTACCGCGGTCATAGACAAGGTTGAATTCCACATAGCGACCACGGCGGAGTTGCTGCCACTCCTTCTGGGCTGGTGTGAAGGGCATATCCTTACGCTTCTCGACAATCGGAACGTAGGACGGTAGGAAAGATGCAAGAGCGTCGGAGACGAAAGAGAAAAGGGTTTCTTGAGGGTTTTGCGAAGAGGTGGAGGAGGATTCAAGGAAGCTGGCGTCGAGGTCGTCGAAGAAGATGCCGCCGACACCGCGGGCTTCACCCCGGTGCGGCAGATGAAAGTATTTGTCGCACCACGCCTTGAACTTGGGGTAGTATGTCGCATCGTGTTTGTCACAGGTGTCCTTGATGGTTTGGTGGAAGTGCTTGACATCCTCGGGGAAGAGGTAAGATGGGGTTAGATCTGTGCCGCCGCCGAACCACCAATTCTTGTCCCCGCTGACGGGATCCTTGGGATCCGACGTCTCAAAGTATCTATAGTTCAGATGCACTGTCGGGGCCATGGGATTGTGGGGGTGCAGGACCAGCGAAAGACCAGCAGCAAAGAAGTTCAGGGATTCGACGTCCGCTCCGACGAACGATTTGTGATCGGCGCGCATCTTCTCAATGGCTGGCCGTGGCAATTCACCATAGACAATGGACACATTGACACCGGCTTTCTCGAAGACATTTCCATCCTGGAGAACGCAAGAGATACCACCGCCGCCATTGGGTCGCGTCCATGTATCAGTCTGGAACTTCTTCCCGTCTACCCTGCTGAGTTCGTCGACGATCTTCTGCTGCTGTTCCTTGATCAGCTTCTCCATGCGCAAGCGCATGGGCGAATTCTCACTGATTGTCGACTGCTTCTTCAAGGCCTCATCGAGCTCCACGATCGAAGGAGAGTCGAGTTCTGTTACGTCGCCGGTCATCTGCAGAATGTTGTTTAGAATGCGTTACCGAGCAAGTAATTGCGAAAGCTCGGTCTTACCATGGAGTATATCAAGGCACCTATGAAGGGGACACCGATTGCCAGTCGAAGATATGGTCTCCACACAGTGAATTGCTGTGAATCCCGGGGCTTCTGCTCCGTTGTGTATTTGCGCAAAGAACCTCGCAGTGTACGAGTAGAGTCGCGGCAGATTCGAGGAGAAATTTGGCACAGTGACCTCCGAAGAGGCATGTACGGCCGGGGCAAGGCCATGGTTTAAGAGGATCGGAAACGAGCGAGCAATTGGCTGATGTCTTGTAATCAGGTGATGTTTCGAAGAGTCTCAGGTGCGACTATCTATATCAGAAAGAGAAGTTATCCCGAGGGTCTTAGGCCCCAATGGAATCACAAAAAAAAGGTAGCGTATTTGGTCTTCAGAACAACGATATGGTACCACCCGCGATCATGATATTCGGAAAGTAAAGTAACGCCGCCTCGGATCAAAGATTGTTTGCCACGTTTGCTGCTGTTGTCTGGTTTGCACTGCAATAGCCAGACATCTTTATCAAGTAAGTTTGTTGTATTTGCACCAACCACCAACCCATTGGAAGCATTTCTGCCTTGCTGCAACCTGCCTGAGGTTATTCATTGTATGAGTCTTTCATTCAGGATGATGTGATGGTATGAGTCAAATGCGTGATTAATATATTTGTGGTAACACTAGTAGATATATCTAATACTGAAGAATGTACAATTGTGTTGACACCAGTGTAAAAGTATTACAGTATATGATCTTACTGAAATTGAGGAATCTGGCTTCTTAACTTAATCGTTTAGTTATACTTCAAAAAGCAGGCATGTACTATGAGATATGGATAGAAAATCTCTATAGATACCATTGTTTTCTTCTATCTAGCACATACGACCACAGGGTGTGGAGAACAGGGCTTCCCGTCCGCTCAGCCGTACTTAAGCCACACGCCGGCCGGTTAGTAGTTGGGTGGGTGACCACCAGCGAATCCCGGCTGTTGTATGTTTTTGACTCTTTTACGTCTCTTTCTTTTTTTTGATAGATGTTGGGTTTAGCACCCTTACTGTCTTATCTCCACCCTATTCGCCCTGTTCACCTGAAGTTATGAAACTGATGTCTCACTTCTGGATGAATGGCTTGAATGTTTGACTTGATGAATATTAGACTGTCAAGTTCCCTCCTACATCCGTTTTAGGCAGTAGTTCCCAAGCAATCCTATTAAAATCCTATACCGATGGACTTAAAGGGTGTCCAGACTCCAGACGATAGGAGTACTCCTTAGTACTATGGATTCCTTATAAGTTATCGCAAATATCGTGGAAAAATAGTTGACTGTTGAACAAATCCATCCTGTGCAATAGTCGCGGGTGTATCCGCTGTCAGGGTTTTCTCCACCAGTCCAGGTACTCCGTAGCCTCTCTTTAAGAAGCATTCTCAGTAGTAGTATTTCAGCCAACCTCCTCTCATCTCCAGTCTACACTATCGCTGCAATTATTAATCAATACCCCCCCTCCCGAGTCCGCTTCCTTTGTCGGCGGGTGGGCGTGGAAAGTTATACTCCTGGTTGCTCTCCGGTTCAATTCCTCCGGAATTCAGTCATTGCTGTGGTCGTTATACATCGATGACTGACGAGCAACTGGACAAGGCAAAACTAGATATGTACCTTGGCTCATCTTCCCGAGGCGCACAGTGTCTACGGTGGTGCAATACGCACAATTCGTCGCCTCTCAGGTGCGTAAAGTATTCGGCCTTTTGCCCATATGGCCTTGTATTTTGGGATTGCATTAGACTAGACGCTCTGGGATTGCCAGGAAGAAACAATATGCGCGCAATGTGGTTCGACTGGTCTTGCATACTCTCAGAAGATGATTGGGACGAAATCTTAAGACTGCAGCCCGCGACCCCAAGGCGTGATGAAGAAGACTTTGAGCAATATGACCCGTGGTTACGGTAGCGATATAGCGACACCTGTTGAAGGGACACAGACAAAACTACCAAACACAAATCCATTTTTTAAACAATTCTGATTCTATGGACGACCTTAAACGCAACCAGCAAGTGACAGAGCCGCACTTTCAGACCAGAGATAAACAATCCCGGTACGAAGACAAAGGAACCACCTCCAAGGTTTCCGGTGAGGCCGAAGATAAGGCCACGGCTTAGCTCAAGCATTCACAACTTCGCAGGCTCAATATTGAAGTACATCACCGGCTCATCACCACTTCGTCCGAATACTGTAATTTTAGAGACTGTCCTCGGGCCTAGTGTGGTCTTGTGCTGGGTCAACAGCCAACCGATACCGCGGCCGTTAGGGGAGTAGAGCAGAGTATAGTACGCATCAGACCCGGGCCTGAAAGTCCTGCCCTTCTCCTTCATTGGCCGCAATTCGCCCCAGTCCTTGAAATCGGCTGGTTTCCCAATGGCTCTTCTCATGATAGCGAGTGTATCATCGTTGATAATTATGCTCCGGAAGATATGCTCCAGGTTCTGGACATTACTGTTGGTCTCCCTGGCCATCCTCTCCCAGAGGAGAAAGATCACGTCTGACCACTGCTTCAGCGGCACGAACTGCTCAGGCTTCCAGTTCGAATTTTTCTATACAAACTCGGGGCTCTTATTGTCGTCCGCAACGATTAGCCCACCTTTCTGGTTAAACAGACTCTGATAACAAGCTTCAGATTCCTGCCAACACACAGTCAATGTTAACGTGGAAGGCTCCAGTGCCTATCATGAACTCACTTTGTACAGTTTACCATCAACCGTCACAGCCCTCGAATGATCAATCCTGACCAGAAAGTTTTTCTCCGCATCGATGTGAGTTCCTCGAAAGCGCTCGTCAGAGTGTCTTGACCCAAGACCGGGTCAGGGTCTTCGTCATCATCCACAATCCACCCATATCTCCATAAACCTCGTATGGGATTTGAGTACCTAAGAGTATGTTCCCTCTGATATGGAGGATCTGGATAAGATATGATAGCATCACACTGCTCAAGGTGGAGGATGACCAGAAGCACATGACTCATCCAGTGCTGGTGGGGCTACCCTGACTGTCTCTCACCCCGTGATCCCGTATGATTAGGAAGGTATCACTTATCAGGTGTATGATACACCAATGATACCATACATTACGCGGGGCTGATACCTTGGAAGTTGGGACTTGGGTTGCCTTCGTCGTCCTGCGTCTTGTTTTGTCATCGGCTTGACTTGTGACCTGTGTCTGCCTGCAACTGCTACTTACTACTTACTCCAACTGATCTACCATCACCAACCACCATCATCCTCACCTCTCTACTTCACCCATTTTCCCATCTCCATCTCCCACATCTGTCGGCTTCTTAATCGTTAATAGTGCGATCTTCCCATCTCAGCTCTTTCTACATCGTCATATTTCGATCCTAACGAACTTCCAACAGTACCTTATCCGGTTATCCTCCCTTATCTCTCACTATGCGGTCGAAGTTCAAGGACGAGCATCCCTTCGAGAAGCGCAAGGCAGAGGCTGAGCGTATTCGCCAGAAGTACGCAGACCGTATCCCGGTATGTTCATATCCTTTTGAATTCTGGAACGTTTATCGACAAGATTCTACGTCTTCCAAGCAGCAAACATCTCTTCCTCACCGCTTGTTCGGTTACTAACTCAGCTGTCTTATCCCACAGGTAATCTGCGAGAAGGTTGAGAAATCAGACATCGCCACCATCGACAAGAAGAAGTACCTCGTACCCGCGGACCTCACTGTCGGTCAGTTTGTCTATGTCATCCGCAAGCGCATCAAGCTTTCTCCCGAGAAGGCCATCTTCATCTTCGTTGATGAAGTCCTCCCACCCACTGCTGCACTTATGAGCAGTATCTACGAAGAACACAAGGATGAGGATGGCTTCTTATATATCACGTACGTGTTTAATTTTCCTCCCGTCCTTGCTCATCAAATATCCACTGACCTCCATAGATACTCTGGCGAGAACACTTTTGGAGATTGCTGAGCATTGATCGACCATTATCCCACGCAAATTTAATCTTTCTTTGTCACCGTCAAGATGTCCCCCTCCACGGATTGTACGTGCAAGCTCTCCGATCGAGAGACCGACCGATCTATGAGGTAGAAGGACTGCCGGAACGTTGCGGTGATATCCCTCATGTACGCAGGCGTTATCTCGGGTGTGCTGCATCTGTTTTATGAACTTGATTGGCGAAATATTATGGGTTTGATGGCTTGAACGAAATAAATCACTCATGGACTTTGATTCGGTTGATGCTTATTTGAGATAAATCAGAAATCGCACTGGCTGTGTCATCAAAGTTGAGATCGATCTGTCGCTATTAGTCCTCTTCTCGAGTATTACTCTTGACTGTAGCTGTTGATCGCCATCACTAAGCTAGATACCCATCTTGACCACTGCCTTCCTGGATTCACCATACCAGATAGGTGCCCACGTTAGCGGATCTGATAGTCAGTTTGCTTGGGAGGAGCAGGCCTGTCAGCGACCAGATGCTCCAAAGCTTTTACCTTACAAATGATTGATAGCAATATCAGGAGCATAAGAGCAACGCAACCCGTAGACGGACATGTGAACAGACACAAGTACTATGAGCTTATCTAATCAGCAAGTCCGATCTCGCCGTAGCCGTCCAGGCCCGTTTGGGACTAGCGCCAGCGACTCGGAGACGAAGAACAGCGCAGGCGATGGACCGATCAAGTTGGGCTTGCTTCATCTCTTCCTCTCTTCCTCTATCTCTGATCTTGTCCGGGGTTTCTGGTTTCCTTATTCTTCTTTTTTCATCCGTTTGTGCTGCTCGCTTGCTCGTAACTTCTTTAATCTTGCTTCTCTATTCATCTTGTCTGTGTTGTGCTCTAATACCGCTTTATTTATTTTACTTTTTTTTTTTCTTCTCTTCGGCAACAAAAAAGTTTCCCAGATCCTGTTCAAAATCAACCATCCATATTCAAGATGTCTCCTGCTATTGTTCAAGCCGGTGCTGGCTCTGCCTCCAAGGATGTCAAGCGGGAATCGGCAACTGCTCGTCTCCTGGGCTCAGGTTCGTGTGCGCTCACGTCTGGAGATTCTGACCAACGACTCATCTGTTTACAATAGGAACCGCCGGTATTGCCGAATTGATGGTCTTCCATCCTGTGCGTCTCTCCGAGTATCTCTGACAACCATTCTTGCGCGGAACTAATATCAAATGCAGGTGGATACCACTGCGAAGCGTCTGATGAGCAACCAGACACGGGTGAGTCAAAGTCTCCTCGGAACTTGCGAACGAAGGTTGCACGGGGTGGCTGACTGGTATCATGGTTAGATTACATCTGCCGAAGGCTTTAACCAGGTTGTCTTCAAGGAGTACGCGAATGCTCCTCTTGGCCGCAAATTTACCTCTCTCTTCCCCGGACTTGGCTATGCCGCTGGTTACAAGGTCTGTAACCAGATGCCGAATTCCGAAGAAAACCCGACAGTTCGCTAACAACTTCCAAAGGTTCTGCAAAGAATCTACAAGTACGGTGGTCAGCCCTTCGTTCGCGATTACTTGGCTCAGCACTACGGAACCGACTTCGATAATGCTTTCGGAAAGGGAACTGGCAAGGCCATCATGCACGCCACTGCTGGAAGGTTGGTTCTTGCCAATCGTTGAAGATGGTGTGGGTCGCGCTTGCTGACATGATATAGTATCATTGGTATCGGAGAGATCGTCCTTTTGCCCCTCGATGTTCTCAAGATCAAGCGCCAGACGAACCCCGAGGCGTTCCGCGGCCGTGGTCTCTTCAAGATCATCTCCGATGAGGGTATGGGTCTTTACCGTGGCGCTGGCTGGACTGCGGCCCGTAACGCCCCTGGGTCCTTCGCTGTAAGTGCTCCATTAGAGAATCCAGCAACAGTTGTGTCGGCGGGGATGCTAACAATATGTACAGCTCTTCGGTGGTTCTGCCTTCGCCAAGGAATACATTTATGATCTGAAGGATTACAACAAGGCCAGCTGGAGCCAGAACTTCGTGGCGTCCGTTTGCGGTGCCAGTGCCTCTCTGATCGTGTCGGCTCCTCTCGATGTCATCAAGACCCGTATCCAGAACCGCAACTTCGAGAATCCCGAGTCTGGATTCCGTATCGTCTCCAACATGATGAAGAACGAGGGCCCTAGCAGCTTCTTCAAGGGCCTGACGCCTAAGCTGCTGATGACCGGCCCCAAGCTCGTGTTCAGCTTCTGGCTGGCTCAGACCCTGATCCCCGCGTTTGGACAGGTTGTATAGATGTATAGATGATTGAGTTATTATGAGCCTATATTTTTTTTTTGTTAATTTTTCCTTCTTGATGGCTTTTCGGTGTGATGACAGAGCATGCAGTGTTGGGCCAATCTGTTTTATAGATTTGTTATGGGTTACTAGGTATTCAAAAATGACACAACTCCTCTTAATCATGCTCTCGGGCAACGGGTTATCGATCGAAAGTCGCTCATTTCTCTGCTGCATGATACTGGGGAGAGAAGCGTTCGAGCAGTACAGCATTATTTTGGACCAAGACCTCGGCTGTTCCTTGGTGATCTGCCTCAACTGGTAGCGCGTATTCTTAACTCAGATTAATCCTGACAAATTGTACTTCAGTTCTGTGTATAACATCCCAGTCATCAACAGTAATTTTCGATGAAGTCGTTCCAGCATCGAGACATATATATATAGTAGCGAGATGGATTCCCTATCAATATCCATAAAGGTTGTATTCGGGCTAACAAAGAACCTAGATTTTGGATTACAAAGCTGAATGGATGTTCCAATACATAGCAATCTCATATACCTAGTAGAACAGCAATTGACACTTAGAATCAAAGTACCACAATGACTTACCCAATACCCATTCTCCAAGAAAGACACAGATAAGGCTTCATACCACACGTGACCATGATCTGCTATCACGATCTCCGCAAAAAGACCATCCAAGCTCCTCCAACACAAATGAAACTCCAATCTATTCCCCCATAGACAATCAACCACACATCACTCTCTCCCTATTCACACAAACAGAGCTCAGCTATCCACCATCAACAACACAAAAAAAAATAAATAACAACAACAACAGCAGCAGCAATAGCAACAGCAACATTCACCATGCCCACCTACCTAATCTCCAAGTCCGTACTTTCCCCGTCCACCACCCACACCCGCTGGTCTGAACGACGCATTGCATTGCTAACTCCAACCACCAGACTCGCAGACCCCATCTTCGCCTTCTTGATCGGGTCATCCGCCGCGCTGATCCGCATCCGTCGCGAAGAACGAGAAAAACACCCTGCGCGGGCGGCGGAGATCGGCTTCGGGGCTGTTGCGCAGACGGGCGTGAATCGGTTGCGGAGGTGGTGGGCGGGGGATTTTGAGGGATTATGATTACGTGTAGGGAGGGGTTTGGCTTATGATGCAATTTGGATTTGGATTTTGGATTTTGGAGCGTATATGCATAGGATATGTTGGTGGGTGATGGTTGTGTTGTATATTACCATATCAAAAGTTGAATTCAGGGTAGATTCATGAATACGGAGTAGAGCTTTTGGAATAACTAGTGGTGGCTCTCCCGCAAGCAGTTGACTACGAATTTGAACTACAGAATATTTACTATGGAAGTGGTGAAGTAAATAATTTTTAATTGCTTAGAAAAAAGCAATTCTGCAGTAGCAGATCATCATGCGTGGAAACAATTAAGAATCTATGCAAGTCATCGCAAAAGGAAAAAAAAAAGATCCCATAATTTCGTAAAACAAGACGTGAAAGGAAAAGCAAGACCCATTATTGCCTGTCCCATAACATCACAGGGCAAAACAGAAAGGAGAAAGGAAAGGTTGCTCAGCGAGACATTTAGTCAAGCTCCTCAGGGCGCTCCTCAACCTCGTCAGCAGTGCGGGTAGCACCACCGGGGGCAGCACCGCCAGGGGCACCACCGGGAGCACCACCATAGGCGGCGGAGATGATGGGGTTGGCAACACTAAGATCTACATTAGCATTATGTTATGAGATTGGAATGAAAGATGCAACATACCTCTCGAGATCCTTCTGCTGGGACTCGTACTCGTCCTTGGTGGCGGTCTGGTTGTTGTCGAGCCAGCTGATGACCTCATCAACCTTGGCGGTAACCTTCTCCTTGTCGGCATCGTTGATGGTGAGCTTGCCCTCGCTGATGGTGTTCTTGAGGGAGTAGGCATAGGACTCGAGGCCGTTCTTAGCCTGGATACGGGAAGCCTCGGCCTCATCCTCCTCCTTGTACTTCTCGGCATCCGCCAACATGCGCTCGATGTCCTCCTTGGACAGACGGCCCTTGTCGTTGGTGATGGTGATCTTGTTGGTCTTACCGGTACCCTTCTCAACGGCGGAGACGTTCATGATACCGTTGGCATCGAGATCGAAGGTAACCTCGATCTGAGGAACACCACGAGGAGCAGGGGGGATGCCAGTGAGCTCGAACTTACCAAGGAGGTTGTTGTCCTTGGTACGGGCACGCTCACCCTCGTAGACCTGGATGAGCACACCGGGCTGGTTGTCGGAGTAGGTGGAGAAGGTCTCGGACTTCTTGGTAGGGATAGTGGTGTTGCGCTTGATCAGAGGGGTCATGACACCACCAGCGGTCTCGATACCGAGGGAGAGAGGAGCGACATCGAGCAGCAGGATCTCGTTGGTGGACTTGGAGCTGGTGTCACCGGACAGGATAGCGGCCTGGACGGCAGCACCGTAGGCAACAGCCTCATCGGGGTTGATGGACTTGTTGGGCTCCTTGTTGAAGAAGTCGGCGACGAGGCGCTGGATCTTGGGGATACGGGTGGAACCACCGACCAGGACAATCTCGTGGACGGAGGACTTGTCGATCTTGGCGTCACGGAGGACACGCTCAACGGGCTCCATGGTGGAACGGAAGAGGTCCTGGCAGAGCTCCTCGAAACGGGCACGGGTGATGGAGGTGTAGAAATCAATACCCTCAAAGAGAGAGTCGATCTCAATGGAGGTCTGAGCAGCGGAAGACAGGGTACGCTTGGCACGCTCGCAGGCAGTGCGGAGACGGCGAAGAGCACGAGCGTTGGTGGTCAAGTCACGCTTGTGCTTGCGCTTGAACTCGCTTACGAAGTGGTTGACCAGACGGTTGTCGAAGTCCTCACCACCCAGGTGAGTGTCACCAGCAGTGGCCTTGACCTCAAAGATACCCTCCTCAATGGTCAGGAGGGAAACATCGAAAGTACCGCCACCAAGATCGAAGATCAGGACGTTGCGCTCACCCTCGACCTTCTTATCGAGACCGTAGGCAATGGCAGCAGCAGTAGGCTCGTTGATGATGCGGAGGACGTTCAGACCGGCAATGAGACCGGAGTCCTTGGTGGCCTGACGCTGGGAGTCGTTGAAGTAGGCGGGGACAGTGATGACGGCGTTGTTAACGGTGCCACCGAGGTAGGCCTCAGCGGTCTCACGCATCTTGGTCAGGACCATGGAGGAGACTTCCTCGGGGGTGAACTGCTTGGCCTCGCCCTTGAACTCAACCTCGATGATGGGCTTGCCGCCCTTGTCGACGACCTTGAAGGGCCAGTGCTTCATATCAGACTGGACCTCAGCATCTTGAAACCGACGGCCAATCAGACGCTTGGCATCGAAGACAGTGTTGTGGGGGTTCATGGCGACCTGGTTCTTGGCGGCATCACCGATGAGACGCTCGGTGTCGGTGAAAGCCACGAACGAGGGGGTGGTACGGTTACCCTGGTCGTTGGCAATGATTTCAATGCGGTCATCTCTGAAGACACCCACACAGGAGTAGGTGGTACCCAGATCAATACCGACAGCGGGAGCCATTGTGAAGAGGAAGTATGTGGAGGGGTATTCGTGGATAAGGTGGGATTAATGTACAGTTGGCAAACTGAGTCTCTTGTAGGGGGGAGAAGAGAGACAACAGGTATGTCAGATGAATTCAGATAGTAAATGAGTTTGAGTATGAAGAGAAAATTGAGGGAGAGAGAGACCTGGGAATTGTGCGAGAGAAAACATTGATATAGTGGAGGGCGGTGAGCTCAGCTCCAGCGAAGCTTCTAGTCAGAGGGAGCTTCGATGGGGATCCATGAGGTTCGACGGGCTTCGACCAGGAAAATTAGGCTGGGATTTCTTGACGCATCTTGGAGAATTATTATCAGCCCATGTTCTGGGCCTTTCGATTGGGCTACCAGAGACTTCTGGATGGATCTGGTGTCTGTGTCCCCAGAGATGAAGCCTAGAGGGACTCCAGGAAGCTCATCGTTGTTCATCGGTTTCGATCTACTATCTAGACTACAGGGGAAGCTGATTATTCTGCCCTCTATTCTTTTTTTTTTTTTTTTTTTTTTTTTTATCTTTTCGGATGGCGGGGTCATGGATGACGTAATACTCTCCTGGCCCACTTCGACTTTTTCTGCCCCCGGAGGAAACGGAGCACAGAGAGACAGACAAGAGACAGAAGAAGACACCTTGCTCACTGAGACATTCTACGATGAGGGATTGCTCAACTTGATGACCCTATGTATCGACTGGAACACTCGAGCACCCATTTCTTCTCGTCATCATGACTGCAACCATAAAGTCTATCGAAGCGGTGGTTCCATGTCTGTCATGACTGCTGGTAGTGGAGGGGGGGGGGTTCTGTGGTTTTTGTTCCCCAGCTCTCGCTTCCTGAATGTTGCCATTCTCTCTCCGAGCCTTTTGGGAGTATCTCTGCATCATACGCGCAGACTGGCACTGCAAACTTGCTTCATAAGCTCAGAATGATACCCTCATGAGCGTTCCCGAGACATCTTTTCGGAGAAAAATTAACCGTAGAAAAAAGCAGGGTGGCAAAGTTGACTGGCCTGTGCAAGAAGCAGCGGGAGCACACCACTTCTCGGATATCTCTCGGAGAACGCCGCATGGGAATGATGGAATGCAATCTGCAATCTGATCTGATTCCTGTTCCAAAATATCTGAATCGCTGAATCTTCATACAGACTTTCCAGGCCCATCTGCATAGTTCCTGTCGAAGTGATTCTTCAATGGCTCGTTGCTATGGTAACTGAGAGCCTCACATAAGCTCGATAGCCGTGCATATGTGCCTTGCTTGATAACCTCCTAGATCAGTGTTGTAACTTGTCACCTGTCCAATATGGGGTAACCCTGCTGTTATCTAGAAGTTGAAGAAGTCAAAAGTCGCTCGACACCGGTGCTGTCAGGGATCAATAATTGGGAGTCATCAATGAGGCTTTGAGCAGTGAACTCAGTTCTCTAGTAAACGTCCTCCCGATTGAGTCTCACCTTACTAAACCATCATTTGAATCTGACCTGGACTCCTCGTATCTCTATTCAGCTAGAGTGAAGCTTGTATCAATGGTTCAAGCCACAACATACAAAGGTAGAGAGGATCGAGGAAGCAAGGCATCTCAGAGGAGCCTCAGGCTCGAACTCTCTGTAAAAATGGTTTAGCGTATTATAGGTGATTAGAGCAGGACTGACCAATCAGCGAGCGTCAACCCCAGCGCAGAGATCCCAAGGTGCATCTCCCCTTGCGACTGATCTGTTTAGTTTCTTGTTGTTATTCATTCCTCTACCATATCAATTTCATCCACCCTCTTTACGCTACTTAAGGACCCTCTTTACTCCTTTCGACCACGACCCCTAGGACTTTCTAATCGTCTCTCCTTGTACGTATCTTTTGGCACTTTTTAATCCTCTTCCAGTCTAGTAACACCGCTCCCAGAATACCGAAACATAGCCATCTTACATCATGGGTGACAACAATCGGGCTACTTTCAGCAACGACCCTGCTGCCAATGCTCCCGATGCTGCTGCCGTTGAAAAGGGCAAGGGCAAGGCTGTTGAAGAGCCCGCGCTCGAAATGAGCATGGACGAGGATGAGGAGAGCGAGGAAAGTGAAGCTGAGGAGATTGTGAGTTCTCTAGTCCGATAACAATTTTTAGGAACATCGATACTGATTTAGTCTTTGTCAATTCGCATAGGTGGCCGATGGTATGAAATATCCTATCACATATGAACCTTCGTCTACCTAGGGGGATCTCGAGCTAGGAGTCAAGCCATGCTAACGCCTCTCTTTTCACAGAGGATGATGAAGACGATCATGACAACCTCGAACCAATCTCTCAGAGCAACATCATCGCCGGCGGCCGTCGGACACGAGGAAAGACGATCGACTTCCAGGAAGCAGCCGAGAAACTGAAGGATGAGATGGATGAGGACGATGATGACGAGGATTTTGAACCTAACGATAACGACATGCGCAACTAGATGCGACAGTTTTTACGAACCGCAATCGGGGAAAAAAAAGATATTAAAAACCCCTTAGGAATGGGAAAATACGAATAGGACAATTCATAGCTGGGCGTAGGTTTATTGGGGGCACTCTGTTTTCAAATCAGTGAAATGATCTTTTTTCTTCGAGTATACACAGATACTGGCTAAGCAAACATTTGATTTTCGTTTAATCATGGATTTCCTATATCTCGAACTGTCAGTATGTATGTAGCTTGCAATCAGGGTGAGCCTCCACGCTCGTCCCCAGAATTTGAAACAAAACTCGCAGCAGTCGCAGTCCCAACGACTCCTACAAGTAATCAAGCTCTCATGAGAAATTTTTTATCAAAGCAAATAAATACCCTCGAGTTCTCTTCAATCAGTCCTTTTGGACATTTGTCTATCAGCGTATTCACGTGCAGCGCTTAAGCGAGTCACAGACGCCCAAGTGGCAACTCCACACTGTTGTTCTGTCGATTCACCGCAAGTAGATCGCATAGCTCCAATAGTGAGAGTGAACTGTGTTGGATTTGGGATCTACTCGATCGCTGCAAGCGTCACAGAATTTGAAGATTCCATTTGTTTGCTCCCCAATCAAAATGCGCAGCATTTAGCTGGCCGCGCGCAGTTCAATATCCTCATCATCTCCTGATTTGCATCATACAATCTACGCTCTCTCATGGCTTCACGGTATGTATGCAGCGAAGTTCCACGCACGGGCATCCCGAGAAGTATTTGGACTTTCCAGATGCTAACAAACATATTGGTAGATTTTCACGATCTACGCTCCACCAGCGCGACCCTCGCGGTTCTGCGTCCCTGTTTGATTCATACGGCGGCGATTCTCGACCGGCCAGTCGGTCACCGGCTAATGTTGGCGGATACGGGTATGGGGGCTACTCGCGCTCTGGAAGTGATGGACATATGAATGGGAGTCCCGCGGGTGGATTCAGAAAGGCTACTCCGGATAACAAGTGAGTTGCCGGTGGATGAACATCAAGGATCGCCTGTTCAGTACTTATTAATGGGCATAGGGGACATTATTCCGACGCTGTCCTTGACCACCTTGAATCACAGAATGACAGCCAAGTCGAGGGCATCAGCGCGAAAGTAAAGATGCTGAAGGATGTAAGTCGCCTCCGCATCCTGACCCTGTCGGGGGCCCGCACCGATCCAATGCTGATATCGCTGCCAGCTTACGCTCGCCATTGGAGACGAGATCCGCGACACATCTACCATTACAGAGCTGAATGATGCATTCGATAACACTCGCGTTCGCCTACGAGGAAACATGACCCGCATGCTGCGAATGGCTGAGCGTACTGGTGTCGGCTGGCGTGTGTGGCTGGGATTCTTCCTGGTTGTCTTCTTGATCTTTGCGTACGTGTGGTTGACTTAGCCTTACTATGCTTGGCGACGCTCGTTCACCTTTCACTCGCTCTACTCGGTTCACGACTCAGGGCACCAATGGTTCATTTGATTCCACTTGATCTACATCATCCAACACATATGTGGCATCAAACCACCTGTTAATATCTCTGCGACTTGGCCGTTAGATGACTCCTTCTGCGGCGTTCTTTGGCGTTGTGTGCTGGTCATCAGCCCGATATCATACTAATATCTAGTTCCCCCATCAAGCTCTGATTTCCCTCACCCAGCAGTGCCACTATGGCACACGATTTGACGTGTCTCCTCCCAAAAGTGCATATTTGGAGTCGAGGTTTGCTCTTGCTATCCTTCAGACATTGTATCACTTTGTTTGCATTCTACTTGTGTATATATACTCGTTGGACAAGGGCACCTAGACCGCATGAGCGTTTCTCTGGGATCTCTCAATGTTCCTTCTGGTACCACTAATTTCATACATCCTTCTTTACTGTAGAAGAGGCAGTTCATCTTGATCGTCAATCTCGTTGCATAGGCAGCTCTGATTCCTACGGTTGATTATCGTGTGGGAAGAGTATCAAAACTGAGTATAGCAGCGAGTCGTAATATCATGTCAGCAACTAACTATACGTATGCATAAAATCAAGCCAATCGCCCGTGGAAAAGATTAAGACAATCGTTCACCAACTCCTTTTTTGTAAAACATGCCCTCTGAGCAAACGCCATGCATATGCAATATAACCCTGCCGCAGTACTAAACATTAGCTTGACCCATAGGTTTTACTCCAGGCTATCCCTCCCCGTGCGCCGTCGCGGAAATCTGCCAAAGATACTCCGCCGACTTGTCTGGCTCGTCACCGAAGCACGCAGGTCATCTTCATCGAGCATCATGCCGCTGGTGTCAAGGGCATCACCGCCGCCGCTCCAGCGCTGCAAGAACCGGCGCTGGGCTTCTGTTTCTCGGCTGCGCTGAGCGGACGGGGGTGGAAGGCCGCGACTGCTGGCGGTGCTGGCTCGAAAGTTCGGCGCGAAGTGATCATGGGCGAAACTCTGATCGTCAGCGTCGTCAAACTCGGCATCGGTATCGGTGTGCTGCCATTCATCTTCCTCTTGTGATCCGTCTTCGGCTGCTTCAGGGATCTCGTCGTCCAGATCGCGCTCCATTATATCTTCTTCACCCCCTCCTCCTTCTTCCTCTTCCTCTTCGAGGTCGCTCATGTCATCCTCGTCATAGTCGTTTGCTGCGCTGGGAATCTCATCATCCAGATCTGGTTGGTCATCGAAGCCTTCGTGATCTTCCAGCGCCTCTTCATCCTCCTCGTCGTCCTCCTCCTCCTCATCATCCGGGAACGCCTCAGGAATATCATCATCCAGATCCCTCTCCATGTACCCCTCCTCATCCTCGACATCCTCCTCCTCTAAGCCCTCATCTCCTTCCTCCACCAGCCCATCCGCATCCGCATCGGGGATATCATCGTCCAAGTCCCGCTCCATACCCGACTCATCGCCCTGGTCATGCATGGGATCTCCAAACTCATCCAGCGCCGGGTCAGCCGTCGCGGCAGCGGCAGCGGCCATCTCCGCCGCGGCGGCCGCAAGCGCCTCCTCGCGCTCCGCCTCCTCCTCCTTCATCCCCAGCATGGTCTTGGAGCATCCCGCCGGCTTGATCCACGAGTATCCGAAGGACGCGATGTTGTTTTTGCGGGCGCGCAGCGCGCGCTCCTCGAGGAGGAGCGTCGACAGGCTGTTGCTGGGGCTTGAGGAGGCGCGTCCGTTGGGATGTGATCCATTGCGGCGTGGGGTTGGGAGTGGTGGTGTGTCGGTGGTGGTTTGGTGGTGTTGGTGGGAGGTGCGGTAGGGTTGCGAGGAGCCGAACCAGAGGTCATGCGACTGCTGGGGTTAGACAAATTCTTTGAATCAGAGGGAGGAATTAGTTGGAGGTCGGAAGATACGTACATCGCGAGGGGTGATGAGGGGCAGAGAAAGCATGGTTGTGTATGCTATGTTCGAAAAAAACAGACCAGCCAGGTTGACGTTGACCTGGTGATTACGCAACGACAGATCACTAGATTGTTGTACGGCAGCGGATTCGAACGTCTTTCTCGCTATGGTTGTATCTTGAGAATTGTATTGCGTATCTAGGCTCTCCTTCCAACTGATTGTTGCGGGTGTATGTATGATCCCCAATAATACGATGTATCCAACCGTGAATGCAAGTGCGGAGAAGAAAAAAAAAACAGAAAACAAATGAAGCTCAAGTTGGAGATCCGTCCACACTGGCGCGGGGAACTTTAAAACACGAGCATCTAGATTTTAGATATATTCATGTTTCTAAAAGTATATGGCACTCAGGCATAGATATTTCTCCAATATTATCAATTGATGGACCTCTCATACGGAGTATATATTTTGATTGCTGACTAGAATCATGCTAAACCACAGAGGACGCCGCCCCCCTACTCACCTCTCATGGGCCATGGCTCTGTACAAATGATCATATTGAAGCTTCATATATCTCTCTGGCTTGCGACCACCATTATTCGACTACCATTCATTACAGAAGAGTCTCCAATCTCCAATAACCTTGTAGTAGCACTAGCAACTAGTAAGCCTGTACGGAGTACTAAGGGGGTGGTAGACTGAAATGGCCCAGCAACATCTGCTCTAATACCATAGCAGACGGCAGGTTGTGGTGAGACTGCCTTCCAAGTTCCAACACTCTCATCCTTTGGAGAAGCAAAAGCCCCAAGGCTGTAATTTCAGGTTATTAAAGTAATGAAACCACCTCCAACTCCAACCATCCATAGGTATTCAATCCACTCCGTAGTTCATTTCAATACAGAATACAGAGTATCTGCTCTGTACTCTTGTTCTGTTGGAAGTTGGAACTGCCCGAGTCCGATCTTCGGCCGTTTCAAACAGGAATTCCGACATCCCCCGATGGGTGGCAGTCCAGTCCCCTGCTCCAACAACACCACCACGTCCGGTGAACCCAAAGCGGACAAGAACGATCAGGAAATACCGGGAGATTTCGGAAGACGGAAACATTGGCAAGCTGCCACTCCGCCGGGTCACATGATGGTTACTTGCACTCGACCTTACCTGAGCAGTTTGAAGAAAGAAAGAATCAATCATACGGGGTAAACAAAGAACAACCCACCTATGCAGAGTACTTATTGCGATTGAAAGGTTGCGAATGGTTGGTCTGGCTTAAGGGGTCGGCTCCGACCTTTTTTCCTTGATGACTCGTGAGTCACAGTAGTTCAGATAGTTCTCTGCATTCGGAAGTCCTGATGAGTAGGCATCGTGATTCGGATGTCTACCTATTATTTAATCGTCTTTTATTCGTTGAAGGGGAAAAAGGCATCCCATTCATCTCCATCAGTTAGCTAAGCGATTCTCAACTGGTGGTAAAGTAAGGTATCGAAAGGAAACTCGAGGACCCGAATGAATGGATCTTTCAATCAATCAGCTTCGAGTATTCTGAGGAAGGTTCCTTAAGCCTTTCATGTGGTCTTCCAGACAAATGGTCAATAGAGAGGGGGAAATGCCGAAAGAGGTGTAGTAGTCATCTCCCACATCCCGTAGCTAGTGGGAGGTGGACAACTCGATTCCAGACGATCATCAAAGGAGATATTTGAAATCAATTGATTTATCTATTCTTATTACTACTACGGAGTATTATCATTGGAATTACTGTGATCAAGCTCTTATCTTCTGGTCTAAGCCGGGTCCAACAGGGGACATACGGAGTAGTGTGCTGCATAAGAACTATCCAGCATTAACTAATTAGCATTAAGATACGGCTCTCACTTGGTGAGTTCATAATGGAAGTTGCCCTAGGCTGCCCGTACTGCGGTACTTTTCCCGGGGTGCTGGTTAATTTCACCTTGCCTATTGGCCGGGGCCTTCTAACGGGGCTACGGGGGAAGGAGTGGATTCCCCCAGGGTGTGTTCCTCAGAGGCTCAGATCTCAACTTCCTCTGGACTCTGGAGTTAACTCTGAACCCACATGGCTAGGAAAATGAATCAGCATAGTCGGTAGCCTAGGTTCAAGTACCATTTTACATGGTATTTCAACTTCCACAAGAGAGTGGACATGCTTTGAGTCCCCATAAGACAAGAACTGGCACTGAGATCATTGTATTGTTGCGAAGCGCGATAAGCCAATCTGTGAATATGGCTAAGGTACTGGCTAGGATGCAGATTACGCCTCGGCTGCCCCGAAGTCGGGTTGGATACGGGGTACAGTGGTACAGACTACAAGTAGCACAGTCCGTAAGGCATCGATCATCTATACTCCGTTGAAGAGGGTACCTAAATAAGCAGGGGGTAAAGTTGGAGAACATCCAGGGGAGGAAGTAAGGGGGGGGGAAAGAGTCGGGACGGAAGAGGAAAAGCGTCTAGCTTGGCCGTTGTCGGAAGTTCTGGCTCACAGGCTTGATTTCTGGGCGGACAGTGGAGTGTGGACTGTCGAGACCCAAGGCGCTAACGGAAGGTAACGGACCAACTGTCAGTGCTCCGTGCCAGTAATTTACCCGGCTTGTTCATTATTACTACCTAGGTATCTAGGTACTGTAGGTAGCACCCCTCTGATCTTGCAACACTTAACGGAGTATGCATAGATAGTACTCTGTACTCCATACTCTGGTTACAGTTGAGTATGAACGGGTATAGTACAGCTAATCTGACAGCCAGTACGGAGTACTTCATGGATGTATGCTGATCGCTTAGCAACCAGAATCCTTCGACTGCACCTTGGTGTAGGCTGTACACAGTAGCTGCCTGTCAGCTTCAGGCTACTTTAGGACATGATAGTCAAACACTCTCGAGATTGATCGGAGTATGAATCCTAAATAGACTCTGGTAATAATATCTTGAGCACCATATACGGACCACATCTTGATCGCTTGGTCTAACCACGGATGAAATTCGCTAACTTCGCCTCAGTCTATTTAGCTTTCGCAAGAGACACCGTACCAGTCTTCAACCAACGAATTGGAGCGCAATCGAGGATAAGCAATTGTATCCTTGCACTGCCCCACATGAGTGACATCCACCCACTCGGGTCTAACCAATATACAGGACGCCATGTCAATTAAACAGTACTCCGTACTTCAAGTCTACAAATCCTAACGATTATAGGTAAACTGGTACTTAGGGTTCTCAAGTACCTAGATATACTCCGTAGGTAGAGCATGTGGAATTATTTGTCTGATTTCCAACAAGTCTTGGGGAAACAGAAAACGCATCGATCGATCTCATGTCCATGGCTGATCAATTCATCCTTGACGATTAGAGTGCTCCCCAGACAGTTATGCTCCAATCATTCACGTATTCCTTTGCAGATGGGATGTTCATACTAGTAAATGGCATTTGGCTGACGAATGGATCATGGTTCATCGAACTAGGTAGAAAGTCTTGAGACAAGGAGAATCAGTAATTACCAGTCCATACGAGTCAGTACAGTCCGTACTGTACTTTTCGCTCGGATACTGCGTGGTACAACCATACAATGGTACAAGTACAACACTTTCTTTTTTAAAGAATAATGATCTACTTCGAAGACAGCTAGCTAGTTAACTCTAGTACTCTACTAACCCAGGAAGCTAAGCGGCCCATGTGCCCCACCGCATTTGGATCTTGACGTAGTGGAAAGCTAATCTTTCTTGGTTCAAGAATTGAAAAGCCGCGTTTCTGATTGGTCCGTAACGTCTTATCTTTTGAACGAATAATCTCAGTCATGATGGAATTGGGGGGGGGGTCGTCTTGCCAGAAACCCCCTCCACCATAATCAGGTATTATCACTTGAATGTTATTACCCAGAACGTGTAATCTATTGTTGGAGAACATTGTCCAGGATCATTGAGTCCCCTGCTCTTGTTTATAACCCAGTAAATCCCTCTGTGTTGGAAAGGGATGGGTTGTTGAAACTCCAGGTCTCGCCACCAGGTTCGGGCGAAAATCCCCGAGAATGTTTCCTCAGTAGTAAACAACAAGACAGGAGGAAAAGCATCTCAGCCGAAAGCGGGATGAGACGGGCGCCTGGAAACAGTAAATCCAACAGCAGCTCTTTTTCCGGGCGATGGTGTGGACTCTTGTTCCATCTTTCCGATACTTATGCCCAAGCGATTCATCGTAACAGCTGATTCACCTCCAACACGACTGGATGTTGTATTCGACCCCCATTCTCACTATCTACTTTCTATTTACATAGGTTCACTATGGCCATTCTACCAGACCTGTAAAGCCTCCTACCATTTGCCACTGTGGAAGAGATTTGACAATCGACTCTTGGACAATTAAATTGTAGGAAACTCTTTTCCATGACCTCGTACAGTCTTTCATACTAGCCCCAGTCTCGTGGTGGATTCCCCGGACCTCATCTTCCCGTACGGTACCGTCAATTCACTGCCTGAACATACCCAGGTACTACTGTACTAGGTAGATCCTCTGTACGGTCCTTGTCCCGCTCCTCTACCCTCTCCTCCTACGACTACCTACTATTTCTCTACCCCCCCCTCCTCCCCTCGCCCTCCCCCTCCTGCCATCGCCTTTTTTTTTTTTTGATTTTTTACTTCCTCTTCTCTCTCTCTTCTTCATCTTCTTCTCTTCCTCCTCTTACCATCTTACGGAACCAGACGCTGGGTCATCTACAATTCATTCCTACACTCTCCCTGATACCCGCGTCCTTGACCCCGGAACCATAGTGACGACAACCCAAACGCATTTATCTCCCTTATCTGTACACTCACCCCAGCTGACCGCCCCGCCTTGTTTCTGTCCGAGGCGTCCCTATTCCCATTTTCACCAGTGCGGCATCCTTCCCTCAGTTCTGTAATTCCATTCTCTGTCGGTCACCGGCGGAAGAATGGGTCTTAACCTAGAGGAACTCTATGGCCAAAATTTAGCTGAAGAGCAGAAGCCGGACGAATATTCAGAGTACCAGCCAAAGCGTGGCTATGGCTGGGCCAACACTCTGCCTGAAAGGCAGGGTCTGTATGACCCTGAATATGAGAAGGATGCTTGCGGTGTAGGCTTCGCTGCGTAAGTCGCCAATCATTCCTTCGAGCACGACCGGCAGGGCAGAAGATTGCTGGGAACTCATAGAAAAGGGGGGGGGTGAAGGAGAAGAAGAATTGTTGCTAATCTGAACTTCTGGTGATTTTCTAGCCACATCAAGGGCAAGGCAAGCCACAAAATTGTCAGTGATGGTAGGTTTCCTCTGTTACATCTGCTCGCATAAGAAATGGGTGCACTGACGTCGATCTCCCCTGTTAGCTCGCAATCTGCTCTGCAACATGACGCATCGAGGAGCTGTCGGCTCTGATGCTCGAGATGGTGATGGTGCTGGTGTCATGACCAGTATCCCCCATAAATTTTTCATCAAGAACTTTGCCCGGGAAGTCGGCGTAGAGCTGCCTCCTTTGGGTCAATATGCCGTCGGTAACTTGTTCTTCAAGCCCGATGAGGAGTCTCTCACCGAGTCCACTTCAAAACTCGAGGAAATCGCTGAATCCCTGGGACTGCGAGTGCTGGGTTGGCGTGAGGTTCCTCGTGATTCGACCATTCTCGGTCCTGCTGCTCTATCCAGAGAGCCTATCGTCATGCAGCCTTTCGTGGTCTTGAAGTCCGCATATGGTGAAGGGAACAAGCCTGAAATCACCGATTCTGAGTCGTTCGATGAAAAGACATTCGAGCGCCAACTTTACGTTCTGCGGAAACGTGCTACTCACGTCATTGGTCTTGCCAATTGGTTCTATCTTTGCTCGCTCAGTAACCGAAACATTGTCTACAAGGGACAGTTGGCCCCCGTTCAGGTATACCAGTACTACCATGATCTCGTCAATGTGGACTACGAGGCGCATTTTGCTCTCGTCCACTCTCGGTTCTCTACCAACACATTCCCATCATGGGACCGCGCACAGCCTCTCCGATGGGCCGCCCACAACGGTGAAATCAATACCTTGCGGGGCAACAAGAACTGGATGAGAGCAAGAGAAGGTCTTCTCAAATCGGACATCTTTGGTGACGAACTCGATACATTGTACCCGATTGTGGAAGACGGCGGCTCTGATTCGGCTGCCTTCGATAATGTTCTGGAGCTCCTGATGATCAATGGCGTCTTGTCTCTACCAGAGGCGGTGATGATCATGATCCCCGAAGCTTGGCAGGATAACCCGGCTATGGACCCTGCCAAAGCTGCCTTTTATGAGTGGGCAGCTTGCCAAATGGAGCCTTGGGATGGTCCCGCCCTCTTCACATTCTCCGATGGACGCTACTGCGGTGCTAATCTCGACCGTAACGGCCTGCGTCCCTGCCGTTTCTACGTGACTGATGACGACCGTATTATCTGTGCGTCGGAGGTTGGTGCTGTCGACATTGACCCCGAAATAGTCATCCAGAAGGGGCGCCTGCAGCCTGGAAAGATGCTTCTTGTTGACACTGTGGCAGGGCGTATCATTGACGATGCAGAACTGAAGCAAACTGTCGCTCGTCGCCAGGAATTCGCCACATGGCTAGATAAGGAGCTTTTGAGGCTGCCTGCCATTAACGAGAAGCTAATTGAACAGAATGTGGACCTCAGCCACGCCCTCGACGACTCGTCTATCCAGAATGACTCCCGTCTAAAGGCCTTCGGTTATACCTTCGAGCAGGTTAGTCTGCTTCTCGGTCCCATGGCTGCCGATTCAAAAGAAGCCCTTGGTTCCATGGGTAATGATGCTCCTTTGGCTTGTATGGCGCAACAACCTCGCTTGCTTTATGAGTATTTCCGTCAACTATTCGCTCAGGTCACCAACCCTCCCATTGACCCTATTCGGGAGGCCGTTGTCATGTCCCTTGATTGCTATGTTGGCCCCCAGGGCAATCTCCTGGAGATGGACCAATCGCAATGCAACCGTCTGCGTCTCCCGTCTCCCATCTTGAGCATTCCCGAATTCAACACCCTCAAGAATATCAGCCAAGTCCACAGGGATTGGACTGTGAAGACCATCGATATCACCTTCGAGAAAGAAAAGGGCATTGCTGGTTACCTTGAGGCCCTTGATGCCATTTGTGATGCCACCACAGAGGCAATCCAGAACGGCGACAAGGTCATTATTCTCTCTGACCGCGCAACCTCTGCGCATCGAGTCCCTGTATCCGCGTTGCTCGCTACCGGTCTGGTGCACCATCATATGATCCGCAACAAGTGGAGATCACTTGCTGCCCTGGCTGTTGAGACTGCCGAAGCTCGCGAAGTTCACCACATGTGTGTTCTGGTTGGTTACGGTGCTGACGCTATCAACCCCTACCTGGCCATGGAGTGCATCTTCAAGATGAACCGAGAGAAGCTGATTCGCAAGCAACTCTCCGACGAAGAGGTTATTGAGAATTACAAGGCTTCTTGCGATGGCGGTATCCTGAAGGTCATGAGCAAGATGGGCATCTCTACCCTTCAATCCTATAAGGGTGCTCAGATTTTCGAGGCACTAGGTATCGATGATAGCGTTATCGACCGATGCTTTGCTGGAACTGCAAGCCGCATTCGTGGGTTGACTTTCGAGCTAATCGCCCAGGACGCATTCGCCTTCCACGAACGTGGCTACCCGTCTCGCCCCATCGTCGAGGTTCCTGGTCTCCCAGAATCTGGCGAATATCACTGGCGTGATGGTGGTGAAGCCCACATCAACGATCCCGTCAGCATTGCTAACGTACAGGATGCTGTCCGCACCAAGAACGATAAGTCTTACGAGGCGTACGCTAAGGCTGCACATGAGCAAGTCAAAAACTGCACATTGCGTGGGATGCTCGAGTTCGACTTCGAGCAACGGACGCCAATCCCTATTGACCAGGTCGAGCCCTGGACTGAGATCGTCCGTCGCTTTGTGACCGGCGCCATGTCCTATGGATCCATCTCTATGGAGTCACATTCCACTCTGGCCATTGCCATGAATCGTCTTGGTGGTAAATCCAACACTGGAGAAGGTGGTGAAGATCCTGAGCGCAGTAACAGATTGGAGAATGGGGACACCATGCGGTCTGCCATCAAGCAGATTGCCTCCGGTCGTTTTGGTGTTACTTCCCACTATCTCGCCGACGCCGATGAGCTGCAGATCAAGATGGCCCAGGGCGCAAAGCCCGGAGAAGGTGGTGAACTTCCCGGCCACAAGGTTGTCGGCCCCATCGCTCACACTCGTTACTCCACCCCTGGTGTCGGTCTGATCTCGCCCCCGCCTCATCACGACATTTACTCCATTGAGGATCTCAAGCAGCTTATCTACGATCTCAAGTGTTCCAACCCTCGGTCTCGTGTCTCGGTGAAGTTGGTATCGGAAGTTGGTGTAGGCATCGTCGCCTCCGGTGTTGCCAAGGCCAAGGCTGATCATATTTTGATCTCTGGCCATGATGGTGGTACTGGTGCTTCTCGTTGGACTGGTATCAAGTATGCCGGTCTTCCCTGGGAACTGGGCCTTGCTGAGACCCACCAGACATTGGTTCTCAATGATCTGCGTGGCCGTGTTGTGGTCCAAACCGACGGCCAAATCCGCACTGGCCGTGATCTCGCCATTGCCTGTCTGCTCGGAGCTGAAGAGTTCGGCTTTGCTACAACCCCATTGATTGCGCTTGGTTGCATCATGATGCGGGTAAGTCATTTTTTCCCTAATCCCTCTCTACTTACTTTACTAAATTTCATCTCACAGAAATGCCATTTGAATACGTGTCCCGTTGGTATCGCAACCCAGGACCCTGAACTTCGTAAGAAGTTCAAGGGTACACCTGAACATGTGATCAACTTCTTCTATTATGTCGCCAACGAGATGCGTGCTATCATGGCCAAGTTGGGCATTCGCACTGTCAACGAGATGGTTGGGCGTGCTGAGCTGCTCAAGGTCCGAGAGGACATCCGCTCTGCCAAGCAGGAGAGAATTGACCTTTCCCTCATCTTGACCCCTGCTCACTCTCTGCGTCCCGGTGTTGCTACATACAATGTTCGCAAGCAGGATCATCGCCTGCACACCCGTCTTGACAACAAGTTGATTGCTGAATCTGAGTTGGCTTTGGAGAAGGGCCTACCATGCAGGATTGAGTGCGATATCGTCAACACTGATCGTGCCCTGGGCGCTACTCTGTCTTACCAGGTCAGTCGCCGCTACGGAGGAGCTGGCTTGCCACAAGACACCATCCACTCCAACATCAAGGGTTCTGCCGGCCAGTCTTTTGGTGCATTCCTTGCTCCCGGTATCACACTTGAGCTTGAGGGTGATGCCAACGATTATGTCGGAAAGGGTCTTTCAGGTGGTCGCCTTATTGTCTATCCGCCTCGTGGTGCAGCTTACAAGGCAGAGGAGAACATCATTATCGGTAACACCTGTCTTTATGGTGCTACCCGGGGTACTTGCTACTTCCGTGGTGTGGCAGCCGAACGTTTCGCTGTCCGCAATTCTGGTGCTACTGCTGTTGTTGAAGGTGTTGGTGACCACGGATGTGAGTATATGACTGGTGGTCGTGTTCTCATCCTCGGACCCACTGGCCGTAACTTTGCCGCTGGTATGTCTGGTGGTATTGCCTACGTTCTGGATAAGAACCAGGACTTCCTTTCCAAGGTCAACATGGAGATGGTCGAAGTCTCCGGCCTGGAAGATCCCGCGGAAATTGCCTTTGTCCGCGGTTTGATTGAGGATCATCACCATTACACCGGCTCAGAGTTAGCCGCTCGTATTCTGCTGGACTTCACTCGTGCTTTGCCTCATTTCATCAAGGTGTTGCCCACTGACTACAAACGGATTCTGGCGGAGGAAGCTGCCAAGGCCGCAGCTGCTAAGAAGGCTGAATTCACCATTCCCCAGCTTCCCAGCACTCCTTCAGAGAAGTCCAAGCACAAGGCGGAAGGCGAGGACAAGAAGGCGGAGATGCTAGATATTGAGGACAGTGTCAGCGATTCCAAGACTGAGAAGAAGAGATCTGCTCTGATTCTCGACAAGACAAGAGGCTTCATGAAGTACAACCGCCGCAGTGAGAAGTACCGCAACCCTGCCACTCGTACTCGGGACTGGGCCGAGCTTAATAGCCGTCTCAGCGAGGACGAGCTTAAGTATCAGTCCGCTCGCTGCATGGACTGCGGCGTTCCTTTCTGCCAGTCCGACACTGGTTGCCCCATCTCCAACATCATCCCCAAGTGGAATGAGCTTGTTTTCCAGAATCAATGGCAGGATGCGCTTAACCGTCTACTCATGACCAACAACTTCCCTGAATTCACTGGCCGTGTCTGCCCTGCTCCTTGTGAAGGCGCCTGCGTGTTGGGCATCAACGAAGATCCCGTGGGCATCAAGTCCATTGAGTGTGCCATCATTGACCGTGGGTTTGAGATGGGATGGATGGTTCCTCGCCCTCCCCCGACGCGCACTGGTAAATCGATTGCCATCATCGGCTCCGGCCCTGCTGGTCTCGCTGCTGCAGATCAGCTAAATCGCGCCGGTCATAGCGTCACTGTATATGAGCGCGCTGACCGTGTTGGTGGCCTGCTCATGTACGGCATCCCCAACATGAAACTTGACAAGAAGATTGTTCAACGCCGTGTCGACCTTATGGCGGCCGAAGGCATCAAGTTCGTTACCAACACAGCTGTTGGTCCTGACAGTGAGGTTTCTTTGGACTCTCTGCGTCAAACCAATGACGCTGTCATCATTGCCACGGGCGCTACTGTTGCCCGTGATCTTAAGGTACATGGTCGTGAATTGGATGGTGTGCACTTTGCCATGCAGTTCTTGCACCGCAATACCAAGTCTCTTCTCGACTCTGGTCTGGCTGATGGCGAGTACATCTCCGCAAAGGACAAGCACGTTGTCGTTATTGGTGGTGGTGACACTGGCAATGACTGTATCGGTACTTCTGTTCGCCATGGTGCCAAGTCCGTCGTCAACTTTGAGTTGCTTCCTCAGCCTCCTCCAGAGCGCGCCCGCGACAACCCGTGGCCCCAGTGGCCCCGTATCTATCGTGTCGACTACGGTCACTCCGAGGTCAAGACTCACATGGGCAAGGATCCTCGCGAATATTGTGTCATGTCTACCGAATTCGTCGATGATGGTAATGGCCATGTTAAGGGAATCAACACTGTCCGTGTCGAGTGGACCAAGAGCGCTTCTGGCGGTTGGGACATGAAGACCGTTGAGGGTAGTGAGCAATTCTTCCCTGCGGAGCTTGTTCTCCTGTCAATGGGTTTCCTTGGCCCTGAGGACCGTCTACTGGGCGATGAGATTGAGCGTGATGCTCGTAAGAATGTCAAGACACCGCCAGGCCACTACTCTACTAATGTTTCTGGTGTCTTCGCTGCTGGTGACTGTCGCCGTGGACAGTCTCTCATTGTCTGGTAAGTTCATTCCCATAATCTAAAATTTGAGTGGAAAGGAAACACCCAACTAACAATGACTTTCAGGGGCATCAATGAAGGTCGCCAATGTGCACGTGAAGTTGACAGCTTCTTGATGAACACCAGCTCTTCGCTTCCTGTGACTGGTGGCATTGTTCGCCGTCCCGCTATTGACATGGTTCTGCATGCTGCAGAGCAAACTGTCATCGCCTAGGTGAAAAATGACCTTGGCAATTTTGAGGCTGGTACAGTATCTTCACGATGATATGATCTATGAGTTCTTTTCTGTTGAAAAAGTTTGTTGATCGATCTGGATCCTGGACTGGGTGGTCACCAACTGTAATCATCATGATGGATGGTTCCTTATTGAGACGATATTTGTGACAAGAGAGCTGGGTTGAATATTTCCCGGTTTATTCTCCTTACTTTTCCGGTTGATTCTTTTTCCAAGAGGCGAGTTTGCTTTTAGTTGCAGCGTCATTCTACAGGATTTCATGCTGGACAAGCAAGGTGCCGTCAGAGCGTTCACTATTTGCATGAGTTCTATGTTTTCATGTGAGATGTACATATTTATTTCTTGTGCTAAATTCAAAATTTATGCATACTTTTTTTTTTTTCCATTTTGCGCTCCAAGGGCGTTCAGCTGCAGACTTGTAAACGATAGACTCGATGAACCGTACATGATTGTAACCATTCTAGAAAAGGGAAAAGCAGAATCCGAACGATTTGCAACAGAAGGATAAAGGGAATACGCACCTTGCCTATGAGCTAATAATCAGTTGAACATGTAGATAAATCCACTTGTTCATGTCGGTGTGTCGAGAAAAGGATTCATTCCCCTTGTCAGCCGCGATTGATGGAAACAACCACTTACCAAGAGCGTGATTTCCCAAGTCATTCGTTCCTCACGTTGAGGCCCTCCACAAAAAAACAAAAGAAAAAAATCACCCACCTATACACTCCGCATCCTTATTCAAGCAATGGCCCCTAGAGCTCGACCGGGAGCGGGAGCGGGAGCGAGAACGAGACCGAGACCGAGACCGCACACGCATCCGCGCAACGTCTTCCAAAGCCTCGATTCTGGCCTGGTGGAACGCAATCTTCTCATCCGTCAACATGATCGAGTCCAAGACCGCTTCGCCGGAGTGATACTCGATGGCGGTGTAGTGCAGGTTCTGGCGGCGGATGGCCTCGTCGATTAGGCCGCGCAGGTTCTTCTGCTCCATTTCCTGGTCGAGTTGGGTGGGTGGCTTCAGGCAGGGTTTCAGGGGCATCCCGCTTGATCCTGTGGGCTGCATGTCGACTGCGCTAGGGTTTTCTATGCTGAGCCTGCGGCTGACTTGCTCGAGGGGTTTGATCTCGGTGATTTGGCCCCAGTGGACGGACTTCGGGGGAGGGTTCTGCGGCTGCGGCTGCGGCTGCGGCTGCTGTTGCTGGTAGTGTCCGTAGTCGCCGGAGTGACTGTGGTGGACGTGGGGACTGTGGTGATGATGGCGAGGAGGGCGCCCCCTGTCATCGCGCCTGTGGCCTGCTTTGCTGTAGTTGTGCATGGGCTTCGCGGCGTGCTTGCCCATGCGCTTGAGAGGATAGCCAAATTCGGGGTCAAGGTCGTAGTCGTAGCTGTGTCTCTTGGGCGGCGGGAAGCAACGTCTTCTGCGCTCTGCGCGGCGCGGTGGAGGGGACGGTGGAGGGCTCGGGGGCGGAGTGAACGGAGGGGATGGGGGAGGATTGCCCGGTGGGGACGGAGGAGGATTGAACGGCGCGCGCGAGGACCGGAAACGAGAGCGGGAACTAGCGTACGGGCAGCCCATAGTAAGAATGATGAAGAAGAGGACTTCAGATAGACGAGCCAGCATCGGAGGATTGGCCGTTTGGTGATGTAGAGGAGATTGCGATGCGAATGGTGGTTGATGGATATGCAGATTCTCCCAGGGCCATTGCGGTCCTTTTATACTTGCAAGAAATATGTATCGATTTTTGATGTCTCTGTCTAGGGAAGCAGTTTAAGACATATGATCAACTCGATATCTTTGAGCTCTGAGACTTGATGATCGGCAAATGAGCGGATAATAGGAACAAAGAGCATCCTGCTGTACCTGCTAGCGCTTTGTTGTTAGTGCAGAGACACAATGCTTTGTCCACTGTCGACTCCTGAGGCAACGAAACTTATGTCTCGAAAATAGTCTCGGCGTCAAGGATGATAGGACTTGGTTCATTCAATAGTGTCCTCATACTCTAAGACACAGTATGTAGTTAACAATGTATAATACAGTAATTCCACAAGGGACGGGTGTCCCACCCACACCGAATGAAAAATATGAAGATAAGACAGGATCGAGAAGCGAACTAGAGGGTATAGAGAGGTTATATCCCACCGGCCTTGCGATTCGCCTCTTCCTCGGCCTTCATCTCTCTCTCTAGGGCAGCGAAATCTCCCTGGAAGGCATCCTCAACGGGCTCCCCCCGGAGATCCCAGACATCCTCGCTGCTGGCCCCTGTCTTGTACTTGACCGCCTTTTTCCGGTAGTGATCACGAATCACTTTCTTGCGCTCCTCGTCCGCCATTCTCCGGGTCTTCATGCAGAGCCAGAAATTATCCCAGTGTTCGCTGCACGACCGTAGCTCGCCGTACCGGTACACATTCACGAACTGACCGCCAAAAGATTGGCAGAAGAAAGCATAGTCAAATGCTGAACGACACGACATGGTATCTGGGTAGAGTGATTCCGGCGCAATGGAGGCCGGAGGTTGTGGAGTGTTTGGTGTTTGTGATGAAGTCTCCGCCGTCTGTGAGTGGGGTTGCGACGATTTTGTTCGCGAGACATCCGCCTTTAAGCTCTCTAGTAACTGATTGAACTCTGCATCTGCGATTTCCTCGCGACTCAAGGGCCGGGATTGCGACGGCGGCGGCGGCGTCGTCGTTGTGCTGGTATTCTCTGTTGTCGGTGAAGGTTGCGGTGTCGAACTGCTGGACAAAGAGGGCATCGAGGATGAAGGTTGGGGTTCCTCCTTTGCAGGAGAAGATGTCCACAGCCAGCCCATCTTGAATCAAATGTATCGCAGAAGTGTAAGAGTCGAACTGTTGATAAGTAACTGTGGTAGAATAACAGCAAACAATATCACAGACTACGGAGGATCTTTGGAGGTCGAAATTTCGCAGATCATCCCGCATACGTGCTGTGACGGTAAGTTTGGACCACATGTGGGGATTTAGGTAATGAAAGTGTAACAACCGGTATACAACTGATCGTCAACCAGCGACGTCATCAACAGGAACCGACCTCCGTTAAGAAGCTCCTCGCGCGCAGTGCTAGAAGACTTCTGTGTCTCCCTCATTGCTACAGAGTCATGGTCTCACTGAAAAGATGATGCGAGTCCCGTTCTCGAGTACGGTACCGCGTACATACCGGGCCCCATTGCAATGGAGACCTCCTTCTCCTCCTCGGTCCATTCCTCGAGCCCGCTATGTCCAAACGGTATCTTGGCTGGAGACAGGGCACATTGAAATGAAAGACAATGAGGGGCTGCTCTTTGTGAATAGTAAGAAACACTGTGAGGAACTTTGAATAGCGATCTGATCATTGCCTTCGACAGATATATTTCCATCCAAACTACAATGGCTGCTGCTGGGTTCTTTCAGTGGGATGCACTCGTATGAGGAAGCCGTGAAGAGGATTAATAGACCCCATTTTGCCGCCTCTGATACACGTCAAATTATCAATCGAGCGATACCACCGAACCCAAATTACGAGGTCCAAGAAGTGATTCCAAGGTTTAGAGAAGGCGGGGCGTTCGTGAAGTACATCCGCAAGGCCGACATCAAAGACACAGAGATTGAAGCCTCTATCACAGAGCATCTGAGAGAACATCCTATCAGGCCCTGGTTCAACCCCTTCCAGGAAGTGAGAGTCTCGCGCGTTATTGGAAGACCGTGGATCGAGGATCTCTACCGCATCCCGAGCCCGCGTCTCAAAGTTTCCTTCTTTCCCGTCTCTCCCGAAGCATCGGCGGCAGACCTCAGCATAGAGACACTGTATGCCCTTTTCCGAGGATATGGTAAAATCGAGGACATCGAGAAACAGCCGTCCGACTCCAAAGTCTCTCCGCGATATGCCTATGTGGAATTCTCCCGACTCAAGTATGCAGTTACGGCCAAAAACTGTATGCATGGATTCACCCTTCCAGAGCAGGAGGGCGGTGGGAAGTCGGGGACTCGGCTCAAGATCAAGTATGAACGGAAGATCAAACTGTCCATGATTAAGGACTGGCTCTTAAGCCACCCAAGAATCGTCATTCCCGTTATTGCTGCCCTGATCGCTGCCATCACAGTCACTATCTTCGATCCAATGCGCACTTTCTTCATTGAAATGAAGATCAAGTCAACTGCTCAGGGCGAAGACAACAATGCGATCCAGTGGATTCGCAAACAGGTCAGCAAGGCAAACATGATGTATTTCGGCCATAAAAGGGCGGATCCACGCGGCCTAACAGCCATCTGGGAGGACCGCCAGGACGATATCACCCGACTGCAATCCTGGTTGATGGAGAACGTAGAGACCTTTATCGTCGTGCATGGGCCCCGTGGCTCGGGCAAGCGGGAACTGGTGCTCAATCGGGCACTAATTGACCACAAATACAAGATAGTGATCGACTGTAAGCAGATTCAAGACGCCAGGGGCGATACTGCAAAGATCGCGAGGGCAGCCAGTCAGGTTGGCTATCGACCATTATTCTCATGGATGAACAGCATCAGCAGCTTCATCGATCTTGCTGCGCAGGGTATGATCGGGACCAAAGCAGGATTTTCTGAAACTTTGGATGCTCAGCTCAGCAACATCTGGCAGAATACAGCCACTGCTCTGAAAAAGGTTGCCCTAGAGAACCGGAGGAAAAATGACAAGGACTCCCATCTGACCGACGAGGAATATCTCGAGGCCTATCCCGAACTTCGCCCAGTCGTGGTGATTGACAATTACTTGCATAACGCATCTGAAAATAGCGTCGTGTACGATAAGATCACCGAGTGGGCTGCCGGGCTGACAGCTGGAAATATCGCGCACGTCATATTCCTCACGACTGATGTCTCTTTCGCCAAACCTTTGAGCAAAGCTCTGCCGAACTCCGTGTTCCGGACAATAGCTCTAGGCGAATGCTCCCTTGATGTCGGTAGGAAGTTCGTGATGAATCATCTCAACTATGAGGCAAGGGATGGGAAGGCCCACCCACAACATCCTGAAGATTTAGAGGGTCTGGACGACTGCATCCAGATATTGGGAGGCCGAGTAACAGATCTTGAATTCATGGCTCACCGTGTTCAGGCAGGAGAGACACCACGAGGTAAGTCTTAATGTCACTCGTCTTTCATGAAGAGCCACTGACGGGTGTACAAGGTGCCGTCAATCGCATTGTCGAACAGTCGGTCTCGGAGGTCCTCAAGATGTTCTTATTGACCCCCGAGACTATGGAGCAGCAGTGGACCCACGAACAAGCCTGGTTCCTGATCAAGAAACTTGCAAAGTCTAAAGATGGAGAACTGTCGTATAACGAGATTGTCATCTCAGATCTCTTTAAGGACAATGGCGAGATCACTCTCCGCGCTCTCGAGCATGCCGAGCTCATTTCTATCACCTCCGCCAATGGCTGCCCCCGAATCATTCGGCCAGGACGCCCTGTTCTTCTAGCAGCGTTCAAGAAATTACTTGACCACAAGCCATTGAGCAGCCGCATGGATCTTACAATTATTGCTCAGATGATCAACAAGGAGAATAAGAGCATTGGAAAGTATGAGGAGGAGCTCAGCCGGCTAGGCTCCCTTCCCAAGCAGCCTCGGGAACTGACAACCAGGATTCAATGGCTGCTCGACAAAGTGTACAGTTCGCAGAACAAGATTGCCAAGTATGAGAAGGAAAGCGCATTCCTACAAAAGGTACTGCAGAACGAGCATTGAGTGCTCTATCGTTCGAGTTTGATATGAAATAATGAATGCGTCCATCTATATATATGTCACAATAATTACATGCCACACCCTCATCAAAATAGCAATATCTAAATGATAACGCCCACCTTTTAATCAGAGGCCAGCGAGGCCTTCAATATAGAGTCTGGACTTCGGAGTAGAGAAAGTCTATAGAAATAGAGAGTGTAATGCTGCTGAGTAAGCAAACTGGGTAATAACAATATTAACATCACGATGTAACTGAACTGTGGATTTGCAACTTCGCTGTGACGCTCATTAATACTATTTCCTTATTGCTTTCATTTTTCATTCACACAATAGATTTCTTCTCTCCTAACATCTCCCTATGCATGGTTTCTTTTGTTGTTGTTAATTCTTAAGCGAACTGGAAAACTCTCATTCCTTGTTTTTTTACGCCTTCCATCCCTCAAGGCCATTTTAGACCTCGGACGGGAGATATGGGAGATCCTGGAGTATTTTCAAGCAGCTTGCTACAGTCTTTATTATCAAATGATCCTCGAGAGCTGATATGGCCGACTTTACTCGCCATTATCGTCTTCTCATGTCTTGCGACCCGCATCATCACCGGTTTCCAGAGCTGGCCTGAAAAGGGAGCCGGTGCAGGACTGCCACGGTTGATCAGAACGGTCCCTTACTGGGTTCCATGGCTGGGCCATGGCATATCATTTGGCTGGGATCATGTCGGTTTTGTCCAAAGAGCCAGGTTCGTAACCACAATGCCATTAAACCACCCACAGTAACTCTTCAGTAACTCATCAGGAGAGCAGAAATCACATGGATGAAGCTGTATTTGCCATTATTATGGGAGGTACAAGGCACAATATTGTGGTGTCGCCATCCTTAGCCAGGGCTATCTTATCCTCCCGAAGCACATCTTCTGTTTCCTTGATCAACTATGCTCTGGAAAAGATCGGAGGTGACAAGGGCGCGATTCGTGGCCTCAGCTCAAGCGACCACCATCTAATTCATCACAATAACCCAAATCTCTTCATGCGAGAGCCGTTTCTCACAGACGCTTCAAAAGATGCTACTTCTCTTATTGAACGAGAGACACCCAATCTAGTGACCTTTTGTCGAAGCATGGTTGACCAGGCGCCCTGGGAGAGAGGGAGCGAAGCCGAAGTCATAGACGGCCACGACAAGCCTATTTCTACGGTCAACCTATTTGCTCTTGTTAGGAATTTCGTCGGTCACATTACGACTTCCGTGTTCATGGGACAGGCACTGCTAGAGGCCTTTCCTGATCTGCTTGATGACATCTGGGTATTCGATAGCCACTTCCTTGCTCTTTCGCTAGGGGCTCCCCGTTGGTTGCCACTGCCAGGGGTTTCGGCCGCCTATGCGGCCCGTGATAGAATCTTGGAAAACCTCGCTGCATTTCACCAGGCATTCGTTTCTTGGGACGATGGCAATGAACCCGCGGTGGAGTTTCGTGACCTTGAAGATGTCTCTGAGCCCGTGAAGCAGCGGATTCGGAAATTTAAGGAACTAGGGTTATCAGCCAAGTCGAGTGCTCCGGGTCATTTGTCTCTCCTCTGGGCTATGAATGCTAATTCTCCTAATGCGGTTTTCTGGCACATCCTTCGCATCTACTCCGACCCTGCCCTTCTGGAGGAGGTTCGAAAGGAGATTGCTCCTTACGTCAAAGTCTCCAGGCCTAGTCGGGAGGAGACGGGTTTTCCGTTTCTCGAACCCCCCAAGATCTCCCTAGATTCTGATGGACTATTCAAGTCCTGCGTGTTACTAAAAGCCAGCTTTTATGAAACGATGCGCTTGGATTCAGCAAGCCTTTCATTCCGAGAGGTCACCACTGACTTGACCGTCACGGAATCTTTGGAGGATGCAGCAGCAGCTGGCTTGACCCAACCACGGACTTATGCGATCAAAAAAGGGGAGAATGTGTCGGTGGTGCACGGAGCGGTCCAAAGAGACCCCCGATTCTTTTCAAATCCTGATCAGTTCGATCCACTCCGATTCGTCATTACAGACCCGGAGACAGGGGAAAAGAGAGCGGAGATGCACACCATCTCTCCGTTCGGAGGAGGAGTTTCGGGATGTAAGGGCCGAGCCTTCGCAGAGAGGAAGATCCTGCTCTTCTCTGCAGCAATTATCTCCATGTGGGATATTGAACCCGTGGAAGGCAGCGAGTTCAAAATTCCTAGGCACAGGCGCTCCACAGGGCAATTCGCCCCCAAAAATGATATCCGTGTGCGAATGAGCACACGTGTATAGGCCACATTAACCTTGGTATATCTAATAGAAAGCATTAGGAGTCATGGCATGATATGCATTATGCACTTTATATCTCTTTTAATGTACATATCAACAGAAAAATGTCCTAGATGATGGGCTTCATTTTCAGCCACTTTCCGTTCATGCAATGCAGGACCACATCGCTCGAACCATTCCTATGAGGCAGTGCCCTCATTGATATTTGACACCTCTTCAGAAACATCTAGATTAAGTCTCTCTTTCAGTCTAAGATAAGGTGAAGATCATATTGCTATTCAGAAAGTGCGGAGAAATATCCGAGTCGCGGAGTTTCGCCGACAGTGACGCTATCAGGTCGCTTGATCCCCTCATATTAATTAGTTAGATGACATAAATAAGCAACATCTCACAACATTCCCCAAGGGTAACTGGCAATACATGATCTTGACCGGTCGTTGACGGTCTCCTATACAATGGTGCAGGACACCAAGGCAGAGAGGCCGCCAAACCAAGACTATGATCTCTCAGCACCTATATCCTCAAACTCGGGGCTTCGACAAGGACTCACGTCCTATGGGGATGCACACTTCTCTCTCTTTCTCAGAAAAGTCTTCATAAAGGCACTAGGATACTCGGAAGATGCCCTCTCTCGCCCCATCATTGGCATCATTAACACCTTTTCCGGGTTCAATCCCTGCCATGCGAACGTGCCCCAGCTGATTGAGGCTGCTAAGCGTGGTGTCCAGCTCAATGGGGGACTCGCAATTGAGTTTCCCACGATCAGCGTCCACGAGTCGTTCTCCTATCCAACCAGTATGTTCCTGCGCAATCTGATGAGCATGGACACGGAAGAAATGATCCGTGCCCAGCCGCTCGATGCGTGCATTATGATCGGGGGTTAGTGTTCCTTTTTTTCTGCTTCTGAAGTCATTTGTCAATCATTCACTTGATGAAACAGTATCCGAGATCTATGGAGTACATGACTGACAAAGTTCAGGCTGCGATAAGACGGTTCCCGCGCAACTTATGGGTGGCATTTCAGCGAACAAACCAATACTGCCGCTTGTAACGGGTCCAATGATGCCAGGAAGCCATCGTGGAGAAAGATTAGGTGCTTGTACCGATTGCCGGAACAACTGGGCGGCTTTCCGCGCGGGCGACATGGACATTGAGGAGATTTCAGCTATCAATGAGGAGCTCGCGCCAACAGTGTGTCCCACGCCAAAGTCCCACATTGATGATCACATGTAACTAACCGTGACCACTTAGATCGGTACCTGTGGCGTGATGGGAACTGCGAGTACAATGGCATGCATTACTGCAGCTCTGGGGTTGATGCCCCTGCGAGGTGCTTCTGCGCCCGCTGTGTCGTCCGCGCGACTCAGAATCGCCGAGGAGACAGGAGCGAATGCTGTGTCAGTGGCACTTGCTAAGCGGAAACCACAAGAAGTTTTGTCGAAAGAATCCTTTCTTAATGCGATCACAGTCATCCAGGCCATTGGAGGCTCGACGAATGCGGTGGTACATCTGATGGCCATTGTTAATCGCCATCCAAAGCTTCAAGGCGTCATAACATTGGACACATTCACAGAAATCGGAAATAGGACGCCCCTGCTGATTGATCTAAAGCCAAGTGGCGACAATTATATGAATGACTTTCATAACGCTGGAGGCATGGTGGCACTGCTGCACACCCTTCGCCCACTTCTACACCTGTCAGCTATGACGATTACCGGTCAGACTCTAAAAGAAGTCCTAGACTCGTCTCCATTTCGCACATTTCCCCTCTCGCAGCAGATTATTCGCCCGTTATCCGACCCTCTTTATCCTTCATCATCCCTTGTTGTCGTGAAAGGGAACATCGCTCCCAATGGTGCAATCATGAAAGCTTCAGCGTCCAAAGACCGCAATCTCCTCTCCCATAGAGGACCGGCTGTTGTCTTTGAGAGCTCTGAAGACATGGCTAGACGGATTGATGATCCAAATCTCGAAGTAACCAAAGACTCAGTGCTGGTGCTAAAGGGAATAGGTCCCATTGGCAATCCTGGCATGCCGGAAGCTGGCCTTATTCCTATACCGCGCAAGCTCGCTTCTGCAGGTGTCAAAGATATGCTGCGACTCTCTGATGGGCGCATGTCAGGCACAGCTGGAGGTACTATTGTTCTTCACATCTCGCCAGAATCGGCTTTGCCTGAGTCTCCCTTTGGGGTGATCGAGACTGGCGATCTAATTTCTTGCGATGTTGAAAAGGGCGAACTTCATTTGGAGATTTCTGACAATGATCTGAATTCCCGTATCGACGCACGAATGAGGAATACTTCTGATGCAGTTGTAGCTTCGTCAGAAAGACAACGCAGAAGAGGCTATCGTGGTTTGTATGAGAGATCGGTGAATCAGGCGCAAGATGGAGCCGATTTTGACTTCCTCACAGCGGCGGGGCCACCCGAATCCAGTATGTAGATGGATCCAGACATTTGATATATACAGTATTTGAGATATCTAGAAATAGTATTGGTGAATTCACCTGTAAAGAGACAAGACAAGTCAGAAATACGCGGTAGCCCTTACCCCGTGCCCTAAGCCCTTGGACTTTCCTGATTTGGTAAAAAGTCATTGCGTCGCGTCAACGCGTCACCGCATCAGGAACGCGTCGACCGAGACACTCCGCATTGCGCTGCCGGAGGAACAATACAGACTCCAATATCGACGGAGTATTGATCTGGATACGATCGCAAGACCATTGTGAATGTTTGTTCGCCGATATTCTCACAAAGTATAAGGTCTCCACGCAATGGCGACCGAAGCGCTTCGGCCCAGAGGCAGACCTGCCCGTGAGTACATCTATTAAGCCCCATGTTCGATACCTGGCTGAATTCTTGGATGACCAGATACTCCGGGAACAACTGTGTTGACATACACACCAAACGGTCGTCGAATCGTCACTGGCGGTTCTAATTCGGCGATTCGAGTCTATACAGTCGGAGAAGATGGTGAACCGAAGACCATCGATGAAGGTGTCGATGGGAATCTTGGAATTGGCGCTACTGTACGTCGATTACCACCTTGAACGGTCTCGCCAAGGACTAACACGCTTTTTCAGAATGACTCTTTTATCATGGGAGCGGAGGATGGCACAGTCTGGAAGTATGGGATAGAATCAGGCAAGATGGAACAACTACTTGTACGATGCGCGCTGCCCGTTAGAGATTTGGCGGTCACAAAGGATGGGGAATGGGTGGCTGTTGCGAGCGAGTCAGTTAATCACGGAAAGATATCATGAAAGGAAAAGAACTGACATCGCACAGTGAGCTCACAGTCAAGCTTGTCAATATCGAAAATATGACCATAGTCAAGTACCTCCGAGACCAAGCCAAAGGCACGAAACACGTTTCCTTTGATCCGAACGGACGGTACATTGCCGTCTCCTGCACAGACGGTCTTGTCTATATCTACTCTTCTTTCTCGGACGAGCCTGAGTTGGTACGGAAACTGGACGGGGTCATCCGAAGACTGGAGCCGGAGGACGAGGCAACATCAAGAATTGTCTGGCACCCTGATGGGACAGCATTTGCGTCTGCTGAAGCCACTCGGGATGTCGCTATCTATTCTGTCTCCGAGTGGAAGAAGGAGAAGGTCTTCTCAGGTGGTCACAATGGAGATATCACCTCGGTCAGTTGGTCGCCCAATGGAGCTCTTCTTGCGACAGCGGGTGCCGATGGCCAGATCTTGATCTGGGAAACCAAGACCCAGAAAGTCCTCCACCGCTATGACTTTGGGAACGTTATCAACCTTGCTTGGCACCCTAGCAAGAACTCACTGTCATTTACAACTTCGGACGGTGAACTCTTCATTTACGATGGCTTCCTACCAGAAGAACATCAGCATCACTTGCAGAAGCCCTTGCAGGCTGCGCCTATATTCCCTGGGGTTCTGGCAGAGGTGTCTGGGAATGCCGCTCGCTCATTAACAAACAGACCGAAAGAGTCGATCGAGCGCCCACGAAGAGCAGGTACACCCGACTCGCTAGATGATCTTCTCGGGTCCGATCAGGGCATGGAGGATTTTGTTGAGGACGATGATGGGGCCGGGTACGCGGAGGGTGTCAACCCATATGGCAAACGGACGAATGAACATCTTGAGGATATCGACGGGCATCTTGATAAACGGCTATTGACCAGCTATTCGAAGCCCAAAACGCATCAACCTCTTCAATCAGGGAGCACGCCTTGGAGAGGCAACAGACGCTATCTCTGTATGTGTTAACTTTGAGTCGATTGGACTGGCCCATGCTGACTGAGATAGGTTTGAACCTGACTGGCTGTGTTTGGACTGTTGATCAGGAAACACACAACACAGTGACCGTGGAATTTTATGACCGAGAACTTCACCGGGATTTTCACTTCACAGATCCCTATCTCTACGATCGCGCATGTTTGAGTAAGAAACGCTAGGATGCTGCGAAATAATGCATACTGACAGCAATTAGATGAAAATGGAACCCTCTTCTCAAATAACCCGACAGATGGCAGCCCCGCTACTATATTCTATCGCCCTCACGAGACCTGGACTACACGGGCGGACTGGCGGACGCAACTACCCCAAGGAGAATTGATCAGAGGTACGCCGAATTGAAATCGTTCAAAACGTATAACTGATGAGGATATAGCGCTGGCGCTTAGTGAGTCGTATATCGTGGCTGTGACGACCAAGGATTATGTCCGTGTGTATACACTGTTTGGCACACCATTCAAGGTGTTCAGACAAAAGAGTCCGGCAGTTACCTGCGCAGCTTGGCGCGACTATGTGATGACTATCGGCAATGGACCACTGGGCAGTGATGGCCTCACAGCGACCCTCAAATACTCAATTGAGAATGTCAAAAGAGATGAAGTATGTCAGAACGAGGATGTAGTTGCTCTTCCAGAGGGTTCGGAGCTACGCAGTGTCTTCTTCTCTGATAGCGGGGTAAGTGATCTTTTGAGAAAACAGACTCTCTGTGTGCAGCACACTGACATTAAGCAGGATCCTTGTATATATGATTCGGAAGGCGTGCTGTTGATCTTACAGCACTGGCGTATCAACGGTCAGGCTCGTTGGGTCCCACTTCTTGATACTAAACAACTGGAGCGATTAGCGGGTGGACGTAAGGAGGAGACTTACTGGCCTGTTGCAGTTGCGCAAGAGAAGTTCCATTGTATCATTCTCAAAGGAGGGGACAAATACCCCTACTTCCCACGCCCACTGCTCAGTGAGTTTGACTTTCGGGTTCCCATCTCCGACGCACCGCACAAGGACTCATCCGAGGAGGAAGAAGACGGCGCTTCTCGTGACGATGCTGCTGCGCGGTTTGAGGAGTCCTTTGTTCGTGGCAATGTCCTTCTTTCACTGTTCCAGGATCTCTTGTCATCGACCAATGCAACCCCCAGTCAACGGGCAGAATTGGCCAGGAAAGAGATCGAGTTGGATAAGATTCTTTTACAGATGCTTGCGGTTGAGTGCAGAGAAGGAGAGGAGCGTGGCATGAAGGCATTGGAACTGGTGGGGATGATGAAGGATCGCAGTGGAAAGATGATCGAAGCTGCGGCCAAAGTGGCTGAACGATACGGACGTGGTGTTTTGGAAGACAAGATCCGGGATCTGGCAGAGAAACGGTTCATGGGCACAGATGATGATGATGAGCTGGCTTGATCATGAGGAGGCGTTCTGATGCATGTATATTTTTTGTCCTTTTGGATTGGTGTTCCTTTGAGGTTCATATTATTTGATACCAGTCTAATACGATGTGTATGACCTTGACTATATTGCCCATTGCGATGTTCGAACAAGCCTAGAGCTCACATCATATTTCTTAACTTGAACGATTCAGATCTTCAAACGGCATCTCGTTTGTTGTTGTTGCACCGCATTCTTCTCTAAGTTGGGCTTCATCTACTCGGCTTCGGCGTTGTATCCGACGTCATCAAAGAGGCCAAACGAAAATCCGACTACAAATCCCACTTCTCGCTTTTCCTTCCATCAATTGCAGCACGGCGTTATCAACAAAAGAATCATTCCAGCACATGGCTTGACAAGCATCATTGATCTGTCGTCTCGTACGGCTTATGAAAACTCCTTGAGATACCTTATCCAGTCCCTTCGTGATGCCCAAGTTGCCATCTACTCCGCCGTCCCAGTCCGTACGATGTCTTCTCCAAGCTCCGCGGCCGTCGATTCCTCATTCTAGCCCTCGCCAGCACTTTGTGTGTGCTCCCATCCGGCCGCTGGCGCAGCCGCGGCAGGGCATCCTCAATGACCCTTGGCCAACGCCGGCGCCGCCCACGCTCTTCTCGCAGACGGACCATAAAGCTTCAATTGATGGACTGAACGGGGAGCCGAAAAATGATCACAAGCCACCTGATGAGCGAATCCTGAAGCTTGGAAAAAGTACGTAGCATACGGCCCTTATGTGTTGATGGAATGGGGAATTTGGATCGCACCGACGAGGACAAGTGCTGACTCGTACGTTTTTCAATTGCAGCCCTTCGCACTCTTTCGCCGCTTCTACCGACTCTACTTATCCACCCATTACCACCGGACATTCTTGCCCCCAGTATCACACTCCATTTATTTCCGTCAACCCACCCGCACCTTCCGACGGTGAAAGGTCGGACGTTATACCGGGCAGCGCTGTGGACAGTCCCCGTGGCATGGAGCAGCCTACCACTAGTCGGGAACGTGAAGCTTCAGATCCTCAGCGAGCGAATCGTACGTGCAGGCACCGTCCTCGACCCCGAGGGGAGCAGCGACAGCGACAGCGGAGACGAGCGGCTGGTCGTACGGTGGAAGACCGAGCGCAGGAGCGAGGGAAACACCGATCGACCGGTCAGCGCATGGAGCGATTCCGGCGACAGCGCAGCATCGGAGAATCTCAGCCACGCTTCCGCAAAGAACGGCATCAACAAAGGTCTCAGCGTGCTTCTGGGCGGCGATGCCCCGATCTTCAAACTTTCGAACGAGGAACAGTTCACCGGTCTGTTCATCTTTTCCTTTGACGAAGAGGGGCGTATCGCTTCGCATACCATTGAGCATGCGGATGATGCGAACGGGTGGGACCGGACGCCCAAGTTCGTCACCTTGGCCGACTGGCTCATTGGGAAGGCAAGGGGATCATTGGATCCTCTTGCGCCTGGATTGGCGATGCACGGGTGTCAGTCCTCGAGCTATGCCTTGGGGCACCCGCACCGTGGGTTTTCTCGCCAGCCATAGCTTGGCTTACTTACCTGTAAGTCTAATATACCATACGCCAATAGCATGAAATGCCTGTTGCGCTGTTCTCGCAATCGCTTCAACAAAACAACGTTCAGCATGATTATGGCGTGGCTTTTTTTCATCTCTGAGTCGTTGGTCTCGTTGATTCGACGTGCCACTTACAGCAACCCTCCCCTCCTCTTTTCTTCGTGTACTTATACGACCATGTATTATACCCAGCAATGATTGTATAGATTGAACCGATGAGCCTTCGAAGTATTATACAGACCCCATAAAATAGTGTACAAATACGCATCCTAATTCCAGGCTGATACATAGACATCCAGCTCAACTAGCGTTCAAAGCAATCGTTCACAGGTGGAGACCTGGTTAAGGATATCCAACCCAAACATCGAACATACCGGCTGGTGTGAGGCAGCATCTCAGTGAAGCTACACCACGCCTATAGCTTCTTGCTCCCGGGCAAGGGGTTCTTCAACATTGTGAATACTGCCACACAGACAGCCAACATGGCAAACCCACCAGTGGTATAGGCGATCTCGCGCCCGGCCCACCAGAAGAGCGAGCAGAACAGCAGCGGGCCCGCGGCACGCCCAACCTGGCCCCAGCTTCTCAGGCGGCCCAGGACGACCCCACGCTCTCCTTCCCGCGCCTCAAAGCTGCCCAGACTGTTCAGACCGGTCACGACCGTGGCACTTGTCACGGCGAGCAGAGCACCGGAGGTGTAGAGACCGGCAAGCGAGGAGACACGCGCAAGGAGGAAAAAGGAGATAGCACAGGCTACCACGCCGGCTCGGACGGTCATGAGAGGCGGCAGACGGCGGACCACAGTACCTTGGAGGAGAGAGGCGATGAGACCCATCATGGAGAGAAGACGGCCGTTCAAAGCCGATGGGCTTGCGGCGCTTCCTGCGTAGAAGGTCGCGGTGAGAAACGGGAGTGAGAACTCTAGGCCGGAGAAGGGGAGGAGGAAGAGCAAGTGGAGTAGATTCAGCACAGCTGGATTGTTAGTGTGTTTGTGAGGAGTTAGATCAGCTGGTTGACCAGTAGATTCGGGGCCATTGGTTCTCTTAGTTGAGGAGACATTCTCCCCCTCTTTCAAGGGAGCATGAGTGAACTTGGTGAGACGGGGGTGCGTCTCGGGCAGACAGCGGTACAGGTAGAGCGTCTCGGTGACGATCAGCAGGAGCGAGACGCCTGCAGCTGTCGCGAATGGATTTGCAGCCACAATAGTGATATTTGAGAGCGCAGCGCCCAGAGCCGGTCCGCAGGTGAACGCTATGCTGAAACACGCGCCCACCAGCGCCATAGTCGAGCCTCGCTGACTTTCATCACTGATATCCGTCGCAATTGCGTGCGCCAGCTGCACGTTACCCTCGCTCAGACCGCCAACAACGCGACTGGCAAGAAAGGTGCGGAAATCCGTCGCAGCGACCCAAAGTGCGACGCTGAGGGTGTTCCCCACCATCGAGCACAACAAAGCCGTCCTGCGTCCATGTTTATCGGAAAGCCGGCCGATGAATGGAGCAGCAATGGCCTGGAGGAATGAGAAGAGCGAACCCAGCGCCCCTCCAAGGAGAACGATATCATATCGAGAGTCGATCGGCTTGGCGAACGAGTTCTTATAGGTGTTCAGGAGACGGAACATTCGATTCAGGAGGGAGGTGGGAGAAGGGTCTTGCGTTCGATAGAAGCTAAGCAACGAAGGAAAGAGTGGCAGTATAAACGTAAAGGAGATCTATCGCAGTTTTTGAGTCAGTAAGAAGTCCTCGAACCTTCAATAATAGTTGTTTCGGTCGTGATCTTACCAGATCTAAAAGGAGCGATATCATCAACACCTTGAGTATCCTCTTCCGCTGCTCTGCAGCCAACGCCATAACGATCAAATCAGACAGCGATAACGCGTGATTATAAGAGTGAAATGCAGCATGGGTATAAGTACAACTGTACAACGAGAGACACCCAAGAATCACACGATTATGCAAAAAGATGATGTCTCCATCAAGCTGAGACAACGATGTCCGCACCTGATCAACACTAATCACATTATGTCATAGCCCTGAGCCCTATCGCCGCATCAGGATATCTATATCTTTCTGAGGATAAAACCAACAGCCAAGGGAGACTTCTATGAAGTATCTACGGAGATCTTGAGTTGGTGAGATGAATGCCATTCATTTCATTTGCTGTCCTCAGCGTGTACTTGCACACACCAGGATGAACCATTCTTCCGCCCTCATCGCAGCCCGTTTCCCAAGCTCACCGAGTTTTCAATCCAATAGAACAGAGTAGTAGAATACAGGAGAAGGGTAGATTGTAGACAAGAGATAAACGCCTGGGAATACACAGGTGGCGCAGAAGATGGTGAATAGATTCAACAGAAAAATGAAAGAGGAAATGGAAAACATCAGACCAAGGATATGCACGCTCAATAACTGTCGGACATATACAATAGGAATCTTTGGGGAATCAACCAACCAAAAGACGGAAACCGAAAGCGAAAGGATAGAAGAGCCAGAAACCCCAAGACCCATGCCTTTGCCGCCACGAATCCTTGTTCCCGGTATTCATTTCGAGAGGTTCATTGCTTTCGTCAGCCATAACACCGCCATACCGATGCGCTTATGAGAATTAAGACAGGTAGAGAAGGATATGGAGAAATCGAACGGGTAAAAGAAGAAGAAAAGATCAGGACAATGACGTTGACATGTCCCATGCATGCCAAGTGAGAGACTACTGCGAACTACCATGTCCTCGGAGGATTGGATTTCTGGCGAAAGATCCATGCGAAGAGCAGGTAGCACGATCACCGACTCTCATTATGAGATCTTCATGGAATTACTGGGCCGCAGGGGCTGCAGCAGTTAGCGCACCGTTAGGTCCACCGCGACCACGGCCACCGCGTCCTCGTCCACGGCCTCTAAAATCGCCACGGCCACGGCCGCGGAAACCATCACCGCGACCACGTCCACCTCGACCGCGACCCCGACCACTAGGCTGCCTCTGATGATGGACAACAGGTTCGAACCCGTCGCCGCTTTGTGTCTTGGGTACAGACACAGTTTCCTCGCCCTTTCCAGATACCTCGGCGACAGCAGACTCATTCTTCAGTACAGGTTCAACGGCGGCTGGAGTAGCCTGCAAGCCGGTTTCGGTCTCTGCCGGGTCGCGGGGAACCTCCACCCAGCCATCAGCGTTCGCGGAGGATTCAAGGGACTCGGGTTCATTGGATTCCCACGACGACTGGGCGACGGGGTTGGCCGCATCGGAGACGAGAGTCTGAGTGGGAGGAGGGACATCGGTTTGAGCTGAGACCACTGCCTCGCTGGTCGATGCGCCACTGGCGCCAAGTGGGCCGTCTTGGAGTTCAGTATAAGCTGCGTTGACCAGAGTAGGATCGGAGGCGGCAGTAGAAGCAGCGGGTGCTTCCGTAGTAGTGGTCACTTCTTCCGTGGCAGGGGCAAATTCCTCCGATGTCTGCTTCACCTTGGCGTCTAAAAAATCATACCGAGTTAGCCAACTGATAGTCTACTACCGGAATCAAAAAGCGGAAACCCCATACAAGTAACTTCGAGTATCTCGCCCTCCACACTGGCGATCTTCTCATCCACACCGTCGATCAGCTTGAGCATGGAGCTTACGGCGTCCTGAGAGCCCCCGTAGACTTGGTAGAGGACACCTTCAAACGCACGGCTCTCGGCAGAAGTTTCGTCACCAGAGCGTCTCATGGCGGCCGCGGCGCAAAGGAACTTGGTCAGGCTGAGCAGACGCTGTCTCAGATCCTTCTTGCTGGCCTCGGCAGCCTCGGCGGTAGCCTGTTCCCGGACCGCGTCCAATTCCTCCCTGTGAGTCTTCTCCAAGGCGGTCTTCTGGCTAGTCAGGCGCTCCTCGTAATGGCTGGCGAAACTCTTGAATTGAGCAATCTGCTCCTCAATCTGAGCGATGGAAGCCTGGAGGGCAGGTTTCTTCAAAGCCTGCGCCTTCTGATCCACATTGATCTTCTTATCGGCAACAAGCTCGTCCAAAGATTTACCAGGGTTCTCAGCGATGATAGCATCGACCTTCGCGGTTGCGTTCTGAACACATAACATGCCTGTTAGCAGCCGTATGGCGTATGGAGAAAGAAGGGTGGGGTGTCAGTCTGGCTAGGCGGCAAACCTACCAGCTTCTTCAGAGCATTGCGCAAGCTCCTATATGTATCCGGTCAGCTTCCAACCCCAGAGCCATCAATGCAACAAGATCAGAATGCGGATGCGCAAGCTGTGACGCTCAAACTGGCATACCTCTGGAGATCTTTGACGTGGGGGTTGTCGAAAGAATCCAGACTGTTGGATGTCTCCTCTGGCTTAGAGGAGATAGATAAAGTGGCTGCATGTTCTGTCTTGGGAGAATCAGACTGAGCCTGAGAGTGGCTGTTGACAGAAGCGGCTGCCATGGTAGGATGTTTGTGTGTGTGTGTGTGTCTGTGTGGATAAGAGCGGCGAAGATCAGAGGCCAGAAGCTTCAAGCAGGATAGATAGAGGATATCAAAATTGTGGCAGTAAGAATTAGATAGAGGCCTTAATATGCCTCGTTTAGATAGAGCAATTAGAGACGGAGACCGTAAGAGAAGAGAATGAGTGGTAGAGAGCTATAGCGATGTTGGCAAGAGGGAAGAAGCTGTCATGAGCTGAAGAGTCAAAGATGCGGGTGGAACTCTTCCGAATCTCTCGCCGCTTTGTCGCGTGCCCGCAGACACCCAGTCAACCAGCCCAACAAAAGAGCCTAGTGACACCCATTTTCAATTGAGATTTTAGTAGTTATCATATCATTGATGACAGTACAGCGCCTAACATGCAAGGTGATTTTACGTTATTTTGGGAGATCTTATTGTGTATATCTGCATTATCCGACTCAAACCATGATTGCTGGGTATCAAATTAGGACCAAAACCAAGCACCTGAACGCCAATCCCCCGTAGAAACTCGTATGATCCATATAAAAAGGTATTCGGTTCTGGGGATTATTCATGCGCGACGTACGCATGTATAGTGACCCATTTCCAGGGTGAGTAGCCGACGCGATCGACCATAACAACAAGAATCGAGGAGAGACAGTCGTTTAGCCTTTGAACTTTCGTAGTGTTTTCTGAGTGGAGTTCAAGAATTGTTAGAGGCTGTTAACATCTGATTGACATTGATGACTCGAGGGTTTACAACCTACCTCTGTGACCTTGCGAACGGAGTTAGGGGAGATGTGTTTTTCGCCAGCTTTTCGGGACTTCATTGACGCTTCGCGCATCAGTCTACCATGCTGTTAGTAGAGTCCAAACCACGAGTGCTGCGTGGTTGTAAACCATCGCAAGAGCGGCTCAATCTCTTTGCTGGCGACCTGTACCCCCTACGACTTGGTGGTTGTTCAACTCACTCTTGCATGAAAAGCATATAGTCAAGGAAAATCTATAGATAATGAAGAGAATGATCAGCCCGTGGGCTTTGCAATGTGTTGGCATGGGCCACTCACCAGAATATCGGCATTCTTACTCACGCTTCTGTTCGAATGCGCCTTCACGATGCGCTTTACGGTCCCGCGAGGATAGAGCTTCTGGGTCGCAGCCATAACTGACTTTCATCAATTCGAACTCTCAGAGGACAGTATAGAAGACTGTGATGATAATGCGGTGATTGATTGCTTGAATTGGTATGATGGAGATAAGTCTGATAACAACAGTAGCTATTGATTTGTTACATTACAATTCATCTTGCAAGTTCCAGTCAATACAGAGGACATAATGGGTGGAGACTGGAGAGCTTCTCGTATATGTAATTACAGTACCTTACTGCACGTGGTCTAGACTGGCCCAATACTATCAGGGTTTACCCATTCTAGTCCACGGTGGAAGTGAGACAAGTTGATAACCTTACCTGAGTGTCTGATCATCTGAATGAATGATAATCTACGACACTCAGTTGAGTATTCTTTAAAGATCTGACGTTTGAAATTTATGTAATGTACATTATATACTTGTGTAGTCGTAACGCTCCTTGATCAATACCTACTAAACACCCTCAACGACCTGTTCGACCTTTGAGAAGTCTCCATGCATAAACACCTGCCATGGAGCCCATGACAATCCTCCATGCAATGAACACATAGATGGCAAGGCGGAGCCTATCATAGTACCCTCTGAGCATGATGCCAACCGCATAAGTACCTCCGTCGTTGTCCGACGAGCCATAATACCTGCCCACTCCTAGTCCACCAATCCCGACCTCGTTGTGGCCGTGTGCTGTATTTGATGCTAGCACTACTGGTAATGCTGCCGTCTTGCTGTCCACAGCTGTATTGTTGACGATGGTTCGGACTCCAGATTTCACCTGAAGCATATTGCGTTTTCGAAGACGGTACGTCAGAAGGCTGATGATCCACCGCAAGTCAGGTGTTGTAAACGTAGGATACTCCCACAATTGCACAGCCGTATGCGGTGGCAGCATATCCAAGAAATCGGCCAGGATTCCTAGGGTCAATCCCCATAGAAGCAAGGGCCGATTCTGATTATTGGAGTTAGCTCCATTGCCCCAACAGGTCTTACACCGCTGAATGAAACTGCCGGTAAGGTTGGCAGATCCGTTCAAATTTACTTTTGTGTTGCACTGTAGGCTTTCGGTCGGTTTCAATTGTATGGCAGAAAATTTCATTCGCCCCATAAAGGCCCGATAGAGAAGGCGGGTGATGAACCCGCCTCTATTCGCAAGCCTTTGCGACATATCCACATACTCGGTAGTCCGTAATGAGGGTGATAGAAGAGCATTGATAGATACCCAATGCGTGGATGCAACCTCGGTTGGCTGTAACCTGAGATTCGGAGATTCGCTGCGAGTGAGCAAGAAGACGAATGGACAAAGCACCATCAATCTGGGCATCGGGGATTGTCAGCATGATTCCATATGTATACAATCTACACGCCAACATACGGTACAGATCCCCAGCTTGTTGTCACAACCCGTTCAGGCAAGTTTCCGACGTATATATAGTCACCGGTTGTCAAATCCACTCCTACCTCCTCCGAGGCCTCCCTGATCGCAGCTGCTCGATCATCGGTATCCTCTGGGTCACGCTTCCCTCCTGGGAGCGCAACATGTCCAGTCCAGCGATCCCCCACGCGCGAGGTTCTCTTGATGAATAGAACTTCCGGGGTTCCATGCTGAACCCATGTCTGGCCAAAGAAGTCGTCCAGTCGTTGTTCGGTGGCAATGGTTCGATCTTGCACAGCAGGAGGGGTGGGAGAATCGGGCCAATGCGCATATCTGGGTCTAACTCGAATAATCAACGCAACCGAGGCACGTTTCTTGCATGAAGGCGGATTAGGGATATGAGGATAGGGTCTTCGGTGCAGGTCGATCAACACATTATGGAGAGAATTAGGCACCGATGCCGAATCCCGCAACAGCTCAGGGTCAATCGACTCCATAGCGCACGCCTATTTCGAAAAGAGAGAATTGAATATTTTGAACTGCAACGGAGGAGTCGAGTGAAAACAAACAAACGGTTCAGCTGTTGGGCAGTCACCGCTAGCAGACAAAACGCTTATCACCGATGACCCCGTTCTTCGTACCTCGGGTTCTGTTTTGTGTACAGCTGATGAAACCTCCACGTAGTGTATTCGTATTACCCATCGGTGACAGGGTTCTTCCCGTCCGAGTGTTTATTAGACGTCATAAGAGCTGTGATTGGCCAAACCAGCATTAAGCTAGTGCAGCACGTGCGTCAATGAGGCATCCTGATAACAGCTTCACGACACTAGCTGGAGACTAGGTCGAGCCACCCATGTCCCATAACTTAGTCCTTTAAATGAGGCCTTAGTCCCAAGGACTTTCATTTTTCTTGACCTGCAGTGTTGAGCTTATCTCAGGTTGGTCGCTTTTGGTGCCTGTCGTATATATTTGCTGTCGATTGACACCTTCGAAGTTCCCGAGTCGAACTTCCCGCTATCCGGCCTGTATAATCTGACCAATCCATAGCACTCTTCCCTTGTCGGCACGTTGTTAGCTGAAATTCAGCTATCCATTCATCATGCGCTTCGGCAAGACCCTGAAAAAATCAGTCTATCCCCCGTGGAGCGGGAAATATATCGACTATCACAAATTGAAAGTTCTTCTGAAAGAAGATGATGTCACAAAAGACGCCAGTGACTCGGAAGGGTCTCAATGGACAGAACAAGACGAGGAAGCTTTTGTCCAGGAACTGATCAATGTTCAGCTTGATAAGGTTAATGCTTTCCAAGTTGAGACCTCCCAGCAGCTGAAAGAGCGAACTTCGGCCTGTGAGAGCAAGTTGCGACCTCTGGCACCCTCCCCGGATCAAGAGACATCCACCATGGATGAGAATGAAAAGAGGGCCATTGCTTCTGAGGTTCTTCAAGAACTAGACGGTATCGCCAAAGAAATCAGCGAACTCCAGAAATACAGCCGTATCAACTTCACCGGTTTCCTCAAAGCTGCGAAGAAGCATGACCGCAAGCGTGGGGCGCGGTACCGTGTGCGGCCACTGCTGCAAGTACGTCTGTCACAGCTTCCATTTAACAGTGAGGACTACTCGCCGCTCGTGCATAGGTTGTCAGTTATGTACTCCTTCGTCCGCCAAATCCTGAGTCAGGATGATATTGAACCTAAGGATGCCGGTGAAACACGTTTTGGCCAGGACACATACTCGTCGTTCAAGTTCTGGGTCCATGAGGATAATATTCTGGAAGTCAAGACCTTTATCCTTCGGCAATTGCCTGTGTTGATCTACAATCCCAAATCATCGAGAGACTTTGAGTCGCTTCCCGAGGATCCCACAATCACATCGCTCTACTTTGACAACACTCGCTTTGACCTGTACAACCAAAAGGTCGCGAAGGCTCCCGAAGCCGGATCGCTAAGGCTTCGGTGGACGGGAAATCTCAAAGATAAGCCCGCTGTCTTCCTGGAAAAGAAGATCGTCACAGATGACGATCACAGCAGAGAAGTGAAGGTGCAGCTCAAGGAAAAACATGTTCAGGAGTTCCTCGAAGGGAAGTATACGTTGGAGAAACAGGTTCACCGAATGGAAGACTCGAGTCAGGGCGAATCACCAGAGGCAGAAGCGCTCAAAAATGACGTGGAGGAGTTGCAGTCATTCATCAAGGAGAAGAATCTGCAACCCATGCTCCGGGCCAATTACACCCGTACTGCATTCCAGATCCCTGGCGATGATCGCATTCGGATATCTATGGACACCAATCTTGCACTGATCAGGGAAGACGCGCTGGATCAGGACCGTCCTATCCGTGACCCTAACGATTGGCATCGTAAGGATATCGACGAGGAGGGAATGCAATACCCGTTTAGTAATATCCGAACTGGCGAGATCAATCGCTTTCCTCATGCCTTGCTGGAGATCAAATTGAGAGGTAGCGCACATAACGCGGAATGGGTCAAAGATCTCATGGTATCTCATCTAGTCAAGGAAGCGCCCCGCTTTTCGAAATTTGTCCACGGTGTCGCTCAGCTCTTTGAGGACTACGTCAACAGCTTTCCGTTCTGGCTGAGCGAGCTGGAGAATGACATCCGGCGAGATCCCGAGACGGCGTTCCATGAGGAGCAGGAGAGACTTGCAAAGCGCGCCGAGGACGACATGGCTGTGGGAAGCTTTATGGGCAACAGAGCGAGTCCGAGTGTTCGACCCATGGTCGGATCACCTATGGCCCTGCTCGCGGAAGGGGGCTCCCCGACGCAAGTGAGACGGCCATCTCAAGCTATTCCGCGCCCGAGCCGGCCTTCTATCCCCGACGGTCAAGGCCGCACGTTACCCGAGGGTGTCGCGCAGGAAGACACAGAACCGATCACCTCGTCGCGGCTTGCCTCACTTTTCCCCTCGGTCGCTCTCTCACGGTCCAAGAGCACGCACCGGCAGTCAGTGGTGCTACCCCCTGGTGTCCAGAAGCCGGTCACATGGATCAAGGACTCCGGCCCCGTCCGTGTGGAAAGCAAGGTATGGCTGGCCAATCAGCGAACCTTTATCAAGTGGCTTCACATCAGCATCCTGCTTTCTTCTCTGTCTCTCGGTTTGTACAATGCGGCCGGTAAGCACAATGATATCGCCCGTGCGCTGTCCATTGTCTACACTTTCTTCGCCTTGTTCTCCGCCGCGTGGGGGTGGTACATGTACGAGAAGCGGTCGAGGCTTATCCGCCAGCGCAGTGGGCGGGATCTGGACAACACATTTGGACCTCTTGTCGTGTGCGTTGGCTTAGCTGTTGCTCTAGTCTTGAACTTTGCCTTCAAGGTAGGACGAATATCATCCATGGAAAGCGATCACGGAAGCTAACACGGAACAGTACTCGGATACGTTGAGGAAGATTAGGGAACAGCAACCGGACGCCGGCGCACCCTCGACGATCAATATGTCTATTCCTTCAGTTGGACAACCACATAACTGGCAGGTCGCCAACCAGGGTGTACTTGGATTGTGAAATGTTTCTCTATGACGTTTTGACGCGAGCATGACATGGACTGCACATGCTTTTTGTGCTATGTATATTATTCCTCGAACATACATGCAAGATGCTTGGGGGGATTCATTGATGGAGACCACGCATGTAGCTAGATGAGGTCACGAATCCTATAGGAATGATTGAAGTGAACTATTTTTTCTATGAAATCTGCCTGGTGTCTTTTGACTCTTCTATGATTAAGCGTTAATCTACGGAGTACTCTGTATCTACTCCGTACTATGAGATCTTAAGGCTCTAAGACTCATCGCTTAGTCCTCGCTTATACATCCAAATCCAGACTAGCGCGACATGGCAGGCCCACAACAGCTTTCTCCAAGTCAATTGACTCGCTGATCCACTTCCTCTTTCTCTCCACCTGCTTCATTAGTGTTCAGAACTTAAGTGTTTATCCACCACTGCTATCTAATCACCGAGATACCTACTCCGTACGTTTGAACCTCTACGTACAATCTGCAATTAGTGCAACAGCCATTATCGATGGCGTCTGTTGATCCCGAACTCTTGTCGGAGGAGAGGCCCCGTCTCATCCAGTGACTGAGCCAGGCAACTGGTCTCGAATGTGTTGACTCTGTCACACACTCGATGCTATGGTTAGGCGACCTTAAGGTCATCCATGGAATGCTTCGCGAGATACGGTAGAATCGGGGATGCCTTGCATATGAGCTGGAACTCCCTGAGGGTTGGAAGATACACCCTGTTATATCAGTCATTCACTTGGAACAAGCACACGTTGATGATACCCTTGACAGACCCAGGCCAGACATAACAAAGGCCCAGCCGGTGATTGTTGATGGACAGAAATAACATGAAATCGATAAGATAGTTCGATAAAGCGCTGACCAATGCCTAGTGAAGTGGGAAAATGGGGAGGAAACATGGGAACCGATATCAAATCTGAAGGAGGACATTCCTGATCTGCTGCGAGCCTTCCTCCCGGTCGTGTCCGTCACACATCTGGAACGGTTCCCAGAACCCGACCCTTTCAAACAACAAGCTGGAAACCCGGGACCCGTCTTTATCGTTATCGAGGGAGACACGGAAAAATACAAGCCTTACGAAATTGATAAGATTATCGCAACGAGAGACCGCAATATTCGGCGGGGAAAGAACAAGGGTAAAACGGTCATGCGCCCCCCTCCCAAGTCCTAGTGACAGCGGGTGCCCGTGTCTCCGGGCCGGGCCTCCAGCAATGAGCTCGCACCTCAACGCGGTGCTGGAGTCCAGTAGCCATATGGCGAAGCTAGGGCGAGCTCAAACTATGTCTGTAATATAAAGGTGCAGTGTTTTTTGGGATAACAAAACTGTCTGGCCGAAATGCTGGATAAAAAGGCTTTTGATGGAATTTCCAGGATTAGTCCGTATCATTTTCCGTCTCATGCTGCCTAGAACTCCATTCAATAACCCAAACAGATCTCATAAACTTAGAGGTGAAGTCTGGTCCATAAGTGTCATCCCATAGTATTAAAAATATGAAGCTTGTTGTATACAGTAGTACTGTAGTCATCCTCAAGCACTTCCACTTTGGGCTAAGGATGTCACGGCGAGGATCCCCCAGTCCAAACGCCTCAACTAAGCCACAACAGGACACGAAAGAATCAGCATACGCGAGACATCCATCTCCGAATACAGACTCATTTGCCATCGGAGTACAAAACGAGCTTCAAGCTGATTTGAAATGCTCAGTCAACAAACCCAGCTTGCTGACAAATCATCGTCAAAGCGAACTATATACGGCGTACCCCAGTACCTCACTCAGTACGAGCAACTCTCGATAATCCTTCAAAGAGAAACAGCAGAGTCCAGACGATAAAACCCACACAACCATGACCAACATCACCATCCAAATCGTCTCCGACACCGTCTGCCCCGTAACCCACCCCCCCCTTCTAATCCATCCCCATCCCCATCCATAACCGATCCCAACTAACCGAAACAGTGGTGCTACATCGGCCTCCGGCGCCTCTCCCGCGCAATCACAACACACAGAGCCTCCCACCCCACCGACACATTCACGCTCACCTGGCAGCCGTTCTACCTCAACCCGCAGGCGCCGGCGTACCCGGGCACCAACAAGCGCGAGCACTACGCATCGAAGTTCGGCGGCGAGCGCGCGCGCGCGATCTTCGCGCGGCTGGCGGGCGTGGGCGCCGGCGAGGACATTGCCTTTGCGTTTGGGGGGCAGACGGGGCGGACGAGGGATTCGCACCGGGTGCTTTGGTATGCGGGGAGGAAGGAGAGGGAGCGGGAGCTCCGCGGTGGAGAGGAGGGGGTGAAGGAGGAGAAGAAGGAGGAGGGGGTGGGGATTGGGGGGCTGCAGACGAGGGTGGCAGAGCAGTTGTTCCGGGCGTACTTTGAAGAGGAGAAGAATATCACGGACCGCGGCGTGTTGGTGGAGGCGGCGGCGGCGGCGGGGCTGGACCGCGCGGAGGTCGAGAGGTTCCTGGAGTCTGGGGATGAGGGTGGCAAGGAGGTTGATCTCGAGGCGGAACGCGCGCGGCAGCGCCTGGTGACGGGGGTGCCGTATTTCACGGTGCAGGGCCGGTATGCGGTGGAAGGGGCGGATGAGCCGGACACTTTTCTCGAGATCTTTGAGAAGGTGAAGCAGGTCGTGTAGAGCTGTGTGGGCTATATGCTATATGGATCTTCATCAGATTGAACCAGTGAGACAAGATATCGGTCATTTCAGCTACCTATTGGACATTATTGATCGAGTATGCATACCATGTACAATCAACAATCCACAGGGCCAGTAGTAAGATCTCGTCAAGTAAGCCCGGCCGACAATCATGATCTGGACAGCCATATCTCTAATGTACATCATCTCAAGCTAGAGAACAAGGTCCTGAGCACATCACGATGGCCAGCACGATTTCCATCCAAACGCCGTATCCTGCGAGCCCATAAGGTCACTCGTCGAAGTCAAGACAAAGAAAGAAAGAAAGAAAGAAAGAAAAAAGCAGGCTAGGGAGACTCCCGCTATTCATGGTGCGCCCCGAGAAAACAAAACCACATACGCTGTCCGTACACAGCTCGACAACAAATTCAAGGAAACTTCAAATGGTAATACAAAGCTGAAGAGGAGGGGAAACCCAAATGAAGGTGAGCATCACAAATTCAAAAACCAGCGCCACCGTCCATCTAAGGAGAGGATTGAGTAATGGAAGCTGAGAGGGCACCATTCGCAACTGCGGGTGGTAAAAGCAGGAAGTCATTAGCCGGAGAATCCGAGGTTTGAAAATCCATCAGAAGGCATTGGTCTGGTGCAATGCAAAATCAGGAATCCAGTCGAACCAATCTGTAGTCGGGTTGTAGCGATACGCTTTGAACTCCACGCCGTAAGGCTTCGGCTCCAGCATGTACAGCATTCCCAGAGGCACATCCAGATCAGCGACCTCATCCCGCTTTAACCCACGGAAGTACGCAAGCAGAACACGCGCCACCGACCGATGAGTGACAATCAGGACATGGTCCGTCATCCGCTCCACCTCCACAATGACAGCACGAAGGCGGTTGATCACATCCAGGTATCCTTCGCCTCCAGGGCCAGGATAGCGGTAGAAGAGTTTGTTCTTCTTGCGGGTTGCGTACTCCTCCGGATACTTCTCACGAATCTGTTCATAGGTCATGCCCTCCATCTCTCCGGCATACAGCTCGTCCAGCATCTTCATCTGTTTGACGTCGTACTCATCCTCGTTGAAGTTTTCGACAGTCTGGACCGAGCGCCGCATCATGGATGACCAGATACAAAAATTCCTTGGCCGATCCACCGGGATGTACGAAGGGTTGGGGGGCGTGTGGTCACCAGGACGAGGAGGGAAGTTGCGCATCAGGTTCTTCTGTTGCTGATACTCCTCCCATTGCTGCCGCTGGTAATCCATGAACCGGGTCAGCGCCTTGGCGTACCGGCGTCCATTCTCGCTAATCTCCGAATCGCCGCCGATGCGGCCAAGCTGGTTGTCCTGGCTCTCGCCGTGACGCGTGATCCAGATCTGGCGCGGGGACAGGTTGAAATTCAAAAGATAATAGACCACCTGCGAGGACAGGAATCCATGGGTTTGGTGAGAGACAATCTTGCGTCCCACATCGATCATTTGAATGTACGGAATGTTCTGGCGCTCCTCATACTCGCCGAGAGGAACATAGGACTTTTCGTAGAGTGCAACACGTTTTTTGAAGTCCTCCAGCGATTTCACCGGATCTTGACCCTTGTAGTCCGGACCGGACAGCTTGAGACGCATGTTTGCCTCCAGGAGCGCGGGGTCCATGCAGCTGCTCTCGAGGAACAAGACTCCCAGTTCCGGACCGGCAATTTTGCGGACGTGATCGACAATCAGTTTACGACGCTCCAGTGTGCTGTTGGTCGCATCCAGGATGCCGACGCTGCCACCGCGCACGAGAATGTAGTCCAGGAGCTCATCCAGCGTATCCAGAGCAACCTGTTCCCGCAACTTGACGGCGCGTTGGTTCTGAGGATCGAAGAAGGACGCGGACTGATCCATGGGCTCTGGGGACGCCTCCCGGATGGCCAGTTGGTCAGCAGGTCCGGCAGCGACGGAGGGCACGACAGTGCTGCCTTCTTGCTGCAGCGACGACGGCTCTTCCTCTTTTCCGTTGACAAGGATCTTGGTGGGGATCACTGGGGGTGGAAGGACGCCGTTGATCTCTGGAGGCGAAGTCGCGGCTTCCGGGGGCGAGGTCTCGGCCTGGGAGGTCTGCTGCTTCATCGTGCCCACACTGGCACTGAGCCTGCGCACCGAGTCCACGAGGTCCTTGTGCATCGATTCCCGTTTGTCGCGCGGCGCCATGGCTCTGGCCGGCGAAGGGGATTTACCCGCCGCAACACGACGACGTTCTCCCACGTTGAAGATTTCGGTGTCATGCTGCAGCCAGTTCAGGTAGCGAGCCAGCTTCTTGGTGACATAGCTTTTGCCTCTGGCGGGAAGACCGACCATGACAATGACCAGCTTCGAGCCGAGGTCTCTCTGCGCAATGCGTCCATCAGGCGACACCTTGGATTTGGTCAGACCGGGAATGTCGAGGGTCGTTGCACGAATCCGACTCGGAGTCGGGGCCTGACTGTGAGCATTGCTATAATCGGCACTGTTAGTACTTAGGTAAGTCTCTGAGTAGCTCCACGGACATGGAAGGACAACAAGAATGAGCAGATGGCAACAAAGTTTAGAGGCAGAAGCAAGGCATGAAAATCCGGGGAAAGATAGACCCGCCACGAGAAGCGCCGATCAGACATTCAGACACAGTGGCTGTTTTTGGGTTGCAGTTCTGCAGGATCTAGAGTCCGATGACGACCCAAACTGGTCCCCACGACCTCATCTCGCGCAGAATAGCCATGAATCATTGGAGGAGAAGAAAGGGGGAGGGAAAAAAAAAGAAAATAATAGAAAGGGAACTTACATCTGTGGAGACGGGGGTGCGGTAGAAACCGGAGTGTCTGTTAGGGCGAACCCGACACCATCCTTGGACGCCTGAGATCCCTTGTGGACATCGGAATGCAGCTCGTTCCCTAGCGCTCGTGCAACGAGAGTCTTGGGGGGCGGCATAAGACTGACGTCTTTCCCGTTTCCCGACTTGCTGTTGTTCTTAGTAGTCTGATTACTGGAGCTTGCATGAACGCCATTCGAAGTGACACCGTTCCGTTGGATCTCAGGCGCGTATGCCGACGTCATGATCGCAGTACGCGCAATATCTGAGTGTTGTGCCATCCCCGCAGAAGAGCAGGGATGCCAAAGCGATAAGAAGGTATGAGAAGAAGGATGGATGGATGATGAATGATGAATGATGGGTCTATCTTTCGAGAAGGAGACGAGGATGGGGGGAGACTGTTCTTCTTTTGAGAGAGATGACAGAAGGGAAGAAATATGATTTCCGCCCAGATCGATTATCTCTCTCCCTCTCTTATTTTTTTTTTATTTGAGAGTGAAAGACAAAGAAGAGGCGAGGGGCGCAAAGAGGGAAAGGGGACAAACACAAGGCGAATGAGCGTGAATACTGTGGGCGGGAAAACAGTCAGAATTCGGTGAATTTCCAATGAGTCAACGTCACAATCACTGGCTGGCCGACAAGACCGAAGAAGATGGATGCTGCCACAAGAATCAGGAGAATGGGGTGAGGTGATTCACTAGATATAAGATATAAGATATAGGATATAGGATATGGGATATGGGGGATATTGAATGATCTGTCTCGCCTCGTCTTGTCTTATCCTGTCTGTCTGGTCTGGTCTGGTCTACAGTTGTGAAAGGAAAGGGGATTGATTTGTGGTTGAAACAATGGAGGAATCCGTGGGGAGACTGATTGGATCTGGTTGTGCCGGCAGAATCACAACAGAGATGATGATGAATAATGACTCCAGAAAGAGAAGAAGATGGATATTTAAAGGTTATACAGCCGTCTGCTGCATCTGTCTTCGGTCTGATGAAGTCACTGCCTGTGTTTTTCTGCTTTCTGACTTGAAGGGGAAAAGAAACACAGACAGAGAGAGGGAGAGGGAGAGTGTGATGTGGTGGATCTCTCGGAAGGCTGATCACCGCTGTACTGGATCAATGATGTAAAGAAGTCCACTCGAACAGTATGTAGAATGTAGAATGTAGAACTGTAGATAGAATATTTGAAAGAAAAAGTCTTGGTTCCGTTTAATATTATAATCGAGAATCTTGGGAGGGGAGGGGAGAAATAATCATAATAATAGATAGATAGATAGACTAGAATGCAGCAACATAACTCCGGAGGCCTCCTGCTGGTGGAAATATGCCTTTTCTACAGAGTACACTCTATACTGATGCCCGTGTCTATCTACTGTCTCTCTCTCTCTCTCTCTCTCTCTTGCTTTGTCTCTCACTTTCATGTGCAGAGTCGATCACTACAACAAACCAATACCAACAAAAGGCTTGGCTTGGCCCTTACGGAGTAGAGAGATACACAAGCAAGTTGAGAATGCTTGGCCTAGGTAAGGATGCAAAGGGAACGAAGCCGAAATCTGTACTGGATCCAGGGATAGTTCCTTCATAGCATTCACTATCTAGTATCTACCTACGTATTCACCATTATCTCCCCGGCACTCACGGCAGTCATGCAGGCTTCACTCCGACCGGATTATTAAAGCAGTGGGTGGATAAGACCGGAGTTGCGTGACTACAGGGAGGCTTGATTTGATGTTCATGTTGAAACTGATTACAGATACTGGAGATTATTATTAATTGAACCTCAAAAAGGGGAAAGGAAACCAAAAAAAAAAGAAAAAAGAAATATCATGCAAGTGATATTGTCTGTCTTATGATACTTCAACCTAAGAAGGTGTGGAAAGTGGAAACCAAGCACCTGGCGATTAGCTCTCCCTAGCCTTCTCATCCAGCCCTGTAGAAACATCATGAGAAACTAGAAGAACTGGTTATCTGCTGAGTCTGCCTGGATAGATAATAATGCCGGAGCATCACACTTCAATCTTCACAAGGTCTAGACGACTGTTTCATGCAGCCCCCGTCCATGCTCCCAGGCCATTCAGCGATGGAGAATCGCCTCGTTGCGCACCCATTGGCTCTCATCGCATACCTCCCTTGCGCCTCCCTCGATTGCCTTCAAACACTGATAAGCTGCAGCATCAGATGAGCTATCACTTATCTGATGATACTTGTATCCAACCTCCAATCTCAGGGGCCCTCGGCCTTAAGCTATTGAGTGACCTCAGTCAGGAGTCACCAGCGGCCCAACTGCCCCTCGCTGGCTGGACAAGGATGGCAGCATAACTATCTTCCCTACTTGTACCACCTTCGGTTCAATTTCCGCCGGTTCATATGTCTGTTGTTGGCTTTACGGTCCGCTGAAGATCCCCCTTGGCAGCCTTGGCTGTGCCAAGTGGCATCACTCACCGTCGAGGACCGGTGGCCTTGTGATCCTCGTAGTCGTCCCATCGCTTGATTTTCCGCTCCAACCATCGCAGGCAAGGACACAGCCTGGTTAGGAGGTGCAAGATCGTGGGATTAAGCGGCTACTGCGTCGCATTCTGCGGGATTCTTGGCGCTTGGCAAACACGCAGGGGGGGAGGGGGAGATGTAGGCTGAGAAGTAGGGCAAAAAAAAAAAGATCACCGACACCGTCGATCCCTAGGAGAGGTGGGAGGCCTACTACGGCTCTCCTTGTGATCTGGCGCACTAACGTCCCAATCGCACGGTCAGCGCGATAAGAGTCGCGTACGCAGCCACACTCAGCGCCGTCAGGATCAGTACTGCATTCCCACTTGTTTTGAATTTATGATGCCGAACCCCGTCCTCTCCCACCACGTCGAAGAACTGGCGGTTGCCTTGTTGACGACGGAAAAGACCGATGATGAGCACGCCAGTCCCGTAAACGGCAAAGAGAGCGCCAGTGCTATAAAATTCGCTGGTGAAGATTTTCAGGACGACCAGGGCGAAGGAGAACTGAGATAGTGCTGTGCGGACATAAGCGCCTTCGAAGGTCCGTTGCGCGGCTCGTACTTCGACCATCTCATCGGAGGTCAGAGCAACCGTGCGAGCACGGTGCATTCGAAGTCGATAGCGGTCAGCTGCGTGACGCTGGTACCCGTTAGCACAAGATCATACCACAGACCGCGATGTGGTACGAAAATCAATGGTAGAAGCTCATCCAGCCCGAGAACAAAGGGGAACGGGCCAAAGAAGAGGCTTCTTCTATGTGAAACACGAACCTCGAACATGATGATATTTCACTGGATAGTGGTGGTGGTTGTGTTGGATCTCTGACCACACTGCCCTGGGTGACACAATCCCGGCTGCCCCAGTAGACTGTAGGACAGAACACGGCGATATTGAGATTAGCTGAAATGTTGATATGTCTCAGTTATTTCCAAAGACCGGCTTGAGATCTTCCTCCAGGAGCTCTCAGCATGAGCTGGAAGTTGACTTCCGAAGAAATTGATCGAGAAAACCGTCCATGGTCTCCTTTTTATGTTACATTGTAGATAAGAGTCCGAAACTCCGCTGGAGGTGAAACCGGCCATGGAGCTCACGTGGATCCATCACGAGTAGTATGAGTGCATACACCCCCGTCATTCTTCATCCTCGCCATCATCTTCATCCAATTGCTCTTCCCAAGTCATGCTAACACCGTATTGAAGTGCATCTCTCTGAAGATGGCCTTCTCTTAACTCTCCCCTTTGGTATTCGATATCCATCAATTCTTCAATTCTATCCAACCTGAGAGTCCCCTCATCTCGCTGGTTTCCCCACCAATGACCCGCCATTTTTCACTCAGTCAACCTATCGAAGGTTCAAAGTTCAAACCCACCAAACCAGCTGCTCCATATTTCATCCATCATTACGAATTAGCGATGGGTCGGCTATTGACTTTTCCCCAAATAGCATTCATCAATCATTGGCTTTTTCTTTTTTCCCCAATTGTTCGTCGATGCTTGACAGGAGACCCCCACACCGTTAGTCGTTACCACTTACCAGTGCTGTCGGTCTCTCGCCCGATAGATGATGGCCTGAATGGGGATCCGTCGGAGTGTTGAGCACTTAACAATAGAGCTGTTTCTCCTCAACTGGGCTGTCGGCTACTCTCTCTCTCTCTCTCTCTCTCTCTCTCTCTCCTGTGTTGGTTTGTACCCATTCGCGACCGTTATTCATCCATCATACTTTACCTTCAGAAGCAATCGCAGTAGCTGCGATAGCTCTTTATTTCTTTCAGAATGGCGAAGGTATTCGATGCCGCAGAAGGTAGACCATTCGTCTTCACCATTGTATGCAGTAATCCTGGTCGAATTGTCGGCTAACAAATGCAAATGTGATGTTTAGTCGCCAAACACAATACTCCCGACAGTTGCTGGGTGATCTTGTATGGCAAAGTATACGATGTATGGCTTTCCAGGATCCAGTCCAGTGTCGAGTAATACTCATCGATTATCTCAGGTCACCAACTTTCTCTCTGAACACCCTGGTGGGGCTAAGATTATCCTGAAGCTCGCCGGCAAGGATGCCACCGAGGAATATGACCCCATTCATCCACCAGGCATCCTGGAGGAGAACCTCAAGCCCGAAGCGCTATTAGGAACGGTTGACCCAGCTACACTGCCCAAGGTGCAAGGGGAGCCTACTCCTGCAGCGACGGCACAGCAGGAGGAGGGGCCCGTCCCCATGGAGGCACTTCTCAACATGGACGACATTGAACAGGTAGCCACGAAGAATGTCAGCCAAAAGGCCTGGGCCTACTACTACTCAGCGGCCGACGATAAAATCACCAAGAGCTTCAACACCGAGGTATATCGGTCTATTCTCTTGCGACCCAGGGTCTTCGTCGACTGCACAGAATGCGACTTGGATATTTCTGTCTTAGGACACAAGTTGGGCATGCCTATCTATGTCTCTCCTGCTGCTATGGCGCGCTTGGGTCATCCTGCGGGAGAGGCAGGCATTGCTGAAGCGTGCCGCAGCTTCGGCGCGATGCAGATCATCTCCAACAATGCGTCCATGACACCGGAGCAGATTGTCAAGGATGCGGCGCCTGACCAGGTCTTTGGATGGCAAATCTACGTTCAGATCGATCGCAAGAAGAGCGAGGCGATGCTGGCCCGCATCAAGAAACTCAAGGCGATTAAGTTCATCGTCCTCACACTTGACGCACCAGTTCCTGGGAAAAGAGAGGACGATGAGCGGGGCGGTAGCGTCGCCGCAGTCATGTCTATTCCCAGTGCTGCGAAAGCGGCTGACAAGGTCGCTGATGGTGTACCGGCTTCGGGTGGTGTTGGAAAGCAACTGTTTGCGGGTACAGACCCCACCCTCACTTGGAAAGAGACCCTGCCCTGGCTCGCCAAACACACCGATCTTCCCATAATTCTCAAGGGTCTTCAGACTCATGAGGACGCTTACATTGCATCTCTCCACACACCGCAAGTCAAGGGTATCATCCTCTCGAACCACGGGGGGCGTGCTCTCGACACTGCACCTCCCGCAGTGCACACCCTTATGGAGATCCGCAAATACTGCCCTGAAGTATTCGACAAGCTCGATGTCTGGGTAGATGGTGGCATCCGGCGCGGCACTGATGTCGTCAAAGCTCTCTGTCTGGGCGCCAAAGCGGTTGGAATCGGACGGCCTGCTCTCTGGGGCTTGGGAGCCGGTGGCGTTGACGGAGTCAAGCGTACTTTGCAGAGTATGTTGATATTCCTTTGTGATCCCTGCATCCCAACACTGACCTTGTTTCTAGTTCTTGCCGACGAGACCATCACTTGTATGCGGCTGCTTGGTGTTCAAAGAGTGGAAGAATTAGGGCCACACCATGTATGTTCGCTTGTCTGCCCTTCACTGCTACCTTTTGTCTGTGAGATTGATGCTGACTTTAACAAGATTAATACCCGGCTCGTTGAGCAACAAATTTTCGACGGACCTCCTGGTCTCGATTCCATACGGAGTGCCTTCCGCGCGAAACTTTGAAAGGCTTGATCAATCCATATTGAGACTTGAAATATAACAAATCCTCTTATATATGTGGCATCCGGCCTATGTACATTGCATTGTGTGGAGCTTCTACAGCAACCTGCATTCATCAAAAGAAACAAACTCGGTCGCTCGAACTGATGTACAACCCCAATCCTGTTCTGCTATACCATCTTTCCTACAGTAGATATGTTCGGATCATATTGTGATCGATACCATGGTTTATGTTGGCTTAACCTAAGCTCGAGTAAACAAGCCTCGGAGCCATATTCCCTCAAACCAGGCTCTATCCTTCTCCCAGCCCCTAACCACAAGATCCCTTCCGATCTTGACGACCTCTTCGATCTGTTCATCCGTTCCCCATCCTGCAACCGTACTGCCCCAGCAGATCAAATGGACGCCGACATGGATGGCGGTGCGGAAGGCCATATCCTCGTCAATCACGCCATACCCTTCCGCCAGTCCTTCGATGATCCAGATCCCTGCATCGATATCCTTGAAGTGCTTCAGCTCGTAGAGTTCAGCGATCATCTGGCCCAGATCCAGGGCCCGCGGGCCGTACTGGCATAGTTCCCAATCCGTCACGAACAGCGGTACATCAAGCTGCTGATCCAGGGCCGTTCCCGGGATCAGTACACTGCGACTCCATTAGCCTCGCCCCACCTATGCTCAGCAGTATCCGGTGAGAAGGAAAGAGGACGCAAAACATACTTCCCCGACCAAAAATCCCCATGGATCACCCCAAACCCCTCCCCCTCCGTCCCACCCAACTCCGCCGCCGCCATGTCCCGCACCCGCCGAAACACCGGCTGACTCTCCGCCAGCAGCGCAGGGAACCGACCCGCCTGCCCCACGAGATTGTTATAGTTGACCGTGAACTTGAGATCACGCATGAGCTTGTTCTTCTCCGACGCCTGCGCCAGCGCCCCCTGGCTCGCCTCAGCCACCCAGTCGTGGAACGCGCGCAGCCATTTCCCCACCGCGCGGCCGATCACCGTCGCCAGGTCGTGGGGCACGCGGTGCGCGGCCGCGGGCGCCAGCATGAAGGTCTTCAGGTCCAGGGCATCCGGGAGGTCTTCGAGGATCTGCGTGTTGGTGGCGCGGTTGAAGTGGAAGAGGTGCGGGGTGCGGACTGTGCAGCGCGGGGTGCTGGTGCTGGTGCTGGTGCCGGTGTTTTCTGGCTCTGCTGCTGTGGCGGGGACGTTGTTCAGGGCGCTGAGGATGGTTTCCTCGATAACCTACTAGGTATAGATTGGTGAGTATGGAATACCATACCATACCAATTCCTGGATGATCTGTTGGAGCGGAGGGGAAGGGACCTACGCAGCGCTCTGTGGGGAGCTTGAAATCGCGATTCGAGGCGGCGTAGGCCTCGCCGTGCTTGATGATGATGGTCTTCGTGCCGTCCTCGAGGGGCCGCGAGAGGATGCCCCGGTAGACGAAGTTGGCTGTACCTCCGCTGAGCTGGGTGAGAGTCGAGCAAGCGTATGGTGTCTGGGAGACTTCTTGCGATACAAGCGCGAGGATGTCCTGGTCTGCTGCTTCCTTGGACATGCTTTGGTGACTTCTTTTGCTGGATTGTTCGCTTTATAGTTGCTTTCGGTGGTAATATTCTATCAGGTATTTACATATATCGATAGGACTCTGGACTTTACAGTGTGTAAAGCATGATGTGCTTAATATATACATCTGCGATGCTTCTTCATCTGTCTAGAGGGCCGGACCGAAGCGATGCGAGATGATTCTGTCTGGACCAATCAAATACCCCAAATGAGTCATGGAGAATACGGGCACCCGTTCAGGAATAGAGTCTGCGGTTGTCAAGAATGATCTACACTACTAGAAATGTCAAATACGAGAAACGAAACTCCTGGTCAGTCTTGGTTTGAGTCATCTTCCAAGTGGGGGCATAGAAGCAGTCACTAATCACTATGAATAGGATGGGGCTCCGTTGACAATCCTATCATCACATTGATTCTTCTCTTCACATTTCATCATGCTTGATCCATGCAATCATTAGTTACATCTGCTGCGACATGTACAGATCCAACCATCACCCTGAGAATTGAGTGTCGTACCATCCTCAATACAACGACAAACCAAAAGACTTCCTACTGTGAATCAAGGCAGATACGCATCCTCTCGGATGAACTCGTTGAACAAGCGATCAAACTCAACATCGCGAGGCGGCGCATACACCGGTATCAACGGCTGCTTCCCCAGTCAGCTTCGAGCGTGAAACAAGTCCCGACGCATTCCCACAATGCACTTACCAATCGCTGGTACGGAGCGGAGAGACTCTCCTGTTCCTCGCGAGCAATCGAGCGAAGCAACTCGAGAACATCATCATTCTGCGCGGCCGCAGCAGTCTGGAGGAAAATCTGCTTGCTCGGCGTGATCCGGTACCAGGGGATGCACCGGATGAGAAGGCTGACGACGGTGACATGGCCGATATGACAAGCCAGGAGGATCAGGCCTTGGTGGAGGAGCACATTGCGTGAGAGGAAGCTCTTCACTCCCATTTCCAGGAGCACGGCCACCACGGCGGGGTGTTTGTTGCGAATGTGCTCGGCAAGTAGTTCGATACCGTTGTGTGCGATGTCCACATCCTGCAGGAGAACCTTTAGGGCGTCCACATTGCGCAGGGTGTCTGCCCACTCCACGGCTGTGAATCCCATCTCGTTTCTGAAGTTCGGGTCGGCTCCTATGATCAGCATCTGCTTGACTGCGGCAATATCGTTCTCCATGATTGCGAGGTGCAGCTTGAAATGCAGTATGCGCTGGAACTCGGCATCGCCCAGCTTGTCCAGCTCGAAAATGTCCAGCATTATCTCGACACTGTCATCGGATCTGTCAGTTGCCATTTTCAGCCAATCTCGTGTTGCAACACTGCTTGATAAGCTCCGGTTGACTGACCTGAGGATCCAGCTAAAAGGCCAGTGGAAGATATCAGCTGCTCCCCTGAAGTAGAGCTTGACTCAACTCTTCGAGCAAATCAGTACGAGTCAGGTGCTGAGTGAGAGGCAATAGCATACTTTGAGTTCTGTATGATCAAGCATACAGTGCGTTCAGCTTCACCAGCCAGAGGTGTCTGGTGGACGCCAGATGGGTGATTGAAATGGTTGAGTAGGAGGACTCTTTGACCTCCTCAACTGGACTTGCCACAGACATGCATTTGGAAGAAAGGAATGTCTTTGGGAAAGGCACATTTTTTGTTTTTGTGTGATTCTCGGCGTGCTTAGTCGTTGTTGGGTATATACAACGACATCACCCAAGACATCCCCCGGGTGGAGGAGCAGATAAAGGAGCTTTGCTGAAGGAGCGTGCATGTTCTCACAAAAGTACTAACAGATCATTTGAGGAAATAAGTGTTGGCTTTCCATATTGAAGAAATGCTATGGTATCTCCCTTACGATAATAGAAGATGTCCTCAGTCATGGTGGACACCTTCACAGTTGGCTGCATTGTATGGGTAGGAGGGATTAGTGAAACAGCTATCTCTCAACTTATAGCCAGGATGCTTTATCGCTTCTTCCCTATACACTCCGATAGAAACTTGATTGATGCAGCCCAAGCAGGGACATCATCGGTGCTGCTCCTTACCTCTGGATGCCGAACTATATACGGATCACGTGATCCTTCTCTCCGATTTGTACTTTTCTCATCATTTGCGCATTGGCCATGGGCAGTATCGAAGACCAGATTTCGACACGCTGAAGGATGGGCTTGATTCAATCCTTCCAGACATCTGATCAGTGTGTAAATAAGACTGGCCATAATGCCGATGCCTCAACCTCTCTTATACCATCTTTCTGGAGCGGGGATGAACAATAGCAGAATATCTAGTCTACTGAGTGACCGTGCAAAGAGCTCCCACTCGAGGACCGATTGCTTCTGCAAGTAGAACGCTGGTGGTTTGATTACATGGTCTGTTTATCACGATCTCACCTCGAAGACCTCATCTTCAATGCTCAAAAGACGGAGAAGTGGACGGAAGAGCGAGGCTGTCCAAATTCAAGTTCTGCGCCTCCACTGTTGAGACGGGCAACACCCCCCCCCCCCCCTCTCTCTCCTCTCTCCGTCTCCTCTGCATTGATTTCCCTCCTCCACCTGCTTTTGTCTGCCAACCTCCTTACTCCCTTCCCCCTTAATTGGCCGTATCACTTTCTGCTTTGTACAGCATCTTATCATATTGATTCTCATCCGCCAATTTCAACTCACCACGCCTCCCGTGTGGCTCAAACTCTCAGCTTCCAACCTGGGACCCCGGTGTTCCCTGTTGAGCTGCAGACCAAGACTCTTTGTCTTTCTCTCTCTAACTTGCTACACGATCGCTCGAAGCTCAGCCAACTTGTCGGGAAGAGCTCCACCACAGTTGCTTCCTCTGTTTCCCTCGCGACCCATTTCGGCCTACCTTGAGAATCTGTACGAGGCAATGAACGACACTACGCCCTCTCCCAGCCCGAAACTCACTTCGTCAACACCAGCAACAGCCGGCACCAAGAGAAAGCGGACCACCGCGGGGAAATACTATGCGGTAAAGGCAGGCTATCAGCCAGGTATCTACTATGAATGGAATGACTGCTTGACCCAAGTGACGGGGTACAAGGGCGCAGTCTGTAAGTATTGCGACTCTGAGCTTTTGGATGACTCTCAGTAACCTGCTTCTGTGTCAATAGTCCAAGCGTTCCCAACATACGAAGAGGCAAATGCTTTCCTCACAGGTACTCGTGCTCCCGCTTCCGGTGGCGCCACAACCTCAAGTTCCGAGCCGACGCGATTCTATGGTATTCAGCGTGGACGGGTACCGGGGGTATATACAGATTGGGCCAAGGCGCAGGAACAGATCAAAGGATTTGCACGTCCGCGATATAAGAAGTTCTCCACGCGGGAAGAGGCGGCCGAGTTCGTGAAAATGGGCCAAGGAGCGGGTGCTACCTTCGCCGGAGGTCCTGCTGGCCCAGGAAACCTACCTGGAGCACCCGGTCTTGTGGATGAGATTCCCAAGGACGAGCAGGGGAACCCAGTCAGGCCGGGTGAAGGTCCATTGCCGCCAGGCGCGGAAGACGGATTCGACCCCAATGTGCTTCTTGACCCAGCCACGGGCAAAGTGGTCCACAAGACACTCGAGCAGAAGAATGCAACTAAGTCGCGGCCAACAGGGCCTCCGGGGATGTTGCGGATCTATACGGACGGTAGCTCCTTGAAAAATGGCAGGGATACGGCCGCTGCAGGGGTTGGAGTCTACTTTGGACCAGGAGATACAAGGTTTGTCCTCCGTTTCCTCTATCTCAAGCGGCTAATGCCCTGTTAATTTCCTTTTTTTGTTCCCCCCGCTGACCCACCTCTTTCCTAGCAGGAACGTCTCGGAGCCCTTGCAAGGAAGTCGACAGACTAATCAGCGGGCAGAATTAACTGCCATTCTCCGAGCTCTCGATATTGCTCCTCGACATCGGGATGTGACCATCGTCACTGACAGCCGATATGCGATTGACTGCGTAACTGTCTGGTTTATCAAGTGGCGGCGGAACAATTGGTTGACTGCTGACCAAAAGCCCGTCGAAAACAAAGATTTGATTGAGTCCATCCTGGTCAAGATTGAGGAACGCACTGAGCTCAAGGTCAAGACCCTGTTTGAATGGGTGAAAGGACACAACCGCGATCCCGGAAATGAGGCTGCCGACCGTCTGGCAGTTAGCGGGGCTCGTCGGGGTGTCTCAGAGAAAGCAGCAGCTCTGGAAGCCGCTAGGGATTTCCCTGACGAGGTGCTGGACGATGATTTATTCGGATTGTGACTAACGGAGGAAATTATGTCTGGAACATGTCTATGATGTCGAAAATCGCTGGTTTGCGCTTCCCAGATACCTACAGTATATGATACCCGTTGAAGGGAAATCAAGTTAGTTGATATGATCTAAATATCCCCTCTCCTATTCACCTTAAATCGAAATTCGAATCCTCCATTCCCCCAGGAATAATACTAGCGTATTGGAGTGCCAGCAGAGGATCGGATTATTTGCCAGTGATTCGCTCGTCACATGTTCCCGCCTTCAACTTCTCCCACGTCCTTGGCGCTTGTTTTCTTCTTTTTCCCTTCTCCCCTCAGTCATCACGACGATCTTCGATTCTGGCAGAGTACAGACTTGTTCTCGGTCATCTTTTTCTCATTCTAGTCTCCTACTGCTCTTCTGACTCAAGTAAATCAGGCAGCTTTGCATCTCAATCCCGGATTCAGGACCATATCCTCCATCTCTACCTACCCAGATGATCGGAAAGCACGCAGTGGGAAAACCCGTCAACAATACTATGATTGAATAACATTTTCTGGTGAAAATTTCTCTATAGAATTCTTGTTACAATTTTGCATCTATTATTCCGTATATACAGAGTAATACCATTACTCTACTACGAAATTGACGATCTCCAACGTGCTCAACGTTGTAACACCGCTAGCCCGCAGTCTGTACGATCAGCCAGGCGAGCAATTTGTGGCCGTCAATAGTTCTTGTCTACAGATCCGGGCACTGCAAGCAAGGGGCAACATGCCTACGCTGTCACTGATCAATTTCAACATCGTCTGTGCGACTTTGGGAGGGTTCATCTCGATCTTTGGATTGGTGTCGTATCTCTTCAAGGAGAGATTCTACCTGTCAGAAGCCTGTTCGTGCGACGCTTTTTTTCCTTTTTTTTCCTTTTTCTTATTCTCAGACTACATAGTTCTAGATGAGAGCACGAGTACATTGTGACTGACAGATATCTTCCAGTGATCTCTCTATTGGCGGGTATCGTCTTCTCCCCTCATGCAGCCAATTTCATAAGACCCCATGAGTATGCTCTGGGCTCGGAGCAGAACCTAGAAGAAATCACTCTGTATTTCACGAGACTCGTCCTCGGAGTCCAGTTGGTCCTGGCTGGCGTCCAGCTCCCCAAGCGTTACCTGCAGATAGAATGGAAGACTCTATCGCTTCTCCTCGGCCCAGGAATGGCTGCTATGTGGATGTGTAGCAGTCTGGTGATCTGGGCTATGATTCCCAATTTCCAGTTTCTCCATGCGCTGATTGTCGCCGCCTGTATCACTCCTACTGATCCAGTGCTCTCCAATTCTATCGTGAAGGGAAAGTTTGCGGACAAGAACGTACCCCGTCCGCTGCAGAGGATGATTGTCGCCGAGTCGGGAGCCAACGATGGCCTGGGCTATCCGTTCCTCTTCTTTGGGCTGTATCTTCTCAAATATACCGGTATGGGAGGCGAGGGCGTTAGTGGAGGCGCAGGTAAGGCTATGGGACTGTGGTTCTATGAGACCTGGATCTACACCGTGATCCTGAGTGTCGTCTACGGGATTACGGTCGGCTGGGTGTCCCGGGAGATGCTTCACTGGGCTGAGGAGAAGCGCTATGTCGACCGCGAGAGCTTTCTCGTTTTTGCTATTGCTCTGGCCGTATGTCCAAATATCACACTCTTGACAAGTTTCCTCCGCTTCAGTTTCTGATTTCAACACACAGCTTTTTATCCTGGGCACTTGTGGCATGATTGGAACGGACGACCTTCTGGCTTGTTTTGTAGCTGGCAATGTCTTCACACAGGAGTAAGTTCTCCCATTGTCTATCTGTATGCAGCGCGCTAACATCAACAAGCGATTGGTTTCGTCTGGAGACGATGGACGACTCTCTTCAACCGACCATTGATATGCTGCTTAACTTGGCCGTGTTCATGTGGTTCGGTGCTGTCTGCCCCTGGTCTTCCTTCCTACACAACGACATTATTCCCATCTATCGTCTGATATTCATGGGAATCTTGATTCTACTTGTCCGCCGGATTCCCATCATCTTTGCGATGCACAAGTACATTCACCAGATTGAGCGGCTCTTTCAGGCAGCCTTCGTAGGCTTTTTCGGCCCCATCGGTGTCGGAGCCATCTTCTACCTGTCTGTTTCTCGCGAATTCCTGCGCACAATCACGGTCGATGGCAAGGTCCGCGACGATGCACAGAGGGTTTCGGAAGCCATCAACGTCGTGGTCTGGTTTCTAGTCATCTGCAGCATTGTAAGTTTGCCATCTTTTTTAGTACCAATTCACATCTAATTGTCTTACCGGTTGTCCACGGCCTCTCCATCCCGCTGGTCAAAGCAGGATACCATCTTCCTCGGACCATCTCCAGCGTCCTCAGCACGACCAGCCCAGATCCGGATCCCGTGCCCATTGCCAACATTCCCCACACCCACAGCACTGCGACTCGGGACGCGGACCCGGCCAGCAAAGGCCGTAAACGCGGCCCTGGGCGCGAAGCTCCCGAACCCACCGTCTTTCAAATCGGTCGTCCGGTGATTAGATCGGCTTCGTCCGTGGACCACCCCCAGATTGGCACGGGCAATGCGGAAGAACCCGCCCGCCCGGTCAACCTGGTCATTCATGATGGTGAAACGGATGGCATCTCACTTGCTGGTGCTCCGTCTCTTGGTAGACATTGAGGCCGGCATTTACTCCCGATTCCACAATCGACTTCGATACTGGAATCACTTGTCCCAGCGGTTGGACCGGGTATCTGCGAATACGTTTGCTCATTTACGCATTTGGAACATTGGCAGGCGGATTATAGAACTTGGTATTTTGGTACAAAAAGTGTTGATATTCGCTTCATCTCTTTATTTCTTGTCAACGCTATCTATGTTTTATGTTTATGCCACTGTGATAGAGTCAGCCCTTACACAACAATCACACCACCCTTACGACTCTACAATCAACAACGATCTACATCTCCAAGATTACAACAGCCACGTCAAGGTGAAAATGGCTAGATTTTCCTAAAACAAGCTTTTTGATCTTCACAAACTCCTTCCCTTTGCGTCCCTTTTTTGGATGACCACTCACTCCAAAGCAACATCATCATCGTCATCATCAACATCGTCAATGATCCATACGCAACTAACTCCCGACGAAAACCAAACCCCTCCTCCATATGTTGTATATCATGAAGACATGACATGAAACCCGCTGCGTCCAACGAAGTAGAAGACGACAAAGATATAGGCGACAACAACAACATTCCAAATCTAGGCCTCGCCACAACCAGCAATCACTGCTCGCCCTCACTCCGCTTCATCCATTCATAAACCCGCCCGATGAGCCAGAAGGAAAAAGAACCGCGCACCCCCATGTTCGACACGTCTATGGAAAAGAAGATTCGTGGAGTCGTTATAGATTAAGTCCACCGCTCACAGAGAAACCCCGGTCTGCATCCACAAGGCGAAATCAACCGAGGGGAATATATAAACGAATAGGTCGTCAGGTTATATACCAGAGTGACAGTCCAGCAGATACGGCATGATGAAAGCAAGAGCAAGACTAGAGGCGGTAAGATGAGGAAGAGATGTCCATCGCCAACGAAAACGGGAACAAGAGAGATAAGTGAAATAGACAGGTATCGAATGCTAGGCGCTCATCGTCAAAAAGGCCAATTATGCAAGGTAAATATGATAACAGGATTGCAGACATGGGGCCAATATGCAGAGAGGAACGCGGGTTGAAGGGAACTGCGCGTCCATTTCAGCCAGGAGACCTCTGATAATGTTGCACCGTGAGGGACATCCGCAAGGGTTAATAAACACTTCATGAGCAAATGATCTCGCCGTGGGTGGCTGAGACTAGTTGCATGTATGTTCGCTGACACACTGAGGCGTGGATCGGTTATTCAGAAATATTGGTGCATGAGACTTGGGTTCTGTCTAGCAAGACAGGCGCGCGTGATTAGATAATGATTCGTTTGGACGAATGGAGGTAAGTTGAAAATTTCCTCCATAAAAACAGGATGAAGATCTACACAGTCTTTCCTGTGATCCTTATGAGTTCGTGGGCATCTCCCCTCTGGGAACTCAACGTTGCTCCCCCTTACCCATCCGGGTTTCACGCCACGCGTTGGTAGAACAGCAAATATGCGACCTTGTTGTCCCGCGAACCGTATCGACCAATAGGGGTTCTGACTCCAGAAGAAACTCCTGATGCGGCAGCGGCAGAGACTCCATTTGCAATGGCTGAGGTGGTCTTCTTGCTCGAATGGCCGCCAGTTCCGGCCCCATTGACCTGGCTCCAGCCTCGTTCGTTGTCGGACTGGTCAAGATCATCTTGGTCAATGTGACCAAAGATATTAGCAGTGGGGTTGTTGTCTCGCTTGTGTTGCTCCAACGCTGCAGCGAGAACCTTGGGATCTTCTTCGCCGCCCGCTTCGGCAACATCCTCGCTCTTGATACGGCGAATCACAGTGTCATCAAGGCGAATCCACTCGCGACCGTCCTGGCGGCGAACATCCACGGTGTAATGACCGCCACTGGCGTTTTTGCCGTGGTGATAAATGACACCGATGAGACGATACTTCGGCAAACCCCCTTGGGCCATCATGATGTTGCGTCTGTTGGGCGGGAAGACCTCTCGGGGAATCTCCAAATCTAAAGGATACCCGATTTTCTTCCAGATCTTTTGCGTACCTCTAGTTGCGCTGTCATACTGGAATCGTTTGAGGTGAAGAATGAGGACGGGCGGCAGATTCTCAATGAAGATCTGCTTGGTAGCGGTGACATTGGGTCCGCGTGAAGAGTTGAAATCGCCCTGAATGCTTTCTGGCTTTGTCAAACCCTTCAAGGCATCGACAATGTTGTTGATATCGGGCGAGCCAATATCAAGCTGCAGAGGCTGGTAAGGTTCCAAAGTCACGGATGTCTTGTTACCCGGCACTTTGAACTCCGACCTAATGTTGCCACCAAAAATCTTAGTGATAGGAGACTCCTGCGCGATATGGCCGGATGAGCGGGTGATAGCGGCCTTTTGCTTGTGCCCAACTTCTAACCATCCATCTCCAGACTGCTCGTCCACACTAGGCGGTTCAGCAGAAACAGAAGTGGCAGAATCCGCTAAGCTGGCATCCTTAGCAGCCCGAGCGCATTCCTCGTGCATTTCCTCCAAAAGAAACCCCAAGAATTCCTGAGCATCTTGCTGATGGCCCCGCTATAAAATTGTAAGCAAATGCCCATATCTGTCTGGGTAAAGTAGACTTACCCGCATGTCCCGAAACCGGGGTAGTTGTCGGATCACCTGGTATACGAACTCTGGAATAAAAGCTTCACCATATTCCTCGAGCTCATTGGGTTTCAGCCGTAGCCTTAATTGTTCCTCTGAATGAGCTGCATCAATAACACGGAATTCTCTCATGAACATGATCCTACAATCCATCATTAGTATGCAGGTAGATGGACAACAGTGAGATACACTCACATCGCATCAACCACAGGAAACTCGCTCTGAACGCTGTGTGTTGCACGCTTGCCAACATGATCCAGAAATTGATAGAAAGGAACGCACGAGACCAAGATTTGAAGAACCTATGTTTATTGAATTAGCGCTTGCCAAGGAGCTCATCGGATAAGATCAAAACTTACCGAGTTCATATAGCACATATTGCCAGTATTTACAAGTCCCTTTGGTTCGAGAAAGGCAATCTTATCGCTGTACTGAGAGACATCTTCACCAAGACTGGTCAAGACATTGGCTAGAGATTCGCTCTTGCGCATGATCAAGCCGTTGGGCTCGACTGAAGGAGCACCCGTCGCACCTGCGGCTTTGGCAGCTCCTCTAGCACGGACCAGATCGGCCCAGGACTTAGGAGCAGACCGAGCAGGAGAGGCTGTTTTGCCGGCCTCGTCTGAAACATCTTCTTTGGTTGAATCATCGACCACAGCAGCAGGAACTGGGTTAGATGTCTCAGAAGCGCGATTTCCAGCGTCTGTATGTGCTTGGCGCGGCGTTCCAGGGCTCGGGATGACGGGGACAACAGGTACTACCGGGACAGCTGGCTTTTGTCCTTTGATATGTGGCTGGGAACGAGTAGATGAAGTAGGAACAGTCGAAGATGGTGTCGTGGGCTGAGTCGAGTCCACAACCGATGGGGTAGCAGACATGTTAGGCGTTTGAGGCTCCGATGATCCTTGCACATTCTGCGCTGTCTGTTTTTTCTCCTCGGGCTGCTTCGCTGACTTTGTACCTCTTTGGGGTTCCTTTGAAGGTAGCTCAACCGAAATAGACGAGGCTTGTAAGTTGCGACTCTTTCGACGTCTACGAGGAACTCTGGCAGGGAAGGGACGATCGGGGACCGAAAGCCAAGGTAACTACATAGAATCAAAGTCAGCTATCACATCTGAGCAGAAGGCTGGCTTAGTACTGAGACCACTCACCGGTGCGCGAAACGGTTCTCTTGGAGCAGGAGCGGCAGTCTTTAAAGGCGCAGGAGCAGATGGGGAGGACGCAGCTGGACTGGGAGTGGAATAAACTGGAATGGCCGCAGGGTTGTGAGGTTGTATGCTGGCTGGAACAATGGCCGGCCCGACTGGAGGAGACATGCCAGGTTGAAGAGGAGTTGTGGCCCTGGGCTGTTGTAAAGGAAGCGATGGTGGCGGTATGTGCGCTGGTGCCATGATAGGCTGGGAATGAGGGTACGAAGACACAACCATCGGTGCATATGGAGGCTGGAATGGCCGTGGAGGAAGCTGCATCTGGGGATACCCCGGGTACCAGTGAGCATATTGCTGTGGTGAGTAAGCGGGCGGCGGATGGCCGTTCATGTGGGGGTGATAACCCATATATGTGGGAGAGCGCAAGCTCGGCGGTCCTGCCGTATAAGAAAGATCCTGCTGCCGTCGAGGAGGCGGCATGGGTGGCTGCCCATGGGGCACTGCGGGCAGATGATGGTTCATCATGTCCAGGCACGTTGCGAAGTTGCCTTGACCTATTCAGCCACGCGTTGCCTCAAGGGGAGCCATATGATTCACGAAGCGACGGGGACCCGGATGCGACACAGTAGCACCCAACTAAATGGCCATCTCAAGCTCGGAGGCTACAGAACGATTAGTGTAGATGCGCGTTTTATCTTGTTCGAGGATTCGTTTGAATGTCCTAAAGAGCCGAGATGATTTGTTAGTTCAGCTATTCAGCGAACGTACTAGGAAAGAAACCAAGAATCCTACCTTGTGACACACCCGTTGGGAATTCAAGCAATGAAAGAAGCCGGCACTGTAGACTTTCTCAGGCGCAACAGACGGAAAGGATGAAGCAGAAAGGCGACGAAGCCGAGTACCGGAGAGGCACCACTGGAGCTGAGATGAGATGATGTTTTTTGGGCAGGCGGCACGTGCCTGAGGGCCTGAGGCAGAAATGACTGCCAAGACATGACATACTCCGATTACTCGCCCCTCTTCACTCTTCATCCTGTCTTCGTCGACGACCAGGAGAGGAAATCAGGACTGTGGCGCTTCTCCTCTCCCCGTGTTGCCCCTTGGGGTTTTGATTGGTGTCACTGATCACTTGCTGCATGTTTCAACATTTAGACTTACCCTGACGTTGACGTCTCTCGCGTGCTGTGGCTCAAGCCGAGCCTTTTATCGTCGACTTTCCCCTCATAAGTGCTTACCCTCCCTTCCCACCCCAGGAAGACGGGTTAGACCATTGTTTCCAGCCGAAGAAGTTGAGAGATGTCGTCGAATCCTGGGCAGACTCCAACTTCGTCCAAAACGGTAAACATCCCAAACCAGTCTGTCTCCGCGACGTTTCACTCGACTCCGGCAGTCGATAGTGGTCATCAAAGACGAGCTGGGGGTTCTGGCAGTTTCGGAGCGGGATTGGCATTGAGAAACCCGAGTTATCCCAGGAATAACCAGGCTCGTAAGAGCCAATACAAGCGACAGAGGCCTCCCCGGTTGCTGGATGATGACGAGTATAACGAAAACGTACGTCTCTAGCAGCAGTCCCCCCGTTCCAGATCTTATCTATCTTCTTCCTTCCAAATCAAAAAGACACATAATTGATTTAGTTGTGCGCAGGCCGTCATGAGGTCGACAACTAGCCGTAAAGGACAGACGTCCATCACGCATTTGATGAACTTTTCGCTACCTCCACGGCCTCAATACCAGCCACCACCACGCAACAGCCGGCGTTATGCATCATGGGGCCTTGGATCCGGATACCATGCTATGGACAAGGCTCGCTATGTCCACGCGAATTATCGATTTATCGTGCATCCTGGTCGGAATTATCACGCCCAAGCGGCTAATGCCGATGTGCATTTGGATTGGGACTCGGTCTTACAGGTTCTGGTCTCGGCGCAAACCCAGTCCGCAAGCTGTCCAATCTGTCTATCTACTCCAGTGGCGCCTCGGATGGCTCGTTGCGGGCATATATTTTGCCTGCCTTGCTTGATTCGCTACATGCACTCGACTGACGATGACAATTCCGTTCCGGAGAAGAAGGCACGCTGGAAGAAGTGCCCAATTTGTTGGGACTCGATTTATATCTCTGAGACCCGACCTGTACGGTGGTTTCGTGGTCAGGAGGGAGATATTCCCGTCGAAGGTGGTGACGTGGTGCTAAGACTAGTGAAGCGGGAGCCAGGCAGCACTCTAGCACTGCCGCGAGATGGCGCCGAGAGCCTCAAATCCGGCGAGGATGTTCCGTGGTACCATGTGGCGGAGGTTCCCGATTACGCTCGAATCATGAAAGGCGGCGAGGACTACATGAACTCTCAGTACGACGCAGAGGTGGATGATCTTCAAAGACAGCAGGTCGAAGATGAACTTCTCTTCGGCGACGATACCACTTGGACTCGGAGAGCAATTGCCGCCATAAATGATGCTAAAGCGAAGATCCAAGGAATCGGAAATCCTCCTGAGGTGGCGCGGCCACCTTCTGCGCTTAGATCCGCCGAAGAGCATGGTTCAGTGCAACCAGCATCGAAAGACGCTCTTCTGGAGGGATTACAGCACACCAATGAACAGGAGATGGGGATGCCAGGTATCTCGGTACTATCCTCAAGTACACCTACGGACCTCACTGTTGCTCCGAATCCAATGATAGAGATGGATCATGTCTCTGATACCATGGCTAAAGTGAAGTTGAATTCAATTCCGGAGGGGAAGTCCAAACAAAAAGATCCCGGAACTGGCCGAGCCTCGCTCACAGGTGACCGAGGCCGAGAAACGAATGGATCTCGACTTTCAGAACATCCATTCTACTTCTATCAAGCACTGCCCCAATTCTATCTCTCCTCACTGGACATTCGAATTTTGAAGGCTGCTTTTGGTGAATATGCCACGTTCCCAGCGACCATTCTGCCCCGTGTCGAGCGTATCTCGACAGGTCATATTGTTGACGATGAGCTTCGTAAGCGCGTCAAGTACCTGGGACATCTCCCGCAGGGATGCGAGGTTAACTTTCTCGAATGCGACTGGAGAGATGTGGTAGTGTCGGAAGTTCTAGAGCAATTTAGTTCTGAAATTGGCAAACGACGGAAGCGAAACCGAGAGAAGGAAGCACGCGAGGAGAAGGACAGACTTCGAGCCGAGAAAGATGAGGAAGAGAAACGCTGGGCGGCGGCGCGCCGCAGAAGGTCCAGCGCTGGCGTTACCGATCCACCTTTTTCAGTTGGGGACTTCCAACCTTTGTCTAATGATCCTACGCCTGCCGGTTTCCCGCCCTTTGAGGCTAGCTCTTCGTCTACATCACCTCCAGGGCCATCTTCGCAGTTTGCCGCAGCGGGGTCACCGTCAACCTCACCTCCTGGAACTCGTACTGTATGGGGAACAGCTGTCGTGCCGTCCCTCTCTGAGCCTTCGGGTTTGCCGTCGGGTCTGCCTCGCAGTGACGGCTGGCGCCAGGATTGGGAAGACGAATTGTTCGCTCATCAGGAAAGAGAGCTATTGGCGCAAACAGCCCTCGAAGGAAGCCAGCCTTCTTCCTCCGGCGGTGGACGCAAGAAGAAGAACAAGAAGATTACACTCATGTCGACCAATATCCAACGAGGAGCCTGAGATAAGTGCAGTTGCGCTCGATCGGCTTGTTCACAATTTCTCATCTCATTCCCCCAATCATCTCCAATTCTTCCTTTAGAATGCTTTCTTGATTTATTTCTGGTGTATCTGTGGCCTGATATTACTTGGGTGAGCGTGGTGGTTTCGGTATGTATATTTTCCCTACAGAGGAGCATCGCAAGGAGTTTGGTCGGGTGGGTTCAGGATCTATTCTCAACGATATTACAAACCTATACAATTGCCATTAGCAGATTTTGAGCACACTGAAAAATACTATATATACATGAAGTCTGTACCTCCTGCAATAAATGGTCTTTCGATTGGTGTTATACAATAGCAGACAACAAATTCTCCTACTGCTGTAATGACCGAACATTGGAGTAGATCGATACAGTAATCCCCATCAATTGCAAATCGAAGATATGCAACTATCGAACTCTTCATCAGTAGTATTCAGTAGTAGTATTCTAGTAGATATTTCATGATTTCCAATATTCTGTTCCATAGGCGCACAAGTCACAACTCATAGTAAGGTGCTGACTTGCAGATCGACTCACTTGGTGGCTGCCAACTAATTTTAAGGAATTCAACCAACGAGAATCAGTTGTTGATCTCCCATCGAAAAAACATTCGGTGTCCTTCACTTTCGCCTGCACCCCCCTACTTTTCTTCTCTTCCTCCTTACCTTTTCTTTTTTGTTTGTTAATCACGTTCTGCCCATCAATTCACTCAATTTATGAAGCGGAAATCATGACGGTCACACGGTCTCAGACAGGGAAAACCCCCAGGTGAGTTGTCTGACTCTGTTCCCCGTGCGACGCAAGGAAAGGGTGCCAAAAAAACAAAGTATTTTTTTTTTTGCGACAACAATCCCCTGGCTCCCAAAACGCGTTATTTTGACTCTTTATTTTCGCCTCATTCTCATGGGACGATATTGTGATTGTTCCAAGTTCGTGGATCTAATCGGGTTATTTCCATAGGAAGATGGTGCGTCCTGGCTTCATTGAGACCCCTGGCCGGCGTAGCACCCGCAGCAGTACTCTAGCAGCAGAGACCAGTGCCGACGACGTTTCTGATTCATCGACCGACGTTCGGGGACGGTCCAAGTCTACTACGCGCAGGCGCACCGCTGTCATGGTCAACACTGAAGGATCGGAAGGAGAGGACGTGATACTAGAGTCGAAGTCAGTTGCTACCAACGGACATGCGACGAACGGCCATGCTACCAACGGACATGCGATTAACGGACACGCGACCAATGGACACGCCAACGGGTCGGCTGAAAAGAGTCCGCGGATCATTGACGGCTGGGCCGAGGGCAGGGATCCCAAGATCGACTACAGCGGCGAGTTCGAGTTCGGAGGCTCCTGGGGCGTGCTGTCCATGATGATCGGGTTTCCGATGCTCATGTACTACATGTGGATTGGTGCCGTTCACTACAATGGCAAGTTCCCTCGTCCCTCGGAGGATCAGAGCACGTCCGACTTTGTCGCGCATCTGGTCCACCTAGTGTACGAAAACGCATTTCCTTCGCTTAGGGCATGGACCATCTACTGGGTCTTCTTCATCTTCGAGGGCCTTTGCTACGTTCTTCTCCCCGGTGTGACGGTCATGGGCCGCGCCCTTCCGCATCTGGGGGGAAAGCAGCTCCCCTACTACTGCTCAGGCGTTTGGTCGTTCTATACCAGCATTGTGCTGGCTGGGATACTTCACTTCACAGGGATCTTCAAACTGTACACCGTCATTGATGAATTCGGACCTCTTCTCAGTGTCGCCATCCTCTCTGGCTTCCTGGTCTCCTTCGTCGCTTACTTCTCGGCATTGGCTCGCGGCGCGCAGCACCGCATGACCGGATATCCCGTCTACGATTTCTTCATGGGTGCAGAGCTCAACCCCAGAATGTTTGGCATCCTTGATTTCAAAATGTTCTTCGAGGTTCGCCTGCCTTGGTTCATCCTCTTTTTCCTTAGTCTCGGTGCTGCCGCCAGGCAGTACGAGACCTATGGCTACGTTTCCGGAGAAGTTGGATTCCTCCTTATGGCACATTTCTTGTACGCCAATGCCTGCTGTAAGGGCGAGGAGTGCATTGTGTCGACCTGGTAAGCTTGCAAAACTCTCCTTTCCTGATTCCGGGGAGGGTCACAACCTAGCGGTTTCAGAAACTAACTACGAACAGGGATATGTACTACGAGAAATGGGGTTTCATGCTCATCTTCTGGAACTTGGCCGGTGTGCCCTTGAGTTACTGCCACTGCACTATCTATCTTGCCAGCCATGACCCAGAAACCTATCGCTGGAACCGCGCCTTCCTCATTTTCCTCTACGCGGCATATCTCTTTGTGTACTGGGTGTGGGATACGACCAACAGCCAGAAGAATCGTTTCCGCCAGCAAGAGCGCGGTACCATGGTCTCTCGCAAGACTTTCCCCCAGCTTCCATGGCAGACTCTGAAGAACCCCAAGACGATCACTGCGGCCGATGGCTCGAAGATCCTTGTTGACGGCTGGTGTACGTGATCCTCCCAGATGACTGAAACTGAAGGCCAAGCACGCTGACTTTCCCTACAGACGGTAAGGCTCGTAAGATCCACTACACTTGCGATCTGTACTTCGCCTTGAACTGGGGCTTGATCACCGGCTTCAGCAGCCCATTCCCCTGGTTCTATCCTGTCTTCTTCGCCTGTATGATTACTCACCGGGCGCTGCGCGACATCCAGCGCTGCCGGAACAAGTACGGCGAAGCGTGGATCGAATACGAACGACAGGTTCCCTATCTCTTTATTCCTGTAAGTTTCCTCTCCGAGACGGATACATACGGAGAAACTGACTCGTGTTCCCTAGTATGTATTCTAAAGGAAGACGAAGCACTCGGCGGCTTCCACTCTCGCCTTACGTCGCCCTACGACTGAATGTCTCACAAGACGATATCAACATTTGATCCCTTCTTCTACCTGGGTTTATTATATGCACTTTTAATATGCGTTTGTATATTGGGTCTAGCGCACATACTACTGGGCCTACATGCATTGTCCTTCATGTCAGCAGAATGAGCTTCTATGAATGCTCCCTTGCACTGCATTAATTCATGTATATTATTAGATACTCTATTCTCCTTTCTATTGCTTTTTTCTTCTCTTCTCTTCGTCCCCAATTGTTTTCCATCAACCCTCACGGGTGGAATATGACCAATGAAATCAAAAATAGTGAACCTCCATCGCATGGATGAAACCCTCTAGGATCATGATATCATGATGTTAAGAGACAAGCAACCCTCTGTACGAGTCAAAGAAGAAATTCGCAATCGGAGACACTGTAGACTGTAGAGATGGCATCGATCACATGACCCGTTCCTGACCCCTCCATTATCAGCTTATCGAGTATCGATAGAGCCACCTTAGATTGTTGACGTCGCATGAAGCTCCGAGCTAAGACAGGAGCCTTGATCCCATTGATCGTCGTGTACGAGTCAATTGAAGTATTGTTTCAAGTGCAGGTCCAGCAATCCCATCCACCATGTTGATCCAGGAATCATTCCACGATGTGCCCACCAAGGCCGACGGGACTGGTACTATGCGTATGGGTTTCCCAGACTCCGTTGAAGCATTAAGAAACAACTGCTGATCCACCTCAATCAGGCATCTATGTCTTTCACCCCACCATTCCCGGGTACCCCAAAGCCCGGTTTCCCGGCGTCGTAGTCTTCAGCGAGATCTACCAGGGTATGCACTACTGCAGCTTCCCAGCGTCCCCCTCCACTCCCCCCTCCCGCGGAGGAGAAGTGAGAAAGTCGAGGTACAATAGCTAACCGTTGCGGGGCAGTTACCGGGCCGGTGGCACGGTTCGCGAGACAGATCGCGGGGCAGGGATACATCTGCGCCGCGCCGTCCAGCTACCACGAATTCACCGGTCCAGAGCCCCTGCAGTACAACGCGGAGGACACGGACAAGGGGAATGAGTGGAAGATCAGCAAGGTGGGTGTTGAGCGCGAGCTGCAGAGAAGAATCGTCGCCATCAAAACGGGGCTAAATGCTAACGCAGGAGAGTTTTTTTTTTAGAAACTGGCCGCGTATGACGAGGATGCCTCGCTGTGTGTGGATTACCTGCTGTCCCTGCCGACGTGCAACGGCCGCGTCGGTGCGACGGGGATGTGTCTGGGTGGCCATCTGGCGTACCGCTGTGCGCTGGATAGCAGGATCAAGGCGGCGGTGTGCTACTTTGCGACGGATATCCACAGCCACACTCTTGCCGCGGGGAAGAATGATGATAGCTTGGCCAGGGCGGGGGATATCAAGGGTGAATTGCTTATGGTGAGTTGTGAACTTCTTGCATTGATGTTTTGTTTTTGTTTTTTTTTTCTGGCTCTGGAGCGGCACGAAGCCCTAGAAGTAGGTTGGTGGGTATGCTGACCAGTATGCTGTTTAGATCTTCGGGAAGAACGATAACCATGTTCCCCCAGAGGGACGGGACTTGATCCGCAAGACCCTGCATGAAAAGGGTATTTTGTTCAGCTTCTATGAGGTGGCTTGGGCTCAACGTATGTTGGATATGATGCTCCGGTGCTGGGTGGTTGATTGACTTGGGCTAACGAGGAAACACCGACAGACGCGTTTATCCGGGACGAGCTGAGCAAAGGACGGTATGATCCCGCCATCACCAAGGTGTGCTTCGAGATGCTGCTGGAGCTATTTGGACGGACCTTGAAGCTGGACTTGGGGGAGCATGACGGGAAGAAGCTAGAGATCGAGGATGTATGCTAGATGTCTGCGGCAAGAGAATTTGGCCTGCGCTATCGTACGCAATGCCAACGTTGCCAAGCGTATAACAGATCTGGATCAGATCAGAATACGATCATCAGAAGACGCATTGCCCTCTCCGGAGTATAGGCGAGCATTAGCTCACTAGATAATACCACCAAGGGAGTGGATTGGGTGCGCTGTCATGAAGCTCCTTGCTGCATGGGGGGTGACCCGACGAACCATGCACAGGAGATACTGCTGAGTGGTGACAGTCTGACAGCCCTGGCTCGAGGGTAAACGCCCTTGCAGCTATCGATTAGGGATAACCTATGCTTGAAGCTTAATCCCTTGATGCTCGGACTGGGATGTTAAGGTACGGTGTACAGAGTACCTACGGAGGAAGCCGTTCATGCAATCTGCCTACTGTCTATCTAGTAGTACCTACTCCATACTGATACTCAAAGGGGTAAACACCAACCCTAATTTTCCATAGAGGCTCTGGAGCTGGAACAACTTGCAATAATTGGTACCAGATAACAGGACAAATGCCAGATAGCCTTTCAGTTAAAAGTGATGAGTTTCAGGGTGTGAAACCAGAGTCCGTGGTTGAACCTTCTTAAGAAAGGGAAAATGTTAGTGATGGTTAGCGAGGGCCCTTCAGGTAAGGCATCTCATGTTGACCAAGACCAAGGCACTACCTATACTATATTCTATAGACTACCTTATTATTATTACAGAGTAACTGACAAGATCACAAGAATCTAGAGACTAGAGACTAGAGAGGAACTGTCGCTGTGGACAGAAGGACTGAGAGTCTGAGAGTCTGAGACATTACGGTAATGATGGAGGTGGCTCACTGGGTCACTGGATGTTTAGGTGGGGAGTCTGGTATGGACATGGTATCATGGTATAATACAGGATGGGTCAAAGGCCCACTGGGTGGCTGGTGAGACTGAGAGACACCGAGACAGGCATCTTGAAGGGTGAGAAATATTTGGTAAACTGTCGATTGTTGGCTAGTTTCTGAGTGAAGACTATAGAGTATGGAGTATTGTCGATTTTGTTGAGATTTGAGAGAACTCATATAAGGTATCTAGTACTCTTAACTCTAGGTACACTCTACAGCTGGGGAAGTTGGAACACAAAGGAAACCACCCACGGAACACTCCAAGCATTTGCTTAAGAGTCAACCATGGACGAAGGCCTTTGTTTACTAAATTAGTAGTTCAATTTTGGACCTCAAAAGTCAAGAGTCAAGAGTCAAGACATTTCCAGCCTCAACATCGGATAGAATCAAGGTGTGTGGAGTTTTCGTCGGATGGAGTCTATGGACTGACCAGCCCAGCCTCTGAATATTCTCTGCTCTTGACTCGTTCGGTCGTTCCCCAGTCAATAATCACTACTGCAGGGAACGCAGAAAAAAAAAGACAATAATCAAGGTTTTTTTTCAAGTCGCTAGATAGAATCCAGATACTCCGTAGATCGATCGGTGTTCAAGGAACGCTCTGTGCTCTATAGGCTGTAGGCTGTATGTCGACGACTAGATACTGCACCAACTAATCGCTTCCATTGATTGAATTGTCTTGGTGGTGTTGTCTGTTTCCAAGCCCCCTCTAGTGTCATTCAATCTTCTTCTTGTACTTCTTCTTCTTCTTCTTCTTCTTCTTCTTCTTCTTCTTCCTCCTCCTCCTCCTCCTTTCTTCCCTCGTTCCTGATTACATACATATTCTCTACCTGCTTACTCCTACTCTGCATGATCGCCTCGTGAATGACAGCTGCTTAAATTTCTCGAGTTACTGGAGATCTCTCACCACCACGACCCACATCCATGACCTTTATCTAGTCATTAGATAATTGCGCACTCCCTCGCTTTCAACTCGTGTGCAACTGTGCCATACATACGAGTCGACCTCTGAACCATAATCAATAATATCGCTTCAGAAATCCCACTTCTCTCTACCCTGTTTCGATTTGAACACGGAGCGATTGCGAACGGTCCTACAGTCCTACTCCGTGGCCTGGTCCCCTTCTCTCCAGCGTGGGTCCGACGCCCAGGAAGCCTGGCAATTTAACCACCGGCAACCACCAACTTCGTCCATTCGCGCCATCTCACTCCGTGATTCTCTCCTCACTTGCATGGTTATTCCAATTCAACGCTCGTGAATCATGGGTTCTACGCAATTCGGCAATTTCAACGTGAGTCGCAACTAAATTCCAACATGTCGATCATGAGAGATCTGTTGCGCAAAAAGTTGACCAATGGGGCTTTCTTCACATATAGGACTTTTGTCGAGATTCAACTTTGCCAGTTTGCAATGTAAGTCGGAGGACCAAACCCATTCGGCGTGTCGCTAACGGTTATTGTTCTCGATAGCTCTTTGTTCCCAATAATCAACCCCCTAATAAAGCCTATGACGGCTGTGCCCTCACCGGTATCCACCTTAGCGATGACCGATACCTCAGCAACTTAGGTATGGCGCGATCAACAGACAAAATCCGAACGCGCACCAAAGACTGCCGACTGACCTCGGTACAGGGTCGATATTGTTAGCATTTATCGCGATTGTGACATCATTGTTCCTGTTATGGCGATCAGAGAGAAAACAGGCCGCCGTTGGGCGAAGGTACGCGCGGATCAAGCGACTTCTCGGGGCATGGGATTGGAGCTGATTTGAGGAATTGGACAGAGAAATGCAATTGTTCCTGCTTGGATTCATCATCGTTGAGATTTGCGAAATCTTCTCCGTTGGTGGCTTCCCTTTGGACGGCGCCGTTCGAAAGGTGTGTTTTTTTTTTTTTTGTCCTCTGTTATTTAGGCGCTTTCATTTTTGTTCACTGAATCTAACCATCGATTACAGGGATTCTCCGCCGCCCACATTGCGGCAATCACTGCGACGTGCTGGATCCTCTTCTTGAACGCTCTTGTCGGTTTCCAGATTCTGGATGACGGCACACCTGTCTCCCTTGGTCTTTGTGCCGTGTCGGCCTTGATCTTTTTCGTCGGCACAGGGTATATCGCCTTGGATACTGCTTTCGACTGGACGGGAAAATTCGCAGCGGACCCGTCCAATAACTATCGCAACATCGCCCTCTATGTCTTGTACCAGCTCTTTCCTCTGGTTCTTCTCGTGGCCTTCTTCATTCTTGAAGCCCTGTTAGTGATCCGGGTCCTGGGTGAATACCGGCCAATGTGTACGTTGCCCTCCCCTATCTTCTGACGATGCCGAGTCGCCAGTGGTATACGGTTCCTAACCCGCTATACAGTTTACCTAACGGCCGCCGGCCTGTTGTTTGCTATTGGCCAGATCTTCAACTATGTGATCAGCACCCATTTGTGCCATGCATCCGGCGGCAAGATCAATGGCGCCTTGTTTGAGACGCTCTTTACTCTCTTGTCCGTTGTCGTAATCTGGGTGTTTTGGAGCAGTATCACGGAGGATGACTGGCCCATGTCTGCGACCGTCGGCGGGGGATACAGCTAAGCCCGCCGATCGGTTGCAACAAACCGCCTATTACGATTTCATTTTTTTTTTTTTGGCTGCTTTCTCTTGCCGACTTCACCGATGACACCCCTCCTTCTCCGGAACGAGCAAGCAACGACTTCCTCGTGTGCGCGTCAACACTCGCAACTTTGCCGTCCAATTTTTGATCATTCCCACGCGCTATTGACCTTCCGATACCACTCACGACTATTTTGATGTTTCCAGTGACTATGACGTGTATTACCCTCTTGATGATTTGATCCAGTTCATGTGAAAACGAGCCTGTGATGTGATCATTTTTGCATATTTAATCTTTTCTTTCCCCTGTCAGATACCTATTTGTCTTGTAGCTAGCCTATATCTGATGTTCATAATACTGTGCATGAAAATGCCCATTCCATCCTTTCTGCATCGATGCGCAGTGTTTTTGGCTTGAACGAGCGAGTCAAAACAATTCTACCCCACATGCAAATTTAGAAAGGTAGAAGAGAGCTGAGCTCTATCAAATTATATACAGTAGTTTCGGTAGGTATGAAACGAGCATAACCCTTACGCTGAGCCATGACCATACGGATGACCTCAGATATCAGATCACGGCGCAGTCCAATTCAACCCACCCAACCATATGCTCTATTTTCATCAACGCAAGACCTAGGTATGCGATGAGCATCCACGGATTCGGGACCCTCCGTCCCAACAAGCAAAGAAACAAAAACACCCACCCCATCAGAGCCGAACCTTGACATCCACACAGGGCAGAGTCCACTCCCGCCGCCCAAGAAGACTCCGCAACCACTCGAGTCCCACGCCGGTCCATTCCTGCTGGCCCTGGCCCAGGGCACTCGACCCGTTGAACGCCAGCCGGCGCTGGGCCTCCTCAACCGCGGCGCCCGCCAGCGTCTTCGTGGTCGCGTTGACGGTCTCGATCACGTAGCTTGCGAGGGACCCATTCTGGGCGGCGAAGGCGGACGGATCGTGGTAGTCGGGGCCGGTGAAGCGCGGGGAAAACCAGTCGCCGCGGAAGTCGAAGAAGCAGCGGTCTGCCCAGTGGCAAGAGGAGATGAAGAGGATGAGCAGCAGCGTGGAGCAGTAGATGCACGGGCGGTGGAGGATGTAGGTGAGGGTGACGAAGGAGATGATGAAGAGCGGGGAGGCGTTGGTTGGGATGAAGAGGAGTGGGAGCCAGCTGGATGTTTTTTTGTCGTTTTCGTGTGAGTAGACCGGGGGATATTTGGAAAACGGGGGCTGATGGGGGGGGGGAGATTTAGCTTACCTCCTGAGGCAGAACATGATGGAATTCTGAGCTCTCTTGTTGAGTGTGATGTAACACTTTTTGGTCACACTGTACACTGCACTGGGTTGATCGGGGAGCGGGCTTTTTTGGGGGAGATTCTCTGAGAGAGGGTGATTGTCCAGTGGCGTGATGGGATGTATTTCTCTCCACAGCAAGAAGAAGTGATGAGAGGTGGGAGGTGTTTGAAGAATCAGATCATTAAGATGCAAGAGGGATAAGAGTTATGCCTCCTCAGACACGTTTATCCATCATCTCTCGCTCTTTAGATAACTGAAGATTTTCAGCGTCATTGTTGAGCTTCCTTAACATTATTAGCATTATGATTATTAGTAAGGCGATCCTTTGCCTACCTAGTTGGCGGTCAGGTATGGTATTGTCCTGACCCGTACCGTACTGTAAGTGTGAACCATTACGCCACAACGGTTGGCATCAGCCTCATCCTGCCGTCAGCCACACCTCGCACGAGCCACTTACCTAATCTGACTAACCCCAATTGGTGCCGCCTTCGTCCTCCCCCATCGTCTGCTTTTTGCTGCAACACGCCAAAAGGTCATGGTTTTAAAAGCTGTTCTTCTCCTTCTTCTTCTTCTCCCTCCTCGTCCATAATCTTGTTCTCTTGTACCATAGTCCGTTCATTCAGCTGTTTTTCCCTTCATTTGGCCTTTGAATTATCAAGCTATCTGAATTTTCCACTGTTTTTTTTTGCTACTTTCTCCCCTCGTGCTCTCGAAAGAGAGCTTTTGAGAGAAGCTTTGGAGCTTGGACTTCAGTTGGAGGTCGCCTCTCTTTTACTGGCGAGCTGACAGAAATGTCCACCCCCAACGATCTTCAGGCTCTGCTGGCGAGCATTAGGCCACGCCCTTCTCCTTCGGGAACCCCTGCTCAGGACGCTCCTCCCCACTCGCAGTACCCCGTGCACTACCAGTCGGGCCTCCGTCCCCAACAGCCGCAGCAGCCTCCTTACGATGGGCAGAGCATGCCTCACCCACAGCTGCTGCAACATGGCTATCGTCACCCTTCGGTCTCTTCGGTGGTCCATAGCCCATCTCCCGTTAATACTCCGCCTCACCATGGCTCAGATATTCTGAGTCCTAATATTACCACTCCTCGTGGTGAAATGTTTCCGCAGCAGCACCAACCGCAGCCGCAGAACCCGGATCGTGCGGTGAACCTGCTGAATCTGCTCAAGTTCAACCAGGGTCCTGCCGGCGGTCCTATCCAGCAGCAGCCCTCTCCGCTTGGATTTGAGCAGCCAAGATCTCCTCAGATTCAGGAAATCGGGCCTGATGGTGTCCCGAGATCTCATGCGAGAAACATCTCTGCCTCTGACCTGGTCGCGTCTCTTTTCGGTCGCCAGGGCCAGCCCTTGTCTTCGCCTGCCCCTCCGCCCGGTATACCTACACCGTCGCAGTTCGCGCAGCCTGGACCTGCTGGGCCTGGTGAGAGCGCGTCGTCGGCCGCCCCTACTGCTGAAAACACGCAGGAGATGCTGCTGCGCCTGCTCAACCGGCAGACCCCGACTCAAGATGCGTCTCAAGGGCCCGTGAGAGCGGTGCCCCAGTCGGCAGTGTCTGCTTCTGCGGTCAAGTCTCCTGCCGCTGAGCCAGTGTCGTCGTCTGACATCGCGGAAGGCCCTGTCGAAGTTCCCGGGGTTGGCCCCGAAGGACTTGTGTCCGGGAGTCCAGAGGTGCTTGCGTTCCAGCAGCCCAAGAGTTCCCTAACCCCCAAGGAAGGTATCTTTACCTACACCAATCCCTTCGATCAACTCGCAGCCGCCTCGCCCCGCAAGGGAACTTCTCAAGTCAAGTCCCGCAGCGCGAGTCCAGCCGTCGAGCTTCCGAAGAGTCAGAAGATCAACATCACAGCAAAGGTAGAAGCCGCTCCCGCCTCTCAACCATCCGGATCGCAGCCTGCAGCACGCCCGGAGTCGCCCGAGCTTGACGAAGAGCAGAGAGAGGCTGTCAACAAGGTAGTTGGCAAGCTGGTTGATCAAATCGTCGGACGCGATGTTAGCGAATTGGTCAGCAGGGCGATCGAAGAAACCTCCCCGGTCGCGGCGGATGAGCCGGAGAGTACCCAAGTGGTTCTCTCTACCATCGCTAGCCACCTTCGCGAGACCGCCACCGAAGCCAAGGAGGCCGCTGCTGACGAAGCTGCCGCGCCTTCTGCTGAGAAAGAGGTGGGCAACAATGAGAATGGTGACGCGCTTGCGGATAGCTGGGAAAGTGCCGAGGATAGCGCTGAGAAGGAGGAAGAGCGCGTTGTTCCCGTCCATAATTTCCCCCTGAAGCCGTTTATCTCCATATCCTTGAAGGAAAAGGCCCAGAAACTTCCGATCCTGCGGGACGACGGCATCATGGACATCGCCCGTTTGAAGAAGGAATTCGATCAGTTGGATCGCTCTTTGACTTCCGCTACTTCGGATTACATTGTCTACGCTCTGGCCAAGAATGGAGGCATGAGAATTATCCGACAGGACGATGGAAGTGACAAGCAAGTGTTCCGTTCCACCCGCGATCGAGTTTTCAACGTGACCCTCTGCACGTCGGCAACGACCAGCGGCTCCTCCGAGGAGCAGGCTCTTCTGGGTATCGGTGTTAGCGGCTCTGTGTACTGGGCCTTGATCTCGCGAGCCGAACAAGATCTGTTCGAGCTGGATGCCCTGGAGAGTGAGAGTCTGATATTCCCACCGTTCCCGGCCTCTGACGAGAACACTTCTGGCGGTCAGCTGAAAACGCGGGCCAAGAGAAGCTCTCGCCACCCTGGCTTCTTCGCCATCGGTCGCGGCAAGAACATCTACGTCGTCTCTCCTCAGGCTGCTGCCAGTCCCGCCTATGGCGTTTCGGGATCCCAGCGCACCGTCAATACCGAGAAGTTCTTCAAGGAGCGCGCTCTGAAGATTTCTACCGGCAAGGCTGGTAAGGACTTCATGTTCAGTGACGATGATACTGTCATTGCCTCTCTTGACAAGACAGGCAGGCTACGTTTCTGGGACATCCGTGAGGTGGTCAACAACCCTGACTTCTTCATTAATGGACCCAGCCCAGCTGAGGTTCGCGTGCCGCTCAACACCTTTGTCACCGGATCCCCCAGCGAGAAGTCGTGGCCCACATCCATTCTTTTCATTGACAAACTGCGTCCTTATGTGAAGTCGATGGCACTTCGTTACGTGCTGGTTGGACTGAAGCAAAATCACACCTTGCAGCTCTGGGATATTGGGCTTGGCAAGGCTGTGCAGGAGCTGAAGTTCCCTCATGAGAACGAATCGGATGCCATCTGCAGTGTTGCCTATCACCCGGCTTCTGGTATCATCGTGGTTGGCCATCCTACGCGCAATTCGATCTACTTTGTTCATCTTTCTGCTCCTCGGTACAATCTCCAGCCCATGTCACAAGCATCCTTCATCAAGCGTTCGGGCGAAAAGGATTCCAGCTTGCCAAAGCCAGAGTCCACCGCATGCATGAGCGGCATTCGGGAGATCTCGTTCGCTTCCAAGGGTCAGCTGCGCAGCTTGGATCTCCTGCCGATCAGCAAGGCGCCTGGTGACACCAAAGACGAAAATGGTCTCTTCGAGCTTTATGTGATGCACTCGCGTGGAGTCACATGCCTGAATATCAAGAAAGAGGATCTGGGCTGGAGCGCCGACAACAAAATCATCCGTCCTGTCAATGCCTTGCAGGAGGGTCTTATCGAAATTTCCGAACTGCAGGTATTCCCCAGCTACGTCACCGACGAGCCTTCCATCAACGGTGACTCGACCTCCGTCTCCACCAAGGTCACCCCTCGCGAGGTGGTCAAGAAGACCTCTGAACTGATCCCGGAAGCGGCTGTACCTACCCCGGCTGCCCCGCGTACCATGTCTCCAACCAAGCCTGTCCTGAAGAAGAAACCTGTTGATGAACAGGCCGAACCCGCAGTGGCGCCCAATGGAGCCGACAAGCCGGAGAAGAAGAGAAAGAAGAAGGCTGCCGTCACTGCCGCCGCCGTGAGTGAGACCCCAGCGAAAGCCAAGGAAGTGAGCACTGCTCCATTTACCACGGGCGAGGGCCAGTCTGCCGAAGTTGCTGCTGGTACTCAACCTTTCGCGCACCCAACCGAAAATGTCGCTCAGACAATGCAAGCCGCAACTGTGGACGCTTCTCAGGCTCCTACGACTGTTGTCAGCGACCCTGGTGAAATTTGGGCCAAGCACTTGACGGCTTTGCAGACTGGTGTCACTACTGAATTCGACAAGAGCCTCGGTCGCGAGCTTGAAAACCTTTACCATCGCTTCGACGAGGAGCGGCGCAATCTGGATGCTGCTTCTGCCGCCAAGCAGGATCAAGTCCTGCGGTTGGTCTCAAGCACCCTGTCCGACAATGTTGAGAAGAATTTGGCACGTATTGTCTCCAGCAGCATCCAGGCTGACGTGGTACCTGCTCTGACTGAGCTTACGTCGAAAGCTGTTGGCAAACAGTTGGATGAAGTCCTTGCTCAGCAGCTGGCCACCGTCGTACCTCGCGAAGTGCGTCAAGCGCTACCCGAGGCAGTCGCTCGTGCAGTGAAGCAACCTGAAGTGACGAAAGTCATTTCGGATAGTATTGGCCAACGACTTGCTTCTCATGTTGAAAATGAGATGTCCAGAGCCTTGCACACCACGCTCACCCCTGCTTTCAGAAATCTTTCCCTGCAAGCTGCAGAGCAGATCGGATCCGATATGCAGAAGCAGGTGCAAGCCCAGATGAAGCAGTATGAGATTCAGCGCCACAATGATGCTGCAAAGATCGATCAGCTCACAGCTCTGGTTCGCGGCTTGTCCGACACGGTTGCTTCGATGGCTGCCGCCCAGAACAGCTTCCAAGAAGAAATTTTGAGATTCAATCGTGCATTGACCAACAATCAACGCGCCGAGCAGATTGGCAGCTCGCAGCAGGCTCCACCGGCTGGTCTACCCGCTCGTCTACCTGCCGGTCCCGAAGGTAGAAGCCCGGAGGCTATGGAACTGGCGGAGATTGCTCAGCTGATGCATGCCGGACGGTACGAGGAGGGTTCTGTTAAGGTTGGTATTTACCTATGTTATATCTTAGAACTTGTTGCTGACTTTGCTATCTTAGTGGCTTCAATCTAGCCAACAGGCTGATTTGTTCGACAATCTTTTCGTTCGCTTAAGCCCTACATACCTGGCCTCGCTTTCTCCAATTGTGGCGCTCTCGGTTGGTGTTGCTGTCACGTCCTCCTTGCAGACCAACATCGAGGAGCGTCTTACGTGGTTGGAAGTTGTTCTTCAGACCGTTGATATGAGGGTACGTGTGCTCTGTCGTTCTAAATGTACAGCAATTGACTGATTGGATATTGTTTCTAGGACGCGGACATCCGTGAGGTTGCGCCCAGGATTATTGACATTCTTAACCAGCGGTTGGATAGCTTCTACATGAGTGTTGCTCCGACCACCCCTCACGAGCCTTATATGCGCAAGCTTGGCCCCATTGCTCGCCGCTTGCGTGAGCTTCGTGGATAATCGCCTTCTGGCTATTGAATGTTACGGGCCTGAGTTGCCACCCAGCACTCAGTGCCAATTGTCATGTTACTTCAAAAGCCTCTGTCACGGCTTATGCAAGTCATGACGGCAATGGAGAAGCACGGAATGGAAATATGGACATTTGATGAGGCTTGGATGTGGTGGGCGAGACTCTTTGGCGTTTCTTTTGCTTAGTCATGGATCAGGGGATGTAATGATAATTTGAGACATGAAGCGATGGTCCCCATCGTTGTAATGATTGATGCAATTCATGATCGTCCTCTGCGTTCGTTCAACTCGGGAATTGCCGTTCTAACTTCCGTACATCAGATCCATTTCTAGAGATGAAATAAGAAGGATGTAGCCCTCGCTTAGGATCAAAGCAACCTCGAATCTCATGTATATCAATCAATCATATCATACACGTCCCGTGAAAACTACATATCGAACTCCAGCAAATCACGCATGGAAAGCAGGATCCAGATTCTCCGCCGTCCCCGTCCCCATCCCCGTCTCCAGACCCGTACGATCTTCCTCCACAAACTCAAACCCCAGAGCCCGCCAGTTCAGCTCCTTGCGCCAGTGCAGACCGTAGTAGTTCCTTCGTGGCGTGTCCGCTACCCGGCTCTTGCGCTCCGCCTCTGCGTCTGCGTCTGCGTCTGCGTCTGCGTCTGCCTCCGCCTCCGCCTCCGCCTCCGCTTCAGCTTTTGCAGAGTCTGCCTCGTCACACGTAGGCCCGACGACAGGCTCCGACGCCAGCCCGCCCGAGATCATCCGCCGGGAGCGCGGGAAGACGACGGCCCGGAAGCGCGAGAGGAGCAGGCCCATGGAGCAGCACAGGCATGGCTCGTGGGTGAGGTAGACGTCGAGGTCGGTGCAGAGGTAGCCGCCCTGGGCGCGGGAGCGGATGCGCGGCGGGATGGGAGGGGCGTCGTCGTGGTGCGGCGGTTGGGGGAGGGGAGCCGAGACGGGGACGGCGGCGGTGGCTGCGTTGGTCTTGATGAGTTTCTCGGGGACGGGGGAGGGGTCGAGGGTGTCCGGGTCGTTGATGGGTGGGGCGGAGGCGGAGGCGGCGCTGGCGATGGTGACGATGATGTCGGACTGCGAGAGGAAGTGGGCTTCCAGGGGTGAGAGGTAGGGTTTTGTGGGTGGGGGGCCGTGGTCCTCTTCGCGGCGTTTCTGGGCGATCAACTCGACGGCGCGCATGAGGGCGTGCAGTTCCGGCCCGCCTTCAAGGTCTGCGTTGTATGTTGCTGCAGCTGGGGGAGGGCCCGGCCCGAGATGCAGTTCCGCCTGCGATAGGGCGCCGGCTTCTCGGCGGGAGTAGCGTGCGTCGCCGGCCACGGCGACAACGGCCTCTGCCCACTCGGTGGCCATGGTGCTGTCGTTGTCGGCGGTTGCGCCGTTGCGGATGGATGCCTGGATCTCCGGGTCAACGATGACTGCGCCGACGCGGCGACCGCGGCCAGACTGCGCTGCCTCGTCTGCGACTCGCTCCGCCAGCGCCAGGTAATATCCGGCCTCGGGCTGGATCGATTCACGGGTGCGGTTCAGGATCTGGGGAGGGGGTGCGACGGTGGCTCGGGGAGCAGCAGGGTTGAAGATGACGGGCCAGTATTGCGCTGTCCACTTTTCGGCCTGTTTGGCGTTCAGGGGCGGTTGGATCGGGATGCGGATGGCGTGGAGGGAGACCACGGGGACATGCTCGGAAGAGGTATCCTCTGCTGGCGGAGCGAACGGGGCTAGCACTTTCTGCAGCGCGTCTGTATCAGGTATGGGCGGCGAGACCAGGACGAAGATTGTCGATGCGGTCTCGTTCGATTGGATCGTGGAACGCAGGGATTCGGGAAGTTGGTTGTACTTCGCGAAGCGGCGGAGGTGGTTTACGGGGACGGAGGGGTCGCGCGGGAAGGCAGCGTCGAGTGCTCTTGGGGAATAACCATCAGCTCAGGCCCTGTCACGGTAGTTTGACGGCACTCACTTGACCACTTTCGAGGCCAACTTGAGGTTGACTTCTGCCGCATAGGCGTCCTCTGGGATGCGTCAGACATTGGTACTCTTCGGCGTATCTTCTTCGGTGTAACAGCTGTTCCAGACGTGCATACCAAATTCTTCAGCCGTCTGTGTCTCCTGTACGGTCTTTATCGGAAGCACCTGCCCCTGAAGAGGCTGGATCCTCTTCAAGATATCCTGTACCTCCATCGGATGTCTGACCCCGCTACCGGGTTTGACAGAGCAACAATACTTGGATTCTGTAATGCAGAGTAGTGACTGAGATATTCTCGAGTGGCGCTCTGGGTAATCTGCAAGACTTCAATTGTTCATGCATAGAAGTGTATACCGACTTGTTTTGGGTGGAGATTGCAGCATGACTTCATAACCTTGATGAGCTTCAAAGAATGAATCCAGATTTGCCCAGTCTGAACCCTAAGCCCTGAGCCCTGAGCCCTATACATCCCTTTCGGGCGATGTGGCCAAGGGGAGGAGACCTCAGGCACGAGGCAACTCGAGGCGACGGGCTCGGCCACTAGATGACTAGGATGGTTGGAAGTTTGGAACTGGCAAGGTTCCAGCGACTTTAGACTCGTACGATCACAGGCATTTTACCGCGCTAGAGGCACGAAAAGTGGGACAAATACGTATGAGGCTGAGATAGTCCAGATAATCAGATCAGATTTGATGGTATGATATTCCACCCGCTAGTAACATTCAAACGCCAGAAGAGGAATCAAAAGCTGTACAAAGTATGCGACCGGCTCGGCCGCAAGGTTCATCAAGAAGCATAAGAAGGAAAAAAATAAGCAAGTAGAATGAGAGGTTCTCTTCCCGAAAATCAGCCGATTAATGGACCTCTCTGTAGAATGTCGCGATACAGTACAACGTGGTGATAAGATGTGTCTCCTTGAAAGGAGGATAACCAGTCTGTGGTTGACTGGCTCCTTGGTAATGTGGGAGAAGTTCAACTGAATGATTCCATTCAAAAAGGCGAGGCAGACAGACGAGAGATCAACCCTCACGCCTGATTTCGTACCGGTCGCACCTCTCGACGAGACTTTGATAGTAATCCACCAGCACTTCTGGCTGAGGCACAATGCGCCACTCAACGCGGAATAAAAACTCCAGTTCCAGAAGAGCCAGTTCAGTTATGCTGATACCTCCCACTCGAGCATAGGTCTTGTTGGTCCAGAAACTGTCACTGAGGCCCTTGCTGGCGACCGTGGCACTGGCGATGAGGAATCGATGGATGGTTAGACTGGACACGGTGAAAGCCGGATAAAGAGCACAGAGCCGGTCGATGTAATACACCATGCTCAGTAAGATAGGAGGCGACAAGGTTGCATGGGTTGTGAGTCGTTGCAGGTAGTCCTGAACGGAGATCCGCGGTGGCGACCGAGAATGGAAGCGAGTCAACCGTCCTTGATGCAGCGGAATCTTGTCATTGAAGTGGATGAGCTCCATGAGCATGCTCGAGATCAGTATCACGAGATCCCGCGGATCCGCCTGGTCGTAATTCTCCGGGAGATATTTCACATCGGGCATGGATGGCCGTAATCTCTTCGACTGGCTGCGTTCCAAATCCATGTCCTCGGGACCCCCCACGAGCGAATTATCGACGCCATGATCATTTGGGCTGTTGCGTTTGTTGGACGCTGTACTGTTCGGGGCCGGCATTGGGGGAGCCAAGGACGAGGCTGAGGTCGGAGCCGCACCCGACGCCGACGCTACAGAAGAGGGAGCACCGACAGCGACGCCGTTGGTGGGATGATCGGCAGACTGCGAAGGCTGGGCAAAAGCAGGGACGGCGGGGGCCGGAGTGGCGGACGGGTATGCACTATTCCCGCCCCCAAGGGTGGTCAGCCCGGCGGACATGCGGCCGCGAGGGAGATCCCCTGAGGGCCCCGGAGGCGAGGCTTCAACGGTATAACGATTTAAGGCCGATCGGAGCTCCTCGATGGCCTGGCGGGAAGAACGCGGACTGAAATGATTTGTGGACGCAGGAGGGTGACGAGCAGGCTCATAGTGCGGGAAATTCTGAGCTGCTGTGGCGACGGCGGCGGCGACGGCGGCAGTCGTGGGACGATGGGAAAAAGAAGGAGAAGGATGGGAAGAATGGGAATGGGTTGGAGGAGAAGAAGTTGAGGGATGGAGAGCGGCGGAAGGTGAGGACGAAGAGACTAGCATGATTTCCGCCCAACGAGACCACCACGTGGGCGGACGATTGCACGACGTGCAACGAAGCTGGCAGACGCTGCGAATCCTTGTACTGCTGCTGTTACCGACGACGTCGTACACAGACGCATCATGATCCGTGGAGCTCAGACTCTCTGAGAAAAGAAGACTGAAGCAGAAGTGGACAGTGGGAAAAAAAAAAAAAAAAAAAAAGTATTTTCCAGCGATGGTTGATTGAGCGATTTAAACCCCGAACAGAAGGTTTATAGAAAGACAAGAAGAAGGAAAAAAAGGAGGGGGGGAAATACGGCCGTTTTTCAAGGGGGAAAAAAAAGGAAGGGAAAACTGTAACAGCCATACCAGATAGATGGTGAGAAATCGGTATGTAAAGTAAAAACAGGGAACTGAACCAAGTGACAAGAAATCGAGGCACATTCCGTCCAATCAGAGAGTGGGAATGGGTGTCCGAGCGGGAAAACTTGGGGTATTTTACTGACTATTGCAGAGCCTTACGACGATCGGCACAGTGACCCGTTTCATCAGATCATGGGGTTTTTTTTTGAAGATACCACAAGTGATCATCCATTATTGGTACCTTACAGAGTATGGATAGTAGTAGAACTATAGTCTACGTAGTATAAAATATCAAGATGATGCCAGGGGAAGGTTCCCTATGTAGAATTGGAATACCATCTTGGATGTTCCGCGCACTTTACACTGCCCTGATATCCATGATGATCGGGAGGTAATAATAAGTATGGATTATGAAGAGCACTGTCATGGTCAGGCATACCCCTGTCTGAAGAATATTCTGCAATACAATCCACATCAGTTGACATTTGACGCTGACATGCGCAACCATCTAGCCTTACTCAGCCTCATGAATCAATAGACTCATACTCCGTAAGAGTCATCAAGGCAATGTGAGCTGATATCTACGTCTTTATTCATTTATTATAGAGCTAATCCAACGCCTTGATAGATTTCCAAGCTTCTGCTCATCCACCACTACTGGTGCGGGTTACTGTATTATCATTACACCGTTACATGTCAATGCGGATCCACTAGGGCTGAGATCAGGCTGGGTCATGTGATGCTCCAACGCTTACATAACTCACCTCAGCCTTGGCATCCATGTGACTCTGAGTCAGGAAGTCAGGTGATGTCATTCAGAGAGACTTGGTGAAGAGTCATGTGATATGTTTCGGGTACGGTCAGCCCATAACGTGTAAGTGACATACCATACCGCCAAGCTCTCTCTCTCTTCCCCCGGAAAAGGGAAAGGTCTAGAAAGCGGATTTACAATGATTCCACCTCCAGCTGCTCTCAACGGTGCTTCAACTTCGCTTTCATCTCACGTCGAGTCCATACATATTATTAGCACCGTAGCACCGTCGTACTTTTCTTCGGCCCCTCACCGCTCTCTTATCGTCCTCATCCGGCTCGAGTTGTTCCACCCCCATCCTTATCACCTGCTTCCCTAACTGCATCAGGCCTCCTCGGGCTCTTGGGTACTTCCTCCGCCTTCGGTTCCTCGTCATCTGGACGCCACATGAGTTGAGGCTTTGTTCCAGCATTGATTCTTTCTGCGCAGCCCTTCTCGGTTTCCTGCATCAAGTCCGGCATCTTTCCGTCCACAACGCAGTCAAAACGGATCGATCCTCCCAGCCGAGGCGGTGATTCCCACATAATGACGCGCGCTTCAACGCCTCTGTCCCTTCTCCAACTCCAAAACGCCGATTCTTTATCCTCTCAAGCGGCGCTCCTTCGCAGCCTCAAGAATGAAACAATTGGCCACGACCAGCGAAAAGTGATCTATGTCAAGAGGGGCATCATCCCAATTCTCACCAAAGTCCTCACAGCGGGGAAACTGCATGGGAGGAACAATGTGGCGACGGAGCTCAATGGAGCTGTCAACCAACCGTCGGCCGTCAAGTCGGACGGAGATGAGGCATGCCACCAGGCGATCATCATTCTTGGCAGCCTAGCACAAGGTAAATAAATACTTCGAGCAACTCGTCCATAAAAGTCAGAAAAAGAAAAGAGAAGAAGAGTATCGGCTGCTCAGCCGTGACGTCAGTCGGAAGAGAGACTGATATTCTTCAACCAGGCGGCCCAGCGTTCCTCGCGCCCATTCTCGAAAGCAATTTACTCCCGGCTCTCCTGTCTCTTCTTTCTTCGCCCGACTGTCCTTCCTTCCTCCATCTCCCAATCCTTCGGACGCTCAATAGCATCGCAGATCGGCTCCCACTGCAGAGTCAGCAGCAATCCTACAAGGATACACGTGTGGCAGATCTGCTCTTCTCAAAGGAGCACGTCGGCTGCCTGGCTCGCATTATCGGGCAGGATTATGTCTCTTACCAAGCGCAGGCCTCGATTGAATTGGCTGCTGCCCTGATCGGGAAACTCTGCACAGAAGAGGCTCACAAGACAATCCTGGCTGATTCTGGAGTGTTAGATGCCCTCGGCGTCAAAATCGCTGCGTTCGTGGTCGCGCAAGGATTCGTTCTGCCGGGCGCGGAGGAGCACGTCCAAGAGCCTGGTGCGCTGGGATCATTGCCTTCTCCAGCTCCTTCGGGTGCCAAATTGGCTCCGATCCTTCGCGCGGTCACCGTCATCATCGAACACTCCAAATGGCGAGCCGAGCACTTTCTTTCGTCGCCTGGCATAGTCACGGTTTTCCCCAAACTGTTACCCGAATTCGCTCCGTCGGACATCAAGAGGGGACCCTGGGGGTCCACATATTTCTCGGGCTCGGCAGTCCCGCGACATGCTGGCATTAGTCCACTCGAGAGTCTGCTCCCAGCGGTCCCATTATCCCCAACAGGCGCCCCGGCCACCACCACGACCACCACCAATTTCCCGCCCTTGGGGCCGCAGACTGCGCGCCGTCGGTCCAGTCACTCTTTCCCCACCTCCTTCTCGCTCTTTGACTCGTCTACCGATGAGGATGAGAATCCTGTGGTTCCCTGGCTCTTGTACATGGTTCGTGCGGAGAATGGCATGGTTCGGCTGATGGCGGCTCGCCTTGTCACTGTTCTGTTCCGGCTCGGCCTCGCCAAGAAGCATCGAGTGTCCGTGTTCTCATATCTGCTGATTCCGATCCTTATACGGATGCTTGACAAGGACTACGAGATACCAGACGACGATGGCGCAGAATACGGGGGCTTGATCTCCGCCACTCTGCGCCTCAGGGAGGAAGCACCGGCCGTACTCGCGATTCTCGTGATTGACGACCAGGAATTACAGAAGCATGCCGTCGAAGGAGGTGCAATCAAGCGGCTATCGCAGCTGCTTAAGGAATCGTACAATCCCATTCAGGACAGTTCCCACCCCATGTGGCAGCCGGAAGTCGAGGAAGACATCCCTGCCGCCGAAGTGCAGCCGGCAGAGTACAACCTCGGTCCCCCGGGGTACTCCCCCACTCACTGCCATGTCATGCGATACCGCGAGAATATCCTCAAAGCACTCGCGGCTCTCGTTCCTTTCAAGGATGAATATCGCAAGCTCGTTTGCGAGAACGGAGTGGTGCCGTACATCATTGATTCCCTCAAACCGTGCCCTAGCGATGCACCGGTGGACACCTCCAACCCCAAGAACACTGCTGCTGATGGCAACCCGACACCGACCCTTCTGGCCGCTTGTGGCGCTGCTCGAATGCTCACGCGGTCTGTGAGCGTTTTGAGGACTAGTCTAATTGACGCAGGAGTTGCAACTCCTTTGTTTGTCCTTATCCGACACCCGGATGTTGAGGTGCAAATTGCTGCAACTTCGGTAATTTGCAACCTTGCGCTGGACTTCAGTCCAATGAGATCAGTCAGTCCCCTCGACATCTTTTCGCCTCGTTTGAGAGTTTTTTTTTTTTTTTTTTTTTTTTTTTTTCTTTTTTGAAAGTGAGCTGACCATTCACATAGACAATCCTCTCCGCCGATATTCTCCCCGTCCTTTGCGAACACGCGCACTCATCTAACACGAAGCTTCGCATCGAGTCACTATGGGCTTTGAAACATATCGCTTGCAAATCGACCAACGATATCAAGATCAAGATCATTGATGGGCTTAAACCCGGCTGGATCAAGCAGATCATCACACAGGATCCCACCAGCGCCCTGGCCAAGCGAGGGATGGAAGGGGAGGGTGACATTGGCGCTGCGGTGGGCATGAGTCGAGCCAATTCGGCTGGGGAGCAAGTGGACCTATTGAATCCGGTTGAGGATCTCCATGGTCGCAGCGAAGACTCCCAGATGACCGATACCTTGCCCTCGTCGAAGATGAGCCTGGGGATGTTTCTACCGGATGCGACGAGACGGCGCAAGCTCGTGTTGAATGGGGATCTTGACCAAAGCACCCAGTCTCGGCAGGATGATATCGCGGTGCAGGAGCAAACGTTTGACCTGCTGCGCAATCTCATCTGTGGGGATCATGCATCAGAGGTGGTCGACCACATCTTCAAGGAGATTGGGCAAGATATCATCCTCGACGCGCTGGCGGATAAGCTCCGATCCCGCTCGATTCACCTTCCCCATCGACGGGAGTCCGCAGCCAGCCGGGCGCTTTATGTCCCTACTGAGATTTTGATCTCGGTAACCTTTGTCATCATCCACCTTGCCGCTCTCCCATTGCATCGTCAAGTTCTGATTACACATCCAACGCTCTTGCAATACCTTATGTGGTACTTTAATCATAGTCATCGGGATGTGCGAACGAACTGCATCTGGGTTGTCATTAATCTTACCTCAGAAGACGACCCCGACGAGAAAAAAGAATGTCGTGAACGAGCGATGAAGTTACGGTCTCTCGGGGTGATGGATCGGCTGAACAGTCTGCTGGATGACCCCGACCTGGACGTCCGCGAGCGAACCAAGGTTGCAGAACATCAGATCACTCAGTTGACTCATGCATAGCGATTTCCTTTCTCTCACTTCACGGTTTTTGTGATTCTTGATGATCTTCTTTTAAGTAGCATGGGCATTTGCTGGGACTGGATACGGGTTCTTGAGACATGGAGGGGGCGTTGGCAGGAATGTATAAATGCATCATCTACAAACACATATTACGTCCGAATATTTACAATAATTTCCACCGTTTGTAGATTCCGTTTGGGATTTTAATATCTCCCTGTCTCTGAGGTACCTCTCGAGACTTCAAGATGTCTCCTCGGCTTTATCTTATCTGGTAAGCATTCGACGATCCCCCAACGACGTCATATCAAAGCAAGTCTTGATTCAGAGCGACTCTCCATCAAGCAACACATCAGCTTCAAGTCAATGATTGTCTTTTTCGACGTCCACATAGCCCAATAGTTCACATTTATCCTCGTCAAGAGTCTCACAATGGCCCCAGTCCCTGCCTCTATACTACGAGCTCTCTCCCTCCCCGATGCCTCCAAAGCCAGCCTCTCGACCACCGGCCTCGGCTCCGGCTTCACCAGCACAGGAGCAATCCACGCCACGATAGCGTCCGCCGACGGCACAAGCGAGGAAGAACGCCGCTACTTCGTCAAGACGTCCGCCGACGGCACAGCAGCGGAGGAGATGTTCCGCGGGGAATACGAGTCGCTCAACGCGATCGCGCACGCCGTCCCGGGGCTCTGTCCCCGCGCACTAGCCTGGGGCCCTCTCGACGAGCACAGCAAAGCCAACTCCAACCCCACAAGCAAGAGCTTCTTCCTTGTGACCGAGTTCCTGGAGCTAGGCGGTGGCGGTGGCGGGCGGCACACAGGACCCTCGCTCGCCCAGCGGCTGGCGCAGCTGCACTCGACGCCTGCGCCGCCTGATCCGGCGACAGGCCGCCGGCGGTTCGGCTTCCCCGTCCCCACGTTCTGCGGAGACAGCAGGCAGCTGAACCGGTGGCGGGACTCGTGGGCGGAGTTCTACGCGGAGGAACGGCTGCTGATGATCCTGGAGCGGGCGGAGCGGCGGCATGGGCCGGACGGTGGGCTGCGGGCGCTGGTGGAGCGGACGGCGGGGACGGTGGTGCCGGCGTTGCTGGGGGAGGGCCATTTGGGGTATGCTAGGGACGGGAAGGGGGAGGGGATTGTGCCGGTGGTGGTGCATGGGGATCTGTGGAGTGGGAATGCGGGTCGGGGCCGGATCGTGGGCACTGGGAGTTTGCGTGGGCGTGGGCGTGGGCGTGGGCGTGGGCGAGCGGGGGACGAGGAGGAGGAGGAGGAGGTGGTAGTAGGTGACGTGGTGTATGACCCGTCGGCGTGCTATGCACATAGGGAGTACGAGCTGGGGATTATGCGGATGTTTGGCGGGTTTGGGGCGCCGTTTTTCGAGGCGTATCATCGCATTGTGCCCAAGACGGAGCCGGTCGAGGAGTATGATGACCGGGTGCGATTGTATGAGCTGTAAGACGTCCTGGCTCGTGGTGGATCTGGGGGGGGTGGGAGTGAGTATAAGTATGCTGACCCTTCTAGGTATCATCATCTGAACCACCATGCGATCTTTGGGGCTGGGTATAGGTCGGGGGCAGTGTCGATCATGGAGAAGCTGCTAAAGAAGTATGGCGAGTAGCTTCGGCTACGGGGGAGATACCAATACATCGAGATCAACCCCCTACCACAACGAGCAGTCATTCCTGGCCCTGAACCCGCGCGGATTGGTCCCAACACTGGGCGTCCATGCAGGCGAAGATGACAAGGCCATCAAGCCACTCTACGAGTCCAACGTCATCCGCGAATACCTCAAGGACGCATACCCAGACCACCAGCCGCGTCTGCTTCCGTCCGATTCCTACGAGAAAGCCCGCGCCCGGATCTTGATGGACTTTGTGAGCTCGCGGAGACTGCCAAAGTCCGTGAGGAGTTCCTCAGTCGTCCGAACGAGTGGACGAGGGAGATGCATCTCGAGGGGCCGTTCTTTCTAGAGGGATCAACTTTCCTTTCCTGATTTGGCTCTGGCGCCCTGGGCGGTGCGGTTGTGGGCCTTTGATGGGTTGAAGACTGGTGGTCTGGGAATTCCTGCTGAGGGACAGGAAGGAGAGGATAAAGCTGTCTGGCAGCGGTGGAGGAAGTGGCTCAGGGCTGTGGAGGAGAGGGAGGGTGTAAAGGCAACCACCAGTGAGAAGGGTCATTACTTGCCAATCTATACCCGCTATGCAGAGAATACTGCCCAGAGTGAGTTGGCCAAGGCGACCAGAGCTGGAACCGGAGTACCTTGAACGTCACGGTGCTGAGGATATATATAGTCGGTTGGGATGACTTAGGTGTCTAGTCGCCCAGCCCTTGATGATGATGAAACACAACATCTCTTTACATAGATTCACTGTCTTCAGATCTTCCCTCTTTAACAGTAATAATGCCACTTCCTCCCAACTTTCATTGATATAGGTTGTCGCAAAGCCGTTGACTGTTCTCTTGCTTGAGACCGGCGGAGGAACCTTCTTCCAGTACACGTGACCGTGATGGTCGCCGCCAATCACGCATCATTATAGAGTCCCCATCTTCAAGCTGTCGCGCTCATTCTCAGATCAACTACCACGACAAGCTCTGCCACCCCAGCACTCCAGGATGGCCTCAGAGAAGCGGGATGACGCGACACAGCCGGCTGCCTCAGACCAAGGGCTGCCGGAACCCCCTGCCATTCACCCGTCCTTCATCCAGGTGGCCAAGCCGTATGTCTTTGAGCAGACCATACAGAAATGTATTGCGGCCATGGGGGTGAATCCCCTGCGCGAGGAATCTCTGCGCCTGCAAGGGGTGACGTGGATTGATAACGTCCGCCGGGTGCTCTATCTGTATGCTCCTGCTGGCGACCCGAATGATGAGTGAATTACTGACCGGCTAGACCTATCCGTACTTTCAACACTGCTGTGGTCTACTATCACAAATTCCGGCTGATCCACCCCGACACGGAGTACAACTACATGGTATCTATCTCTTTCTTCTTGCCTTTCTTTGGGACGATGTCCTGACTTCGTTAGGATGCTGCTGCGGCTGCCCTCTTCACAGCCTGCAAGATCGAGGACACCCTGAAGAAGTCCCGCGAGATTGTCTGCGCTGCGTACAATCTCAAGCTGCCCCCATCAGAGCACATGGCTCCAGATAACCCAGTGGGTTTTCAGAACATCACTTGGCGACAGAAAGCAGAACTAACAACGCCTAGGTTTTCGAGGCGCACGCCCGAGGCATCATTGGGCTAGAGCGACTCATGCTCGAAGCGTCTGGCTTCGATTTCCGAACCCGCCACCCACAAAAGACCCTGATCAAACTAGCCCGACATTATGGCATGATGCCGCAGTCTGAGGTCTCCAACCTCGCCTACCGCATCTCGCAGGATCTGTACCGCACCTTTGCGCCCATCAAGCAGACCAGTTCCACCATGGCGTTTTGCTGCCTTGAGCTCGCAGGCCGTTTGCTGGACCAGCGCCTAGAGCCCGTGGAGCGGGGGCTTGATTACGAGCAGTGGAAGACCAGCCGCGAGGAAGTCATGGGTAAGCCGCCGTCCAATGCAATAGTTTTTTATCACTTCCCAGCGAAACGCAAAAAGATATTTGAAACTGACACGAAACCAGAAACCCTGTTCGATTTGCTCGAGCTATACACCCACAATCGCGGATCCACCTGCGTCGGCCCGCACTTCCCCGCCGATCGATTCCTCACCGTCCGCATCCCCCTGAACAAGGAAGCCGAGGCCCAGCAGCTACCACGCTACACGCACTGGGTCGACGAGACCCGAGCGCCCCGAGCGCTCAACGGCGCCAGAGGCGGCCGGAACACCGCCGCCGCACAGAGAGAGAAAGACAAGGGCGGCGCGCCGCCGCTGCACCCCCTTACGCCCGTCGCGGCCAACGGGGAGCGGCCCAAGCCCGGCGAGCGCGGCCGCGACGGCGCAGTCCGCTTCATGATCGATCCGGAATGCGCGGAGGCGGAGAAGGCGCGGGTGGCGGAGTACTTCAAGGTCGAGATGGAGGAGTACGAGGTCGAGGAATGAGCTTGACTTGACGATCTGTACGTGCGTCGAGGCTGTTTCCTTCTTCGAACTACGAAAACATTCCCGGCACACGGATTCCTTTTTTTTTTCCGAGGGCCAACTCGAAGCTTGAGAAATATAGGCGGGGCGCAACGAACAAGTCTTCAGTTGCCTAGGGCTGGAGATCTGGAGATCATAACGAAATCCCAGGGGAAACCCGCTCATGCAGAACAATTCGGCCCCGTTTCTTGAGCTCAAGGTTGAGTGTCGAGCAGCTTGTAGCGCCGTCCGACACAAACGTCAAAACTACCGGCTCAGCTTGAATGCCAGCACCACACACCCCGTCTATGGTGAACTAGACGCTCCAGCTAGGTCGATTCGGGGACCGCCGGGTTTGGTCTTGCAAACTGCCCTGGGCAATATAGGCCAGCCATCTAAACTTGGAACAGACGATGCAGGCACGATGAAGGAGGGCAACATCGTCACAGGCAAATAGCTACGACTTATGAGATATATGTCGAAGGATAAAATCTATTCAGGCAGTCGAGTACCTAATCATGGATGTGAGAGCTATATATGATGGGCCTTTACGCGCTGCATCGGGCCCTTCCAACTCACAGAGAAGCAGGCGGACGAGAAGAAAGAAGAAGAGGAAGAAGAGAAGAAGAATCTACCTAGACAAAAAAGTGTTCCGTTCCCTTTTTTTCCCCCCCCGGCTGAACCAACCCGAACGTCTTTTCCTGACATGTATACACCAACAAGCCAATGTACTGGCAAGAAATTACAGTGAGAAAAAAAGATTAAAAAAAAGTTTGGATGAATAAAAGCCGAACAAGTTCATCAATACTTCCGGTCTCGGAAGATGTATAGTCATTAGCGAGGTGCTTTCATCGGCGTTTCAACTCGGTGTTGAGGCAGTCCAGGATCTGTAGATCGTGAGTAAATTGCAAATATGAGCAGAGTATCAGAAGACAACATACCGTATCGGAAATGGTTCCCTGGTTGTAGAGGTATTTGCCTAACCCACGGACCACCTCAAGCTGCTGATCGACGGTAAGGCCGTTGATTGCAGCCTCAATGATGTCCCCAACACTGGCCTTGTACACAGCAATGAAGCTGTGGTAGTACATGTACGAGAAGAATCCCATGATGAACTGGCAATCCATGCGGTCGGTGATGCCGCCGTGGCCCGGGATGGATTCGCCAAAATCCTTGATCTTAAAGGTGCGCTTGAGTCCGGATGCGAAGAAGCCACCGAATGGCGCAATGAGGGAGGCAAAGGTCGCGAACACCAGGATGTGGAACTGCATGGGCTCAACGTAGAAGGTCTTGGCGAGACCGGTCCATTCGGGAAGCGAGTAGGGCTGGGGCACAAAGACCGGGTTGGGGGTACATTGCAGTCCAGTTAAGACGTTGGCGCCGAGATCATTGACCGGGCAGATGAAATACTTGTAGCGCATCAGGATGTTGGTCATGAAGTAGCCGAAGATGATGGTGCAAATCCAAGCACCAAGGAATCCTTCGACTGTCTTCTTGGGCGACAGCTGGATCAGTTGAGTGCGTCCGAAGGTGATACCGCATACATAGGCGAAGATGTCGTTGGTGATTACTAGGGAAGCTGGCAGGAAGAACCAGATCATGCCCTCAAAGACATTGTTCATGACAAAATGAGCTTGGACAACGATAAGATAGAGGGCCATATGGGTCCAGGCAAACTGGGTGAACTGGAAACGGTAGTGGCCTTTCTGCAGCGAGGCGACGAAGAAGACGAATCCTGCGCAGTGATTGCAGCACCTTAGCATTCTGGACGAACGTACAGACTCCGCAGGAGTACTTACCCATGACGTACAGCGTGAAGCTGATGAACCGATGATGCGTCGCCAGAGGAAGCAGGACCTTGTCAACCAGAAGGATATGCTTGAAATAGTAGATCACACTTTCTCCGTAAAGGAAGTACATGGTTGTAGCCAGAAAGTACCAATTCAGCGACTTGGTGAAGCGCAGATTCTTCTCCCTGCTGGGAACATTGGCGATAGCAATTACTTCCTTGAACGAGACGATTTGGACTGCGGTTACGATACCGATGATGTAGATGTGGCCTGAAAACATGGCAATGAAGAAGAATAAGATCATAACGAAGGTCCATATTGTCCGAGTGATAAACGTCTGTTTCTTCTTTTCATAGTCGGACAACTGAGGCTGCTCCTGCTTCTGAACGTTCAAAACTTGTCAGCTTCTGGTATGATTTTCTTTTCTTTTCTTTTTTTTTTTTTTTTTTTTTTTTGGCTGCACTCTTCAATCTGCTGGCGACTCACCTCTTCGGGAATTGTTGCAGACTTGGAGACAATACCATCCTTCGAAGGACTCCCAGGATCGGAAGCAATGTCACTGGCATCAGAGATGCTCATCCGCCGATTTTCAGAGCCACTGTTTGCTCTGTGTTGAAACCGGACGTTCCGGCGTGATTTGGACATGATGGGACAGGGCTGACAAGGCTGGAGACAAGGGGAGAGAGGTCGATTTTCTCACAACAGAGCGACACGACTGCGCGGGGAGAGCAAGACCAGGTAAGCGGGGAAATTTCAGGAGATGGATCTGAAACCGGGGTTCAGGGACACGGAATGGACCCGAACAAGGGTGAAAGATGGGAAGTTGGCGTTGGCAAAAGAATCTCTGGGGGAAGGGGGGAAATAATCAGACAAGTGCGTGCTGGAGAGCGATCGTCGTCTTGGTTTAGTTAGCTAGTTAGTGGTTGTAGTGTCAAAATTTCATGTGAAGTATGGAGTACGTAGCACCCGAAAGCGGTCGGGCAGGAGGAAACAGGAAGGACGAAGAGAGAAGAGAGAGATTAAGGGGGGAGGGTGCAGCGGTTGATGTACTTTGAAAGTCGACTCGAAGCCATTCAACCTGGAAGAGGATGAAATCAAGTGGATGGAAGGGGGAGAGAGAGAGAGGAAGAAGTCTCCCAGACTTTGAAAGTTGTCACCAAACCAGAAGAACCTCGATTCCCCCCCCCGTGACTCTGCACTACGTCAGGCCTGCGTCCCTTTTTTTTTTTCTCTCTCTTTTGGTTCCTGACATTTATCTTTTCTCTCCCGTACCAAAATCTCAATAACAAAAAACACTCATCTTGTCGAGCTCAATGCCATTCGCTGTCCTCGTCTGATTCATGGCGACCGTGTGTCTCGGGTTATGGAAGACGACGATGATTTCTTCTCGGACGATGGCTTCGACGATCTGCCTCCCAGTACGTTGTTGCAGCTCGAGCAGAACGCGTATCTAGCCACGCAGGTGCAACAGCCGGTGCAGTTTGAGCAGACTGCTCATGCGCCCGACCAGCGAACCACGCCTGTTCCGGCCGTCAACAAGTCTCCGATTCGAGCACCTGAGCCCCAGTCGATTCCTGCCAATACTACTTCATTGAGACCTCCTGCGCGGTTACACACCGGGCTGACCAACGATTACGATGCCCTGGATGTAGGGGAGCTCGATGCAGAGGTGGTTGATGATGATACGGGATTGGCAATTGCGCTGGATCAGCCGCCTGCTCTGGCGGGGCAGGCGGTCCCTTTGCGCCATGAGGACGTCGCAGACGCCATGGAGATTGAAGAGGGCAATCCATACCAGTCCAGTATCTATGAGGCATATAATGCGCTCGAGGAGAAGGTACCTGAAGCTGAAGAGGAGGCAGAGCATCAGACAATCGCTAACATCGGGCTGATCTTATCCACAGGTGCGATTAGAAGAGGAGCGACTAAAACAAATGACGGATGAGCTGGCCACCGCTCGGTCGCTAGCTGAGACAAAAGCCGGGGAGATTGCCATTATCCGGTCGAACCAAGCGAAACTGGTTGAGAACTATGATCGACAGCTGGCGGCACTACGAAAGGCAATGGCCGAGGAGGCGGCCAAACACAGGGAGGAAGTGGAGGCAGCGCGAGCTGAGGGCAAGCTACTCGCGACGGAGAATGCGTTCCTCAAACAGGATCTTGCCGAGGAGACCATGCGAATCAACAGCTTGAAGGCAAAGAGTCGCGCGCCGGACAATGCGCCGCCACCACCGGTCACGCCCAAGAAGACCCGGGTACTTCCGTTCCGCGATGGGTTCGACGACGATGAGATTATGGCCGTCTCACCCACCAAGTCCACTCAGTCGAAGCGGATGACCCCCATGGGTCCTGGGAAGAAGAAACGGAAGCTGGACCCGGGAAGTCCGACACCGCTACCTTTGAGCCAACAGGTAGAGCCTGCAGCGGAGGCGCTGGAGGATATGTTGGATGATGCGATGATGGATGAGGAGATCATTACTGAGGAGCCCCTCCCCCGAAAGGACGATCACAATGCGCAGCTCATGAAAGCGATACTCAATCACAAGACCTACCCAAACGAAGAGACCGATATCGAGGTGATGGCGCGAATGGCGTTTCCGTCAGAGCCGCAACGGAAGCTGTCCACTATCTTATTGGACGAGACGGCGAAACTACACTCAGGAAACTATGTGGTAGAGTACGCGCAGGTCATCTCTTCGTTATGGTCTCGAGCCCTAAAGGAGAAATTCTTCCCGCCAGTGCCGTTGTTCACATTGATCATGCGCTACCTGTTGACGTTGGATGGACCGTCATGCATCCCGCATATGCTTGAATATCTGGTGCCAGTGCTGCAGCAATCGGGAGATATCAACGGGGTACCTCGGTTCGAAAATTCGCCTGTCTCGCGACAGAATCTCGGCCAGATACGCCAGACGCCGTTATCCCAGCTCGAACCTTTGGTTGACTCGACCGAATCCCTCGGACTGCTTTACCAGATGGCATGCACGTGTGTGCATCGGGAGCGGACGATGGAGAAGTTCTGGCGATATATGCGCTACGACTTCGTTCTGATGATGTTGAATTGCGCGCAACCGATCCGGGACATTATATTGATGCTGAATCTCCTCGCAACCAGCATCCGTCCGACATCCTTTGGGTCCATCCAGGAGGCCGAGCAAGACCAGTTTGCCAACGAGAACTATATAGTAGACCGCGTGGCCAATCTCCTGAGCGAGATGCCGCAACTGGATGAGGGCCAGCCCCCGTACACCGCAGCCGAGATCTGCACCGTGCGCCTGGAGGCCATGAAGTTTCTCACGGCGGTGGCGTTCAACCCCGTCGCCCCGGTAAGCGACCACGGGAGCTCTGTCATCGCTTACCATCCCACGGTCCTGGCGCGGATCATCCGAGCCATGCACGACGAGCTGGATGCGCTCTACAACTATCCACCGGAGCGACATCTGCATGCAGCCATGGTCAACGGCTTGATGCGCTTAGTCTACGGGGTCGTCCGTCGCCACAAGAATGTGGATCTACAATCGAAACTCTGTCGCGTGGCGGGAGGGAAACAGAAATTCCTGGTGGTGTTGACCCGGTTGGCTTTCAGCGAGGGACCGATTCTTGAGGGAGGCATTGATGATGACACCGTGGAGATGGCCCATGAGATCCTGGACGATGCGGTTAATCCGCAGGAGGCAGAGGCTCTTTTAGAAATATTTCCCAGCGCGAAGCGAGACGATTGATACGAATAACCATGTGTATGATAATGAATGCAAGACCAGTGCGAATATTTATACTTCTGAGTTGTGGTTTTTTGAAACCTAATTCAAATGACCGTTTAAGTAAAGAAGTGATGTACAAAACTGTATATTGACCTCAAGTTATAGACTTGATTGATCTCAGTCCAAAATCAATGTGTCCTACGGAGGCCCTTGAAAGTATTCAATAGTATACATACACATCTGCAGCAGTTTTGCATCCGGCTGTAATTACCAACCAACGATGTGGATAACACTAAAACATGCCCAGGTGTGTGATCCCTCTCATCAATGTCCTCTTCAGAACGGCATCACAAAACCCTCGGATTGGAATCACGGTTGTCTACACAGAGTACGGGTATATACATACACCCTCTTCTCCATACCCCCGCACAAGGCGAAGAAATGATGAAAAGAGAAAAAGACCCACAAAGTGGAAAGTGCCAAAGAATACGCCTGTCAATGACCCGAAGGCCGTTGAACAAACTGTTCCGCCGCGCTGTGCAATGCAGGGACCAATCTGTGGTGGACCGCCTTCTTGATCGCAGCCACCCAAACAAGGTAAGTATGAAGAAAAGAAAGAAGAAAAATGGCCAAAAGATCGGAGGAAGTGAGAGGATTATATATGTTTGGGTGGAGTCCGACGGCAAGGCTAGTGCTTAGCGAGGTGTTTCTGTCCAATCAGGTGAGATGCAGTGGGATGGTTTCTGGTGCCTGAGGGCTAAGGCAGACAGAACGATCAGGTGAGAGCAGTCACGTGCCTTCTCTGAAGTTTTGGCGTTTCGGTCCGCTCATCGTTGATGCTGAAGGAAGTGCTTGCTGCAGGTCGATACACACGGTAGAGTCGCCATCATGAGGAACAGGGCTACGACACCATTGAGCAAGGCGGTACGTCTTTATTTAACGATCTCGAGCATCAGATTTGTATTCCATGTCATCCCGGGTTCATCTCAGCTAATCATCTTCCTATTCTATCTAGAAAATCCGACAATCATGGAGCAAATATAACCTTTTCAACCTCAATCGGTTCCGCGCCCCTCCCACCGTAAACCGAACGTTCTTCCAGCAAAAATGGTCCGGCAAATCCGTTGCCCGAGCGTATCATGGTGAACAGGTCCCCGAGAGTCAATGGTCGCGCATGTTCACCCGCCGCATCCGCAGCGTCGTCCCCATGGACCCGGTAAAACTGGCCACCGACGATGGCTCCAAGATGTCCGCTGGTCGTGGGTCGGGTCTGGAAACCGAGGCGGATGCCAGTGACTCCAAATCCTCCACGACCCCCTTCACACAGATGACGTTTGCTCCCCTGGAGCGTCGGCTAGATGTAGCTATCTTCCGGGCGATGTTCGCTAGCAGTGCCCGACAGGCTCGGCAGTTTGTTGTGCACGGTGCAGTTACAGTGAATGGAAAGAAGGTAGGCCTCCCTCACCCAGTGAGGTAGACGCCTCTGGGCCTTGAAGTTGGCTGACACTTCCTGATCAGATGAGATACCCTGGTTACCTCCTGAATCCTGGCGATCTGTTCCAGGTCGAGCCGGACCGTGTCATGTACGCCACTGGTGCTCCCAAGGACAAGTTCGAACGCCGAGAGTCGCGTGTCGCGAGAAAGAAGGGGGCGCAGTCGACCGAGGGCGAAGCCGCCGAGGGAGAAGAGGGTGCGGTGGCGGAAGAGAAGGGAGACAACAAAGAGGAATTGGACACAGCAGCCGCCGAGGAACAGCCGAAGGAAAATCCCAAGGAAGCATTGAAGACCCTCCTCACCCAGGCCAAGACTATCATGTCTGACAGCAAGGACGTGCTCCCCGCCAAACGCAAGCAGGAGCTGCGCGGCTTCCAGAAGGCCGTCCGGAGAATCCTGTCGCGGTCCGAATCGAGCACAGTCTTGACCGACAACCTCGAGTCTCAGTTCTCCGAGCTCGTCACGCTTCTGAAAGCCAAGAAGGCTGAGAAGAAGAAAGGCGGGAAAGAGTCCGCGGAGTCGAAACCGGCACAGGCCACCGAAGCCTCCACCGCCGCTTCTGAATCGAACCCTACCACTACTGCTTCCGCCCAGGACCAGCCCACCGACAAGCTCACCGAGGCTTTCCAGAAGGCAGCCCTAGACCCCGAGGCGGACGTCGACACATCCGAACTGACGGACGATGAATTCGAGGTGCTGCGCCGCGCGCTCATTCAGATGCGCGACAACCCGATCGACCACTCCAAGCCCTACGCTACCCCCTGGCGCCCCCGTGACTATATGGGCGCTTTCGCCTTTATCCCTCGCTATCTTGAGGTCAACCACAACATCTGCGCTGCCGTATACCTGCGCCATCCCGTAGCACGGCCGGGACGCACCGAGGTGCCGACACCATTCCCCGAGAGCGTGGGCACGGCTGCATTTGCGTGGTACTTGCGGAGACGGTAGACGGACGAACTTTGTAATACATTCACCACTTTTTTTTTTTTTTTTTTTTTTTTTTTTCCCAGCTTTTTGCTTCTGTACTCTTATCTTCGGCTGGCATGTTCCGCAATCCTGTATTACTGGGGGTCTTCTGGTCTGTTTTGAATTTTCCCTTTTCCTACTTCCCTGGTGCTCATAGATGTATGGATATCTGCCTTTGCCTTGTTAGTCCCCGGGAAGAGCGAGCAAAAGTATCATGTTGCAACGGTGTTGGAGCCTGCTTTTGCGCCTGTATGAGCACACCTGTACAATCAACTGTCTGATAAATCATCTCTTTCCAGTCTCTTATAGGATCTCTCTATCCCGTTGTCTAAGACTCGTTTGGGAATAAATTTCATGTGTAATCTATTCTGGAGCGGGGGATGAAAATTACCGTTCCGCCTCCACTCGCGCCAACTCCAAAAAGGACCAAACTCGCAGGTTTCTCACTTTCCCAACTTCCCCAACGCGCAGAATTTGCAAAAGCCGCTGTGGATTTTTCATCTATCCACTTTTTTTTCTTTCTTTCTTTCTTTTTTTTATCATTATTATCGATCTACTTCGTATAGCATAACCTCCCCATCGCCATTTTCTCTGTGGGATGAGCAACAACTGAGAAAAAGGAGGGATCAGCTAGCTATTCTCTCATCAGTCGGCCCTCCGCAAGTCCCTGGTCTCAGCTCAGCTCCCCTTCGCTCCTACATCCGACCATGTCGATGTATCCCTGGCATGGGACGACGGGCTCCAACAACCATCACCACCACACTGCAGCCACCGCATCAGGCTCTCGAATTGACCATACGGCTGGGTCTTCGTCACCAGCCTCGTTTCAGATGCCGCAGCTGCGATGGCTCCCGTCCATGATGTCGCGCTCGCAGCAGCAGCAGCAGCAACAACAACAACAACAACAACAACAGCAAAACACCCTCCAGCAGAATACGCTGCCGACCATTTCGACGAATCTGCGTATGGGTCAGAATTCGCACCATCAGCCCGTCGCAGTCGTCGTCGACGCGCGACCTCCCCAGGCGGAATTGAGCGAGGGGTCTGATAGTGACCAGTCCGATAGCGCTGCGCGGGACACTGGCGGCCCGGACGCAATTATGGGTGATCCGGATTATGCACCGTCGCCGCCGGATTTGGGCCAGGGCGGTGTGCAGCATGGGGTTTCCGGCGCGGTGGGGACCGGGGTTGGAGCTGGAGCTGGAGGGGCAGGAGCGAGAGCCGGGGGCGGAGGCGGTCTTGTGGTGGGAAGGTTGCTCGGGGATGAAGACCTCGATGGCGGAGCGGCGGGCGACACGCCGCGCAAGCACGGCAAGCGGCTCACCACCAAGGAGGAGGTGTCGCTGTTCGACATCTGCAACCGACACGCGGCGGATTTCGGGCAGCGCAGCAACCTGTGCAAATGGTGGAAGACGGTCACGGAGGAGTTCACGCGCGACCAGGGCCATCCGTACTCGTGGCACTCGGTGCGTCGCAAAGTCGAGATCGTCACCAAGCAGCGCATGAAGTTCCTCGAGGAGCAGCGCGAGAAGGGCGGCACCGACAGCGACGACCTGTCGAATCCGCGCTGGCGCACCGCCGTCGACGCCTGGATCCCCACCTGGCAGCGCTGGGAGGAGGCCGAGGCCCGCCGCATCGAGAAGCGCGACTCGCGCCAGACTCGCAAGCGGAAGGGCCGCTCGTTCGACCTGTGGGACGGCAACTCCGACGGCTGGCGGCCCTCCTCCACTCCGGTCGTGGAGAACCGTTTCCAAAGCCAGTCCCAGCAGCCTCAGGCGTCCTCGGCGCCCGCTGCCTCGCCCACGCTCCCTGCTGCTGCTGCCACCACCACAACCACTCTCAATGGCGCCAATGCTGCCGCCGCCGGGGCTACGACCACCTCCTCCACCTCGCAGAACCCCGTCCGTCTGCCCCCGGGCTTCGACTCGATGTTCGCGACCCCAACCACCCAGGCAGGCCGGAAAGCCTCCAGCGCAGGCGCATGGACCTACCCGCACGCATCGGCAACGACTCACACTCCCTCGGCCCTGGAAGGCAGCATGATGACCGCCGTGCTGGAAACCCTCGGCAAACTCAACAGACACCTTGACGCCGTGAGCACCGACCCGCGCTCCTCGTCCTTCGTCAGCTCCCTCGCCACAAACGCCAACCCGGGCAGCCAGGACCCGCTCCTGCGCGCAGACGGGCACGGCAACGGGAACAGCAACGGCATCGCCCACGACGGCGGCGCCGCCAGCTCCATGTCCTCCGTCTTCATCAGCCAGCTCAAGGATGAGCTCCGGCAGGAAATGCAGGATGAGCTGCGCCGGGAGCTGGAGAAGGACCGCGCCTCGTTGGAGGAGAAGCTGGACTCCGTGCAGCGGACCCAGGAGATGATTCTTGACATGTTGCGGCAGGAGCCTTGATTTGCTTCGTTATGATTTATTTATCGTTTGATTTGCTTCATGGGTATTTTCTTGTCTCTGTTTCTGTTTCTGTTTCTGTTTCATAGCTCTATCATGATACCCCTGACGAGACTCTACCACGTCAATATCAATTACGCAACGTCTATTTCCTCGCTTCCAGAATTTAGAATTTGGTGGACACCAACCAAGACTAAAGATTTAAGATAAGTATTCGAACACACAAACTTCCTCTCTTTCAATATGAACTTCTCCAGTAGAAAAATCCTGACGCTACGGGAGAATAATGCAAACCATAAACGAGTTTCCGGGCTAAATTACATATACTAGACGTGCTGAAGGGGGATGCTGCACAGGGTCCTGCCAGTTCCGAGGTACACTTTTTCTCTCCAACTCCATCAAAAGACACAGGGCGGGTTGTTTAGTAGTAGAAGGTCTCGTCGACAGTGCGGCCCCTCATCCAGCGGGGCTCGCTGCCGCGGACATAGATATCCTCGAACAGGTTGCGGGAGGTGTTCTCGGGAGCGGTCATCTGCTCAGCAATGGCGACCTCCTCGTCGACGTGGCTACGGGCAGCCTTGTCCAGGGCCTTGAGCTCGTCCTCGCTCATGACCTGCCAGTCGAGGATCTTCTGCTTGAGACCGGCGATGGGGTCGTGGGTGCTGCGCATGCGCTGGATCTCCTCACGGCTACGGTAGGTGGTACCGGGGTCGGACATGGAGTGACCACCATAGCGGTAGGTGACGTACTCGATGACAACGGGGCCGTTACCGGCGATAGCGTAGTCTCTGGCGTACTTGACGGCGGCCTTGGTGGCCAGGACGTCCATACCGTTGACCTTGATACCGGGGATGTACTGACCACGCTTGTAGTACTCGGTCAAGGCGGAGGAGCGAGCGGCGGAGGTACCCATACCGTACTTGTTGTCTGTACATTGTCAGAATGAAATACTGGTAATCTCTTGGTAGAAGAAGAGGACTTACTCTCACAGCCGAACAGAGCAGGAAGCTTCCACAGCTTGGCCATGTTGAAAGCCTCGAAGACCTGACCCTGGTTGGAAGCACCATCACCGTACAGGACGATGCTAGTGGCCTTCTCCTCGTTGTACTGCTGGGCAAAGGCCAGACCGGCACCAACGGGAACCTGAGCACCGACAATACCGTTACCGCCGAAAAAGTTGGGGGCGAACATGTGCATCGAGCCACCCTTTCCGTAGGCGATACCCTCGCGGCGACCGAGCAGCTCTCCAATGATCGAACGGACGGTACCACCACGCATCAGAGCGTAACCGTGGCAACGGTAGGCAGTGATAACCTTGTCAAGGCGGGTGATGGCGTTTTCGATACCGACAGCGACGGCTTCCTGGCCGACAGACAGGTGGCAGAAACCTCTAATTTTCTTTTCCTTGTAAAGACGGTCGGCGGCCAATTCCATACGTCTAAATAAAGCAGAAACGAGGCACGGATTAGTCTCAATTCAAGATCGCCAGTCATCTGCGAGGATTTTCCTCCGGTCATTCCATACCTGGTCACCACCATATCGTAGTACATCTGCGTCAGCTCCTTCTTGGTAACCTCGAGGTCATATGGAGGAGGGTCGAGCTCATATGTCTCGAAGCTCTCATCGGAGAGCTTGACTGTGAAGGGCTTGTCATCCTCCTGCCATCCAAATCATATTCCGTCAGCTCCAAGACTTCAAAATGAATTGATTTCGGGGCTCTCAACAAACCTGCGGAACATTCTCAGCATGCGACGAGGCGGCGTCGGTGGTGACAGACCGGCGAGCAAGAGGAGCAAAAGCCTGACGCCTCAAGGGCGCAGCCTGACGAGACCACGCAGTTCGGAACAACATAATGAACTGGACGCGTCAAAAAGTCCAATCGATGGAGAGAAAAGGGCTGGAGGAGGATGATGAGAGTCTTGCCCTGTTATCTTTCAACACCCAGAGATGTTGGGATTTGCTCTCCCTGTCGACTAGTCGGAATTCGGCAGGTAGCTTACTTAAGCCAGCCTTCCATTTCGGGGAGCTCCGGTGTAGTTGCTGCAAACACGGCAAACAGATGCCATGTCTGCCTTATTGCCTGCAGATAGGAGGTGAGTTCAACGATGGCGTGTAGTCTTGAAGACTGTAGTTGTAGGTCAACTCCGATAAAGTATAAGGATTCGAGCTAGGGAATCAAGGGGAGAGGATCGATCGCGGGGTTAGTAGCGCGAGATAGACGAAGCTCTTGTTCCAATTGGGGTATAGCAAAGCATTAAGCAATATCATACGACCCAGGAGCATAGGCCATGTATAGAGCACTAATACTAATGTACATGGTTGATCTATCTAATATACAGTTCATGGCTCCGTAAAGCCACAAGAGATCAAGTCCAGCTAAAAGGAGCCCAGCTTGCCTCCAATAAACCTCGCAAGCTCATGCGCAACTGTGGCGTCAGTCGCCCTCAGTGCGTCACGAAGAATCTGCTCCCACTGACCCAGCTGGAGCTCATGGAGATTCCGACCACTCAGTGCTTCATGCACTCGATGGACCTCCTCCGATGCAACAGTTGGGTCAGACGAAACTGAAATCTCACTCTCAACGATAGCACCGTGTTTGAGGCGTAAAAACACCCGAGTCTGAGGCGGAAGGTTAGCTAGGTTCCGGTCATCGATAACATATAGGATCTTACAGATGGAGGCAGAGACGAAGGCAGCGCAGGGCGTTCACGCGGATCCTCCTCGATGGGGTACGTAGAAAAGGTGAACCGCGGTGTCTGAGTGTACTTCCACTCCAGCGACTAGTATCCAGCACACGTTAGCAGTATTCTCTCAGATCAATCAATCTCCTTTTGGTCGCCTTACCCGCAGTTCGTCAATGCCTTTCTTGATCTCAGCCTCTCCATAGCCCTGTGGCTCACCCACCACGCCAGCCACCCAGTCGTCTCCGGCGTACAGCTCAGGCTCGTTAGCATGAGCACGTTGCGCGCGGCGAACGGCATCGGCATCAACCTGGTAGATTCGACCAAATTCCTCCATGATGCCATCCATCACTCCCTGTATCGAGAAAGGCGCAAAGGCATTTTCAAGAGCCGTCGAGACATTTGTTACCGGCGATCGCACACTCTCGACGCCCTTCGCCTTGATATAGTCTCGCGCCGGCGATCGGAGAAATGATCCCAGGTTGTTGATATTGGGGGAATCCAGCAGGCAAGTCCCATGATGTAGAGCCCGGTGCCTGGTCAATTTAAATGCCGAACCAGAGATTTTCCGCGGTTGTGTGTCCAGAAATTCAACAGACCCCCCATGCTCGTTGGGTCCAACAGACATAACGATATCGTGACGGTCGTTAACACTAGTATTGGTCGCTCCAATCCTGTGCAGAGCCCGAACAACCATCTCCGCATGTTTGTTGCGTGTAAATGTAGTCCGCGGGGAAATCACACTGTAGTTCAGGTTGCCTTGATCATGATAGACCGCGCCTCCACCAGATCTCCGTCGAACAAGAACGACCTCTTGACTGTCGTCGCTGTTTCCCTCCCCAACGCTCACACGGTCGTTATGGAGCGCCTCGAGGTTGGTCTCGAGCCATGGGTTCTGATTGCGCCCGATAACGACACAAGGTCGATTGACGTACAGAAAAAGGATGCTACTATCAGGCGGCGCATGTTCCAGCAAGAAATGCTCAATAGATAGGTTCACATAAGGGTCGGAGGACAACGACTGGTAAATCTGGTGCTGGGAAGAGTGACGGCTCGCTAGCTGGGCAAACCGGTCGGTAAATATTGCGGAGTTATATCGTGCGGACACTCGAAATGGACTGGTACCGCATCGTCTAGGAACCAAAGACGAAGACAGCAGCCATTGTCCTCGCAGCAGCTGACGCATTGAGGGACGACGAGGTCGAAGACCAAAGAAAGGACATGGTTGAAGCTGTTCGAACTCCGGAGTCCGTGGAGGAGCAGCAAGTGAAGCATGGTAATGTATCGTAAGACAACGAGCTCCGTAACCAAATTTTCACACAATATGGGGACAAGCCTAGCGTCAGGTACTGTAAGATCTACTGAAGATGAGCGTCCTCCGATCCCCGGCGCACTAGGCCCAGATAGGCAGTCAAGATGACTGTTGTTAAAAAGTCCCGTTTCAGCTCTCTTCCCTGAACAGTTTGGTCTTGGGAAGTCACAGGCTCACAGCATTATAAGCCAGGATCGTCTCTGCATCTTCACCCTTTGATATCGATTGACAGGGACTCTTGCGATCTCCGATACCCCAGTATCCGTTGCTGATTGACTAAAGGTAAGCGCCGCCGCACGCTCTCACTGTCAATTGCCCCACCATTAACGGAGTCATAAGCAGAAAGATATAGTGACAACTCGACGAATCCAAATGTCGACGTGGGGAGAACACTTTCGGGTCACCACGTACGTTGCTCCGAGGCGATAGTCACAGAACTAGCTCGCTAACCCTCTCAATCACAGTTATGGTGAATCCCACTGCCGCTCCGTCGGCTGCATCGTCGATGGCTGCCCTCCAGGCATGGAGCTCACAGAAGAGGACATTCAGCCTCAGATGACTCGCAGACGTCCTGGCCAGAGTGCCTTGACGACCCCCAGAGATGAGAAGGACCGTGTAGAAATTCAGTCCGGAACAGAGTTCGGTGTCACCCTGGGTACCCCGATTGGAATGATGGTTCGCAACGAGGATCAGAGACCCAAGGACTACGGCGGCAGCACAATGGACCTGTTCCCCCGTCCCAGCCACGCTGACTACACCTACCTGGAGAAATACGGCGTCAAGGCCAGCAGTGGTGGTGGCCGGAGTAGTGCGCGTGAGACAATCGGTTAGTCTACTTGGCGAAACAATGGGAACAAAACAAGGCCGCGAATTGCTAATACACTTCTCATCTCAGGCCGTGTCGCTGCCGGAGCCATCGCTGAGAAGTACCTTCGCCTCTCCCACGGTGTCGAGATCGTCGCCTTCGTCTCCTCCGTGGGCAGCGAGCATCTATTCCCCCCAACCCCCGAACATCCTTCCCCATCGACAAACCCCGAGTTCCTGAAACTCGTCGAGACCATTGACCGCAAGACGGTCGACGCCTTTGTGCCCACGCGCTGCCCCGACGAGGCTGCCGCCGCGCGCATGACCAAGGTGATCGAGACCTTCCGCGATAACCACGACAGCATCGGCGGCACCGTCACCTGCGTGATCCGCAACGTTCCCGTCGGGCTGGGCGAGCCGTGCTTCGACAAACTCGAGGCCAAGCTGGCGCACGCCATGCTCAGCATCCCCGCCACCAAGGGCTTCGAGATCGGCTCCGGATTCGGCGGCTGCGAGGTGCCCGGCTCCATCCACAACGACCCCTTCATCGTCTCTGAGGTCGCCGGCCCCTCCGGCACCACCCAGCGCCTCACCACCAAGACCAACAACTCCGGCGGCATCCAGGGTGGCATCTCCAACGGCGCTTCCATCTACTTCCGCGTCGGGTTCAAGCCCGCCGCCACCATCGGCCAGGCCCAGACCACCGCCTCCTACAGCTTCGAGGAGGGTGTCCTCGAGGCAAAGGGCCGCCACGACCCTTGCGTCACCCCGCGTGCCGTTCCCATCGTCGAGGCTATGTCCGCCCTCGTCGTCATGGATGCCCTCATGGCCCAGTATGCCCGCGAGAGCGCAAAGAATCTGCTGCCTCCGCTGCCCAAGACCCTCCCCACCAGGCCTACACTTGGCTCCGGCACTGCTGCCTCATCATAGAAACCACCGCATCATCATCACCATCATCCTTTTCCATTGGTCTTTGATTTTGGATGTCAACACCAAAAAAACTTTCTTTTTCGGGCTATATTATCTCATGCTTATTAACGAAACGATTCTTCTTTACGTGTATCCAATCTCCAAGCTATAGATTTTGAACAATTTACTCCTTGGGGAGGTGCTTCATATCTCATTTGATGTCCAAGTGTATGACTCGTGTCGCCTCATGCATGTTGCTTTTTTTCAGGTAATGGAACTATTTCTATCGTTCAACACGCAGGGATACATACAATCTGGCCACGTTCCTCTGCCTAGTCCAACCACCAAAACTATTTCATTCAAGAAAACATAGTAGAAGAAGAAGAAGAAGAAGTGAAAAGGGTAAAAGGAAAAAAAGGAAAGAGAAAAGAGAAACGAATCATAGCTTCGTGATTCATCACACATTCCCATAACCGTTCGTCAAGACATAAATTTGGGTGGAACAGAATACGCTCAACGAAGATAAAAGACCAACGGATAGACGCTGAGAAAACAAGCTCGTCAGCGACCAGGATATCATCAAAGTCTTCCACCAGGAAACGGGTAAGCAGAAAAGGAAAAGATTCTTTGGATATACAAATCTGTCCGTAGTGAGCATGGCATATCCCCTCGATGTGAACTGCGGGCTGCCTTAGGCTCCGCTGTTACTTCGGCTGATGGACAATTCCGACAGGTTGTCTAGGTCTCCGGCGGTGGCATTGACCACCCTCAGCTTCTCCTTTGGAACGGTGAATGACACTTGGACGCGCCGGCCCTCGGCGGCACCTTCGACGTCCCAGTCGGCATCGTCAAAATCCATCAAGCCATCCAATGCCGTGTCATCTTGCGATCTGATGGTTTGCAGGCCACTATCCCGCGAGACGCGATTCCCAGCTCCCCAATCCCGAGCACCCTGTTTCCGTCGGAACAGCTCGGCTGAGGCACTAACAGCTCGCCGTGGGACCCGGGACTCAGCTTCGGATTCGTCTGTCATTCGGGATCCAACAACCGTCCGCCGTCGATCGATACCAGAAGCCACCGAAGATGTCCACGAGTCTCGTTTCCCCGCCACCCGTTTCTGTGTACCCGACAGTACTCGTCGCACACTACCAATCCAACCGGACATCTTCGGCCTGGGAGATGGTGAACGGGCTGAGGATCGCTCAATGATCATGGGCGGCTCAGGATCATTTCTGAGAAGATGTACCCCCTCGGCCTGCCGTGAAGATAGAGTGGTATGGGCGGTGGAGTAGGAGTCCGAGGAGTAGCGGTTCTCTCGAAATAGTGCGGAACCATGAGTGGAAGTTGAAGGAGGCTTATCCGGAGATGACGGTTTTATAGGCAAAGAAAATGAGCCTCGGATTGAGGAATGGGCAGTTGCCCCAGATTTGGCCGATGTCGAGGAGTCTGAAAGATTCGACGACGTTCGCTCGTCTTGACCGGAGAGCGCACCTTCGTTCTGTAAATCTTGGCCAGGTGCATCCTGCATGTGTAGGGTTGAAGGGCCAAGGTAGTTCCTAACATCCATTGTGCTCTGTGGGGTCAGAAATTCCGCTCCTGAGATGGATTCAGGTGCCGCAGCCCTCGCGTAAGTGCTGTAACCTCGGCTCGGTCCCTCTTCTTCATCGCGTTCATCAATCGGATGTATGTCACCCGTTGCATCACTTCTCCTATACTCATGATAAGGCCCGGAATAACGGTACGGTCTCATTCCCAAGCTTTGTTGGCTGTTCTTAGGTGGATTCGGGACGCCAACGAGCAAGCCTGTTCTCTCAGCGGCGGCTTCCCCATGCCTTTCCCAGTTCGGGATTTCGCCGCTGTTCCAGGAGAACGACTTGGTGGTGTTTCGAGACCTGGGCACACGAATGCTGCTTGCCATTTCGGGCTCATCTCGTCCCCAGAAATGCGCTCTTTGGGCACTGAGAGCCAGCTTGCGAAGTTCTCGATCTCGTGATCGCCGTACTCGGCGCCTTCGGCAGTGGAACCAAGTAAACACAGCTAAGCCTGCTGCAGCAGGGATTCCCAAACCAAGTCCGACACCAAGTCCTGCCTTCTTAGACAAGGATGAGGTTGTCGAAGAGGACGCACTGGGGGCTTCTTGTAGGCTCGGGTTGACATACGAGGTCACCCAGCTGCCCGAGGTAACGTTGTATAAGTAAACTTGGGAGTTCGCCTGAAATCCCGCCGCAGAGCGCTTCGTGAATTTAGGTATACTATAGCCACCGGCAATCATCATCACACCTCCGGGAAGCATTGTTGCGCCATGACCATAAATTCCGGTTCCGTCGGCAAGTCCAGTACCCTGGGTAGATGGTATCATCCATTTCCATGCACCGCTGCCTCCAAAGTCTTCGCCCATCTCCAAAATCGCCAGTTGTGGATCGGCGGGTCGGGCAGTGCTACCAACCCAGCCTCCGAACACAACGATCCTGCCACCGTCCGGGGATAGAACGGCCGTGTGTCCTGATCGCGGCTCAATGAGGTACTCATCGCGAACTGCAAGCTCGGTTTTCCCCGCGTCGGCCCCGGTGTGCACGGTGATGAAACTCCAGCTGTCATGCGGCAGGGAATAAATGGCAAGCTCTGACATGTTGAGGAAGGCCTTCTGGGTGTGACCACCAATCATGAGAAAGTCTTGCTGCTGCGGGGTTCGGCTCGAGGGCGACGATGCATAGGTTGGCTGTAACGGTGTAATGGTGAATCCTGCCTCTGCAATGGGCGGAGCCCGATGACCCCCGGTTGACAGCTTGTAAGCGGAGGTGGCGCTAGAATCCGGAGGACTCAGAACCATCATGGACTGCGAATAGTTGGCAGCATAAGTCCAAGTTGCTTTTGAACTCACGTTGAATGGACACATGCCGCCAAATGTGTACAGCGAGCTTTTTGTCCCGTTGGTAGAGGCCCATGCAAATCCTGCGGCTAGGTAGCTGGGGCCCTGAATGTCGATACCCATGTCGTGTTGATCCAATTCCACATTGTGCCGCTCCCATGTTCCGTTGCCGATGGTGGTGCTCCTATTCGGCTTGAATTCCCAGATGCTGCTCTGCTCCTCCGTAGGGTTGTGACAGCCCCCTGCGAGAACCTTGATATAGCCATGCTGATCAATGGCTGGAATGAAGGCAGTGGACTGATTGTCAGCTCGGAACGGCAACTCATCGAGAAGCAGCGTGTACTGCGGGTTGGCGGGGTCGACCTTCCCTGAGATGTTCAGTGAAAGGAACTGGCTGGCATTTTGATGGGAATCGTTGGGTCGCAGTAAGTATGCGAATGAGTCGTTCGATTGAGAGGAATAGAGGAGATGGGACGGAGAGTATGGGATTGCAGCGTGGACAGGACGGACGAGGAGTGAGACAAGCTGGACCAGTGACGTCCAACCTACCGCGGCAGTCCTGCACATTCTGGTACACTTCTGAAGACCGTCATTCATGGAGGTGCAGGCTGATAAGATGCAGGAATCAGTGACGATGCGAGGTAATGGTACATCTATCTAGATAGTGAGACCGTTGATCTTAGTTGGCTCATCACGATAATTCCGAGCAAGCGGGCCAGGACATCGGATCGGCCAGTATAGAACGAGGCAGGTGGACGATCCTGCAGTTTTGGGGTTGAAGGATGATGGTGATCTATCCAGAGGGCAGGGTATCTTGCAGGATTGAATCAGTCTGTCGAGTCAATGGTTTATTGTATAGACATGCGAGTCGATGTCAACGAAGCACCAAGGAGGAGAGAAAGGGAAGGATGAGAGGGAGGGGCAACAGGTTGGAGGAAAACAACACCAGCAGTGGTGACTGAGGCATCCTCATTGTCATCAGTATCATTCGATATTATACCTCGTTTACGAAACTCGGATCAGAGGATAGATACTCGACTCTGGCCCCATCAATTTAATCTAGATCGGACACGCTCCACTAACTACTTACAAGCCATGCAACCTCTACAGTCACACCTGGGCTCTAGACAGCCAGTGAGGAGTAGATATGGTGGTATTCGAGAGGCTGGTGATAGATTAATGGAGGGGCGCTGGGGAAATGCAAATGGTAAACACGCCCGGTTGCACTGGCAACCCTTGGCGGGAGTGTGTACTTCTCGAGGTATATTCGTCATGGTAGAAACATCGTCGACACTGGGATTTGGGTTATCTGGGGTGCCTCTCTTTGAGGCAGGGATATGTCAGTATTTGTATGTGTCAATCTGAGATGGCAGGTGGATATCATTCCTTGTGCATGTACAGCAGAGGATGCCATGAAGATATATTATCCAAGTAACTTGCTATCTCAGTGTTGGACATGGGGCATTAGCCCATTACCCGAGGCACAATGACTAGCATGCCGGTAGGTAGTCTACCTCCCACTATGACTACTATCAGCCAGTGATCCAATTGATTTACTAGTCATTGCGCAAGGGGAAATTGGTTCACTGCATGTGCATTGTATGCTTCAGGTGGGGTCATGGCGAGGAAATATGTAACCCCAATCGGGTTGACACTGTCCGAGATACTCTCAAAGACCATCCTAGTCGCCTTCAACAAATTATACGTGCAGGTAGAGCTCGAACTCCGCTGAGAAGACACAAGACACAGGACACAAGACAAAAAAAGAAAAAGAAATAGAAAAGGCGAGAAAGAGCGAAAGGAAAAGAGACTCCATAATCCGAAACCAAAATGACAAAAAGAAAAACAATTGACCAGTGCCGGGCTCGATCCGGCGACCTTATCGGTGTTAACGATACGTGATAACCAACTACACCAACCGGCCAGTTTGTTGAATTCCTGCGCAATTTTACATTTTATAAGGCTTAGCAGTAATGAAAAATCTCGATCAGGCGATCTACCTCCCGACAATGACATTGTCATCTGAACGCTTGCAGTTGAATCCTCAGCCATTATGTCATGCGTGGATTCTCAGAATCTCCATCAGATCCAGTGATGTAGTAACAGCGAATAAAAGCAACAAGCCTTCATCGATTTCAGAGTTGGATCTTCATTAGTGGCTCCTGTACTGTTTACTGATGTAAATCAGGGTGGATGCCTCGAACTAGCATGTGATCCGAGACCTGGATGCATCTTGTTGATATTCTCGGTTTCTCGATCCGGTTCAACAAGGCTTACTGCGATTTCACAGAGGAGGATGGCATTAGCCCATACAATATATCCCTCATGTAAGTAACGACGGTGTCTACCAGCTCACTGACTGATTCGCTGGGGCCATCACCAACGACACGATAAGCCTGCTTTGGATGTGGTATAAATGATGACATCGTCATCCCAATGAATGGGGTGGGTAAAGCATACCAGATAGGCTGACTGCTATTGCTGCCACAGTTATCATGGCCCACAGATAGCCAGATGTATTCATACAACTCGTCGTCGTTAGCGGCCAGGCCAATATATGCAAACATCCCGAGGACGAGGGATATGTGGCGATAGTTATGTCGCTTCACAAGATGACCGTGTATTCCTTTACATGCAGGCCAGGTCTTGGGATCAAGCTCTGCAACCAACGGCAGCGGTTACAAACCGAGTTCAAACAACCATAGGGTCCTTCTTCCGATCTGGCCTTGCTGATTATATTAGGAAATGGAGGCTATTGCTTGGTTCAAGCTCGAGCCTTCTACCATCTTTCCCATGTAGTCAAACACGCCAATTTTATCTTCATCAATTGGCCGGTTGGTGTAGTTGGTTATCACGTATCGTTAACACCGATAAGGTCGCCGGATCGAGCCCGGCACTGGTCACTTGTTCTTTTTTTGCTTCGATCTCGATCTCACCTAATTTTTTTTTTCTAATGTTTGATCGGTGGTTGGGAACATATGGATTGGATTGATGGTTGAACCCATTCTGCATTACTTAAATTGGAATGGATTGTCCTTGCTGCGCTTCGCTTGGCCGGGCTGCACCGCCACAAACTCAAGGCATTTTACCGGGACGCGAATATTGAGTACTCAAGATGCTCACGCCAACGACATGAAATTTGTCTTCTTCTCTACTAACCTCATATCAAAGTTACCTACGGAGTACAATATCGGTAATACGACCAGCCCCTTCTGCTACAGGAACATAGAGCACTATATCCCATCTTAACAGTCACTGGCCGGTTGGTGTAGTTGGTTATCACGTATCGTTAACACCGATAAGGTCGCCGGATCGAGCCCGGCACTGGTCATAGCTTTTTTGCCCATTCCTCTTGTGGGTATTGTGGGACTCGCCTCCAACCAAGGAGAGTTACGGAGTACTTACTATACAAGTCTTTAATTTTTTGTTGACTTCCGGGACGCTGCAGGTGCCCAGACTCGCAGTCAGGTAGGTAGGTAGGTACTGATTGATTGGCGAGAGGCATGGGAACCAAGGTCTGCCGAGAGTTCAGTAAGTATCCTATGGATGATGAAGAAGCAACACCCAGCGGTTTCAGAACACAGGGTGGAAGTTGTGCAGCCCATGGGTGGATTATTGATGGATGGCTGCAGGCAAGTACACAAGCGACCTAGCGTCCGAGGACGGGAATGGCCCCAGCTTTCTGTCATCGGTGGCCGCGGCCATGGAAGTTTCACAGTTTCACAGTTTCACCTTGATATTCTTTTTTGTCATTTTCAATTCAATTCAATTCATTTCATTTCATCCATGAACTTCCCATGATGAAATCTTTCCGTAAATTTTCCAGCGCGCTAGTAATTCTGGAATCGAGCGAACAGAGGGAAAAAGCTCTTGGGTTGTGGACAGCCAATGGACTTGTTCCTCGGTGTCCGGTCCCACCTGCAACCTTCCAGAAGAGGAAGTGTCCAGCCGGCCTGAGCATTAATATTACCTCCATACCCAGGTATTAATTTCATGACCAATGACCATTATTATCAGTTCCTTTTCGCCCGTACAGAAGGTTACAGGAGGCAAAATCACCATTTCTACTAAGGTAGGTAGACCTGGGAGTTGGAGCCACTCGCTCGTCTGCAACTTGCATGCGGGTCGCCTGGGCATCAAACAGTGTGTAGGTATTGTTTGATAGATGCAGAACTCTAACGGAGTATAAAGATTTCATCTTGAGTGTACAGAGTATTGTACAGAGTATTGTATACTCTGTACACCTTGACTATCTAAGTACCTACTATGTATAGCCCGTGTGGCAAAGGGGGCATCGCTCAGACACTTGATCTGACTGCATAACTGCAGGCATGGTTGATCCCAACCTAACCGCAGTTCGAGACGGCCAAAGAGCATTGGATCGGCATGGCGCCCGTCAATCCGCTCGACGGACCTACCTACCTTGTTAACTCAGTATCACCGCCCGAAGATTATCCAGACTAAAATTGACGGAGGCAAGGGATTGAGCATTGATCATAGATACCTGGATACTGATCAGATCAATCAATACACATCCGGGATGTACGTTGGGGCCCGATGATGTAATTGGGAATACTGAACATCGGAATGAGAGGATGTTGGCAGCGTAAAGCATCTTACCTTATGGATAGGTAGAGATGGGAGTAGATACTAAGGTAGGTATCAATATGGATCTCTGCAGGTGAATCAATCTGGAGATGCTCATTAATTTCCTGCCCCTGTCCTTGTCTTAATTGTCTACATAGTACACCATCCTGCGCGATTAATCAAGGCCAAACTCCATACAGGGATATGTAGATACCGACTGACTGACTGACGACTGATTGACTGACTCTCAAGAACTCCTGTCAACCCAAGACATCAGGTTCAACCAAGGTTGCCTCTAAAAAAAGCCACTCCTCGTGGGACCTGTCTCAAACTGGGTCACATAAGCGAAGAATGATGCTCGAGCGTGGTAATGTTAAGTGTAGTGTTATATGAAGTTGCTACTTGCTAGGTATGCTTCTTCAGCCTTTTTTCAACTAGAGAAGTCATATGTATTGGGTATAAGTGGTGAGTATAAGATATGGTGGTTACTGGTTATCTGCTCCGTACCAGAGTACAGAGTTCCATACACCTATGTCTGCAGATTGTTTCTCACTACCTACTCTGCTTTCCTCCCATCCATGCATTAATTATATGGTGAATATAATAATGATGCTCTATAGAGTACAGTTAGTTTGCTACAAACTTTATCCTTTCGGAGGGAGAGAACAGACCTCCGACTAATGTCCAAGCTCGAGAAAGCGAAGCATTGCGATTGGAGGAAATGTCCAGAGGGCTGCAAATGCAATACCTAGAGGATATTAATTCAGGCACCGTCCATACCGGGCTTGAAAATTACTGACATAAACCATTTATTACCTTTACAACTAGGTACCTAGGATACTTGAGGTGGTTGTTAGAAAAGAATGAGGTGATACTTGGATACGATACCTCAGACCATCTGTTCGTGGTCAATTGGAAGATACTAGAAAATGAACCCGAAGAATACATCCAAGCTGGCGGGCGGGAAGGGGCGAGAAAGAATGATGAGCGGACTCGAGGAGAGGTTGAAAAGAGGGCCGTTGGACCCACGGAACAGCAGATCTATTTACTATGTGGTTGGTGGTGGGGGACATCAAGGCCAGAGACCGACTAGAGCGATGAAAGCACGGAGTCCTTCGTATAGGGGTCATGGTCTCATGGATCATATCAAGGCAAATGGGAGGAACCTCAATCAGAAACGGAATCCAGGAATCAAACCCAATGGATACTGATCTTACCTATAGTGTCTACCTACCTTCCTACGTAGGACGGGAGTATTGATAAACATGCTAAACATGCTCTACTAGTTCTGTACAGTACAGAGTTCCTGCAGGACGGACTGCGCAAGTCCTTCAAGGACCATAGGAACTCGAGAAATGCAATGTAACCAACCGAGCCTGATAGAAAAAAAAAAAGAAAAGAAAAAACAATCCCTAGGTAATCAAATCATCAAATGCCATGAGCACAAACTACAAAGACACTGAGAGGAAATCGATGACGGAGCTGGTGGGCCATGACTCGTTGACATTCAGAGGAGATGATTCCATGTACTGTTGTATCATTATTATTGTATGTTGTACACTTGTAAGGAACCTAGGTAACTTGGATACCTGAAACAGAGCACATTTGATGGTCAGTGGGTAAGCTTGGCACTGGGTATCGCCATTTGCCACTAAGTTGGATTTGCTTTTTCCCTCTGATCTCCTGCAGGTTGCTGACTACGGGAGTACAGGACTCATTGCTACTTGCTTTTTTTTGTTTTCAGTCTGGCGGTAGGGCGAACATCGATCAGTTGTAGATAGAATGATAGAGATAGAACTTGAGAAGACATGGCGAAGAATCTTACTCCATGGGAAATATCCATGTAAAGACTACCTACCTACCTATACTCTCCTACAGTACTACTAGGTAGTTCGCTGTCACGGTGCCAAGTCATTCTCCGTTGAAATCTTACCTGACCTTACCATACTCCGTAGGTACTCTACCTTGGACCTTACTTTACTTGGTGTACGGTACGTGCAGTACAAGGTTTACCAGACCCAAGCGATCTCAACAACTGCCAAGTTTATCCTGAGCCCAAACCGCCTGGGCGATCGGCCGAAGGAATCGCTGTGGGCTTTTTGGACATGAACTGGATGAAAAAGGATGATGTCTAGGTCTTCATTCCTTGAAGACTCAAGTTAATTAATGTTGAGCGGATTGATAATGGTATTATAGGACAGAGCCTGTGGAAGCATCTACCTAGTACCTACTACCTACCCATCTTCCTTTTTCCCAACTAAAACCCACCCAAGTTCCCCACCACCAGAAATAACTGTCGGTCTATGATTATTATCTATCTATCGATCTATCTATCTAGTGCTCCGTTAGCTACCTAGTAGTTACTAGTTAGTTAGTCTGATAGATACTCCGTACTCGTAGTCCTCACTAACTACTACCTTACTAGTTTCACCTACAACTACCTACCCTCCTCCTGCTCTTCCGCCTGACAAAAAGTTATTTTTCCCCGACCAACAGCCAACTATCTATCTATCTATCTATCTATCTATCAACCTTTCTCGCCCCCCCCCCCCGAGATTATTCTTCTCTCTACCTCGACTTACCTTCCTGACTCTTACTTACTACCTACCTACTCTTCACTTTTTAACACTCGGATTCGGACTCTCTGACTCCCCCCTTCCTCTCTCAACAACCTCCCTCCCCCCCCCCAACTCCCCTTCATATTCTCTCCATTAATACGCTTCTTTTAATTTCTCCTTCTGGGAGTCTTTATCTTATCTACTTCTTTCTACCCCATCCGCTCCCTTGTTTCCCATCCCAAAACGCTCCTTTGCTTGCTTGCAGTTGCATCAAATCTCTCCCCACCCTCCGTCATCGGCCATCGGTGTGCGACTTTCGCCTATTGTGTCTTCTCCTAAAGGCCCCAAGCATCTCCTTTCTTTTCAGTTCAGCCCGGTTTTTTTCATCGCATCTCGCTTTCTTTCTCGGGCAAATCTCACCGTTCGCCGCCGCCTTTTTATTTTTTTCATTTCGCTCGTCATCCCGCCGGGCTCAACTGTTCGATCCCCCACCGCTTCATCGGTGCCGTAGCAGGTCTATCGCCCGGACTCTTTTCCGCCTCTCTCATACCGTTGTCCGGCACACGGTACCTCACCTGTTGGAGTCATCCCGATCGTCGGATATTACTGCGCTTGCCAGCTCAACCTGCATGGCCGTCGTCGCCATCTCCCGAATCAGATTTTGAAGAAAAAAGAAAAAAAAAAAAGTAATGCCGATCCGATCGTGCTCGCCGTCAGAGCCCGTCGTCTGCTCGCCTTGAATTGAATGATTCACTGCGGGAGGTTACCAGAAAGGAATAAGAGAAGGAGTCGGAAGAAAAAAAAGAAGAGGAAGAGAGGAAGAGATAAACCGGTGAAGTCCATCTGAAAAGAACAGCGGACAACAACTACGCCAAAGACTCAAGAGGATGCACAGTGGTATTTCCGATATCGTTGGGTTGGGAAAACATATTATCTAACTCGGAAAATGACTGATCGCCCCTCTTCAGCTGGCCTGGGGGAATCGGTGAACTTAGTTGCCCGAAAAGGTTCTGCGTCGGACACGGTTGCTTCTCGACGAAGTTCGGACCGACCCAGAGAGGCTCCAGAGGCCTCGCTGCCTACTGCGTCAATCGATGCGGTAGGCGTTCGGCAGACAGTCACCAAACCTCCCAGCGCCAAACTCGCCTTACCTAGCGGCGATGTGGCGGATGCCACCACCTCCCTCCGCCATACTTTCCCTCATCTATACCATTCATCCAGCGCATCCCGATCGCCCTCTACCCGCACTTCGTCCAGCTCATTACAAGCCCTGAACGAAGATACCGTGGTCGACGCCCGGTCAGAAAACGGCCTCTGGTCGCGGACGTCTGTCGGACGAAGGATGTCTCAGTTGGGCTTGTCCGACGCGCATTCCCCCGACTATCCCGTGTATCCAGATCAGTCCTACGCCGTCCTTCAATCACAAGTTCACCCCACCTACCATCCTCCCTTTGTACGCTCCCGCAGTTCCTACCCAGTCCGGACCGAGTCCTTTGGCCGCTTTACCGCACCACGCCCTGTTCGCACAGCCGGAAACACCCCCGTATCGAGTCCTGGTCTTTTCTCCGTTAGCAGTCCTCGCTCCACGCCACCCCTCACTTCCGATGACGAAGGTCGCATCAGCAGTCCTTTCCTACACCCCACTCATCTACAGCCGCCGAAAGAGACACATACTGCGGAGGTCGATCGAGATCTGGTCACTGGAAACAAACTCATCAACGACTACGAGATTTTGGAAGAGCTCGGCCGTGGCGAGCATGGAAAAGTGAAACTGGGTCGCCATGTCGCAACTCGCCAGAAAGTTGCCATCAAGATTGTCCAGCGGTACTCAAAACGACGTCGTCTGGGCAAGCTGGGTAACCCGGAGGACAAAGTCAAGAAGGAAGTTGCTATCCTGAAGAAAGCTCGACACCCAAATGTCGTCAGTCTGCTGGAGGTCATCGACGACCCCAACCGTCAGAAGGTCTACATTGTATTGGAGTATGTCGAAAACGGAGAGATCATTTGGCGCAGGAAAGGGCTCCGCGAGATCGTGCAGGTTGACAAGCGCCGGCTGGATCGCGAGAAGGCCGGCGTTCCCGAGACCCCCTTGTTCTGGGAGGAGTCTCGACAATACGTCAGAACCGCCCAACGTCTTCGCCGCCAGCGCGACAAGGCCCGCGAACGCCGCCAAGCGCAAGCCGTTCAAGCATCCCAGGGGCCCATCCCTGCCTGGAGTTTGGAACACGGCGCCGAGTCGGATGAGGAATTGGAAATCGATCCTAGCTTGGCCCGCACGATCAGTCGCTCTATTGCAAGCCACGATGAGCTCCAAGACTCGCCAAGCCATTCCTTGGCCTCCGCCTCTGATTCCGCCTTGGCGGCCATGGAGGGCACCATGTATGGGGCTTATGCGGACCACTCCTTCGACAGGAGGTTCAGCACCGCATCGAGCAGCCTAGGCTATGCCCCCTCCGAACCGGAGTGGTTCTCGCACGATGACGATATGTCCTACGTCCCCTGCTTGACTGTCAACGAGGCGCGAAATGCCTTCCGTGATTCCTTGCTTGGTCTGGAATATCTTCACTATCAGGGCATTATTCACCGTGATATCAAACCCGCCAACCTTCTCGTTACCAGCCATCACCGCGTTAAGATCTCCGACTTTGGTGTATCCTATCTGGGACGGCCTATGCGAGACGACGAGGAGGAACAGGTTGCCGAAACCGACGCGACCGAGCTGGACGACGCCCGGGAGTTATCCAAGACGGTTGGCACCCCGGCTTTCTATGCCCCCGAATTGTGCTATACGGGCGACGACTTTGAAGAAACGATTGGCTCCGTGCCCAAGATCACTGGTGCAATCGACGTATGGTCACTTGGTGTTACCCTCTACGGAATGATCTTCGGTCGATTGCCATTCGTGTCCGACGACGAATACAGTATGTTCCAGACCATTGTCAAGAAGGATGTGTTCATCCCGCGCAAGCGGTTAAAACCGGTGGAGGACGACCCCGAAGCCGCCACTCAGTGGCCGCGATATATGGACAGCAGCAAGCGCATGGAGGATGAGCTTGCCTATGAGGAGATCGACGATGAGCTTTTTGATCTTTTGAAACGGCTTTTGACCAAGGACCCTGTCAAACGGATCACGGTCAAGGAAATCAAGCACCATCCTTGGGTGCTGTATGGCTTGCCCAACCCACGGGCGTGGATTGACGAAACAGACCCGGGCTATCAAAGCAAGGGTAAGAGGATTGAAGTCTCGACCGAGGAAGTGACCAGTGCCGTGAGCAAGGTGCCGTTCATCCAACGGGTCCGATCCAACGTGGCCAAGTTATCGAACTATCTTACCGGACGCTCGAAGGACAAGGAGAAAGAAAGCCGCAAACGAACGTCGAGCACCGCCCCTTCGGTCGAGTCGTCCGCCTCCAGCAGCGCCAGTCTGGGTAAACTGCTTCTGGAGAGTCGTCGCGGCAGTCTCAAGGAGGAAGATTTCTACCGACCCTCGAGATTCATGAGAGACGGAGAGCATCCGCTGTCGCAGAGTGTCACGGCGAGTCCCGTCGGCCGGGACGAACAGAACTCCTATTTCGAGGATGTAAGACCGGATATCGCCCTGGACCGCACCCCGCGCCCGGACCCCCAACAGCGCGCAGCGTCCACGTTGTCTACTGCCGAATCTACAAAGACGATCCGACCGGACTGGGCGATTTCTGGGGGCGCCCAGCGAACCGGCGTGTCTGCGCGGATTGATCATCAGGGCACCACCAACATCGGTGGTCTCTTTGGCGGAGCTGGTCGGCGACTGACGCGAGGTCTCCAGGGCCGGGAAGTGCGCTCGGACCGGTCGCTTGCCGGGGATGTGCAGGATGCAGTTTCTCTGGAGAGCGATCGTCACTCTGAACCTACTCTGGCCCTGAGTGTCGCTTCCGCAGTCGGTCACCTGCAGCAGTCCAGCCTCTTGCGCAAGGAGGATGAGGAGTCCATCTCGCGTGCGGACAGCCTTGCCCCAGTGGAACCAGGGCACCGGCGCAACAAATCTCACCAGCTTACCACCCAATCCTCTCAGGAGCCGTTTTATCTTACCAAGGAAATCCTTTTGCGCAAACGCCGGAGTGACATTGACCATGCTTCCTTCATGGAGCAGGTGGCACTCGATTACAAGAGCAAGTCCGCGGATTCGCTAACTCTCCGCCCCGAGTCGCATCTAGAGATGGCAATGGCATCCTCGATGGAGACCGCCTCGCCCGATCCGCCTTCCGGTGGCCTGACCACGTCGCCGCCATCGGCCGCCACAATCTCCTCGTCTTCGATTGATGACTATACCAGCGGAATGTCTCAGTGCGCTTCTCATCCAAGCATTCCCTCGGTGGTCTCCGGGGCCTCGTCGCTGTCCGGTGACGGTTTCGTTAAGGACCAGGATACTGAACCGGGGGTCCAGGTTCCCTCCATCCTTCGCACTGGCGAGACGGTCAAGGCTCGCTTGCTGAACCCCCCGCGAGCCCACGAAGATGATGAAGCCAGGTACTATTGCGATGATGAAGACGATTCGGAAGATGATTCTGAAGAGGAAGTCCTAATCATTGGAAAGAAGAAGCCGGCCTCCAATCGACCAGTGATGTGTGGAGCCCGCCTGGCAAAGTAAAAAAAAAAATGCATGTCCGACGACGGGATCTCTTCGAACCGAGTCTCGCCAGCCGCATGAGGGTTTCCCTCTTCTTTTTACCTTTGACCATTTTGCTTCTGACTTTCCGTTCCCTTTGCTCGTGATGCTTTACCGAGCAGCCATTCTGATGCATTCCTTGGTTTGCTCCTTGGCCGGTTTCGCTTCTTCACGTGTATATCACTTCTTTTATTCACTGGGGGTTTTACCTTTTTTTTTCTCTTCTCTTGTTGGGATTTATATGTTCGGTTCACCCGTTTCCATCCCCTTTCCGGCATCCAAGGACCAAACTCTTGCAAAGGCCACTCGGTTGATGGGCTCTGTTGTTGGCATACATGACATGACATGATACATCGCTTGTACATATATTCGCATGGGTGGGTGGCTCGTCTATATTTGCTTTCCCACCTGTTTTGCCTTGGCTCTCTTGCTCCCGGCTTGTGATCTCGCACCTCGGCGCTCTCTGAATTTGTTCTTCTGCGTTTATATTTGGGGGGGTTTTTTTTTTCCTTTTTGCTGAGGCATGGGGTGTCTGAGATACCAGCCATCTTGTTGTTTGTACGTAATGTTGACCATGAAGGGGGAAGATGTGGAGAAAGGACAAAATTTGGGATATACTGAGCAAGGCCCTCTATTGAGGGAGGCTCGCATGATGCATGGATGTCTTTTTCTTTTTTTTTTTTTTTTTTCTTCTTGATGTTTTTTCTTTTCAGTCTGCGTGTTGCTGTGATGATGATGGATGATGATGACCTAAATTGGGAGACCTGGCATGTCCCGAGAACGTTGCTTGAGCTATCTACCAGGATGAAAGACAATCTAATTCTTTGATGAACCCATGCTCCTGACTCTGTAGACAGTAAGTAAGTAAGTAAGTATGGATGGATGGATCTATCCATCTCCCCTTGGAGTTGGGGAGGTGTATTGTTTGTTTTGCTCATGGATAGATAAAGATCCAAACGACAACAGGATCAGAATCACCCCAACTCGGAAAACAAAAACAGAAAACGAGAAAAAGCAGGTCGATAGAGAGGATAGATCCTTCGTCTGACTTGCTCGGACCAGTCTCCAGTCTCCAGTAGTTATGACTATGACTACATTCAGCTGGGTGGCTGTGCAAACGCAGACAGACTATCGAGCCAAACCCGGTCAGCCAAACCCACATGAACTGGAATTCCCCTGCCCAGAATCAGAGATCCAGGAGAAAAAGATGGGAGCCTGACGGGTGGGGATATAAAAAGAAATGAGGGAAAAGAATAAGAAATGTCCGTCAGGCTGATTTCTTCGTCTGGGAAGCGTAGTGAGTTAGTTAGTCTCCCTCCCCCCCTGGACAAGGGACAGGATGACCACTGATACTGACAGGACCCGAGCATCTTTTCGATTGGAGAGATGTGATTGATGTGGGGAAGATTCCTCCCGGCACATCTCAAGCCAGGTCTGTCACACAAATACTCCGTAGACATGGTATCTATCTATGCTGCTGGCGCTTCTATGGGGGATGTACTGAGCCAGGACCATCAATCTGACGATGTACTAGTAGACTGTGATATGTCCTGATTCCTGCCTGAATACTCTCCAGGCGTCAATCAATAGATAGATAGATAGATAGATAACTAGCAGAAAGTGTAAATATTTAATGCAGCTACTGCTAGAGGCTCTGTTCGGTGGACACTGTACGCTGTAGTACGGAGTAGTAGTAGTGGTCTATATAGCAGGGAAGAATTAGGGCGCCAAATGCTCCGTCTCTCGGAGTGAGAAAAACGCCCAACTTTCTCTTTCTTCCAACGGAATTCTTTCTGCCTGGAAAAAAAAAAAAAGTACCGATCATCAATAGAAATTCTCCCTGCTTATATTCCCAGTTCGCTTGTTTCATCTCTCTCGGGTTGTGGACTCTGGCGGTTGCTGTAGTAGTAGAAATCAATTGTATATAGATCGATCGCACGTGCCTTGGTCTCGTCCGTCACTCTACGACTTCATCGTTTCTCTCTCTCTCTCTCTCTCTCTCTTTTTCTCTCGCGCTCTCTTCACCAGAGAAAAACACCCCACGACGCGGTCCGTCTCATTCATCCTGATCTCTATCTTCAGGAATCTGAGACTTTTGAATTCTTCGCCGTCCCTTTCTTCTCCGGGTATTACCCAGAGAAAGGTGAAACAGCCGTTGATGCTTGCGCCACAAGGCTGATTCGCAAGGTGCACTCCAACACGAATGACATTCGGTCTTCCTTACTTCTGTCTCTCCTTCTCTTCCACGCTTTCACCGCCCCTCTCGTCCGCTCATACTGCACTGGACTGTCCCTCCAGTCGCATCGCCTCCCTCCCTCTATCTCTCCCACTTTCGCTCGTACTCTAATCTCCCCCCTTCCGGGCGCGCTTGATCGAGACCGCTTCTGATCAACCATCCACAACCTCCCCCTCCTCCCCCCTGGCGACTTGTCAGCCTTCTGGGTCCAAAAGTGTATCTATTCTGGGATACATCACATCGTCCGCGATGACCTCACAGGAGATGCTCCAGGAGTCGGGGCAGTCTCCTGCCGCTGGCGTTATAAGCCGCGGCGTCAGCCCCTCCCCTCACCTCCACCAACATCACCAACATCACCAACAGCAGCAACAGCAGCATTTCACGGATGTGACATCTGGCTTGACTCTCGATTCCTCAATCGCTGCTGCTGCTACCACCTCCTTCCCTTCCTTTGATCCAAATATCACCGGTAGTCTCACCACCGGTGCCGATTCGTACGGGTACACTGCCGCCGGTTATCTGTCTGGGACCCCTGCCTCGCAGAGCTTGTCTCCGCCGACCGACCAGAACTACGCGCACAGCCTGCAGGTATCGCAGTCGTTCGACACTGGGCTGGTCCCTCAGTTCAACCAATCGCCAGGCGTGCCGATGCAGCAGCCGTCGCAGTCGTCGCAACAGCAGCAGGCCATCGAAGACAACTTCTCCAACCTTCTGAACTCCAGTTCCACCGACTACGACTTCTCGGCGGTCTACTCGAATCACAGCCCGAGCAGCAACACGGCGCCCGAGTACGATTCCTCCCTTCTCCTCGACTCCCAGATTCAGCTTCATCAACAATCCCACCCGACCGGTCAGGCCGTCAACCCCGCGGACTTGGTCACCCAGATCCCCTCGCCGCACTCTTCCGCCTCTCCACAGATCTCGCCTCTGGAACAGCAACAGCAGCAACATTCCTCACCTGGCCCCATGTCCCCCCTAGGTTCGACTCCGGGAGCCTACTATACTCCCCAACACTCCCGCCATGCCTCCTTAGACCCTACTGCCGCCTACCTCACGGGGAACGCGCATACCGACTGGCAGGCGGTCATGAACAACAGCAATGCCTTTCAGGGACACCGACGCGCCCCATCGGAGGTCTCTGAGATTTCCTCCGCCGCGCCTTCACCCTATCTATCACAGCATGAGTCTTTCGATGGTGTTGATAATAATCCTTCCCCCCTCTTGGCGGCCCAAAATGACCCCAGTCTCTATGATAATGCGCTGGGTATCGAGAACTTTACATTATCTGACCCCCACCATCAGCAGCAGCGGCAGCACCAGCACCAGCACCAAGGATTTAGCCCGGCGCATAGCCCTTACATTTCCCCTCAGTTGATGCCGCAGCAGGGGCAAGAAATGATTCCCAACGTGCCCTATCTTACCGCCCCGACTCCAAATGCACAGTACCCGACCCCCCCGAGTGACCTGTATCCGAATGGTCCAGAGGGCATGGGCAATCTGGCACAGGGCAACCTCTCTGGAGACATTGGCCAGGCCTCCCAAATGGCCCCGCCGTCCATCAACGTGGAGTTTGCTCCGCCGTCACGGATCCCCAGCTTTGGACCATCGAAGCCGGCGGCCAATTTCGATACCTTGAGTCCTCCCCCGTCATCAACACGTAAGTTTCTTCGGTTCTCCGGTTGGTGCAACCCGGCCATTGCTAACCTGCAGGGACGAAGGCTCGCGTGGACGAAGCAAATCCGATCCGTATGCCCACCAGACTACTCGCCTGCGCTCCTCGTCGACCTCGAGCAGTCTGGAGCCTCTGGCTCCTAACACTCCCCGATCGCTATCCCCGTTCGACTCCATCGGCCGCCAATTGCAGAGCAACCCGAGTTCTCGAGAGCCATCGCCATCCAGATCCAATCGGCGTCTCTCAACCTCATCGATCGACAGCCGCAACTACATCCTCGGCCTCGCCGACCCTCTCCGGCCTGGTGCGAGTCCGAGCGACTCCAAACGCGTCCAGAAGCACCCAGCCACGTTCCAATGCACTCTCTGCCCGAAGCGCTTCACCCGGGCATATAACCTGCGGTCTCACCTGCGGACTCACACCGACGAGCGGCCTTTTGTTTGCACCGTATGTGGTAAAGCGTTTGCTCGGCAGCATGACCGTAAGAGACACGAGGGGTTGCACTCGGGCGAGAAGAAGTTCGTCTGTCAAGGAGAGCTCTCGCGTGGTGGGCAGTGGGGGTGCGGTCGCCGATTCGCCCGTGCGGATGCCTTGGGGCGTCATTTCCGATCGGAGGCTGGTCGGATTTGTATCAAGCCGCTGCTGGATGAGGAGTCTCAAGAACGGGAGCGTGCCCTCATGAACCAGCAGCAACATCAATTGCAGCCTATTCCGCAGCCACTCATGATCCCGCTGGACGGCTCCGCAGCCGGTAACTTTATCTTGCCTGCTGCGCTGCTGGCTCAATATCCGGCACTTCAGAACCTGCAATGGGATCAACTTGCAGCCACGGCGGATGATCCGAGTGACATCGGAGGCCGCAGCAGCTTCGACGCCAGCTCTGGCGGTGAGTTCGGCTTCGAGGACGACGAGTCCGGCATCAGCAGCGTCTCCGGCATGAGTGCCGGATATCCCGCCCAGCCGGGTAATTTTTACGGAGTCCACCCAGGTCAGATGATAGGTGGCTCTCCTGGCGACCCTGGGTACATCGACCCTGAATGGAAGGGCTGACACGATGGATCTCATCGATCACAAATCTCGGATTTTTTTTTTTTTTCTTGAAAGCTATTTCATCTGCCGTCTGCGCATTGACGTGCATCTTTGGACCACTTTCCTTTACATCTCAGAGACAAAAGACGCTGCCAGCGTTGCGGGTTGGCTTGACGATTTATAGATGGATTTTGGCGTTGAGATTTCAAAAAGGTTGGACCACGGGAGGAACGCCCGGATTATATACCTTCACTTATACCTTATTTTGACCTAACTTCTTTTCTTTTCTTTTCTTTTCTTTTCATATTCCCCCTTGATGTTATACTTACTCTTTCTCCCTACCCCCTTTCGGGCTTCTACACGGATGGGCCCTTTTGCCGTTTTCATTCTTGGCTTGGCTTACAGACTACACTGCTGTTACGTGCTCACGACGATGTTATTTTACTTCATACCCATGGAATTTGCTCCATCTGTTCGGTGTGCGGGTTGGTCCCTTTGGTTGGAGTCTCACTTTTGGTATCCGTATTCAAATCAAACCCCATGTTTGCCGTTGTACTCGAATCGATGTTCTGGAGCCATCGCATAGATATCTAGACTAGATTTTAGAGGTCTGGATCTAGATTTAATGTTATAGCTCAGATGTGGGCACGGGGTTGATGTCGCTTGGAGGGAGTGGATTTGATAATATGGATTCGAGACGAGATATACCGAAGAGGGCAAAAAACAGGAGCCGTGGAACTCCACAAAGTAGTAAGCGGAGTCGGGCATGCAAACGCGTCGCAGAGCAGAGTATACAAAGAGTCTGTCCACCGCCACCATCACCGTCACCATCAAATCTGAATAATCCCCCCCCATCCAGATTTTCTTCCATGGGGGAAGAAAAACCAAAGGGTCAACGCATCTCGACCAACCTGCCCACTTCCTCGACCCATTTCAGCGAGAATTCCTCCTCGGTGAAGCGCAGCGCGGAGCGGCGGGCGCGCAGGCGCATGGCGACCTTCTCCTCCTCCGGCAGGGCGAGCGCGGCCTCGAAGGCGGCGGCGAACTGTTCCTCGGAGGCGGCGCGGAAGCCGGTGGCGCCGTCGCCGAGGTCGACGACGATGTCCTCGCGCGGGCCGCCGGAGTCGTGGACGACGCTGATCAGGCCGGCGGCCTGGTACTCCACGACGCAGATGCCGAAGTGCTCGTTCCACATGGCGTTGACGCCGATGGAGGCGGAGCGCAGGTGGGTGAGGATGGTGGGCCAGCTGGCGTCGACGAGGAAGGTGGTGTGGTCGCGAATGCGGAGCTCATGGGCGAGCAGGCGCAGGTTGTAGATGTGGGTTTCGTCCGGGCTGGCGTGGCGGACGGAGCCGATGAGGAGGATCTTGGGCTGCGGGAGGGAGGCGGATGCCGGGTTCTTCTGGCGCTCGTTGAGGAGGCGCGCGAACGAGCGCAGTACGAGCGGGTGGTTCTTCTCCGGGCGGAACTGCGCAATGTACAGGATGACGGGCTCGCGGCTCTTCTCGCTCTGCGCGTCCACCGTGATGGTCGACTCAATCTCCGACACCGCCGTCGGCGGGAAGATGACGGCCGGGTCGCGGTAGGTGTTGCGCGTCCGGGACGGGCCCCAGATGGCCCGGATATGCGCCGATGTCCACGAGGAGTTGCACATGACCACGTCGACGTGGCCGCCCACCCAGCCGTAGAGACGGGCGAACGCAAGCCAGTACTTGCGCTTCGCCTGGCCCTTGAGCCCCTTGCCTGCACCCGCGTTGACACCCTTCACGCCTGTCTCGTCGTCTAGAGACTGGAGCATGTCGGTTGAGATCGTGGGGTAGTGCACATATGCCCCTGTGGGCACGGATGGGAAAAGCATCTTGCAGAACGCAAGGGTAAAAGCATAGCCCATGGTGTCGATGAATACGTCGGGGACTAGAAGGTTGAATGCGTCGTAGGCGACCACCAGGGAGCCAAGAGATTGGCCCAAGAGGGTCATGTATGGATACATGCTACTAAGGACATATTTGCGGGTAGTCAGGTAGAGCAGCACAACCGTTGGCGCATGCAGTTGAATATTAAAGCGGTTCTAGATGCGCCGGTATCTGTCAGAGCAAACATCCCGTTCATACCCATGGACCGGCTTGTCACTCACCTCGACTCTCTCTAGCATAGCCGTCTTATTTACTTCATGATCGCCAGTGTATATGGCACAGATCGCCTTGGGCCAGCGCCGTTGTGTGGCTCTCACGGCTTCCCAGAGAACACGTTCTCCTCCGCCGCCCGCGTTACTATATCATGATTAAGAGGGTCAGTAAACCTGTCATCGGACTGGCGCAGTTTCAGGGGCACGACTCATACCAAAAAGGATGGAAGAACCCAATAATCCCGTCCCAATTCTCATCTCGCCCTTTGCTGCTCTCCTTGCTGGGACCCGCAGTCGTCCCTGAGCTGGAACTGGAGCTATCCACCTTCTCCCAGTCCTCATCCTCTCCACGAGGAGACGGCTTGGCTCGTTTCGCCTGGCATTCCTCATCGTCTGCCCGGACTCGCGAGACGATATACTCCCTGCGGGACCGGGTTCTCTTCCGAATGACCCATCCAGCACCACGGAGCACCAGGCGGAGAAGCCCCAAGGGGAGCTGGGGAAGGAGGACGCAGGTCGCGAGAAGGGCGAGCAGGGAGATGAAGGTCTTCAACAGAAACAGCATCATGGCGAGCTCGAGACAACAGACATAGTCGATATAGATGTCTGGTAGAAAAGCAAGAAATGCGTAGGAGGTCCGGCTGACGACTTGTGCCGACTGATCATATCCTAGGTCGTCTTCAAAACAGCAGCTCTTGTATTATTTGGCATCATTTCGCTATCGATAACAACCCAGGTAAGCTGACGATAGCGCTCCGTATGTTACGGTATCACGGCTTACCGATACATGGTATTGTCATATACACCACGTGATGGAGCTTGGGCTTTTGAGCTTCTCTGCTTGTACGGAGTAAATATTTCTTTTTTATGGCTCAGCACCGCTATCTATATACCAGAGGAATATCTCAATTAACAATATTTCTCATGCTTGAAAAGAACTATTACTCTGTCCTTGTCTCTTGTGCACAGTCTCTCTCCCCCCCTCTCTCTCAGGTTGTCACCCCTGTTCATAAAAATCATGAGACCATTTCGTCCGTTGCTCCGCTCGCCGCATACTGCCGGCAACAGGGTGGCCCAGCAGAAACGGCATTTCCACCCCACACGGCCGTCTCCTTTTATCAATGAGGTGCTGGAGGTTTCATCGGGTTTCATACATGGGGTTCATTCGATCAGTGGCCTTCCGTGGGTCATGTCCATTCCATTGACCGCTCTGATTGTTCGGACAACCGTCGCCATGCCGCTACAGATATACACCAAGATGCAAGCACGCAAGGAGCGCGACATCGTCCCCCTGATTTATTCGTGGAAAAAACACTATCAGGACCAGATCAAGAAGCGCATTGATACCTCAAACGACACTCCGATCCTCCCGAGAGACGCTAGACGAGAGCTTGCGGCCAAGGTCAAGGACAAGAAGAAAGAGCTGCACAAACGGTGGAACGTGCCCCGGTTCTGGAAACCAGTCGGCTTCCTCCAGATTCCGATCTGGATCTCAGTCATGGAGAGTCTCCGAGCGATGTCCGGGAACAACAAGGGGCTGGTGCCGTACCTCCTCTCCCTGACCGAACCGACCACCGCGGAGCCAAGCACTGCGCTTCATCTGGCCGTCGAACCGTCCCTGGCTACGGAAGGCGCTCTGTGGTTTCCTGATCTTTTGGCCGGAGACCCAACAGGTATCCTCCCAGCCGCATTGACTCTGTCAATCCTACTCAACATCCGTGCGGGATGGACTGCGCCTCGCTTGAGTGAACTGGCTGATCTACCGCGGATTGAGATTGCCCAGAACCTTGCGATGCGTAGTCTCAGGTTGCTGGTCCAAGTGCTGGCCCTCAATATCGGTGCATCTTCCTATATATATGAAATGCCCTCAGCACTCATGATTTATTGGATTAGCAGTACGAACATTGCTACATTGCAGACTCTCCTACTTGACAAGTTCATTGTGTCGGAGTCGATTCTGAAACCCTGGAGGCAGATTCACATTGGATACACTCAATCTGAACAGAAGGCCGCTCCGGTAAAATGATCATGGTTGCTGCAACGAGTTGGAAGAGGGCAACTTAGACGCAAGGCAAATGGCCACGATTGAAAACACAGGAGCGAAAACAGAGATGCTCAGACACAAGGAAGAATCAATATCACATTTAAGCAGACGCGCGCACCCGAAATCAGCAGAGGCAAAAAGAGAAATTAGAATTGGTTCAACAAGAAGCCGATTGGATCTTGCATCATACACCGCATAAAGTCAGATGCCATCACTCCTGAGCACAAGGTGTCAGATACAGTCAGTTCGCGATGTTAGCTTGGATGATCCCGTAACGCTCCCGAGCTCTTGCCAACTCGAGCTCAGTGAAGCCAAGATGGGTGACCTGGCCCATGCGAACGCGAATGAATGGATCAGTCAGCGCTCCCTTGAAAACCCAACCATAGTGCTGCAGGAATTTGCGCGGGTCCTGTCCCAAATACAGAAAGAGGATGGCGTCATCATCGCGATTCCAGTCAACGGGAGCATTGTACAGTCTTCTTGGTTTTTCATATCGCGAGTCGTCATAGTTGAACTGCTCGACCTCAATCACTTGGGAGCCATTGCGGACCTTGGGATCGTCACGTTTAGCTTTGTGCATTGCGAATCGAGCTTCTGCGCGTTGGATCGAGTGGGCTTCGCCAGGGGCAAACTCTTTCAAGAATTCGGCATGCTTCCCGGCGTTCGCTCCATTCAGTCTCTCAGCGACGAAGGACTTCTGCAGCGGAGGGTCAAAGCCGAACAGTGCCTGCAAACGCTCGGTAATCATCGAAACGGTTCCGCGGCTGGTCCAGAGAATGTAGTTGCAGTGAGTATCCCAATTCGCTGGCTGGCCAGGAGGCAGTTTAGCTGCGCCAATTTGGAACAGCTGCTTGCGAAGCAGGCGTCTGCCCGCGACGGCTTTGAGTCGATCTTGGGTGTCTAGCCATCTTTGACTCTCGTCGAGCAGCGCTTTCTCCAGGTAAAGATCTGGATTAGGCGGACGATCGGGACGCGGACGACGGGGAGGGGCGCGATATTTTTTGGGGATGTAGCGTGGCGGCGGGTTATTCCACAGCTTGATGTATGCACTCATCGGCTTGGGCGGCTCCGAGTTGTGGACGTAAGGACGAGATCCGCCAGCTACTTGTTGGATAGGTGGCACTAGGATACGCTCCTTGCCCAGCGCGCGGCGCACGATTCTTTCATGTTCAGGATGCATCATAACTCGGCCCGGGTACCGGTAGATGGGCCCGCGATCGGGGACAGGCGGGATTGGATCCGGTTCGATTCCGGTCTGAAGTCGAGAAAGCCACATGGACATGATCTCGTCACGCGTCATCGGGTTGTTTCTGGGGGCTTTGAGCTGCTCTGCCGTTGCCTCGGGACCAGCAGAAACTCCGCCGTCGTTCTTAGATTCCGCACCAGTTTCAGCTGGACGTGTAACTGGAGCTTCAACACGTGCGTGCGCCGTTCCCACGACATTGGGGTTCTGGTTTTCAGCGCCTGGGCCGGTTATGACCAGAGTTGGAACCCTCTGATCGCCGTTTTCCGGAACACTGCCATCCTGGTATTCAGCTCTGGCGCCATCTCGGACTAGAACTCGGACATTCATATTCTCATCAATTCTTGGCTCGATTCTGATTGAGGATTGAGCGTTCTGGATGCCTTCTTCAAGAGCACGGCTCCAGATAGCAGGTCTTGCGTCACCTGCGATCGGAGTGCGCATATATCCAGCTCTCAGTCTGCGGAGTCTTTGCGCGTCCAGTATGAGCGGCATCCTGTTGTGTTCTAAGCACTTCTTCATGTCAGCTGGTGGACAATTCTTTTACCAGAAGAGTGTAATATACCACTGTTGATAATCCTTGGAATTCACTGATGATGAAGACTTGCGTGTTGGGCTTCCTGGGAAAAATTCTACTTCACGAAACCACGACGAGAAGACGATAAAAGGATAGCAAACGAGCAGTCAGAGCTGATACTAGACCAAGAAGACGACGGATCCTCTCAGGTCAAAGTTGACTCTATTCAGAGCTGTGCTGGCAATATAAGAGAATGGATTCAAGGGATCGAATCTGAAGATACCGAGAGAAGGATAGAAGTCAAGAAGAGGAAAGCAGATAAAGGGAAGAGGACTGAGGCAACACAACCTACATCAAGGAGTGGGAAAAAAGAGTGCAGCAAGGTGCCATGAATGTGCTCACTCAGCTCCATAATGGGGTGTGATTGATGCTACTCTGAGACGACACCATCTCTGAAGGCTGGGGATCTGACTCTGAGCAGCGTGGTATTGCTGCATCACAGCATTCACTGTTATCTTTTTTGATGATATTGCCTCACCTTGAGCAGATTATCTGCCTTCATGCTGGAGACTCATGTCTCTGCTACATGCTACTATATGCCACTATTCGCTACATATGAACTCCTACTGCTCCATTTCAGAATCTGGACCTAGCCAGCATCAGAGGCCTCTTGTAAATATACAGTCTACAGACAACATCAGGAACATAAGAACACCATGGTTCATCTCCAAGTGTTCATACCTCTGGTTCTTACAAGCCTCATTATAACAAATCTCTCCAGTATAGATCCGGATGCTGAACTTCTCAGGGCATGACTTCTCACGTGAATTCACCGGCCTGTAGATATATCTATGTGCACCCACGTGACGGCAGAGTATGTTGTGCTGAGCCTGCCAACCTTTGTCTCTCTTCTTACAGTTTATAGTTTATTTTGGATTTTTTATGTTACAATTGCACTTTGGCTTGGCTCTCACTTTATTTCGTGACTTTCTTCTCTTCTTCTCTTAATATTAGTCCCCTGTGTTGTGGTCTTCGATCTAGGTAAAAGAGGCACTGGGTACGGAAGTAAGTAAGGACTTGGAATATAGGACTGCACAAAAAAGCATTCGTGAGAACAGCCCGGGTTATCTTGCTCAAATCAAATTTGTCATATACCAGCTATTGGTGCAGCATAAAATCAACGCCAGATCCGTGTAGAACCATGCCGAACTAACTAGGTATCCAGGGGGAGAATGAAAACAGATCAAACCCAAGTGGGAGTGGAAACCAGGAGAATCAACATCTAGCAGAAGGTCTCCGTTGACACGAAGCGGGAGAAGGGGAATAAGGGAAAAAGGGAATTGCGCTATATAAGAGATTTATGTGATAGCATTACAGCTTGGCCTTGGGGGTTTCTTCCGATGCGCTGGCTTCCTGGTTCACCGTGATGGTTTGCTGATCGGGGCCGTCGCCGAAGAAGATGACTTCGACTGTGACGTCGTCGCTGTAGAATTGGTAAGTTCGTGATCTGGAGAAGCAAAAAGGATAGCCATAGCTTACCGATATCTCCGAGAGTAAGGGCTAGGAAGTGTCAGCAGAGCGCAAACCATGTCCCGGTCCTTTCCACCCATGGCATTGCGCACGAGATGTGTTGCCGCGTTCTTGTCTTCGACGACAAAGCGACTGGCCACACCTGAGATGTCGTATTGCTGCTGGCGGATGGGGCGGCGCTGGCCCTCCATGGTGGTGTCCTTGGGTGCCTCCACAGGCAGCTGCTTATCCTCCCGGCCGAACCAGCTCTGCAACCACGCTTTGGAGCCATTATTTCCGGAGCGCTGCTGATCAACCCACTGGCCGACGAGCCCAACGACCTCTTCATTGCTCAACATCTCCCAGAGACCGTCCGTCGCCAGGACCACAAAGTCCCCATTGCTAGGCTCGATCTTGGTAGTCGTAATGATGGGTTCCGCTGTGACGTAGGGAGGGGTCTTCAAATGAGGGTGAGGGGTCCTTCCGAAGAATTGCTTCTTGATCTTGTCCTGTGTCTCCTTGCTCCACTTGTAAAAGGCATCACCGAAGGAACGGCTTGGTTCGAGTTGTCCGAGAATTCTTCCATTGCGCACGACGTTAGGTTCGCCTGGGTGCTCCTCCCGCAGGCGCTTCATTTCCGATGGGGTACCGCCGGTCTGGTCCTCCGAAAGAGGAGTGGCAGTCCATTTTCCATTAGGAGCTCGGCGACCAAGAACTGCTCTGGAATCACCAGCAACGGCGACCTTGAGGTCCTTGGACTGGGAGTCAAAGAAGGCGAGCAGGGCACAGGAGCCAGAGAGCGCGGGAGCAAGCAGCTCCGCAGCAACCCTCCGAGAGTTGGACTTGAGGACTTTATCCACACTGTTGTACACAATATCGTTATCGAGGCGGACAAACCCTTCCTTGATTGCTGCGTCCACGGCTTCGGACGTTGGGCTGACGAGCGAAGCATCGGCGGCCGCAGCCTTGTAGGTCGTGTTCAATTCCCGAGCCACGTATGAAATGAGAACATTGCGCAGTTTGGCCGAAGTGGTCCAGCCCCTGTTGTGAGGTTAGTATATGCCAGGTCCACCAGTAGGAGGTGGGAGTCTTACGAATGACCATCGAATATGGCCCAGAACATCCAATCGCTGGCAGGAGCCACAGAGGGAGACACCTCCACGATCTTCTCGGCATGATCATCCTCGATTGGTGAATTGCTCGGAACCTGGACGATATCGTATCGCACAACTCCCTTGCCCCGGTTCACCATGAACGACTGCTCATTCTTCCTCAATTTCTGTGTCGCTTGCTCGGGGGTTAACATCTCTAGAACTCGGCGGTCGGAATCATCTGTCTGCTTGAAAAGTGGTTGTTCTCCGGACAATGTTGCCGTGTAGAATTGATCGTGATCCACGAGGAGGGCACGTCTGGTTGACTCCGCTGGTTCTTCTGCATGTGCCTCCGATGGTATGCTCGTAGCGATTGACCGAATCTGCGAGGCCGATGTCGTGTTCAGACCGCCCGTGGAGCTCTGCTGGGAGTTGCTCCCCTGGTAAGCGTACCAAGCGCCCGAGGCGACCGCCGTCGAGATCAGGGCGAGGGAGAAGTTTCGGAGATGCATCGATGACTGCAGGGTCGCAGGAAGATATGAGGGACGTCGCCCGCCGGGAGAGGGTCGGAGACCCAGAGGCTGGCTGCTGGAGAACGAGACAGCGCACGGTTTCCTAGCACCGACTTTCCATACTGGTACACGGCGGGCAGTACGGAAAGCCTGAAGAGCCGCACGACGCATTGGACCTGCGAATGCGAGCAGGAAGTGTAGATAAACCGGGTAAGATCCAGCAATGCTGGTCTGCGAATGGAGGAAGATGTTGTCACTCTGATAGTTGTTCTCCAGCAAACGTGGAGATGATCAAGACGCCCCAGGCACCAAGGCATTCCCGCAGGTGATAACGTCATGTGATACCGGCATGTAAGGTACGGTATTTATAGTACCATACGGACACTGGTATTGGTATTGGTATGGTACGGTGAACACTGTCAGGTCCCGCACTAAGCCTAAGCAGGCTGTGTCGTCATTTCTGTGATCTTCAATCTTCTGGAGATCAACTGCTAGGATTCTTTTTTCGGCTCGCAGATAGGCCGCATCGCCTCTACTCTTTCATATCGTTTCGGTGCTGCGCTTTCCTACTACTCAACCCTGAATGTCCTCCCGAGCGATTCGCAAGCTGCAGAAGCTGCGCGAACAAGAGTTGCAAGCGGAGCATGAAAATGATCAATCCAGTGAGGATGAGCCGGTCAGCCGGTCTTCAAAGCCCAAGCTAAATGCTTTTGACCTTCTGAACGCCGTCGAGGATGAGGAAATTGAGCAAGAGTCTGAGAACGAGGTTCAAGAAGAGACCGTGACTCAGCCGTCCGAAGATGTGCCACCCCCCACCAAGCCCGCGGAATCGAGTAAGAAGAAGAAAAAGAAGAACAAAAAGAAGAAGGCGGCGAAGTCTACAGCTACCAGAAGACCTGCTGCCACCAAGTCAGACGATGAGTTGGACGAAATCGATCGAGCGCTGAAGGAGCTGGAAGTGGACTCCAAGCGTTCTGGACAACATGAAGCTACTGGCGCGGCCGCGGGGCATGTTCGCGGCGCCTCGTTCCCCAAGACACCGGCGGAGCTTCTTGCGATAGAACCCAAATTTCTCAACGCCATGAACGAAATGCGAAAGCTGTTTGGGAATGTTGTGATGGAGAACTTCGACCAGGATGGGGATTCGGGGACGGGCCGCAGACGAGACCGCAATCAGGAAATGGTTGATCTTGGCCGCGCATTAACCGGCAGGTACAGCCCTGCCAGTAAAGGCCTGAGTCTCGCGGGAACTACGCAGCGGAAGAACGTATTCATGCAGGGCAAAGACGAGTGGCCGCGCGCTCCCAGTGGCGGGCTGGGGATGGAGTTGGTAGAGAAACTCCCTGATGGAGCCACGAAATATCAGATTGTCCACAACGCCGCATATACAGACGTACAGAGACAGTTTGACATTTGCGTGGAGTCCATGGATCCGCAAAGAATGATACATCTCCTGCAATACAACCCGTACCATATCTCCACCCTCCTACAAGTGTCCGAGATCGCAAAGCATCAGGGCGACCATGCCGTGTCAGCCGATCTTCTCGAGCGAGCCCTTTTCAATATGGGGCGCTCGGTTCACTCTTCGTTTGGCAATCGCTTGAAGGAAGGCCAGTCAAGACTTGATTTTACGCATATGGCAAACCGTGAGCTTTGGCTCGTGGGATGGAGATACATTGCCAATCTGGGGATGAAGGGAACGTGGAGAACGGCCTATGAATGGGCTAAGCTGCTGCTTAGTTTGAATGACGACGACCCGTACTGCATCCGACTGCTGATCGACCATTTAGCGCTTCGGGGCCGGGAATACGCACACTTCATCGAGCTGTGCACACAGACCAGGTTGAGCGAAGACTGGGCAGACTTACCGAACATACAATGTTCATTGGCACTGGCGTATCTTCGATCGAACAAACCGAAGGAATGTCGGGGGCAGCTGCGTCTTGCGATGTCACGATACCCATGGGTATTCTGTAGATTAGCGCAAGAGTTAGATATTCAGCCCATGCCCAAGCGAATTTGGGGCAAGATGCCACCGAGTGATGGCCATGAATTACTCACAGAACTCTACGTTGCCCGAGCCAAGGATTTGTGGAATACCCCCGAGGCAGTCTCCTTGATTGTGGAAGTGGCCGACACTCTTTCGGAGAAAGAAGAGCCCATCGAACCGCCAGAGATTACTCTGGACATTGCGCGTCACGTTGTTCTCTCCGATATCCCCAGTGTAACAACTCATCTGCCTGGACGCTTTGTCTCTGGGCGTATCTCAGCATCTGATCCTCTCCCGCCGTACGACTCCGAGGCTTATCGTCAGCAGTCCGATCCTACCCCGTCATACCTGTCACAGATGCCAGAGGTTGGCCGACCACAATGGCTACGTGATCTTCTCGATCAGTTAAATAATGGTGCTCTCCGTTTCCCTCGGTTCCGTGGGGGCGAGGGTGAAGAAATCCATGGCGACGACATTCCACCCCCAGAGGATACGGAAGGAGTGGACAATGGAAGTCGACAAACCGTACCTGACGATCAACCATCGTTGGAGCAGTGGCTTCTGGGAGATGGCATGCAGATCTTGCAGGCATTTCTGAACCAGTATGGAGTCGACCGTGGCAATTGGGGAGAGGTGGTGGACTATTCCCCTTTGACAGAGTACCTGGACGCCCTGGATGCTGTCCAGCCTGATGACGCCCGCCAACAGCTGCTTCACGGACGCATTAGGGAGGCTATGGGTGACATGGTTGTTGACATGCTGGAGAATGAACTGGAGCTTCAGCAGTACGAGGATGAGGAGATATTTGATTAGGTATTGGGTCTCGAGCAACTGGTCGTATATACCCTGTATAGCAATAAAACCACGCTTGATTTTGACATTCGTGTCTATTGATACTTTTTGGGTAGATTTCCAAGCTCACGATCGCCCTCTGATTATAGTACACTGCGACTCTCAGCTAAGGAATATATACTTCCGCAACACACTCCAGCATTCAGGCGATCTACAACCAAACAAACGCATTATTTGCGATATAAACAAAACATGAGAGAGATGAATTATATGAATAGCCAGATATCGCTTCAAGGACATCCCAATTGATTTTGTTTGACATGAAAAAGAGATACGAGATACCAACAGCAGCCAATTTAACGACGCGCTTAGTCACGGATTCAGCCTCGATGCCTTATCGCCAGCCCGGCCGCCAAACAGAAATCTATTCTTGCATCAAGTGAGTCAAGCCAGTCGAGAATTTTTCCGCTCTAAACAATACTTAGTCTTCTCTCGTCCTTTGTATCGACTGTTGTACTGTTCATGCGCAGGACCTTCCGTGACTCCCAAACGTCGCCAATTGCTTTCGAAAAGTTTTCCGAGATTGACTGGCGTCATTGATTACTGCTTCCTTCGTCACTTGGTCTGCGCTCGCAGAACTCGAGTTGCAAAATCACCATGTTCTTTTCACCAGCTCAGGATGGCATTCCCGCAGGGAATTCCGTGCCTTTGACACCGCGCGAAGCTGCCTCTGGCTTGCTGGGATCCATTTCCCTGACTTGCTGGATTTTCTTACTGGTATGACTCGCCGCGACCTTGGATCTGGTCATTGACCGCAGGTGCATACAACGGACAAACCCGAGAACAATGCTCATATGCGCTTTTGTATAGGTCCCCCAGCTCATTGAGAACTACTGCAATGGAAACGCAGAGGCGATATCCCTTCTGTTCCTCCTCGTATGGTTCGTCGGCGACATCACCAATCTGATCGGAGGCGCCTGGGCTGGTCTCGTGCCCGTCATCGTGGCTATTGCCGTCTACTTCTGCATCGCCGACGGCGTGCTCATCGCACAATGCCTCTACTACAAGGCCCGTAATGCGCGCCGTGATAAGCTTCTCCACCGGCGCCGTTCCTCCACCGCTACCCCCGACCCTACCACCCCATTGCTCGGTCGCCGGTTCAGCGACCCCCTCGAGCCCGGTCCGGCCTCGCGCCGCCGATCCGTGACGTCGCAGCGCAGCGGCCGTGCCGGCCACGGCCACCCGGACGACGCACTGGCCAAGATCGTCGAGGAGCATGAAGTCGGGCGCAGTGCGTGGGCGAAGAACTTCAGCGGCGTGCTGGCTATCTGCGTGATTGGCATGGCCGGCTGGACGGTTGCGTGGCAGTCGGGTGTCTGGAAGCCTGCTCCGCGCGAGCATAACGGGGGCGTCGATACGGCGGTCGGTGCCCAGGTGCTGGGGTACTTTAGTGCGGTTTGTTATCTGGGGTGAGTCTCGTTGCTCCTTGATTGCCAGGAAAGAAGACAAGCTCACAAAGGAATCTTTAGTGCGCGACTGCCGCAGATCTACAAGAACTATTGCGATAAGTCTTGCGAAGGTATGTCAAAACGATGCTAGCAGCTCAGCGTTTGGAGTTAACCATTTTCTTGTTCTCTTCCTACAGGACTCTCATTGCTGTTCTTCATCCTCTCTCTTATGGGTAATCTCACCTACGGCGCTGGCGTAAGTCCACCTTATTCTCCAGGAAAAACCGATCGCACGCTGACCAAGCATGTTGCCAAAGATCCTGTGCCACTCGACCGACAAGAAATATGTCCTGACGAACCTCCCTTGGCTGATTGGCTCGCTGGGCACAATGGCCGAGGATGTGGTTATCTTTGCGCAGTTTCGCCTGTACGCGGCGCAGAATCCGGAGTCCACGACTGCGGTAGCGTGATCTCTCTTTTCTTATTTGTTTTGCTTGTTATATACTACCATATGTATATCCTGTGTGATATTAGCTTTCCCTTGGGGCGGTTTCCTGTGCCTGACGACAAAAAAGTTTCTTTGTGTTTTTTTTGGGGTACATGGGTATGGTGTTAGGGGAGGTTTTCTGTTTATCTACGAGGTGGGCTATCAAGGAATATATTAGAGACCAAGACACACGAGACATGAAATACTTATACGGGAGCGAGAATGCAGCAGAAGGAATCCTTTGTTCATGGTCGCATGACAGACATAGCATGAGAACTGGGGCACCTATGCTAGGAAAAACTAGCTAGCAACAAGCAAGCGGCGAAAACGTTTTTTTCTGAGGAACATATCATAATTCTATCCGAAGACGGCCAGATCGACTTCGCATTCGGCAGATATGGATATGCCAATTCTCCCTTTTCCTGCCGGCCCGGAATCATACCGTCATCCGCACCGGTACCTCTGTCACGACGGAGTCCATCATGCAAGCAAAGCGCCCAGTCCCACCAGATGACCGTGTCCGTTTGATTCTTCTTTTTTTCCCTTTTTGGTCTTCGTGTGGATGCGTTGTATCGGGTACAAGAAATTCGAGGGGTGTATGGAGATAGGAGATAAACAAGGAAAAAAAGAAAAAAGAAAGTCGAACGGATTAGGACGCTTAGTCGAACAGACCGAAGCCCATGTCCTCGTCGGACTCCTCCTTCTCTGTAAAATCGATCAGCATCCCTGCCCGCATGGCTTCGCCTCATGGATTTCGAATCTTTACCTTCTTCCTTCTCCTCAGCAGCGGCCTCAGCAGGAGCAGCGGCAGCAGCACCGCCGGCAACGGGGGCAGCAGCGGCGGCACCACCGGAGCCGACGTTGGTCAGGAGATCCTTGACGTCCTTGCCATCGAGAGCCTGAATGAAAAAAACCCAAAGCGTAAGCGTGTGTCCGAAAACCGATTGTGCGTGCATGCAATTTCAATGTTCGTGCAATTTGTATTCCGTCTCCAAACAAATCAAGCGGTTGCGAGTGGTGTTGTAGCAAGTATTTACCTTGGCGAAGAGAGAGGCCCAGATGGGCTCGATCTCAGCGACCTTAGCGGCACCGAGAAGAGTCTGGATCTTGTCGGCCTATAGTCGATAGAAAATATCAATCAGTTCAAAAATCCTTCAGTGTTCCTGTGTCATAATAATTTTCCTCCTTCTTGATTTCGTCCGACGCAATATCCCCCTCCTGCCGCAGCACATCTCCAGAATTGCGCGCCCAATTTCCCATTTGGCGCAAGATTCGAGGAAGATTCATGGACCAATACGTACGGTGATCTCGACGCCATCATCGGCGAGGATGAGGGCGGCGTAGGAGCAAGCGAGCTCGGCAGTAGACATGGTGGTCGGCGGGTTGGACTGGACTGGGAGTCTCGAGAGGGATGGGGGATAGGAAGAGGAAGAAAAAGAGGAAGACGGAGACTTTTTTTCTGCTGTCTTTGTCGATGGAGGTCGGACTGGCACTTGTGCCCAGAGCGGAAGTTGTGTGTTTGGTGCAAAAGCCCTCGCTTAGGGCTGTCCCCATTAGGCCTAGCGCCAACCCCCCTCTCCCGTGACTAGCCTCTAGGCCCAAACAGGAAAGGATGATGCCATCATCGAGTCCCCTCCTCATCTGACGGCTGCTGTATGTTCCGATGCGACTGCGTTTCGTTATCACACGGCTTGACATCCTCTACTTGCGCTGAGATTTGGTGTGATAGACTGGAAATCTCCCATATTCTGCCATCGTTTCGATATTTCCCCGCGCCGTCTCAGAATTCTCGCATCCTCAAACTCCCGGTGTCGGTGTGATGGACTCCCCCGCTATTCAACTCCCTTTCGATCCGCAGGAGCAGCCGATCCTTGAACGCCTTCTCCGCACCCGGGATGCCCTCTTGCTGCTGAAACAGGACAAGTCGTCGTATATCAAGTCGCGCGATGTGCTTCCGCTTTACGAAGAAGTGATCTCAGAGGTCGAGAAGCTCAATGCCGTGCGGAAGGAACAGGACCGCCGGCTGACACACAATCGATGTTAGTATACCGTCGGAGTGGGCCTTGCGTGCGTTATAAGCGTTTCGCGGACGTGGGCTGACGGGGGAAATTTTGATCCCATTCTAGTGGATTATGTGCTCGACGACTGCTTCCAACTGATCTCGTTGCTCTTCCTGACTGTCGGGAGAAACAATGAAGCTCCGGCTATGTAGGTTGATCAATATTCCCGAAGATTTTCTCTGATTGTATATGTGGCTGACCCCCTATTTGGTTCAAAGTTACTCGCTGGCGACCACCGTCAAGGTATGAGTTGCCCCTTTAGGCCATTCCCAAGATTCCTTTCCCCTGACTGGGTACCTAGCGTTTGCTCGACCATCTCGAAGAAGCCGACTTCTACAGCTCAAAAGATCTCAGTTCGGTTACCAAGACCCTGGCACACATGCGCGAGACTCTCGAGCGTACCCATGACGCATATTCCCCAGCTTTGATGACGCTCCTGGCGAGCCGCCTTGAACAAAACCAGATGAAGTTAGATAAGTTGCAAAAAGGCCTTGGAGCAATGAACCCCGAGCTCTCATCGATCCACGAAACTCTCGTCTCTATCCTGCGGTCGACATCGGCGGTTAATACGCGTTCTAAGGTAGTCCATTGGACACCCATGTTTTGGCTCGTCCCGTTCGTTGGCTAATCACATGCCATGTGGTAGTTCTCTACAACGGAAGTACACAATCTCCAGAGGCAACTCAAGAAGATTCAACATACGATGAAGGACGGCCAGTTCGCTGGAGCGGATGGAAAGCCTCTTGAAGGACAAGACGGCGTTAAGCAGCTTTTGGAACGGTGTTGGCGATGGACTGAGATTGTGCTGGAACGGTATCACTCCCTCTGCTTTTGTGCTCGGTTGATGGTTACCAGAGATGAAATGTGAAACTGACGCATCGACAGCGGGGGCCAAATCGACGAGCGCTTCCGGGACCAATATGAGCGACTGCTTGACATCCGCAATCAGCTGGATCGACTGTCCGTGACGCAGGCCTGGTCCCTTCGTGAGACTGATTTGTTTGGGTATCAACGGAAACTCGATCGCATTGACGAAGCACGGGTAAACGGAAACTTTGTGGATGCAGAAGGACAGCCAGCGGATCTTCACTCACAGCGGGTAGGGACCGGCAATTCCAGAAAATTGGGAGGCGTATATGAAAGGAATTGAAACTGACCGGGTCCACAACAGACATTACTATATCTCATTCGACGGAGTTACGCCTATATCTACGCTCTGTTGATTTCGTCCGAACCGGTGTCAGAAGCGCTGCTGCCCGTCTACAACCAGCTGCAGACTCTGCGACGCTGCTTGTTGGAGGTCAAAGAATCTGGCGGTGTCTCGAATTCCCGCGAGCTCTACCCGTATAGTATGAAGGTCAGTAGTTCTTTTGCGGTCCTCGCATGAAGCAGTACTAATGGACATTGGTTCCTAGTTGAATTCCATCGACAATATGCGAGTGGACGGCAAATTCTACGTAGGGAATGATATCCCCGAGGGACAGGGCAGCGTCAATGCCCTGTTGGCCGAATGCTACGATATCGTATGGGAGCTGCGGGCGGCTGTACCGGACGAGGAAGAGAGGGTCGACGCCTGAGCTTCGATCTCATCTGTCGCTCCTCTATATCCTGTATCTTCTTCTTCTTATGTACTAATGACGGATTGAAATCTGGAGGCCATCTTTCTCATGATCTTGTTTGGCTGAGTTGGTTGTTCTGGGGTCGTCGCGCCGGGAACAGCAGCCTGTCTAGCCTGTCTAGCCTGTCTCTCCTGGACTCTGCTTCGATGGAAATCTGCGCCGGGCGTTTTACGATGCCGGGAATCCATAGCTGACGTTGTTTTTGACGAACCTCCCTGATGATTATGGCGATTGAACGATATATTCTGATATCTCCCTCTCAGTCTCTCTCTGCTTCTTTCCTGTAGGGCTGTATCAGACAATACCCGACAATACCGACCCTGAGATGTATGGAACGGTAACCGTGGTAAGGTACGGTAATCTCGAAGCCCGCCCCGGCATCGGCACCGAGCGTGGCCAATCAGGAAGCAGGCAAATAAGGGAGCAGCGAAGAAAAATACAAAAGGGAAAAATCGCCGTCGACTCATCTTTTCTCCGCAATCCATCTTTGCTTGCACACACTCTCTCTCTCTCCCCCAGGCGTCAAGATGGTGAGGCAGCTTGTCTGGCAGCGAGCTACGGCCTCTCGCAGGGTACGTTTTTTTTTTACCATCCCTCCCCCCTCCCCTTCTTTCTTTGGCTCTCAATTGCTGGCACTTTCGCATCGAGTTATTACAACGATCATCAAACCCCAGGTTTCACATGGTCATGACTAACATCTACCCCATATTAGCTGGCTCCGAAATGTCTCTCCCCACAACAGTTGTTCACACGCCGTGGCATGGCTACTGAGGCCGCGGCCGCACGCATGCCCCCCTATCCGAAGATCGTGCGGAACCTCGAGCAGGTCCGCAAGGTGCTGGGTTCCTCGCGCGCCCTCACCTTGGCGGAGAAGATCCTCTACGCCCATCTGGCCAACCCGGAGGAGTCTCTGCTGACCGGCACCAACAACGGACGGGATATCCGGGGCCAGGCCAATCTGAAGCTGAAGCCCGATCGGGTGGCGATGCAGGATGCGTCGGCCCAGATGGCGCTGCTGCAGTTCATGTCGTGCGGTCTGCCCTCGACCGCCGTGCCCGCCAGTATCCACTGCGACCACATGATTGTCGGTGAGCGCGGCGCGGATACCGATCTCCCTGCCTCGATCGAAGGCAACCGCGAGGTGTTCGAGTTCCTGGAGAGTGCTGCCAAGCGCTACGGCATTGAATTCTGGCCGCCCGGCGCGGGTATCATCCACCAGAGCGTGCTGGAGAACTACGCCGCCCCGGGTCTGATGATGCTGGGTACCGACAGCCACACGCCCAATGCGGGTGGTCTGGGCGCGATTGCGATCGGCGTTGGCGGTGCGGATGCAGTTGATGCGCTGGTGGACGCCCCCTGGGAGCTGAAGGCGCCCCGCGTCCTGGGTGTGCGCCTGGAGGGTAAGCTGAGCGGCTGGGCCTCCCCCAAGGACATCATCCTGCACCTGGCGGGCAAGCTGACGGTGCGCGGTGGCACCGGCTATGTGATCGAGTATCACGGACCTGGCGTCGAGACGCTCAGCTGTACTGGTATGGCCACCTGCTGCAACATGGGTGCGGAGGTGGGCGCCACCACTTCGGTCTTCCCCTTCTCCCCCAGCATGGTGCCGTACCTGCAGGCGACGCACCGGGGCGATGTGGCCCAGGCGGCCGCTGAGATTGCGGCCTCGGGCCCCAAGAACCTTCTGCGGGCTGATGATGGCGCCGAGTACGACCAGGTGATCACCATTGATCTGTCGACGCTGGAGCCCCACATCAACGGTCCCTTCACCCCCGATCTGTCCGTGCCCGTGTCTGCCTTTGCCGACACCGTGCGCCAGAACAAGTGGCCCGAGACCCTGGGTGCTGGCCTGATCGGCAGCTGCACCAACAGCTCCTACGAGGACATGACCCGTGCCGAGGACCTGGTCAAGCAGGCCACCGCGGCCGGCCTCAAGCCCAAGGCGGATTTCTTCATCACTCCCGGCAGTGAGCAGATCCGCGCCACCCTGGACCGCGACCAGACCCTGTCGAGCTTCTCCGAGGCGGGTGGCACCGTGCTGGCCAACGCCTGTGGACCCTGCATTGGCCAGTGGAAGCGGACCGATGGCGTCCCCAAGGGGGAGGACAATGCCATCTTCACCTCATACAACCGGAACTTCCCCAGCCGCAACGACGGCAACCGTCGCACGATGAACTTCCTCGCGTCGCCGGAGATTGTCACCGCTCTCGCGTACTCGGGCACCACCACCTTCAACCCCATGACCGACTCCCTGAAGACCCCCAGCGGCGAGGACTTCCAGTTCCGTCCTCCCCAGGGTTCTCACCTGCCCAGCGCCGGTTTCGCCGACGGCAACCCTGCCTTCCAGCCCAGCGCGGCCGTTCCCGACGCTGCGGTGGAGGTCATTGTCTCCCCCACCTCCGATCGTCTGGCACTTCTGGAGCCCTTTGCTCCCTTTCCTGCGGGCGAGCTGTCCGGATTGAAGGTGCTGTACAAGGTCAAGGGCCAGTGCACGACCGACACCATCTCCGCGGCCGGCCCGTGGTTGAAGTACAAGGGCCATCTGCCCAACATCTCGGCCAACACTCTGATCGGCGCGGTCAACGCGGCTACGGGCGAGACCAACGTCGCGTACGACGACGCCGGCAAGCAATACTCGATCCCCGACCTGGCCGCCCAGTGGAAGGCCGACGGTCTCGAATGGCTGGTGGTGGCCGAGGACAACTACGGCGAGGGGAGTGCGCGTGAGCACGCCGCTCTGCAGCCCCGGTACCTGGGCGGCCGCATCATCGTGGCCAAGAGCTTTGCTCGCATCCACGAGACCAACCTCAAGAAGCAGGGTGTGGTGCCTCTGACGTTCGCCAACAAGGCCGACTACGACCGCATCGACGCCTGCGACCAGGTCGACACCATCGGCCTGTACGACGTGCTGCAGGCGGGTGGTCAGGGATCGATCCAGCTGCAGGTGACCAAGAAGAACGGCGAGAAGTTCACGATCCCCGTGAACCACACGCTGAGCAAGGATCAGTGCGGGTTTGTCCTGGCCGGAAGTGCCTTGAACCTGCTGGCCAAGCGGGCCCACGAGTGATTTTTTTGTTTTTTTGTTTTTTTTTTTTTTTTTTTTTTTTTTTCCCCACAGGGGAAGCGGAGGAGTCCGAAAAATGAAGCGATAGATTTAAAAAACAAAAACCATATTGTTGGGAGGGTCATATTGAAGGCGTCGGTGTATGTACATTTGGTCTGTGACTGTGTATAAGATATCCAAGCAACTGTTTGAGGCTATATTGAATGAAGCATTTGGCATGATGCAATCAATCTCACTTGGGGCCATTTGAAATCAAAGGAATCCCGTTCTTCTTTCCCCTCTCCAACACCCCACGTTCTGCATCCATCTCTCTTCCTCTTCCAAGCATTCTCCATCTCCATCTCCATCTCCATCTCCATCTCCATCTACTATCCACTCACCCTCCCCCCCCCACAAAATGCCAGAAACCGTCCGTCCGGCCTTCGCCGACCGTGCTCGACCCCTGCTTTCCTATGGTATTCCCTTCCCCGCCGCCGCAGCCCACCATATCGCCAACACCTTCGCGGCCTCCCGCGTCTATGTGATCTGCTCGGCGTCTCTGGCGCGCAACACCGATGCGCTGGACCGCCTGGTCGCGGCGCTGGGACCAGATAAGGTCGTGGGCCGCCGCATCGGCATGAAGAGCCACACCCTCTGGTCGGAAGTGCTGGAGGTCGTCGAGGACGCGCGACGGGTCGAGGCGGATCTGCTCCTGACGCTGGGCGCGGGCAGTCTGACCGATGGCGCCAAGGTGGCTGCATTGGTATGCAACCCTTCCCTTTTTTCCCCCGGATCTACTAGCAAAAAAAGGTCTAAGCTGATGAACAACTACCAGGCCCTCGCCAACAACGTCCAGAACACCTCCGGCCTAGCCTCGCTCGCCCAGGGCCCCGAGGAGCGGGCCGACGCCCACCCGCCGACGGTCCCCATCATCTCCATCCCGACTTCGCTCTCCGCCGGCGAGTACTCCAACTTCGCGGGCGCTACCGACGACGCCACGCACCAGAAACACATGTTCCGCGGCCCCACGCGCGGGCCCCAGCTCGTCATCCTCGACCCGGCCCTCGCAACCACCACCCCGGACGCCATCTGGCTGAGCACCGGCATCCGCGCCGTCGACCACTGCGTCGAGACCCTGTGCGCCACCACCGGCACCACCGACGCCTCCGACCAGCACGCCATGCACGCCCTGCGCCAGCTCGTCCCGGGCCTGCTGCGCTGCCGCCGCGACCGCGCCGACCCCGACGCCCACCTGCTCTGCCAGCTCGGCTCGGTCGACGCCATGGCGGCCCTGACGAGCGGCGCCGGCGGCGGCGGCGTCGTCGAGCTGGGCGCCAGCCACGGCATCGGCCACCAGCTGGGTCCGCTCGGGGTCGGCCACGGCGAGACCAGCTGTATCCTGCTCCCTGCGGTGTGCAAGTTCAACGCCAAGTACGGGGCGAACGGCGCGCAGCAGGAGCGCGCGGTCAAGTTCCTGGTGCGGGACGAGGAGGTCGTGGCGGCGCTGCGCCGGAGGGGCGTCGATGCCGAGACGGCGGATCTGGGCGATGTGCTGGACGTGGTGGTTCGGGAGCTGGGCATGCCGCGGTCGCTGAAGGATGTTGGGGTCGGCCGGGATGCGCTGGATGCGCTGGCGGCGAATAGTCTGCATGATCACTGGTGCAAGACGAATCCGGTGCCCTTGCTGGAGAAGGAGCAGGTTCTGGAGATTCTCGAGATGGTGGTTGAATAGAGAGAGAGAGAGAGAGAGAGCTCTTAAGCCGAGACCACCACATGCTAGTGCTGCTGTAAGAGACATGCACATACTGGATGACTTGATGAATTATTATTACTGTTACTCAGCCAATGGGACTACCGATAAGGGTTGAAAGAACTATAAATCTATTTCGATCCAACGATCATTGGCGTGTAGAACTCAGGAATCCCCTCTCCTCAGGATCCTCGCGCTTGGATAGAGAAAACTCGTCACAGGAATCAACGTGATAAAAACGCAAGACATCATTCCTATTCATATACTTCCATTGCATATCAAGATTCATACCGAAAAAAAGGAAAAAATAAAAAGAACTCGGAAGAGAGAACGATATCCCCTTACTGGAAATAGCTTCGCACCGCCGCCTGGTTGTCCGGATTCACGCCCGCCAGGATCTGGTCTGCATTCAACCCTGTGGTGGCCACCAGCTGCTTCGCCGAGTTGGCCACACGTCCTGCGGTCTGGCCCTGTAGCGTCTCGGCCTCCAGGGCCTGCACAATGTATCCGAACACCTTGTCGGCATTAGACATCACCACCGGGTTTTGCCTGTGAGAGAGTCAGCATCTTTCCGAAAGAGAGAGAGAGAGAGAGAGAGAGAGAGGAAAACTTACTGGTCAATCAGCTGTGCCAGGAAGGAATAAGCGTACGGCGCTGCCTCCTCGTCGTATGTGATTGGCAGCGTGGTGAGCCAGTTGGCCACGACCTCCTGTGGGTTCGGGACCTTGCTGGCATTGTAGTGCAGGATCTTGGCGATACTGGCCGAGGCGTTCTCGGTCGCAAACACGTGCTCCTCCGTGCGGGCCTGGTTGATCTGCGTTACCTGGAACAGGCTGGGGAGGCAGGCAGCAACGAAGTCGCTCCAGGCAGGGCCGCCCTTTTGAGCAGCAACACCGACGCCGTAGGCGGCCGCCTGCCGGTTGGCAGCGTTCTCATCCCGCAATCCTGCGGCCAGAGGCTGCATGATGTGATCCTTGAAGGTCCACGACTCGGCGCCGCAGAACTCCAGCACATCATCCATGATGCAGAGAGCCCATTGCCGCTGCGTCGGGTCCTGGCTGGTGATGAATGCACCGTAGAAGGGCAGCAAGCGTTGCCATGATGGCAGAAAGGTCGTGCCTTGGTTCTTGAAGATAGTGTGGAATGCCTTGTTCATATCGCTCAGCAGGTTCTGGTCATCCTCAATGGCGTACTCGTAGTCGAGGTTCTCCTCGTCGCCCTCTTCCGCGTCGGCCCGCTCCTCGATCCGCGCCTTGACGCGAACCTGGTAGTCCTCCAGCGTCGACTTGGCCGACTCAATGAACGCCTCCATGTGCTGCGGGCTGAGGCAGTTCTTGCCGACCACCTCAACGGATTCATAGAAGCACTGGTACATCTCCGCCAGAGTGTCCACGGTGGGCTCGGCGCTCAGCACCTCGATGATCTTCTCAGCAACCTTGTTCCACATGGCCGCGAATCCTGGCGACTGCACGCCGTGTGCCTTCTTGTAAGAATTGAGCAGCTGAGGGATGAGCTTAGCTGACGAAACTCGCACGGGGTCGTGGAAGAAGAAGGCAAGACCGGGCACGGCAATCTTCTCCATCGTCTCCAGCACATAGGGCTCGAAGGCAGCTTCCAGAATCTGAGCATAAATGGTAATCAGCTCGATGGCGGTGTTCTTGTCCTCCAGGGCGCTGGTCTTGATACCGATGATCTTGCCCTTCAGAGGGACCAGCTCCCAGCCCTCATCCTGCTCGACCTGGTCGATCTGGTCCTCATCATCCAGCAGCTGGATGTCGGCCTTGGCAGCGGCGACCGTCAGGAGAGGGGGCATGACACCCGGCAGATAAGGGACAAAGTCCTGACCAAGCACCCGGCACATACGGCCCCAGCAGTGGAGCAGATACTGCGACTGCGGGTCATCCGCATCGACAATGTTCTGCTGAATGTTGCCAAGCAGCTGCACAAGGTTCAGTGCATCCTGTCCCATCTTCTCCTTGCCCACCGCTAGCGCGATGAGAGTAGCGCACTCCATAGCCTTGGCACGCAGGAGTCGGTACTCCTTGGACTGCTCCTCCTTCAGGACGTTGAAGAGCAATGGCATCAGGGTATCGTAGAACTGGTCGAACGCGTTCTCCGCGGAATCGGCAATTGTGGCAATAGTGGAGAGCGCCTGTTCCTGCACATAGCGCTTGTCGCTGCGCAGGAGCTGCAGAAGGTGTCGCAGAAGGTCGGCGAGGTACGGCTCGAGGACAATCTTCTCCGCTTCTTCGCAGAAGTTCACCAACGCGGCGGCAGCGTGGGCCTGAACTCGGGGTTCGGCGTTATCCAGCACCGGGATGATGTTGTTCAGCACAACGGCGTGGTACTTCTCTTGCATTGTGCCAGCGAAATCGGTGCTCATCTGGCCGAGGGCGTTGCAGCCGGCGTAGCGCACACGAGGGTGGGGATCCTGGAGAGCCGGCACAACAAGAGCCAGCACCTGGTCGAGCTCGCCGACCATCAGATCACGGCAACCCTCGGAGATGGCGGAGACGGCCATGAGCGCGGCATGGCGATCGCGCCAGGCCGACGAAGACATCATGCGGGGGATCCAGGCAAAAGTGGCGGGAAGGATGATCTGCCCGCCGAGCTTGTTGGCGAGACGGTCCATGCACTGCTCACCCGCAACGTGGTTGAGATCGCTCTCCTCAAGATCTAGATCCTCGGACGCGTTCCACTCAGCAGCATCGTCATCATCCACTCCAATGTCCGTCATCAGACTCAGACATTGGGTGACCATCTCTTGAGCGAACTCAGGATCCTTCTTGCAAATGGAGGGGGCGTAGTCGGCAAATGTAGCCATCAGCTCCAGGGCGTTCTGGCGCACCTGGTCGCTGAGATCCTTGTCGGCGATCACGCTGATACTGAATTTGACCAGATTGTTGAACATGGCCTTGAACATTTTGGGGTTGATCTCGGCAAGTTCGATGAGGGCCAAGAAGGCAGACGAGAGCTCGTCGCTCTCGGACGACTCCTTCAGAGGAGGTAGAATGTTGAGGAGATCGGGCATGAGTCCGAAGAACTTGGATTGAGACTTCTTGGAGATGGAGCGGAAGAATGAAGCGAAGGCCTCCATGGCGGCGATGCGAACCTAAAACACATATCATCGTTAATCCCGCGCCCGCTTTCTCGGAAGAATGCCAACGTACAGAGACGACATCGTCCTTGAAGCCCTTGCTGAACACACCCGACACGGCATCCTCGTGGTTCTTCTCAATGATACCGGGAGTGGTGGAGAAAATGCGGAAGGCTGCCTCGCGCAAGCCTGCATCGGGAGACTGGCTGGCCTGGAATAGCACACCGAGAAGCTCGGGCCATTGATCACCTGAAAAAACACAGCAAAATCAGCGAGAGGTCTCTCCGTCGTCAGACATGAATTGCGCATACCGTTATCAGTGTATTGTCTGGCGATCTCAGCGACGGCATCACCGATCTTCTTCCGGACATCTGTGACGGACTCGGTCGTCAGGCAGGTGACCAACTTCTGCCGAATAACCAGCCTTTGCTCGCCGGAGAGTGTCGAAAAAAGTTCCTTGGCCTCGTTTGTGACGGGATCTTTTCGTGTCTTGGTTGCGATTCTTCTGAAGAGCACCGCAGCGAATGTACGCGCCTGCCGGGAACACAAGTCAACACAACCGAATCTACTCCAGCAAAGCCATGGCAGTGAAAAAAGGGCCGGGTCTGCAGTAGAATAGCCATCTCATTCCCTCGCTTCCGCGTTCCACTCGGACGAAGTTTCCCGTATCCCTTCATATTGATCGATAATCCAAAAACCAAGGATGCACTTACAACCGTATCCTCTGCACCCTGAATCTGCTCCGCCAAACCCATCAAGAGGACATCCGGACGGGTTTGGATCCAGTCATTATTCAACTGCTCTTCCGCCTGGGTTCGGACCGCGTTATCGGGGGTGGTCAGCGCGCGCAACAGCTGAGACAGCGCGGAGTGGACCTCGGGAGGTAGCAAGGACATGATGTTCGCTTGTAACGTAGGCTCGTTTATATATCTACCCTGAGAATTTTCGACGGTGGCCCGCTCAAAGACGGAGGTGAATGCGAGTCTCCCGCACTGCAGCCGGGTTGGTTAGGCGGGAAGGGCGACTTGATTCCCTTGGCTAGTGGTGGTCTTTTTTTTTTCTTTGGTGGGGGTAACTAAGTACAACCCGGTTGGCAGGAAGGTCACTAGAGACGACGAGCGTAATGAATCAGCAATCAACGGCAGCACAAGGTCAAGCTCAGCATCCCAGCTCAAGCAAGGCGCTGCTAGAGGAACAAGGAGCAGAGTAGTTGAGCTGAGCTATGTGGGATGTCCCTAGAGTCGATAGTTTGAAGCCCGCCAAAACCCAAAAAATAATTGCAGCCATCAAGGCAGCTTGGCGCTAGTCCCGATCGGGCAGGCTCAGGCATCCAGGTATCCAGGTATCCAGGTATCCAGGTATCCAGGCATCTAGGCATCTAAGGATCTAAAGGCATAACCTAGTCATGGGACTCTCCGTCTAGTATCTGCCAACGCCCCATCCATGGAAGAATAAAATGATCGCTGGGGCTACAATGTCCCGCTATGGCCAGTGCTTATCGGTAGGTGGAACTATATGCATTGCTAATACACTTCGCTAACACTAGCGGTATCCGAAAAGTCGACTGTAGGATTAAAGAGATGACGGGGAGAAAAACAAGGAGGGAAGAAGATCGCTGTCAAGACTTGCTGGTAGTATAACACAGTTCAAACGAACGGGGAGAACAGAACGTGCACAATGTGCCTATCAATCCGCTGGACAGCCATGCCACTGTTTAACGGCTGGTGGCGCGGCCCAAAACGAACACGCCAGCAATCACAGCAGCCAAGGTCACAATAGCGCCTGGAAGCAGAAGCTCATTGGGCACGCCAGAGATAAACTGCTCCTCGGGCTGACGAGCCGGGAATGCTTGGGGACGAACCTTAGGAACAGGTGGCTCCTCCGACAGCCGATCGTCGACGACTGAGACGGGCTTTTCCTGAACAGGACGGGCAGGAGCAGGTTGGGGATCGAGCGTAGCCGGGATCGGGGGCTGGTTTGGATCATGCAGAAAGAGATCGACCTTGTCCCGATGCGAGCGACGGGCGAGCTTGACGGCATCAGTCAGATCCTGATCGGTGGTGATGGAAACGGTGTCGCCTTCATTGTCCATGTAGCTCAGGGCATAGCCGGTGTCGCTGAGTTTGCCTTCTTCCACAGTGGCGGCACCACCCACTGCCTCCAGCTCGTTACCCAGCTTGGCCGTGACTTGTGCAACCAGGTCGGCAACGCCAGCCGATGTAAGCACGTTGACACGGTGCATGCGTCCGCTAGGGGCCTTGAATTTGAACGGGAACGAAGTGCTTTCTTCAGGACGAGGTTCGTGGTATTCGGAGTGTTCATCTCCGCCGTGGTGGGACGCGGATTCGTTGGGGAGCACGCTGTCACGGCCTTCCAGATGATGCCGTGGTGACTCGGGACTCAGAACTGAACGATTCGGGGCTCGCTGACTGCCAGAGACCATCGAGTCGGATTCGTTGTCCATCGACAGCCAGAACTTGTTCCAAGCGGGGCCTTCATCGTCATGCGTCTGCATCGAATTGATCTGTGGGATATCTTGTCAGATAAAGTGCCAGTTGCCATACAAAATCGCCTACTGACCTGCTCAAGGGTAGCATAAGTGAGCTTGAGAACATCCACCATTCCGACAATTTCTCCAGCCTCGTTCATGACGGGCAGGTTGAGGTAATGGCCATCTGTAGTCGATCTTGTCAGAATTTCGTTGCACGCCAATGAGAGAACTTGGTTTTTTTCTTCTTCTTACTGACCATGCATCTTGCGCAAAGCAGCTTGAATGCTCATGTCGGTGGGAGCAAAATCAGGGTGCGGGGTCATCACACGAACGACACTGCAGGTGGCAGGGTCCAGTCCTGGAGCGATGACGCGCAGAACGATATCCTTGCTAGTGAAGATACCGGTGATGGAGCCCTGGTCCTGCACGAGAAGAGCGGTCGTGTGGTGTTCCTTCATCAGAGCTGCGGCATCTCTAACAGAGGTTCGGACAGAAACCGTGGTTGGAGGTAACCCATCCAGGACAGTCTCGAGTGTCGGACCGGACATCTTCGAACGGAGTGCCTCCACGTACTGGATGATCTGCTGAGGCTGGCTGGAACCAAGTTCGGTCTGCACACCCTCCAACGCATCGTAAAGCTTTCGAGAGGAGCTGTACGCACGCTCCAGCTTCTCCATCGCATCGTAAAAGCACCTGGTGATGTCGAGAATACCCGAGATATCCTGGTTCTCATCCATAACCGGCAAATGTCTGAATCCCTTTCTCACCATCAGATCCAGGGCATCGGTAGCGCTGGTGTCCGTCCGCGCACACAGCGGGTTCTTTGTCATGATCTCGGCAACGGTAATATCACGGGCTTTCTGACCCATGCCGACAACACGAAACGCGAGATCCTTGGCGGTGAAAATACCAGCAATCCGCTCATCGTCGTCGGTCACAAGAACGCAGTCCTCTCGTTTCGCAGCCATCAATTGCGCAGCTTCCGCGACGGTGGTTCCGGGCTTGATCTGAAGGGCCTGGCTGGGTTTCAAGGCCATCACAGTTCCTGGGGGAGCTTTGCGGGAGCGGTGCGCTTTTGTCTGATGATGCTTCTTCTTGTTGAGGTCCGCCTCCATTTTTCGTCGGATTGCCTTCAAATCGACATGTTAGCCTCATTTTGATTGTTTCTGATGGAAACACGATCGGTTCCATGCGCAATTTCCGCAAATTTTCCTACAGGATACGAACGGAAGGGGGTATAGAAATCATGCTACCAGGAGCTGAGGCCGATGAGAGAATAACAGAGAGTACTAACCTCATCTCGCTTCGACTGATTCTGTCTCTGTCTACTACTTGCTGCACTCATGGTGGAACTTCCCACGTCGCTGGCCGGTGTGTTTGTCGAAGATGTTGTTTCTGGTCGAGGTCGCGGAATGTGGGAAGCAGGCCCATTCTCAAAGTCGGGTAGCCTACCTCTCCCGAGGTTCTTCTGGCTAGTTGTTCCCCTGTACGTGCCTCCAGCAGCCGACATGACGCCAATCGGTATGAAGGAAGTTTCGGTGAGAATATGCACAGGTGGAGAATAAGACGTAGGGGGACGAAGGAGAATGAGGGGATGTGAGTGTTAATTATTGATTGATATGTCTGTGAAATAGAGGGTCCCTCGGCGTGATAGATCAACCTCTCAGCACTACCTAGATGGTTTCAATCGGAACGATGTTAGGATAGACAGAGGGGGACAAGAAGGCCAAGGGAACGGAACGTACCATAAATGATGAGAGCAGAAGAGCTGAACAACAGCAGGCCACCAGGCGTAGCAGTAATAACTAATGCAGGTCAGTTCCGACGAGAAAGATACGGATAGAGACAGGGGTGTCACTCAAGAGGGAGTTGGGCAGGGATGGGTAAACAATTACCGAATCATGACATTCAGTACTGACAGGACGCGATGTTCGGGAGGGAAAATATGGTACGACCGTACGAGTCGGTGGCAGCTCGTGGTTCCGTACCGTAAGATCCGTGACGCTGGCACCAGCTTCGGCCGCTAAACCTCTTTCGGCTCGTTATTCATCGGCACGTGAGCCGACCACAGGCCTGAGGCGGTCAGGCCATCCAAACCCAGACAGGTTTTCTGCCTGAGGAAAATATCAGGCATCCAGCATCCCGTGACCGGGCCTCGCTTAAGGGCATAGGGCTTCCACACAAACCCGGCACAACCTCCCCATCACGACTTAGCGATTGAGAGCGTCCAGTGCCTTACGACAACCAACCCCGACAGCCAAGTACGCCGCCTCCCCTCCCTCTACAATCCTCAAATCTCTGACCGTATCTTGCAGAGAAATCCGTCAAAATGGTCAAGAAGAGGGCGAACAAGTAAGCGCGAAACCCTTCCTTTTCCTATGTCCAACCCGCTTGTCAAATTCAAAATATCCACCATCGCCGCCGACGGGATCGCCATGAAATTTCCGCCCGTTGGAGAGCCTCATGTCAGAAAAGATCACAAGAAAATGGAGGAGGGAGGCGGAATTTTGGACTTCAAGCTTTGATAAAGACGCGTCGAACTGACATGTGTGTTTTTTTCTTTCTACAGCGGTCGCAACAAGAACGGCCGCGGCCACGTCAAGCCCGTGCGCTGCTCCAACTGCGCTCGTTGCACTCCTAAGGACAAGGCGATCAAGAGATTCACCATCCGCAACATGGTCGAGTCCGCTGCCATCCGTACGTTCGATCCTACACCAGAACCCTACCATTGGAACCCATGTCCATAGCGCGGCTGTTGGCGAGGAAGTCAGACTGTGATCGATCATTGGAGCGAATATATTGGACGAATCTACCGCAGTTCGACGCTTGGACTGGACCACCGGGGGATTCAAAAACCTCCCCAGAAACAACCGACTGACTTGCGGACCTTTCTTCTTTACAGGTGATATCTCTGACGCCTCCGTTTTCACCGACTATGCCGTCCCCAAGATGTACCTGAAGCTGCAGTACTGCGTCTCCTGCGCTATCCACGGCAAGATCGTTCGGTACGCACCCTGATTGCACCCCTTGATTTGGATACCATTTCCAGGCTTTGCCTACTTTTCTTCCACATGAGAAGATTCGATCAGGACCAGATTGGCTGACGGATCTTCCACTCACAGTGTCCGTTCCCGGGAAGGCCGCCGCAACCGTGCCCCTCCCCCGCGTATCAGGTACAACAAGGACGGCAAGAAGCTGGCCCCTCCTCAGGCCGCCAAGGCTATGTAAGGAAGTTAAAAAAGAGATGAGCAAATGGAATTGGCCTTAAGAACTTCTGTTTTGTGACGTTTCTTTTTCATACACACTTTCTTACTCGGTTCAAAATGGAATGAATGGGTTTCAGTCTGTCTCGGAGGTTCGAAATAAGGCACCGCATGGCATAATGGATCGCTCGCCGTGAGCAGGAGACGCAATCAAAATCAAAAAGAAAAAAGATTTTCAAGTCACACGGTTGTCCACGCAGCGGTAATTGTGCATATTGCATCGAATAGGGCAAGCAAGGCCATAGTAGGAGACTGTCGCCCCCTCCCCTTCGATGCACATTGTCCATGATGGCCGCGCAAGCCAAAGCAAGGAGATCGGAGCTTAATTCATGACAAATTGAACGGTTGAACGCTGTTATGATCTATAAATATTCCAGTAAAATACGTAGTTCTCCGTAGTGACACTAGCTCACGATTCAAGCCATAAGATGTCTGGCGGGCTGATGTACCCCTGCTTCTGTCTGCTATTCACATACAAATTGGACTGGCAAAACCCAACGGACCTATCAAGGATATAGATATCCCTTTTCAAAGTAGTTCCCATACATATCCACAACCCCAGTCCGCCCCTTAGGTGCTGCGTTCCGGACAACCTTCACTTCGCCCTTCCAGTGCCCCTCGACGTAATGCGCCATTGACAACTGAGGTGCGGGTACCGCCACCAGGGTCCTGAGGCTGGGGCTCGGAGACACAGACCGAAATGATCTTACCGACGGAGAAAGATGAGAAGAGGCTGTTAGATTCATGCTTCGTCTCTCCCGGGTAGTCCGAACAACCTCCTCGTATTCCAGTTTCTTTGCGCGGCGGAAGGCGGCCAATTCCGCAACAAGGTCGATACTTGACAGAATGGCATCCGGCGGATTGGCACCATCGTTCTTGTTCATTGTGTTGGAACGTGATCGAGGGGTTGTATCTATAGAGCCTAATGATGAACTGAATGAAGTATCCCGAGGCTGTATTCCCTGAAGGCCAGATACCGTTGGGTGATCTAGGCTCGTTGGCGAGAGGGATGCATCTTCCTCAGGTATCAACGTCACCTTTTCATTAAGGACTGCCATGGGAAAGTACTTCCCCGGGTCATTATCCGGGATTCCACATTCATCTTCGCCGAAGAAACTGAAGTCACCGGTAGCTGCTGACCACAGATTCTCGGAATCGCGGTCTCCAGTACTGGATTTCGAAGTCCCATTCTGTTGATTGATGGATTTCCACGGACCGAGCCGGGCTGGACCTTGGAGATTGGACGTAGGCGTGACCTCGAGTACTAAGCGGCGGAGAGCAAACAGAGACCGAGATTTCTCCTGCTCAGCCTGCGCGCGTGCTTGTCCAGGGGGCAGGGAGTAATCCGATCCTGCTTGAAGCGTCGCTAACAATGCTTCGTTCGAACAGGCGGTGATGAAACGGATTAGGGCTTCCAGAATTGGTGAACCTTTAGGCACGTGGGATGGGACATCGGTCAAAATCAAGGTTTCGAGGTGAGGGACGTGAAAGGGATGCAGGTATGGGAAGCTTCCTTCTTTACCATCGCGTCGAGGAAGGCTCTGATGCATTGGTCGTTTGGCAAGTAGCTCTTGGATTTTTTGGGCCCGAGGGTCATCGACTGGAACGGGAGAAATGGATCTTGTTATTGGCTCAAGCGCCTCCAAATGGTCATTGGAAACCTCGCCAAATCCGGAAGTACTATTTCCATAGGAGGCCACTGATATGCTACCTTCTCTTCCTTCTCTTGGCTCCTGATTAGGCTCGACCACCTCTGGCGCAAAGACGGACCCCCTCCTGATCTGGGGCAAAGATTCATCTTGGTGAGCGCTTAGGCTTGGGGGTCTGTCAGAAGAGCTCAAAGGACGGGAAATTCCAGTATCATCAAGCTCAAAAACAGTGTTGACGTCGGCAGCTAACTCATGTATCTCGTGAGCCGCATCCAATTCCGCCGCACGGGGTGCATCGATGTTAACTTGGTCTGGGAGCTCTGGCAATAAATCATTTAGTGAAAGGGGATCTTTTAGTGGTGCGGCGGCTGTGCACAATGCATGGTGAGCTCGAAGGTATGTGATATTCTCTTTAGCGATAGATCCAAGAATTGGAGTCAATTTTTCAGCGCCGGGCAGTCTCGAGGGCGATTTCTCAATAGGCGAGGGGATAGTTGAAAGTTGTGTTCTTCCAATGGACCCAGCTGTGTCAACAGTGCCAACATCAAGGACATGCAGCCTCGCTGATGCTAGGAGACTCGCAACACCTTCAACGGTAAGTTGATTATCCGCTATGTACAGATGGGTTATGCCGGTATGTGCAAGGTCATCAACCCAAGAACGACCTGTTAAGGGCTGCGTCAATGCTTTAACGAAGTTGTCGTCCAAAGTCGCGCTTTTAAGTAATCTGTCGTGGTACCTGAATGTTCCTCTCGACTCATGGTGACTCGGTGAGGATGCTGGAGGAAGAAACGAAGCCTGCAACAAGGATCTCACAGCCATGTCGGTAAGCAGATTGTTACGAAGATCCAAAAGACGGACTCTTGTCCCAATCGCATTGGCTAGAAATTCCGCCTCACTATCTTTCAGCCCAATGCCTCTGAGTTTTAACACTTGAAGTCGCTCCAGTTGAGACAAAGAAGCAAGCACTATACGGTCCCGAGCAGCGTTTGTATATGACAGATCCAAGTAAACGAGTTCCTGAAATCTTAGCAGAGTTTCCGCAAGACCTTGAGAAGTCGTATTAGGTTCTCTCTCTGCCAGTAACAGACGAACAGTGCATGTTCTGGAAGCTGCCACATCGGGCGATTCGTTCTTGGCTGGTCTCTTCAAAGCCATCATGGCATTGTGGTCGAAAAATGGTAGTTGAGAGACCATCAGTGACTGGAGATTGGGCAAGTATTCGAGAATCTCCTTCAGCCACTCTGGTCGGGGGCCGCCATAGATCTCAGAGAGAGCTGGAGGTAGATGGAGTGTATGGGTCAGCATCCGCACTTCGAGCCGAGCATATCTCAGGGTCCTTCGGAACCTTGTCAATGCCACTGGTATCAAGAAGGCCCTGTGTCAGTAGAGGGTTGTTTGAAGATTTCATACTATCAGGTCTTACCATAAACGGCATCATTGTCAGTTCCGAAGTGAGACGCAGGGTCACCCCAGAGAAATGGCATGAAGAGTTCGTGCCATCTTCGACAGACTAGCGTCACAGAACAGAGGTCGCTAGATGGTATATAATGAGCAATAATAGACCATGCATCTCTGGTCGTTGCAGATTCGTAGGAGGGAGGCACGGTGTCCATCATCCATTAAACGTGGGGCATTACTTCGGAGATATCACGGCCGTGTCAGCGTCCCAAACGTGGGGTACGCACTTGAGAACAACCTCTTTCTATCAGATGGTGTAAGGTACCAATATAGGCCTCGAGGAATAAGTTGCAGAGAGGAAGCACTGATTAAAGTCAACTCTACTTAAATTGGAAGAGAGGAACTCTGCCCCATTCATGATCATCACACGACTGAGACAACACTGCCTCTTAGTGACTTGGTCTTCATGCATGGACCTACAGGATAGCGCCATTCAGGCAATTAGAGACCCTGTCAGATATCAGGAGCCACCCACAAAGAAAGTAAAGCGAGGAGCTATCCAGTCAGCATCTGAAATTTGCTTAAAGACAGATGCTAGAAGATGAAGATGAAGAGTTCATCAGATGGAGGTTTGAGATAATTACAAGAAGTACCAAAAAGGAATGGTCAAAACGTCGGTTTGTAACGACAATACAGTCAGATCGGCATATGACATCATGCGCCTCGCTCAATGTCAATTAAAAAAAACATCATGAGAGAAGGATTCTGTTGCAAGGATCCATTCGAATCAATCCATCTGCATCGACCAACAAGATCCCAAAACCTTGTACCCCAAGAGGTCAAGATGGATATCTCTCAGCGGAACATCCGCATGATGCATCAAATCGGCGAGTTTCTCGATCTCGACTCCGCCAAGTCCGACATGGTAGCCGAATTCATCGCTCTTATCCAAGCGGTGCGCGAGGGTCTCACGCAGATCGACGACAATTTCCAGATCCCCGACGCCCATGTGAACACGCTGTTCTTGACCAAGCTCAAGTCGCGGCCGAAATGGAGGGACTGGGCGACAGCCATGCTGCGAGATCCCCGCATAACGGCTATCAATACGAGCGAGCACATAACGTTCCAGGAACTTGCAGGCTTGGCCATCAAGCAGGAAGAGATCATACACCAAGGATATTCAAATGCTCACAGTGCCCCGGGTACCGGAGGTGCGGTTCCGGCGGTTTCATCTGAGGTGTCAAACAACCCGAAGGCGCTTACTCAGGACGACATCAACGAGTTTGTCGTCAAGCAGATGAGCCACGATGGGAAATACGTGCATCGGAATCGTAGCGTCAAGGGTCATCAGAAGAGGCCCAGCCAAGAGGAGATCAATGAGTACGTGATTCAGCAGATGCGCAGAGAACAAGAGCGCAAGACCAGGAACCGCAGTCAGAGCCAGCCAGAACCACACCGGCAGAATCCACGCGCGAGAGCAAATGCGGTGCGCTGTACGTTCTGTGGAGATTCCCATCATCAGTCGAACAATTGCTGGCGCCGGTGGAGAGTTGCTGTCGAAGCTCCCCAGGGCAATTTCTTGCCAAAACGAGTTGAATTCAAATCGCAGATTCCTGGCCAGCCACCGGTCTACCACTCTGGATTTACTCTGTTCTAGGCCCTTTGAGATTTGATGACATTCTACGCTCACTTGCCAATGGTTATGTTATGATGGGATGATATTAGCATGGTGTTAGGGCTACTGATGTTTCTCCTGGGTTATTTTGTGCGTTGCTTCTCATTGTTTAGAGCGATACCTCCTCGATGTATTATATGAATGATGACTACTAGCTTATTGAATGAACATACTGACAACACATAGGAAGCATATCAGGTTGACAATATCTATAGTATGCCTGGAGGTCGGTAATATGCTAAGGTTGGAAGCCCCAAGTTTCGGCTGTCCAGGGCTTGAAAAAGCTCGTCATTCTTCAAAACCACGGTCGAAGAAGCATTTTCTTCCTCAAGGTCCATCTTTCGGAGTCTAGCCTGGATGGTGACACAAGCCTCGGCCCAGGCACATACAGTTCCAGCTAGCCCCTCGCTCAGGGAATAAGGACGATCTGACGCACGGTAACAACAAGGCGATAATTCCCGCGAAGGATTGTAAGGGGGTGCTTCCCGCGCATGGAGCAGGAGCGCGAGAGCTCTCGATAGAAAGTAATCCCCTGTGAGCTTTGGCTCTGGCTCTCGTGCTGGGGGATTTCCCCTTGCAGCCTGCAGCAGATCAACGTCATATTCGCAGCTGTCATGCAGGATCAGTAACGGCCATGCATTGCCTGCAATGCCATGGCAAATGCCATCACCTTTAGAAACCAAGCGTTCTTGCCAGACCTTCTCAGCTGCTAGAAACACAGCCTGGTCCCATTCCGGTTGCCAGAACTTCGATACGAAAAAAGAGTTTCTTCTAGCACAAGCTAAGAGGAGTAATATCGCGGGGCTGCCATGACAAATTTGAACCAAAGAGGTATCGCGTTGAGAGTTTGAACCGTAGGATGGAAGACTGGTCGGCAGATAGCCCTGATTGGCAATGCACAGCCTGCAAAGGCCGACGATGGTGCCTGCTATCCAAGATAAGTAGTTGTCGTCGGCACTGAGCTCCTCGGGGTTGCAAGCCAGCAGTACTGCAAGAATCCCAGCTGAGCAGGTCAGTTAAAAGTCAACCAATAATTGGCATATACAACACCTACACATCCCATGAACACTTTTAAATTGTCAGTCCGCGCTCTACTTTAAGCTGCTCGAAGCAGGAGATTGCAAGACTCACGCTCCCAATCCGTAGTGACTCTCCATCCATGTCCACATCAATGGAAGGGCATCGACAGATCCATACTTTCTTGTGTAGTCCTGTACACCCTGACGTCCAGCGTCGATGATGGCTCTGATAAGCTGGGGAACAGCCTCAAAGATTGGGCGGAGGGCGTTGGTGCTCGCCTCATCAAGGGGGAGAACCCGAACGTTGAGAATTGACCATAACAAGCCAGCCCGTCCATACAGTATGCCGTCTCCTCCCACGTTGTGATTGCTCTCTGAAACAATGTGTTCGTAGCTCAGAGCGATCGTAACCGCCTCACGCAAACAATGTACGTCCGCATCAGAGACTGAAGTGCCGAGTACAGCTGCCTGTTGGATTCGTAGCATAATCATGGCCAACGGACCGCTGGAGCCCAAGGGAGACAGTCTTCCCGGCAAGAGTGGAAGATTGCGCCCAAGTTTTGTGATTCGCTCGTTGGCCAGTTTCTGGTAATTCGGAGGGTTAGCATCATGCTTCTCTCTCAAGGATAACACTTGATGATGGAGTCGTTGAAAAGCGAGAGCTGCCCCTACACCGTAACTAGGATTAGCAACACAACGATACGCGGTCAATTCAACAATATCACAACAGACGAACCCGGAACTCCCATAAAAAGCCCCAGCTCCCCCTCTGGGTCTGGAAGATTAAACTGTTCCACCAGTTCCGCGCCGCGTCGAGTAGCAACACGTAATTCCTTGAGTGCTTGCAGAAGATTCTCCCGTGTGACCTCAACTGGCTGGATATTGTTAGGATAGTATTGGGGAGCTGGTTCTGGATTCATTATGAGAATTGAGGGATGAGAATGAGGGACGTGGTAGCCTGGAATTGTTGGCTACTAGAATACTGTGTCAGTTAACCAAAGCATCCATGAACCGAAGAGTTCAATGAAACGCAGTTCTAGATAGATATGATGCATAGCTAAGTAGGTCCAGCTCATTGCGTGACTTGTTGTGCATTGAGCTAATCATGATGTAGCGTAGTAGAGTCCGCGTTTATGAAGGTATCTGGAACGGCCGAGCTCTTATTATTGGCCTGGATCGTGGTGCCGATATTCCAAACATATCAATATGGGGGATATCTTTGGTTGCAGCAGACATCCATGGAATCTTTCTGCAAGATAGTCCCGATGTTTGAAGAAAGCTCTGTGATAGACAAAGGAAGTGTATGCGATGAGCAGTAGTAGATATCAGTATAAGTATATATATCGAACACGGGTGTGAAGCTCCTTCATAAATTGGAGGACGGCAGCGATAGATATTACCAGAGCTGTCTATTATTTCCCGATTCACACATCTGGTGTATCGTGAGATTGAAGAAATCGAGGAATCTATATAGATCTACGATTCTCGACAAGGTATAGATGCTTTCTAGGGGAAAGAGCTTGATACCTGAGGCATTAGGAATGGCCTGATTGGGACTAGCGTACTTATACCGGACCAACGATGATCCTTGCTGAGTCAGCTATCGGGACGACGATTTCTCTGCTGCGTTCACATCATTCCGGACTCCAGAATACACGGCTGGTCCTTGAAGTGCCGCTTCGAAACCGACGGAGCTGGGAGTTCGGGAAGAACTATTGTGATTGTCTCCGATCTCGTACAGAAAGTCAGTCAGTGCTCTTCCATTCGTTGCTGTTCTGGTAATGGCATTGCCACAGCTTCTTCCCCTTTCCCTCCCCCACTGATTACTGGGCTGGTCGAGCCTGACCTATATGCTGTATACCACAAGTTTGCGCCATGCCCTGTGCTAGCAGTTTACTGCCGCAGGCTTGGTGGCTTCTTCACCCTGTGACCGTTGTTGGGAAGAGTCTGTATGCTTGTTCATTTCGACTAATATGGTAATTAGTCTTGGCTTCAATACAAGGACGCCATCATGCCGGCTGTTCATGGAGATCTCTTGGCTGCAATGATAGCCACTGATAGAGATTCATCCGTTGCTATCAGTCCGCGGCAGGTTACTCTGAGAGATCGGGTTACTGTTGCGACATTAGTGCCAATCTCGTCGGCTGATGATGTGCCTCCGTCGCTGTTGCGGTACTTGTCAGATCAGTTAAATAAAGAAATAGCAAAGGGAGACACCTATGCCATGATTGATCCTATTCCGCTTGAGCAGTTCGCGACGTATTGGTTCTTCAACTTTGGCGCCATCATGCTCCTAGGTGACATTAAGAGTGTGTACGAGATGAAAGCGATGGAGCGCGCTGGGGCAGATTGGACCAAGATCTGCCTGGGCAGCTTCAATATCAGACCGAACTATCCCGGACGTAGTAATCATGTCTGCAATGGCATGTTTCTTGTGACTGATGCTGCACGCAATCGCGGTGTAGGTAGACTAATGGGTGAAGGATATCTCGAGTGGGCACCAAAATTGGTTAGTGTTGATTGCTTCGTCACAACAAGGAAGAAGAAAAGAGAAAGCCTGACTGTGCACAGGGTTATACATATGCTGTCTTTAACTTGGTATACGAAAGCAATGTGGCCTCATGCCGCATTTGGGATGCTCTTGGCTTCAAGCGCATTGGTAAGGTGCCGAATGCTGGTAAAGTGCTTTCCAGCCCGGGTGAATATGTTGATGCGATCATCTACGGACGGGACCTGGGCCCCGAAGGCGAGGATTCGGTCACGCAAGATCGATTTGATAAGATTCGGTACTATCTGAAACATTCCAAGTACCCTCGGGGTGCTGACCGGGCCGAGAAAAGCCGCCTGAGGAGTGCAGCCACCCATTACAAGTTGATCGAGGGCAAAGATGGAGATGCAGAGAAGCTGATGTTGAAAGACAAAGAGGTTGTGTCGGATCCCCAGCAACAGTACGATATCGCGCGGACCATCCATCTCAAGCAGCACGCAGGAATTAATAAGACAACAGCTGCCATCGCAGTGAAATATCACTGGGTCAGGATCAAGGAGACCGTCAGTCGGGTTATACGGGACTGTCCCCAATGCAAAGAGACACTTAAACTTCCTTTGGGCAATGGCCTCAGACTGGATGACGACCCTGAACCGATGGAGAGCCTGGGCATTCACGACAGCGAGACGAGCCTGTCTAAATCAGGTCCCATTGGGACCGCACAACTCATGGACAATGGGCATCTAGACACTCACCAAAGCCATATTCCGTTCGCCTCATCGCATCCACCACATATTATCCATGGACATGTGGATGCCATTACTGATTATACCACTCTCCCTCTTGATCCGCAAATAATCGATATCAACCAGCAACTCTCCCGATTTCACCCACATGATAGCATTGCCGACCCATACACGCATGCCCACCACGGCCTAACCCATTCGAGCTTTGAAGATGCTGTCCGACATCATGCAGCCCATGACTACCACATGATGGTCGAGGATGCAGCGGATGCAGATGGAGTCGTTTTACGGCAGGATGCGCTTGGACTCGTACATCCACAGGTGAACGAGGTGCATCATGATCACGATATATTATCAAAATACGAGTATGTCGGGCCGCCCGACGACGATTTAGACTTTCCATGATTTGTCCGGTTTTGTTAGTGGAAATATCTGTTTTTTTTTTTTTTTTTTTCTTTTTGGCGTTGGAGCGCATTGGAGTTTGGGCTTGGGAGCAGAGAGACCTGTATTATATGATACCAGCGTGATACCAGCAATGCTGATGAATGGACACCTCTTCGAAGTATTCATCATATTATTACTCGACCTATAATTCTCTTTTATCTGATTGACAGCCCGATAATGTCTATATATATGGTCGCAATGGAGGGGCCGAACAGCATAGTAGTAAGAGTACCTAGTACTTTAGTAGGGTTGCGGAGCACGGGGATTGATTGGTCACCGCCTCAGTTTGGCGACGGGGGGGTTTCGATGAGGGAGAAAGAAGAAGCTCTGGGAAATTTTGGTCGAGATCACTCCGGAGTATCAACCTTGGGATCTCGCAGGACACTGTTCATCTTTGTTCCTCATCAGTTGCTTTATTCCCATCTTCCTCTATTCCTGTCTTTTTTCCCCTCTGTTCGAACGTTCATATTCTATTGCCGACCAATATGGCCTTCGCTGGCCAAGCACCCACCATCATTGTGCTGAAGGAGGGTCCGTTACCATCTGCCCCCCCCCCCGTGCCCGTCTACATGGAATCATGACTGATCTTTTTTGTGTTACTTCTTATAGGCACGGATACTTCTCAAGGAAAGGGCCAGATTCTCTCCAACATCAATGCTTGTGTCGCTGTGCAATCCACGATCAAGAGCACTCTCGGACCGTATGGAGGAGATCTGTTGCTCGTTGACAGCAATGGCAAGCAGACGATCACCAACGATGGAGCGACAGTAATGAAAGTATGTTCACATTTGGATGTTCATATATATTATCCCGAAGGAGAAATAAAAAAAAATGAGTGTCAAAAGCTGATTGCATTCGGGTCTCCCGCACTCTAGCTCCTGGATATCGTGCACCCCGCCGCCCGCATTCTCACCGATATTGCGCGATCCCAAGACGCCGAAGTTGGCGATGGAACAACATCGGTCGTCGTCTTGGCTGGCGAGATCCTGAAGGAGGTTCGGGACCTTGTGGAGCAGGGCGTCAGTGCACAGACTATCATCAAGGGTTTACGGAAATCGAGCGCCGTCGCCGTCAACAAGGTGAAGGAGATTGCTGTGGATGTGATCGATTCGGCAGGTAGTGAGGAGAAAAAGATTGAGATGCTGCGCAGGCTAGCCGCCACCGCTATGAACAGCAAGCTGATTAAGCGCAACTCGGACTTCTTTACCAAGAGTGAGTGACTCCCCTTTTCTGGTGGAACATGGTGAAGGGCGTTGACTGATCTGGGTTGATTATGTTGTAGTGGTGGTGGATGCCGTGCTCTCTCTGGACCAGGATGATCTCAACGAGAGATTGATTGGTATCAAGAAGGTCACGGGTGGTGGTCTCCAGGATTCGCTTTTCGTCAATGGTGTCGCCTTCAAGAAGACTTTCTCCTACGCCGGTTTCGAGCAGCAGCCCAAGTCCTTCAAGGACCCCAAGATTGTGTGCTTGAATGTGGAGCTGGAACTGAAGAGTGAGAAGGACAACGCCGAGGTCCGGGTTGAGCAAGTTTCCGAGTACCAGGCCATCGTCGATGCAGAGTGGCAGATCATCTACAACAAGCTGGAGGCGATCTACAAGACTGGCGCCAAGGTTGTCCTGAGCAAGCTGCCTATCGGTGATTTGGCTACACAGTACGTATCTCTGCCTGGGGTCTTAAATTGTTTCCCTCTACTGACCATATTTTACTTTCCAACAGGTACTTTGCTGACCGCGACATCTTCTGCGCGGGTCGTGTTGCCTCTGACGATATGGACCGGGTTTGCCAGGCGACCGGTGCGGCGACGCAGTCGACTTGCAGCGACATCCAGGACCGTCACTTGGGTACGTGTGGCTCGTTCGAGGAGCGCCAGATCGGTGGTGAACGTTACAATATCTTCTCCGAGTGCCCTGCGGCCAAGACCTGCACACTGGTGCTGCGTGGTGGAGCCGAACAATTCATTGCTGAGGTCGAGCGGAGTCTGCACGATGCCATCATGATCGTCAAGCGTGCTCTGCGCCATACGACCATTGTCGCTGGTGGTGGTGCCTGCGAGATGGCTGTCTCGGGCTACCTGCACGACTTCGCCCAGAACGATCGCTCTAAGCAGCAGGCTGTCATCCGGGCGTTTGCCAAGGCTCTGGAAGTGATCCCCCGTCAACTCTGCGACAACGCCGGTTTCGATTCCATTGATATCCTGAACCGCCTGCGTGTGGAGCATCGCAAACATAAGATCTGGACTGGTGTCGACTTTGACAACGAGGGAGTCCGCGACAACATGGCTGCCTTTGTCTGGGAGCCCAGCCTGGTCAAGGTCAATGCCATGCAGGCTGCTGTTGAAGCTGCCTGCTTGATTCTGAGTGTCGACGAGACAATAAGTAAGACCTGCCTCCCCCCTTCCTCCCAAAAACTTGTTCACCATCGGATTGAAGCCTTACTGACCGATGTACTCTACGAACAGAGAACGAAGAGTCTGCTCAGGCCCAGGCGCCTGCACGCGGTCTTCCTCCGGGTGCTGCCCAGCGGGCTCTTGGAGCCGGACGGGGACGGGGCATGCCTCGCCGGGGACGGTAGATGAGCGGCGCTAGGAAGGGGTTACCACTGCGATCGCGTCCAACGGCTATAGAAAAAAAAAGGTTGATTCATGTTGATAATCTCCAGCTGTAGGTGGTGGAACTTAGTTGGCTCTGGACGACACGTTGATGCCAAAAATTAATTGAATTACAATGCATGAATCTATACAACAAAAGTAGTCCAGATTAGGATAAATTCCATGCGATCCGACCCGTGACTGGAAGAAATCTCGAGGGCTGAAGATCAACCCGACGATGTCACGATGAGCATGGGTTTACACTTTCCTGTCCGTTGGTCTATCGAATCCTCATTCCGTGGTGAATGATGATTAGCTGGGTAGTTTGATAGCATGACAAATTGTCGCTACACAGGGCTGGCTGAGCCTGTCAGAAATGGCTGAGTTAACTGAACTATGATCTTGCGCCTATCGGAGATGCCGAGGAAGATCTGTACTGTGTAGACTGGATGGATGCATCCCATACTATTTCGACACCCTGGTCTGGGGATATTTTCTTCTTCTTCTTCTTCTTTATCAGTTCAGCTCTGACATGGATATCAGCCGTCGGCAATTTTCGTACTCTTTTCTGCCTTTTTTTTTTTTTTCTCTGGCTCCACGAGATCTAAGGTATAGGACGAAACTGCCATTTTATTTCCGAATTTGGTTTGAAGGATAAGGCTGGGTTGTGGCTGGAAGGGGAAAGTGCGTGGCTTGATTGCTTCTTGAGCGATGTCTTTAGGGTATGCGTATCGCAGCACCCTTTCGTGATGAATACCCATAGACACGGTTCGCGGATGAGAGAACCTACTCCACCAAGGGCTTCCGTTCCGTCGAATTGAGCATAATCAACCGATACTGTCTCTCCCAGTGTGAACCCAAGGTTGAGATATAGCTTCAGCCTAGCCGCTTCCGACATCTTATAGGTCTTGATTCTGTGCTGAGCAGCGACTGGCAACCCGCTCTTCATAAGCATGGTAGCAATGCCCTACCGCCAGAAGTCAGACTCCGTGGCCAGGTAGTCAAGAACTGAACAAAAGATAGAAACCATCGGGCAGGTCACTACCCAGGAAGGGTCCGTCGCGCATGACCCGAGCTCGATCGACCGCTTCGAGAGGCGCGCTGCGGTAGGCTATCATCTCCCAACTCTCCAAGCCGATGATGATACGGTCATTTCTTTGACGAAGGCTCTAACGACGAGGTCTTCCTCGGACGGGTTCTCCCCACAGTGTCACCCAGTGAGGATCCGTAAGAGCATCACGGTTCATCCCAGACCTGGAGCTTCTGCTGGGGGAGGGGGAACAGGGCTGAATAGCAGATGGCATTGTGGAGGTCAGTCAAAGGCGTGCTGGACAGCAGGATATCTGTGATTAGAATCATGGAAAGGGAGAAATCGCAGGTGAATGAGAGGGACCAGATGTCTGGGACTGATAGAGATAGGTCTTCGAGACTAATTGGCTGTAGTAGTAGTAGTAGTAGTAGTTGGGTGCGTGCACAACAACGATGAGTGAGTGAGTGACACTCACGTGCACTCTCGGACCATGGGGACACTCGACTAAGTTGCAGACAAATCCATTCAGCGATGGATCGATTATTCGCTCGCTACTCCGTACTACTAAAGGACTACTCCGTTAAGGACTATTATTATTCTGCTGCCTTTTCAGCCATCATGTTTCTCATATCCTTCCACTCCCACTGACTACTCCTGCACCTCATCAACCACTAGACTCCCGTCTTCTGATTCGTCTCGTATCCTAAAAACTCTTGCTGCCTAACCTCTCTCGTGCCTGTGGATCGTTATTCGCCAGTCTGAGACGGTTATGTCCTACTATCCGCCTTATTCGGGCCCGCCGGGCTATCCCCCACCCCAGCAGCAACAGCAACAGCAACAGCAACAACAACAACCTCAGTATTCGTATCCTCCCCAGAATTACGGCTCTCCGCAACCTTACCAGTACGAGTTCCTTGATTGTTGTCGCCATTAGCGTTCATCCTCGGACTAACTTCTCGCCAACAGACAAATGCAGCACCATCACCAAGGCTCCTACGGCGGCGGCGGCGGCGGCGGAGGATACCCCGGCCAAGCTTATCGCGAGCAGAACCCGTACGGCTACGGTCAACAGTCGCCTCAACAGGGCTACGGAGCGCCTCAGCAGCATAATGGTTATAATGTATGTCTTCGTCGCTTGGGTTGGGGGCGGAGGAGCTGCAAAGCAAACAAGAACGAAATGGTAGCTGACCGCGTGTAGCAACCTCCGTCGGGATATGGCCAACCGCAGCATAACGGGGGTCAGATGTACGGCCAGCGACAACAGGGTATGTGGCTGCGTGTGCGTATCGCTTCCAGAGACCGCAAGTTTCTAACTTTTGCACTAGGGCAATACCAGAATCACTACAGCCACCCACACCAGGGTGGTCCGCCGCCGCCTCCCAGCGAACCGGTCGCGTTCGGTCACGGCGCGCCACAGGGATACAATTTTCAATACTCGCGCTGCACCGGCAAGCGGAAGGCGTTGATGATCGGAATCAACTATTTCGGACAGAAGGGTCAGCTGCGTGGTTGTATCAACGATGTCAAGAACATGTCCACGTACCTGAACCAGAACTTTGGTTACGCGCGGGAGGACATGGTTCTCTTGACCGATGACCAGCAGAACCCCATGAGCCAACCGACCAAGGCCAACATCCTGCGGGCCATGCACTGGCTAGTCAAGGACGCTCAGCCGAACGATTCGCTCTTCTTCCACTATTCTGGTGAGTGATCCTCCCTTTCGCATGGCTGCCATAACCGGTTGTCTAATTCTTACTTCTTTTGTCGAACAGGCCACGGCGGTCAGACTCCTGATCTGGACGGAGATGAAGAAGACGGATACGACGAAGTCATCTACCCTGTTGATTTCCGGCAAGCCGGCCACATCGTGGACGATGAGATGCACCGCATCATGGTCCAACCACTTCGTCCCGGTGTCCGCCTGACAGCCATCTTCGACTCGTGCCACTCCGGTTCCGCCCTGGATCTGCCCTACATCTACTCGACACAGGGTATCCTCAAGGAGCCCAACCTGGCCAAGGAAGCCGGACAGGGTCTGCTGGGTGTGGTGTCCGCGTACGCGCGCGGCGACATGGGCAGCATGGTCTCGACGGCCGTCGGATTCCTCAAACGTGCGGCCAAGGGCGACGAGGCGTACGAGCGAACCAAGCAGACCAAGACCAGTCCGGCCGACGTCATTATGTGGTCCGGCAGCAAGGACAGCCAGACCAGCCAGGACGCCCAGATCGCCGGCCAGGCTACCGGCGCCATGTCCTGGGCGTTCATCAGCGCGCTGCGCAAGAATCCCCAGCAGAGCTACGTCCAGCTGCTGAACAGCATCCGCGACGAGTTGGCGACGAAGTACACGCAGAAACCGCAGCTGAGCTGCAGCCATCCTCTGGGTAAGCAAGTCCCTTTTGTTTCAATAGGAGAGGGGGGGTCCTAACACTGGTATACAGATACGAACCTTCTCTACGTCATGTAAATACATTACAACTTAATGGCACCTGGAGCAAACAAAAAGTCTCCAGTTGCCGATCTGATGATATCCGACATGATTCCCGCATTTTCTTTTTTTTTTCTTTTTTTTTTTTTGTTTTTTTGCTTGCGTTGCTTGTTTGCTTGTCGTTGATTTGAAGGTTCTACTGCATGATGGGGTCTGGGTTTGGCCGTTGTATAGTCTATTGTTCTTCTCGAAACTGTTGGTTGAATAAGGAAAATAATAGCATTGCCTTTTCTGTGTGTATATGTTGGTCATAATATCCTTCTCATTATTCAAAATGTTCATGAATACATGTTGGATATTTCAAGTCGTAAGGAACTTTGGGAAAAGTGTGATCGTAGCGCATGACGGGAATCCCATCTGGAATCGGCGCTCGCACACCAAGCTAGAGGACACAGCAGCATGAATCTAATGCCGACTTAGGTGTCCCTGACGGACGAACGCAGATGAATGAAACCGAGGACGTAATCGAGCAAACTACCACCTCTGCGGAGCGCTTACCACCGTCCGCGAGAATGACGCGCTAAAGGTCTCTTTCCCCTTGCGCTTCGACGCCGCAATGATGCCGGTCCGATCCGTCACCGGCGTCGCATCGATGATCTTATCGAACTCCTCGTCGTCGCTGCCTGCCGATCCGGACTCGGCATCGGAATCTTCTACGGGCGTCGCATCCGGTCGAGCGATGAGCTCCGGCTGTGGCTTGTCCGGGATCGAGGGATTCTGGAACGATTTTGAGTTGAGGATTTTGGCACGGATCTCGGCCATCTGGGCTTCGTCTTCGGAGTCGTCTGAGATGGCGTAGGGGTCTCTCTCTTCCTCCTCTTCCTCCTCCGATCCCGCATCCTTGTCCTTGTTGTCGTCATCGTCGTCTTCATCATCCTCATCTTCGTCATCGGAATCGGGCGCAGGGGCTCGTCTGTTCGTGTTTCCGACAGTCCACATGTCGTCAGCGCCGCCCTCTGCGCGATTCTCCTCGTACTCCCGTTCAATCTTGTCCAGCCACTCCTCTTCCGTTCGCTTAATGTCCTCCTCGGACTCACAGGCGGCGTATCGTTTGAATAAGGCCGCGTTGATCTCGAGGAACGCCTCGCCGTAGTTGAAATGCTTCAGGACTTCGCGCGCCCAATCTTCATGCCCGCAGATGGTGAAACAGGCTGCCAGCGCTTCGACGCAGTTGAGCCGCCAGGGTCGTCCATAGTTGACTGTGTTGGCTGCGATAAGGTATGGTACTGTAGAAAAAGCGCACGTCAGATTATGTCCGTAATGATAGGGTCGTAGTTGGAAAAAAGAAAAAAAAAAAAAAAAAAGAGACACCTACACAGTCTTTCACATCTGCCGCCAATCCGAGACCATGGGACTTCCTTGACTCTCACCCACGAGCATTCCACCACAGCAGCCCCAAACTGTTCCAGCAATTCGCGGTCAGCCGGAGAGAGTACTCTCTTCGCATTCGGCCTAGACAAGCTGCCTGTTAGCTGACCATAGTGGATTCAAAAATACAGAGCAAGCCAAAAAAAAAAAAAAAGATAGAAGACGTACGAAATGACCACACCCGGGAATTTCTGGCCGATCGCCAGTTCCCGCATCAAGCCGTGGTGCATCAGCCTCTTCCCCGAGCACCGCTTCGGATCGCAATGGCCCAAATCCCAGCAGGCGGCTTTGAATGGAGGCCTCGCAGGACCCGAGCCGTCGTCATCGCGGGGTCCTGGACGAGGGCGGGGGTTGGACGAGTATTTCTTGCCTCCGCGCGCGAAGGTATCTTTCTTGTGGCGGACCATTTCGTTGCTCAGAGTCCACTGTCTGTATATAAGAAGATCTGAATGTATCAAGAGGGGGAAGAGTAGTTGGGTTGTTGGAGTTGGGAGAAAGTCGCCTCTAGAATCTAGATAGGGAAGAAAAGAGCAAAGGCGCTGATAAAGCGCCACACGTGGAGCTCCGCAGGTCGAACTAACGCCCGCTCTATCATCCGTCGTCGACTGGCTGCCTACGTTGCTTCCCAAAACCCCCCCCCCATTTGTGATCAAGAGTTCTCTCATCCTCACGGTTTCTTTCCGCGTGTCCAGCCCGTCCGTTGACTGGACTTGTTGCAATTGATTTTCCTTATTTGATTGGGTTTATTCCCGCCCCGCGTCGTCAAGCTGGAGGCAGCATCGGCACGAATGGCAGCTAGGGACCGATATGGTGTCTACGCTGACGTTGGGCTCACCCCGCTGCAACGGGCCATTCGTATGTGTTGGAGCATAAACAACTCCCGACGAGCGGACTGAACTGATGCTTGTGCTTCCGTAGGAAATGCGTGTGACTTCTCTCTCTACGAGCCCAACCTTGCCCTGAACCTCGAAGTTGCGGACCTGATCAACTCCAAAAAAGGCAATTCGTGAGTCGCCGGTCCGAAATCTGGGTCAGCACACGGGGCGCATTCTAACCCAACCGTTCACAGTCCCCGAGAGGCTGCCGTCGAGATCGTCCGCCTGATCAATTCCCGGAATCAGAATGTCGCCTTGTTGGCATTAGCGGTAGGTGGTGCCTGAACGGGAAACCGAAGTGCGGGGGGTGGTTGGGACTAACGAATGACTTTTGCGACAGCTACTCGACATTTGCGTCAAGAACTGCGGGTACCCTTTCCACCTGCAGATCAGTACAAAGGAGTTTCTGAATGAATTGGTCCGGCGGTTCCCCGAGCGGCCGCCCATGCGGCCCACCAGGGTGCAGCACCGGATTCTGGAGTCGATCGAAGAGTGGCGGCAGACAATCTGCCAGACATCGCGGTACAAGGAGGATCTGGGCCATATCCGTGATATGCACCGCTTGTTGTTGTACAAGGGATATATGTTCCCGGAGATCCGCCACGAAGATGCCGCTGTGCTCAACCCAAGCGACGTATGGCCCCCTACTCCGCGCATTCTCTGCGCATCGCTGGCCGGATCACTACTGACTGTCTGCAAATTAACAGAACTTGCGCTCGGCCGAGGAAATGGAGGAAGAGGACCGGGAGGCACAGTCGGCGAAGCTGCAGGAGCTGATCCGCCGAGGCACACCGGCCGATCTGCAGGAGGCCAATCGGTTGATGAAGGTGATGGCCGGCTTTGACACTCGACACAAGACCGATTACCGGGCCAAGGCGGCCGAGGAGGTGGCCAAGGTTCAACAAAAGGCCAAAATCCTAGAGGAGATGCTGCAGAGCCACCAGCCGGGCGACCCAGTCGCAGAAGGCGATGTGTTCGAGGTGAGACGCCAATTGGGGTGGTCTATCATATCATGTGTCTGGATTCTAATTGGAGCAGGAACTTGCAAGCGCGCTGCAAAGCGCCCATCCGAAGATCCAGAGGATGTGCGAGGAGGAGTCGGATGATCCGGAGGCCGTCCACAAGTTACTGGAAATTAATGACAGCATCCATCGCACCATCGAGCGTTACAAGTTGGTCAAGAAGGGCGATTTTGACGCTGCAGCACGGATCCCCAAGGGCACCCTTGGCACTACCACCGGTGTTTCGAAGAATGCCAACAACGAGTTTTCTCTGATTGACTTCGACCCAGAGCCGAGCCCTAATGGTGATGCCTCGCAAGCGGCGCCGGACGGTAGTTCCCTGGAGAATGATCTGCTCGGTTTGTCTATTGATGAGCCTGTTCCTGCTGGCGGCATTTCGTTAGGACCTGGTGTGTATTCCCTAATGGAGTGAACTTGACCCATAAAAAACTAACAATGCAATGTAGGTCCATTTCCAGGATCTGCTACCCCACAGCAGCAGCCCCCCGCTGGCGTCAAGCCCACCTACGATATCATGGCTTCCTTCAACTCATCACGACCTGTTTCGCAATCATCCACGCCGGCTCCTCGAACACCGCAGTACCCCGCTGCCACCGCGACACCCCCACCCCCTGCCGCAGACCCCTTCGCATCGCTCATGTCCGCTAGCCCGCGCACCGCCAGTCCCTTCCGCTCCGGCGCATCCCCATCAAGCCGATCCCACGCCGCTGCATCTACATCTCTCCTCGACCTCGCGGGAGCTGGTCCTTCCGCTGCTACCCCTGCTGCTAGAAGCCATGCGAAAGGCCCCGAGGAGGACGAGTGGAACTTCGCCTCCTCTCTGCCCGAGAGCAACGCTCTTCCAACCACCAACAGAGTCCAGGTGCTCGACTCGTCGTTACGGATTGAATTTGCTGCCCGCCGGCACCCCTCCCAACCGCGGCAGATCCACGTGGTTGCCTTGTTCTCGAATCGGACCAGCCAGCCCCTGAACGAGCTACACTTCCAGGTGGCCGTGGAAAAGGTCAGTTTCTCCCCACCTATCGAGATCGAAGTGGTTGATACTAAGTGGAAAATACAGGCCTATACCCTGCAGCTGCGGCCACAGTCCGGGCGCGATATCGCACCGTTGCAGCCGAACGGCGTGCGGCAGGAGATGTTACTGGATGGCGTTGACGCGGGCAAGGGCAACTCGATCAAGATCCGCTTCCGCGTGTCGTACAGGGTCGGCGCGGAGAAGAAAGAAGATCAAGGCATGGTGCCGCCGCTGGGGATAGCCTAAGGGGTGGTAGAGACGAGAAATTACACTGGGATATCCTCTGGACGGTTTGATTCGTTTCTATTTCCACTGCGCTTGTCTCTACCTCTTTCTTCTTTGGAATGTTCCACCCACATTAATTGATTGTTCATATTAATTGATTCGTCTGTCTGATATGGCATGAGGAATCCATTCCTTCCCTGCCCCGGCTGCAGACTACAGACCGCGGGTTTGGTCCGATACCTCCTCTACTCGTTGTGTTAGCGTGTAGTTAGTCAATTTTTTTTATTCTGATTACTGCTTGGCAATATCTGATGGGGAAAAACTTTTGATAGACGAGGTGAAACCGTGAAGCAAGTCTCTCCTGCAAAAAAACCCCCCCAGTAGAGTAGTAGTCTCTCCCCCAGCCCCGGCGAAAGTACCAGTTAGTTACAGGCTTACAGGCTTACAGCACCAAGTCCATGGGTCGGCTAAACGCGCCACCCTGACCCAGCCGTCTAGCGGATTTGGCAGCTGACACTACAGCGCCTGGGCGGTTGGAAACTCAAGTCTCTTCGACCCTCGGCCTTGATAGGAGATAGCACTCATAGGCTCGTAGGCTCATAGGCTCATAGCAGTAGGGATCATATCTACTAGTGTACATAGTAGTTCGGACTCCAGCCGTCGTGGCGGTGGCACGGACCCGATTTCTGGATATCGATTTCGGCCGAGCCATGATAGGAAGGGATTAACAGGCTAACAGGCTAACAGCAATGGGGGGGGTGATCACAACATAAAACGAGGCTGCTGAGTGCTGGACATTTACCTATGAGGCTATGGTATTGATGGTAACCCGCTTTTAGTTATGCTCTGAAGGACCGTACCTGCGAGATCCTTCTGGGTACAGTGTACACAACTGCATGAGCTCCCACTCCCAGGAGAGAAAAAAACCATGAATCACAACAGCCCACCGCACAAGATCAGAAAAAACGACCAACCGAGGCTGCCGTACTCCGTACCGTAAGGCAAAAACCAAAGCTGATCACGGAATGTCTGGATTGCCCTAGGGCTCCCAGAGTTCCCCCCCCCCCCCCAGGTTGCACTAGGCCGGTACTTCTTGCTCCGAGTGGCAAACCAGGTCGTTTTTTGGGACCACGGGTGAGAGTTGGACTGTGAGTCGGGCTGTGATAATCGATGGAGAATCAGAAAAAAGCTACCAGACACTCAATAAGTGGGCCGATCTGATGGCCCTTGACGAGGGCGAAATGTGGAATGATTCTGGTCCATATTGTTGTCCGAGGTTTGTAATTGTAGCACAGAACACAATAACTGTCGTCGTCGTCGTCGTCAGGGAAGCATACCATCTTCTTAAGCTTACCATGCAGGAGATTATTTGATGCAGGTAATGCAGGTACTGAAGGGATAAGTCTGGGAGATGAGGTTCAATGATCAATGAACTGCAGGTTGATCGGCGGGCCAGTAGTGGATGGGTAGTCAGGACGCAGGAGGTCCCATCGAGCACTAAAGGGTGGATAAGCTCAAGCTAATGTGACCTGCGCTAATCAGCCTGCCGAAGCGAGAGAGGATTAACTATTAAAGGAATCCAGGAATCCATGAATCCATTTGTGTCTGTATTCTAGAGGATTGTTATTAGGTATGATTATTTATTCTGTATTATTATAGAGCTAGTACTGGCTGAAGCTTTCAGATCGAACTGCCCGATTGGGAAAAGCTCGGACCCGATCGGGAAGGTGGTAGGGAAGATGAGAGAATAGTCACGTGGCTGTGTACCTCAGGCAGCCAGGCAGCCAGGCAGTCGGTCTATCAGGCTATCAGGCTATCAGGCTATCAGGCATCTCATTTGTAAGTAAGAAGAAGAAGAAGAAGAAAAAAAAGAGTCCTCAAAGTCTCGACCCTCAACTTCACCCTGCGTGAAAAAACCACGAGCCGATGAACTGCCTACTCCTGACAGGTTGTTTGAGTTTTCCAGCCCATTTGGCACTATGCTATGAGATAGTCTATACGGTGGTCAGCTTTTCTCCCAGACTGAGCCTTCAGGATGATGTAGTATTTGACCCTCCCAGCAAAGGAGGTGAGTATGAGTTCACCGAGTTGGCTGGTCTAGACTCTAGAACAGCCCCAAGATGCTGGAGACCACAAAACCCATGAAGGGATGGGAAGCAGAAGATCAAAAAGTCTTTCCCCCCCCCCCACCATCACGATGCTGGCGATTCGCCTCTTCATATGGGAATAGGTTCCGGGGCATCATTTTCATCGCTCGAGGAGATTGATTGGGCTTCTTCTGGACGGTCTCCGAGGGACATTCCCTGACAAACTTGTCTGCTTGACTCGAACTAGGTTTCTTAAAGGGGGGAGTTCATGGTTGCCAGCTCCCTTCTATCCGCATCGACCCGTGGCTACTGGCTCTGCACAAACCCTCTTGAAGACTACCTTTTAGCTTGGTGTCTGGATGAGGATGCAACACGGCGGGTGGTGGTGTGCTTTCCCTCTGGTTCCATGGATATGGACATCTGTGCCATCCTGATTTTGCGTCGGAGAGCTTCTCGTTGGCCTTGACGGGGGGAGGGTTCGAACTTTGTCATACCCCAGAAATCCATGGCTCCTCCTTCTAGACTCTCTTGGTCAGTTCTGATACCTGATAGCCTGTCTACCAATCGCGGCAGATGCCATGGCGCAAGAACTGAGGAGCCCCAAAGTTTATAAACTCGCTCCTCTTTTTGAGGGCTACCCCTCGCTCTTTCCCCTCCCCTTTCTCCTACATATTCTGGCCCATTTCCGCTTTGATTCTCCTCGGTCTTCCCTCTTGCTTACTCTCTCCGTGCTTCTCTGAACAAAGGCCGACGAACTGTCTGTAATTAATTCGTCCTACGTGTTATTTATCTATATCTGAAGTTTGCCCCCCTTCCTTCCTCCATTCCTTACTTCGGTTGCCATCCAACTATATACCTATATCACTACCTACAATGGTCTCCCCAGATTTGGATCTGGATGTCGCCCCCATCCCCCGTTCCCGGGAGGAGAATCAAGAAAGGTACAGTCTGATTGTTCTGGATTCATATAGTCTTCTGTCCGTCCATACTGATCTACTGTCCAGAGCATTTATTGCGGCGTCTCGACGGAAAGACCGAAGCTTAGATGCTCGTCTGGAATCCGCCAACCGTGCCTCGATGCTGCACAAGAAGCGCACAGGCAAAGCTCTGCTCATCACCAAGGAGATCGTGGAACGGGAAGCAATGTACGAGGAAGTCGACGAGCGCTATCAGGAGAAACGTATCCGCATGCTTCAGGCCCAGAATATGCAGATCGAAGAGCAGCTGAACCGACAACTGCTGGCGGCGCTGGCTGTCCGCAGCAACGGCATCCAACAACGCCGAGCGGCCAATACGAATATCCGGGGCCCAATGGATGGAGTTCGCAAGATGAGCCTGGACCTTTCGAGTCTCCGCTCATCCTTCTCCGAGGGCACGTCGACGGGCGCCATGACCAGCCCCATGGTCATGGACCAGACCTACATGCTGTCCCCTTCGTATGATGGCAGCTCTCAGTCATCCTACCTGGCGTCGGATGGGTCGTATCCCGAGGTGGTCCCCGCTTCCTCATCGGCTCACGTCCCATCCTACGTTGCCCAGCACACCCCCACATGGCCCAATCCCGCTGTCGGTGCGCAGCGTGTTCGCCCATCCTGGGCCGGGTTCAATCCTCAGCAATATCCGGAGCAGCTTCAACGGCACTCTCAGTTCTGGGGTGGGGCGCCAGTGCAGCAGTTCCGAGATCGCCTGGCGTCGGCGCCGGAAATTTCCATGCATGGCTTGCCGGCAGCGGTGCCTTCTTCGACGCCGGCAACGAATCCCACCCTGGCTGCCACTCCGGGATCCACGTCCCATCACATTCGAGTTCGCTCCGAATCCAGCCAGCAGCCGCTCAGTCTCGCGGGATTTTCTCTTTCGGGGTCTAGCTCGCCCAAGATGTTCTCCACGGAGAGTCTGTCAACGCCTGATCTCTGTCCGACCCCGAGTACGCCCCACTCGCCCACCTCCACGGGCCAGGAAGGCAATGCTCTGGATCTGGAGTCGTTGAACAAGGAACCCGAGGTGGCATTCTCGCAGGACGAACTGGACCCGGACTACGATGAATTCAGCCGGTTTGCCTGGGGCCTGGGCAGTAATGGGCCGATGCAGGACCGGGAGACGCTTGGGTTTGATGATTACGTCGCATTGGATGAATTTGCTGCCCCAGCGTGATTTCTTTTCTTTTTTTTTTCTTTTTCTTTTCTCTTCGGACTAGTACTATTACCTCCTTGTTACTTGGCCTACGGGCTTGCTTCAGTATTGTTTTTTTTTTTTTTTTTTTTTCCCCGCGGATCTTTTCAATTTGGAAAAGCACTCGCAGGGTAGGGAGAGGTGTCGACAAGGAATTGGGTGAGGGTCACAGGGGGAGGATCAAATACCCACGGTCTCTGGCGTTCGTTCTACGGGTTGTACATGAGGGGGGGATCTGTACAATGCAATGATAATGAGAGATGATTCTTGAACTATAACGATGTCACTGGGTTTCATCCCCCACACCAGTACCTATTGGGATTTGGGAAGCTAGACTAGCATGATGCATGATGTAGCGTTGGTAGTAGGAGGGGAAGGGTGGAGAATGAAAGCTTGCCGATAGCTGCAAACGGCTCTCTTTCTGGTGGAGTGGTTGCATATTCCGGAAACATCAACAAGAGAGTTCGACGGAGGGTTTAGAGGGATCTCACTAGTCATTACTCACTAGAGAATGATTAACTCTAGGGGATACGGGTAGAGATCTCCAGTCACCAGTGAGGAGTGAGGACTGAGGAGAGTAAAGTAGCTACTAGCTACTAGCTACTAGCTACTAGCTACGGAGTAGTACTTCCTTGGTCTGCTTACTACTACTGCCTACTACGGAGTACAGAGTAGTCCCTACCATTAAACTCCAGCGCTAAGGTAGGCTCCATCGTCCATCGTCCATCGTCCATCGTCCATCATCCATACAGTGCACGAGTGGAAGAGGATGTACGGAGTAGATTGTACATACTACATACATCGTAGATACCTCAGGCACATCCTTCTTACAGAGTATACCTACGTAGTAGTAGTACTCCCTAACCGACGGTAGTCTCTACTCCCTACGGAGTACCACCTCCCAATATTAGTAAATAAATAAGAAATAAAAAAAAAAAAGTCACTCGAATCTTGAAATATTAGTTACTGTGTACGGAGTACATCAAAGACCTACCTTATTACCTTATGAGGCTATGACTATGACTATGACTATGACTATAACTATAAGCCAGGGACCCCGTGGTCCAAAGTCCAACTCCACTTAAGCTTACGCACGGACCCAACGGTGCTGTTTTCGGCGTTGATTCTTGGCCTGAGGTTTCAGGCAACGTCTATCTATCTATCTATCTATTACCGTATATGGAGTATGAGGTATGAACTATGGAGTACCTATGGAGTATTGTATTGCTATTTACTATTCCTCCCCAATCCCCACATCCATTACGGAGCACGCACGCCCGTGAGATGATTTGCTTAGAAAAATGAAAGTGCAAGTGAGACAGACCTACCTACCTACCTACCTACCTACCTAAGATCCCATCCCATGGAACTCCCTCCCTTTTCCCATGGCGGGGGAATCTCGGCCGGGGCAGTAAGCAGTAAGCAGTAAGCAGGATGCAGTATGCAGTATGCAGTATGCAGTAAGCAAGCAGGAAACTAACTACCTTAAGCAGTAAGCACAACTTTCTTTTTTTTCGCCACTTCGACCAAGAAAAAAACAACGCTATCAGTCCCTCCCCCTCCCCAAGTACTCACTAGTATGAATTATGAATGGTGCGCCTGGAAGCTGGAAGCTAGAACTTGGACCTTGGAACTATCCCCAGGATGGAGCTCTCGACGATCACTGACCCAGCTCCCCCCCCCTTCCAAACCAAGATTGTGGAGGACGAGATAGAGAAGCTACCCAGCTAGGCCGCCTCGCTGACAGTCTCACTAGGCTACTGACTATCTACTGGCTATCTACTGGCTATCTACTGGCTCCCTAGCTAAGCCGCTTGCTCCCCAGGATCTGATCGGGGCCGGGTTGACTACTCCGTACAATGGTCAGTGAGTACTACCGAGTAGATTGTACATGGTTCGACCGGTGTTATGAATTCATTGGTAGAGACTAAAGTTGCGTAACTTGCGTCGTCCTCCTCGCCAGAGAGTAGACCAGCAGATCGAAAAAAAAAAAGAGAGAGAGAGTTTCGAGCTGAGAGGGGTTGTCCATTTTCGAAAAAAAAAAAAAACTGTGATCTAGGCCCCCCCTGGCTTTGGACTCGGACTCTAAACTCAGACTCATTTGGTTGAACGCTGTTTGTGCATTGATTCGACGCGATCTCATAATCGTTGCCCGCAATTTGTGGTCTAAAAAAAAAAAAAAAAAAACAATATCTCGAAAATACCATGGACGCAAGACAGAGAGAAGAAAGCTACTCCCGCCGGCTGAACAATTCCCGTCCGATATCCCCGCTCTTGCGCACACTCACGCTCGAGCTGCTGCTTCGTCGCCGCCGGCTGCGATTCTCGGCGGGATCGGCCGGGCGGAGTCCGCTGGCCCGCGCATGCAGGTTCAGGATATCCGTCAAACTCACCACCCCCACGAGCCGCCCGGACAACCGCGCTCCCGGTAATGCGGACGCGGGGATCGACGGCGCCACGACATGCGGGATCCCGACGGGCGGACTCGGGAGGTGAGGAGTAGTATAGTTGGGCGACGGAATGCCGGCCGAGGTTGGCGGCGGCGACAAGGGAGGGGACTGGATCGGGTTGGCCGCCAGGGGCAGCTGGCCGCTGGAATGGGAGGGAGTAGGCGGTCCCGACGACGAGGGTGACAGGGGATCGGTCACCCATAACCTAGCATGGGTCAACTTTGACAGCCATCGGAGGCAAACCGTGGATCAGAAGACGAACTCACCGATGCGATTTAGTGGCTACCAACTTGGCAACGGTGTGTGCAAGAGTCGAGCCTGGGTTCACGTAAAAGACCGGGAAAGAGTCCTTGCCCTCCACAAGACCCCTCGCAGACAAGATCACCGAGATGAAATGGATGCATGAATTGTGCAGGAGAGGCAACGACGATGATCTTGTAAGGAGCTGACACGAGGATACTTGTCAGCCAACAAGCCAATAGTAATCTCTTGATCGGCAAACAGTCGCGGTGCCTACCTTCACATCGGTTGTAGAGATATTGCCCACCACGTTGGCATGGTTGTCCACCACGGCCACTGACGAAATCCCTTCGCTGTTCATGAGCTGCAGAACTTCACAGAGGCGCTTATCACCACTGCATTGACGGTCAGACACTCCCCAATGATGACCCCGGGACGAAACACCTACTTGATGGAGACCACTTCGCGAGACCCGATCCCCAGATCACGGAGATACTGGGGATACAACTGATCGATCACGGGGAAGCTGCGTCCGTTCTCCCACAGAAATTTCACCAGGCGAAACTGACTGAAGATTCCCACGACCTCCCCATCTTTGCGTTCATCCACCACGATCACACGATGCACCCCGCCGCCAAAAGTCTCGACGGCCGCCATCAAGCTCGCCGAGGCGGGGAGCGTGGTCAGAGGCTCGTTCCTGCCCAGCGCCTTGACATCCTGCAACGGTATCTTGTGTCCCTCCCTTGCCTTCCGTGCTAACTGTTCGTACGGCGCGCGGAGTTCCTCCGTCGGCTGCGTCAGTCCCGCGGCGAGCAAAAGGTATGCATTGAGATCCGAGTAGTCGAATGTGCCCACGACGGTCTTCTGTTGCGGGGTCTCGCGGATCAAGAGTACCGGCGCATTCGTGTCAATCAGCATCTGTAGCCAGAAAGCCCATTAGCGACGCATCCAGCAACGGAGATTTAGGTCGAATAGGGGTAGAATTACATTTGTCGCCTCCTCGATTCCAGTGTCCACTTCGACAAACTTCAAGTCATCCGGACTGACAAGCTCCCCGATGGTAATCTCTCGCCAATCCCGGCCGGCAAAAGCGGGATTCACATCCCTGGGTGCTGGAGGATTATCGATGAGACTCTGGATTGCGGCCTGGGTGAGGGATGGCTGGCGTCGTGCCCGCGGGGACCCCGGTGCCGCTCGGAGACTGTCACTGAAACTCTGACGATGCTGGTGATTTGAGTGGGAGAGACGGAGGGACTGGCTACGAGTCGATGGAGAGCGAGAATCTGTGCTAGACCGAGGTGATGCAATCGCCGACCCATTGGAATGGTCTGTGATGGCTTCGACATTCTGCTGGTCCGCCATGGCTGAACGCGGGGGAGAGGGGAACAACTGATCCGGCGGGGGGAGTTAAAAAAACGGTGTGTAAAGAGGGGTTGATTGTAGGCTGCTGTGACAGATGGTGTGTTCGCCTTGTAGTCCTTCACAGATTGCAGATTGAAAGGAAGCAGTCACCAGTCACCAGTCACCAGTCACCAGTCATCAAAAATATATATATATTGCCCCCGGGTTAACTGAAACACGCAGCAATCCACGAGCAGCACCTCTTCTGGAAGTCAGTCCATCCCGGCGCCAATCACGGGGCGCTGCGGGGGAATTGGCGGTGTTTGGCTGGGCATCGCCAGCTGGCCAATCAACTGCCAGTACTTGGTCATGGCGGCGTCATTACCATACTTGAAATTACCTTTAGCATACGATACCCGGTCATGCAATTGGTGCCTGAGGTTTCAGGCCGCGGCAACGGCTCCAGTTGATATCCTGGCAGATCTTATCACTTGCCTCTTTTTTGTTGTCAGAACCAATCAGAGAAAGTCCCCCAGGACATCTCCCAGATCTCTGGTTTTGTGCTGCTTCATCACCGGCTTCTTGGGTCCAGAGCTTGGCTGTGACGTCCGATGAACCGACTTACCTGCCAACTTTTGCCTTTTCGGTACCGGCTCTAATGGTCTAGACTCGGGGGATCTTCTTCGCTGTAGGTATATCGTAGATCGAGGCTTAGCATTATGGCGTGTTTTCGGTCCTGCACTGGGATCTTTGCCAAGTCGAAAGTCCAAAACAGGGCAATCTTGAATCAGGATTTCTTGCCTTGCTTGACGTCCATCGATCTCCGGCGCGAGACTTGCTTTATAGCGTTCGTAGAGTGTAAGAGCTTCTGATACGTCCCCTTGCTCAACGTCCGCCCCAAACCGTGGGTATCCCATCTCCCATCCATCTTCATGAAGATCTTTTGTTGGGAGGCTAGCAATAAGATTGGAACAATCCTGCGCGATGACGAGGCAAAGGCTCGGGAAAGCGCCGAGGTAGCGCAGTATCACTGATGAAACATCATGTTGATTATACAACCTCAGGATGCGCAGTTGGGAGAATGCGCCCGAAGACTCTGCCAATTCGGACCAGGTGCGAACAATCCTGTCACTCAATGATGCCACCCGCATGTTCGAATTATCAGTCACAGACAAGATGTCCCGTGGTGTAGTGATCTCCAGCGCCACAAGATTCTTGACGCTAGCAATTTCAACCAGTTCAGGGACTCGCGCAATCGATGTGTCCAAAACCAGCATGGTTCGCCAGCTCAGAGACTCACTCCTGATCAAGCCCAAGTAGTCCCGCAAGGACATCTGGGGCTCTCTGATCTTGACGGCCCGGTACGGAGCCACTGTCCTAAATTGGCTGGGATATGCTGTTGCAAACACCTTCCACATGTACAAGGTCCTGCTTTTACTACAGAAGTAGCGTTAGCTGCCTTGCGACGCCCATTCCTGGACCGGATGACTCACTGTCGACCTAGGTAATCCCACAGCGGACTGGCAATGCGCCATGGGATGTCAGTAAACAGCTGGGCCGTCAGATTCCGTTGATCAGACAAGAGCTGCCTCTTTGCAGAGTCTTTCAAGGTCGACGAGCCCGTTCCGCCTCTCGTATTTGGCCCCGTGGACAGAAATGGGCTCTCGTGAACCCAGGATGAGCCCATGCAGGAAGATGGCGCCGGGGCCATGGCTTGTTCCTCGTAGACTTGGCCGCTTTTCCGGTCCATTTTCCTGACGACAGACATGGTTGCTTCAGCCGAGGGCCTCTCAGGTCAAGTACGGCGGCTATAGATCTTTTCGACACGACTCGGGTTAATGGTGAAACAGTCGGGTTTGTCGCCCGTGATTGACGCGTCGTCAATACATGAGACCGATCTTTGCCATTATTGCTCATCTAATCTTGAGGTCAAAAGTATTGCTTGGTTTATTTTACATCATGCGTCAAAGCAATCTCAGCTGTCCCGTCGACCAACGTCAGAGGGTGGATATGGTAGATCACTTCATGTCTTGCAGCCTGATTTTGCTTGCATGATGATGCATCCAATCATTCACGTGATGCAACATTTCCACAGTTGACATTCTGGATCAGACCTTCGCAAGATCAATAAACCATGGCGTTCTATCTATCATATTGATCTTGAAAGTTGACCCCATAAATATGCCGGTATGATTGAGTCCAGACAGCTCTTGATATCCCCGAAAACACATCGCGGCAAAAATAAGTACAAATCGCTGGGAAAACAAAATGATATCCGATCCGAGTCCTGCTCAAACCCCTTTATATGTACAGGTCACAGCCGATCGCGTTACAGCTTCATGGCTCTCATTTCAACTCCCATGTTTCGTCTTAATATGATCATTGAAGCAATTCTCCTTAGTGACTGAGTCGCGAACAAGTTGTGTAACGCGATACTGGTCATCTATGTGGTACCGACTTGTGATTGATCATGCAAAGTCGATCGCGACCAATTCTTCCGCTCATATTGTTCGGATCTTACACTCCCATCTCAGCCCTTGTAGACTCTTTGAAGCCATACGTCCAAGTCTTGAGTCCACCTCTGTCAGAGACACTCAATTGACAGCAGCCGGTCCAGCAGGTGCAGAATCGCGTATGTAGAAGCATCCCAGGACACCCTAACACACCAGACGGGCAAGTTACAAGGACGGCACTGATAAGTAGGTGGTGTTGGCTCGGTGACGATGAGACGAGGTAGACGGCGATGAATCTCTCCAAGGATGACCGTGGCATGAATGGCAACGGGGACAGGTGACAAGGCGATGAGTCTCCCAAGAGTGTGTGAATGAATGGTCCGATGTCCGGTATATAAAAGGGTTGGCCGAGGCATAACTTGGGAGCTCCCGCGTGGCATCATGCTTTGATGTGTACCTCTTCGGCGACGAACAAGGTGACTGAGGAGGTGGGACAGAAGTCACTTTCTTGCTGATGGACTGCATTGGGGCGACACTAGCTTTCTTTCGCCAGAGAAAGAAATTGAAAGACTGATGAAACTGGAGGTTCGAATGGAGTCCTGGGGTTGCAGTCATTTATACTTATGGCTGGAGTTTCATCCACAAAGGTCGCCATCAGGCACCCACCGGGGGTTCGAGTAAATTTACCCAGAAGGGATGCAAGACTCGTCATCGAGCCCAAAAGGGACTCCGGTTTCGAACCTGAGGGAGGCATCATGCAAGGGTGAGTTGCCTCGTGGAAGTTTCGTCTTGTTTCGCAATCATGAGTGAAGCTTTGGGTTTTGGAAGACAGGAGTAGATAGAGGGAGGTTGAAGGGATCGATATGAGCAAGGGAACAGCCTGGAGCTTGCAGATATGGAATCGTAGGCAGCCAGAAGGAGTAGATGATGGATAATTATTGACATGGATGTGGAAGATTCAAGGGTTGATGCCGAACCGTTCTCCCTCGACTCCTTCGCAGCCGATAATTGTGTCTGATCACCGATCCTTGTCTTCTGCCTCAACCACATCTCAGCACATCACTGATTGATGATGGCTCAATTCCAGGTTCCGAGGATTACAGATCTTCTTGTTTCAATATAAGTGTCCTTCGTTGCGATGGCAAACAAGGGTCGCTGGCCGATACTCCCGTCGGGTGCCTATACAGTCAGTCCATGGGAGACAGGCTCCTTGTCTTTCCGTAACTCATTGCCGTGAAGGAAAAAGTACATGAGTCACACAAGCTTCTCACATCCGTCCTCGTCATAGCCATCTCTCCGCGTTCCGCGAAAAAGAGGCTTCATGAGAAAACACTCCACTGAGTACGATGGTGCTCGATCACAAAGATGGCTGTGGATATGCTAGCGTCGCCAGGACTTCGATAGTTCATTCCGTTAACCCTCTGGTGTTCCAAAATCCCAGGCGCTCATTCGATCAGCATCCGATGACTGAGTCAACCTTGAAGGTCAGGCGCTGGCGCTGCGACGAGTGATATTGGAGGGTCACAAGCATCACCAGGCTGACACCATCCGTCCCTGGCGCCAAGCGTTCAATGCTCTTCCATCAACCATCATGATAATGATTATGACCACAAAATGATACTCAGCCATCCTTTCTTGTTCTTCTGACCAGTTGGATCGCCAAAGGGAACGGGTACATTTCCTGAGCATCTATTTCCGGTGACTCGGGGATGAATACAGTGGCACTCGCCAAAGATCAGGAGGATGATGGCCTCCTGCGTATATAAGAACGAGCTTCCCGGCGATGAATCTTCATGAAGACTTTGCTGCCCGCCCTTATTGACCCTGACGATTCTCTGATCACTTGACCCTCAGTTGTGGTTTACACTTTCCTCAATAAGTGTCTCAAAGCCTTGCCTTGAGCGCGTGGCCCTCACCAGTGTACTTTCGCGAGGTTCACCTAAATCTGAAAGAAAGAAACTTAAGAAAGACTAATCAAGCGTGGTTTCTACACCTTGATGTCCTCCAAAATGGACGACAAGACTCTCGTCGTCAAGGCTCAAGAGCAGGGGCCTCGTCCGCGGACCAGAAAGAAGCTCAGAATCAAGCGTATCATCAGCTCGATCCTCTGGAAACAGGCTTCACTGCACATAGCGAATTCGCGACAGCATACTGTGTGGTTGTTCGATAACACCGCCTATCAACGTGTGGTACCCAAAGCCCTTGGACAAGGCCGTCCGGCATGGCGAATGGAGGTTGTTGCGTGTGTGTTCGAGAAGGACAGTCGAAAGGATATCAGCAAATTCGTTGCAACGATAGCAGACCTGATCGGCCTCGATGGGGAAATCGGTACAGAGCGAGAGACTCGCCATCAGATTACCCGACGACTGCGACCGTTCTTGTACCAGACGGCACCCGCTTATAAGATGACCATCGAAATCCCGCTATCCGATGATTCTTTACAACTGCGTGAACTTGGTCCAACGGATAGCAATGGCCTCATCAGTCAGAATGTCAACTTGGGTACGCGCCAGCTTACTGACGGTGCGAGGATCCGATCTTACCTCCGGGGCTGGGAGGGCGAGGTGTCCATGGATATAGTCTTTGCCGGCCAGGAAGGTTGGATCCTGATCTCTGATATCGATGACACGATCAAGTATACAAAGACCTCAGAGGCCACCGGTATCCTACGAACGACATTTGTGGAGGCAGCACGCCCCATCCGTGGAATGCCTCAACTCTACGCCCACATACAAAAACACATAGTCCCGACGTGGTTCTATCTATCAGCGTCTCCGTACAATCTATACCCCTTCCTCCGCGAATTCCTTCACACTTATTTTACCCCGGGCACACTGATGCTTCGAGAATCGTCGTGGATGGACGTGAGCTCATTGATCCGGTCTTTCACGACATACACCATGGAGTATAAAGTGAACAACATGGAGAAATTGCATCGATCCTTCCCACGACGACAAGCACTTTGCATTGGCGATTCTACGCAGAAAGACCCAGAGGCTTATGCGGAAATATACCGACGTCATCCGAATTGGGTAAAAGCAATTTTGATCCGGAAGGTTACCGATGTTCCACACATGGAAGAACAGAACTCTCCCGAAAGATTCAGAGTTGCGTTCAAGGACGTTCCAGACAGTGTCTGGACAGTTTTTGAGGAACCCGAGGAAGTGTATAAGTTGGTGGATCGGTTGACCTAGATGCCCCGTGGGACGTTACCCACCGGTCTGAGAAGGACATAGCAACCTACAAGATACATGCACCATAGACAATTAGCCCACATGGCAGCAAGAAACCCCAGAGATTGGTAGAACAGATACCTATCTACCTTATTGTTCTATGAGCCGGTAGGGGCAAACTTTTGCATGAGTCAGTAACAAAGTGGCTGATATAAGGGCAGTTACGTCAACATGAGGATACCCCATACCCGCATCATCGAAAGTCATATGCTATTCAACAGTCGCCCATCTATGGTTCATGATCTACCTTTTTTCATAAAGTACCCTAGGGGAAGTGTATTCTTTTGCAGATTATCAACAGAGCCGCTGTTGTTTGTACCAGGCAGTGATTATCCAATCTTTCAACCCTTCCTCTTATACTCGCACTGGGAGGAGCATCCTCGTACTATAGATGCAATTGAAAGACGTCAGAGATTGTTCCTACTGCATAGTTTCCAATACCTTCTGAAGCCCTGTCCGCATCCGAAATATAGCCACAATGAAGCCAGCAAAATTCGAATCCACTACGATGGATGAGCAGACGTTCGTTCCAAATACAATGAGGGCTCTTTACTACAGCCCAAACGACAGACAGAACCACGATGGCACGACTACAGATCAGCCAGAACCCGGCATGATCTTCGATACCGACTTCCCGACCCCAATGCCATCACCGAACCAATATCTCATCAAAGTCCAAACGGCCGCTTTCTCGCATGACGAGCTACGACTAGCCAAACTGCTCAACCCCCGAAAATCGATCCCCCAAATCCCTCTCCACAACTTCTGCGGCACGGTTATCAGCACGCCCGTCGAGGACCACTGGAACCCATCTGGGCCCAAGTACAAAGTCGACGATATCGTCTTTGGCCTGATCAGCTATACCCGCGACGGCGCCGCCGCAGATTACGTCGTGGCAACGGAGGACGAGCTCGCATTCAAACCGCGGAACATCAGCGCCGCCGAAGCAGCCACCATCCCCCTGCCTGCTCTCACTGCATGGCAAGCGCTCTTCACCTATGGCAAGCTCGATCCCACCGACCACACCCGCAAGAGCCTGCGCGTGCTCGTCACCAACGCCCGCAACAGCGAGGTCGGCATGCAGGCGCTCCAGCTGCTCCGGTCTCCGTCCCTGTTCCCGCACTACCGGCCCTGGGTCTGCGCCACGTGCGACTTCGAAGAGCAGGGGTTATACCTCCGGAACGAGTTCGAGGTTGACGACTTCATCATCGCGCCGCTCCCGCTACCCGCGGACTGGGATGTAGCCACGATCTTCCGGCAGCGGAAATGGGGGCCCGTGGATATCGTGCTCGACTGTGCGGGCGAGCAGATGTTCCAGCAGGTGCACGCACCAGCCATCGTCAATGAGACCGGCGTCGTCCTGACGGCCGTGGACTCGGTGCCGGCGCAGGATGGGCGGGTCGAGGAGGATGTGCAGTCCGACCACGCGCAGCGCAAAGGACCGTTTAGTCGGTTCGTCTCTGTGCGGCCGGATGGGGTGGCGCTGGGTCAGATTGCGAAGCTGGTGGAGGAGCATAGCTTGCACGGACGGGTGGAGGGGATCACGGATCTCGTCAACGGGGCAGATATCCTGTCTTCTGGCGCTGCTGGCGCCGGGGGCGGAAGGCGAGGAGGGATCATGGTCTTCCGAGTAAATCCATGACGGAAAATTTCTGTCCTTTCCTTCATTATTCTTTTCTTTTCTTTTTTCTTTTCGATGCCTGATGTCAGTAGACCCAAGACACAGGCAGGTATCGAATCGCATTTCAACTTACGAGATACATACATATCAACATCCCCATCTAGAAACATTCAATTGATTGCACGGCTGGTGAAATTAATCTCAATGAATTCCAGATCTCACAGTGGCACGTATATTCCTCTAACCCCAATCAATAATCCCAGCATGAATGCAGAACGTAGAAACCATATCGGTATTGTCAAGATAGAACACAAGTTTCGAAGGTATAGGTACGAACAACAACAGTGAAAAAGGAATCAAATCAAACAGGAAAACCAAAGCAGCAGCTTGACCTCGTCAAAGGCCTCAAGCGAAGTCAGAGAACGGTGAGAAATACTCAGTCAACAATCAATTCGCGGTTTCTTATCCGCCTGGTCTATCGTGCTATTGGATCTATAGGGTCAATATTGGGGTTTGCGTGCTCTAGTGATCCCCCCTTTCAGCCATATGTTGGTCGAGAAGGAGTATACTTGAGGGCTTTTTTTTTCTGCGACAGTGAGAGAATATAGAAGGGTGGGAAAAGAGCAGACACGACGAGCTCGTCGAGACCAGAGTCTGAAATTCGGACAGACCAGCGTACAGTGCTAACGAATTAATCATGACAAGGGGCCCGCAAGCCCAGAATCCGTTTCGTGTGCTGGGGAAAAAGAAAAGGAGGGGAAAAAAATAAAAAACTACATGAAATTTGATCGACAAGGCTCCAGGTTTTGGCCTCTGTCTTGCGAGGATAGCGTATAAGACAAAGGGGTGAAAGAGAAGAAGAAGAAGAAGAAGAAGAAGAAGAAGAAGAAAAAAAGAGACAAAGTAGAGGATTAGATTGACAGCAGCTGAAAAGACCTGCGTATCTGTGTAGGAACAAAAAGCAGAATAGTTACTGCTACAGTAAGGAATCAAGTCTGGTGAAAACGCTCAAACATGCTGCGACAATCTACAACAAAGCCAGCGTTAGCTTTTACCATCAAAGTCAGATTTGAATGAGGGAAACATACCTCTAACTGAAGCTCTCGGTCTTGAGCCTTGCTGACCTCGTCGTTGATGGCCTGCGCTAGATTGGCGCCAATGGCCTGAGAACCACCGGGTCTGCGGGCAAATGGCCACTGGGAGTATTCTGCCAACAGTTCGTCGACCTGCGCAAAGGCTCTCTCTCTGGACTCGTGGCTCATAGTGACAAGGGCGTTTTCCAGCACGTTGGCCGCATAGGCCGCGCATACCATACAGATGGTTCGAAGAAAGCGGAATTCAGCGTCTTCGGGGAGCCATGCGTTGCCGGGGAGGATCACGGTGCGACTACTACAGACGTTGCGGACACGGCGATTGAGATCTTCCTTTGCGCCGCCATCAGCAACGGGGTGCGTCGCCATGTCGAAGAGAAGGAAGTTGCGCTTTTCGGTCCGGAGGATTCCCTTGTCGACGAGGCCCTTAGCGAGCCGTTCACGGACCTGTTTAAGCTGATAGCCGATCTTCATAAGATTCCATGTCTCGCCTACGAGCATTGGCGTTAGTTGCACATTCCTTTCCGTAAGAAAGAAAAAAGGGCTCCAAACATACCGCTCATCAGATCAATCCACGAATTCACGCTCATCTTCTCGCTCGACTTCATCATCTTCAGTGCCTCGTCCAGCAAGACCTCACCCGTCAATGTATCATCGACAACTTCGATTACACGATCCGCGAGAGGGAACCGTCGCCGAGAAGAGTCCTTTTGCATGCTAATCCGACCACGAAGAGCCAGCTCGATGACAATACAGCCCCGCAGGGCGTAGGAGATGTTTTCGTTCCAGAACGAGAGATATCCCTAAAAAAAAAAGCCATATCCCAATGCATGTCAGCAATGCAACTCATCGCCGCAGCCCAGCAGTTCGTCCCAGACTGGGCGAAAATTGTGGGTTTCCCAAATCACACGGACCTGTTTATCCTTCAATCCCAGCAGTAACACTTCTTCCATCAGAGTCAATTTGGGCTGCTTGTTTCGCTCTTCTGTCTCACTCAGGTCCCTGGGATCGAACGCGATCTTGTGGCCATTCTCAGTGCTTGTGAACGAGGTCTCGGGTCCGCGGTGGTCGAGCGCAGAGCCATTTCGAGATACGGGGGAGGACACTCTGCTGTCATCGTTCTCATCTCCGCCAGCGACTCGACCGCCGCCTCTTCGGCGGGTCAAGCCCCCGGCTGAGGCCATGAGGATGTCTGAAAGAAGTAGGTGGCCGAAAGCGGGGGAACTAGAGGGAGAGGATGAGGATGGTTGGTGAACAACCGCGGCGAGGAGATAATCGTGTGTTCAGTATTCGATGCTTGAATTGCGCAAGGTGTCGAAGAAATTAGATATGGAAAGTAAGTCGACGATCTTTGCAAGTTGGTTGGGTGGGAGATTAATTGTCAGGGGTGGTGGAGCGCAAAGTAGAGGAGAGCAGGAGAGATAAAGAGAGGAGAGAGGAGAGAGGAGAGAAGACGAGAAGATGAAACAAAGAAACCAGGCAGGGAGAAAAAGAGAAGCGAAGCACCACAGGAGAGATGGATTGTAGAATCAGATTAATTGATAGATAGATCAGCACAGGAGAGTGATGTTCCTGAGTCTGATAGAAAGGTTGTTGGTTTCCATCGCCAGCTGCCAAACAACAATTCTTTGGATCTTTCTCCCTTTAGCGCTTCGCCGGTTACGGGTCTGAGCCGCACCATCTAAACGGGGCACGAATACTTGACGACGGGGCGATGCAGACCGGCTCAATACAGTCAACTGATTTGGATGCTTTCAGTCGTGGTGTTTTTATTTACTGATAGAGATCCTCGAGAATCATCACATCACACCTGGTGAACGATGCAGTCGAGTATCCCATCTCCCATCACAACCCCAAGACGGCGAACGTCATTTTAATAGCATGAGAGGAAATCTGTCAGAACTGAGAAAAAAGATATTTACGTGAAGGGGTATAGATCTACTGTCTAGGATACACTCAAAGTAATTGGTCAAAATTGCATTCAAAGGTGATATACACGATATAGTAGGGTGAAAAAGCACCGGCATGTATCAGCATACAGAACAGCTTCCACGACCACCAGGAGATTCCAACTCGAGGATCGATCGGGCAGATGCACGCTAACACCCCATTTCCTTTTCTATCGACCCCCCCAAGCCTATCCCCAAACCATTGTATTAAAGCATTTAGTGAGCTATGTATCGTTAGTGACTGGAGCCATCGAGGGCCATTTCGTAGTGGAACTTACCATCGGGCTGAGCAAGGATGTACTCAACAGCCTTGTCAACTGTTTGTGGGATGATAATAAGTAAATGACAATCGGATACCATCAATTGAAAACTTACCGCTGTGGATGGTATCGGCCTCCTTGTCGGGGATCTCGATGCTGAACTCCTGTAACAAAAATTGTCAGTATGAGAACGAGTGCGACGATATGTCAGGCCAATCCGTACCTCCTCAATAGCCATCACAACCTCAACGGTATCCAGGCTGTCCAGACCGAGGTCGTTCGAGAAGTGAGAGGCGCCGTTGATCTATTCACGTCAGATTTTGGCGACCAGATCACTTCGTCATCTTCCGGAGCGAAGCTGCTCGACACGAATTATCGGCCGACTGGAATTTTTTGTTATCAACGAACCTTGCTAGCATCGGAAACCTGGAGAGCACATTGATCGCATTAGTATTTTGACGAAGGTTGGCTGGTAGGGTATCGGTATCTACTGTTTGCTATGCAGCATCCAGCAGAGCTGAGAAACGAATCAAACGCAACGCACCTTGTCGAAGCTCTTAAGCAGGTTGACTATCCGACCCTCGACCTCCTCCTTGTTCAGACCGGCAGGGGCGGAATAGAGACGGACACCCTGGTAGGCGAAGCGAGGAGCGAACTGAGCAGGACGAGCAACAGGAGAGCTACGGATCTGGAAGGCAACAGGAGTGCGAACAGCACGGGGAACAGAGGCTCTCAACGAGCGGACAACAGCGGAACGGAACATGATGACGGTATTAAAACAAGAGGAGTTTTGCCTGACGGAAAAGAACCCAATTGAGAAACTGGAAGTTAGCCTAGAGAAGAAGCTTCAAGGAAGAAAGAAACCAGATAGGAGACACGACGTACAAGGGGGATTCGATTGAGCAACCGAGAGAGAGAGTCAAGATCTTTGGGGCTGTAGGAATTCGACGTTCAGAGTTGGAGGTTCAGTTTGCGGCTCGGGAAGCAAAATCCTGCCCGCCAGCCAATCAGCGCCCGGCAGAAGGAAATGACCTAAGCCGCCTTGGACAGACCTCATCGATTTGATCTTTTGAACCTCCACGACTGAACTGCTCTCCCCCGTCAATTGACGCCGCCCCCCATCCCTCGTCCCTTTCCTTTCCCGTTGGTCTTCTCTTCGTTCTTGTCCTCTCTAAGAACTGCCGCGATGGCATCCTCGACATCCGTTGCGAGGCTGGTCGCATACCGTCGCCCCACGCCCTACCTGTTGACTTCTTCCCTCCGTGTGTCGCCCTTGGGGTCGACCGCAAACTTCTCCTCCTCGGTCTTCCGAGCTGCTACACCCATCGGAGCTCCTCCGTCCGGGTTCCGTCTACCTGCGCCGAGGAAATGGGATCAGGATCCTGAGTCGTCGCTGGACAAGGCCAGCAAGTACTTCCTGATGGCCGAGCTGTTCCGGGGCATGTACGTGGTGATGGAGCAGTTTTTCAGACCACCGTAAGTTTTGCCCCCGGTTGATACCAGTCGATGAGAGCGGGACGCGTAACAGTGTTTTTTTTTCTTTATCGATCAATCACGGTGTCAAGTCTTGAGCAATGGAGGGAGCGGCGGGGCTAAAGTCAAATTATAGATACACTATCTTCTACCCCTTCGAGAAAGGTCCCATTTCCCCCCGTTTCCGTGGTGAGCACGCTCTGCGCCGTTATCCTACCGGCGAGGAGCGTTGCATTGCTTGCAAGCTCTGCGAAGCCATCTGCCCGGCCCAGGCTATCACCATCGAGGCCGAGGAGCGTGAGGACGGAAGCCGTCGGACAACCAGATATGACATTGATATGACTAAGTGCATCTACTGCGGCTACTGCCAGGAGAGTTGCCCTGTTGATGCTATTGTTGAGAGTAAGTTCTGACCTTATGAGACTGCGATTCGCGGGAACCGCAAAGCTAATGGACACACGCACAGCTTCCAATGCCGAGTACGCCACCGAGACCCGCGAAGAGCTGCTGTACAACAAGGAGAAGCTCCTGGCCAACGGTGACAAGTGGGAGCCCGAGCTTGCCGCTACCATCAGAGCCGATGCCCCCTACCGGTAGGCGGGAGTCCCTCCACCCAATTCATGAAACCGTGTTGTACTCTAGCGATCCTTGCCGAGAGGCCAGAATACACAAAATTAGAGTGATGGGAACGAAGAGCAAGTTTTCCATCCATCAACATAACAGAGGTCCTGGCTTTGCTGTATAGCCCGCACCTCATGCTTCACCACCCTTGTACATAACCACCTAAGCCCTTCCACCTGCGTTGTCGCCCCCCTGTATCAGCCGGGCTCATTGAAGCTCTCCAGCCGCCAAAATCGGTCGTCTCTTTTTCTTTTACCATTTTTTTCTTTTTTTTTTGTTCAGATGTTGAAGGGGAATCCTGCCTGTCTTTGTTACTTCTCCTGTTCTGCTAATGAGTCAATCAAAGAATGTATCTCATTTGTTTCCACTTGGCCCTGATGAGCCATTGTAAATCCTAGCAGCATCAGGAAACACAGAGAAACAAAAAATAAAGAGCCCTGATATTTGTATCAACATATCGCTGCCTATGCACACATGCACACTATAAAAAACAAAACAGAATTTCCCCAAAAGAACCCCCAAACACCAGTTCTCCAGATCCCCACACCGGGATCTTTTCCCTTGCTTTTTTGACAGGTTGTTCGAATCCGACATCGGGATTCTTCCTGCTCTGTAGGTTGTAGAATAGATGAATGGATGGATGGATAGATACATACAGTTGTCTCGATTCAACGAGTCAAGATTTCCACTTCTCCCCGCGCTTATTTCTTGCCGCCCACCTTGGCCTTGAAGCTGCCCTCGAAACCAGGTCTGGCTTTCTTCTTGCCACCAGTAGGCTTCTTGCCCTTGTCGCCTTTCTCCTCGCGTCTCTTGCGCAGGTTCTCCTCGCGCTTCTGCTGACGCACCTCCTTGCCCTTGTGCACGGCGTCGATGCGCTCCTTCCACTCCCGCTCGGACTTCTTCTTTGCGGACTCCTTCCGCTTCAGCGCCTTCTTCAGCAGCGAGGTATCGTCGCGCACGCGCTCGCCGTGTGCCCGCTTCTTAGCATTCAGCCACATGTCCTTCTCCTCGAGATCCGTGCGCTTTTCCTCGTCCAGCTCTGCCAGACGCGCCTTCTTGGCCTCAGCCGCCTTCAAAGCCGTGGCCGGGTCCTGGGGACCGTGGCGTTTCGGCTGATCGCGTACGGTCGTCAGGCTGGGATCGGCGTGCTGGCCGTCGCCGAAGACTACGCGGCCGAAGGAGTAGTTGACGTTGGAGCCGATCGAGTCGGCGGGCGACCGGGGCGACGCCAGGAGGGAGCCGGAGCCGCCGGGCGAGAAGCGCTTCGCCATGGCTTCGTCTTTCTGGCGCTGCTCCTCTTCCCGGGCCTGCTGGCGCAGCAGCTTCTTGTGGGCCTTGCGTTGCTCGGCTTTCTGTCGGCGGGCTTCGATCAGCTCCTGGCGGTTGCGGGCGGGCTTCCCGTTGAAGCCGTCGGCTTGGCGGGCGGCGCGCAGCTCGTCCAGACGCTTCTGCAGGCGTTGTTTCAGCTCTTCGGGGGTCGTCTTGAGAGGCTTGGGTCCAGTGGATAATTTGTCGTTAGCGTCGTTAGCGTCGGTGGAAGCGGTGGGAGGAGCGATGGAAGAGATGGAAGAGCTGCCGGAGTGGTCGTTGGATGCATCAAATCCGGGAGAGTTGGGAGTCGACGATGACGAGGATGCCTGTTCTGTCGGTTCTACATTGAATTCGAGCGAGAGTCCCTCCTCGGGGGCGACACCGTCTTCTTCATCATCGCTTTCCTCTTCTTGGGAGGGCTTTGCCTTTTTTGTCTTATCGCTGGCAGGCTTCGACTCGGACTTTTGTACGGCCTCGGCGGTGGAACCTTGGTCTGTTTTCTGCTCGGATTGCTTCTCCTTCTTGGCAGCCTCCTTGGCCTTCTTCTTCTCCTGTTGGGCGGCCTTCTTCTGTGCCTTCTTCTCCTCCTTCAGCTTTCTGCGCGCTTCAGCTTCTGCCGACTTGCTGGGAGCGTCGCCTGATTGCTCCGCCGGTGTACCCTGCTTTTGCTTCTTCGACTTGGCATCGCCTCTCTTCAGTCCTTCTCCGGGAAGTTCGGAGCCCAGCTCTTCTTCGCCGGATGATTCGGGCCCAGCCTGGTCCTCGTCGCGCTTCCGCTTGCGCGCCTTTTCGTCCATCACGTCCTTGGCCGTTTTGGCAGAGTCGGGGTCTAGCTTCGCTCGCTTGGCCTCGCGGGCTTGTTCTTTGGTTTGTTTCTTCCGTTTCCATTGGTCCTATAAGAGGAACTCGTCAACCACGTTCGAGAAAAGCACACAAGCCGAAAAAAAGAGCAGAGAAAAAAATGACAAGAAAATTTTGCTCTTTTTTCTCCTCAGCAGTTATGGCACTAATCATGAAAAGGGGAAACATACACTGCCGTCTTCTCCGTAGTAGAACTTAGCTGGGATCAAGGACAGGAGGCCATCAAAGGCCTGAGCATGGCTTCGCAGCCGTTCCTGATGGGAAAAAAGGCTGTCAGTATCCAAGCGTCGTAGGCGCGGGGCTTACGAAGCGCCAGGAACGAACATACCTCGATATCATCCATCGTGGAGTTTTCAATGCCAGCGACCACAGAATATTGATCCGGTGGTTCAAAGCCGCAAAAATCGGTGCAGTGCCTGGACGGTGGATGGGTCTGTCTCCGTGGTCCAAGTCGTAGCGAAAGCTGCGATTATCTCGAAAAATTTAGGCGGGTGTTGAAATCTTGGCGCTCGCTGTTTCTCCGCTCGGTTGGGCTGATTGAGTGATTGGACGACTGCGTTCACCGCCCGCACAGTGAACTATGAAGGTCGGAGAATATAAGGTAGAAGTGCTGGTATGTTGGAAGTATGGATTTATTGAAGAGGTAGAGTTTGTGCTCTTGTGAAGATTAGACCGCTGCTTGCAAATGGTGTTATCTTGATATTTGTGCTGGCTGTGTTGCTGGTGTTAGAAGGTGTCAGATAGATGGCATGGGCTGGTATAGATAAACCAAAGAGTGTTGCTATTCAGTACGAGGGTGAGAGAGACTCATGCCCCTGTGAGCTTTAACTATGAATAGGAGAAGTATTGAGAACTTGAGATCTGAACGTAATTGCCAGCTTACCCTAGCTATATGACTACCTACATATGGATGAGAGCCCGCCTAGAAATACAACCTGCCAGGATAAACGCTGCCGAACCACTGAGCAAAACTGGCGCTCATATCTATCCCAAATAACCCCTATTACCCTTGAACTGTCAATAACACTTCAGTGTCCAGACCAGGACATCCCTCGCTCCTGATATCCGTGATCTCCTCATATGGGAACGGGGCAGTCCAGATCAGATCGAAGCTATCCATATCCTGTGAGCGACGTTGCAACTGTGAACCCAGCATGACCCCGCTATTTCACCAACTTACCGCTCATCTGGGTATTCCGGCGCGTCGTCGGCGCCGAGTTCCTCCACGATCTCCTGTATCCGCCCATGGCGCCAGGAGATCAGGATGTTTCCCGGCCCGTCGAAATCTCTCACCAGGCCGGCGACGCAGCGGACCTGGTTCCGTTTGCAGGACAGGTCGACGGGGAGGCCGAGGTCGATGGCGAGCGGGAGCACGGTTTCGAAGGACCGTCTGTGGTCGCCATCTAATGGGAAAGGGTTGAGGTTAGAACTAGCTCGAGACTTTCCGGGTCGATGGGACTGCAGTGGGAGGATTGGGCATACATCTGTTTGGTCTTGGGGCGATGATGTAACCGATGTTGTACGGCGAGTGGATGCCAAAGACGTCGCGGAGACACTCAGCTCGCTTGAAGCCGTCGGCGTTGAGGCCGGAGTCCTCGGGGTCGCTGGGCTTCTCGCCGTGACGGATGATGTAGACCGTCGGTCGGTCTGCGGCGATGGGCGTGACCTGGAGGAAGGTGAGTAGCGCGACCAAGGAGATGTAGAACAACATGGCCTAGGTTTATGTGGTTGAATATCGCAATTCAAGGAAGCCCAAGCCAGCGATTTCAACATTCAAGGGTGTACATAGATACTCTCATTCAGCCGGGTCCAGAAAACACGGATATCCAGCGCATGATGTAGTCCATGTCATCTGCGACCCAGCTGGGCTTGCGTAGTACAGCATGGTCACCAAGGTTGATTGATAGGCAAGCTGCAGAAGCATATCAACAGTCTATTGCAATGTCCCGTGGTGATCAGAGGGCACTGTTGCGCATCAGCTGCCTCTTTCGGGTCATGCGTGAGATGGAGAAGAAGAAAAAAAGCTGTGACTCGGGCATTCCGCGTTGGTCTCACAAAGATGGTTGCTCCATATCAAGTGATTTGTTTCTTTGTTTCTTTCTTCCAGCAATTTCCTCGCAAAAGACATATTTGCTTATTCAGGGCGGATCATCAGCCTTTGTAGCGTGACTTGAGTGAGATTCCCATCCTGTTATCCCACTCTGCATGAACTGTGGAGTTAATAAATGGAAGATCAGTGGAAGCTGAAGAAGAAAGACTACAATGCCGAGTGACTTGTCAGATAAGGTTGCCAGTGGTCATGATGGGTTAGAACCTAGAAGTTTAAAAAGCTGAAATGACTCCATAAGTCCATAGTGGAGGGTAGAAGGCAATCTCAAGCTCGAGTCGGTAGATACTTGACGAAGGAGCCTGATCACCTGGATGTCACCCTTTTGGTGGTGGATCTCGAGTTCTCTCAAAGGATCCAAATGAGCAGCTCGATACAAGCACCAAAACGTGCGCAGCCAAATTGAAAATATATCGTTCTCATCACTCCCAAATCCAGTGCAGACTGCAGACTGCAGAGGGACATCCTGTGTTTCAGCACAACACTATTATTACCTATGGTTCCCCAAAGAGCTAGTTCTCTCAGTACCGAGTAAAGATCCATAATTGGACCACCAGAATATGGCTGCCTGATCTCTCGGAGCTGCCGCTGGAGTCTTGGAGTTGCGGATTTTCGGCAGAGTCGGATATTGTTCTGGTGTAGGCTGCCGGGCGTACTGAGTCCTGGCGGTGGACAAATTGAGTAAATTCATCGCAAGTCTAAATATAACTCCGAGAGAGAAGGAAAAATGAAAGTTGTGGGTTTGACCAAGGGACGAGTGCATACTGCATACAGCATTTTGCATACGGAGTACATTTGGATAATTGGATTACTATGCATGCACAGCCACTGAATCCCCAGCCACAATAATGGAACAATGGATTGAGATCAAAGATATCCAAGGTACTGGTCCTTGGAAGTTAGATCGGCTCGCATGCGTTTAGGCAGCTAGAAAGGAGATTGTCTAAGCCTAAGTGTCGGATCAAGCTGGACTCCGTAGTTTGTACTACTAGCGCTGAGGATAGCATGAGGCTATGAGTACTATAATACTATTATTGTTGAGCCTTGGAAGCCGAACGAAAGGTTCTGACCAAAATTGCCCAAGACAAGTTAAGTTTCAGAAGATCTGGCGGGGCACCGATTGATACAAATACAATACAATACAGAGGACGCATTATTATACCGCACTCTGCCGGGCTGTCTAGCTGTGGCACAGCCACCCCGCTATTACTTACAGCGGTATATTTTGCACATACTCCGTACAGTGGAGAGTACCTACTACCTACAGTGTGGCGGAGGATGTCTACGCAACTGCGCCTCAATAGAATCCTCCTTGCAGTGAGAGAAGGGAGTCAGCGTCAATAGCCATACAGGTACAAGCCACAATTGTAATATCGATTATCCCAATGAGCGTCCCCCGTAGGCGCCCACCCATCTTGGAACGACGGGACGGTGACTGCATGCAAGAATCAATCCATAATACGGGCGTACGAACAATGTATTTTGCTCTCTGGCCGATGGTATCATCGCTCTTGGCGCCGACGTTCGATGACTAATTGTGGGGGTCTTGCCCCGTCAGCGTTCGATTCAGCCCTACATTGACATCGTTAGCAGTACACTTGCTGCTGGTAGTCTAGGTACTCCTGCGTAGCGCAGGAGTACCTAGTAAGGTGCTGGAGGGGTACCACCAGGTGGCCAAACATTCCAATATATAAGATCCGAGGTCAGCCACCCTCTGGTCCACTTATTTCCCTCTTCTCCATCTTCCCTCACTATCAAACACAACATCCCATCCGTCTCTCTTCCTAAATTCCTCACCTCCTTACTCTTTCTCCATCCTCCACCACACACACATAAACAACCATGTCTGGTCCTTACGATCAATACAACAACAACAACAACCAGTACGGCTACGGCCAAGGCCAGCAGGGAGGCTACTCCCAAGGCGGCTACGGACAGTCCCAGGGCTACGACCAGGGCTACAACCAGCAATACGGCCAGCAGCAGGGCGAGCGCTACGGTCAGCACGGTCAGCACGGTCAGCCCGGCGGCTCCGGCGATTACTACGGCAGCAACAACAACCAGCAGCGCGATTACAACGATCAGTACGGTCAGCCCCAGGGCCAAAACCACTACGGCCAGCAGGACCACCAGTACGGCCAGCAGCAGCACGGACAGGGATCATACGGACAGTCTGGGTATGTCATACCACCTCGCATTTTGTCATCTTGTTTTTGTATATAAACTTCCCCCCCCCAAGAACATCAGCTGACCCTTCGTTTGTTCTGTTGCAGATACAATGACCAGAGCGGCCCCGGTGGAGCCCAGGAGGGCGAGCGCGGAATCGGCGGCGCCATTGCCGGTGGTCTGGCCGGTGGTTTCGCGGGCCACAAGGCCGACCACGGAATCCTGGGCACGATCGGCGGCGCCATCATGGGATCCGTCCTCGAGGATGCCGTCAAGAAGCACAAGAACAAGGACGAGGGTCAATCCGGCTACGGTAGCAACTACGGCGGCTCCCAATACGGTAACCAGGGCCCTGGTTCCTCGTCCGGTGGTGGCTTGATGGACAACCTGGGTAGCTTTTTCAAGAAATAGATGAGATAGGTTCGGCTGGACCGGGACTGCTAGGACCTGACGCTTGGCTTGGCTTCTTTCGCTAAGACTTGTTCTTTTTATTTGTTTGCTTAATGACGATATGCATAAGATGATGCTTTCTCCCTTCATTTGTGATTACCTTGATACCGACGCTGCATATCAATGACTCCACATTATACATTGCTAGTCTCATCTCATACCACCTGTACTCCCAATATCAATGTCCTTTACGATACAAATCTGGACAGAAGAGATCATCTTGTCATATGTGGTAACAATAGAAAGATGTAGTTACCAGCCACCCCAGCTTGTCGGTACATGGCTCCCGCGCGGTTCTGAACCTTGGCCGCCTCCATCCATCGGCCCAAAGATATCTTGCTCGAGAGGATCCGGCAACGTGAAAAGAAAAGGATCGAGCGTTTCTATCCCAAAAACACGTGTATCCATATTCAAACCAAAAGCAGAAAAATCTGATATCGGGCCCGAACTCGACCCAGAGGAAGCGGCTTCCTCTTGCGTATAAGGCGGCGGCATCACGTGGCAGCTTTGACTCGAGCGGAGACTTGCCTGCTGTGTCTCTCTTACATACAAAGCCTTTGCCATCAGTCGCCGAATGGGTCGCCAAAGGGGCCCTTTCCCCTGATTGCGCTTCATCTTCCAGCCGCCGTACACCGTCGTGACACAGTCCCATGCTCTGTCGCAGATCAGGGATGGAGGGCGCGAACACAGCTCGAAAAGCACAAAAGCCACAGCCTGCCATTGGATGTGCGTTTTCGAGTACCAGTTCCACTTTCCCATCTCTTGGTGGGTTAGAAGCACACTGGATTGCTCCAGAACTTCGATCGAGGTCAAGAAGAGCCAATCGCGGTTGCTCGTGTCCAAACCGGGGTCGGGGTGCGTGGCTGCCTCGGTGCGTTTCGCGCTCAGCGGATAATGCAGCATCAGCCGGAAGCGCGCAAGGACAAGTCGCGCTACTGTCGACGCGAGAAGAAGATATGGCACGGTTGGTTTGCAATGGCGCAAGTACTTTTCCTCCAGCCGCTGTTCAAGCTCTTGCACCAACCGCTCTCGGTCAGCAAGCGGAAGGCAATGATTGAATGATGGTCCCGGTGTTCTCAACATAATTGGTGGCGCCCGGGCGATTTTCAGCCCTACACTCATAGTCTCGCATCGGATGAGAAATAGGGTCATGTCCGTTGCCTCATCTCTTTCCGGTGGAGCGCTAATCATGTCTGGAAGGAGGTCGGCGTCGTTAACGTGAAGCGGAAGCCGTGTATCGAAGGCGAATCCGTGCACAATCGGCTCGTAGCCGTGATATTCGGATGAGCGGGTATCGAGGATACAGATATGCCACCACAGCCGCCGGCGTAGCTCAACTTCAAATGGGTTCAGCCCAAACGCAGTCCCATCACGATGGAGACCCATGGATTGCGCGATATGAAAGACAAGGGACGTCAGGGACCACGTTGTCCGCGAGTCATCCTCATTCCGCAGCGCTGACAAGTAGACCACGGCCGCTTGCAGGAGTATCATACTTTGCGTATTTAGCAGGTCAGCCCGAGCCAGGGCCTGCTCAACAGCAAATCGATACTTTTCTAGCGCAACTTCACGTGTTACGCCAAAAACATCCAAACATTGTTCGCCGCTGATGCTGATGACAGCTGAGTAATAGATAGCAAATAAGAGAGCTTCCATATTTTTGTCTAATATCGCCGGCGAAGCAATTGCATCCCAGTAGATACGGGACATGCTAGGCATGTGGAAGATGCGCACCATTGGTACCACATTCTCGGTAAAGAGTGAGTACAAGGTCACTGCCTGCGACAATGACGGGTGGAAGGACAATAACGAGGCTGCAATTGATCGAAAGCCGAGCATTGCAGCGCTTGATCCAACTGATGGAGATGTATCGGAAATTTCCTCGAATTGCAACATGTCCTCACAGTCCTCTTCGGCCGCAGGTGAAAGCAACAGATCACGAAGTTCATCAATCTAATGGACCGCGTTAATGACAAACGCGCATTTTGATCTCTTAAAAAAGTGTATGCATCGTATACCTCGTTCGCCAGACTAGCCCATAGCACATTGCTAAGGTAGTAACTCCCCGTTTTATCAATCATCAAACGACCCAGTTGCTTGTCAACTGGAGGGTTCCGGCTCGGGCTGCTGGAGGTTAACTTCTCCTCAGATCGACTCCCCTCACTCTGAGCAGCGTCTGTAGCTGAGGAGTCTGAGTTGGGGGCCATAGTAGATCCAGCTGTATCTACATGACTCCCTAGACTCTTGATGATTGACTCAAGGCGGGACAATCGCTCCCCCAGTTGGGTGTCCATAGCCTGCCTGGACCGCTTGGGGGCCCGGCCGCGACCAGAAGGATAGACACAAACATGTCTCGCTTCACTACAGCTCGAGCACGGCTTCTGTCGATCACATCTCACTTTTCGGCGCCGACACAACTCGCAGCTGCGCAGAACCGGGCGTGGAGGTTGCCGCGCCGAAGTCGTGGCCGTTAAATGGCCTGGGTAGAGTCCATTGTCCTTTGATGCTGGTGACAGACTCATTAAAGTATCTGCGGCAGTTGAAACCAGATGTCCAATTGTACACTTCGAGTGAATGCGATACAGCCGAGAAACCTAAGGCCGGACCTGTAATGGAGGTATTGCTTGTTCTTAGTATGATCTGAGTGGGTATAACCGATTAGTTGAAGACGCAAGTTGGGCAATAGTGGTCTATTTTGGATAAGAGGAAGATAAATGATAGCCTGTTCCTTATAATGGATTTAGACCCGATGCTCGCGAGCTATTCGGCGACGGATAAGCTTATGCGAGGCCGAAGTAGAGCACGTCTCCACAGGATTCTGGTATTGTTCTTTTGCTGATGTAGGCACTGAGTGACTACCATTCGATCGTCATAGATATTGAACAAGATTCTCCTAAATACCATACCTATTACCATAGAAAAGCTGGTCAGGATTAAAGGGTTGGTTTTATTGATGCGTTTGTGTTGATTGAAAGGACATTGTCTTCTGCTAGGCCAACTTGATCTGGAGCCATTCGGGGTTGATACATTGGTGTGAAGGGATAGTATACCTGAGGAGGTACCGGCAAGCACAATACATCGAAGATACTATCATTCGCAATGACAGCGTTAGAAGAGAGATACTTCAGAGTAGGGAGTAGTTACCCGTGAATGCTTCGATATCCTGGAGCCCGTATGGTAGAGACTACCCGAAAGGAACTAGCTTCCTTCCCTTATGCCTCAGGCACCAACATCCGCCAAGCCGACATCAAAAGTTCAAGCGGAACTCGAAGCATTTCGCAACGGATAGGCCAAAGTTCCAATTCGAGCAGTACAAGATGATCGTCCGGCAATTGTGTGTGCGGCAAAGTCAGTGATAACAGTCCATCGCTTCCAATCATATGCTATGAACTTCAATGCTAATTATCCTTCGCTGCAGGCCGCCAGCTTCTTGCTGCTAACCGACAGGCTCGCATTCTGAGTCGCTTTTCCTCGACCGAGACAACTATCGAGACCGCGGTGCAAACGCCCTTTAGAGAAGTGACAAATCAATCTATCAGTGTTGGCAAGGAGACAGAGTCAGTAAGCCGGTCGGCGAAGGATGCTTGGAGGAAGCGAGAAGTACAAAGTGAGCGCCATTGGACACTCCCGATCTAACCATCCAGCCTGTTGGGGTGTATTGACTGACGCGTGGTGATCGCAGAGCACAATTTCCGCGCCCTCGGAAGTGATGTATCAGTGGAATATCAACCAGAAGATCTCATCCGGAACCCTCCTCAGCCCTCCGATATCACCCTCGAATTGCTCCTCGCATCTCAAACCCACCTTGGTCACTCCACCTCCCGCTGGAACCCCCAGAATTCGCGCTACATCTTTGGTATCCGAGAAGGCGTTCATATTATCTCGCTCGATGTGACTGCCGCGCACTTACGACGTGCAGCCAAGGTCGTGGAAGAGGTTGCGGCTCGTGGTGGACTGATCCTCTTCGTCGGTACACGGAAGGGCCAGAAACGCGCGGTCGTCCGGGCCGCGGAGCTTGCCAAGGGATACCACATTTTTGAGCGATGGATCCCCGGCAGCTTGACCAACGGACAGCAGATTCTAGGCCACTGTGACATTAAGGTTGTGAACGTGCTGGATGAGGAATTGCCGCAGTTCAACGAGGCTCTGCCGGAACAGCCAGCCATCAAGCCCGACCTTGTCGTCTGCCTGAACCCCATCGAGAACGCCGTCCTGCTGCATGAGTGTGGACTGAACAACGTGCCAACTATCGGCATCATCGATACGGATGCCGACCCTACCCGTGTCACCTACCCCATTCCTGCGAACGACGACAGTTTGCGTGCCGTGTCGATCATTGCCGGTGTTCTGGGAAGAGCAGGCGAGGCCGGTCAAAAGCGAAGACTTGAGGAAGCGAAGCAGGGCAGGGTCTCCTACCGACTGACCCCGTTGAAGGAGATGGGCATCAAAGTTCCAGAGGATCAAGCCGAAGCCGCCGAAGGAAAGCAATGACGCGTCTGAGTTTTGTTCATCTTCTGGGATCTGTGTCTAAAGAGGCGAATTGCCATCAACAACAAAGGGATTGTATTGTATAGATTGTTGTAAAGTTCTCTCATTTCCTGGTGCTATCGCATGTGTATTAACAGCCTCAATTTAATTGGTTTGGAAAGCATTTCAGTCGCCCAATCTTCAAACCCTACAAGATGTATGCCTGTAGGCGAAAACTAAGACCAATAGCTCCTGCTTGAGGGAAGAAAGCGTTTGAGTCTATTGGAGGTCCTTGAATTGTACACCTATTTAGCCCCTGAAATAGCCTGCAGTGCCACTTACAGCTCCCTTTACTGGTGGTTTCTAAAAAGCAGAGGGACCTCAACGGAAATGAAACACGATCTGCTAGCTCTATAATCTTTCAAGGCGGATCTCCAACCTTTTATTACAAAGTAACTTATCCTAGGTCAATCTGTCCAAAATCTATATCATTTGGCTGGCACGGAGGCCACCAGGGCGAGTATCATTGTTCGTCATTCGATCATGTCCTATATAAAATAAATGCCCGGATACCGAGATGTAGAAGACCTCTATGAAAAGTTGAATGCTAAATAAGCTGCTGTACCATGACTTTTCCCCCTCATTCTTATGTTGAAATGAACGAGACCTGGATATCTAAAGACGCAAAATAACAGATGGTAAAACGACTAAGGAGGACCATTTCAACCCAATGCTCTCATGGTAAGTTCGACACTGCAAGAACATCAGTATGGTACTTCAGCGAAGACCGTTAAGGAAGGAGACATACACTGCAAATGTACCAGCAGACACCGGCATGGCTCTCAGCAGGGTGGGACCCAGACCCTTCCAGAAACCGCCGAATCCCTCTGCCGCGAAGGTCTTCTTGAAACAGTCGGTCATGCTCTTGTACTTCTGCTGAGCACCGAATCCGTCACACTGCATCTTACTCTTGACCACATCGAAGGGGTAGCTGCTCAGCCAAAGAACCTCACCAGCAAGGCCACCGTAGGTTGCGACCTTGAGGCTGGAGATCTCCTCGCGCTTGACGTTGTTGCGCTTGGCGTCCTGGTTCATCAGGTACTCAAAGGTCAGGAACCAGGTACCGTAGGCCTGGATTTCTCTGAGGTACGTCACGTTCTGGCCGCGGTAGAGACCGCGAAGCACACCTCCTTGAGCGCACAGCTTCCGGATGCAGTCGAGGGGCCCGCTGTACAGCCGACCCTCGCCGTGAGGCTGGGTCTGCAGGCGGATACGAACATGCTCAATGGGTCCCGAAAGGACGGAGTTGGTGATACCAGCGAAACCTCCAGCCATGTAGTACTGGCCATAGGAGAGGGTGGAATCGGCATACTTCTTCTTGTTGAGTTCCTCAAGTCGTCTTCGGGCTTCGTGGAAGGCGCCAAATTGTACGCTGACCTGTAAATTGTGAGTCATGCATGATTCGTATCCTTTCCTGGGCGATTTCCTCTTACGCAAGCACCAATACCGATCAAGGGTGTCAGCGTTCCCTTGTAGAAAGCCATAGGGCCCTCATTCTTGAAGATCTGAGTTGCGCAGTCGAGTGCACTCTTGTACTGGCTTGTTGTCTGTAACCGGACCTTGACAATATCTGCCGATCGTCAGACTGAAGGACCTGAAAGTCCTCTAAGATGAATTACCCACCAAAAGGTTGTCCTATAGATCGTTAGCACTAGTACAAGCACACAAGGATAAATATGTATACACACCAAGTAAAACCTGCGCAATGCCGCCCGCAGCACCAGCAGTCAAATCCTTCACTGTACGCAAAGCTCCCCCTCCCTTTTGCATATCCTCAAATGCCTCCGACTCCATCTTGGCGTGTGATTGCAACCCAATTGATCTGATGAGCAGATTCCGGAAATAATCGGAGTGGAGATTATCTACCAGAGGGTCGGCGCAGCGAGGGAGGATTCAAGAAAGTCCCAGGATCTCACCTTTCCTGGGAGATCGACTCGGCCTGCCAGGGGATTTTAAAGACACAATGATCTCTTATCGGAGCGGGATGGTGGAATCTCTCCACTGTAGCCCGCAAATCTGCGACTCCGATTCGGCGGAGACGCCGATGCACGTGATGCGGAGCGCGGGAAACCCCGTATCAAAACGCGTATTTGCCTTTACCTGTATGTACTTTGATGGTAATTGCGTATCGTCCGGAAATTTTGCCCCGAGGAAAACGTTCTGAGGTCAATGCAAGCAATCCTGGAGAGCGCGCAATCTCTTCCATCAAGCTATGCAGAGGCGGATTGTTCTTGAGGTGAGTCCGTCTGAGATTCTGAATCGCCAGCCTTGCCTTCTATTAACAGCCGTACAGCTATCTCGCCGCCATGGGCCCGAATGGTCGTGCCCAGCCAGGTCCAGAATCGCAACCTTTACTCCGACACTTTTTTACGTTCCCCGACGGAGCTTTCGTTCGTCCCTAGCATCCCTCGATTCGTCGTCTGAGCCTCCCTCCACACCAAACGCGAATGAAGATGGATCAGCATCTCGGCCGTCGTGGGGTGGTTCAAAGTTCGGTGGTGCTCGTTGGGGAGTAAAGCAGGCACAGAAACCGGTCGTATTGAGCCCTGCAGAGCAAGCGCTCCGTGATTCATTGGTAGCAAAGAAGAACGCCGAAGAGGAGGCACAGCGACAAAAACAGGAACAGGAGAATGCCGCGCGACGCAATAATACAAATAACCTCCGTCGGACGCTGAATACACATCAACCTGAGCGACGCCCGGGTTTCCAGAAGCGGCAGCCCGAAAAGAAGACCGAACAGAACCCTCGAAGAAATGGGCCAAACCTACGATCCATCGACTGGATTTGTCCTGCGTGCAACTACGACTGTTTCGGAAAGCACTCCATTTGCCCTCGCTGTGACACCCCGAGACCTGGTGTGGATGGGACCGCACACCAGGCGGCTCGTCGATCGATGCTGGCGGAGGACGTTCGCCGGACATGGCTAGGGGGAAACGCGAGCAAGATCCGAAAGTTGAAGCAAGTGTTCGATCATGAACCTGAGGCCCAAGAGTCGGCGCAGCCGACAACAAGGGCAGAGGATACCAGGGCCAAGGCTTTTGAGCAACATCTAGGCGCCAAGGGTTCCTTGCCCGAGTCATCTTCTGGATCAGAACAGAAGCCAGCGCAGCAAGGATCGGACCAGGCACAGGAAGCTTCAGAAGCGAGCGAAAAGCGACCCCAGGATCAAGAAGCAGGCAAATCGTCGAAAACAGTGGCCGATCCGTGGACATGGGATCAGTCCGCGTTGGAGAAACTTCAGCAGACTTACGACGCCGAGGTGCAACAGCCGCGGGAAGCTAAGAAAAAGGCAGGTCGCAAGCCTCGCGAAGCTGCGCTTGAGGATGAGGAGTTTGACCCAGAAGACGACCGACGCCGTCGCCGGGAGGACCGGAAACGCCAGAAGAAAGCAAAGGCTCGTCAGAAAGAGCTCGAGGCGGCAGCTCCCAGTCCTCTGTACCTTCCAGAATTCATCAGCGTCAGCAATCTTGCCGATGTTATTGGTGTGCGACCGGCCCAATTCGTTCAGAGAATGGAGGATATGGGCTTCGAGGACGTCTCGTACAACCATATCCTCGATGCAGAAACTGCGGGCCTGATCGCTAGCGAGTACAATTTTGAGCCGATCTTCGAGACGGGAGACCAGGACCTAACCGCTGCTCCCGAGCTTGAAGATAAGTCCCACCTACCGTCTCGACCGCCAGTAGTGACCATCATGGGCCACGTCGATCACGGCAAAACGACTATTCTGGACTGGCTTCGCAAATCGTCCGTCGCTGCATCCGAGCACGGGGGTATCACGCAACATATCGGTGCCTTCTCCGTAGCTATGCCTTCGGGCAAGACCATTACCTTCCTGGACACCCCTGGCCACGCAGCCTTTTTGGATATGCGCCGCCGTGGAGCCAATGTCACCGACATTGTTGTGCTGGTTGTTGCAGCGGATGACAGTGTCAAGCCCCAGACTATTGAGGCGATCAAGCACGCCACTGAATCTAACGTTCCGATTATCGTGGCGATGAGCAAGATTGACAGGGAAGGTATTAATACAGAAAAGGTCAAGCAAGACTTGTCCGTACATGGGGTTCACGTAGAGGACTACGGAGGCGATGTCCAGGCGATTGGTGTGAGTGGTAAAACTGGCCAGGGAATGCTGGAACTCGAGGAGGCCATTGTCACCCTCTCCGAGGTTCTTGATCACCGAGCCGACACTACTGGCACGGTTGAGGGCTGGGTGATTGAAGCCACCACGAAGAGCTATGGCCGTGTTGCGACGGCCCTGATCCGACGTGGCACTCTGCGACCGGGTGATATCATCGTTGCTGGTTCAACATGGGCTCGTGTTCGCACGCTGCGCAATGAGGCGGGTGTTGCGGTCCCCGAAGCTACTCCTGGCATGCCAGTGGAGATTGACGGCTGGAGAGAGCAGCCCTCTGCAGGCACTGAGATCATCCAGGCTGAGGACGAGCAGCACGCCAAGGAAGTTGTCAACTACCGGCAGGAGAAGTCGGATACTCAGAAACTGAGTGAAGATACAACCGCGATCAACGAAGCGCGTCGCGAACAGGTTGAAAAGCGCAGGCAGGAAGAAAGCGAAGGAGATGCGGCTTTCAATGCGAGCCAGTCTACCTCTGGCCCCAAGCCGGTGCATTTCATCATCAAGGCCGATGTGGGCGGTTCCGCCGAGGCTGTCTTGAACTCGGTGACGGCCATTGGCAACAACGAAGTATACCCCAATGTGCTTCGCTCCGAAGTTGGGCCTATCAGTGAGTTCGACATTGAGCATGCGGCTACAGCGAATGGCAACATTATTTCTTTCAACATGCCAATCGATCCACACATGTCGCGCATGGCGGAAATGCGCGGGGTCAAGATCATGGATCACAACATCATCTACAAGCTCATCGATGACGTTAAAGCGACTCTCAGCGAGGAGTTGGCGCCGTCAGTCACCCAGCGCGTCACGGGTGAAGCGGAGATTGGTCAGATCTTCGAGATCACGCTCAAGGGAAGAGAGAAGACCGCCATTGCGGGATGTAAGGTCCGCAACGGAGTGATTAACAGAGCCAGAAAGGTGCGGGTGTTGAGAGGACAGGAAACGATCTATGATGGTATGTTTTTGCTCCGGATTCTCCTGGATTCAAAGAAGCGATGACTGACATGGTTGCATATAGGCTCGATCACTTCTCTCAAGAACGTCAAGAAGGACGTGACCGAAATGCGCAAAGACACAGAATGCGGCATCGGCTTCGAGGGCTGGACCGACTTTGCAGTTGGCGACCACATTCAATGTTACGAGGAGATCTACGAAAAGAGATACCTCTAAGCATGTTCTCCTCTTCGTCCTCTTCGCCGCCGTTTCTTTCCTCTATCATCATGGCTTCAGGTTACTGTATTCTACTCGGCGCCGGTGATCCTTCCTTCTCTTCTCTTGTGCAAAATTAACCGGTCTCTTGGGTTCAGGCGGGTAAACAAGGATTTTGTGGGGAAAATGCATATGCTGAGAGATCTCTGATCTCGTTGTACAATAGGATATCATAGCTATATAGACTATCATCATGACCATAACTTCATGTCGTGATCGCATTACCCACATATAAGGTATCCAAAAAAAAAAAAATTCATCTTGCCTTCCAGCGCACTCTCCCCACCCACCTAGCCCAATCCTGCACATCCTCCCTCTCCAATATCCGATCAACGGTATAGTACTCCCTCGCCAGCTCCTCATTACTCGCCATCCGATGCACAAAGCTATGACACGCCCGGCACAGCCACGCAACACTGTTCAACATCCACTCCTCATGCCACCCCTTCTTGAGCACCTTCGCATGCACCCCGCGCGGGATCAGATGATGGTACGAGAGCGGGATCCAGTCCCGCTCGCAGATCTCGCAGGCGTCGGTGCGCGTGGACGCCCACACGGGCGGCGCGGCGGTCACGCTGCCCACGTACTCTGTGAGCACGGGGTTGAGGAAATCGGGCAGGTCAGCCGGGTCCGGGATCAGGCCGTAAACGGAGAGGGAGTCGGAGACGGAGACGGGGATGGTGGCGGTTAGGGACTCGAGAGTGGTGCGGGTGAGCGGCGGGGTGTATTTGTCTGCGAGGGCGGGGTCGTGCTGCACGGACGAGTAGGAGAGGGATTGCAGGTCTGCTGGGAGGGATGGGAAGGTTTCGGATGCGAGGAACTGGATTTTTTTTCCCCCTTGCTGTCAGTACAGTGCGTTTGGCGTGGAGTTTATATGTGGGTAGCAAAGTAGCCAGCAGTTGGGGGAGGGGGGGCAGCAGAAGGGGGAGGAGCTCATGCATCGATGAAATCAGCCACTTCCTCGGGATCTACCCGGGAGGGAAGCGAGGAGGAAGAAGAAGAAGAATAAGAGCTCGAGATCGATTCCCTAGTCTCACTAGCATCTTGTGCGTCTTTCCTAGTGCTGCGTTTGGACTTCTGGGCTCTGCGTTTCGGGGTCCTGCTGGGTCTGCGGTCATCCGATCTCTGCACAATGGCGCTGGAGAGACATTCCCGGAAGACTTCGTAATTACCCTGATCGCTGGTTCCGTGGGAGGTCATTGGGATACTGTAAGGGTACGACGGAAGATGTGTGTCATTCCTATGATCCCAACATGGTCATTGTGTATGACATGTTCTCCACTAGACTCGGGTGCTAAGTGGTGTTAAAGTTACTTATTCTCCGCAACTAAGAAGATGCTGGTGCTGGTAGGTTATGTAGGACCCATTTCACTCCATCAACAACAATTTCCGGCTGAGTCAACTGGATAAAGTGTCCACTCTCGGTGGCGAAGACAAGCTCGCTCTTCGTAGAGAGTTTCAAGAATTCCTTCATAAGACCCTCACTCTTCGCATCGACCGTCTTGATGAACTCTCTCACATAGCTCCTCTGCTCCTCGGTTCCGTTCCCTTTAGCAACGCCCGCCTTGTACAATCCACTCCAATCCCTGCTTCGTGTGCTCCCAATCACATAAACCGGTTTGTCTCCAACCAGTGGCTGCTTCTTACTCAGCTCCTTCTTCCGCAGCCTCTCGAAACTTGGCGTGTAGTGCTCGACATCCTCCTTGTGCGCGATCAGCTTGTGCTTCTCGGTTGTTTCCGCCGCCCTGAACGCGTCCCACTCCTCCTGCGTCAACTTGTGATTTGCCTCCACGCCCCGGGCAGAGTATGGCTCAACACCCGCGGCAACAGTCCAGAGAATTGGATCTTTCACGTTCAGCACCAGTGGCATTGTCTCATGGTTGGCGTCCACAAGCACCAGACCAGCGATTTGGTCGGTTCCCTTTAGGGCGATGTACTCGTGCGTGAGCACGCCGGCCCAGGAGTGCCCCACAAGGACCAGAGGGTTCGGGATGGGCGCCTTTTCGATCAGAAGGGAGAGCTCCAGAGCAATGTTCTCGGCCGAGGGAGCGAGCGGCGAGGACTCCGAGTTGTGATAGCCGGAACGGTCGTAAGTGTAGCTTCGCACCGAGGGCCCCAGCAGCCGCACCACGGCTTGCCAGTTTAGGGCATCGCTTGCCACACCCGAGATAAATAGTACGACGGGATCTTTGGAGCTACTGGGCTCTGGGCCGTGAGTGTAAAGAGCCAGAGAGTGAGTGCCGATGTTGACGAGGCGGCCGTTCCAAGGGAGGGTTGAGGAGGCCATTATTGGGGTGATGGTTCTATGAATTCTTAAGGTTTGTGATATTCAAGGCCGTTCACCAGCCGAACCAGTTGCAATATATCGCGGTATGAAGTGGCACAGTGATGGAGGGGTTCTCTGAGAGGTGGGAGCCTAAGAGGATGGCTAGTTGGCGCTTCATCTAGGTAGTAGGTACATCTTTAGACAAGCCCCTTGTACGTCCGTACCTGGACCCCGGCTTGGGCCAGCACTCCATGTAACGTGGTCTCACGTTCGTGATTTCATGTTTAGTTTGCGTTGCCTGCTGTGGTAGTATATTATTAAGCGAAGAGTTGTTGTTGATTTAAACATCGCCTTATGTAACAGGTACCTTGACTTGTCTGAGATTTTAGCCTGTGATACATGTATCTATGTCATAACCATTTGGACGTGGATGACGATGCAGCGCATCTTGCTCTATTAGATCTCGATCGTTTGTTATAATAGTAAGTTGAAACAGCAAAAGCGCCTACTGACTTGGTAACCGGCAGGCTCGAGTCATCGTCAGTGTATTATCTTAGGAAAGATTCGGATTCGGATTCAGATTTTCCCATTCATTGTTACCTCTAGTAGCGTCCAGGATGGCGCCATGATGAATGGTTGGATGCTCTCCAGGCCCTCCAGGCGTATTCGCCCAAGTTTCCGAGTGACAAGCTCATTGACTCTCTCTGGCGGACTCCACTCGCACAGGTACCAGCCAAAACGCATTGACCCCTGTCCCCTAGTCTCCTCGCTACGTGCTTCCTTTATGAAGTCCGCAGCCTTGCCGGTCTGAATCTGTAGAAGGGATTCCATCAGCCGGTTCTCTAGTATCTGCTGCATGGTGAGCAAGCAGGTGAGTTTCTATGTTTAAGGCCGCCATCGCCGTGGCCCTAAATGCTCCTGCGATGGTTCTTATTGCCCTTTTGTGAATCTAATTCAAGATCTGAAGTCGTTCTCGGTGGTGGTCGTTTGTCTGTTTTGAGTGTGTACCAGGCGGGGCACCCATAGAGGATTATCGGAATCACAACTGCTCGATAGATCCGGCGTAGCTGTGATCCTGTGTCAGTCCCGCTCCCCATGTGCTTCCTGCTAGCGTTGCCAGCGATGTCAGGAGAGAGGTTGCTTGCTTCTGGGCGTGCTTGATCTGTGCTTCCCATCTAAGTGCAGGGTCTAGAGTAATGCCTAAGTGTGTGGCATCGCGTGTGGGCTGGACCACTGTGTCTTTGATTCTCACTTCGTCTGTTGTGTTGAATCTTGCCCTGGGATCAGGTGAAGTGGATGAGCTGGTACTTTTGCTGGTGAGAACCTTGACCCGTGTGTCCTAGCTCACCTCTCTGCTCTTCGGTGTGCTTGTTCTAGCTTTTGGTAGTTTTGTTCTGCTGACGTGCTCCTGGTTAAAAAAAAAAAAAACATACATTGTTGATCCACCCTGCTGTTTGAATCTCTTGGCCTCCTGCTATCTCTAGGAGGTCTGCGTTGTAGAAGAGGTATAGGATTGGAGAGAGCGGAGAGCCTTGCGAAACCGCTCCTAGAAGGATGTGTCACCTGATTTATGTCATGGGACAGATACGCAAAGGACGACTTCACAAGAATGTCGTATATCTTTCGTAGCGGTGCCCCATGCGCGATTGGAATTCGTTCGGAACTGCAGAGGTGGAAGCTGAGCCGTCGCCGCCGCTTGTTATGGAGATTTGACATCATCGCTATCTATTGCCCCTGTTGGGTGCTTCATATTGAGACGCTACCTATGAGCATATCTGTAGTAGTATCTGCTGTGAATCCATACGAATTGTGACTAGCATAGCCTCTCGACCAAGCAATTCATCTTCGTTTCGCAATGGCGGGAAGAGAAATCGTCATAGCTATGGACCTCTACGGCAGCCTCCTCTCCCCAGACACCGTCGCTCAGGAGCTGGAACTATATTATGAGAAACCCAAGGCCTACAAGATCTCGACAACATGGAGACAACGGCAGCTGGAATATACATGGAAATTAAATAGCATGGGTAATTTTGCTCCTCCATGGTCTACGGCTACGCAACAAGACTGATGGACTCCAGGTCGCTTCATGCCCTTCCCAGATGTGACAAAGAACGCCCTCCTGCAGGCTCTAGCAGAAGCCGGGTCGGATATGGGCAGTGCTGATCTTCCCAACCTAATGAATATGTATGACAGCATGGAAGCCTGGGAAGACGTAAACGACGGTTTCAGGCAATTGGCCGGTGTCCCTAACTTCAAAGTGGTCATCATCTCGAATGGAACCCATGCAATGGTGTCGAAGGGAATTCTGCGCTCAAAAGACCTTGCCGTCCATGCAGATAGCATCAAAGAAATCATTTGTGCAGACGAGGTCCAGCAGTTCAAGCCGTCCCCAGCAATCTACAAGCGTTTGGCAGAGAGAGTCGGAAAGACCGATGCAATGAAAGACGTTTGGATGGTCAGTAGCGATACCTTTGATATCACAGGGGCATTGTGCATGGGAATGAGCGCCATCTTCCTCGATCGCCGGAATACTGGCTGGATAGACAAGACAATCCCTGAAATAGAGCCCACAGGCGTGTTGAGCAGTCTTAGTCAGGTCGCCGACTTTATCAGCAGCCACTACAAGATATATGGTGGGATATAGACCGCGCCAGTTTGCTGCATATATGTGTATATTTCTAATGTGCGTGGTTGGTTTCATTTCAAGCGGCCGGAAAATTCAGCTTAAGAATGCAAAAAGGGTGATGTATGCTGTCAATATTTCCAAACGCTCCACGAGAATAAGAAGGATTTGGGGTAAGTCAGCGAGTTCATCTCTCCTCCTATTTCCCCTCCAGGATCCATTGAAGAAATATTGAATATTGGAGTGAATAAGGAGGATGATCAGTTTAATATGGAAGAAGAAGAAAAAGAGAAGGAAATGCGGGAAGAAATTTCTGGTTTTTATAGCGGTGATCACGCCGCTTATCGATAAGGCCGCTGGTTCTTGGCGTGTTTATTTGTCCGGCAACATAGCATCATTTCTACTTTGTAGTCGTCCTCCTCCTCCTCCTCTTTCCTTCTTCTGCTCATCATAGTCGATCAGTCTTAGCCTTCGGCTGGCGTTCTTCGTTCTTGATCCAGTCGCCATGTCTCGTTTGTGGGACGTTAGCAAAGCCGCTTGGTTGTACCCCTTTCGAGTACGTGTCTCATCTCTATACAAAATACTATGCTGCCTATGGAAACCAGTTTAGCTGACTTCGTTTACGGTTCAATAGGGAATCTATTATTTCTCGAGGCATCGGTTTCTATGGCCTCTGCTTCGAGCGCGTCTGATCCCAATCGTTCTACTTTCCGCCTTCATCTATGTTAATCTCTTCCTATTCACGTACTTACCGCAAGTTGCCTTTCTCGCAATCTTTCAGGGCGCCGGCGCCTGGGTTAATGGTGCATTCCTCGTCCTTGGAGAGGGAGCTGCCATTGTAGCTGCACTGTTCGAGGCCTTCTTTGTCGACGAAAGTCTGGTGGACATCTTCGACGCCGTACTCGTGAATGAGGGCCACGCCGAGCTCGTCACCACGTCCAGAGTCTTCTATCCCCAAGGCGATGACGTCGTCAAACGCCTGGGTAAACCCACGCACAGCGCGGTTTATTCCCCTTTCTCTCTACGGCAAATTGTCGAGTTTGTTATGCTATTACCTCTGAACTTCATTCCTATCGCAGGAACTCCGATGTTCCTCCTCCTGACTGGTTATCGAGCGGGACCATTTCATCATTGGCGGTATTTCAAATTGCTGGACCTCTCGAAGAAGCAGAGAAAGGAATGGGTTCGTTGGCGGCAGCTGCAGTACACTAGGTATATCGCTCCCATACCCTTCTAGAAGCAGGGTTTCTGACTTGGCCGTAGTTTTGGAACAATCGCTCTTATTCTGCAACTGATCCCTGTTCTGTCGATGTTCTTTCTCATGACGACTGCAGCTGGGTCTGCTCTCTGGGCTAGTGAGATTGAGAACAAACGGCTCACTCAACAAGAACGACTCGACAGCACCCTTGATCCTTATCACGATGATGGTGATGTTTGATTGATACTCTTGCTCCTTTGGTGTTTAGAAGGAATTTTACGGAATATATATACACGGCTGCCACAGCGTTTTGCGGGTTTTCGATGATTCATGGCTGATGGATATGATTGACACAAATAAAACCCTTCAATGACTCCTGATGATTTGCATTGACGAGATCTCAATTATAATCCAAAAGTTCGATAGCTGAATTGTCATGATTGTACGGAGTACACTGCCGTAATATGTGGAGAGCGGAATCACGTGACCGAGCCAAAGATGACTTTCATCAGCAAAGCGATGGATGGCGGCCACCAAGCATCTGGTGGAAACCTACCAGCTATAAGAATTAAGCATTGTTCACTCATCAAGAGTGTCTTTCAAGACTGTGAGTCAGTGATAGGCTCTAGCATTGTCAGTCTTGGCTCTGATCGCTCCATTTGGTGGACACTTGGCTGAACCGATATCGCCTCCCACTCTCGGGTAGCCGTACTATCAGACTCCCCGAGTGTCCAGCCCGACTCCTCGACCGTTATGGGGTTTTCAGTGCTGGTCTAAATCAACCCTAAGAACCATGCCTTTGCTGCCAAGCGTAGCGTCCGCGTATTCTTGTGCTTACCATTGAACCGTCATTCTTTTCCCCCTCTCCACTGTACTGTGAGGCCTTCCATCCACGGTCCACCGGGCGACGGTGACTTCTGTGGCAGCGATTTTAATTTGGCCAGCTTCAGAGTCTTCGGGGAGTACGCGAAAACACTGAGGATATATCCAATTATTCCCTCTACTATATGACTACCTGGGAACTTCTGTCCCTGACGACTCTGATTCCAGGATTCAACATCTGCACTTGCATGTACCATAGCATGGTCAGCTGGAGGCCCCCCTTCAGCACTTGTCAATATTGGCTGTCGATACCCTGAAATCTGGTTCGAGGCATGGAAATAGTTATCATTCCACTCACATATGCCAATGGATCATAAAACCAGACTGAGAAAAGCATGTGATGCTTGTAGTATACGCAAAGTCAAGGTAAGTCGTCCCCTCATATTTGAATGACGTCCAGCTAATCGATCGGCTAAAGTGTGATACAAGTGGACCGCCTTGTCGATCATGCGCAAGTTTGGATATCCCTTGCACATATGAAAGACCAAGCAGGCGTCGAGGTCCTCCCAACCGCCATGCGGAGGCGTTGAAGAAACAGAGACTAGGGACTACTCCTACGGCTCCTAGTGCTGCATCTCCTCCTAGCCCCTCGGACTCTGGTCCCACGATTCCACAACCACCGGTGGTGAGCCAGAACCTGTCACCCAACTCGGTTCCCACTTCAGCAGAATCCATCTGTCCTTTGCCCACTGTGCGGCTGCTGATTGACGATTTTTTCACATATATCCACCCCTTGGTCCCGATCCCTCATGAACCCACGTTTCGTGCTGCCTTCGAGCGACGTGAGGATGCCAGTAATCCTACGTTCCTAGCCCTTCTAGCCTCGATGATCGGGAGTCTAGTGGTATCTTTTCCGAGGAGACCGAAGCTGCATCTCAAGACGGAAGCGGAAAAGACGGCATTCCCGCACTCTATGGCATTGGCCAAACGGTGTCATGACGTTGCTGTCCAAGCCCGAGGTTCTGGCTACCTTGACCGGAGTGCCACCGTCTACGATGCGGCCATCAGCTACTTTCTATGTCTTTGCTCAGGATACGTGTACAACTTTCGACGGTGTAGGGTTTATCTTGCAGAATGCCGGACGATGTTGCAGGTGTATGATCTCTGCCGCCAGTCGACTCTACTGCCGTCATTGGGCCCAACCAGCCCGAACCCTTCTTCATCGTCCATATCACAGGATTCACAGGGCGGTTCCACCGAGCGCCTGGTCGACTTGATCGAACAAGAACTCGCACGACGGTTGTTCTATGTAACGTTTGTCGGTTACTGTTCCTTGCGGCAGATGGGCGCTACTGATAACCCAATCTATGTTCCACCGGAAACTCCGACTGAACGCCACCCGCCGCTGCCACTCGAGGTGGACGACGAATTCATTTTTAAGACACACGTGGAACCTCAGCCAGCTGATCGAGTTTCCCTATTAGTGGGATTTAATGCCAACGTTCGCGTCTTCAGCTCAACTAACTCCTTGTCGGCCTGGGAAATCGCGTTCGGCAGCGGACAAATCTTCGACTGGGACCGGCAACGGTTACTTCTCTTTGAATGTCTGCACAAGGCTAAAGCAGCCCTGGCCAATGTGCCTCCGGAGCTCTCGCTTCACATTCGGAATGAAGTCTCGAATGGAGACGGGGACCTCCATCTTCGCGAACAGCGCAACATTCAATACGAGATTCAGAAGGCTAATATTTATGCCAGTCAACTGGGGACCCGGTCATACTTGGTTGAAAAGTATTGGAGTCTCTATGAAGCGTGGAAAATGTATCACCAGTCATCTGACCAGGGGCTCAAGTCCCCGGTTGAAGCTGAGGGAGTCACATCTGAAGGGATCGACGATGCCGCTCAGAATGACTACATCGGCAAGACGATGGCGGAGGAGCGTCGGCTCGTCATACGCGATTTGCTCGTGCTGCTACAATCCATCAACGAGGTCAACATGGAGCCCAATGGCGTCAGCTTTGTACGCACTCCTTGCTTGTCCTTCCTATCGCCATTGCTAACTGTTCTAGACCGGCAAAGTCCGCCAAGTCGCATCGACTCTCCTCAACCTCCCTCAGTCTAACACGGAGACTACCTCCGCAATTGCTACTCCGGGCCCCAACCCCATCACCCTCGCCGAGGCGGAATCGTATCTCCATGCCTTCATTGACCATCTCATCCGATTAGAGGGCCTCGCGGCTCCAACCCCAGGCACGGCGGGAGCGTTCCCGCACGTACAAGGCCGCGCGATGAGCTATCTGAGTGATCAAACGCAGGAAGAAGAAGACTTGCACGAGTGGGCGAGTCTCAAGGCCTACCAGGCGAAGTTCGCTGAGGCAGGTGGGGTTCTCTCTGAATTATGAACGTGTCCTTCTCAAGGGTGGGCTCTCTATATGAAAATCACTGTATATAATAAATGTATGCATTAGGTAGAATATTTGTTTTGAATACATCCGCTATCTCCATCCATCTCACAGATACAGCCGTCCTTCCAATCGAGATTAATTCCACTTTCCCCCTCCTCTCTCCGAATACAACGAAAATCAAGATCTCGGGGTAGTCGTCACAGTCTGCCTCTCTGTCTCCGTCACAGTCACCGTGCTCGTCTCTCGCTCCGTCTTAGTCATGGTCGAAATCACCGTAGCCGTCACGGTAACCGGCCCCTGCGTAACAGGCACAATCGACAGCTGCGCGATTCCCGCATCCCAGAGCGAGGTCTCCGCGGCGACTGGCGCAGCCGTAGCCGTAGCAGTGGATTCCCTATCCCCCGGGTCGACGGGAGTCGTCACCGTCGCAGTAGTCACAGCAGCAGATGGCGGCGGAGAAGCAGTTTCTTGGACAACCACGATCACGCTCTTTGTTACCGTCGAGGTGGCATGGATGGCTGTTACCTCTTCCTCCGTGGGAGAGGCGGGTGCCGGGGTCTTGTTTGTGTTTGTGTTGGTGTCTGGTTGCGGGGCTTGTTTTGCGGGTGCGGTAGGGGGAGATGCGTGGGTATCTGCTGGGGCCGTGCTGGGCTCTGTCGGTTCAGGCCCAGGCTCTGGGGTAGGTATGGATGTAGCTGTTGGCATTGTAGCTGGCGGTGGTGAATCCTGGGTGACGAAGACGATGACGGGGGTTACGACGGATGTATATGCGGGCTCTGGGAGCGAGGTGTGGAGTTCTCTGTTCGATGCTTCGCTTGGGGAGGCTGGTGCTTCTGTCACCGTCACGGGGGAGGTGCTATCGTGTGTTGCTGGGGTGCTTTGCTCAGGCTCGGGGAGGGAGGTGTGGAGCTGGCTGCTTGAGGTTTCGCTAGGTGATGTGGGTGTCACTAGCTCCGCGACGGAGGTAGCTGCGCGGTGTCCTGGGGGTGTGCTGTGCTCGCTTTCGGTAGGATTGCCAGATGCATTCGGTGAGGTAGCTGTAGCGGAAGAGGAAGATATAGTGTCGACTAGTGTAGGAGAAGGAGGGGAGTCGGTTGTATCAGCGTCGGGCAGGTCTCCTACCACGCCCACGGTAACGGAAGCTGTAGCCAGGTTGATGCTGGATGCAGCACTTTGAGTGGCAGCGGTTGGGCTTGAGGACGTGTTCGGAAGGTCCTGGGAGGCGTCTCTTGTTGTTGAACTGGTTTTGATGGCGGGGACTGAGCTTGGTGCTGTAGGCCCCGGTAGATTTGCAGAGAAGACGCTGTAGGGTGTGGAGCTGGAGCTAGAGCCGGAGCCGGAGCTAGATGGAATGACTGCGTTAGATTTGCTCGATGAGGATGAAGTAGCTATGGATGTGGCCGCAGTATGTGTCTCGCTCGGGGTTGTCATAGAGGATGTAGACACAGATCGTGTTTCGCCCGAAGGTTTTACAGATTCACCAGATGCAACTGGCGAGGACGAAGGAGACGTGGACACGAGCACGGACGCAGATGGAGATGCATATGCGGGATGTGTCTCACTCGGAGCCGTCACAGCTTCGCCAGAAGCAGAAGGTGTATCACCCAGTAGTGTCATAGGTTCCCCAGATGCAGTCGGCGAGGACGAAGACTCCTCTATCGCCTGCGTGCTATGAGCAGTCGGTGATGGCGTGAAAGGAACAACATTGAGCCCACCACCGCCCTCCTCCGAAGCTGCAGGAACATGTACCTGATCAGAAACGATGGGAGATGCTCCGGGAAACGCAGTTGGTTCGACGTCGTGAGTAGGACTGGACGATTGATCCCGAATCCGGAGAGCAGAATGAGCGATCGGACCAGCCGAGCAGGAGGTGAGAAGTGCAAAGGCGATGGTCAGGCGAAGAAAATGCATTTTGCAGAATCAGCGGTAAAGATTGATTATCGAGAAGCAACAGTAGTATCAAAGAGAATCTGGTATATATGGAAATGGAAACGATCTAGAAAGAACGAAGGGACGTGTCGACAAGACAGCGATAGGTGGTATTAGATGCGCATAATGAACAAATAACAAAAGAATAGCAGAGAATGTGAAGAAAAATCTAGGGAATGAGTAGGATGTCAGTAAAGCAGAGACCCAAGGAGCATTTTCCTACCTTATAAACAAGCAGCACAAAGCATTGACAGCTTCCACGACCAGGATCCATCTGGGCTGCAGAAAGTCTGGACCGGGGCTACTGTGCGCGAGGCTCTCACTGGTCGATCTGGCGTTGCAGAAGAATGGATACATACCAAAAGCAATATTTTTGGATATCGTCTTGTCTCAATGCTCGATGTGAAAGAGAAGTGGTTGGTGGATGAGACAAGGATGAAATGGCGCGCGACAAGAAGCGCCGGCGACGATGTTGCAGGACGCGCCGGTGCGGGTGTCAACAGCCATTGATTGGCAATGGTGTTTGACAGGGTCTTTTACAAAGAAATCAATCATTTTAAAACCGTTGGGTTGGGTGAAAGGCAGACGTACTCTGAGGAATGGTTTGTTGTTAAGGAGAAGTCTTAAGCTAAGGGTTGACATCTATGCTCTGGTGGGAGCAATGAGAAGGCAGTGATATAATGGAGTCCAAGACCAGTAGATTCATTCCTGTGACTCATTACTATTGATAGACTCTTCCTGCATCATTACTCTGATATCCACACGCTGTACGGGCGCTCAATTGGTTGCAACGGTAAAAGACTTTCCAATCCCTTCAAACGACTTGATCTTGCCTTGGACGTTCTTCGAATCACCATAATAATGAAAACGATACGTTCCGGCCTGGAGAGCATTCGGATTGTCCAGATTGTAATAGTCATCCTCAATCTGCCACTCAAGTGTGACCTCGCTGTATCCCAATACACCATTGGTTCGTTTCCAATGGTACATCAGGTTCCAATCATTGTCTGTACGCACGGTCTCCCATTTGCCCGTGTCAGGGTTCTGTCGTTCGACCGCTGCAAACGTGGATCCCTGGCGCAGGTTGTTCCGCGGGTTGGCTCCGACGAATGTCGTGCTCGCTGTCTCGCCGGGCTTGTATGTAGTCTTACTAACCGTCGAGACCACGTCGCCAAACGATTTGCCGATCGGAGCGTTGTCATATACAACACCCGGGATGAATGTCAACGATTTGTCGGTGTTGATGGGTGGCTGCAACCCCGAGGGCATCTGGGGGAGAGTGGCAACGTCAGGCGAATCGCCGAGGTACGGGAGATATGAGAGAGTCAGGTTGATATATGCAGCGAGTGTATTGGGTCCGTAAAGTGTCGAAGCACCCTCATAGCGTTGTATACTGTACTCTTCCTCTGTAGCGACGTAATGTGCGTAGCTATTTGACGGAGCGCCCAAGACAACCAAGGGGTTCTTGATCGAAAGCACATCTTTGGCCGACTTGGCAACTGCTTCCTTCCAGCGTCGCCCGGACATGGTAGTCGCTTCACTAGTGGAGATGATTATTAACAACTGACCCACCCGCAGGACCTGGATGTCCACGATGTTTGGCTCCCACGGATACGGCTCTTTGTTGGCTCCCACATCCAAGAGGATGCTCTTGGGCGCCTGGCACTCTCGCTGCTCCTTTGACGGCTGATGGATAAACGCGCGAGCAACGTACCACAATGGGTTAGAATTTGCGGGCCCGGAGCTGTTCTGCGTGAAGTCGAACATACCAGGACCGTCGGTTGTGCCGCCTGCAAAAGAGAAGCCCAGTGATGCAGAACATGTAGTCAGCATGCTAGAATTGAACGGAGACTGGAAAGTATAGCCTGCAAGATCGCGGTAGGCGTGGAAGGCACGGACATTCGAGCTTCCAGTGACTTGAGTTGGGTTGGCGTCTATCTGGCTATACAGCTTCTTCGCTGCCGAGTACTGCAGGCGCCCAATCTCGAAGCAGCTTTTGGCTCCATTGTCCTTTTCGCGGAAGAAGGGCCCGCGACCGTGGCAGTCCTCAGTTTTACCACCACAGGTGCTGTCCGTATAGCGGCACATCTGCTCGGACCCATCCTCACACCATGCACCCAGCACATTTGGGCTGGTATCCCCAACATTCGACTGGGAGAATCCGGCGACAAAGTTATCAGCAAACTTGCCATCGTCCTGGACGCTTCGCTCAAAAAGCCAGGCAGCAACGCCTTTGTTGTCGCCAGTGACCAGAGTATTGTTGTTATACATGGATGTGCCGTGTACGGGGAAGAAGGTGAGAATGGCGGTTGTCTTGTTGTCCGACTCTCTGTCGAACCGCAAGAGAGTCATGGTCTTGTCCACGTTTGCCGAATAGCGTGCTTTTTCGTCTTCGGGATTAGCATCGTACGAGTAAGGACTCCGATTGATGTTCGCATTCTCAATATCGATCGATCCAAAGCTCAAGCGACCTGGCGCCAGGCTCTCGTGGGCCCGTTGGATAGAGAGGACCACGCCGTCAACAATGGCCTGATAACTCTGCTTATCGAATCCCTTGCTGGGGATCTGTGGGAGAAGATAGTTCATCCAAGCGCCTGGCCCTGAATGAGAGTGCGTCCCAGTCAAGGCAACGTTGCGCTCGCCGTATCGCGCATAGTCACCCCCTAGCTTTGCGAGCGCCTCGAGCACTCCATGCCGCACCGCAGTGTCGCCCGTCAGCGCGTCAATAACCAGATAGATTGAAGTGTCATCTGGTTGATCGGGGTTGGCAACAATGAAGGCTCGAGAATAAATTCTCTGTCGTAGACCAGTGCCGATCTGTTCCAGCATAGCATAACCACCAAATGCCACCTCTACCACGGGGCTACTCTAAGGTCAGCGTCTTCATCAATGCCCTTACAGGGTGAATCCAGGCTTAAATACCCCGTAATATCAGCTTTCCCAGCTCCTAGTAAGAAAACATCATCAGACACTGGATCTGCCGCTCTTTGTTCCCATTTCGATGATTGCTTTTCCACAGAGTCGAAACTAGGTGGTGGATTGTACGTCTGAACGATAGAAAGCAGCTGTAACAATACCAGTGCCGTCACCAGGGTTCCAGCAAAAGCGACTCCGATCTTGAAGTTCGCCATGCTTAGAATGAAGCAGTGGGAAATCCTAGACTTGATGAGAATCGGTTACTCAAGCCGTGATGACATCAGAAAGTATGCTGAATGGTCCCTGCGGACTGTACTTGCAGCGTTCCAAAAGGGGAACTTACGAACGCCCTTCTTATCTATCCATCGAATCTCATCTTCATCGACAAGCGAGGATCAGGAACAGGGTTTTCAGACGCCCATCAGACAGCGACATAGCGCATGACCTTGATGCTGGTGCCCAAATAAAAGCGCTGCAGTAGATAGATAGACAGAAGGTAGCATCGCTTGGAGCCGTCATGTTGATGTGAAGTCGTCATCCGCCACTAGACTCGATCGGGGAGTTATGCTCCAATCCCCGCGCAGAATTGACACTCCGATATTCCGTGCTCAGGCAGGGAATGGGACTATTGATGAGTTAGTGGTGCTGATCATTGGTGATGTTGCGAGTATCCTAGCAGAGCGGATGGTTCATGGTTGATATTTGGACTGCGGAGGTGGCTGACATGAGCTTGTTACAGTATGTACTTCCGACATTGATGGGCTCGGAGCTTTTCATTTATATTGGCTTTATGAAATGTGAATGTAACATATAGCAGAAAGGTATTATCCAGTCGATACAATTCTAAAGCACTGGCGTATTATCCTCCTGTGTAAAGGTGGTGCTCCTTGCAAGGTATGTAGCTCTAGCCTCAACGACAAGGCCATATCCTTGTATGTCTGAAGAAGCGATGTATCAAGGCTCTGTAGCTAAGCACTTATCTCAAATGCAAACTACAATTATGCCAGCAGTAAAGAACATGCACGGGTCCATGAATGCCTCGCCCCAGGCGCTCATTCAGCTCAGTCACCTTCGCGACGTAGGCCACCACCACGCCACGCATGAACAATTTGCATAGTCAATCAACAACAAAGTAAAGCCCGAGTAGCATAGTGAATCAGCGCCTGCGCATTTCTGAGCAAAGCCCAGGTTCTGTGCAGCTGTACCTGATGCAGCCGGGGTCCCGGTCGAGCCCACTTTTGCTCACTTCCACAAAAGTAACATAACAAGGAGCGAGGGAGGGACTGCCACAAAGAGTCCGCCTTGCTATCGGTCTCTCTAAAGACATGAGACTGGGTGAAAGAGAGAGAAGACTAGGAAGGAGACTGTATACAACCCTCCCTCCATTCGTCTCGCTTTTCACGATCCTGTTTCTCTTCTTTTCATCTTGCAGAAGTAGGCGAGCGCCACGGCATCATCTCCTTTGCAGTCGTACTTGACAGACACATGGCGGTAGCTAGCGCAGGCTCATCACATCGCTGCATGGTGAATAATGCGGGGTCAACAGCATCAAATTGCATCTGATACCGCGGTTGACTTTGAGCTATCGACGCCAACTCGCACTGATGCAATGATTTGTAGCAGCTGCGCAGGAAGTGAATCCGCGGGCCTCAGTACAATGCAGCAAGACTCGAATACTCAAGCACCTTCATCGGGATCGATGTGAATTCCTTGATCAGCAATCTAGGCGAAGGTAAGAGAGGATCAAACCTCGCATTCATTTCCCGACTTGTAGATACCAACGTCCTGCTGACTGGGGTAAATATAGACCGGGATTTCCTCACTGATGCATGACGCGGTGCAATATAGCTTCTGATACCCTGTGCTCTCAAAGCCAATGAAAGCCATCTCGGAGGGTTGTCAAAAAAGACCTGCTTGACATACTCCGGATGCTTCCTGGTCAACCGCAACCAGTTCCAGATACAATCCAGTAAACCATCTGCAAGATGTTGTAATCGCTATCAGCAAAGAAACGCTGCAGAAATCAAACTCGAGGTAAATAGTAAAATAGAGATGAGTAGCGATTGTTGGAGCAATGCATGGCTGGTCTGTTCGGAAACAACAACGCTGAGTAAGCAGATATAATTCCACCGCCCCGAAACGCAGCAAAAGATGTTGTCGCATACAACCCATCTCATCTCGTCTTATCCTTATCACGAACAAAAAAAAAAGCTTAAACCACAATTCTATCCTGTACTTCATACGAAAGATAATAAGATAATTCTATTCAAAATGCCCGTCATCAACGAATCGCACGACTCCCTCCCCTGTAAGTCCCCCCCGATCCGCAGAAGCCAACCAGCTCTAACCACCCTCCAGACATCGACGCAGAGCCATCAGCCCAAGCACGCGCCGCCGCACAGCACCTCATCACCTCCGAACTCTCCCCAGATCACGCCTCAACCCTCCACCCGGCAATCCCCTCGCTCCCTACCCCACGCTTCACCCCGCTCATGCAGCAGGAGCTCGACCGCAAAGCCGCCGGGCAGCCGCTAACGGGGGGGATCGACCTGATGCGGTACGAGGCGCCAGAGCCACCCGCGCAGGCAGGCGAGGGCGAGACGCCGGATCTGGACGAGTGGCGACGCACGTTGCGCAAGGCGTACACGGCCAGCTCGCATCTGTCGATGCGGCACGAGAACCTGGCGCTGCTGGAGGAGTTTGGTAAGAACGCGTGGCTGGTGGGGAATTCGCAGCTGGAGGAGATCCTGCGCGGGCTGGAGAAGGAGCTGGCGGAGACGAAGGAGGCGGCGGAGGCGGTGAATAAGCAGCGGAAGAGCGCGCAGGAGGCGAGTCGTGGGGAGATGGTTGGGTTGGAGGAGACGTGGAAGCGCGGGGTGGGCGCGGTGCTGGATGTGGAGTTAGTATCGGAGGGATTGCGGTTGCAGGTGCTGGAGAGGAGGCGGCAGCTTGCGCAGCAGCAGGCGCGGTAGGAGGGGGGCGTGTGGGTGTTGGTGTTTGGATCCAACCAACCGACCGGTCAGGGTGTTACACCGGCGCTGTGCATGAATTGAGATTGGGAGACACGGATCTCGCCCCCCTAACCCTTTACATATGATGTCTAGCAGGTGAGAATATAGGCTTGGGCGCAATGGTCATCTAACGGACTCATTCCCGCTCCAAGCTGGTGGTCCGACGATCGCAGGCTATTCGAGTCATGTCTGCGAAACGCAGAATCAGCATGTCGCTCTCGACCAGTCCGATCATCAGAGAATAGGGTGCCACCGCTTCGGCAGTATTGCATTGGTACCACGATCTGTGCATGCCGATGCCAGTCGACCATGCCGATTCGTTCCCAGATCAGCTCAATCACTGATGGAGGGATACGAAGTTCCTGGTCAATTCTGTCGGCCTCCACGTACAATCCATCTAATCGGAATAATACCATTATCATGTCCTTGAAATAAGGTTGCATGCTGCGCTGCCACTCGGAGAATTATACCCACTCATACAGCGTAATGCAAGCGGGCTGATAGATCCCGAACACGTAACCGAAGTACACTATAGAAGTACAAATAGTAATGCGAAGCAGCAAGTCAGACCTATTTAAATAAAATAATTAAGCAGACTGAATATTTTGTCTGAACCACCCAGCTAATCTTACAAGTATAGTCACTATAGCTTCTTCTGCGGCACGACTATATCCACATCCACCCCATCATCTGGAACATACACGATCCCCTTCTTCTCGACCGCACCTACTGTACCATTCTTGGCATTCTGGTTCCACTCCACCAGCTGCTTACACAATCCTTCCAGGGTGGTGATGGGGGCCTTGTAGCCGAGTCCACCTTGCGCCAGCGCGAGGCGCGCGCGCGAGTCATCGGCGATGGTATGCACGCTCGAGACGGCAAAGAGCGCGGGCTGCAGCTGGGCGAGGTCGCCGGTGAGCCTGGGGAGGAGGCGAGGGAAGTAGACGTGCTGGATGAGAGAGTAGCACTCGATGACCAGGGAGAGGAGGTAGAACGGGACGGGTGGAACGCGGGAAAACTTGATGGGGGTTTCGGCGAGGGTGGTGAGCAAGAGATAAATGTCGCTGAAGGCGATAGCAGGGTTCGGGTCTGTGACGACGAAGGACTGGCCGCCGATGTTGGGCAAGGAGGCTGGGGACGCAGTGTGTTCGATGAGGCGCTGTTCGTAGAGAAGGTGTGCAACGGAGACGTTTTCGGCGTTGACGAAGCTTTGAATGACGCGGTGTGTCCAACTTTGTGTCTGTTAGCATTTCCACGTGCCATACTGGGAATTTCTGTACATACGTCGGGGTCCCGCCTGTTCTCAAGTACATTCCTGTGACCGTGGCACTGGTATCGTCGCCGATGCCATAGATGCCGTTCGTAGGTCGGATGCAGCCGGTCCGGAAATTCGAATCGAGGTCGTCGGCCTCACGAACAATCTTCTCTGCCTCCGCTTTGGACACGGCGTAGTTGCCGAAGAATTCGTCGTGTTTCTTCGGCTGAGGTGTCGAATCACCGAGGATCTGGACGATCTGATCTGGCCACTTTTTCCAGGGAGCCGTCCAAAATGACGGACGGTGGATTCCAACCGACCCCGACGAGGTCGACACGAAACAGCTTGCCCCGTGCTCTTTGGCCGCGTTGAGTACATTCCGGGTGCCATTGACGTTGACATTCATACAGAGAGGGAGGAAGGCTTTGTGCCGATCCCCGGGCCTGATTATGGCTGCATTGTGAAAGACAGTCAACGGGAGGTTGGCGACATCCTCCGGCCAGGGTTGCGCAAAAGCTGCCCGCACGACTTTTTCATCCGTGATATCGGTCTGGACATAAGCCACGCCTTGATCAAGGATCTGCTGTTGGGGAGAATGAAGATCTAGAATACGGATGGCAGCCGGGCTTTCGCCACGAGCAAGAAGGTGTGTTACAATCCAGTTGCCGACGAGGCCTGTAATGATTAGAGTCGGTCTTAGGGTTCGTGCTCTATACAATAAAGTCACAACATACCTGATCCGCCCACAACGACATACCGCCTATGCTGCTTTGGTGGGAGGCTCTTGCTCACATCCACTGGGGAATCGATTGCCTTCTGGTAGGCTTCCTTGATTTTTTCGACTGTCCATCGGTGAGGAGACAGCTGGAGGGCCTCCTCCGGGAGCTCCGACATTCTTCGATTGACATGGTAGAGGTAGAGAACGGTCAAGCCTGCAATGCAGGACACCAGGAGAGTCGACGACATGGACACTGGTTTTGGAATCAAGGCGCACTCCGCACTAAGTCGTTGAAAAAGATCGATTGACCGCAGATCCAGCGATTTGCCTTCGGACAGCGAATATCAATGTCCACGGGGCGAGACTGTCGCTCACACTGTATCACACCCGTTCCTGAGATGAAACAGTGCAAGGTGTTTGTTCAACAATTGGTCTATGCTTGCACTTCCTGGAAGAGCGAATTCAATTGCAGTCTAAAGACCGGATGATTGCATACTGAAATATCCGAAAATAAAACCAGGAGCTCAATGGTGTGAGATTAAAGATTGAGGCTGATTGATCATTCATGATTAGTATTATTCTCTAGTCATTAGTATTCGCGTATTCTCGTATTCTCAATGCCAACGGTCTGTTCTGGCCTCCAAACTTTAGTAGGCGCTTCGGTTAGACGACGGGGGCTGAAGCAGCAGCTACTGGTCCACATAACCATTATTGTGAATTTGTGATGCATCCTGACAGTCTCTCGATGGCAGTGATGTAGATAATCAGTGCCCTTAACAGTCTGCTTTTGATATCTTGCTAGTCCTTAGTAGTAGTATGAACAATGTTGTATTGTCAACTTCCGCCTCAACTGTCAACTTTCAATTGTGGCTTGCTGAGTGGAGAACCAACCGTTTTTACTCCACGTGTTGTACTTTGTTATCACTAATTCCAACTCCATAACGGGACCTGGAAGGCTTGGAATTGGATTCAAGATTTGAGAAGAGCACTGATTACTGAGTCGTGTACTGACGAGGACGATCTGTGATATGTCTTATGTCTCTCAAAGACACGACGCGTCAATCATGAGTGAATAATCTTAACCAGCCATTATTATTGTTTGTGAAGGGTGTGTGGGTTGGTAATGCAGTACTGTTATGCAGAACATCTACTTCCACGTGACTCTTGCATATCGATTACACGACAGGCTCGATGCTCATTGGTCAATCGCGACTCACTCGACTCAAAGATTGATGCCTAAGGTACCTATTAAGCACAATGATACAGATAGTCGGATACAAATTGAAATAATATCAATATCAGGGAAGTCTATCCAGTATCCATAGTCTAGATAACTAGTTACAGAGTAGTCATTTTGTTTTCCAAGATTGATGCCCAATGACTATGCAATGACCAGTAGTGCCTTAATATGAATCCCCTAAGGGAAAGCCACCAGTCTCATATGCCAGGATCTTCACTCTTCAGTCCTCACACTCGGCAAACCGGCATCGCGGCAAACCGGAACCTGTTTCAATGCATAAATCCTTGTATTATTATCATTTAGTTTATGAACTTATTACAAGGATGGATCGGCCAGAATGCCGATGATTTGTATCGTGATTCATGAGATGATGAGATCTTGAATTTTGAAGATGTATGATTTGTATCTTTTCTTGTGGAGTACCAGTCTACCAGGGCGTCTGGGTCTCTGGGATACTGGAGTCTGGGGTCAAAGACTCCGTAACCTTACTTCAATCTCTTGGAATCTGGGGAATTTTCACATCTGCTCCTGTACTAGGTACTACTACTACTACTACTACAATTCTACTATCTATAATAATTAATACTGATAAAAGACTGAAGAAGATGCTCGTGTTCATTTCGGACTTGATTCCGAGCTTGACTCAAAATTTGCCATCCTTCAAACACCATCAATCGAACTCTTTCAGAACTCGATCAGTCACCTTCATCTGGTCCAACTCTGCATGATGCAACATGCGCTCGAGTCTTGACCTCCAGTCTCGTGGACCTCTCAAGTCCACTATACTTCAAAGTCCATGGCATGGACATCTTGGACCCGACCCGAATTGACTTCACTGAATCATGCGTGGGGCCTAGCCTTTTCCGAGATTATCAACCGACTGGCATTTCGACCTCGGCCTGGTAGGATTCCAAGCTATCCACGCCCTACGGGGTACAACCATCAACCCCTGTAGATAGATAGATAGATAGTCTACCCTGTCAGTTAAGTCTGTAGAGGTGCAGACACTTGGAAGGAAGTAGATAGTAGTATCTAGTATCTACTCCCATATCCTGGTCCCTCCCAACTGTAGCTGCAGGCGCGGACGCAATGGAGCCAAACCGACCATTCTCATTGCTAGTAGGCTAGTAGTTTTGGAAATCCAAGTTTAATACTCCTATCAAACTCACTAGCGATGGCTCTATGTCCTCTGATCATCCTTATCATCTCATTAGCTCTTAGTCTCTTTCTCTTTCTCTAGTGTCGCTCTGATATGAACTTTTTTTTTTCCAACCTGAGGCCCCACCGATCTGCTTCCCCCCCTACCACTCATAGTTCCAACTTCCAAGCGCATTATAATGTCAATCCTTCCTCTGGGAATGGCGTATTCTTTTCTACTTTGTTTCTTATCTTTTTTTTGGCTGAGGTGGACTCCGTGCAGCTGGTGCTGAGCTTGCTGTGATAAACACTCGCATTCGGAAAGCCTCGAGTATTCCGACGGAACGGCGCGCTGTACGCTGTCTGCCGCATGATCCTTATTAATAATTAATATAGATTCCCATTATACTCGTGAATATAGGCATATATTTCCTGCTTGCCTTCCCCCACCCGCCCTCAGATCCTGTTCATGTCATAATGTCACTGCCCTTTATCCGGAAACTGATTGAAGCGACGAAAATCAACTAAAGGAAAAGCTACTCAAGGCCTCTCGATCGTCCCCGACGGACCACCGCCGACACAATGGCGCCCCAGGAATTCTCGGAGTCCAAGAAATGGTCCGAATCCAGCCAGGAAGAGACCGTCCGCGTCGACGCAGAGTCCATCCACGGATCCACGACCTCGGGCGATACAATCGATCAGATGGAGGCGCTACGGACGCTGAACACGCGGGCTTCGAGAATGTCGGAGCCGTCGTTGACCAGACGGGTCACCTCCATCGGGACCACGGGGACCACGGATCCCAACTTCGAGGTCGACTATGAGGACGATGATGATCAGGCCAATCCGAAGAACTGGTCGTTTGCCTACAAAGCCATGGCTGTGGCTATTCTATCGTACAATACTTTGATTATGTGAGTTGCTGTTTTTGTCCCGATGCGTCGAGTGCAGTCATTGACATCAATCGGCTTCAGCGTCCTGCATTCGACATCCTATACCTCTGGCGTGGGGGTTATTGCATCCGAATTCAACGCCTCTGAAACCATCGTCACGCTGGGCTTGACGTTCTACCTGATTGGGTTGGCCATAGGATCGATGTTCATGGCCCCGATGAGCGAGATCTATGGCCGCAAGCCGGTCTCCATCGGCTGTCTGGCCATCTTCACTGTTCTGATCATCCCCTGCGCGCTCAGCAAATCGATCGAGTCGCTCATCGTCGTCCGTTTCATCGGCGCCTTCTTTGGCAGCGTCATGATCTCCAGTGCGCCGGGAATGGTTGCTGATCTGGTTCAAGATGACCAGCGAGCCTTGGCCATGTCCATCTGGAGTCTTGGCCCTGTTAATGGACCTGGTAGGTTTGCCTCAAGACTCATGATATGTACTTGATGCTAATCGGATGTAGTGCTGGGTCCCATCATCGGTGGTTTCGTGACGCAGTATCTGGGTTGGCGATGGATGAACTGGATTGCCCTGATACTGTCCGCTGTTGCGCTGGTCCTTGCCTGCATCATGCGAGAGACATACAGCCCCATAATTCTGCAGAGGAAAGCCGCCAAACTTCGCAAGGAGACGGGCGACTCCCGCTGGTGGAGTCGATACGACCAGAAGATGGGCTTTGGCGAGCTCCTCAAGGTCAATCTGGGTCGTCCATTTGTCATGGCGGTCACGGAACCTATCTGGTGAGTTTCACAACCCCGTCTTCAGCAGCATGATCATAGTTGACATTTGTGTCAGTATCTTCTGGAACATCTACATCGCCATTGTCTACGGCATTCTGTATCTCTGCTTCACGGCGTATCCCATCGTCTTCCGTCAGATCCGCGGCTGGTCCCTAGGTCTCTCTGGCCTGGCCTTTCTCGGCATTGGTACCGGCTGTGTCATTACTATCTCCTGCGAGCCTCTGATCCGCCGAATGATCAATAGTCACAAAATCGACCCGGAGACAGGCAAGGTGCCTATTGAAGCCATGGTTTCCGTCGTATGCATCTCGGCCGTGCTCATCCCCGCCGGCGAGCTATGGTTTGCCTGGACGTGCGCCCCAGCATCCATCCCCTGGATCGTCCCGATCCTCGCGGGCGTACTCTTCGGCACAGGTAACACCGGCGTCTTCATCTACGCCTCTAACTACCTTGCGCAGAGCTACGGCGTGTACGCCGCGTCCGCCATGGCCGGCAACTCGGTCATCCGAAGTGTGCTCGGCGGTGTTCTGCCACTTGTCGGATCGTATATGTATGCGGGGATTGGCCCCAACTGGTCCGGTACGCTGTTGGGATTGCTCGAAGTGGCCATTATCCCGATTCCGTTCATCTTCTATAAGTATGGCTATAAGATCCGCCGGAAGAGTGCGCTGATCATGCGGATGCAAATGGATCAGGCGCGGCTGGACGGAAAGCGAAAGAAACTGATGCAGCGTATTGAGACCAGCCAGGCTGCCGAGAAAATGGAGGTTTAGTGTAGAAGGTATCCATACGTCTCAACCAGGATATGCCCATTTCGGTCAAGCAAAAGTGATCCATTCATCATGGCAGGCGTTTCGGTTCAAACTCAGATATAGAGGTGCATGGCTTTTTTCATAGCGAATTCTCCTTAGAAAGACTTACGCTTAATGGTACTACTTGGTATTCAGTCAGAAGCGAAACATACAACACGGCAAACCTACTTACAGTGCATAGACTCGCACTCATGCTGGCCGAGCAACTCTCCGGTCGACCTCCTGCGCATCCCGTAAGATCCTCTCATAGTCACCGAGAACAATCGCCCCGGCGGAGAAAACCACTACAGCATCCACATACACCGGACCGGCGATCTTCGCTGCGAACGGCGCATTGGATTCATTAATGTACCTCCTAACATATCCAAGGACATGCACCCAGGACCCGACCCGCAATTCCTCGGAAGTCACCGAGTCCAGAACGGCATTAATGTCGACAGCCACACGGGCAGATTTACCCCTGGGGTAATTGTGCTCTAGAAGTAAATGGCCTGTGGGAATGTGATATGTCCTCACGCTGAGTGTTGTTAGCATATTCTCCCTTTGAACCTTGCTTCTACAGCATATTGTTATGGGATTTGCAAGGCATGTATACAAGGGCTGAACGCACCAACCAAGAAATCGCACTTTGGTATCTGCCGGGAGAGAAGGGAGGTCGCAGAGAAAAGTCCGGACAGAGGGAAGAGGGCCATTCATCCCTCAGGTACTGTCAATATCATACCCTCATCGAAGGCATAATGATTACTACGTGGAGAAGATACCTATCCATGTTGAATATCCAAAAGTGCGATAATGTAGATGACTACCACGTGACTTACACACTCCGATAGGCTTAGCGCGGTATGTCATCGGACAGCGAGGGGAAAACGCAGCGGATCTCATCATCGTCGCCCTCTTTTGCCTGTGGCATTTTGCAGAGTCCAGTCTATCTTTTGTCCTGTTCAACCGCAAGGCAACCATTCTATCAGTGTATCTTCCTCTTTAGAATAATACTAGCTCCTCTTTTTTTTCTGGCTGCCTACGCCATCTTCGCCGCTCCAACCCCTCCCTGTTTAGCGTTGCGAGCTCCACCGCCTTCGACCACTTTCTAAGATCTATTGAGACTGAGCAAGATAAGGCGTCTGGGGGTAAAGTTTCTCCTCCAGGTGATTCAATATAAACCCCAAGCACAGGAGATATAGCCTCTATACAACTACCGTCCTCCCGATGTGGTCCTGGTTCGGCGGCGCCGCCGCTCAGAAGCGCAAGGATGCGCCCAAGAACGCCATCCTCTTGCTGCGGGAGCAGCTGGACATGCTGCAGAAGAGAGAGAAGCACCTGGAGCATTTGATGGAGGAGCAGGAGGCGGTTGCCCGGAAGAACATCACGGCGAACAAGAATGGTAAGGGATCCCTCTCTATCAACCCCATATTTGTTTTAGAGAGGGGGAGGTGCAGCCGGGAGGAGAGAGTCAGGACTGACGCTGGTTTCTAGCTGCCAAGGCGGCCCTGCGAAGGAAGAAGGTGCACGAGAAGAACCTGGAACAGACGACGGCGCAGATCGCCCAGCTCGAACAGCAGATCTACTCGATTGAGGCGGCGAATATCAACCAGGAGACTTTGAACGCGATGAAGGCGGCCGGTGCGGCCATGACGCAAATCCACGGGTCGATGACTATCGACAAGGTCGACGCGACAATGTATGTTCTTTCCTCCCTTTTCTGGAAACTCAAAGATAAAGTGGCATGGCGTGCTGACGATTCAGGGATCAACTCCGCGAACAACACCAACTCAGCGAGGAAATCGCACAGGTTATCACGAACAACCCGCTGGGCGAACAGCCCGACGAGATGGAATTGGAGGCGGAGCTCGAGGGTCTGGAGCAGGAGGTCATGGACGAGCGCATGCTCAAGACCGGCACAGTGCCCGTTGCGGATCTCAACCGGTTACCCGCCGCAGGCAACAGAGAGCGTAAGCCTTTCCTCTCCATACCTTTTACTTTCAAGTGTAAGCTAAGCTAACGAACCACCCCAGTCGAAGCCAAAACAAAGCAGACAGAAGAAGAAGAAGACGAGGAAGCAGAATTGGAAAAGCTGCGCGCCGAGATGGCCATGGGCTAGATTGCTATCGTCATTCCTTCTTCCTTAGTCGTTTCCCCCTCGTCTTCCATATCACCCTTCTTTCCCAGCTGTCATGCATATACCGAATGGACTGGAGTTTTTCGCGCATGTGCTATGGCTGGAGTGACATTGCCATCCCTGGCTCGACAGACAGACAGCACCTTTGACGCGTTCTAGTTGTTTTTTGTCTTTTGTTTTTTTTTGTTTTTTTGTTTTTTGTGTCCGTTTCCATCTATACACCGTTGGCGTAATCGGGATTTTCTCTTTTTCTCTTTGTTTGACTCGCGGAGACATGCGCTGCGTTTCTCCTCTGGCTATTACAACTCTCCCTTTACTTGTTATTAACATCATGAGCCCCGGAACGAATTCATGTCTTGAGACATTATGCTCTCCACACATATATATACACATAGTATACGACTACCCAGTAGCACATCCAAGATAAACGAATGCACTCTATCAATTTAGGCGACTGAGACATCCCAGAGTAGGGGTAAGGTACCATGCTCCGGCGGAGCACTTAAGAAAATAAAATTAGGCATATAGCAAAAAGATACGTAAGAACTGAGTAAAGAAAAAAACCTTTTGTTCTCCTACCGCCAAAGAGGAAACAAAATGACGAAGAAAAAAAAGAAAAAGAAAACCCCCCAGCCCATACCGATAAAACAAAAAAAAAAAAGAATAAAGAAAACATGCACTACAACTCATTCTTGCTCCGCGACTCCAGCATCAGGGGGGAAAAGAAAAAAAAAACAAAAGGGCAGTTCGATATGGCGAGGGACATACATGGCAGGAAATGCAGGAACAACTACGGGAACCACGCATAGCTCTTCAGCGGCGTGGTACGGGATCCGTCGACGGCCTCGCTGTGCCATTGCGATTTCCACTCCCATTCGCGCGCGGCGGCCTCGACGAGCGCGTCCTTGCACTCGGGCGGCAGCTCGGCGAGGATCTCCGGGCTCACGAACTCTGGGTGCTGCGAGTTGGCGGCGCTGATGAGGCCGTTGGCGCCGAGGTCGTAGACGTCGCCGTCCGGGCCGGGGATGCCCATGTTGGAGTAGGGGGGTGTTTCGAAGACGGTGTCGTGGATGGCGAAGCGGCGGGAGAGCCCGGCGGGGATGGCGGAGAAGATGGACTCCGCTGGTTCGATGGTGGGGTCCTCGGTGCTGGGCTCTGCGGCTTCACCGCGGGCCTGCTCTTCTTCGGCCTGGGGCGGGGCTTCGGCCTCGTCTGTTCCGTTGGTCAGGCTGAGGGTTGACAGGCCCTTGGCGAGTCGGGCGGCGATGCGAGGATCCGGCGGGGGAACGCGTTCCCAGCGGGCATGGGATGGCTGCATGACCTTGGGGTAATGAATCGCGTTGGTGTGGATGTCGTATATACCATCCAGATTCGCGCGTCGCGCGTTGAGGATGACTGAATTAAAAGTGCTATTTATGGTTAGCATAGTATGGATCAAAGATAGAAGGTTAAAGAACATACCTGGCCTCCCGAGCATGCTCCAGCATCCAATTATCACCCGTAACAGTCACCTTGCGCTTCTTGGAGTCGATCACCTTTCCGGTGGGGAGCGGCAAGGACGGGGCGTTGGTGTGATAGACACTGCTGGCTCCATGCCACGCCACATACTGGTTCTTATTGTACGGCTCCCCTGGCGCCGGTAGTCTATCTTCGGGGACCGCTAGTTCGCCTTCGACATCGCCCCGTTCCCTGGCAGCCTGGACGTTGTAGTCGTCGAGGATTTTCCGTCCTCCGACGATGATCTTGGCGCCGAATTCTCTGAACACCGATCGAGCAGTCACAACACCGATAGCACGGCCTTTATAAGAATGAGGGATGATGTCCCGCTCGATGAGATCTCGCTTCGCCTCATCGTCGATGATGATCTTGAACAGGAGCTTGTGCTTCTGGAAGAACAGATACGAATCCCTGAACCCAATGCACCGGGCTGGCTCCGTCGACAGCATGTAAAGTCTCTCGCCACGGTTGAGAATCGTGAATGTCCGGACCCTATACTCCCTACCGTCCTTGAGCACGCCATTCTTGTCGACCTTGGTATCGCCCTCCAGGTCAGGCGGCAGCGCCACCTCGTCGTCGATCACATCCATCATGTTCCCTTCCTTGTCGATCGGCACCTGCGTGACATGCGACGGGCCCCGATTGCGCGCCCATCGCCCGCCACTCGCCGCCGGACGACCTCGTCGCCGCTTCGCAGGCGTGCCCGAGTGGGCCGGCGGCGGCGCACTCCCATCCGGCGCATCCCAGTCTGGCGGGCGATTCTTGGGCGGACGACCTGGCCGACGCTTGCGGGGGATGGCGGAGATCCGGCCGGGATTGTGTGTAGGTGTGTCGGCTTGCGACGGGGGATTGGACTCTTGCACTGTCGATTCTTGCGTTGGCGTCTCTGCTGCAACGGGTGCTTCCTCTTCCTCCTGGGGTGGTTGGGGCTCGGGCTCCGCGTCGGAGTCTTTATCAGATGGATCGCCGGGGTCTTCGACGGGGGATGATTCGCGCGATGGGGGCACGTCTACCATTTCCTCGTCCGATGCCTCGGGAAGCGGAGGGGGTAGATTTTCTATAACAGAAACAAAACAGGTCAGTGCCTGGATTCGGCGCGTTCATTGTTTCTTTTGTATTTATTTTTTTTAATCGAGCAGGCAAGGAATCAAGGGCATAACAATAGAATTGATGGAAGAAAACATACTCATTGATTTAGCAGCTGCTTGCGCAGCCGCTCTTAGCTTCCTCGCCATACCGGTATATGAGCGAAGAAATCCAGCTTATCACGGCTTCAGAACAATATTCCATCCAATGCTGGATACAAACCGTTCTAGGGACGGGGGCTCCAGTTGCACGCCGCCCGGCATTTCTTTTCTCCGCGTGCCCAGCGCGCCTAGATGCCTCAGGCAGCAACAGAAAAGACAAATAGCGCCACGTGCATAAGTTAAAATTGCCCTAAGCCCTAGTGCGCTTTCAGTATGAAAATCACTAGTCCGCTTTGGAAAGCCCCATGCTCGTGGATGATGTCATTTCACCCCCCCGTTCATCCCCAGTGGAACTTTGACTTCTCGTTTCCCGATGCTTTACTATCGAAGTGTCGATCTTTGCAAATCCGTCTTGGAGAGAGGCTTTTGTTTTATTGGAGTTCAGCTCCGCTACAAATACAGCGACGTGCTTCTGCAAGGACGGATATGCTCGCGCGAAAACTCTACTTGACTCTTGTCCCGAAGGCTTGAGGCTTGCTACGGAGTACTCCGGACTACGGTACGTAGGGGTGGTGTACATCAACACCCTGTAACCAATGGAAGAGCAGCATTTCAAAATCCATCCAATCAGGTTATATAGATTGCTCTGTCACCTGATTCCAGTTGGAGATGAGGAGATGAGACCACACCTGGCTCGTCAAAATATATGGATTTGTTTAGATAGTTATCCCCCAGCATATGGTGGCTCTAGTGAAATTCAACGGTTTCTGACAAAATTCTACCTCGTCAGAAAAAAAAAAAAGTCCAAATGACATGTCATTTTTGTCATTTTGACATTTTGATTACCACCCCTACTCCGGACTTTTGGGTCAGTCGGTGATACACGGTGCCTCAGGCAAAGTGCACCTAGCATTCAAATTTGAAACTTCGATTATCCCTGGAGGCTGTACTACTCCATGAGCTGCCCCTGGGAGGTTGGACGACTAGACATCCCTTCTTGTGACGTAGGATAGTTGATAATCACATGTCAGAAGAGCAGGAGAAGGGGGCATTTCTGCAACTAAGAAACTGGTGGTTCTGCTGACGATTATCATCATCGCTCCGCGAATTTGAATTCATCATAGAAGTGACCATTGACATGTTACAAGCTCTTCATTGCTCATTTTCGCTATCTTCCAGCTATTTCCACGCATGGATTCGGGGAGACATAGCGGTTAACTAGATACTGTCTGTTGTCGGAGCTCTGCAAGCCGCAGATCCCTTTCTTACACAACAGAAAGGAGCCCGCAGATGACCCGCCAACTGACCACGCCCAGGGAAGCTCCTGAAGCACGAACCTCCTTGTACATACTTGTCAAGGAGTCAACTCGGATGCTGATTCCTTCGAACGATGACTTATCGACAAGGAACATTCCAAAGGTATCGCCAGACACCGGCTGTAGGATCCTTTTTCCTGCGTGTTGTGGTAGGTGGCTGCGTTCGGGCAGTCGGTGCATAAATGAGGGATATATGCCATAGGGAGAGAGATCTCGATCGGGATCTGTCCGCGATACACATTACGAAGTCCTGGTTAGGTACTTACAAGTTGCAACAAGTACGGTATTTTGCTTTCCGCAAGGCACATGCAGTGTTAGGAATGTAGACTCCAGGAGATGAACTTCTTGTTGGAAAGGAGGCGTTGAATAATGCGGGTTTGGACAATTGTGGCCGGCTGATCGCGCCGTCGGACCAGACACGATTGAAATGCATTGGAGCCTACGGCTTCTATGCAACGGCACATGAAGCCACCAGCTGCCAGCATGGTGTAACCGTTCTACTTTGGAGTATCAAGAATTTGTTGAGATGAGCTGAACCGCTGCCCTGGGCTGGAGTGGTGATGGCGTACGAAGAAGAGGTAAGGGAACTAGGTAGGTAGGTAGTATCTATCGGGAAGCCCAAAGCGATACCTTCATTCGACGTTGTATGCTTCGTATCTAATTCATGAAGAACTCGCGTTGTTCCCATCCGTAGGGAATCGCTCAACGGTCCGTTCAAGCAGTTACAGCTACAGCTACAGCCGCACCTGCACGAGGGTGCCACAGGAGCAAAGAGCAGTGCTGTTGAGTAACCAACGCATCGACAGAGCTGTGCATTGTCCCAGTCGCATCAGATTTGTAACAGCCAGCTCTCGACGATGGTGGAAATGCCAGGCGTCTTGAGTGTTGCGTTGTATCTGTTTTGTGCAGAGTACCTAAGTTTAGAGCTGGGGATGATTGCTGTCATCAAAGCCTGTGATGACGGATCTACAACTATTCAAAGACGCCCAGCGAATGACACAAATCAGTGAAATAATAGAATGGCAGGAGACCAGACTACTTACAGCCAGATGGTGTGATGCCTGAACCAATTGGCAAGTACGTAGCAACCACTACCTAGGTAGCTAGGTACTACTAATAATACTATGATGGGAGGAATGGCAGCCACTCATCTCATGTATCCCCACTATTATGTACTGTAGGAAGAGGGGTTCACAGTGGCGGAGATGTAGACTTGTAGTACTCGAGTTTAAGGTCCGGGAGTATATAGTAGAGAGTTAGTATTAGTATGCTATTTAGTAGATGATGTTATTCCATTGACGCGATTAGCGTGCGAGAGGAGGAGGGTCTGGAATAGCATTAACAACGAGGTAATGGTGAATGTCTCGATGGTTCAAGGGAAGGCTTCAGGGCATCATCTCTGGCTGCCTGAAGGAGCCTTAAGGGGCCTCAAGGGGTAATTCTACTCTATGTTCAACATATGGCTACCATCTAGACCAATCTGATTACTAGGTAGACAGTCCTATCGGTCTATCTGATGATTATTCGAGTCCTGATCATGCATTCATTCCTTCCATCGTCACAAAAGAGTCAGTCAGGCCTCTATAGTAATACTGCTCAGCTTGGACACCTGCCTGCCTTGAAAGGTACCCGAGGTGCCAAATCCTGTCTGGCGATTTGGCTGGACATGAACTGCGTGGTTCGGATGGACTCGACCACTTTTCTGTCCTGTGGTTCATTGAATAAGGAGTGATCCAGTTTTCTCCACTTGTTTCATTTTGATTCCATTATTTGATATTTGATTGTTCTTGAAAGACATCAACCAGGTTTCATGGAAGTTCTCATGGGTGACTATGGAATGAATGCACTGTCCTAGATAGATAGCTATCTCTGTATCAACTCTGTAGCACTGGGAATAATCCTGCAGGATCATATAGGATGACTACATCAACTCTGGATGGCCATGATACTCAGGTACAAATGATTCAGAGATGATGTTCTTATATATTTTTGTTGCCATGAAGATCGATAACATAATGCTGTTGTAACAGGTAGGTCATGTTTCTATTATTTAAAAAGGTTCACTGTTGTCTGTGACTGCATACGACCAGTCTACAAGTCATGTCATGGTATGAGTTCTTCAAGTCCATTCCAAGTATGGAGCAGTCACTAATATTATTTCCCATTATGATTAGCCTCTCACCGGTGATTGTCTATCTATCTCCTTCGAAGTAACCATCTCTCTAGTCTAATACGGAGTAGTTATCTCGTGCACTGTCTTGTAACTTGTTCCCTTTTCCAGCCGCTGCAGATGACTGAGGATTATTGATTGGATTGTTACTTCAGCTTTTTCACAGGGCCAACGCCACCATATCATTGCTCTTCCGATTATATTACCCTGGTCTGTCGAGTTATTGTTGCTATTATCTGTTTAATTATTTATTTAATCTCTACAGAGTACGTACTTGACTTGATTTCCCAAAGTCAACAATCTCTTAAACTGAGTTCATCATCAAATTGATGTAGTAGAAACTATTACTACTACTCTACAACTTATCCATCTCAATCCTGTGCTTTTTCGCAGCCCAAACCTCCCCTTGGGCCTGAACTACTATAATAGTCTTCCTACGCTTTGAAGTTGCTCCGTCCTTGGGGGCTTCCAAATCAAATCACTGTGGTGGTCCTCCTTCGTTCTGAGTAATATTAAATCCCTCATTCTCATTCGAAAAGCGGCCCTCATCCAAACCCACCAGATCCATACCTAAAGTGAGGTTACTGAACAAATTGAACCTCACTCCTGAGTCCTGGTAAAAGGAGCGAACCCAAGAAAAAAAAAAAAAAAAAAAAAGGTCCACTTGGATTCCCAAACCCAAGCAAATCAGAAGCCTTTCCGATCTTTTCCTTGGGAGAAGAATCATGTCTCCTTCACTCCCACCACTGCCACTGCCACTATTATCTGAGTAATACCAGACCAGATACGGATACTTACTTCCATACTACCAACTACCAACTACCTTACCAACTACCTACCACTATACGATTTTAGTCTCCCCAGCCATCTGTCTGTCTACCTTAATTCTCTCTTCTCTTCTTACTCTCTCTCTTTTCGTGATTCTCATCCACCGATCTACACTACTTCTATTCACTTACTCAACACCCCTTATCATTCTCCTCCTTGATACAAACAGAGTCTGCCTTCACATTGCACCTTATCTTCTGACTGGTGCACTCCCGACACCCCGATCGGATCCATTCTCCCCTTTCCCGCAAACTTCCTTAGCTCGTCATTGCCCCGACGGCGTCGTCACAGCCTTTTTTTTTTGTCGACTCCGCACCACACAATCTCTCTCTCATTCTCCTCCACCGACTACCGCCCGCCACTAATAGTAGTGATCTAAACTACTCGACGACTACTCTAACAATCACCTCTGCCGACCTCGCTTTGCGCCTCAACATTCTTTTCATTCAACCCCACCACTACCCCTCCGATCGAGTCGCTTCATATACACCCCAGTCTTCTTACGGTGGAGGAATCTGGACTCGAATGGAATCTCAATGATGGCTGCTGCTCAGAGTGGAACAGATTTACACGGAGATGTGGGTATGCTGAAGCAGCCGGTCTCGCGGAGGTGAGTCGCCTTCCTTTCGTGTTGTCGCTTCTCTCTGTCTCCCCCTCCTCAAAGCGTCAAGTCGGGAGATGAGCAAGAGATTGACTTGAATGTCTTGCTGCTCAATGTTTCGCAGATTGCAGTAGAAGCATTCTGGTTTACTGTTGTCTCTCAGCGATTCATTTTTTATTTTATTTTTTGGTCCTTCTCCTCCTTCGTCTCCCTCATGCATCTCAGTCTTATGCTGAGTGGAATTGAGTCACCCACCATTGAAATCCTCACCCCCAATCGTCATAATCACGATGCTCGCCCGATTGCTGCTGTTTTGACTGCCTCTGTGGCGCATGTTGCATTTCACCGTAACTGACGCATTTTCATAGCAATCACTCGCAGGAGGACAACAACAACAACAACAACAACCAGGATACAATTGGGTCCAATCGTTCCACCCCATCGGGCATTGCAACTCCTCAACCTGATCTTACAGACAAACGCCAACCATCAATCATGCATAGTTATTTCCAGGTTGGTCCCTCCTCAAGTCATGACAATTGCCCCTCCAATTCGTGGTTTCCTTTTTCTGAGACAGTTGCTTCCTTCAACGATAAGCAGCCGGGTACATATTCCACAGAGACGCGGGATGAGCAAGGCTCTGGGCACAATTCCTCTTCCTCGGGGTCTTTTGTCATGATGGAGCGTGACGGGGCTTCGGACATCAGAGCCTCCTCCGTACCACCAGACAAGAAACTCGGCGCACAAGAAATCTCTCCGGAGTCCTTACCTCCTACAAACCTGCCCACTCCCCCCTATTCCTCCGCCTGTTCCCTTTTGCAGAAAGAGCCGGAGGAATCTGAGCTGGGCTCCTCAGCCCCCGAGAAGGGCATGGCTTCCATTTTCACTGCTTTGAAAAGCTATCTTTCACCATCCACAGCCAATCCCGCTGAGCCCCAAGCACGCCGTCATACATCCCACCCAGTTTCTAGCATCTCTGATGACCCCGTCCTTGCTTCGCACTTCTCCAACCCTTCCCTTCCTCCTGCTTCAGACCCGTTGGACCTGCCGGAAGTCCCCCTCCTCGCCCACGAAAAACCTCTTTCCATGTCTTCTGAGAATCTTACGAAGCTAACTGGGAATCTCTCTGATGCTTCGTGTCCAAAGAACACTCCCCCCCTTACTCCCCGCGCCATGTCTAATGAAGGATCCCAAACGGCCGAGAAGAACCCACCTGTCACATCTTGCCCTCGCTCGTCGGAACAGTCCCAGTCCGATGACATGGCCACGTCCGCCGACGAGATTGCGGGAAAGCTCAATGAAGCGTTTCCGTCCCAGCTGGACTGTTCGGAATCAGAGCAAGACCAGCAGCAGCAGCAGCAATCCGGCCCGTCTTTAGGACCCCTCAAGGGTAAACTCTACGTCAAGATCACCGAAGCCCGGGGCATCAGACCCGGTTTTGATCCGTACGTGGTATGCGTTTTCGAGTGGAATGAAGTCATCTCGAAGAGTGCCCATGATGAGGAGGAAGCCTCGATTGAGCGACAACAGAAAGAGAAAGAGAAATCGGACCGCGAAGCCGGGCGGCCAATGGCGATCCCCATGAAGAGCCGCCAGAGCAGCAACAACAGCGCACTCGAGGGTCATGATCCCAGGGGGAAGTCTCCCGTGGCGGATCCACACTGGAACCACGAGGCAACTTTGTATGTGTCCTTCCTTCCTCTTTTTTTTTTCGGTGTGCTAACGAAGATCGACTAGCGATGTTCTGGGCGAAGAATCTGAAATTGATGTTTCGGTGTACGATCGCAACAACCAAGAGGCATTCCTCGGCCATGTACGGCTGTCTTTGAATCTCAAGGAAGATCACAGTCGACTAGAAGGATGGTTCCCATTGTCAGCCCGCGGAGCTGGCGATAACCAAATCTCTGGCGAAATCCACCTCGAGATGCTTTTCGAACAGACCGATAAGAAGCAAGTGGGACCAAACGACTTTCAGATCCTGAAACTCATCGGAAAAGGAACATTCGGGCAGGTTTATCAGGTCATGAAGAAGGATACGCACCGTATCTACGCCATGAAGGTCCTGTCGAAGAAGGTCATCATCCAGAAGAAGGAAGTCGCTCATACCCTGGGAGAACGGAACATCTTGGTTCGGACCGCTATGGCGGCATCTCCATTCATTGTTGGACTCAAATTCTCCTTCCAGACTCCTACGGACCTGTACCTGGTCACGGACTACATGTCAGGCGGCGAGCTGTTTTGGCACCTGCAGAAGGAGGGGCGTTTCCAGGAGGCACGGGCTAAATTCTACATCGCCGAATTGATTCTAGCACTCCAGCATCTTCATGATCATGACATCGTTTACCGGGATTTGAAGCCGGAGAACATTCTTCTTGATGCGAATGGGCATATCGCACTGTGCGACTTTGGTCTATCCAAGGCCAATCTCACGCAGAACGACACAACGAACACCTTTTGCGGAACCACGGAATACCTGGCGCCTGAGGTCTTGCTTGATGAGCAAGGGTACACGAAGATGGTGGACTTTTGGTCACTCGGTGTTCTTGTCTTTGAGATGTGCTGCGGATGGAGTCCGTTCTACGCGGAAGACACTCAGCAGATGTACAAAAATATCGCGTTCGGCAAGGTTCGCTTCCCACGCGATGCGCTCAGCACCGAGGGTAGAAATTTTGTCAAGGGTCTGCTGAATCGGAACCCCAGTCACCGCCTGGGCGCTAAGGGCGACGCGAAGGAGTTGATGGCCCATCCGTTCTTCAACGACGTCGACTGGCAGGCACTCGCTCGCAAGGAAGTCATCCCGCCGTTCAAGCCGAAGCTCAAATCCGATACCGACACGTCGAATTTTGATCCTGAGTTCACCAACGCCCTCGAGAACAACGCTTCGCTGAATGACCGTGCCGCCGCCTTAGCCAATGGATTTTTGACCGCCTCAACTCCGCTGTCCCCAGGAATGCAGGCCAACTTCAAGGGTTTCACCTTTGTCAATGAGAGCTCCATTGACCACCATATGAAGCATGACCCCAGTGACCATATGGAGGAGGATCCAGAGCAGTGGCAACGATCGCACCAGCACGGCAATTCCATCGATCAGCACATGAGTGGTGTTCACAAGAGCAACGATGGCAGCGAGCCGGGCATCTTCAACGTTGATGATAATTTTGACATGTGATAACGTCTCTCGATGCATGATAACTGGAGTTTTGACTTTTGCATATACTATGTCTCTTGTTTTCTTTTTGTACATGCCTAACTTGAATCAGTGGGGGGCCAAGATCTGATGCTTCTCTTATCATTATGATGGATATGATTAACCATTGGCTCTTCTCTTTCTTCTCGCTGTTGTGACGGGAACATTGTCTCTCTCAGTCTTGTTTGTCTGGTGTTCACAGGCTTCTGATGGGGATTTGGTTCGTCTCAAGAGGCTCTCCCCCTTTGTTGGCTTTTCTTTCTCCTTCTCTGATTTCCCCAAACTTCGTCAGACCATCGGGATAGATGGGTTAGTTATCTATTTTAGTTTCAGCCTCCATTCTTCCAACGCGTCTCCACCTCAGGGACGGGCCCCATTTGGCTACATGCCTTGCTTGATTCTGTTGTGTCTCCCTGTGAGGCGGTTTGCTTTAATGCCACTTGGTATCTGTTATGGATTCCAGTTGAACTGGAGAGATGGCGCAGGTAGCTGAATGAGAGATTTCACCCGGCAGAAGCTGGCAACGACTACTGCCGAGGATACGATTCTGTTGATGCATTGTAGTTGTAGTTAGTAAACTTGGTCTAGAGCGAGTATCTATCTATGTGTGTGATGGTGAACTGTTTCTTCCTCGTAGATATCCAGCCAGCCAGTTCTTGCTTTTTCTTCCCCAGTGCATGTTGAGTATAACTGACCATACTCAGATGTCTAATATACTTTGTTTTCTCGCATATGAGCGCAAATGTGGCTTTTCAAGTCTTGATGCAAGTTTATCACGGATGGTCGATGTATAGATGCAGCCTCAGCGTCTTCAGGTAGATGGCGATGAAGAGTAGTTGTCTAAGGGTTGATGCTGCCTAAGAGACAGGCTGCTATTGCCCACATCATTGCGAGGACAGAGCTCTCATCAGTGAATGTCATTGACATGCATACATCGGGAAGCTGTATATGTGTAAGTGACACTGTCTACTAAGGTATTGTGTCTTCCTTCGCCAATCGCCAAGCCACCTACAGCATCAATCAACAAGGAACCAACTTCTTCTATATCAAAACCCATGACAATACTATCAAATTATATATCTATACCGGCGTTTCAAGCTCTGAAATGACATCACAACCGCGGTTGCGAAGCGTATTCATGGTATCTCATGTGAAGTGGATCAACGATCGACATGGAGTTGTCGCCCCATGGGGTTGATCGTTATATTATCAACTGGTGGCAGGATATCGATATCTGCGGGGTTTTCCAGGTCAAGCACCCTCCACTTAGTATCCTGTGTGAAAGTTTTCTCGCAGTGGAGTCCTTTGGCAACAACCCGCAACGATGGCAAAGCTGGACTTGGAACAGAGCTCCGGGACTTCGGAGGTGAATGATAAGAGTGCACAAGTCAAACCATCTCGCATCCAGCGATGGAAGGCCCATATGCAGAAGTGGTGGTGGCTATACCTGATCTGCTTCTGTGCCATCGTCCTGGTGGTGGTTCTGCCGATGTCAGTGTTCATCCCTTGTTAACGCTTTCTGACTGACAAGTGTCTATATAGCATCTATGTGGGCGTTCCTCGAATTGCGAGCCAATACATCAACGACTATAAGTATGACTATACGGGCTTGCAAATCACAAACCCCAGGCCCTCGGCCTTTCATGTCAGCCAAACACAGAAGTTGAAAATGGGTGGAGGCTTCAGTGGCAGTGGCCATCTCTCTGCGTTCAATGCAACTATCACTGTTCCTGGCACATCAACACCAATGGCTATCTTCCCTGTTTCCCAAATTGATTTCAGCGATGGTGCAGACTTTTCTATTAGCCAGGATCTGGATCTGTTGTGTGTCGACTGTCTTTCACAGTTGGCGGCAGCAGCAGCTTCGGACAAGGAGTATGCAGTGCTTGTCACGGGGGATCCGGATCTCAAGTTCGGGGCATTGCCGACAGCGCATTTGGATATACACAAGACGATGAAGATGCAAGGTACGCTTATAGCCCTCGGGTTCTAGCCAAGTTCAATGGAGCTAACCAGCTGCATTCTTCCAGGGTACAATGTTCAGGGTAGGCAATCACGATACGCTAGCAGCCAGACGATACTGATATCTTGGGGATAGAATTCCTCAACAGCGATGGCGCATTTAACGTGACGAGCCTTGATCTCCTGAGCCCAACGACCCCGGAAGGATATAACGTGAACGCGACGGTTGCTTTTCACAATCCGACCCCTTTCAGCGTCGAGATGGTGTGTGCCAGTGCCAAATCAAAAGCAAAAGGTTCCATGCTCACAAACATGATCCTAGGGCTTTGTCAGTCTCAATCTCTCTGTTGGAGACACGTCACTGGGCTATGTCGATCTGCCCAACTTGACGATCGAAGGCGATATCGTTAACACGGTTGTGCTTGGTAGCATTGATGAGACACTCCTCATCAAGAAAGGCTTGTGGGAGAGTAGCAACACAGACTTTGGCAAGGTCAACATCGATATCCACGGAAACCGCTGTGAATATGGAGGACAGGAGATCCCCTACTTTACGGCTGCGATTCGGGCCATCAATGCGTCTGCTAAGATTGATTTGATGGATTATGTGGGGGATATATTGTGAGTGATGATATACATGGTTATGACGATTATTGGCCTTCTGTTCCTTCATGGTGACCTGCTGTAGATGAATAGATTCTGTTTTAATTGCTTGTGATGCCCGCACGCTTATCTTCTTGTTACTTTTCGTGAGATTGGTAGATAGAAGCAGGGGCATTGGAGGATGCGAAAGAGACATATGTCCACCTTGATCCTAAGAGGAGTGATCCTCCATAGGGATTCAGTATCCTGCCGCCATTCTTGATCATCAATCAACTCCATAAGACAGTTCTAACTTTCAAGTCACGGCGTATTCTAGTTGAGCCGGATCCAATATTACTAGAGGCAGAATGAGCCAAGACCATGAAAGACAGTGCTAAACAGTTGTGCTCCAGATGTATACCTGCTGGATAGATACCTACAGAGCAACATAATCTTGTGCTCTTTCCAGGATTGGTTATACGACGAGAGATGATCGACTCCATTCGAAAGAGTCGCCGTTGATCTCTTCATCTCAAGTCCAATATAAATTGCGGTCATCACACCCCTGATTACGGACCCACGTCGAGTATACTCCTTCTCAGCCTATTCTATTTCTAGCTGCTTCTGTGATACAAAGAGTCAACCGTTTGGTGTTTCAGGCTGATCCATAAATAATGCTCCGGTCCATCATAACATGAGCTCATTCCTCGTATGATCTCGCACTCACAATGATGTAGGTATGTCTCAGTTTGCATACAGATGCTTCATATGATTTTTTTTTTTTCTCATGGACTGGACTCCACCTGGATCCCGGACTCCCGGACGGTGCAGAATGTGGATAGTGCGTCCCGACTCCCGACAGCGATGAGCTGTGGATATTGCGGCTGGATAACGGTGTACAATCAACAGTGTATCCGATACGTTGAATCCTGACTCGTACCTCATACATGTACAGATGCCCGCTCCATTCGTGCTTTCTGGTTTTGAAGTGCCTCGTCACTCGTGCTTGATACCGAACTTCCCCGAGCTGTCATTGGAGAGATGAAACTTTCGACTAGTTCGTATCTTCCCGGATTTTGTCTCAAATGGTAGTCAACATGTTTATAATTAGCAATTGGATTCATGAAATGTCAATTTGCCTCAGAGCGAGGCATCTCAGCAGATCAACGCGTTCCTTTAACTGGGGAGGAATGGATGGCCATTCTCTTCTGGCGTTTTGTATTACATTGGCGAGTCTTGGTTCCAGCCTTTACTGTCAATCACTCAGAGACCGGGAATGGAGAGAGAAGGAGCCGAGAAATGTATGTCGTGTTAGAGAGCAATACCGAACACTAATAATATTAATAGGGGTCGACAACGACTCCCAAAGGATGCCATCTAAATCCAAACACTAACGAATCGAAACTCTAATGAGCCCTGGCTTGTCCTGTTTGGGCTTAGTCCCGAGTTCCTGCCGCGAACCACACAGACCAATCGCCCTAGCCTTGAAAAAGACTAGCGTGGATGCCCCATTCCACGGGTGTCGAGGCATCTAATTGTTTTGGCTGCCCCCTTTTTACCTTTTCCCAGAGGTTGACGCGGCTGTTGTGAATCGCGACTCGTGACTTTCCCCGTGACATATGTGTCTTTCTTCCACCTCTTCGGCTCTTCCCTTATGATGGACGATGGTATCGTCAAGATTATGCATAACAGCCAAAGAATGTTTCAGGATATCACTGATTGATCGTGAAGAATGAAGCTACCATCAACTTCCATTGAGTACACAGTAGATACTACTAGTGTCTATCAACGAACTACGGAGTAACTATTGCAATAACCACAAACAAACATGGGGGCTTCCTTAGCCACCTTACCATCCTGAACGCCAAACACTCGCTTGGCGGAGACCTCTTCCCATCTTCACTGGATTGGGTAATGCCGCGCCCTTATCCAGAAGGACTAAGTTGACTAACTCTCCGACTAATACGTTAGTTCGATAATCGCTTTTAGGTCTTTCCAATCATCTAACTCTTTGAAGGTTGGAGTCTTGACTCTTGAAGACGGTGTGCAAACTGCAAATGCATTATGCAACATTTCGACTATCTACCTGTCTATGGAGTCAGGAAGCCAAGGACTGCCAATGTAGCGGCCTGGCACCTCTTCTTCCTCACCCTTGTCCTTGACTGTCTGTCATGCTGCATGCAATCGCTAACGGGAATTCTCCGCCTCCACTACAGGCTCTAAGCACGAGTTGTTACATATTTGCCAATGCGTTGTTGGCTTGCTGCGACCCGGCCCTGCATCAACATGGGCTGCATAGCCAACAACGCTGAGTTTCAGCAGCCAAACACGTACATGTACATAGCTAGTGAAACTCGACTAAGATCCTCATTCCTCTTGTGGGGGTGATCAGCCCTTCGAGTTGCCGTCCCGTTCTTCGTCTTGACTGGCCAAGCTTGCTCCGCATGCTCGTGGTATGTGGGAACGGCGTTCATGCATGGATCCTATTTGGTGATTGAAAAAGTCGACCTTGATAAAATTTGTGAAAGGGTGAGGAAGAAAAAGGGAAAAAAGAGGACAGAGCTTACAACTTACAAGGCTGCAACTGATGACCCTGAGTTAAGCTCGTTTGGGCACGTTCGCTCAGATACTTTCTGATACCTCTACAGTCTGCAGCAGCGCAATCCCTCGTTCTCTGGTCGAGTGTCTTATGTCCTTGCCCTGAGAATAGTTGCTCTGTGGATATTCCTATGTTCCTTCTCCTTTTCCTTTTCCATCATTGTGCAACTCCTTTATCGTGTCTCTTATCAGGCCCAAGTTTCGATTACCGTCTGAATCAACAGACGAATCACCGACTGCCGTTTCGAAGTGGATATCCTGACATACCAAAAGTGCTCTTTGGATCTGTTGCCTTCGGTACTTTGTTCCCCACCTTTGTCAGTGCTTGTCTTCATCTTCTTTTGCCCCCTCCCCCCTTTGTGGACTGCTTCTGTCCCTTCACTACTCTCTTTGGTCCTGTTATCGGTCTTTTCACGCTCGTTATACACGGTCCAAGATGAGTGTCATCGCGAGCAGACCGGAGTCCGCTGGTATGCGCTATACAGCCATCTCTCATCAGAGTGAGGTGGCTCAGAACTATAAGGATTCAGCATATACGGTGACAGTGCAGCCAATTCCTTCGCGCACTTCGTCAATTTCTTCTTTCAGAAGTAATTACACCGTCTCGACTTCTCCTACCTCCTACTCCCCTTCATCACCCACTCCTTCATATCGGTTGTGCGACTCTGCTGCCTCTCTTGACAAAATTTTGGAGCCGGTCTTCAAACGTCTGCCCCAGGAGGTATATGATGGCATCCTTACCCAATTGCAGAATCTGCATACCGATCCACAACAGACGGGGTGTTTAACATGTTTCTACCGCGACTTGCACGCCCTTTCCCTGACGTGTCGTGTCTGGGAGAGGGTTGTCCGAACCAAACTGTGAGTGTATATATCTCAATTACTGAACTCCGATCATCTAGGCGTTATGGGCTTCAAGTTGCTGATGTATGTCCCTTTTCTAGCTATAATTGCATTCACATCATCGGAAATGATTCCCCCGCTCATCTGAAGAAATATCGGATGAAAAGAGGAACCCGTTTGAAGCTTCTGAGACGAACTCTCCGGGAAAGAAAGTCGCTGGCCAACCTTGTTTTGGAGCTTCGTGTGCCGCAAATGGACTTGCTCTTTACAACAAGCAAACATAGCACTCAATGGCAAGAATACCGAGATCTCGTTGCATCCGTCGTTATGGTTTGCCCCAACCTGGAACGGTTGTTGGGCCTAACCATCGCGTACAATCACGAATTCGATCGTCTCACACACGCCTTATCAACACGAAAGAAGTTGAAGGAACACACATGGATGCTGGGAGAGGGTCCGACGTTTTCGGAGGAAGAATCTCCTCGTAACACTTCTTGCCCGGGTAGCCTAGGCCCTTTGCAGATGTTCGAGTTTCTGGACTACCATGCATCATGGTCAAACCTAGAGACCCTGATGATCTGCACGCTGAATGGGAAAAGCGCTCTTGAACCGAGCGTCTTCCTGCGCATGATCCACTCCCTACCTTCACTGCGGCATCTCTGCATCTCATCGTTCGATGCGGATGCTTTTGCAGATAGTGCATTGCTTTGTCTACCGCCTCTCGAGTCACTTAGGCTCGAAAGCTTGCCCGGTATCACCGATGCGGGTCTATCGCAATACACTTCGCGCCCGGAGTCCCACTCCTTAGTGTCTCTGGCTCTCATCGAGCAGAATGTTCAATCTCTCCTTGTGATATCCAAGATTCTTGCCTCGCTGAGGAATCTAGAGCGGTTCAAAATTGTGCAAACTGAGCACTGTCCGACATTGGATAATGATGGCATGGTTTTTCAACCGCTGTTCGCATCTTCGTCTCTCAAATATCTGCATTGGGATGTTGCTTGTCCGAACCCGGCCACTGCCCTGACGCGCCTCGATTTCGCCCCCTTTGCAAAGCCACCAAAACATATAGACACTCCCAATTCACATCTTGCCCAGAGCATACTTTGCGCAGGGTTCCCCCGTTTGGAAGCCCTTCGAGCACCCTCGGATATAGAACCTCCGGGTATCCTCCAGGCCGTTTGTCAGCCCATCCCCCGTGGACAGGCTCTGATCAATTCAGACAGGTACAGTCTGCCTCGAAGTTCTCATGGTTCAGTCAGCACCAGACCAATGGCCCTTCCCGCCGGCAATAATCTAACGTCCGCGCGAATACGGGCACAGACATTCATTGACATGGCGTCTAAGGACACCGAAAACGGGATGCAGGTCCTCATCACAGATCACTCGGATTCCTACGTGCCTGACAATGCGTTAGATGAGGAGTCGGATGACGAGCCGGATCTAGATGTTGATCAATACGGATATCCATCCGTTCACGAAAAGTCGAAAGAAGAGCAGGATGGCCCAGTAACTGTGTACAACTTCAGAATGCCCGCGTACATGGGCAGAGTTGGTAGTAGAACTACTGGGAGAGATGTGTCGATACCTCGCTTTATCCTTCGCCCCGATCTACCTGGACAGGATGCGGATGGTGGCCTCGTCGGTTGGAAGCATGTCCTGGCTTCTAACCAGTCATTGACGTATGCTGCCGGCGTTGGAGTAAGCTGTTTTGGCAGCAAAGGCATCGCAATGTCCCCTTCACCCCCCGAGGAGTCGCCGCCGTCCCCGGCCTCAACCACATTTACTCGATTTGGATGGGGCAGCATTGGGAGTCGCTCAGCACTTGGAACGAGTCCTGTCACGCCGACCACCCCGTCCACCCCCATGAGCCTGGCATCAGCAGCCACATTACCGTGGGACAAGGATACCTGTACTGGCTCCTGGAACTATAGCCACAAGAAAGGCCGTGACTGGTGGTTCCATATGGAACGTGATCGTCCAGGAAGTGTCCAGGTGATTGATGTCAAAGGGTTATTTTGAACATGAACAAAGCGATCTCTCGTTTGACTGTATGGCCGGGACGCTTTGCAAATTCTTTTTTTTTCTTTTTCTTTTTTTTTTTTTAAACTTGTTACTGCAACTGCAACTGCAACGGCATGCACAAGGGCATGGCGTTTGACGGCTGGCTCGACTCATAACGAGCGAACTCTTCTCTTATTCACTCCTATACCTATACACGGCGAGATACCCTGGGGAAACACGCTGATAATACAAAATGCACGCAATCGTGCCGCCCACATGGGACTGGATTTATGTCTGGACATCTCCATCCCCACCTACTACTCAATTCCTCATTGTGAATATACCTATGACAGATTTCTCTCTCATATCTCATGGCGCATGAACGGAATTTGCTTGGATATGGTTCACATATATTCCCCTTTCAATTGATGTCTTTTCCTCCGTTTCCACCTTGGTTGGTGGAATTGTTGTACAATATCTCCTACTACTAATCAGATTACATGATCAAACACATAATGCATCTCGAACTCAGTATACCACTATAGAAAAAAAACAATATGCACAAGAGAGCCATCCTATTACCATTGATTATAATATTCTCGATAAACTGAGGACGGAACTTGTAGCATGATGACTGGGTTATCCTATCTATTGCCCAGCAAATTTCGCACGGAGGAGAGGTCCGCACGCATACCGAATACTGACTGGCTTTGAACCGGAAGTACTTTGATAGATACATGATCATGAGATTAAGAGACAAAATACGATGGCGATAAAATGCTATCTTAGACATAGATACCCATATTCGTATCCTTCTTCTTGGCCTGGACTTCGGCAATCGCATCGACGTAGTTCTCATGCCCGACCTTGTTCATGCCCTTACGGAGCGCGATCATACCCGCCTCCACACAGACAGCCTTGAGCTGTGCACCACCGAATTCATCGGTACTTCGGGCCAGTTCAGCCCAGTTGACAGTGTCGTCCACGGCCATCTTGCGGGAGTGAATCTGCAGGATGTTTGCGCGGGCCTCCTCGTTGGGCAGGGGGAACTCGATCTTGCGGTCCAAACGACCGGAACGGAGAAGGGCGGGATCGAGGACGTCGATACGGTTCGTAGCGGCCAGGACCTTGATACGGTCGTCCGAGGCGAAGCCGTCAAGCTGGTTTAGAAGTTCCAACATCGTCCGCTGCACTTCACGATCACCGGACTTCTCCGAGTCGAAACGCTTGGTACCCACGGCATCCAGTTCGTCGATGAAGATGATCGATGGGGCCTTCTCCTTTGCAAGAGCGAAGCAGTCACGAACCAGCTTGGCACCATCACCGATGAACATCTGTACCAGTTGGGGACCCGCAAGCTTCAGGAATGTGGCGTTTGTCTCTGCGGCACAGGCTCGGGCGAGGAGGGTTTTACCGGTACCAGGAGGACCGTACATCAAAGCACCTGGAGAAGAGGACATGCGTTAGCAGCTGATGGTGAGAGGACGAGTGGGATGGAGAAATGCGTTAGGAGTGACATACCCTTTGGTGCCTTGATACCGATCTTCTTGAATCTCTCCGCCTCCTTCATTGGCCATACAATAGCTTCCACGATTTCTTCAATCTGCTTGTCCAGACCACCAATATCCGTGTACTTCTCTGTTGGCTTCTCATCGACCTCCATGGCCTTCACTCGGTTGTCATACTCGGCGGGTAGCGTATCCAAAACGAGATATGAATCCTTGTTCACACCAATCAGGTCACCGGGCTTGAGCTTCTCGTGATCTACAAGACCAATAAGTGGGAGATAAATGGTCTGACGGGTCGATGTCTTGATGACAGCGGATTTGCCCACGCGGGTAGCATCGAGATCGATGTTGGCCCCTTCTTCAGCGGCCTCTGCCTCGACATCCAGGTCCAACAGTTCAACAACGTTTCCGACAAGGTACGGTAATTGTCTGCGAAGTCAAAGTGTTAGAAGCAGGCTGTAAAAGAGATAGCACATCTCCAGTCGCCACATCTCCGTCTCCGGAAGTCGAGGAGCACGCGCTGGCAGGTCGAGACAACCATGTCTTATTATAGAGCAGTTATGCCATACCTGTTGTTCTCGATCTTTTCCTGGTTATCCTTAACCTTTTCCCGCATTGTGCTCTGCTCGTGCGTCAACCGCTGATATTCACTCTTCATTATGCGGAGCTCGTTCTCCAGCATCCGCCGCCGCTTGACGATGTCTGCTGTGCTCGAATTCAAAATCTCATCGTCCAGAAGCTCATCTTCCTCCTCTTTCTTTTTCGAGTCGGCGTCTTGCATTTCGGCATCGCCATCGCCTCCGGGCTTCTGGCCGTCACCGTTACCATCGCCCTGCTCCTTCTTCTTGTCTCTCTCCTCGCGCTCAAGGTCTTCCAGATCTTCGAGGGTCGACATGGTGGGAATGAACGGGTAGGTGAAGTAAAAATCAGATCAAGTGTGAGATAAGAGATCTGGAGTTTCGATGATGAGCAATGAGGAAGGAGGAGGCCGGGTTGTAGGGAAGGAAGATTGGAGCTGTTCTGACGATGCTCTAAGCTCCGGCCAAACAACGTCAGCTCCTCTGCCTACATCACGTGACACTCACCTATCACCGACCGCCTTCATCATCGATGAGCTTCTACGAGATACTACCAACTGATATAGATTGCCGGAGAGCGTACATCGCTTAGATGAAGAGTTTTTATGTGCACGTAGTGATGTCTCCTAATTACACTTCACATCTTTCTGTCTTCACACTAGGACTTGGAAAGTTCTCAAAAGAAAATAATCATCGGCGAACTGTCGCCATGGTTCCCTAGATAAGCATGTTCGGGTTTTCCTTGAAATAGGCAAGGTTCCCAAGATTCTCGATGACCTTCTCTCTTCCGTACTTGAGCAGACGGTAGCGCGAGATAAAATCGTCGTTGTTGACTAATGAGAGTTAGGATGAGCGACATGTTACAAATCCCATGAAAGGAGAAGGATGGCAACATACCATAACCACCGCACATTCGTCGCTTTCCGGTGAACTCGGAGCGACCATGGAGCATTCTCCAGTTATCAAAGACTAGGGAGTGGGTTAGATGAGCCTGGCAGAATTCAATCTCTCATGATGAGGACTTACTGAGTGCTGTTCCGGGTTCGAGTTGCGTCCAGATTTCAACGCCAGGGCGCTGGATGATGTTGTTGTAATGGCGTGCAGCATTGTACCAGCGGTTCTGTTCCTTCAAACCCCAATTCCGTTTCGCTGCCCGATCGTAGTTGTTCCAACGAATCTGATATAGCCGGCCCAAGTCAGGATGAATCTTGAAGACAGGTGCCTGTTCTGCTGGCTGGATGCACACATCATCGTTACCACTTGCGTGGTACGGATGTCTTGTAGAAGCTAATACTCCTAAATGCTTCGGGTTCTCTCTTCGCATAATAGCAGCGGCTTTGAAGCCATCTACAAGTAAGCTGGCACCTCCATGGCCTTCAGTATGTGACAGAAGATGGAAAAGTTGGAGTCTTGCTGGGTCAGTGAAATAGGTGTTATCGGTGTGAGCACCGAGAAACTCTTTGGTGTATGCAGTGTCCTTGAAAGTCAAGTCTGAGGTAAAGTCCCAGAAACCACCTTCCCTCTATTAGCAAGGATCGACGGCGGAGAGCAGACGGTGAATTGGAAATTATGGGAGCATTACCGTAATGAGTGTGTCTTATAAAGGCAATCCGTTCGATGAGCTTTTGGGTTGATTCAGGATCGACAGGGACGCCTTTCACGAAACAGAAGCCCCATTTGTACTTCACCATTGTTAGCCGCCGAAAAATGCAGGCCCCAAACTCGCAGAGACGGAATGCTTACGATCTCATCAAGCCATTCCAACAACGCGACGTCATCCGACATTACTGCAGAGTACTGGACTTCGGGGTAGGAGTCCTGGTCAGGGTTGTAGGAAGAGAAAGGTCTATCGAGAAGCCCATTAGCCAAGTAAATTTTAAGCAAAGGATTAAATAGCTCACCTGAATTTGAAAGGTGCTGAATATGTTTTTCTTTCAATGGTGAGATTCACATGTGCGTTCAGCCATGAATATGGGAAGGTTCCCCGGTGTCCATCAGAGACTTTGGGGCATTAGCATGAACAGACCACTAGTGCTTGGGGGGACATTACATAGTATCTCCACGTTCTTGGGCTTATAGATCACGTCGGCCACCTTGACGTCGGGGTGGATCTGGGAAGGACATGTCAGCGTGTGCACGTCTCCAGAGCAGGCAAGAGAGTCATACAGAGAAGACATCCACAGATCGTTGCTTTGTATCTGGGTGAATACAGGATGGACACTGGCAGTTTTCTCTGAGCAAATACCATATGAGTATTTGCAGTCGACCAGCTGGATATACTAGTGCGCTCACCTGAGGAAGAATGATCCACTGCGATTTATAAGTCAGATACGGGACATAACCGGCGCTTGCATAGTTGACTTACAACTCTCCATAGCGAGTCGTCTTCGACCCCAGAGGTCCTAAGCGCACCGAGGCAAAGCTTCTTGCTCTGTTTCTCGGAAGTGCATGGGACGCAGCACTCGTTCCCTTCTTAACATTACGACCGGTTGAGGACGAATCCACCACATCGGCCGACGGAGTCTCCTTTTCACCCGTCAATGTGGATTCCTGCTCATGTACCGAAGAAGCTTTATTTCCATCCACCGTCGATGCGGCTTTTCCACCTGTGAACTTAGTCTTGGTCTCAGGGATTGACCCGGATTTGTTCTGACTTGCAGGTAAGGGTTTCTCTCCAGATGGCGATGTAGTCTCGTTCGCCTGCGCTGATGGTGTCTTGTTTGGAGGAGGACCGCTCGAAAACTGGCGTATACAAACAGGCTGACGGCTGTTCAAGTTCAAAGGACGGCCATGATTCGATAAATCCCGGGAGGCCACCGACTAGATATATCTGTTAGTAAGAGCTGCTGCATATTATGCGCAGTTCAGTTCGCGCGCCTGCCAGCTGAATAAATCGCAGTGCTCATCGCATACCAAATGGGTGTACTTCGGAGTAAGTCCTGTCCTAAAGTGTCTTGCGCTGGTCGCCGTGTTAGTTTAAGTTGCCGAAACGATCATGTAAGGGTCACTTACCAGACGTGCTTCAAGGCCTGAGGAGCCCTGAGTGAAGTATATGTATTCATCCTGTAGTCTGCCCCAGCAATGGCGCCTCCAAAGTCGGGTTCTAAGAGACCAAAAAATGGGTGCGGGTTTCTCCGCACCGCCATATTCCCTTCTCCACGATGCACATAATATAATCACGTGACTCAATTGTATAGTCCTTCGAATCTAATAATCGCAGATAATTTCGATGAGAGTAGCAGATTCCAATGCTCAATGTGCCATTCTACTTGAAACTACGGCGTTCGAAGACTACGAGCTAAAAGCGGACTCCTTGAGGTAATCATCATGATACCTCCACGATTGCAGTTGATAGACAAGAACCGACGGCCCTGATGATAGGAACCCCAGAAGAGACGCCAATTGGGTTGGATTAAGGTTCAAACTAAGAAGACAATCATGACAGGCTAAAACTACTATTGCCAAGATGCCCCAGTAAGAAAGGTCCCTCACCTTGGAGGGATATTTTCAGAGTTGTTATCTATCTACTTGTCGTTGCTGCTGGCACTCATCACCTCTGGTGTAAAAGGTCTTGCCTACTCTACAATTACCCAGGGATTGAGCCTGTCAGAAACCACCTGGGAAGGCCTATGGTCATCAAGTCGGTAGCAATCGACTTGGAAAGCATATCGTAGGAAAAAGAACAAAAAAATCTCTTAGAAAAAAAAAACATTGTATCAAGGGCTAAAACAATCTAAGGAACACGTCGGAGGCGGCTAGACTGAGCGTCGACTCGGGGTATCTACTTGGAAAATTCGAGGAGCTTCATAGAGTCTCTTGTGCAAAATCAGTCTCTCCGTTTCGCGCCAAATAATGTGCCGTTCCCCTGCCTACCAAAGACAACGCCGAAATGTGAAAACAAATGCAGGACTAAAGAGACCAATGAACGACCCAAAGTCCATATAAGCAACCCTTCGAATATGCAATAATGCTGCCGTATATGGCACAAACTCTCATATCATTGGACATAAATCCATCTGTCGTCGAATAAAACGGGGGTAAAATAATCATATCGACCAGATATCAGCAAAGATCGATTGTTTAGCACCTGCAAAAGAATCAGCAACCGAAGAATCCGAACGTATAACTAGTGAACACCTACATTCTGTAAAAGCACTCGCCCTCCGCATAACGCAGTCTGTCGGTGGTCTCCAGTTTGTAGGAAATGTGGATATCGAGATCACGCTTGTTCTTGTCGTTGGGCTTGTTTTCCAACACACCGGTCACTGCCTCCTCTTCCTCGACGGTGAGAACATCGCGGAGGTACAACACAGTCTGCTTCCAGTGGGTATACTTGGCATGAGGGCCAGTGGAGAAGCTGATGGGCTTGTGGCAAGCAGTGAAATCAATATCGAACCACGCGATGATGGCATGGATAAAATCGCTCCGCTTGACGGGGAGAGAGAAGGGGACCTTGAAAGCCAAGTCCTCCTTGGTGACCGTGTAGAGGTCGAAGGTGATAATAGAGCAAGGATCCGTGACCAGGGACTTCAGCTCGACTGTGTCGACGAGGGGCTCTGTGAGGGCGATCTCCTTCATGGGGCTGTAGTCGAAGCCGTAGACGTTATCCCAGACTACCAGCAATTAGAACCAAGCGGTGACCTCAACTGGAAGTCTAGAAAAGTACTTACATCCGATCTTGTCATCCTTATACTCGCCATCCTCGATCGCGGCCAAGTACATGGTCGCCTTGTCGGGGAAGATCTTACCACCGGGGACCAGGTAACGGTCCCGAGCGTAGAGAACAGTATCAAGCATGCTCTCGTAAAGAAGGAAGTAACCCATCCACTCGGAGATGATGATATCAACCTCGGGGTAGGGGAGTACAACCTCTTCCATCTTGCCCTGGAGAAGAGTGACCTTGTCCGACAAGCCATTGACCGCAACGATCTCGCGCGCCTTCTCGATGATCGAGGACATGTCAACGCCAATTACGTGCTTGGCACCCGCCTTGGCGGCAAACCTTTATGACCATCGTATCAGTATGAGAAGTATTGACCGGTCCAATATCGCCGAGACATACATGCTGAGAATACCAGTTCCGCATCCGACATCGAGCACAACCTTATCCTTGAAGATGTGACGGTTTTGGTAGATGGAATCGCGGTACGACCGAGTACGAACATCATCTTTCTGTGCAACCGAGAATATCAGTATTAAGATCCAGTGAGATTGAACAGGGTTGAACTCACGAGCATCTCCTCATGAATGCCTGATGAGTTGGGTTGTGGTGTTAGCTTCTTCTATTCTATAGAACGTATCAAGGCTTCGATAGTATTTACCGTGGTGATCATAGCTGCGACATATGTCAGATATAAGAAACAATAAGTAAAAGATTGCCATTTGATTCATACCTTGTGAAGTAGCGAACTTCAGCGTGGTCCATGCCCACCATACGCTCAGCACTGCTGGTAATCATGGCCGAAGGCTCTGCGGACTGTTGTCTTTCGATACCCTCCATCTTGATAAGATGAGATGTCTCTGATATAGCAAATAAAAACTTTTATAATCCGAGCGATAACCCAAAGAATGAGAACAGAGAACGAAAGAATAAAATCTATTAGGATATGAGAGACGATGAAAGAGAAAAAGACGAACCAGTACGTCTTGGGCCCCTCAAAGCTCAACTTTTTTTTTCCCTTTTTGCCTTTGCCTCAATCAAAATTTCTCCTCCAAACCAAACACTAAATTCTAAATCAGGTTAGTCGCATTCCTGTGAGAGGCTAGGCTGTATTTGAAAGTAATCACGTGTTACCGAAACCCTCAGGAAGTTTGATCTGATTAGGGTTCAGGGGAAGGAGGTATCTCGGACTTTTGGCCGAACTTTGATATTTCCCATGCAACTTCCCCATATCTGGGGAGAAACACTTGAGCTTCTATCTAGTTGGAGCAGTTACGCGGATTGTGTTCCAAATTGCAGCCTGCAATGAGTTGTTGTTCCTACTATGAGACGAGTTCATCCTCCTAGGACAGCATTGACATTGTAGTCTTTTCTGTACTTATCTCCACTTACCACACCAGCTACGAGAAGGAGAGTGGGCTAAGTAAGATGTTTGAAATCAGATTGAGATTCTCTTTGATCTCTTGAAAATAGGAAATCGGGGTATGCGACATGATTATGATGATCTTGTCTTCCCCGCGCCTGTTGATAAATCGCCAAGACTTAGGTTGGGTTGTCTTGTTCAGTTCTCCATAATCCGGCGCGGCGCCTTCCGCCCTACTCTCCCCCTAAGCTCTCTGTCACGCTCGAGGTTTTCGTCCTGCTTCCATGCATCCTTAGCATCATGGTTCTGGGTCCGGCTAAGAGGAAGCTTTGCTTCTACTTTCTTGTGGTTCTTCTTGCCTCTCTCATCGGGCAGTCAAGAGCTTCCTTGGGTGACCATCTGCCAGACTTCAAGGAATGTGTAAAGGTATCGTCTACCTACAACAATTGGGACATTTGACCAGCAAGCTCATTATCAAAAGATCTGCAAGGCGGAAAACTGCCAGAATGGCAATTCTGTCATTCGTAGGTTCTACCGACGCTACCTTAATAATGCCACCCCTTCCGCAACTGCTAATAAACTCTTTTGTTAGCACTCCACCTACGCCTCTTGCTATGGACATGTCCAGCGGAATGCGATTATACCTGTCAACATGTTGTGACGGACCGCCGAGTCGCCCGTGATCCTCCGATGCTGACTCCCGTGGTTCAATTTCATGGAAAGTGGCCTTTTCACAGAATCCTCGGGATGCAGGAACCGTTCTCCGTCTTTTTCTCCTTGCTCAATCTCCTCGCTCATTGGCATGGCATCTCTCGGATAAAAGAGACAGTGCCATCTTGGCACTCTCTGCGGCCCTACTATCTCATATTCGGATACTGCGGTTTGGCATGCTGGACGTTCAGCGCATTGTTCCACACACGAGATTTCCCCTTGACGGAGAAACTGGACTACTTCGGCGCGGGTGCAAATGTGATGTACGGGTTCTATCTGGCTACCATCAGGATCTTGCGTCTTGATCAAGCGAAACCCCAGCACAAGCCGACCTTGCGCCGTTTGACAACGACCGTCTGTGTCCTGCTGTATACCATGCACGTGTGCTATCTCAGTTTCTGGTCGTGGGACTATACGTACAACATGATTGCCAACATCGTGGTTGGCTTGACGCAAAACCTGCTGTGGACATTATTCAGCCTTGTTCGGTATCGGGAACATGGCAAGCTCTGGATGGCTTGGCCCGCAATGATCGTCGTTTGGATCATGTTAGCCATGAGTCTTGAGCTCCTGGACTTCCCACCCTGGCGTGGACTTATTGATGCTCATAGTCTGTGGCATTTGGGGACGGTCATCCCGGCCGCATGGTGGTACAGGTAAGTGTGCAAAGGATGGGTATCAATCGTGGTGACCGAATTCAATGCTAATTCCGGACACTCTTCAACAGGTACTTAATCAAAGATATCCAGAATGACATTGCCAGCCACCGCTTGAAAGCATGATCTAGTGAAGAGCACTCATGGTTTCTAAGCCACTACTGCGACTCTTGGCGACAGATGATCAGATATCTCAGGCTCAGCCATCTTATGTCTTAGTATGTCCAATAGATATAATTAGAGAGTTTCAGGTCAGATCACTAAAAAAAAGTATTGCGTCATTCGCTTTTTTCTAGTATACTCATTTCTTCAGCAGGGCTTTACTGTGTAATTGTGTCTCAGTATTTCTTTCATTTGTCTTTTTTTTTTTTTTTTTTTTTATATATATATATAATTTGTATGATAGCCCCCCACGCAATAGGTTGTTTCCGGCTCACCGCTTGGGCCTGTATTGATTGTACCGGACTTGTACTAACTATGCGCGTGAACAAGCAAGGGAGCTAAATGTGGTGTGGCCTAAGGCTGTCAGCCCAGGTCCACTACTGGTCTCACCTGGCGCAAGTTGCAGACTGACTCCTGTCATCTTTTTTCTATATCTGGCGGACCCTTCTTTTTTGTGAGAAAAGAAATCGGTTTCTCTAAATTTCATCTATCCTCCTCCCTTCCAGTGACTCTAAATCGATCCTCCATCAATTTCCCTCCAAGGAATCCAGGACTTCTTCTCGCATCTTCCTTGGTCAGATCCCGCGCCGCAAACAATGGCGTCCCCAGCGGTTAGGAAAGCTATCTCGGAGGCAGCGCTGCAGTATGCAAAGCCAGAGGGACGGATCTTCCAATATGGCACCGCAGGCGTAGGTTGATTCTTCTATCATCATTTATATAATCGTCCATACTAACGGCAATCCTCTACGCGCTATAGTTCCGTATGAAGGCGTAAGTTTCCGTTGTTGATTCTTCCCCTCTTGAGGAACAGACCATGATCAACCCCACCTCCACCATAACCCCGCGATCGCTGTACGCTTTCACACCGTAACCAACATTTTGTCGCAGTGACCTTCTCAACACTGTCGTTTTCGCGGTCGGCTTGCTCGCAACCCTTCGGTCCAAGAAATTGAGCGGACAATGGATTGGTGTTATGGTTACTGCGAGCCACAACCCCGCGGAGGACAATGGTGTCAAGCTGGTGGATCCTATGGTGAGCTTCGAATCGAACTTCTGATAAGGGGTGTGGAAAGCGAGGTTGGCTAACTGATCTTCGACAGGGTGAGATGCTGGAAGTAAGCTTCTTCTCTTAGCAGCATGAGCTCCATCAATACTAACTGGTTTTCTTGATCAGGCCGAATGGGAGGCATACGCTACCAGACTTGCCAACGCTCCGCTGGAGAGTATCGGCGATGTTTACGATGAACTGATTAAGGAGATCGATGTCAGCATGGAGAATCCCGCTCGTGTGGTTTTTGCCCGTGATACTCGTGCATCCGGCTCGAGACTTGTCAGCGTTCTCAACGCGGCTCTTACTGCCACCGAGGCCGAATTCCTCGACATGAAGTACATGACTACCCCTCAGCTGCATTACATCGTCCGATGCAAGAACACCCTTGGGACTCAGTACGAATACGGAGAGCCCACCGAACAAGGATACTACGAGAAGCTGGCTGAAGCTTTCAAGAGAGTCATGAGAGGCGTCAAGGTCAAGGGCTCTCTAACTGTCGACTGTGCTAATGGCGTTGGTGGGCCTAAACTGCGAGAACTTCTCAAATACCTGCCAACGGAGCCTGGGCTCGAAATCAAGATTTCGAACGCCGACGTCATCAACCCCGACAGCCTCAACTTCGAAGTAAGGGACATGCGTGTTGCATCTGTGTCGCCTTTGGTCAAGCTAACAAAGGATTCAGTGCGGTGCCGATTATGTCAAAACCAAGCAGCGTGCCCCACCATCATCCAAGGCGTCTGTTCTCGAGCGGTGTGCTTCCCTGGATGGTGACGCTGACCGCATCGTTTATTACTTCGTCGACGAGGGCAATGTTTTCCGACTGTTAGATGGTGACCGGATTGCCACTCTTGCTGCTTCTTTCATTGGTGACCTCGCCCGGAGTGCTGGCATTGCCCAAAAGCTCAAGATCGGTGTCGTTCAGACCGCTTATGCCAACGGATCCAGCACCGACTACATCGAGAAGGTCCTTAAGCTTCCATCTGTCTGCACAAACACCGGCGTCAAGCATCTCCACCATGCTGCCCTTCGATTCGATGTCGGCGTCTATTTCGAAGCCAACGGTCATGGCACTATCACCTTCTCCGAGAACGCCTTGAAGACGATCAAGAATACAGAGCCCCAGTCTCCGGCCCAGCAGCGTTCGCTCGAGTGCCTGCAGGCTCTCACTGACCTGATCAACCAGGCGGTTGGAGATGCCATCTCTGACATGCTTTTGGTTGAAGCCATTCTTGCTCACAAGGGCTGGACCCCCAAGGAATGGCTTGCCACTTACACCGACCTCCCTTCCCGGCTTGTGCGCGTGGAAGTGGCTGACCGCTCAATCTTCAAGGCCTATGACGCTGAACGCAAACTCGAATCACCCCCTGGACTACAGACAAAGATCGATTCCTTGCAGTCTCGCTACAACAAGGGAAGAAGCTTTGCCCGCGCCAGTGGCACAGAGGATGCGGTACGTGTCTACGCGGAGGCCGCCAGCCGGTCCGAAGCTGACGATCTCGCTACCCGTGTCGCCAATGCTGTTCGTGATGCCGGCACCGTCAAGGAGATCCTGCAGGATTCTTGATTGCCTAGTGTGTTGATATACTTTCAAAAGTATTTTCAAACCCCATATCGTTTGGCCAAAAAGCAGAGCGCCGTCTATAGCCCAAGGAAATAGCCATAACAGCGGGATGGTAACAGAACCCTTCAGATCAAAGGCTCGTCATCGACAGGAAACGGTCTACTGGGTTCTGTGCCATTGAAGAAAGCCCAAACATTGGGTCTACAGTATAGAGATAATGGGGATTATCATGAATGAAATAATGATCTACTCTAAGCGATGACTGTAGCAGAACATGGAAATGTTCAAATGCTAAGCTACTCGTGTTTATTTGATTTTATCTTTATCAATGTCTACTTGATCATTCACCTGATTCTCCCAGAAACAGATTGAAATAAAAATTGTCATCTCATATGGGTATTGTAATCATCAGTAAAAAGCGACTATCGCTAAGACTAACTTTTGTTCCTCCCTCAACCCTCTTCTTGATCCATCTCATCCCGCGACCGTTTCCCTTTACCGAACTTCTTCGCCCGCGTACCCTTCTTCTCATCAAAGTTCTTCATCTCCATGATAGCCTGGCGCTGAGCCTCGCCAACCCGCTCCGCCAGAACCATAACCTCATCCTTCTCGAGATCGTACTCGTCGAGCTTCTTCCCCAGCGCCCCTTCGATGCGCAGCCAGATCTCAACATCGTACTGCGTCACGAAACTAATCGCAACACCGCTCTTTCCCGCACGCGCTGTACGACCCACGCGGTGGACGTATGTTTTCGAGTCCGTGGGCAGATCGAAGTTCAGCACCACGTCGACGGATGGGATGTCCAAACCACGGGCGGCGACATCCGTCGCGACGAGGATATCCCGGCTGCGGGAGCGGAATTTTCCGAGAGCGCCCAGACGAGAGGACTGGGAGAGCTGGCCGTGCAGCGGGATAGCGCCGAAGCCGAGCGCCCGCAGGAGGAAGCTGATGCGCTGCGTCTCGTGCACGGTGCGGGTGAAGATGATGGCGGACTGGCCGACGAATTCGTTCAGGAGGTAGACTAGGTAGATGTCTTTGTGCTTGTGGGGGATAAACCGGTACGACTGCAGGAGAGTCGACACGGTCTGGTATTTGTTGGAGGAGACGGACACGCGCAGCGGGTTTGAGAGCGAGGCACGCTGCAGCGACTCGACCTTGGAACTCATGGTTGCGGAGAAAAGGAATGTGCGCCGCTCCCTGGGGAGGATCTTGAGGATTTTATCGAGGAGGGGGCCGAAGTCCATGTCAAGAAGACGATCGGCCTCGTCCATGACCAGGTATTTCAACGTTCGTAGCGAGAAGCCCTTGGTGTTTTCGAGGTGATCCAGCAGTCGACCGGGAGTAGCAACGATGATATGTGGTTTCTTTCCGAGAGCGATGGACTGCGACACCATATCCATGCCTCCGACAATGACGGCGCATCGGACATTGATTGTCGAGCCCAGCGCTTCGAACGATTGGGAGATCTGAAAAGCCAATTCTCGAGTGGGAGCAAGGACGAGACCGAAAAACGATTGTGGTTTGTCCATGAGGGCTATAATCAGACGACATTAGCTTCCATACCTATAGAAAGCAGCTCGAAACAGAAAAAAAAATACCTTGCAGGATAGGAAGAGCAAACGCTGCTGTCTTTCCACTTCCAGTCTCTGCTAATCCGATCAAATCGCGGTCCTGAAGCGCCAAGGGAATAGATTCCGCTTGAATTGGCGTAGGAGCCTTGTATCCCATAGTCGCACATGCTTCACATAACTGATCAATGATACCTAGATCCTTGAAGGACTTGGGTGCAGGTTTCGTCTCTGAGGACTCCGGTCCATCTTGCGCCTCAGCGTTATCAGAGTGCTTACTAGCGACGGACTCGTGGGAGCTAGATGATTCTGCGTCACTCTCATACTGCGGAGCCTTGTTGGCGATCTTGCGCTTCTTGACAGCTGACATTCTGACTGACTAGTATATGAAATGGAATACTCTTGAGAAATGAATTTGGTCGTATGGTTGGCTGGTTCATCTCAATAGAGAAAAATAATTTTGGACCGCAAAATAGTTCATCCGGGCTCCTCCGCGGTATTGCTCCGACAAATCTACTTTTTTCCTGGAACTAAGAAAAAGACACCTTCTCGTCCAAACAGCTGAGAGGAATTCTGGGAGACAATTATTTCCCCATAGCACCATATCTAGACTATAGTCAGTATGGCCAAAGCACGTGTTAAGAAGCGCACTCATTTGCGCGCGCAAAACGCTTCTGCCACTTCCAGAAGTGGTGCGGCATCGATGAGCAAAACTCCAAAGTCTATGGTCATCAGAGTTGGTGCTTCGCAGGTCGGTTCCAGCGTAACTCAGCTGGTGAAAGATGTCCGCTTGATGATGGAACCAGATACCGCTGTGCGGTTAAAGGTATGTTTGACTTTCTGGAAATTTTTTCAAACAGACCTGTTGGCGCGCCGATATCTAACATTGATCTTCTTCAGGAACGGAAATCAAATAGACTTAGAGACTTTACTGTCATGACCGGTCCTTTGGGCGTCACTCACCTCATGCTTTTCTCAAAATCCGCTACAGGCAACACCAACATGCGATTGGCGCTCACACCCCGTGGCCCAACCCTGCATTTCAAAGTCGAGAGTTATTCCTTGTGCAGAGACGTCGAGAGAGCTTTGAAGCGCCCAAGAGGCGGAGGACAGGATCATAAAACCCCTCCTCTGCTCGTGATGAACAATTTCAACTCTCCCAACGCTACAGAGGAATCGAAGGTACCGAAACGTCTCGAGAGTCTCACAACAACCGTCTTCCAATCACTTTTCCCGCCCATCAACCCGCAAGCTACTCCTCTTTCCTCGATCCGTCGTGTGATGCTCCTCAATCGCGAACTTACTGCTGGATCCGAAGAAGAGGATTCATATGTGTTGAATCTGAGACATTACGCGATTAGCACGAAGAAGACCGGTATCTCGAAGCGAATCCGACGCCTCGACCCTAAGGAGGTCCGCAGTCGGGAAAAGAAGAAGTCTGCGGTCCCCAACCTTGGAAAGCTGGAAGATGCCGCCGACTACCTGCTTGATCCTTCCGCAGCCGGCTATACTTCGGCCAGTGAAACCGAGCTGGATACAGATGCTGAAGTGGAGATTGCAGAAAGTACCACAAGAAAGGTCCTGACCAAGAGAGAAATGCAGCGCATGAAGTCTGGAGAGAACGCGAAGGCTCAGAAGAGTAACGGACCAGAGGTGGAGAAACGGGCAGTCAAGCTCGTTGAACTTGGCCCACGTCTGAAACTTCGATTGATCAAGGTCGAAGAAGGTCTTTGCGACGGCAAAGTGATGTGGCATGACTATATCCAGAAATCTGATAAGGAGATCAACGCTCTGGAAAAGAATTGGGATAAGAAGAAGAAGGAGAAGGAAGCGAGAAGGAAATTGCAACGGGAGAACGTCGAGAAGAAGAAGGAGGAGAAAGCGAAGGCCCGAGCTGCAGGAAAAGGCGACGCTGAGGAAGACAACGAGGATGAAGACATGGGTGATAATGATGACTGGCTCAGCGATGACCTCGAAGATGGCGAGGAGCCACAGGACGATGACGATGAATCGATGGAGGAATGAATCAAAGGAACACAATAGCGCTTTGGTGGCTCTTGTAAACGACATCGAAAACGTTTTTCGGGCTCGCGTTGACGGTACAGACATCTTTTGTCGGTCAAGCATGGCATCAACTTCATGTTATTGGGCTGCTATCCCGCGACATTCGTCAAGGATGTGCGCAGCAAACCACCGCAGAAGCCTCTTACATTATGATAGGTCTTGACAACTTCTACAACCCGGCGCGAATGATGTGCAGTTTCGCTTGAGAATTTCCAGATCAGTGACACTGATGGACACTTACAAACTTGATTTTCAATTACGTGCACGCGCCACGACATTTTGTGTTCGCCTGGAAGGGCGAATCCGGAGAGTAGTTTTTTTTATCACAAAAGTCTGGAGTATCTAGGAGTTATCAAGGATGGCATCTGTCAGATTCATATTAGGACGTATTTATACCCGCAATCGAGTATCTCATCCGATTCAGATGTACAGCGTAGCGCTTTTTTCATGCTGCTTGTCACCGTTTCAGTTTCTCTTCCACAATGCGCGACACCATCTTCTCCAGGATACTCATGTTTCCACCAGCAGTTCCGGCAAAGTAACCCTCGACACTCTTCTCCACGTATTTGCCCACAATGTCAATTTCCACATTCACATCATCCCCGGGCTTCTTTGCTGCCGTCACGATCTTCTCTTGTGTATACGCAATAAGCATGATTTCGAAATATCCATCCTCGCCATCCACAACTTTGGTCACCGTCAGACTGGCGCCGTCCAGCGTGACATAGCCCTTTTCCACGATATACCGCATAACACCCTGATCGCGAGGCTGCAATCTGAATACTAGAGAGTTCTGATCCGGCGTGACGGCGAGAACTTTTGCGATGGTGTCGACATGGCCTTGGACGAAATGGCCTCCCATCCGGGTCTCTGCCAGAACAGCACGCTCGAGATTTACCCGCGAGCCTTGCTGCAGTGATCCTAGGTTCGTCCGACGAAGAGTCTCGGGGGCGACACCAACCTTGAACGAGGTCTTGTCAAATGCGGTCACCGTGAGGCAGGTTCCTACATAGAGATATGCTTATTTAGTTATCCATCGTCTGGTGAGGGGTGAGTCCGAAGACCCCCGAGAGAGCTAGCGGGAAAGCGAAAGGACAGAAAAGAGACAAGCAAAGCTCGAACAAATAAGCCACGATGACCCTGCATACCATTGACACTAATACTGTCCCCGAGATGGGCATCTGTGAGAATCGCCTCACAATCGGAAATCGTCAGTGAGGTTCCCCCGCCCCCACTTGATGTGGTATCGAGGGGTTCGAGAGACGTAACCGCTAAAATACAAGAAGTTTGGTTAATTCTGCATTTTGTACATGCTCCTATGGTGATAAAGACTCACTCCCGATATGCTCAACGAGGCCAGTGAACATTGTGTTGACAAAGCTGGATTGCTTGATATGGTTTGAACGGATGACTGGAATGCCCCCTCAGACAAAGCAAAGATGCGGAACATCCGCGGTGGAGCTGACCTCGGCTGGGCCCGTTCGTCGGCCATCGGTGATATCGCCGAATCAATAACAAGTCGGTTTTCGGTCATCAAAGTGATCGGCTCGACAATTTAAACCTGTGGTCGTGACAGGTCTTCTAACCTACCTTCAGGAGCTTATATCTGAGTTAATTTCATTTCATACATGCGCAATCTCTAAGTATCCGAACGATGAATGCCACATTGAAGTTGCACTGGGCCGTCGCCCGTCGGCCATCACTCTACCTGTCGAAGACTATTCCGAGATGCACACCCCAAAGACGACGCTTCTCAGCGATCCCTGCCAGTGAGGATACACTTCCTCTGAAAGGTATCAGAGTTCTTGATATGACAAGAGTGTTGGCCGGCGTGAGTCTGCGTTCACCTGTCTGAGTATCTGTTTGGCGAATGCTGATACCTCCAACTGCTATAGCCTTATTGTACACAGATTCTAGGTGATTTGGGGTAGGTTCAAATACAATGAGATAACCTTTCATACATAACCGCATGCTAAAACTATTCTTATTTGAGCCAGAGCAGACATCATCAAGGTCGAACATCCCGTTCGCGGTGACGATACTCGTGCCTGGGGACCTCCATATGCAAAGTACACCGATGAGTCGCGGAAAGGCCCTGGTGAAAGTGCTTACTACCTGGCGGTTTGTCATGCCTGAAGATATAGCTTGAGAATCGGTTGGTTAACTTGCGCCTCAGGTCAATCGCAACAAGAGATCCATCGGCCTTTCCTTTGCTCACAAGTCCGGCATCGAGATTCTACACAAGCTTGCGAAAGAGTGCGATGTCCTTGTCGAAAATTACATTCCTGGTAGTTTGAAGAAATACGGCCTCGATTATGAAACGCTACGGTCCATCAATCCCAAGCTGATCTATGCGAGCATCACAGGATACGGCCAAACAGGGCCTTATAGTAACAGAGCTGGTTACGATGTGATGGTTGAGGCTGAATTTGGGCTTATGCACATTACAGGAAGTAGAGATGGTGACCCAGTTAAGGTCGGTGTGGCCGTTACAGATTTAACAACTGGGCTGTACACGTCGAACGCGATCATGGCAGCATTGCTTGCCCGCGTGAGAACCGGACAAGGGCAGCATATTGATGCTTGCCTGAGCGATTGCCAAGTTGCTACCCTGGCAAATATTGCGAGCTCGGCTCTGATCAGTGGTAAGAAGGACTCAGGGAGATGGGGAACTGAGCACCGTAAGTTTCGCGGTAGAACATCTATAGCTCCGAGCTCCCGATCGCTGACAGATGACACCAAGCATCCATTGTGCCTTATCGAAGCTACAAGACGATTGATGGAGATATCCTGCTTGGAGGCGGTAACGACAGGCTCTTTGGCATAATATGCGATCGTCTAGGGTACCCTGAGTGGAAGGCCGACCCTAGATTTGTAACGAACAGCGATCGAGTGAAGCATCGTAAAGAGCTCGATGGTATGATCGAGAAGACAATTGCACAGAAGACCACACAGGAATGGCTTGATATTCTGGAGGGCAGTGGGATGCCTTACGCTGCAATCAACGACATTCAAGGGACACTAAACCATTCTCATGGTGAGTTGTTTGTTTGGTATCTTCAGGGCAAGCCGACCGTATGCTAATGAATACTTGTCACTACCATAGTGCAAGCACGAGGAATGGTCACCGAGGTAGATCATCCAGCCTGTGGTCCCATCAAACTAGTGAACACTCCGATCAAGTACTCGCATGCAACTCCTGGCGTGCGAAGACCACCTCCAACTCTCGGTCAGCACACCGACGAGATACTCGAAGAGATCCTGGATTATGGAAAGAGCGACATTGCCCGTTTGAAGAAGGAGGGTGTATTATCATAATACGCAAGGTGGAAGTCGGAGTGGTTCGAAATGGAAGTGGATGTGTCCTGCCACCAAATCTCTGAAGGGAGATATGATCATATGACAGAGCAAACGGACTCTACGAACATAGATAGCACTTAGAAATGATTGACATATATCAAAGAAATAGGCTTGAGCAACAAGTGGCTTGCAGACATCAAGTCTCATCATCTTGTCACGAAGCTGGAATTCGTTGATCGCGGGAGGAGGAATCTTTGTATCACGTGATGCTATATAATTCTGGATCCGTCCATCAGACGACTTCCAGTATTAGATCCTCAAGAACAACAAAATATTCGGAATTGAAAGGTTGGACAAGCACTTGAAACCTGCGGAGCAGCGTTCACCTGGCTAGTTCTGGGGAATGTCACGGCAAAATGGTGTTCCTTCTCCCCTGGCGTCTACTTTAGAGACCACACACGGAACATCGAGTATCACCGCGAGTTCCCTTTCATCAGCTTCGCCGTTCGAAGGAGACTCAGCAAATATAAACCGTTCCTCCTCAATAGATTCTTCGTCGAACAATAGCTCGTCAACTGGTATCATCGGGAGAAAAGTGCAGATCCCGAAGCTCTCGGCGGCCACTACAGAGCTTCTTGCACGCATCGCTGGTAATATCAGAGGAGATCAGCAAAGGAAAGGTAGTTTTACTGCCGGTTGGAACACATCAACGTTTGGTAACAGCTTGAATGATTTAAACTTTTCGAGTTCAAACACGATGAAGGCTTCCTCTACAATCATTGAGCTTCCCACCGCGCCGTTCATCTACACGAACAATACATTGGCCGCTACACCAGCTTCCCTCGAAGCTTCTACAGTCTCGCAGGAATCTCATGCAAAGCCCAGGAAGCCCGTGTCTATTGCTCCCAAGCCAACGGCAACGTCACCAACTGGCTTGACGGCACCTCTTGCGAACCCACAGATACCGCCAACCTTATCATCACAGCCTCCAGTACCTATACTAAAGGCACCTCTGGCTCCCTTAGCCCCGAAGGCTCCTAAAGCTCCAGTTGCTCAATCCCAAAAGGGACCAGCTGAGCCACGCTCGCGTAAGACTGCTGTGAATAGAACCAAGAAGGGAAAAAGACGAAGACGCGGTGATGATAGTGACGGCGAAGGGATCATCAGAGCTGGGGACTCTAGCTCCGATGAGTCTGACATCGCACCTACTGCAACTCAAACCAAATCCGGTAGGCAAGTGAACCGACCGTCTTTGTATGTGCCTCCAGCTTCCTCACCAGCCGCTGTCAGGGCAAATGGCGTCCCCACCAACGGATTAGATACGACCGCACCTCGCAAACGCAGGCGGGTTAACCGCAAGATAAAGGAGGTAAACATCAATTGCATCCATTGCCAGAGGGGCAATAGCCCGGTGAGCAATGCAATTGTATTCTGCGATGGATGTAATCGAGCATGGCATCAGCTTTGCCATGATCCTCCCATCAACCCTGAGGTTGTGGCAGTGGCGGAGAAAGAATGGCATTGTCAAGAATGCAAACCTGTGCCAATATCCATTGTCCAGCCGACTGTTGTCAGAAGTAATCCCGATCTCCAGGCTCGGCTGTCGGGCCCTTCACTTCATCCTCCAGTGACCGTGCCTAGGATTGAAGCAGGAGGGGAATCTTTTCCTGCAGGAGAGCGACGGGGTTACCTATCGAGTCTTTCCCATGCGACCCTTGTTGAACTGCTCATGAATATTTCAAATCAAAATCCCTCCCTACCTATGTACCCAAGCGATCTCAGGGGTCTACAATCATCGCAATTTCCCTTTGAACCACACATTCCATCAGCCTCGGCTTCAGACACCATCCCAGTGGAGTTGCCAATCCCCACAGAACTAACGTATGCTCAAGGGGAGGGTGCAGACTCCAGAAAGCAGGCTTCCGCTAGTGACGGGAACCATCTACACTCTGCTTCATCGTCGCGAAAGAAACACCAATACGAATCAGATGAGGAGTCGGAATATGAAGAATTCCAAGAGCATCGATTGTATCCTCGTGCCGGGAATGGTTTCCGTCTGTCGCTTAATGCTGATGATATTGATATCATGCGTGAAGACTCGGCATGTACTACCTTCAGCTATGCTTTGCATGGTCCAGCGAAAGCTCGCGCAGAGGCGAAACAAAGTGCACCTGTGTGGGGGTCTGCATAAGTACCACTTTGGGTTTTATTCTCTTTCTTAGATTTTTGACTCAACTCGGCGTGCCTGTTTTCGCTATTGCATCAATTGCTATCTGCATATGATAGTCATACTTGCAGGCAGTTGTCGTTGCGCTACACGCATGGAGTATTGGTTTGGTGGGCTCACACAAGGGGCGTTTCATTTATTTACAGCTTTATTTGGATGTATTTACGATTGTGAGGCGGCCATTGGCCTAGGCGTCTCTCTTGTCTTTGTCATGCCCGACAGGTATGCACCGGCATCCTACGTCTTGAATGAATAACATGCGGTTTCCGAAGGCGTAGCAGCCGATGGCATCTTCAGACGGCCATTCGAGACAATATGCCTGCATACCTTCGCTGGCGGGTCCCATACCACCTCTGCAACGCTTTTCCTGGACCTTGACACGTTGCATCCGGTATCATCCACGTTGTAGATCAAGAGCAAATCAGGCTGGTCGCCTTCCCTCAGCGTCAGATCCGATCCCTGCCTGCCACACGGGAGCCCAATCGCAGCCCGCGCACGCGTCGAAACACATTCATACAATAGTTCTGCATCCTGCTGTGTTCCAGCCTGATAGACGCCCACACCTAGACAAGCCAGGCAGAGAGGGTCCGCGGAGCCCCACGGAGTGAACGCGTTCCCGACATTGTTGACCCCGATGGCGGCGTCTAGACCATGCTTTCGAATCATCTCTGGGATTTGCAAAGTTCCTCGTGGTCGGTCATGGGGTGGATCATTGGCCGCAAGGTTCGGCGAGGCCATGTACATATCACTTGTTGGTAGTCCGACGAAGCTCACAGGAAGATCATTCTGGCTGATCTCCTTGGCCAGGTTGCCCCATTCCTCCTCGGTGAAGAGTGTGAGTCGAGTGCAGTGGCCTAGCGTGATTCGCTTGCTGGTCGAGGCGGCAGTCCACTTTTTTCGTTGAAGTGTCTGTACAACATACCAAATGAGAGCCTCCTTGTTAGGGTCAAGGTTGTAGTCCAGGTGAAAGTCGACGTGCTTGCCAAGTTCCATAGCGCGCTCAATGGCCCAGTCAATGTTTCGCTTTGCAGCGTCTATGTTCGACTCGACGTACGGTGTGGTTCCAATGACATCTATCTGCGGATAGCGCTCCAGGGCCTCGTTGATAAGGCGGTGGTTCTCGTCACCATGCTCGCCGGAGAAGATGGGGTCCTGAGCGAAACAGACGATCTGAACAGTACAGCAGTCTTTCCACCGGTCTTTGAGCTCGAGGCCGACTTCAAGACAAGTCAAGCCTACCGTCTGATCCACCTCCACGAAAGCTCTCATCGCCGTAACGCCAGCGGAGACAGACTCGGCGAGCAGCCATTCTCCTCTCCGTGTCAGATCGGCATGTTTGAATTGCGTCTTGGCTTGGGTGGTGAAGGACAGCGCTTCCTGGAATGAGCCTTTTGATGGAAGAAGATGTGCATATTCGCGAGCGCTGTGGACAAAGGCTTTATCGAGGTGGATGTGTGGATGTGTCAGAGTTGGGAGCGCCAGAGGAGGGTCGTGGTCTGTATTTGACGGATGGCTCAGGTGCGGGGTGATTGCGGTAATTGTGCCATTTGGGAACTGATCAGAGTATTCAATTGCAATGTCCCAGGCTGCTTTTGGATTATTGCCTGCTAACCTGATACCTTGAATCTTTTCAATCCGCTTTGACAATGAAGGAGGTGGCATGTTGATGCAGGTGAAGTATAGCAGGGATCTTTCTATATATATAAAAATATGTTGTCTGGTGATCGATGACAAGGTAGACGATGGCAAGATGTCTGGGATGAGCACTTCAGGCTTTATAGCAGTTGATTATATCAGAATCAAGCTTGCAACTGATACGCTTGCACCCGACTCAGTATCAAAGACCAAGCGCATCGCATCTCTGTATCGATTGTTATCTCTCGAATCCCTCACCCCACACCTGGGCTATCTCCGTTTGCCGCGCCGGGCTTACTTCGCGAAACCAGCTCCCAGCGTCTACAAACATCTATCTATTCATCATAGCCTCAATCGGCAAATACTTGTGAAGGCTGCTTGAATGAACCAAGCTCTCATTCACATGCTGCGGATTGTATAATACTGTTGTCGGATTAGGACATTTCTACTTTGACGCGACGCGATTGATGATGACGGAGTCCGCTGAATGGTCGCCTTAATCAATATTGAACATAGACCTGCAACAGTCAAACCCATCATTCTTTGACGACACTACACCACACAACGAATTCCACCATTGTATACCCAAGACTGGATGACCTCGACGCCACCCACAATGAGCGCCCCAAGTCCACGCATCGTCTCTACATCTACTCTGCCAGCTTCCCACCTGCCGGAGAAAAAATGGCACGAACATCTCACCCTCGACCTCCTAATGTCTGTTCTCAACCGCACGCTATTCCACGCATTCGTTGCATGGGTTGCGGTCCTCAGCCTTCGAGCCCAGGCGATACCTTACGCGCATATCTCGTTTATCATCGCGGCGGGGTATGCGGCCTTTCTTACGATCCTGACTGTTGCGCGGGCGATGAACCAGAGACTCGCGTATGGGCTGCCTCGGCCGGTTGATTTGAGCGAAGAGGTTGTCGTGGTGACGGGCGGCGCGAGCGGACTGGGGCTGCTGATTGCGCGCATATACGGACTACGTGGAGTAAGTGTGGCCGTTTTGGATATCAAGGATGAACGCGACATCGATGGTTGGGAAGAAGTCTCGGGAGTGGACTATTATCGATGTGACATTGCAAAACGAAATGAGGTGGAGGCGACGGCGATGAAGATTAAGGAGGAGGTACGTTCTTCCCTACGCGCAGCTTCGCTGCAATTGAGGTAAATAGTCTGCGTAAAGATGCTAATATTCTTAGTTGGGAACACCGACTGTGCTTATTAACTGTGCTGCAGCTCGCATCAACGGCCAACCGCTCCTCTCTCTACCCACAGAGGCCTTTCAAAAAACCATCCAAACTAATCTACTTGCTGTCTTCCACACTTGTCAGGTGCTCCTACCTGGGATGTTATCTGCTCCAAATGGAGGAACCATCGTCAACGTCAGTTCGGTGCTGGGTCACCTGTCAGCAGCCGGTTTTGCAGACTACTCTGCAAGCAAGGCAGGTCTCAGCGCCCTTCACCGAACACTGGAGGCAGAACTTCAGGTCTCAGGAAATGATGAGATGGTAAAAATGCTACTAGTAGAGACAGGCCAGATGTCAACGCCTCTGTTCGAATCAGTCAAGACGCCGAACAAGTTCCTTGCGCCAGTTCTTGAAACAGTTCACGTCGCTCAGAAAATTGTAAGCGCAATAGACGAAGGACGAGGTGGCGTGATAAGGTTGCCCACTTTTGCTACTTTCGTCAACTGGTACGCAGTATTGCCGGCCAGCCTGCAGCGGTTTGCTCGATATCTGAGTGGGATAGACCATGCTGCACCATCGAGTCAGAAGTCACGTATTATGAAGGACGATTGACATTCCAACGAATTGAGAATATGATAAGCCAGATTGGACAATATATAGCCTGCTTTTTGGCAAAATCACATGGGGTATCACTGAGAGGAATGACCTTGAATAGACTTATGTTGGAACCAATCGAGTACCAACGACCAGGAAAGGTTTTTCTTGAAGATTCAAAGCTTATTGCTCGGTTGTCAAGATCATCTTTTCACGCTCACTGCGCCTCGGGGGCAGGGCGCCCTTCTTGGCATGTTTGCGGACATTCTCTTCACGTCTCTTAATCGCACCAAGTTCCTCTCTCTTGATTTCGCCCGCCTTCTTCACGGTTCTTGGCACGTGACGCTGGCGCTTGATCCGTCTGATTTCGGGCATATGTGAGTATCTCGAAATTAGAGCCTGATCATACTCCAACTTCTGTCTCTGACGGGCACTCTTGATACCACTGCGGTCGGAGGCCTTGGCCCGCCACAGTCGAACGTTGCCATCGTCGGACCCAGAGAGGATATACTTGTTGTCGGGAGTAAATTTGACAGAGAAGACACTGTGGAGACAAATCAGTAACTGGACATATGCAGTCCCAGAAGATGTTAAGACATACCGTTGCATTCGCTTGGTGTGATAGATGTCACGCGAGTGACCATGTGTCCTGCTCCAGAGACGCACTGTTCGATCGTACGAAGCCGTGACGAGCTCTTCACCAGTCGGGCTGAATTCGATATCCATGACTGCAGCAACGTGATCCTTGAGCACATTCAGTGCGCGGTCCATCTTTCTCATATCGAAGATGTAAGCGTTGTGATCTTCGTTGGCCACCGCGAAATTGAATGCCTCCATTGGGTTCCAAGAGATAGCATTTGATGCTAACCGTAGGACAAGCTTGTGAACAGGCGACGAAGTTCGAAGATCATACATGATGATAGAGCGATCAATGGCCGTTGATCCAATGATGGAAGTCTCTGTTTGGTTGAATGCCAGCGAGGTGATAGTGTCCACACTGGTGGGCCAGTGAAGTACCTGCGATGGTGTGGAGGAGGGCCGCGAGAGATCGTAGATGGAGATCTGGGAAGACGACGCAGCAAAATAAGGTAGTGTGCGGTGGTGTGTAACCCCGGTGAAAGCGCTCTGACCGAGATAAGTGGCCAGTGGTGGAGAATCGGACGAAGAATTGTATGGGTCGAAGAGTTTGATGGTCTTATCGCTCGCACATGAGAGCAGCTTCCGCTCTGGAGTCCAGCACAACCCCTTGACGATGTTCTCATGTGCCTGTGTGTTCCAAATCTCACCCTGAGTGGTCAAATCCCAGACTTTGACGACACCGTCACCGCTGCCACTGGCGAATCGCTCCAGAGAGCCAGGATCTTTGGCCATTGTGTAGACACCGTCCACATGACCGTCGCCCATCTGACCCAGAAACGGTGCGGCAAACAATCGCTCTAGCTTGACGGCATTGAGTGCACGAGTATATTCTCTTGCGCGTTCGAACGGATGCTGGGCTGGATCTAGATTGCGAGCTTGTCGGACAACAGCAGATCCCGGCGCCTGCTGCGACGCGGTGGAGCGAGAGAGGGCTTTGATTTTCTGTTTGAATACGTTAGACTGATGAGAAATTTGAAATAAAGTAGTCGTAGAACTTACCATGATGCTTCCTCACCGTAGATTATAAGACCATGAAATCAATCAAAAGATGATTGTTGAAGATGGGTTTGGCGGGCGGCCATTGAAATTTCCAGCGGTCTTTTTTTTTTCTGCTGGTTGTCTCTGGGGCGATTCGCCAAGCCCGCGGGCGGTGAACCCAGCCCAAGCAGCTGTCCAGCTCCAAGTGTGACGATAGCGAACTGACCTTCCATCACATTAGACACCACATCCATCTCTAGCTCATCTCATCTTCTTCCGCTATTCTGAGGACCCATCAAGCTCGCAGTCGACCAAGCTTAACTCTATCTGCAGTGATTTATACGGAAAACCCATTTTCACATCCCTCGGAACCGACTCAATCATGGCGCCCTCCTCGACAACCGCGGCGCGGATAGAGGAAGCTCGTGGTCTGGCGAAGAAGGACTCTTCCAAGGCCGAGGGAATTTACAAGGATATCCTCTCGCAAGGTCCAGGCTCAACTGAAGCATCGTCGCGAGATTACGAGAGTGCTCTGATCGGCCTCGGAGAACTGTATCGAGATGAGAAGAAGCCACAGGAGATCGCAGACCTCATCAAGACCAGCCGCGATAGCTTCTCATCATTTGCCAAAGCAAAGACGGCTAAGCTTGGTAAGAGTCGACTGGCCCAGTCACTATTTGGGAATCTTCGGACTGACTGACTTGTCCAGTCCGCCAGTTGCTTGACTTATTCAGCGAAATTCCGAACACCCTTGATATCCAAGTTGCCGTCATCAAATCATGCATCGAGTGGGCCGTCTCAGAACGACGGTCCTTCCTTCGACAGAACCTTGAAACCCGATTGGTGGCCATTCTCATGCAGAAACAATCCTACTACGATGCCCTTACCCTCACCAACTCTCTGCTTCGTGAGTTGAAGCGCATGGATGACAAATTGATGTTGGTGGAGGTGCAACTGCTGGAGTCGAGGGTTTATCATGCGCTCGGAAACCAAGCGAAAGCACGTGCTGCCTTGACCGCTGCACGGACATCGGCTGCTTCAGTCTACACACCTCCACATCTGCAGGCCGGGCTGGACATGCAAAGTGGTATGCTCCACGCAGAGGATAAAGATTTCACTACGGCATTTTCCTACTTCATCGAGGCGCTAGAAGGATACAGCACGCTCGACGAGAGCGAATTGGCCACGGCCGCTCTGCAGTATATGTTGCTTTGCAAGATCATGCTGAATCTGGTGGATGATGTCACCAACCTGCTGGGTTCCAAGCAAGCGCAGAAGTACGCCAGCCCACGGCTCGAAGCTATGAAGGCTGTAGCTCGTGCCCATGCCAACCGCTCTCTGGAAGAATATGAGAAAGCCCTCTCAGACTACAGGTACGAGCTTGGCAGCGATGTCTTCATTCGGAACCATCTCCGGAGACTGTATGATGCCATGCTGGAGCAGAATCTCATCAAGGTCATTGAGCCCTTCAGCCGGGTCGAATTAGACCATATCGCCAAGATGGTTGGTCTCGACACGCAGCAGGTGGAGAGGAAGCTCTCGCAGATGATTCTCGATAAGGTGATCATTGGTGTGTTAGACCAGGGTGCTGGCTGCCTCATTGTTTTCGATGAGACAGAGCGGGACCAGGCGTACGATGCCGCTTTGGAGACCATCGAGAAGCTGAGCAATGTGGTGGAAGGACTGTACACTAACCAGGCGTTGCTCCTGGAGTAATTGCCTTGTTTTTTGTTACCCCCATGTGATGTTCAGGAATGATATAGCATTGCAAGCATGAATGTGATTGTTCAATAAATGGGGTTTGTTTCAGGGAGTCGTTGCTTGCCTCTGTTGTAAATACACATTCGGGGCCGTACTGGATAAACTCAGGTCCTCAAGAATTAGTAGATCTATCCAGCACCATAAACCAGGATGATCAAGAGAAATGTAGCGCTGCTGTGAGAGAACTACATAGTAGAGTATCTTGATGCTTTGCTGGAGTCTTTGGCGGAGTTGACCAAAAATGGTATAGCGCAATCGCGGCAAAAGAATCGCGACGCTCCCAAGGGAACTCCCCGACACATCCATGTTCATCCAGATATCCAACGATTCACCTCAGGATCATATTTGATTCCAACCGAACTATTCGATCTCCGTGTGTCTTACTCGATACGCGAATGAATATGCAGCCCAACTATGCCCGCGGGTTCCCGCAAGGCGCCCAACGATCTCCTGCCACGCCTCGTCGCGGACCTCCAGCACCAGGTAGGTTTGCCCCATCTCCCTTGACTCCGGCAAACCTTAAAATCTGGGCATCCTCTAACCTCCAGTCGTGCAACTAGGACCTGCGATGCCTGTACCAATGCCCCAGCACGCTGTTCCGCCCCAGTACATCCCTCCTCAGCGCAACATGCCGCACCCCAACGATGCCGCGCTGCGTCGTAGTCGCAAGCCCACCGATAAGAACATTCCGGATGGCATCGAAGACGTGGTTGTTGGTGAAGGTGTACAACAATACAAGAACCTGCGCGATGTTGAAAAGCGGCTGGACGCCGCTATCGTTCGGAAGAGGTTGGATATCCAGGACTCGATCAGCAAGACCGTCAAGAAGTACCGGACGATGCGCATCTGGATCTCCAATACCGTAGAGAATCAACCTTGGCAGGCTGGCGCGGGACAGAATGGAACCGCTCCCGGGAGCAATCCTGGCTCTGGGCGTTACAAAGTGAGGATTGAGGGTAGACTCTTGGACGACAACGCCGACCCATCTGCTTCCGAGGACAGCGAAGACGAAGGCGACAACGCGGAAGCGAATGGCGATGCTATGGAGCAGGATGGGCAGAACACGGAGAAGGGCAAGAAAGCTGCTTCCAAGCGGTCAAAGCAGCGATTCTCGCAGTTCTTCAAGTCGATTACCATTGACTTTGACAAGTCTCCGTCTGCCAATCCGGAGGAGACCAAGACGATCAGCTGGGTCAAACCGCAGTTGCCGGCAAATGCTGTCTCTCTTCCTCCAACTGCAGACTTTGATTCCTTGAATTTCTCTCGTGCGTCTCAGGAGAACCTGAACGTCACCATCAGTCTAGTCCGCGACGAGGCTCCCGAACGCTATAAGCTGAGCAAGGAGCTGGCCGAGGTCCTAGACGTCGAAGAAGAGACCCGAAGCGGTATTGTCCTGGGTATCTGGGATTATATCCGGGCAATGGGGCTACAAGAAGACGAGGAGAAGCGGCTGGTCCGTTGTGACCATCGCCTACGATCGGTATGTCCGGGTACAACCCACTGGCATTGAATTTATCTAACCTGAATTAATTTGATCAGATCTTCGGCCGAGACCAAATGTTCTTCCCTCAAATCCCTGAAAACATTGGCCCTCACACCAGCCCATTAGGCCCCATCAAGCTCCCGTACACCATCCGTGTTGACGAAGATTTCCAGAAGGATCCCACCCCAACAGTCTACGACATCCAGGTCGCCGTGGAAGACCCTCTCCGCGCCAAGATGCTCGCTCTGACCCAGAACCCGCAATATACAGCGGGATTGCGACAGATTGCCGCCCTGGACGACCAAGTGGCGCTCATTGTGCAGGCGCTGACCCACTCGAGAGCCAAGCACTCTTTCTTCACCGCTCTGAGCAAAGACCCTGCCACCTTCGTGCGCCGCTGGGTTAACTCGCAGCGCAGGGACTTGGAGACCATTCTTGGCGAGGCGACTCGCGGCGGCGGCGAGGACGGTAGCGGACCGGAATTCCGACGCGGAGGGGCCGAGAGCGTGTGGGATACCACGGTGGCCAGGGAGGCTGTGCGATATATGCTTGCTAAACCCGAGGCTGCGGCGGCGCGGTAAATGTGCAGTGATGTTCTGCTTTTTATTTCTATTGACTAGCTTGTGAAGGAGGCGCTCGGATGGTGTTTGGTTGGGAATGCTTTTACTTATTTCATCTTAGTAGTAGTTCAGAGCCTGTCATTGGAGAACAATACAATATTTCACCGTTTGAACTCTTCAAATAACCTAAATGAGCTGAAATGAAAACGATCAAATGACGCTCTGCACTGTAACCACAAACAGATCAAGAAAGTAAAAGTGATGGTTCTGAGTATTGTGACTGAAAGATTCCCAGAAAGTGACTGACTATCAATCAGACCGAAATTAGGAATAATGTCCGCTGCACTAAGCGGTACGAATGCTAGGAATAAGTAAACCAAACTGATTAGCGATCTCCGTCAAGCATCGCGATGGCACATAAATGATTAACCACAGTTGAAGAATGAGCCGCCGCAAACAGGACTCATTCAAGAGCGAGCTACAATGGTCGGATCAGCCTTCCTCTTCCGCAACTCATCAGTGAGACCGGCATCCACGGCCGATGCAATTGGTTCGCCGGCGAGGTCACCAGTGGTGAAGGCACCTTCCTCCTGCTCCAGCTTGCCAGCCGCCTCGATGACGACAGTCTGCGCATCTTCCTTCTTTGCCGCAGGCTTGCGGAAGCGTTTGAGGACGGCATCAATCATCTTCGTGAACCAGTAGAAGTTGAGGGTGTTGAGGACGAGGTTTGAGACGACGTACGTCACGACCAGCCAGGTGGGCACACCGCCGGCGGTGTAGCGGGAGAACTTGGAGATCTCGGCCTGGGCTCTTGCGCAGGCCTGGTTGACGCAGAGGGACCCGTCGCGGATCTGGAAGACGTCTGCGGTGATGTCGACGGGGTTCAGGGCGGGGGACGTCGATGCAGACCAGCTCTGCTTGAGGGCGTACCACATGTCCTGGTACACCAGGACGGACTGCCAGGTGCCCCAGATTAGGCGGCAGCTGAAGAAGACAGCCAACAGCAAGATACCGTTGTACAACTGAAACTTGCTGCCGGTCATATTGACTTTATCCAAGAACCAGTGCATGTTGAGAAAGGGGCTGGAGAGTTCGTAGAGGATGAAGACGGGGGAGTAGTAGTTGACAAAAGGTCTCTGCAGGGAAATATGTCTTGTTAGATCTCTGACACCATTTTGTCTGGCAATTTGACGATTTCCAAGCAAAAGAACAAAAGTAATGGGACAATCACTCACAAATCCAAAGCTGAAAACCCACAAGGCACTGACAGCATGGAACAGCATTCCAACACCGAACATCTTCAGATAGACCGTACTGATATACAGATCATAGATGAAGTATCCCGTTGCCAACGCCGCGACGAGCGCGCATCCCCCTGTATACCCATATATCCGCTCCGCCGTTGTCATCGACTTCCGCTCTTCATCCACAAACAAAACCCATAACCCTACCGCATTGATGAGCACGCTCTGCACCAGAGACACAACATGGACGTCCCAGTTAAGCTTCGTCCGTCTATTGAGCTTCGGGTAGTGACGTGGGAAGAGTATCGGAGATAGCCATGGCGACAGGCATGAGTGGATGAACTGGTAAAATGCGAAGGCAGCGATGATCTCGTGGACATGATCGGTCACGGCGGGGATATTGAGATACACGGCCCACGGCTCAACCGCATCTCGCAGCCATTTGGGCGACGGTGGAAGAGGATCCAACATGCTTAGGAGCTACCCTCAGCAAGAGAGGGAACAAAGAACGCTCTCGTAGAAGTAAAGGGGAGTGGTGAAGACTACTCCGTAGCTGCCTAGGGAGCTATGTCAGTCTCCCCTATAACGGAGAGAGGGAGATCAGTTCCGGCTGGTATCGAAATGTTTTTAATAAAACAGGCAACAGGTCATTTAGAGCGCCTCTAGACAGGCCATAATGCAGGAGAAAAGCGAGGAATATGGCGCAGGGGGAGTAGGATACCTAATAATTATGCACTGTTGACCTGTTCCAAGACAACGATACAAGAAGCGCCTCGGTTGGTCGTGTGCCTTGTGATGCCTGATTCGTCAGGCTTGTCGCAGTTGGCGGGAGAAAGTGTTGGGGGCGCCTGCTTCGTGTGACCAATCAGGTGATGTTGTCCGCTGTCAAGCGACCTGTTGCCTCAGGTGTCGATTTCAGCCTACTCTCCAAAGTACGGTCAGGCACTCTACTTGTAGTATTGGATAAACTGCTGCATGATAAGTTTACAGGATTAAAGGAGAGATTATTCATGTCATTGGACTCATGATCAAAACTATGTACTATGGAAAAATGCATGTATCATGACTCCCATACAGAACATAGACAATTCGAGGTATGAACGACAAACAAAGGAGAGTACAAAAGAAAAGTCTTCAACACAGGGTTATTGCAAATCCGGGGACTGGAAGCATGGTTCGACACATACAAAGGAGAGGGTTGTATGGATCGTAATCGACCGTTGATGCAGAGAAGCAAGGAATCAATAATGTTGCATGGAGCGGTCAAGGGCACAGCTAACTAGGTCAGCCCACTGTGCTTGCAATCTCGGTGCCAATCCCGCTGTCACTATGCTGGCCATAGAGCACCATCTTTGTTGATTCGAGGTCAACCGCATTTTCGGTCAGCTGATCGTCCTCCGACTCATTCCCCTTGGTCGTCTGAGCATCATCGCTAGACTCGGATAGATCATCGTCGTGCTGTTCTCCAATAGCTTCATGGTCATCTGCAGGGGAGCGCGAGCCCGCAGTGGACAAGTTCGTGGAACTGGCAGCGCTCACTCGTCGATCGTCGGCAGAAACCACACTTCCAGTTCCGTACACCATGCTGTCAGCATAAGTTCCAGTGTAGCTAGTCCTGCGCTCCGTGCCAGTATCGCTCTCGTCCCCGCTCTGGTTCTCGTCCTCCTCAGGGAACGTTTCGTTCTCTTTATTGGCCATGGAGCTTCGACCACCCCAGGAGGCTTTTCGCAGTGAACTGTTGGACTTGACGGAATGACTTCGCTTTAGATTAGTAAAGCCGCTGCTGGCACTCGCTCGACGGTCGGGCACGCCGCGATTGCCGGTAACATTGCTGAGACTGAGGATTCTTCGCTCTTTGCTTGTCGTGGATGGGGAGCCGGATCCCGCCTGTGAGGAGGCCGGAGCTCGCTTCTTCAATGCCATTCCGACGCTGCTGCCAACGATACTCCGAGCGTCTCGAGCAGTACTAGCATTGCTGGTAGTACTAGGTCCCCGGGAGCGGCCGCCACGCGCCTTTTTCATGTTCAGGCTCTGCAAGCCTCTCGGCCGGTTGATAAGCACGCTCCGTGCATGATCAAGAACGCCTTCCAGGATTCGTTTTTCGAGGCTTTCAGCACGGTCCTCCATGACCTGCATCTCCTCATGGCGGAGCTCAAGTGCCATTTCCAAGCTGGAAAGCTCCTTGCTAAGCTTGGTATTCTGCTTGACAAGGTCTTCCTTCTCAGATTTCAAGGTATGAAACATGGCCAGCAGAGAATCCTTTTCTTCCTTGAGAGTGATGATTTCGGACTCCACCTGCTCCTTTTGCGCGTTTCTCCTCTCCAGCGCAATCGCCGCTTCTTCCGCCTCTCGGCGCCTGCGCTCCGTGTCCTCGGCCACAAGCGCCGTCTGAGCTGCAAACATCTCGTTCATCTTGCGTGAAGTCTCCATGATATCCTTGTGCATCTCGTCTAACTTCATCATTTGCGTGACCGATTGATCGGTATTTGTTGCGTGGTCCAGAAGGGTATCCAGCTTTTCGTGAATTGGTCCATTCGTGTTCGTTGCATGATCAAGGAGCTCACTCAACTTGTCGTAGACTTGAGCATTCGTACTCGTAGTCTGGGTTAACAATTCGTCGAGTTTCTCATGGACCTGGTTGTTTGTCACCCGCTCAACAAGAATATCGAGAGCCTCCTTGACCTTCTCATTCTTTGCATGTTCCAGAAGGTTGTCGAGCTTCTGACGGACTTGAGTATCATCGTACTTTTCCGGCTCGGGGGGTGGAAGCGCAGGAAACATTGATGGAATAGTTGAAGGCAGGATGGAAAGATCCATCTTGATATCCTTCGTCGCCTGCTGAGAATGGTCGTAGTGCTTTCCAACAATGGCGAGGATTTCCTGGATTGATTCCAAGACCTGAGGATGGAATTCGTGCAGCTTGCTCTCAACACGGTCCGTGGCAGCCACTGCTCGCTCAAAGTCAGAGCGTGTTTGCTCTTGGTGGGTTTTAGCCTCATGGTGCATCTCTTCAATCTTGCTGTATGACTCGCCGACCTTCTCAAAGAAAGCCTTCGTGTCCACACTGATGCGTTCACACGTCTCGTTGACGCTGTCACCCATAGCACCAATGACAAGCTTGATGTCTTCAGCAAGGGCTTTGGTGTCGGTAAGAGCCTCCAGATGCGCATTGTCGCGTTCCTCGGTTTCAGAAAACTTCGTTCCCATAGCAGAGTGAACTTCATCGTACTTTGCCATGACTTCACCAAGTTTCTCATCGATCTTCGCACCCAGCTCGACAATGATGGCGGCCCGAGACTGATCGTGTTTGACGAGGGCAGTTGCATCACGCTCCTCCATCTCCAGTTTGCTGGCATCCTGCTCGCCACGGACGCGCTCGAATTCGCGATTGATGAGCTCGGTAAGTTCGTGGATGCTTTCAACGGTGCTGAAAGTTTCCGCCGAAGCAGCCAAGCCTTCAAGCAGTTGCTTAAGCTCAGCAAGCCCCTCGGAGCTTCCATCCAGCTTACTCTTCAGCTCGTCACCGAGTCCCTCGACCACAGCTCTTGCTTCATCGATTTTCTCTGCGAGCCCGGCATGCTCGGTCTTTCTGGCGTCAAATCCTTGAGCAGTCAGGTCGTTTTCGGCCTCGACCTTGTCCCTGAATTCGGTGATAAGAATTGACAGGTCCTGGATCTCGGTCTTCGTAGGTAGCGTCTCGACATCAGGGAGTTTCAACTGTTCGAGCTGAGATTTGACATCAAAGATCATGGCCTCTACTGTCTGTAAATCCGACTTGACCAGCTTCTCGGTGTCGGTCTCCCCATCCGAATCTTTGCTCTTGAGCTCATCAAGAGCAATATACATGTCCTTCAATAGAGTTTCCAGAGTACCAATCTCCGATTTTGTTGGGCCCTCTGCTTCCAAGCGTGCAGAAAGATCCGCGATTGCTTCCTTTGTCTCATGGACAATGATTTCTAAGCTTCCCAGTTGCTCCGCTTTGGCAATCTCGTCAGCCGCAGGGAACTTCAACTCATCAAGCTGCGACTGCGTGTTCCGGAGGAGGGTTTCGATGGCGTCTGTGTGCTCCTTCTTCACTATCGTGTCATCTGCAGGTAGGTCCCGAGCCACTATTCCAGCCACTGAACTCTGGAGTTCGTGTAGGCCCGCTATGACCTCGTCCAGATGCTCCTTCTTCAATGCATCTTCAGACGGCTCGGGGATGCGTGGGGCAGCTTCTATGGCCTCTACTTTGACTTGTAGCTGAGAGATGAGGGCCTTTAGGGCCTCAATATCCCCACTGATATTCGGCTCATTTGCAAGCATCAGTTCGCCTCCTATGGCTGTGTCGGCTGTGTCCATGTCCCTGGCAGTATCCTGCGGATGGCGCAGCATTTCGACATCTGATTTCAAGCTACTGAGACCTTCCTTCAGAGTGTCCAAGAGCTCGGAATGGTCAATTTCGACCGGTCTTTCCAGGAGCTTGGCCAAGTCACCTCGGATTGAAGTGACGCCATCATTGAGTACCTCAATAACCTCACCGGTTGAGAACGATACGTTGTCACCGCTGTCTTTGTGTTGATTGCTTCCCTCGCGGAACGCTTCGATACTCTCGCGAAGGGCCGCAACGATTTCGTCTTTCTCGGGTTTTGGTTGGACGGGAACAAGGCTCATAGTCATCGCATCACGAACGCTCTCAAACTCTTCCTTGATGACCTTTGTGATATTGCTGGTGTCTGTGCTTTTTTGGCCCTCGGAGAGATCGCGTATGGCGTCAAGGATCTCATCTTTATCGTCAGTAACGTTGTTTCGAATGAGAAGCGAGCTTAGGGTCGAGCGGAGATGCTCGAATTCCTTCTCCATGGCATCCAGAAGCTCTGGGGTATCCGGGTTGCCACGTTGGCTATTGGTCAATGCTGCGTCTGTAATAGTCTTTTCAATGTCGGCATGGAGCAGTCGGAAACCCTCTTTGACAGTGTCCATGATCTCATGTTTTCCGGATGCTTCGACCGCAGTAGCAACGAATCCTTCGACATCCTGTCTGACAGCACCGAGGCCATCCTTGATCGCTTCCAACATTTGCACGGTTTCTTTCTCACCATTGGCGGAACGCTCCTGGACATTCTGCTTCATCTCTTGGAGAAGGTCCTGGAAACGCTCCAAGGCCTGCTCTCCAGTGTTGAGATTCACAGTGCTGAGGGCTTCCTGCAGACCAGCCGAAATAGCCTCCATCAGATCCTCCTTGTTGAGTTCGATTTCCCTGATCATGGAGTTCTGGTTTTCTAGGCCTTCCGCAATCGCAGCCAGTATCTCTTCCCGAGAAACGTCTGGCTCGACATTCTTGCTGACGGCCGAGTCATGAGCTGCAAACGCGTCATTGATGGCATTGGCAACATCTTCTCTGGTGATGTGAGCGGGTTCGATTTTTTTGGCTGTATCAAAATGAGCTTCCAAGCCTTCTGACAGAGCGCTTAGTATCTCATCTCGACCGAGACCCGAATCAAGGCTTTCTCTTGTGAGGGTGCTTTGAGTTGCCACTGATTCGGTCACTGCCTGCAGTATCTCATCGCGAATGGCGTATAGTTGCTCATGATTCAAGGACCGATCAGCTGTCTGCTGAGCATGCTCTTCAAGGCATTCACGAACTGTTTGTGCAACTTCGTCCTTCGTGATGGTTGGTGGCTGCCCAAAACTCTGGATTCCAGCCTGAACAGCGGCCAGAACTTGGTCGTAAGTGACGGCCTCTTCATGCTGTGGCTGATACGCTTTGAGCCCCTCAGTCAGACACTCCAGGATTTCGTCACGCTCCAGACCAAAGTTTTGAAGCTCGATCTCGGGTTTGTATGTCTCCCAGGCTTCCCGAACAGTCTCGAGGATCTCATCCTTCTCTAATCCAGGTTGCTGGGGAGGTTGCGACATGCTGTGTTCCTCCACAACTCGTTTGACAATGGAATAGATCTCGGTGGTATCCAACGCCGAGCGGAATTCTGACAAGGCGGAGGCATGTTGGCGATGTTCATTCATGATAAATGCCATTTGATTTTTCAGCTCCTGAAGACTGCTCTCCACAATGCCGGATATTTCTTCTTTGCTGGGAGGTGTGGGCTCATCGTCCTCGGTCGAGCGAGCCTTCTCGACCTCTTCAAGTTGTCGGGCAAGGTTCCTTCCCATACCGAGAACCTCACCACGCAGTTCTCGGACCAAGGCTTTGACTTCGTTGGTCATACCACCTCCTTCAATGACGCTGTTCTTTACTCGTTTCATGATCGACAGCATCTCGTCGGCAACGGCATTGTCTGCTGGCTTTGGGCGCTCGGCAATAGGACCGCTTTCGCTCTGGACCATTTCCATGTCGGGTGCGTAAACTGGTTCGGGGTCCGGAGACCGCGAGAGGGATACATCGAAGCTGCTCCCTCTCTGTGGTGTGTCACGGTTGGGGTTCGGAACAGCTCTCGCACGTACCAAGGCTTTGCTTTCCGACTCCTCCTTCACCAATCCAAGAATCTCTTCCAGCATCTTGGTAATGGTGCTATCCGTTTGCTTGTCAGTATTTTCACTCGTTGGTCGGGATTTGATCTCGTCCACCAGATCCAAGAGCTTCTCTTGGCCTTCCTTGGTCGCCATTTCGCGCAGCACCTTCTCCAGCAATGCAATGCTGGCTGATCCATCCGAAATTGGGGTGGGAGATGCGCATAACTCGCGCTCCATTGCTGCAGCAAAAGGGTTAGGGCTCGGCATCCGGGGCGCCGAAAAACTCTTCCTCGAACTAGGAGAACTATCCGATTCCCTGTTGTTAATACCCAATTCAGAACCTAGGAGAGAACTGAGATCCCACCTTGTGGCAGCTTCAGGATCTAGCATTTTGGTGGCTAAACTTGTGGATAATTCACGCAGGCTTTTCCGTATATCTTCATCACGAGCGTTAGTGGCTTGTTTCAGACTTATGAGGTCCGTGGCATTGTCTTTGCTACGTCGGCTCAGCTGGGCCATCTCCCGTTGGAGATTGCTAGCAATATCGGTGAGACTGATGATCTGTGTTGATAGTGTTTCGAGACTGTGCCCAGATGGCCGCTTGGGTGTCGAGAAGGGGTCGGAATCGGAATTTCTTAGTGGGGAATCGCCCTCCTCAGGCAATTGCATGGTCTGGAGCGCCAACATAGTGGCAGACGGAGGAGTGCTCTCTCCGAGGATAGGTTTCGAGAGGTAGCGGTTGGAAATCAGAAGGTTGGGAGGGTCCCGCTCCAATTCTCGGTCTGTGGCACTGCTCGACTTGGTGGGACTCTTTTCTTCTGGCCTGGCTGGGCCCTCCATAATCGATGCCCGCAGAGGTCTTTCGGGTGACCTGTTCTCTAGGTAGTTAAGGAATTCCGAGCGTGTGTCCGCATTCTGCAATGACTGCATCCTCTTGTGGAATTGCCCTTTGATGAGTGACTTTTCCGGTGACTTTGGTGGCATTGCGTTTGTTGTGTATGGGCTTGGGGCGTTCTCTCTCATCTTCTCCGCGAAGTTCGCTGCCACCGCCTGGATACCTGGCGAAACATTGCCCTTGGTCGCTGGACTTGTTGAACCAGGATTCAACGGCAGCGGGGGTGGTGCCCGTTCAGGGTCCGAACTGTCCCACCTGTGTTCCCACGCATCAGTTGTCAGTTCCTTATGACTCCATCTATAATAAAGGAAGTGCCAACGCCTTACATGGGGATCGATTGGTGTCTGAGGACCAACTCCCGATCACGGGAAGCATCACGAGTATGAGACGACGGCATTGCGCAGTCTTCGGATGACTCTTCTTTTTTTTTCGAAAATGTGAATCTAGTGGGTATCTTCGTTGACAGTCGCAAAAAATGGGATGTGTTTCAAAATGACAATGGCTTTGGAATGCGCGGCAGAATGATTCGTCAAAATTAAGGTCATAAAGGCATATCAAATCGTGAGAACAAAGAGGAGAAGAAAACGACAAGTGCGCTTGCTGCAGGAAGGATGGAAAGAGCAAAGCCAACAAAGAACAACAAAGGACAAAAGCAATTGAGCAAGTGATATAAGATAGATAGACACCCGGAGGAGTGAATCTACTAAGTCGCCTCTCTACTCGGGAAGAGGAAGAAGAGCAACTACTTGAAGTAGCCGGAGCAGAGGAAACATGGAAGTGGAGTTGGCGCTGGGAAACAACGGTGGTAGCTCATGGGGCATCGATCTCCAATCCGGCCCAATCTGCGCTGTACACATCAAGGCTGTTGGCGTCTAGCTTCATAGCAACCAGCTCTTTTCCCGTTGTCAGGTAAACAATGGATGATGACGGTTGTTCTGCCCGGCGGTGAGGGATGGGGGGTTTGTCCGAGAGGTTGCGGGCACTAATCCTGTTGGAGAAAATATCCAGAAACAGTCTAGTCACATGTTGTCGGTAAATTGACCAATGGGCTTGGGGCACACAATCCTCGCCTTGCCCTGAACCCTCCCTTCCCGTGCACTACTCACAAGCGAAAAAAAGAACGTCGAAACGCGGGAGAACCTCGATAACACGACCGAAGCACAATCGACAACCAACCCCATCGACCTTGCGCTGCCGCTCACCATGAAGTGTTAGTTGATCGCCGCTACGTCTCTAGTTTTTCCAGTTATTCGGTATCAGAATATGCTGACAGGATGGTGAAATAGTCATGAAAGTGGGCCGTGTGGCCATCATCACCCGTGGCCGCTACGCCGGTAAGAAGGTACGACAGAGACTTTTTCTACGTTGTTTTTTTCGCGATATGGGACGGCAAGACGATTGGGAACGAGACGATTCGGTGGAGGGTCAAGAGAGAGAAAAAGATGGGATGGAATCGTTCTGAATACATGGGACATTTGGGACGACTTGGGATTGGATTTTGAAGATTGGGAGCTATTTGAAGGGACGTGCTGACCAGGGCCGTTTTTGTGCGAATCTACAGGTCGTCATTGTCCAGCCTAACGACACTGGCTCCAAGGCGCACCCCTTCCCCTACGCCATCGTCGCCGGTATCGAGCGCTACCCCCTCAAGGTCACCCGCCGCATGGGTAAGAAGATGGTCGAGAAGCGCAGCCGCATCAAGCCCTTCATCAAGGTTGTCAACTACAACCACTTGATGCCCACCCGTTACACTCTCGAGCTTGAGGGTCTCAAGGGTGCCGTCAGCCCCGAGACCTTCAAGGAGGTCTCCACACGCGAGGACGCCAAGAAGAACGTCAAGAAGGCTCTCGAGGACAGATACACCAGCGGCAAGAACAGATGGTTCTTCACTCCTCTGCGTATGTTGCAACATCCCGGGTTCGATCAGCAGTACGAGGGTTTTCGCTGACAGACTCTATACAGGTTTCTAAACGGGGTAATTTGGGGCGTTTGTCGTTTGAGCGCGCAAGGTTCTAGATGAGGCAATCAGAGGGAAAAAAGGGCATCGAACAAATTCGGTTCATGAGCATGGCATCAAACGAAGGGAGTATACCATAGCTGAATGCGGGAACCGGGAATGTATCGATGTACAGGTCCAAGACTTGGCCATGTTTCTTTTTACGAGGGCGGCCATTCAGACCTGGCGTCCATCTCGAAATGAAAATATGAACAAATTCAATTCTCTTCTGTTGTCTTATCAATACTTTCCTCGGATCGTCGGTACCTTGACCAGTTTGACAGGTTGTCGCCGTCTTCGAACCCCCTTTCTCGCCTCGTATGAACACCGATCCCAGTTTCGCAATTTGAGCTTTCCGGCCAAGCACTGGATTATCCGATTTCAGACCTCACAAGCCTCGCCGATCTTATGTCAATCAAGCTCTTTTTTGCAGCCTTCCATATATATCTCAGCAGCAGGCAAAGAACACATTCATCTTCTTTTTTTCATACGACTCGCCACGCCTCGGACACTCAGTAGCAAATCAGCACAGTTTGAAGAAGAAGAAAGAGTCAGCAACGTTGGTCTAAATCAGCAATAAGCGCAAGCCACATGAAGGCTACACTTTTTTAACATGCGTTTTTCCGATCATCTTAATCGATGCACATGAAAAGAGACCCTCGTACGGATTGTGCCTAGCCGCATATGGCAGTAGGTACTATGTACCTCAAGTACTCGGCTACACCATCCCTGTAGTACTGGTGGCCGTCCCAGTCCACGAAAACCAATGTAGATATGCTGATATTGCTGTCTTCGTATTCCCTGTAGGTAGACCAGGGTGCGCTTCGTTCTTAATGCGAAGATAATCCCAAGTTGCCTAGTGTTGCAAAGGTGATCCACCCATCAAATTGAGCTCGAGAGCATCTCTGTCGGATGATCGCCGTTGAGCTGCGAGGTATATATTTTGTAGACATTAACTTCCTTTCTCCCTACGGTTCTTACACATGCTATTTCAAGCTCAGATCTTGTGCGATTCATTTTCTTTTCGTGGATTTGATGTTCCCTTCTGAAGCACAGTGGCAATCATATGATGATATGGAGTCTATGTTCTTCAAGTATATAGTGGATAATGGATAATGGGAGCACATGAAACGTCTAAATATGAATCACTATTTCGATTACTACTGTGATATTGATCACCTGCAGTGCCACTCTGTTAGCTTGGGATCACGTAACACAAATCTTAGTCTACGAGGCAGTCCGAAGTAAATCTTAGGCTTCCGACTGGCGCATCGAAGCTGGTGGAGCAGACTCTTACAAAGAGAAGATGAAAGGAGTAGTCTACATATGACCATTCCTTTCCGAAAGGGTACTTAGCACAAAGGTACAAATCATATTTGCGATAGTCTCGATAAGTTTTTAAGCATTTAAGATGAAATATCAATGCTAATCCGTGGAACTCAGATTGCTGAGCTCAGACAACTGATCAGACGGGAAACCGAGAATGCACATCCTTTTCCAGCCTAAAACGAGGCCTCCGCAGACAAAATTCAATGTCAGTATTTTGTTCTTGTTATCTGTTACTATTAGTCTACTAGATACTGGTTCGTTCACTACCATCCTAAAGGCGAGAAATGTATGCTGGTTCGGAGATGGGAGGTTTGACTGATAAGTCCAATACCTAGTACCCTGGTTGCTGCTGTAACTCTTCCCAGTCAATAAACCGCTGTCATATGCGATATGAATGCACTTCATAAGAGTTAATGTTGCATAAATGATTATTGTGATGCCTCAACTCTCGCAGAATGTCGATAGTCTATGCGATGCTACCCGTAGTCAGATAGATGGATAGATAGATACCTATCGAGTATCAAGAACCTTGATGCTATGCCCAGCTTTTTAGCGATTGACCCACATTCACATGCTAATATCCTTCATAGGCGTCATGCTATTCCCTCCATAGGTAGTCTGAGACGTCTGCTATGATCGATACTCTCCATAGAATATCTATTTACCGTCAAAAGTTTAATGGGTTTTCAAGCAGCTTGCCATGCTAATAACGCAATCTTAGACTTCTGTCAAGGAAGTCTGTGATGAACCATGGCTTGAACTGAACGATTGAGTGGTATGCTTAAGACTTCGCTTCAGAGCCATCAAGGTTGGCAGAACTGGCAGAGGACTGAACAGAGAGATTTGAACTCTTGGTAGCAAGCAGTGTTTGCCCTCCCTGGTCAAATTAGGTGCAGCCGTAGTTCTCGGGTAGAAGGAGACGAATGATCATGGCCAATTCTCGGACTCGGATGCCTCGATCAAGGAAAGGAAATAACGGTAACCACCCGGGGGGGATCCAGGCCTTGTTCCGATGATATGGCGTTAGTACTTTAGCGCTGACCATGAGGTTTTCTACCAACTCGGCCCGCTATCACATGCTGCCAACTCAAAGCTCCCACTGCCTGCTTGAGGAAAATAGGGTAAGAAAATCAAAGGCTACCTACTCTTCTTGTTCAACACTGATTCACATTTCACACACTGACTATCTATTTGATGGCGATTATGGATCCTAATCTTATAGGTATTATTTATTATTATCTAGACTGCTGAAATGGCATGTGTCGAAAGTTGTTTCTCCTTAAGTTCCCGGAAGTCGTAACCTAAGACTAAGAGGAAGCATTTCCATTCCTTGGACCTGCTCTATATAGTCATCCTCCTGTGCTCTTATCTTTCCCAAACTTTCCGTCAAACCCCTCCAAGAACGTACTCGATATATCCCTTCCTTGTTCTCCCCTTAAGCAACCTACTCTTTACCCTTTCGTCCTTTTTGTGTGTGTGTTCAAGAAGCCTACATCACTCTATCATACTTCTACTACACTTCACCTAAGGTACTTTCGCGCCTCATCATCCTGTCGTTATTTTTATACTAACCAATGGCATCAACCGGATGCAGCACCTATGCCTCACGCAGAAAACGGAACAATGGCTGAGCCAGTTGTCAACGGCGAGATGGTCCACTCTCACTTCCTCGATGTAGGTTCCCTCGAGCTGCTTACCAAATGTCTGTGTAACATGTCGCTGATGGCGCTATTCTGCAAGCACCTGACCTCATACCCGGTCGTCTCAGACTCGATCGCTGTCTTCAAGAGCAACAAATATGGTGCCAAGTCGCTGGAGTATGCCGATCAAGGTTATGCTCGCCTAGCCAAGCCGGTCCTTCCTTATCTGTCGAAGCCCTACGGATATGTTGCGCCATACATCGCCCGTGTCGACACTCTTGGTGACCAAGGCTTGACCAAGCTTGATACATCCTTCCCTATCATTAAGGAGGATACGGACAAACTCAAGGGAACAATCTATGACACTGCCTATCTCCCTGTGCGTCTTGCCGGCGACGTGAAGACCCATGTCTACGACACCTTTGGATCGGAGTACAAGAAGTGCGGCGGTGACGGCGTGGTTGCAAGCGGCAAGGCTGTCATTAGCACTGGCTTAATTCTATCCCAAGAATCGTTGACCTATATCAACTCCGTCCTTCAGAAGAAGAAGGCTGAGGCCAAGGAGGCTGTCAATGACAAGGCCAACTAAGACCCCGTCAACGCCGACTCAAGAATTGCTTCCTCCCCGCTGTTCCTGCTTGTTCTGATACCTAGAAAGTATACGTCTTCTTTTTGTTTTTTTCCATTTTTTTCTTCTTTGTCTCTGAGAAACTGGCTTTTCTGCTGTTGACCTTCTCCATGGTATGGTGTGCAACTGGATACAACTAGGGAATGTCTCTTTCGTCTCAATTCCACCTATATAAACTTTTGAGGTTCCGTTAGGGCAACCTTAGACCTAATGCAATACAATTCTGCCCTGCTCTTCAAGTTGTGGCCTTTTTCATAAAGTTGTCTCATGAAACTCTATTCTAAATTATCACGGGTGTCCCACTATCGTCTACGTCATCGTCAGATGTTGTGTGAATCATGTAGATAGAACGATGGGATGGTCATCGCCATCCACCACAGACCTCATATCAGGGGATACAATTGAAAGACAAGGGTGGGCATATTATTTTTCTTGGAATTCTATCTCTCTTCTGTCAATTGCATGATCATTTTCTCGGCCTTCCAAGAAATTTGCATGTGATCTATCAGCCCAAGAGGGTGAGCCAAGAGCGGAACTGTCAATTACCCGAAGCGGATAAATCACGCCTGGTCCCACTATCAATTTGAGGCGCGTCAAACGCGTCTGTCCGCCGATTGCCTTTACCAGGCTATCTCATCTGCGTAACGCTGTAATATGACCTTTTGAACAAAGTCCGAATAATCCCTTTGATCAGATAGCTGAACTCTCAATCTCTGTTTTCTTCCTCCATACCGAGACCATGCCTCTGATCCGCAAACGCCGAGCGGTAGGTCGCCCATCACCCAACAATCAATCTGTTGCCTCTACTCATCTATTTTTTTTTTTTAGGAGCAACAGCCCGAATCTGCCGATGAAGACGACGTCTCGACCCCGATTAACTCGCGCCACCCCCGCCGACGCACATCGACCTCGGAAAGCGACGATGGCGACGCCTCGGACGAGGCGCGCGCCCCGAGTTCTCTCGACGTGATGGTCAAGAAGCTGGTGCGGCTGGCGCTCGCTCGCGAGCTGTCGCGGCAACCGGTCCGCCGCACCGACATCAGCAACAAAGTCCTGGGAGAACAAGGGTCGCGGCAGTTCAAGCTTGTCTTCGAGATGGCGCAGAAGTCGCTCCGCGAGACGTTTGGGATGCAGCTGAGCGAGTTACCGGGGAAGGAGAAGGTGACTATCCAGCAGCGGAGAGGTAAGGGTTGACCCTGGGGTTTTCTCCGGGTGGGACAAGCAGCAGCTAACAACACCCCCCCAACCAGCCGCTCAGCGGACAGATCGGCCATCGGCCAGCAACAGATCCTGGATCCTCACGACTACGCTTCCGCCCGCGTACCGCACACCGGAGATCCTCCCGCCGACCAAGGCCCCGCTCGAAGGCACCCTGACCGGATTATACTCCTTCATCATCGCTGTGATCACGTTGAACGGCGGCTCGTTGCCGGAGCAGAAGCTCGAGCGCTATCTCAAGCGGACCAACGCCGATACCTTTACTCCTATCGATCGAACAGACCGGTTTCTGCAGCGGCTCTGCAAGGAAGGATACTTGCTTCGGACGCGCGAGATGGACGGGGGCGAGGAAGTCGTTGAGTACTTGGTGGGCCCGAGAGGCAAGATTGAGGTGGGCGTGCAGGGCGTGGCTGGGCTGGTCCGCGAGGTCTACGGCCGCCAGGGCGTTGTGGAAGGAGATGACACAACGCCTGCGGAGGGTCAGCAAATGAGCGAGTTCGAGGCTCGGCTGGCGCGGAGTCTCGGTATTAAAAAGCTAGGGCGGACAGCAGAGGATGAGGATGTAGACGGGGACCGTTATGAGGAGGATGGGGAGGGATCGAGACGAAGGCGAAGGCGTGGTGGTGATTCGGATGATGAAGCTGACAGTGATTAGTGTGGATGGGCGAGCCCGGCTTTGTGTTGGTTTTTTGTGTGTATTTTCTGATTGTTTATATTCAATGGTGATACCCTTTTGAGTACAGTTTACTATGTTTACATTTCTTCCAGTCCCAATGCTTTACGTTGATGTGGGTGGACATGTTGGAATCTGGTGGTCATCCTTCCATTAACATATATATCTGGAGAGCTGTGTTATGGAATCCTGCTGTATTTAGCAGTTTACTTAACTACCAACTTTCACAGTATAAACAAAATTACCTTATCTGTATATCAAATTTAATCGAACTGCTAACGAATAAGACAAAGTAAGAATGTGTAAACGCCAGCTCAAACCAGATTAATCGCTTCAAAATACTCTGCACATTGCTACCTAGCATCCACACGAAACAACGCTCGACAGTATACAAGTACAGTAATCTATTGATCCAAAAGTGTAAAAGTGTAGGAAGCTGGATATGATCATAAAAGTCGTATACCCGAAATCCAAGAACAAAAAAGAGAAAAAAAAAAAAAAAAAAGGCCCCGAAACGAGCTCGCTCTCTTCTACAAAACCCTACTCGCTATCACTGGCACTATCATGCATCGACCCATTGTCACCACCGTCCCGCAGCCCCTCGGCTAGGATGTATTCCGCCTGCTGCAGCGTCGACTTGATCTCGGGGTTATTGTAGACCAGCTCGATGGGCTTCTGGTTATGCTTGTTGCGCACACGCGGGTCACAACCCGCCTCGCACATCATCTTGATCATCTCGAGGCCGCACTCGGGGTCCTTTTCGTTGGCGAAGCGCACGGCGGTGTGCAGCGGGGTATCTCTGTCCAGGCGGGTAAAGGGGTCGCATTCGAAGTACTGGATGTCGAAGAGGGCGTCCATCGTGTCGTCTGGGAAATTTTAAAAAGAAAGAATGGATATTAATTTTCTCCAACTCGTGAAATGGACTGTGCCGGAAGTGGGAGGCGGTTGGAACTTACAGCTTCCGTACATTGCGCAGATGTGCAGGGCGTGGTTTCCCAGCGCGTCGGTCACGCCATTGAAGAACTCGGCTACCTCCTCGTTTGACTTGTCGCTCATGCCCTCCAGTACCTGTTCGATCAGATGTGGCTGGTCGCGGCGGCAGGCCTCGACGACCAGCTCGCGGGGTGACGCGCCCTATAGGGAATTGGTCAGATTCACCTGTTCCCATCCGTGCCGCTGACAGCCGGGGTATGGGCACTCACGTCGTCCGCCATTTTCTGGTATGTTGGGGAGGAATAGTCGCTGCGGGATACGATTCTAGATCACGATGATCTCTTATTGCAATTGAGAAATGTCTCGAAGAATGTTGGTTGTCGTCGCGTGGTATTATGCGGGGTAGAATTGAACAATGTATCAGGATCTCCGAAGGATGCTTGTTATGGGACGCTCGGAACTAGGAACTATAAGCAAGTGAGTATGTACAGAACGGTGGAGAAAGAAGCAATATTCTGCATGTACACAAATCTAAAATATGAAGTTTTTGAACAAGAGAACGCCTACTTACAAGTATATGTTGACTCTGTTTGTCCTTCCTAGTACTGCTCTACTATGTACCTGCACAGTAAGCCCCCCCTTACTTATCTGTTGCCTGCAATCTGCTGCGGACAACGGCTCGGATTATCCATTGCGCCGCTCCGCTGCAACTGCCCCGCATCCAATCCGCGGTTGTCACTATCCGTTGCAGTATAGCCGCGCGGCAAAAACGTCGATTTTCCTCTCCGCCAGCAAGGATATACACCTCAGGCAGCTATCTGCACGTCAATTATCGAGAATTGCTTAAACCCTTGCTGCGGGATTGTGCAAGTGAAGCTTCAGCAAGGCGTTTTTCTCTCTCCCGCATCGTCTATCTGTACAGAGGATTCGGAAGGCCGATTCATCCCCCCGCAAGACTTCAAAATGCTGACATGTGAGTTTCTTTTGGCCCTCCGCTCACAAGCTGCTGGACGAGAGAGCTCCCATAACTGACTCGACCTTGTTTATTCTTCACCATCATCAGTCTGTCCTAATTGCGGCAATTCCTTGACCATCTCTCGCGGAGAGCCGACCCGCGACTACCCCCTGGGAGTCAACCGATTCGAGTGCCGCACTTGCCCCTACCAGCATATCCTGAAGAATGGCCGGCAGGAAAAGACTATCATGAAGCAGAAGGAGGTGGAGGATGTGCTTGGCGGCAAGGAAGAGTTTGCGAATGCCGATAGCATGGCCAGTAAGTGCTCACTGCGAGACGGGGAAGAGAAGATACATCCTAGTCCAAGTGTGTTGCAACGGAGAAGGGGCTAACATTGAATGCGTTCTTGCGTTGTCCCAGCTCAATGTCCCGCGGAGGACTGCAATGGCGATCGTGCATACTTCTTCCAGCTGCAGATTCGGAGTGCGGATGAACCTATGACTACATTCCTGAAGGTGGGTTATGGTTCATGCTTTTTGTTTTGCGTTCCCGCACAGCTGTGCTGGCACCTGCAGTATGCGCCCGTGCTAACTGATCTCTGATAGTGTACTACGTGTGGTGCCCGATGGAGAGAAAACTGATCGTCATCGCTACAGAGGGTGGGCAGGATTATGGCGGTGGAAGTACGGAGTATATCTTTTTGTCTCATCTGATTTTCGAATTTTTTTTTTCTGCGGAGCGGTTGTAAGTTGCTTGACTCATACATCGGTCAAGGAGAAGGTGAAAACGGCGCTATCCTGGTGGAGGCTTTATTCTATTTTTTTTTTGTTATTGCTTATTGCTGGGATGATGTGTTGTTCATATAGACTAAAGATACCCCTCAATAAACGTTGATTATCTACATGGAGGTTGTCTAGGCTCTCGACTGCATCGAGTATGGTCCGGAGTTAGAGTAGAGGTATTGTAGGAATTAGCCGCACCTTTTTTATCTTTCTTTCTTTTCTTTGGCGCTTTCAACATCAACAACTGCCAACTTTATAGTTAACCGCCTGCTCTGTAGCAGGCTAGGTAGCAGCCACAAGAGAACATCGAGTCTGGATTGGATAGAACCACAAACCCATGGTAGCTCTGGTGTCGGTCTACCAAATTTAGCTGATTCAGAATGAAAACCCAGTTGGGAGCCCGACCAGAAGAGTAGCCCGTCTAGTCCATTTGATGAGGGGTACAAACAAAATTTCTGATTATCTCTGACACCGGAGGCAACAACATCCAGCCTCTCAGCAGCCGAACGAAGGTGTGGCAAGTTGGCAAGTTGGCAGTTGGCAAGGTACAGGACTCCGTCAAAGTAAAAAAAAAAAAAAAAAAAACCATTTCCTGCGATGGAGCCGATTTGCATCATATGAAGCCTATCTTGGAACTAGTCTATCTAGTGAGATAGTGACGGAAATTTAGAGTGATCTGAGTTGCTGTGGGAGACGTGAGCTCCGGAATAATTTATTTTTACTTTTTACTTTTTTTTTTCTTTTTTCGTTTTTTTGCCATTAGTGGATACATTGGAGGTGGGCGCCACTCGACCGGGCCACTTGTACATGGAATAACGCAGGAGGTAGTTATGTAACCTAAGGCATGCCACTGTTATTATTACTGACAGTGAGCACTCAGCAGTTGTGTTGTTGCCCGCTAGCGGACAAAAAGAGGTAAGGAAGAACAACCACGAGCTGCTGCGGGGTTCGGATGCAAACATGCAAAACATGCCCCTCGGTGTCATAGCGGATGAGCTGTGACTACGAAGTACTAAAGTAAAGACTGATAGTATTGTTTTGGTGAACAACATAGTAGTAACTACATCAGAGATAGCTTGATAGAGAGTGTATCAAATGGAACCATCCCTGCGTTGATGCCCAGTTTTTTCAGTCCAAAAGTGGACTACAACTGGATGTACAGGGGGAGGGGTTACTACCTAGAGCCTAAGTGACTACTCCGTACGTTTGCTGTATAGAAAATTTTTTTCCCATTTCCCACCCAAGTAACAAGGAAACAAAGGGCAAAAAAAAAAAAAAATTGGACGAGATAGTGGAACCAGACTCGGGGTGCCGAAGGATATGAACCAAGGAAAAAAAAAGTGGCGTCCCATAGAATATCACTCCCAACAAGGCCTCCCAGCTTCCTAAGTGACCACAAGACGGCGAAACAGAGATGGACTGACTCCGCCGCCTGTGAAGATTTTTGCAGTCAGAGTGGGGCCTGTTACCCCTCCATGTCCAATGATAAGAGCGGCTCGCCAAGGGTTTGAGCCCGCCGCTTAGTCGCCTTCTCGCTTGCCCCTCCATATAAGGATTTCCCCTCCTCCCCCTCCCACAAATTTTTCTCTCTTCCCTCTCTCGTCCGCTTCAGTACGTATATCTTCCCCTCCCTTCCTTTTTTCCCTACCCTTTCCTCTTCTTCTCTTCTTCTTCCTTCAACTAACTCTTCCTTGCTCAAGTACCTCTACGCATTCCGCCGTAGTCCCTGAGCAATTTTCAAAGAACTTTTCTAGTATCTTACAAAGAACTACACAAGTTCAACCAAACCGTCACAATGGGGTGAGTGGAACAGTCTTCCCGTCCATCATATCGAGCTGGCTAACCGGTGCCTTCTATCTTTAACAGTAAGGAAGACAAGGCTCACATCAACATCGTCGTTATCGGCCACGTCGATTCCGGCAAGTCGACCACCACCGGTCACTTGATCTACAAGTGCGGTGGTATCGACCAGCGTACCATTGAGAAGTTCGAGAAGGAAGCCGCCGAACTCGGCAAGGGTTCCTTCAAGTACGCCTGGGTTCTTGACAAACTCAAGTCCGAGCGTGAGCGTGGTATCACCATCGACATTGCCCTCTGGAAGTTCCAGACTCCTAGATATGAGGTCACCGTCATTGGTAAGTCGCCGCCATATCATCGCTTTTTATATGTTGGCCTCAAAAAACAGTCCACTAACTGTCATCTGCAGATGCCCCCGGTCACCGTGACTTCATCAAGAACATGATCACTGGTACCTCCCAGGCCGATTGCGCGATCCTCATCATTGCCTCCGGTACTGGTGAGTTCGAGGCTGGTATCTCCAAGGATGGCCAGACCCGTGAGCACGCTCTGCTCGCTTTCACCCTCGGTGTTAAGCAGCTCATCGTTGCCCTCAACAAGATGGACACCTGCAAGTGGTCCGAGGATCGTTACAACGAAATCGTCAAGGAGACCTCCAACTTCATCAAGAAGGTCGGATACAACCCCAAGGCTGTTCCCTTCGTCCCCATCTCCGGCTTCAACGGTGACAACATGCTTGAGGTCTCCCCCAACTGCCCCTGGTACAAGGGATGGGAGAAGGAGACCAAGGCTGGCAAGTCCTCCGGCAAGACCCTCCTTGAGGCCATCGATGCCATCGAGACTCCTGTCCGTCCCTCCAACAAGCCCCTCCGTCTTCCCCTCCAGGATGTGTACAAGATCTCTGGTATCGGAACTGTTCCCGTCGGCCGTGTCGAGACCGGTATCATTTCCCCCGGTATGGTCGTCACCTTCGCCCCCGCCAACGTCACCACCGAAGTCAAGTCCGTTGAAATGCACCACCAGCAGCTCAAGGAGGGTGTCCCCGGTGACAACGTCGGCTTCAACGTCAAGAACGTTTCCGTCAAGGAAGTTCGCCGTGGTAACGTTTGCGGTGACTCCAAGAACGATCCCCCCATGGCCGCTGCCTCCTTCAACGCTCAGGTCATCGTCCTGAACCACCCCGGTCAGGTCGGCGCTGGCTATGCCCCCGTCCTTGATTGCCACACTGCCCACATTGCCTGCAAGTTCTCCGAGCTCCTCGAGAAGATTGACCGCCGTACCGGCAAGTCCACCGAGAACAACCCCAAGTTCATCAAGTCCGGTGATGCCGCCATCGTCAAGATGGTTCCCTCGAAGCCCATGTGTGTCGAGTCCTTCACCGACTACCCTCCTCTTGGTCGCTTCGCCGTCCGTGACATGAGACAGACAGTCGCAGTAGGAGTCATGTACGTACAATTTTTCCCCCATTTTAAATTCGAAGCTAACGATGTAACAGCAAGAGCGTCGAGAAGTCCGCGGGCGGTACCGGCAAGGTTACCAAGGCTGCCCAGAAGGCCGGTGGCAAGAAATAAGCGCATACTTCCAGATTTTGCTGAAATTTGCTGCGGTTTTGCCAGGATAGGCTCAAATGGATGTCATGCTATGACTTTAACGACAAAATTAGATTCAATCGATGACTTCGATAATATTACTTGAAACCGTAGTGTCTCTTCCCGTAATGTAGAAGTTGTGTTCCGTGAGCAAGTTCTGTATCATGTTACCGATCTCCTACATAATCAACCCCAGATACCTGTGTACCCATGCCCCTTAATACTGACAGTATCGTTACAGACTGAACATATCAACAGCTTGCGCTAACTGCCCGCTTACAGCCAACATCACGAACTTCGCGCAGGCGCCATCATGGCAACTGATGGCGATCACTACCATACGAGACAATGCGATCCTGGCACATCTGTTCCAGTGGCCCATGGCATTTCAGAAGCGGTCAGAATTTCCGTTCATTGATGTGCAAAGCTCTGTTGACACCAAAAGTGCGCGACAGCGCTCATGGAGCAACCGGGCTTATCTCGGGCCTGGACTCCAGCTTGCACTGGAACTATGCCAGCACGAAGTGGTCACGCCGTCTGATTCGGCTGTCCTGGACCCGTACAACGCTATTTGATCATGCTCAGCGAAGTTGAAGAATACTCAAACCTCGGACTCGACTTCGCTCGCATCAAGAGCCTTGACAGCTTCCAAGGTTGGGAGGCTGAGATGGTGGTTCTTCGTCTGTGAAATATTCCACTCAGCTCGAAAGATGCTTAGGCATCACTTTCTGACTGGTAGTGATACAGAGTAAGTATGACTGTTGATAAGTTATTTCTGTCTTCGAAACTTGGTTTTGTGAAGGACGGCCATCGACTTAATATCGTACTGAGCCATGATATGCACTTAAATTTTCTCGGGGGACTGATATTGCCTGGACTAGCACACCATCCTCAGCGGTCTCACCACTAGGAGTACTTAGAGAATGAGAGGCACTTCTTGCCCAGCTATCACAGCTTGGTAGCATGGTCTAGAATCGATCCAAGGCCATTTGATCGGATTCGTCTAAAAGTACTGCTTGGATGTAGTAGAACATTGCTTTACTTCCTGTCTGACTGCTTGTTACTTTAACCTATGCATTGTACCATTATCCTGCATCAGTTTTCCACCGACGTTTTACGACGAGCCCCTGAAGTTCAACTGTTAGTTTTGTTTCCCGGATTCTCATACTGGGCAGAGCCACTACTTTGGCATATATTAAACACCGTCATCGATGCACGCTGGGGGACAACCAGCTCTTTCTCCCCCAAAAATCCGCAGTGCGAGACTTCCCAGACCTGACCAACAAGGCGCGATCCTCCAGACCAGCACGCTTGCTGATATAACAGATGGGCAGTTGAATATTGCCCACGTCTTCCCAGTGAAGAACACCAATGTGTATGATAAGGAAATGAGACTTCCGTGCAAGTTTCCCCCTGGGAACACATATGAATCAGGCTGACCCATTGGCTCTACTGCCAGCAGGGACATCAAGATATCTCGCGTCCACCATAACTTGACTGCGACCCTCCGAGCTACATCTGCGAAATACCCCACCGAACATGGCGATATGGTTCTTGCGGCTTTTGACTCTACGCCTCCAGCCTGGTGATCATCTTTGGGTCGAATTCAACCCTGCAGAGCCGGATTCCGAACACAATTGGCGGTCCAGTAGTGATCTACTTGCACTTGTTAAGTCTACATTGGATGAAGTCGAGCAAATGCTTGTCACAGAAGAACTGTCCACTGTACAGATACAATTAATGAATTGAATGTATTCGCTCCATAGCAACGATAGAAGTGATCCCTATGTTTACATGTGGAATGCGATTCTCTTAGTGGAGGGTTGAATGCTCGCTACAAGCCGAAGAGACTGTAGCAATACTGCTGAATACTCGATAACTCCAGGGGATATTGATGTTCTGAAGCAAAGCTATGGAGAAGTGTCTCTGGTTTCCTACAGCGCAAGTTTCTCCTTGTCCAGAAAAGAACGCTCGTCCTTGCAGTCTCGAATTAGTTCTTCTCCTATCCAAGGCCTCATTGACCAGATGATATTCTCCCATCTTGTTTCCAACTTGTATGGCCAGCGAGCCAACTATCTCTACTATAGAAGGCAAATGGGGGACCATTCTAATTCTACTTAGTTTGAACGCTTCAAGGATCATCAACCATACATGGCAATATTCAAAAACAGGCGCACTGACTGTGTAGATGTGTTAGTACTGTCTCTATGCTTGTATAACATGAATGCTTATAGGCCACAAAGTAACGCTGATATCAAGAGCGGCATTTTTCAGGTAGTATCACAGTTAGCAACACATGAAGCGTACATCAACATATTTGAGTCTGAAATCTTTTGCTCTACTTACAGCGAGGACAACGGTATCAAGCTTCGTATGGGTCCTGTCTTCCGAACCCGCTCTAGTTCAGTGGTTGACCTACAGTTCACCGTGCGGTACACCGTACCTGGCGTCGAAGCACAGCAGGTTGAGACTATGCACGTGTACCTCCATGGCGCACGAGTCCAGCGTATTGAAGTCCATAAAGCCATACCCAACACTTCGCTCAAGGGCGATTGGAAGCCTACAGTTGCAGTCGACCCTGTGCTCATCCACACAGACAGTCCTGCCGCCATGGCGATGAAGCACGGCATGCTGGGGCGTGCTCGGGTCTTTTTTTAACGAGAGAGCGGCATTTCATACTGAAAAGGTCTTCAACACCCCCATTCCTTCGGGGATCTAACTGCCGCGGTGGAGGCACTCCGTGCTCACCTTCTCCATTCTCGGACTCTATATCTCTTCATGTTGGGAGCTGGTCTTTGCCTGAGTTCTTCGATGGTGCCATGTCTCGCCTGAATGACAAGCCTCACAACAATCCTCTCCGAGCATGGTATCCAGCGCATCCAAACATGATGTTCGTTAAGGCCGTTGAATACGCACTGGTATTGAGAACGTCCTCTCGTGAAGTCACGTTACCAAGTCGAGCTTCCCCTGGCCACCGAGTCAATCTCGCCTGAGCCGCTGTTTTGTACTTGATACTTAATGAATATCATGACGCTGTTCCAGATATGCAATCTCAGTCAAGTAAACGGAAAGTAGTTTTCTAATATTCCAGATGTAACAGAGTAAGTACATGGCCTATATAGTATCTATCGGAAAAGCAAAAGCGGACACTCTTGTATGCATCCGAGGAGAAGTCTCCTCCCAGTATCTTCTGGAGCCAAATTTCTTATTCCTGCTTGAAAGAATGCGAAGCTAACTATTCGTACAGCAAGAGCGTTGAGAAGTCTGCTGGCGTGGTCGTATGCAACATTGATTTTCCTGACGTGCGGCATCGAGGTGTCAATATAAGGACATAAGTATGGCATTTGTTACATTCAAAGTAAAAGTAAAATTGGTCATGTTATCTCTGGTTTGAGGGCCATATTGTTGCAAGTGTTAAGACAAATATTTCAGTGATCATAAATGTTGTTCCCACTGCTGCTCCTTCACAGGTCTGCGGATGAGTGGCTTGCATCCAGTACCCTGTAGATGCAATACTGGGCTGTGGGTGACCTCCAATGTAACAGAGCTATCAAGCAGACAGTTTCTAAGTACGGGAGACATGAGCGGTCCGGTACTGACAAAGGTCTTATATGATCGTCATCGCCTTCGAAGCGCAAATCCTAGTCATTAAACCAGAAGCACTGCTCTGCACGTGCTAGATGCATTTTTGCCTCCTGGAGTTTTGTGGTATTGGTATTGGCATCCTTCATCAGATCTTGGTATGCCTTTCTTGCCCTGGTGACTCGTTGCTGTAGCATTGCCTTCTGTTTATGGAGATTATCATTTTTGCGATCATTTTTGCGTTGTTGTGTACGTTGGTCATTCCTCTGCTTATTCTTAAGCGGGACTATGTGCTTTTCTCTTGATTTAATGCAGCTTTTTTGGCTCGGTATCCTCTCATCTGGGCAGCCCTATGTGCCCGGCGCCGTGCCTTTTCCTCCTCCACTTGGGAAGCCAGACGGTCTTTGATCACGTCTGCGTTATGTAGGCGATACTTGCGCCTGTAAATTTTTGGGCTTTTCTTTCTCAGTTGCAGAGCTTTTGCTCTTCAAGCTCGCGTTTCCCTTCAAGGAGCCTCTCAGCGAGACCACTTGGTGCTTGCATAGTTCCAGTGCAAGCTGGAGTCCAGGCCTGAGATAAGCCTGGTTACTCCATGAGTGTTGTCGCGCACTTTTGGTGTCAGAGCTTTGCACAGCAATGAACTGACAAACAGACGTGCCAGGACATAAGTGGCCAGCACTTGGGTGAGGCCGTTGCGGAAAGCCATTGAGACGAAGTTACCCAAAGAAGAAGAAGCTCCAACGACAGGAGGCAGAGGCTCCCCTTGCGACGGGCACCAGTCACACATTTGTCATGGTGACGAAGAAAACGAAGGGCGCGAGGATTGGAAAATTGAGAAAGTAGCCACAGAGTGGCACTACATCATCAATCTCATAATTCAGTCCTCTAGCCGGGGCACTGAGGATGTCCGTTGCTTGATCAATCGACACGACTTTCTAAGCCTCTGATCCTCTCCTCTGGGTCTATACCCTGTGGAGATAGACGTGCATTCTCCGAATGGTGTTCCCAGTTTTGTAACACTGTGAAGCGTAGGTCAAGGATCGAATTGAGCCTTGTGCAAGGAGCAACGCTTTTGCCAGCGAATGGCTTCCGCAAGCAAACGAATTCGGCTATGGAACTTGATATTGTCAGAATCTAGATTACCAGGGAAGGACTCTGCGCCATGCACCCACTTTTCATTCGGAAATGCCGTATTGCAACAACATGAAGAGTCGACAGACCCGACGTTCCCATATTCGGCCAACGGTAGCGAGATAAGAGAAGGGCTCAACCAGGAGATGGAAACATGTCATGAAGATGAGAACCAAAGGTGGTGTAAAGAAGGGAGGGTTGAGTGGATGGAAGAAGAGGAAGGAGTCTGGAGGAGGGTTGACCACCCTTTATACCTTTAGGGCACCACCCTTTGATCTACTCTATCCCTCTACTGCTATTCACCTAGAGAAGATAAATGACAAACAAGGGAAGGTTATGTTACTAGTGTGGAAGGCCATAGTCACTATGGCCCCTTCTATTTGATTCGTCTGCTTCACTTAGGGCTACCATTATCCATGTTGTATTCACTGCTTCCAAGTAGGTAGGCAACAGCCAGCAGCTCTAGACTCAGCTGAATGAATAGACTTACTCTGAGTTACTCTTTGACAGATGGATTCTAACACATTTCTGAGACACTGCCCCTTACCCGAGGTCGATCTGCTACGATCTGGGCCGTTAGGAGCCATGGCACCACCCTCGAGGCCCATTCTCTCGAGCCCAGTTTCTATGTATATTTTTATCCCAATTCAGCGGCCGATAGACTTAGCAGTAAGCTCAACTTGGATGAAGGAGCTGCAAAAGGACAATGAGCGTTCGTGAGTTTGGTCCATTATAGAGATATAGATATTCAAGTAGGGCCTTTGTGTCACCATCTATCAAATATGAATGAATGCCTTCCGAGCAGAAGGAGGCCGAAAAATGGGACGATCATCATTTCCAACCCTCCTGAAGTCGAAGACGATACTCTGCAATCATCTCGGCCGTGATGTTGCTTCCACCGCAGACGACGATGACCACCCTGCTCTCCGGGGTCAAATCCGGCATGATCTCCTTCAATCTTTGGCCGACGCCAACCTCAACGGAGATCCCGCAAGCCAATTCTACCTGAAACCGTAGATCATCAGCTAAGAGAACCACCCCTCGAGCAGCATCAGCGTCCGAGCCCACAACGCTGATAACGTCGATGCCGGCCGGCGGCGAACGTGCATTCTCGAACGTCTGATTAGCAACACAAACAGCCCCAAGCGAAGTGGCGAGCGATGTGATGCCAGTAAGGGACTGCAGGCTTCCACACCGGAGCGCATAGGCCAGCGAATCCGCCCCCTGTGTCTCGACGGCGAGAACCCGGACATTCTTTCGGAGTTCATCCACATTACTTGGCTGCGATTGCAGATACTCATCAAGACCTTCGACAATGCCGTTGAGCAGACTGCCACCTCCAACACTGCAAACAATTGCATCGGCGGGGAAATTGCACGCCGACGAAGCTTCTCTGGGAGGTAGCTGGGCTGTTATCTCGGATAACATCGTCGCTACACCCTTCCAGATTTGTGGATGGTCATAGGGACACACGTAGATGTTCTTTCGGCGAGAAGCTTCGGTTTCCTGGTTATCGATGAACTTCGACTGTAGATACGTGTCCGCGTCGAACCAGCTCGCCCCATGCTGTATCACGTCGGCGGCACCCGCAGCCCGCAGCTTGCTGATCATGAGCGGCTTCGTGCTGAGTGGCACGACCACAGTGCAGTGACAGCCCAAATCCCGGGCAGCGATGACAGCCGCCAGTCCCGCATTGCCACCCGAGGAACTGTAAAAGTGTAGGTCCTTGTCCCGATTTGCTGGGTCCAGAAAAGCCGAACGGATCAGATTTCCAATTCCTCTGGTAAAAGGTTAGCAATGTCCTGTAGTAATTTTCTCTTCTTGAAAGTTGTGCAGTACCTTGATTTAAAGGAGCCAGACGGCTGCAGGAGTTCTAGTTTCAGAAAGATTCTGCTACATGCAAATTAGTTTCCATGCAGGCAAAACCAAGGTAGCCATCCTACCATCCTGCTATCTTTGATAAGGCTGCAGACTCGATCAAAGGAGTTTCGATCCACGGCTTCTGCATTGTGGGCCGATGGCTCGTAGGGAGTATCGAGTATCTAAGAGTAGGACGTGAAGATGGGATTTGTAAATTGTGGATAAGAAGTGTCCGCGTTTATGAGGGGTGTCGGGACATTGAACTACGGCTACAATCTGCTTTTTAAGTCCATCGCTGAGACACGCCCTGCAGATGACATCCGATGGTGACTTGGGACAATCTTCGTGGTCTGATTCAACTAGAATTGTTTTCTAGTTGCTTCTCTTGCTTTTTCCTTCCTTTTCTTTTCTTTTCTTTTTTATAAAAATGGCTGTTATGGCCAACCCAGCATGAGTGGGAGTGAAAGCGTGAACCTCGAAGACAAATGGCGTGTGATTCCTGAAACAATACATCCTACTCACTTATCACGACATTCTTCAAGCGGTCTGTTCTGCTCCTAGCCATTAATCAACGGACAAAAAGACTACCTTACTCGGCATCGTCGAGCCACCGGCGGCTTTCCCATATGGGTGAAGCACTACATAGAGGAATGATCCAGCTCACACAGCTTGTAGGATGTGGTTAGGACTGTGGACGTGAACCCCTCTCGACCGGCTAGGATGGGGTATCAAAAGACTTCAAGGGTATCTTCGAGACGGTTGATGCATCGACGTTGCTTCTGTTTATCCCCATGGTCAGCGAAGAACCGGATAGCAGCAAAGGCATGGCACTTTTTTCTGAAGGCCAGATGGTAGACGATACAGAATATCTTTTGTTTCTTTCTCTCAAAGTTCCAGCTTCTTTTATGCTTGTCAGGTCAGGAATCAACTGGAGAGGGAGGATCCGAAACTGAGAACGAGCATCTATGGAGTTGCACTGAAGGAGGGTCAACAATAGAGTTATAGACAGTCAACATAAAAGCAATGCTAGTTTGTAAGTCTGTTGTCTTTGAGTTGGTTCAAGATGCTGACCAGAGATGAAGAAGACTCTCATCTTCTGTATGGATCTGTACAGATCAGTTCAAGAGGAAGTCACCACCACGACTGCGAATACAGAAATCATCCAAGCAACCCCTCATGAGCCCTTGATTAGTCGTCGTGATGCGCTTCACGGACTTCTTCTCTTTTTCTCTTTGTTTGTCTTTCACTCTTAACATCTTTCTTCTCCTCTTCACCGTCTCCTTCATGCATGCTCGTCTGGATATTTACTGTGTGACCCGGAGCAACAAGTGATACCTTCTATTCGAGGAGCAGCCAGGTACTGAATATTCATCCCATCCATCTCGAGAATTTCCCAGCTGTAGCAAACTCTGTATTTCTTGCAGACCCCACTAATATCTTTCTTCTTCTAGGGTCCCTTCTGGCCTCTCGACACCCAAAATTCGAAGCTAGACATGGATACTGCGGCCGGCACCGAGGACAAAATGTCCATGCTTAAGAGTTTCTGTTTAGCCCCACTGAATAATATAAGCTGCGCCTTTTGCTGTGAGGAGATCCAAGGCGAACCAGTAAGACCGTGCAAGTCCTGCATGTGCTACTGCTGTGGCAATTGTGTTCGACAGATCTTTCTCATGGCATGCCGGGATGAGTCGCAAATGCCTCCACGCTGTTGTGTTCCGATCCCGTTAGCTACCGCCCGCAAACATCTCTCTGAAGAAGAGGTCAATCTGTACAAGGATAAGTATGAGGAATGGAGCACACCCAACCAGGTCTATTGTCCCGTTCCCACCTGCTCTACCTTCCTTCCTGAGAGGATTTTCAACGCCGAGTTCAACCGTCTTAGGTCTTCCGCCACATTCAGAATGCATGTAGAAGACTTTGGGCCCGGGCCGTCTGTCCCAATGAGCCAGCTGGGTGCTGTATACCCCGTCCAATGCGCCAGGTGCGCCGCCCAGATATGCTCCTTGTGCAAGCAGCTCTATCATTACGGTGTCCACTGTCAGCCGCTGTCGGATATTGACCCCGAATTGGAAAAGACATTTGAGAACTTGGATATCAAAAGATGTCCCAAGTGCCGTGCTGCCGTTCGCAGAATGTATGGTTGCCGTCACATGCAGTGCCGCTGCGGTGCACAATGGTGCTGGTACTGTTGCCGTACCATGGAGCTCTGCAAGGCGGACATTTGCCCGAAAGGGCGTGAGACTGAGATTGATTTTTCTGACCGAGAGGAAGAGGTCACCGAAGAAGAGGACGATGACGATTTTTCTCTTGGTAGCAACCCCTCATGGCTGCCTAGTCCTATCTACGATGAGCTGTACCTAGGTTCGGAAGAAGAGTTATACGGGGGAGAGGGTCTGCTGCCCGATAACGACCTTGCATTTATTGGAGGCGATAGCCAGGCGCTTCAGGAGGCTCTTTTTGTCGAAGATGATGTTCCCGTGGACCTCGATTCTGGATCGCAATGGGAGGATGGGTCGGAAAACTTTGGAAACGAGCCCGATGGATCGCGGGTTGATCCATTTGACTGTCGTCACGAGTTTGCAGCCATATTGGCTAATGATGAGGTGGACGACCTCGAGTACGAGTGTGAAAGGTGCTGGCGCAGAATCTTTCCTCGGGAGACATTGATTCCAGCTTCTCTCTGGGCGGAGATCGAATCCCAGGATACCTCTCCGGTGGCTCAACTAGTTGCGTCTATGAATGTTGTCCAGCGCTCGGATGCACTGATGTATGTATGCAGGACATGCAATCTGATGCTTTGCCATCCGTGTCGTGCGCAATACCCCCATTTTGAATTTTGATGGCCTGGGGATTGGGACAAGCCTCGACTGCTTTGGTTGTTTTGCTAGAAGGACCTGGGTGAAGCATGGACAACATGGCGCTGGATGGTGCGCCTTACTCGGGAAATATGTGCGATATTTTGTAAATTATTCCTGCTCAGTACTAAGAGATTAATTTAATTCAAGGTGGTTCATGAATTGTCCATCATCACTGTTCTTTCAGAATTGCTTGCAGTAAAGATCACGTGCATCAGCGAATAAAGAACCACCTCTGATGTCAACCATGCCATTCGTCATATCTTGGCATCAACTTCCATCCATCAGCATCATGGCAACACCAGCTTCGATACGGGGCTCTATGCCCTGGCGTACATGCAGTCAGGGCATTCGTCGCCAATACATCCGACCGAACCATTCGTTGAATTACCGCAACCGCTTCCTCTCAACGACCAGCCCGCTCCGCTCCGCTGCTAACAACCCTCTCCGAAGCTCCAGGAATGCACGCACACGCGAGGAGGAAATCGCACAGTACCGGCGGTCGATGACACTGTCCGCGGCAGGGATCGCGGTCTGCGCGGTGGCCATGTACGGTGTCATCCAGATGGACCTATTTGGCCTGTCGCAGGTGGAAACGGCCGACGAGTCCGCCAAGAACACAGACCCCACCACCACCACAACAATGACCAGCAAAGCAATGAAGCTGGACGGGCCGGAGGGCTTCCCCAGCAGCCCCTCGGTGATCCGCATCCAAGGGCAGGACGGGGCGGAGCGGGTCGCTACGGGCACCAGCACGATCCCGCACTTCCCCAGCACGATCCGGCTCCCCAAGTGCCTCGACGACGCGGCCGCGCCCGAACAAGGCGCCGCGCTGCCGTCCGGCCCCGGCGCCGACGAGGAAGAATACCAGCTGCTCGGCCTGGGCATCCGCACCGTCTCCTTCCTGCAGGTCCAGGTCTACGTGGTGGGCCTGTACGTGGCCAAATCGGACATCTCGGCGCTGCAGCAGCGGCTCGTGCGCACGGCGGTGCACCCGCCCGGCGCCGCAGACGGGCACGGCGTTGTCGTCAACACCACCGGCGCCACATCCGCCACCTCGCTCGTCTCCACCGAGCGCCAGGCCCTCAAGGACCTGCTCCTGGACCCGGAGCGCGGCGAGGCCGTCTGGAACGCGATCCTCCGCGACGACGGCCTGCGCACGGCCTTCCGCATCGTGCCCACGCGCAACACCGACTTTCTGCATCTGCGCGACGGCTGGGTGCGCGGCATCACGGCGCGGGCGCAGCGCGCGGCTACCACCACCACCACCACCGCCGAGTCCTTCCAGGATGAGGCGTTCGGCGGCGCGATGAACGACTTCAAGGGCCTGTTTGGCGGCGGTCAGCGCAAGAGCGTGCCCAAGGGCCAGACGCTGGTGCTCATGCGCAACGCGCGCGGCGAGCTGAATGCGCTGTTCCGGCCGGAGCCCGCGGAGCCGCTGCGGTTCCTGGGCCGCGTGCGCGACGAGCGCATCGCGCGACTCGTGTGGTTGAATTACCTGGCGGGCAAAACGGTGGCGAGCGAGGGGGCGCGGCTGAGCGTCGTGGACGGGGTTATGGGGATTGTGGAGCGGCCGGTTGGAACGGTCGTGCAGAAGGTGATCTAGATCAGTCCTCTCTTCCTTCTCCTGAACTCCTTCTCCAAATTGAAATTGTAACATTACTATATCATCAACATCATGTCATGTATTCAAAGTCAAGTCAAGTCAAGATCAAAATCCCATCTCCATTCCTGCCATTTGCCGTCTACTTGATCTTCTCTATATTCTTGTTCTCTCTCTATCTCAAGACCAAAACACTGCCCCCACCCCCCAAAATCATAATCATAATCATATTCACAGCGCACCCGCCGCCTTCAACAACTGCGGCAACTCCGCCTTCTTGGCCTGCAGATCCGAGTTACCCCCGATATGCTTCTGGCCGATGAAGATATTCGGCACGCTGCGCTGCTGGGTGATTTCGTACAGCGCGTTCTGGATCTCGGTTCCGTCGTCTATTTCCCATTCAAGCACCCACGTTAGCTTAGCTTAGCTTAGTCCTCTATCCACCCGGGAAATCCCCCCTCCGCCACAAACCCAAATACAAACGCAAACGCAGACACGAACACATTGTGCTTCAAATAGGACAGGCCCGTTCACATACCAATCTGATCCAGCTCGAGGGCATAGAACTTGGCGCCGAGCTCGTTGAGCGTCTGCTTGCTGGCCTTGCAGTAGGGGCACCAGGACTTGGAGAAGACGACTTTTTTTTTCAATTTTCAATATTTTTGTCAGTGAGGGACGCTGGCGGATAGCGGATACGCAATGCAAGGGAGGTGTGGACTCACCGACTGCGTTGTCGTTGATTAGGTTCTGGGCCTTGGCCTTTGCGGTGGACATGGCTGCTTGGGAGGGTCCGGCGAAGGAGCCGAATAGACGGGTGAAGATGGAACCTATGGTTGCGACTTGGGTAGATGAAGAAGGAGGGTATTGGGGAGGAGGCGTGCGTTGGGCGAGGGTGGTAGGTAGATGGGAGAAGAAAGGAGGGGGAGGTGGTTTATATCGACGGGAAAGGGTGCGCTGGCTGGTGACGGGTGAGCTGTAGAGATGATGTAAGTGGGTTGGATTCTGCCGATGATGTTATCAAGCGGGTGCTTATTAAGCGCTGTATCCCTGTGTGCCTGTGGGGGCGAAAGTGTGCGCCTCGTTTTTGTGAAGGATTCTCTAGAGCATCACAGTGCGTGCCTGGATACGGTTACAAAAAAATCTCACGGAATAAGATAGAATGATTGATAATGCCCTTCTAAATAATCAAGTTGTGGCTGGATATGTCATCTTGCAAGGATATGGGCTCGTGCGCATCACCGACCGCCGCTCAGATGGCAACAGAAACACTTGGGAGGATATAGATAAGAAAACAAAATGCGGCCGCTGAAAAAGTAGAAAAGGGAAAGAAAAAAACAAGAAACGAAAACAGCCGGGTATGCAGGGATCTACCGATCGTATTTTGAGCAAGGAAAACTTTGAAGGAGGGTATGCATACTGCGATATAAGTCGACCTCACCGTCACGCAATTGACTCAACACGTATGTGGTCAGCAAGAAACTGGAAGCAATATGAGTAGATAGAAAGGGGGGAAGGAGAAGAGAGAAGGGGGAAAAAAAAGGGGAGGGGGAATGCAGATTATAAGCTAATTCTGAGCGTTTGAGCAATCAACAAACGAACACCACTGACCAACCCGGGCGCTGAAATAAACATGCGATGGCAACAAGGGAAGAAATGCAAAAAAAAAAAAAAAAAAAAAAAAAGGGTCAGACGAAGACTTTAAAAAATTGAATACCGACCGATCACATAACTACGCAGCATCCGCAACCCTTCTCCTTAGGTGGGGGAGCCTGCGCCGTGACAACTGGCGGGTTCCATTTCGGCGTCAAACCCACCTGAGAGGCAGACGGCATCTCCTGCAGTCGCGGCATGGGGCTGTAGCCCGTGCTCGAGTTGGGCCGCGTGGTCGACTCGGGATTTCTGGGTGAGGTGAGCAGCGGCTCGGGCTTTTCCGTTCGTGGTGACGGCGGAGGCTTCTCTATCTCCTCTTCCACCTTCTCGGGTTCTGCCTCCTTGCGGACTGCGGGAGGTTGATCGTCCGGGCTGATAGCCAGCGGAGCAAACTCTCGATCGTACGTCACGGGTGTCTTGCCCTCCTTCTCCCACTGCTCCTGCTGCATCCGGCGGGCATGGGTGGGCAGGATCTGCTGGTCCGGTGGCAGTCGAGGATCCGGCTTGTACATGGTCGCCAACCACGGAGGATCCCCCTCGGGGCGGTTGATCGGGTTGGGCACGCGGGCGTCGCCCGACCGTGTTGTCGGACGCTGCGAATTGGTGGACACGGTCCGGTTCCTCGGTCCGGTCACCTTACGGGAATTGGCAGTAGGTGCAGAGGTCTTTCGATTGGTCGCTGCTGCACCTTTGCCTGGGGGGTTCTTCTTGGCCGGGGAGTTCTGCAAGGTCTGTATGCCGCGACTGTTGGGCCGGCTCCCCATCGACGGCGCAGCAGACGAGTCCGTGGAGTCCACGGGCATCGGCTCGCTGGCTCTGCGCGGTTTGCCGAAGGACATGCCGTCTTCGTCGCCGTTCGTGAGCCCGCGCGCGCGTGCAGCGGGAAATTCCCGCCCCAGATGTTCAGGCGAGAGTGGTGCCGGACTCGCGGTCGGAATGGGGATGCGGGAAGAGCTCTTGCGCAGGCCCGGATTACGATACATGCTCGATGCGCTATCCATCTGATCTCGCGCAGCAATCTCCTCTGGTCTACGAAGGTCCCAGTGCCTGCGCTCGTCGTCCCCCTCATCCTCCTCGATGTCATCGCCATCCATGGGGCTTGGAGAGGCCGCGAAACCCCGCTGGCCATCGTGCACATTGGGCCATGGCTCCAACGGCTCTGTCGTCGCTGGTGCAGATGTCGACCCGCTGAGTCCGCTGTTGTGGGAGTCATGGGTTCGCGCCCGGCCAGGCCGCCGTTGGAACAGATAGGCCGCCTGTTGCAGCTCCTCGCTTTCAATACGAGCCAGCTTATCGCGGTGAATCCAATTGGCACTGTCTAGTTCATCCAGATGCAGCCCGGCCCCGTCCTTCTTCTTCTTCTTCTCACTGCCCTTGTAAGGTCCACTCGAATGATGCGTATCTGTCGAATCCCTCAAGTTACCCCCGCCTCGATTTGCCGCTTCGTATCCATTGGTATCTCGCAGGTTTCCGGCCCCGCTACCGTGTCGGCTTAGACTATGTTCGCGTCGCCCGCGGGAAGAATAATGACCGTCGTCTGCGTAGGCCTGTCTGGACATGGACGAGCTTCTCGAGCCTTTCGAATGGTAGTCACGAGACCTTCTGTGGGCGGAATCGCGGGAGCGTGACTGGGGGCGCCGATTCGTACTCTAATAGAAAACATCAGCTTACTCTTTCATTCAGCCTGGTTATTCGGAAGCCACTTACACCCTGTCTCACAGGAACCGCAAATTCCCATTCCTGCTGATTCGCATCTACAGCAGATGAGCTCCAGATATCTGCAGAAAACGCCGCAGTAGCTGCACCCGCCATCCCCACAACGATCAAGAATTAAGAACGGAATCCCAGAGAAGAATCAAATCAGGTCAGACCAGCTGGAACCTTTTCAATATTCCCGCAGGGCTGCAATTGCGGTGTCGGGGGAGTTCTCTTTTCTCGAAACGAGGGGACGGAATCTCCAAGTAAATCTCCCCTCGATCAGGCCATCCCAGGTTTTTTTGTTTTTGTTTTTTTAGAGAAAAAAAAACGCACAAATCCCACGGCCGACAGATCCTTCCAATTGTCCGAGACGAGACACACAATATTCGAGCACAAGCGACAGACACAGACACCGGACGTCGTTGTCTGCAGGGAAGTCTTTGTGTCCCAGGGGGTTCACAACGAAGGCTGGGAGAAGGACCGGATAAGGGGGGGGGCGTGGGAGCGAGAGTTGAAGGAGCTGGCCGAAAGGAGTAAAACGTCAATACTCCCGCGGTGGTGGAAGACGTCGTTCAAGGAATCAAAATGGCGAAAGAAGAAAAAAAAACACAAGTATGGTACGGGCTTTCTTCTATTCTTTTTCGTTTTTCGAGCCGAAAGATCGGTACGCTGAGACTTGTTCCGCCGCAAAGATAAGGCAAATCGGGGGACTCGGTACCGTGGATGGGCGATGCGGGCTCCCGTCCCGTTCAGACAGATGTCTGGAGCAGTGTTGGATGTTTCAGATAATGCGAGCAAACGGGGGGGTATATGGCAGTACTAGAAGGGAATAAAGAGGGACAGAAAGATAGATAAAAGAAGAATAAATGAGAAAATGCGATAGTGGTGAAGGATGAGAAGCCGTCCAGGAGATGCGAACAGAGAAGAGAGAGAGAGGGAGGGAGAGGAGAGAAGAAGAGGGGGTGGAAAAGACGAACAAGGAAAAAGGACGAAAAGGAGTGGAGGAACGAGATACAGGGTGTGGCTAGATCTGTGGCGCCGGGGGGAGGACAAAAGGTCCCTTTTTTTTTTGTTTTTTAAAGGTAGTACCGAAAGAACCCCCAGCGGTGGTAAAGACGAGAAAAACAAAAGATGTCGAGATTCGTAGAATCAAGAATTATTATTATTATTATTATTAAAGAGAAATAATAAGGAAGAAGGTGGGGATGATTCGAGAGGCACCGGAGAGCGAGAGGAAGGGTCTAGATAGAGAGGAGAGGAGAGAGGAGAGAAAAAGGAAGCAAGAAAGACAGACCGAGAGGATGGAGAAGACGACGAGAAACGGCAGGCGGGAGTGGATTCGGAATTGATAGCCTCTTAAGGCTCTAATTTTATGGCCGGTTAGTTTGATACTACTACTGTTGAGTGTTGAGTAGTGTTAGGTAGGCTGTTGGAGACTGGAGATGGGCAAGGCCCTGTTTATTAGATCGATCCTTCTATCCGTAGTTCTAACAGACTACTATCCCACTAGGCTTGTTAGCTGAATGTTGGTTGGGACTTAAACTATGACCTGGGTCCAGCCTCGAATCAATCCTTGCAGGCACTCGATGCATTCATGAGACGGAGTAGAGCCATTAATTGGACTGCATGGACTTGACTATTAGCAGAAGAACAACAAAGACAGACTACGGTCAGTTAAAATCAAAGATCTGGATCCTTATACTGTCCATTGACCATTCGTCTACTTCCAAGGTGAAGGAAGTGATCGACCGACTGACTAGCTCCTGAAATAGCGATGGTTATCGAGCATGTGCAGCGCTGCAGGTGATGTCTCACAACCGGGTTCCAGTGTTAAGAACGGTCGGTCTGTACTCTCAGGATCCATCTCTCTACTTAGGTAGATAGTCACGGCAGTCAACGGTAGGATTGTTGGACTCGGTATCTACGAATTATGCACGTATTTTGCCTTGGCCTCTCTTTATCCCGGTCCCCCCCGTCCTACTAAAAATGTATCTCGGCTCCCAGACGCCATCTCCATGCAAAGACCAAGTACAGTTTGATGAGATGCTCCATATCCAGGTAGTGCCTCTCAAGTCTACCTCTCTTCACCGGCGAGTCTGTCCAAATAGGAGAAAAGAGAAGAAGAGAGAGAAAAAAAAAAGTAGATAAAGGAAATGCAATTCTCCCAATATACACAGAAAAAAAGAAGAAAGGAAAGAAGTCGAGTCAGCAGCAGACCGTTGGCAACTTATGCGTGCGCCGCTTGGTCTAGCCTGTTCAGAGCCGTCTGCGCTTCCTTGATCAACGCCCGACGCGCATTCCGAGCGGCTTCATCGCCATCCGGCTCGATCCCGTCCGCTTTGAGAATGACCTGTGCAAGAATCGTCTCGCTCAACTTCTTGTGCTCGAAATCGCGCGCCTTGGCTTCCGTAGGCGGATGGGCGATATACGCATTGCAGAGGGGCAGTAGCACCGTCCGGAAGTACGACAACAACGCATTGGCCTGGTCAAACGCGGTGGGGAAGGTCTTGAGGTTGGGGGCCGACGGCGGGAGCGATGATGACGACGAGGTAGGCTTCCTCTGGTCCGCGGGGGGAGCAAGCGACGCAGCAGGGGGGTAACCAGCACCAGCACCTGGAGCACCGGGGGTACCGGGGGCACCATCTTCCTCTAGCGACTTCCGATTCTTGTTCTTTTTCTTATTCTTGTGCCGATTCCGGTTCCGCTTCTTCTTCTCCCCCGCTGGCGCCTCATCGGCACGGCCGGCGTGGTCACCCGCCCGCTCGCCCTCCGCGTCCGAGACTTCACTCGGCGTCCGCTCCCCCGGCTGCACCTCCGAGACCACACACAGCACCTCAGACTGCTGCTTGAGGCCCTCCGCGCGGCACGACTTGGCATCATCATCCAACAACTTCCCCTTGTAGAGTAACTTGACGCGCGCCGGGTTCGACGTCCCCGTGGCCTCGGCGGCGCGGCGGCGCAGGTCGCCGACGCTCAGCGCCCCATCGTTGATGGCGTACGCGGGGAAGTTCAGGGCGTAGGTCTTCTGCCGGTGTTTGAGGAGAATGGTGTCCGGGGCTTCGTCGTCGCGTGCGGACGGGAAGTGCTGCGGTGCAAAGGGGCGCGCGGCCGGCGGGTCCACGATGTCCTCGGGCGTGAGGTATGTGTAGTCGCTGTCGCTGATGTGCGGCGGCGGGACCTTGGCGTAGGGGCCGCGGCGGAAGAAGTCGCCAAAGCGCCAGCTCATCGTGACGAGGACAAAGATGCAGGCGAGAACGGCGAGGACGGCTGTGACGGTGGCAGAGGGGTCGGCGGAGTCGAGGATGGCCCAATCGAACGGGAGAGTGAGGGAGCGCAGGGACGAGAACGATGATGATAGTGAGGAGGGGGGGAAGGAGGAGGAGGAGGACGAAGAAGATGCTCTGGCTGACAGGAGAGGTGAGACGAGTCGCTGGTGCAGGGTATCCGAGACGGTGGTGAGGTAGGAAGCACACCGCTGGCCCAGGGAGGACTGGGCAATGTGCAATGGGAGGAGGGTCATGGATCGAGGGGGGACCAGCGAGAGGTGAGGAAATGCGACCGATGGACGGGTGTTGAGGTCATGGATTGAAGCCGTGGCCTGTTCGTCCGGAAAAGGCAAATCACAAACGGCAAAAGGCTGGGCGGTCTTGGGCCGCTGTTGCCTGCACCCTGAGGCAACGTTTTTATGAGTAATAGTTTGGGGTCAGATTGGTCATCCGATGTTGGATGGAGGCATCTTTCGGTCTTCTCATTTATAATGTTGAGATGTATGGATGGTCTCGGCACTGCCCAGTGTCTCAATAATTGGTTTATGTACGGAGTAGAGGTTCGTATCATTCAAGCAGGCATTGCCGATTCCCAGATACACCGCAGGAAATATGTATCTCCCTGAGCTTGTAACATCTATCCAATGCACCCAGCCAAACCACCATAATGGACCATCTATGAATATCTACACCTCGAGCCTATATTATGTCACACGTAATTTCAAAACCCGACGCCTCGCCATGCAGAATACAATTAATAATAATACGCAAATCACAGCCTCACACCGCCATCCGCCGGGCGACCGCCAAACAATCTAGTAATACCGTTGTTTGCTTGGCTGCCGTCACTCCCCATCCATCGTGGGAGTCGGAAGGGTTCGCCCTGAAGCCACTGGGGCTTGCTAGCGGTTTCGAAAGTATTCTTCACCCGATGCGCAAAAGACTGGAAGAAATTCTCCCCTTCTGCCTCATCATCCACCACAGCAGACGGCGCCAGAGGTTCCCTGGTTGATCGGGAAGGTCGAGTGCTTTCGGCGCGAGGAACTCGGGATGAAAGGGCTCCTGCGCTGTCGGTGGTGCGACTCGATTGCCAGGTTGACTGGCCAATGCGTGAGGATGGCGCCAACGAGCCGAGGCCGTTCAGCTCTCGGTCGATGAGTTCGCGGCCTTCTCGCCAGCCCCCGAGCCCATAGCCACTGGGATTATTTTCCAGGTCATCGTCTTCCTCTTCAATCAGACCTAATCCGCACACATTCTTGACACGGCCGTAGAGATTGAAAAGGGTGGCACAGACGGGCAGTAGAATGAAGACGGGGAAGAAATAATCGAATCCCTTGCCCAGCGGCGTCAAATCAATGAGCCGGCCGAGAAAATGGTAGAAGATGGTATTTTGTCGAACATTCAGCGGCAGGAAAGTCAAGAAATTGTATGCGATTGGGACGGTAAGCCTAGCTACCAACCCCGCATACCAGCAGGCGCTCTCACCGTACGTGTTCCGTCGGACCAAAGCCCGGTTGCCCCAGACCTTGGCATCGTTGACACCCACCAGTGCGGCAGCGCACATGTAGAGCAACCACGCGGAGGCGGCCAGCTGTCTGCCAAAATTCACAGGTTTCGGATCCTGATGGTATGAGACAATGGACAGAGTCACAACAGACAATCGGGGAGCCAAGGATTTGATCAACTCGGACCAGATGACACAGACGGATGCGACCGAAAAAAGCGCTCCAAGAGCAAGTCGCACGCTGGGAATGACGTTGACATACAGATGGTACCGCGTGTAGGGCGTCAGGAATTTCATTCGCGAAAACCAGGTGGAACGACGCGGCGACTGGCCAAAGTCCAACTTCTGGGACGCCGAAGAGTTGATAATCGCCTGCAAGTCGGCAGCAAGCAATACCAGGCGGTCCCACTCGTCCACGAAGCGGGCCTTTTGGTGTCGAGCTCGCTGGAGACGTCGCGTTAGATCCGCCATATAACGCTCCGTGATCACGGGAGGAACGGTGCCGTGTCCCGCCGGGGGCTCCAGAAGGGCCGCTCGTGCCTCAACGGGGTTGGAGGTCTCGGCCAACTCCTCGATCCAATCCTGGAAATCTCGAGCGGTGCCTGTTTTACGTTGTTGCAGCTGAGTCACTTGTGATTCGAGACTCTCAAGTTCATTGATGGCGTCCATCAGTCGATCATGGAGCCGGGGCGCATGGGCCTGGACTCTGCGTAGTCTACCGCTGACACTTGCATTGCGGAAGAGCGTCCGCGGTATCGACACCAAACCATGTCCCATCAGATAGATGGCAAGGACGAGACCCCAGACATAGGCCAGTGCCATAACAAGGCCTTTGATGGAGGTGAATTCGAAGCCATTTTGGATGGAAATATAGATCAGGCCAACCACGGCACAGCACAGAACGATCAGCTGATAGCGGGCGTTGGAGCGGAGCGAGTACACGATGCGAGCTTTGGAATCACGATAACCCGAATCTATATATTCACCAAGCAATGGAAGTAGAGCCCTGCAGAGAGAATCAAATTAATGAGCACTTCTGACGTAAAAGAAAACGATACCAGGACGAACCAAGTCAGAACGAAGATCAGCCAATAGGCAATGCGCCAGGCCACCAAGATCAAGCGATCAGGAAGCCATATCGCCTTGGGTCCACCACCATCGCGAGAGCTGGAAGCGAGATCGATCGGGACTAGCAGGACTACACTAGCAGGAAGAGCGAGCGCCAAAAAGACAGGGACGGCGAGATATGCCGGAGTGGCTCGCAGGGTCAGGAAACGGCGGAGCAGTAACAAGACTGAAACGGAGATGGCGAGGAGAGCGAGTGCAAAGAAGATACTCGACCCAACTGGAATTGGAGCAGCCGAGAATATGAACATGGCGCTCTAGGGGAAGCCGAAATATAGATGAAGCAGAACAGAATTTAGCAGGTTCGACATAAAATGATCATGACGAGTGGATATGATGCAAGGAACGTGACGGATAAGGAGAGAGACTATCGATCGGGGGGGTCCGTAATTCAAAAGAAAAAGACAATGAAGGAACAAGCAAAGAAAGAGAAGAAGCAGTTGGACGAAGGAGTTTGAAAAAAAGACTTCCAGAACCAGCCAGGTAAGTTGTTGTCCTGTCTATCTAGTGAACTAGGTATTTGATCATCGATTGAGGTACGTATGTATATGTATACTGGTCCGTTTCTTCATTCGACTGGGAAAAGGGATGTCGTTGACGATAAGAAGTAAGACTGGAGACCAGGTGACGACAACAGACACATCACGTGACTAGGATCTGACAGCCAAGAGAGCCGAAAAAAGCAACCGCACAAGCCTCATCCAGGGTCAGGTATTATGATGTACCGGTGGAGACTTAGCAGGGACCGCCGTATGTAAGTATGGACAGGGAAGTTTAAGTACCTTGCCTTGGTCTCCTTGGCTTACCGGATCTTGTACCTGTCTATCATCAGTTCATCACTCACCACGGAAGTCAAAGAGATCATATGGTCATGGAAGGACCTCATTATTCTAGTATCTAGAGGGAGTTACTAAGGAGGTACTGCCTACATAGTACTCCGTAAATAATACCTAATAAATACCTTAGGCTTACTTATGGTGATTTCCCCAAGCTTGTTTCATCGAATTCCAATCAGTAAACGCCTCAATTAGAGTTTCCTGTAGGCCAATGGGAGGCTGTTCATAATAAATGATCCTTCTTCCTTAATTCTTAGGCAGCAAACCCACGCTAACTCTCTAGGTAAACTCAGTCAAGTCGTTCGACTGTCAAATCTGAGGACTTTGCTCCAATCGAACAAGGACAAAGATACTACCTGATACGGAGTACGGAGTAGATAGATACCTAGGTAGTACTGAGAACTCAGTACAGAGTACCTAGCTTGAAGAAGACAATGGCGGCGCTTTTTGCTAACATCCAATCATTGGATCTCCAATATAATCAGTTATGATACAGACAGTTGATTGATGATACCTACCTACCTACCTACCTCTGGTAAAAAAAAAAAAAAAGCATTTCTGTAGAGCGCACCCCACCCCTCTAGGTCGGTCAGGTTACACGTGAAAGCGCCTACTCGGGAGAAAGAAGCCTTGAGCTGTTGTAACAAGAATTACAACAATCACGATTACCACAGGATGTAGCAGAGTACCTAGATAAATTAAACTACTCAAGAACAGTAGGTATGATCGATGTCTTTCCAAAGGTACAAGTCTTCCAGTCTCTCGAAGTCTCGATAAATATCTAGACTTACAAACTACAAATTGCTACTAGGCTAGTGCTGGGTCCATCATCCGCTCCCGTCAACTAAACTTTGCTGGAGCCTTGGAGGGCAAATCGCAGGACTAAAAGGTCTAGCTCCAGCTAATTACAGTACCTTGCTAGTATTGCACTACTGACTCTTAGTAGTTAGTCGTCCTTAGTCGTCCTTAGTCGTCTTAATCGGAGCCACTCACTAGTAAGGCAGTGGACTCCTCTTGCAGTGCGCCAAAGTATCCTCTTGTACTCTGATAGTTACGGATCTATCTACCTAGATTCTAGTCTGTAGAACGAACTTCATCGAACGCCAACATCGCCATATAGATCGTGCTCTCTGTAGTCTGCATACAGAGCCACAGAGGTACCTTCACCTACCTAAGAACTGCATAACGGTAAAAAATCCCTGAGTGTTCTGAGGTGTTAAAAGTAATCTTACTCAAAAGTCTCTCATAATCATATTCAGGATCTTCAGCTTCGAAGGACTAGTTGGAGTGTTGGACCCCTCCAACCCCCCCTTATTGCAATTTGCAGGACCATTTCCCTCCCTTGTTGGGCTGCTCCACTATCAATTTCCTAATTCTTTACTAGAGTATCTAGATACCGCTGAAGAGTACTGCCTCTCTGCACTTGTCACTACTCACTATTGTCATCAACTTCATAATAATTAGGTATCTACAAGGTATAGTTATTAGGATTCTTCAACGACGCAACTGCGTCTTCTTCGCTTCATTTTGCCAGGTACTTTTACCACACACTCCCGTACTACTCGCAATCGTCTCTGGTCTGCCCACGTCCCCCCTCTCTTTCTTTTTCTTTTTCTTCCATCCATTGTTTCCCTCCCACCTTTCGGTCTTTTTTTTTTTTCAGCTGACACTGACAGTTCCAGCATCATATCATATCATTCAGGCCACTGGGGGCTGCTCTGCTTCCTCAACCATCAAGACAGTCAAACTTCAAGTATCCGGTATCGAGTCTTTAGAGTAATATATGGAGTAATTAATAGCAGTTGATAATATCATTGTGAGTCCTCCTCCTCCTCCTCCTCCTCCTCTTCTTCTTTCTTCTTGGTATTCTTCGTCGTCCTGCTTTTTGTCCTCTTCTTATTACTATCGCCAGCCATTATTACCACCACTATCTAACTAGCCCACCACATAATTTATCTTACAATATTGATCTTCAACCCTTCACTACTTTCCAAACTATCCTCACCATCTGAACGCGGTCGTCCGCTTCTTTTTCCTCTTCCTCTTCGTCGTCTTCCTTCTTGTCTTTTGCTTTTTCTCCTCCCATGCGACTATTTTCCTTTCCTCTTGTTCTCCTCAGACCACCTGATTCCATCCCAGAACCTTTTTCAGAGGCCTTTCATTCCGATTCTCATTATTACGTACTTCTGTTCTAGGACACCTTGTGTTTCCTTCCATTATTATTATTATTATCATTATTATCATTATTATTATTCTTATTAGTTGCCATTCATCTTCTCACCTGCTTGGTCCTCCTTCTTTTCTATCATATTATCATGATACTTATTATTACCTATTATTTGTCTTGAGTCTTCTCCTTGAGTCTCCTCAAGTTCAATCAGCTTGTTCTTCCTCCCATGATTATTGTCATTTCTTCGGACGATATTCTGCAACCAACGTTGTCGCGGCATCCCTGTCACTGATCCATCGTTTTTTTTTTTCGCCGGCGCCGTGTCATTCACCCTCCCAAGCCACTTTTCCGACTTCTGCCAACAAACCCGCCTCGACTGATCGCCTGGTGCCCGAACGCCTCGATTTCCCCTGCTGCGTTGGTCCTCCCCTCCCCCCCATAACAATACTCCAATACTCCATACCCTGCGTCTATCCATCTTCTATCTTTCTATCTACCTACTACATACCCTTACTCTTCACCCTAATCTCCTTTCGCAACCTTCCTCCTTACAACAGGGACTCAACGACATCATCTCGCCCTCGGGTCCCCGCTCTTTCTTATCCTTTCTCTCAACCACTAACTCAACTCACTTGCTCAGACACGCCCACAATCTCCCTCTGCGATCGTGCATCATTAGTCCTCACTTATCCCTACCCCCTTCGATCCTTACACCCCTTCACACCGAAAATTCATCACCAATATCCTCTCACTCTGAAGAGGGTTCATTCCAAACGCTTCGATTGAACGATAAGACATTGCCTACCGCGTGTGACGGTCGCTTCCATCCAAAAATCCCCCCGGCGGATGCTATCGTCCAAGAAAGGCTTTCGCGGACTGCTCGCCGTTCCCCTCTGACGGGGTTGCTGTCATGAATCCCGCAAACTTTCCTAATGTTGGCGGGGGCATGCCTGGCGGAGCCAAACCGCATGGCCAGATGCAAATACCCCAGAAAAATGAGAATGCTTCGGTGATCATGAACCAGGTTGCTCAAGCGCTTCAGACCCAGGGTCCGTTTACTGGTTGGAGGGCAGAAGTTCCGATCAAGGACCGCGCCGTTAAGGTGTATCAAATGTGGGTTGAGAGCATTGTCTTTTCAAGTTTTCGCGTCTGGTTTGTTGGAGTATTTGGGGACCAATTGGTTTCATGTTGCATCACTTGTTGTGTTACACCACTTCGTCACGTTCTTTGTCTCTCCATCCGCAGCACCGGACTAACTTTTCTTTCCAAATAAAGGATTACATCCCTTCGTTTAATTCAGCCTCGAATTGATTTCCAGAGTGCCGCCCAGGCTGCCATGAGCTTTGAGCAAAAAGCATTCAAGGACGCCAGGGAAAAGGTCAGTCCTCCTACCTTGTCACGCCGATAACTCATCCTGACCTTGGTATTTGTTCTTTTAGGTCGATTACGACAAGGAGTGCAATGAAAAATTAATACATATCCGAGATACTCGAGCAAGACAAGCGGCTGTGATGCAAAATGGGATGATGCCTCAGGGACCCGCCGCCGGTATGCCTGGCGTTGGACAGAACGCTTTTCCGCAGCAGATGAATCGCCCCGTCCAACCCTCTTCGATGCCCGGACAACAGCCTATGCCAATGAGTATGAATGATCCTAGTCAACAAGCTGCAATCCAACAACGACAGCAGCAGCAGCAACAACAACAACAACAGCAGCAACAACAACAGCAGCAGCAGCAGCAGCAACAGCAACAATCACAACAGCAGCAACAACAGCAACAACAACAACAACAACAAACTCAAGCTATGCTCCAGCAGCAACGCACACAGCAACGACCCGGCGGCAACGCTTCGCTTCCCGATGATCTGAACACACTCTCTGCCCAAGAGTACGAACATGTCTGTCGGATAGCCAACCAGATTCTCGCAAAAACACCCCAAGAAGATATGGACAAGATTCGTATGAATTTGCAGAACATGACCCCGGAACAAAGGCAATACCTTACTCGCAAGAATATGGATCCAATCACATACTTCTTCCGCTGCCAGGCCCTTAACCAACTCCGAAGACACAAACGCAATCGCATGGAGATGGCCCGCGCGCAGAACGCTGGTGTCGATCCTAACGGGGCGATGATGGCTGACCCGATGATGAATCCTCAGCAGCGACAGATTTTCCAAAATATGATGGGACTTCAACGCAACTCGGGATTCCCCATGGGTGGACAGCCAAATCTCGATCCATCTTCTTTTATCGGCAATGTGGAGAATATTCAGGGCCAGCAAGCAGATGGATTGCGTTCGCAGGAAGCGGGACAGCTCGTGGTGCCGGCGAGTTCCTCCCAGATGAATCAACAGCCATTCTCTAATCCTCAAAACATGTTCCAGGTCGGGCAACAGATGGGTCAAACCAACATGAATGGTGCCGCGATCAGCCCCCAATTCCTCGCACAGCAACATCTGCAGAACTCCCAGGCCGTTCCGCAGGATCGAGTTCAGCAAACACCTCAATTTCAACCGCAATCGCAAGCACAAACTCAAGCCCAGGCACGAGCGCAAGCCGCTCAGAAAGTGCAAATAGCCATTACATCGCAGGCTGGCCAGGCAAGTTCCCAAATGCAACCACAGCTCTCTCAGAGCCCCGCCATGCCCATGTTAAACCGTCCCATGCCGCCTGGGCAGATGTCTCCCGTGCAAGTGCCCGCCCAAGTCCGACCGCCATCGCGACCCCCGGGAATGGGTCAACAACCCAACAATGTACAGGGTCTAGCAGGACAGCCAGGAATACAGGGTCGGCCACAGATCCCACCAGGTCTGCCACCTGCGGCGCATGAGCAACTGGCTCAGATGACTCCAGAACAGCTCAACCTTTTCCTCATGAACCAACGTCGCGCACTCGCAAACAGTCAAGGTCACGGAAGGGTCAATGGCGTCCAGCAACCGATGCCAATGCAGCAGAATTTATCGCAAGCCGGACAGAATCAGCAGATGATGAACAACCCGATGGGCAATAATAATCAGAACATGCGAGCATCTTTGGGCCTACAACAGCAACTTGCTGGTATGAACAATGGCCAGATACCGAATCAAATGCTTGCTGGACAGCAGATGTCGGTTCAACAGCGCCAACAGCAACAACTGCAGAGACAACAGGACCTGTATAAACTCCAGCTCCTACGGCAACAGAGCGGGAGCCTCGAGATGACTCCTGACCAGGTCAAGGAGATGGACCGCATCCAGTTCCCCCCTGCCATCTTAGCGAACAACCCGAGCATGGTATCCCCCGTCCCAAAACATATCAAGACCTGGGGTCTTCTCAAACAATGGGTCTCCGCAAACCCCCAGGCTCTCGGTGGTGTCGATCTGCAAAAGCTAATGACTCTGCAAAAATTACATCTCGCTCAAATCGTGGCCCAAGGAAAAGAAGGAGGCGTTCGTAACGCCGATCAAAATGGCCAGGGCAACTGGGGAGCCATGATGTCTTTTCAGGGGCAGCAGCCCCAACCGTTTATGAACCCGCAAGCGTTTCAAGCAGGTCAACAACAGATGCCGATGAACATGCCAGCCATGCGGCCGATCACTGCCAATGAGATTCAGTTGGCTCGCCAGCGCTTGGGTGCTCAAGTTCAACATTACACTGACGATCAGCTCCGAGAGATTCTCCACAGAAATCGCCAGAAGCATATGATGCAGGCGGCCCAGAATCGAGCAGCACAGGCTCTTGCTGCACAGAACATGAGTCAGAACCAACAGAATCAAGCGGTGCAACAGCCTCCAGTGACGGGACCCCCCGCAAACGCCCAGGCCAAGCAGGCTCCCCAGCAACCAACTGCGCAGCAGAACCAACAGGCACAAGCTGCAAAGGCGGCGGCTGCAGCCCCTGCTAAGGGTCCTAAGGCAGCTCCCACCAAACAAGGCACCAAGCGCAAATCAACTAATGAGGAGCCATCGGATGTTCAGATCACGCCTACCCCCAAGGCGGCCCAGCCAACTACCATTCAGGGTGTATCAGCGCCTCCCGTTAGACCCAACATGCCTCTTACTCAGGAACAGTTTGCGGCGATGACACCCCAGCAACGTCTGCAACTGGCCCAGATGCGCAAACAACAGCAACAACAGCAACAACAGCAACAACAGCAACAACAACAAGGTCAGCCGCGTGTTCCAATCAGCCGAGCATCGGCTGAAGAGGCCTGGAATAATCTGCCGGAGAAAATTCGCCAACTGTACAACGACATCTCGAAGAATGCGCCCCCCGCTGAGCCTGTAGCTGTTTCCACAGAGCAGAAAGCTGCCATGGCTCAGCAACTACGCGAATGTACCGATATGCTTGGTAGAATGGATACCCTTGTTCAGTGGTTCGCCAAGATCCCTGGTCAAGAGAAGAACGTACGAAGCTTACTTGCAATGGTATGTTCAAAAATTCTTTTGGTCTTCTTTCTCTAGCGGTGGCCTATGCTAACTCACATTTCTGTAGCGTATACAACTGATGAGGCAGTTCAAGCCCGGTCCGGACTGGACTCTCAATGACCATATCACCATAGCCCCAGGGTACCTCACCGGTACCATCAACTATATCAAGAGACTATTCCACGCTATGATTGCGCGAGTGAACCAGCAGCAGAACCAACCCTCTGGTCAACGACCTAGCGTGTCCCAGGGTCCTCCTGCAATGCAACCGACCAATCAGAACAACATGCCTGCTCTCAATGCAAGCAATTTGCAGCAACTTCAGCAACAGGAGGAAGCTCTTCAGCGGGCTCGAAGAGCTTCTAGCCAGGCCGCCTCGACCACTTCGGCGGTGCCACAGCCACCTTTCGGAGCGCCATCTCCTCAGGGAGTCCCGCATGTCTATGGTCCGGGTAGCATCCCCCCTGAAAAGTTGAAACTCCCTCCTTCAAAGAAGAGGAAGCAGTCTCATCCTGGTGGTACCCCTATCCCGGGTCAAGCTCCTGGCACGCCGGTTATGAAACTACAGGGCATTAAGCCACCCGCGCCAGATGCCAAACCGGCTGCTCTTTTGGCGGGGCCGTTTAAGTGCAGCATCCCTGAATGCCAGAATTACCATCTAGGATTTACAACTCAAGATGCGTTGGACAAGCATGTTGAAGAGAGCCACAAGGTCGAGGAGCCTATTGATAATCCACTTGAGTTTGCCATCGAAAGCTTCCGCACCACTCTCGTCAAAGATGAAGGAGCTCAGCCGGAAGATCTCAAGAAGATCGGGGTTGCCCCGGCCGGGACCAAACAAGAAGTCAAGCCCGAGGCAATTGCACCGGTGGCCATGGGACGAGTACCCACGCAGCGCGGGACTAAGCCTGCATCCCCAGCAGCCCAGCAGACCCCTCGCATGCCTTCCGGAAAGGCTCCTGCCGCCGTATCTAAACCCAGCCCGAGCAAGGACGAGAAGAAGGAAGGCGGGAAACTGGCCGATCGCGCTGCACCGTCCCGGGCGATGTCTACCAAGGACCCTTGGGCCGATAGTGCCATATCTCTCGACAATATCTATGACACGTTCATGGATCTGGGAGACGACGCTGGCTTCGGGTTCAACCCCATGGACGAGTTTATCAACTCGGACATGTTCGCGAGTGTCCAATCCGAAGACACTCCAGACTCGGTGGAGTCTGGGGTTGCCACTCAGACACCCAAAGATACTGAAATGCCAAAGGCCCAAGATGCCAGCGGCAAATTCGGGGTTGTGTCCGGGGACAACTGGATTCCAGCGGACTGGGTGAATGTCCCGCTGCGGTTCGAGGACTCTCTCATGGTCAATGATGATTCATGGGAGAGTCTTGACTGGGATGCCGTGGAAAGGGACACAGCCATGACTATTGACGAAAATGGAGTAGCCATCTATGCTATGTAAGATGGATGACTATTCCACTTTCTGGGGGCAGGGGGACGGGGCGTGCGATTCGGATTCGCGGCGTACATAGGAATGATTTATGTGTACATTAAGGTACGGCCGAGCACGGGAGGCCAGGGTTTTTTTTTTTTTTTTTTTTTTTTTTTTTGGTCTGTTCTTTTCGACTGTGATGTTTTGGGGCATCTCGCATGATCTTGTGGTTTTGGTCTTAGGACCATTCATCCTTGTTGATATGGTTAGATTAGCCGCGGCGTTTCGGGGGAGCAAGCAAAACGGGACACCAAAGTTGGATTTTTTTACTTTTTTTGTTTTTTTATCTAGATGGGAAATGGATGGAGAGCATCTTTGTGAGATGTGATTTGGAAGATTTACAAACTACTTTTTTTTTTTTTGGCTGTTGTTTGAGATTCTGATGATTGCAATATCTATCTGTGACATATGTATGTATTTGACATGACAGAACAATACCTGCAGTATTGTCCCTTACACGCTACGACCAAACAGGATCATGTGCCAGGCCAGGTGACCCGCTGCTCAACTAATCCACTGATAATGATAGGAAGCTGATAAGCCACCCTCTCTCTCTCCCAGTCCACTCACTCACTTCGTCACTTGCTTGCCTTCGCCCTTTGTTCTCTTCATTGACCCCCCAATCCCTTGTCCAGAATGGGTGATCAATAAGAAATTGTGAATACCTCTGCCACCAATTCCATTAGATCAGCACGGATCGAGTACACTAACGACAGCAGCCCAAGTATCGTGTGGATCCATTGTTTTGATATTCAGATAGCAATCAGCTTCAGAGCTTCACTCTCCTCCCACACTTCCAGAGTGCGTATATATTTCTCGTTGTGACAGCTGTGTGCTACATACAAGATGGCCAATCAAGCAGTGATCCCGTTTCTGGTCACGATGATGCTTGTGACCGGAGTCTGCAATACAATCCTCAACAAGTTCCAGGTCAGACACCTAGCCTTGCACTTCGTTTGTCTTGCTTCCGATCTCCTGGCTAACCCGTTGGAAAAAGGACATGCAATGTGTACGCAATTGCGATTCTCCCGACCCCAAAGCTCGCCATACCTTTGAGCAGCCGGTCCTCCAGACGTGGGTTTCTATATCCCTGAATCTTGTGCTGTTGAGTTCCAGCTAACACTGGCGATTTGACATAGAATCCAGATGTTCATCGGCGAGATGGGCTGCTGGCTAGTGATTCTGGCCTCCAATATCTACCAAGCTTTTATCTACCCGCGCTTATCGCGCAGTTCATCACCTCTTCTGGCTGGTGGATATAATCCCGTGAACGCCGACGAGGATGGCGACGAAGAGGATCAAACGATCCGCGGCCCGGATGCCCCTGACCATCCCTCGAAGACCACTGACGCCGAAGGACGCATATATCTCAGCGGGCGGAGAATCCTGCTCCTTGCTTTGCCGGCATGCTGCGACATCGCCGGTACGACCCTGATGAACGTGGGCTTGCTGTTCGTGGCAGCCAGCATCTACCAGATGACGCGTGGTGCGCTGGTGCTCTTTGTCGGACTCTTCAGTGTCTTGTTTCTACGTCGGAAGCTGTATCTGTACCAGTGGATTTCCTTGTTTATCGTGGTCCTTGGTGTAGCGTTGGTAGGACTTGCCGGTGCGCTTTTCACCGAGAACCAAGGGCACGATATCTCGAAGGAGAATGCAATCGCCATCGTCACGCGGGCCGTGATGGAAGCTCGAAAGGTTGCGAGGACGCCTGAAGCGGTCAAGGCCATCATTGGCGTGCTACTGATTGCAGCGGCCCAGATCTTTACCGCGTCGCAGTTCGTATTGGAGGAGTGGATTCTTGAGAACTACGCCATGGATCCGCTGCAGGTCGTGGGCTGGGAGGGTGTGTTCGGTTTCTCCGTGACTGTCATCGGATCGATCATTATGTATCTGACCGTAGGCCGTACGGATGCCGGCCGCTATGGCTACTTTGACGTGAAGGAGGGATGGCGCCAAGTCATGAGCAACAAGTACATCGCCATATCCAGTATTCTGATCATGATCAGCATCGGGTACGTATTGTCCTCCCCCACCATTACCACTGCAAAAAAAAAAAAAAAAAAAAAAAAGTTAGTGCTAATGTAATCTTTCCCCAGCGGCTTCAACTTCTTCGGTCTCTCCGTCACCCGGACCGTATCCGCCACCTCCCGCAGCACAATCGACACCTGCCGTACTCTCTTCATCTGGCTCGTGTCCCTCGCTCTGGGCTGGGAAACCTTCAAGTGGCTGCAGGTGCTGGGCTTCGTTCTGCTCGTCTACGGAACATTCCTGTTCAACGACATCATCCATCCCCCGCTCAAGGCATGCATTCCCCATGACAGACGGGAGAGACAGATCCTGCTCCCCGAGGAGCCTATCGAGCATCTGTAAACGGGGCGCGAAGAACCCCGTTGCTGAAGGCACCTATCACTAACTCATTGTCTTTCTGTCTGGTGAGCATTTTTTGGCTGCTTGCTATTTTGGGCCGGCGTTGGACTTTGATAATTATCTTTTGATTCTTTTTGGTTACTTGTTGCTTTTGCATCAGATTGGACGATAGTATCTCTACCATCGAAGCGGAGCCTGTTTGTTAGGCATGTTAGAGCGGGGAAAATCCATCACTGGAGATATTGCAGGTTGTGGTACTCGTCGCAGCGCCGACCACTATCGCCCTGATATGAGGATCTTAGTCGGCCCTACGACTAGTACAATCTTTTGATATGTTTATATTTGATATCGTAGCTGGTTCAACGAGACGAGTAGGACTACTCGGGTGGAGACAACGTATCTCAGAAAGTACTAAGCATATATATAAAAAGGTATAACCAGTCAGTCTAGTATTACATTATATTACAAATCACCACGATTCTGATTCTAAATCCCGGGAATGGCCTCTCCTCAAACAAGAACATACAAAGCACACATCTAACATAAAAACAAACAGTCAGTATTGCCACAAGCCCTAAGAAATAGGAGGCAGGAGGAGACATACCATGGACAAACCGAAGATCATCGAAAGCCAGAAAAACACGTTCTTGGGGAACCGTTAGCCAGGTGCATTTCTACGAGAACTCAGACCTAGGGAGGGGGAGGGGGAAGGGGGTACGCTGGGAAGAGGCGAGGGTACACACGTTCAGGGTCTTCTTGCCGCGGAAGAAGCGGGACTGCTGGACGGCGACAATGGGCATCTGCAGCATCATGGCGAGGAAGCCGTAGCCGCGCAGTTTCTTGGTGATGCAGCTCATGACGAGCTCATGGAAGATGGAGCTGACGAGGAAGGTGATGAACATGGCGGCGGGCTGGGAGAAGTTCGAAAGCGAGGGGAAGTAGACGTGGCGGCGGAGGAAGTGATGGACGGGGACATTCCATTCGCGAGAGAATTCGAGCCTGAGCGGGTGTTACTATATTGTGAATTTCGACGGCACCCGCGCCGGAATAGCTGGGGGGTTGTCTTCTGGGATGGGTTCAAGAGGGGGTTTGACCGGGAGGGACTTACCAGTCGCACGAGTTCCACCAGTCCGAGTAGAACTGGCGATCGGCGAAACAGGTGATCTCGGCGAAGGCGCCCAGCACGTACTCGAAAATGACCAGGAAGACGAGCAGAAAGGTGATCATGAAGGGGAACAAAAGCATGCTGATCGTCTCGGCGAGGATCAGCGATTTCTCGGTTGCGCCCTGGACATTGTGGAGCTGCACGCTGGCCTCGCTCAAGACTGGAAGGATGAATTCCTCGCTCGTTAGGGTGAGAAGGAAGATACAGCCAAAAACCGCGAGGGTTTTGGCGGCCAATTCCGTCCACCGTCGGGTTTTGTTTCGAGGGTACTCGAGTTCGTAGCAGAGGGTGGGACAGAAGATGTAGTCGACGTAGTTGCCAAGGGTGAGGTTCTGTGGATACGTGACGTGCCCCAGGGGAGATGTCAGCTCACTGGCTAGATCCTCGCGCAGCTCAGAGACTGATTTGGACCGTGTACGGCCGCCATGCTGGTGGGTTGGGTGCTGGCGAGGCTCTGGGTCGGGATACCGAACAGCCGCATCCAGAGATACCGACCCGGGCTTGTCCAGCGCGGCCAGCCGACGCTCGGTTTCGCTCAGGTGTCCATTGTAGAAGGCGTAGGAGTGCATCTTCATCAGGAAAACCAAACTATGGAGAGTCATAAACACCTGGGCTGTCCAGGTCCAGCGCATCATGAACGGCCAGCTGGAGTGCGTCAGCATGCTGCACCATCAACAACATCCAGATCGAACTTACTTGACCCACAAGACCAACCAAGCGGCTTCGAAGAGACTTTGCACGATCATGCCACCTCGTCCCCAGCGCAGCCACCCGTTGGTCCGGAAGAGCTTATGGAACGGCACAACCAGGCCAGTACTCACGACCATCGCAAGATCGCTGAGACCCAACTGCCACACGTTCGCTGTCAAAAGGCCCCAGACTCGGACCCTCAGCGGAAGGCCCGTATCCTTGATGTTCCGAAGCGCCGTTGTGACGACCATGATGAAGAGCGCAATCCAGAAGAGTGTGAAGAAGCCACGGAAGTTGTGATGGTCGCTCTTGGGATCAAAATGCGACACGCGAGGGGTGTAATTGATGGTGTAGAATAATCGAGTCCGAACTCGAGCCTGTTTTCTGGCCGTAGCTATCGAGTGTGCAGAGGGAGGGGCATCTTCGGCGATGGGAGTAGAACGGCCACTACTTGTGAAGGGTCAGCCAACGCTTCTTGATGCTCTTCAATTGCGTCGCAGTCCACATACCTTGATTCAATCGACATCAATCTATCCAGAGGGGGCGTGATGGTTCCCTCCTCTGGCTTTTTCACGGCGCGTGCTCGGGGCAATACGTTGCCATTGGGCTGTAAGATGGCAGAAGACGACATGCTGATGATGGGAGCCGATGAGTGTCGCAAGAGAAAGATGCAGTTTTGACATCGAAACACTGCTCGCACCCCGAGCGCAAAGACACGGCTGTGAGTCGCTTTTATATGATATGATCAGGATTCGGAATTTGCAGAAGAGACGAAATTGGGGATATGTGTCATGTGTAGGAAGAGGTGGATCCGATGAACCGCTGCTGGGAGTGAAATAAGGCTGATGAGTGATATGCACAGGGGCCAACAAAGCGACACTGCGACTTGCAAACTTGTAGCGGATCAACCGGAGTTCCAAGACACAAGGTGGGAGGGAGCAATGCTGAGTAGAGTAGAGGCGTATGTACTATGTAGACTATCTAGCTATAGGTCAGAGACAAGTATCAACAATGGGAAATGCCAGGCTGCCTGCTTAGTAGGGAGGAGGATAATAATAATGCGCTCACGTCATAGGCATCACAAAGCTCTCGGCACCATGGTTCAACCCGTGTTATACGAGTACGAGGTATGGTACGGTACGGTACGGTACGGTAAGGTAAGGGTTGTTCTGTCAAGAATATTGATGCCTTGTCCACCAGGCCCAGAGAAATTAACCACGTGATCTGCCAGAGCGAGAGGGGAGACGCTAACCCCAAACAGGACGGATGCCAAGAGGGACAGATCAAGCAAAGCACGGGCGAGGCTCGAAGGGCAGCTATCACAACTAACTAATACTTTATAACTATCACCAGTTGAACTAGAACCGTCCTTCTAGTCTTGTCGGACGTGGGGTTTGCGCAGACAGGTTTCTTCGCATCCTTCTTCCTCCTTGAATCGCCCTCTCTTCCCTTCTCTATTGCACCCTCCTTTTTTTCCTCTTCTTCCCCGTCGGGGGTCTTGCGACCGTCATGACATCCCGTACGTATTCTAGAAAACCCCACACCCCCTATATCCCTGAGACGACAAGCCAAGTCACTCACGCTCTCCCTCTGCGTCTGCGGGATCTGACTTCAAATAGTCAAACAATTTATCCGGAATGTTCGATCGGCCAAGACAATTGCCGATGAACGAGCAGTCATTCAGAAAGAGAGTGCCGCCATTCGGGCATCATTCAGGGAAGAGAGCCACGATTCGGGAGTCCGGTCAGCAGCAGACACCAGCAACGATTGTCATTCCCCCCCTCCGAAGCTGACATAGTGATCTATCTCCAGGAGAAACAATGTGGCCAAGCTTCTCTACCTTTTCACACTCGGCGAGCGAACACATTTCGGTCAGATCGAATGTCTGAAGCTGTTGGCGTCTCATCGGTTCGCCGATAAACGGCTGGGATACCTAGGTACCATGCTGCTGTTGGACGAGAACCAGGAGGTGTTGACATTGGTGACGAATTCATTGAAAAAGTGGGTGGTGCTCTCTCGTCTCACCGGGTGTGTCCGCTGGCAAAAGTGTCGACGCTGACAGGACGCAGTGATCTGAATCATTCCAACCAGTACATTGTCGGCCTCGCCCTATGCGCGTTGGGCAACATCGCCTCGGTCGAAATGTCCCGAGACCTGTTTACCGAAATCGAGTCCCTCTTGTCCACGGCGAACCCCTACATTCGGCGGAAGGCGGCGCTGTGTGCCATGCGCATCTGCCGCAAGGTTCCAGACTTGCAGGAGCACTTCCTGGAAAAGGCCAAGGCTCTTCTGTCGGACCGGAACCATGGTGTGCTGCTGTGTGGCTTGACACTGGCGACCGACATGTGTGAGGCGGAGGAGGCGGAGGAAGGACAGGAAGGCGTCATCGAGATGTTCCGGCCGCTGGCCCCGGGGCTTGTCCGGGCCTTGAAGGGCTTGACGACCTCTGGTTACGCTCCGGAGCACGATGTATCAGGCATCACGGATCCGTTCCTCCAGGTGAAGATCTTGCGCTTTCTGAAAGTACTCGCCAGAGGAGATGCGGCCACCAGCGAGTTGATCAACGACATTTTGGCCCAGGTGGCTACCAACACCGACGCGACCAAAAATGTCGGCAACGCTATCCTCTACGAGGCCGTTCTCACGATTCTCGACATCGAAGCTGATTCTGGCTTGAGGGTGTTGGGTGTCAACATCCTCGGCAAATTCCTTTCCAACAAAGACAACAATATCCGCTACGTCGCGCTGAACACGCTCAACAAGGTGGTGGCAATCGAGCCGAATGCGGTACAGAGGCATCGCAACACCATTCTGGAATGCCTCCGTGATCCTGACATCAGCATCAGACGGCGAGCTCTCGACCTGAGCTTCATGTTGATCAATGAGAGCAACGTGCGTGTGCTGGTCCGGGAACTGCTCGCTTTCTTGGAGGTCGCCGACAACGAGTTCAAGCCCTCCATGACCACTCAGATCGGCATCGCTGCAGACCGGTATGCTCCGAACAAACGGTGGCACGTCGACACCATCCTGCGCGTGCTCAAGCTGGCCGGCGCATACGTCAAGGAACAGATCTTGTCGTCGTTTGTGCGCCTGATCGCCACCACGCCAGAATTGCAGACTTACTGCGTGCAAAAGCTTTACACGTCTCTGAAGGAGGATATCTCTCAAGAAGGTCTGACGCTTGCGGCCACCTGGGTGATTGGCGAATATGGCGACAGCTTGCTCCATGGGGGCCAATACGAGGAGGAAGAACTGGTCAAGGAGGTCAAGGAGAGCGACATTGTTGACCTTTTCAACAATATCCTCAACAGTACATACGCGACGCAGACGGTGATTGAGTATATCACAACGGCTTCGATGAAGCTTACGGTGCGCATGACGGATCCATCGCAGATTGAACGGCTGCGGCGCTTCCTCAACAGCCGGACTGCCGATCTGAGTGTGGAGATCCAGCAGCGCGCCGTCGAATATACCAATCTGTTTGGCTACGATCAGATCCGGCAAGGCGTTCTGGAACGGATGCCCGCGCCAGAGATCCGTGAAGAGCAGCGAGTTTTCGGCGCCCCCGCCAAGAAGCGTCAGAGCAAGCTCCTCAAGGACAAGTCGAAGAAGCCCGCCAAGCAAGCCGAGCAGGACCTGCTGGTCGACCTCATGGGAGGCTCCGAGGGTCCAGCCACCAGTACTGTTGCCAATGGATCTCAGAACACCGCCGATCTGCTGGCAGATATCCTCGGAGGAGACTCGGGCATCTCTTCACCTGCTCCCCCGGCCGCGCAGCCCAGCAGCAGCACCAGTGCAATCATGGATTTGTTTGGTTCGAACGGAACCCCCTCCCCCCGCCCCGCGGAGCCGGCATCCGCATCGGTGGATATCCTGGGAGGTCTCGGGTCCGCCCCGTCTCCCGTGGCCTCGCCGTCCGCCGCCGCAATCCACACCGCATACAACAAAAACGATCTTAGTCTCACGCTGCAGGTGCAGCGGGGCGGCAACGCCACCGCACAGATCCAGGCGCGGTTCCGCAACAACTCGAGTTTCAATCAGTTCTCCAACGTCGGGCTACAAGCTGCGGTCCCTAAGAGCCAGCGGCTCCAACTCAGCGCGATCAACAAAGCCGATCTTAGCGCGGGAGACGAAGGCGTCCAGATGTTGAAGGTTACCGGCCTCAATGGAGTAAGTATTCGGCTATTCCGCTTATCGATCTATCGCAAAACGAATTCTAACCCACATCCCGCAGGCTCTGCCCCCCAAACTCCGCCTCCGTCTGCGCATCACATACTCAAAAGACGGCTCGGATCCAGCCACGGACCAAGTCGACTGGTCCGAGCCTTGAAGCATATCCATCGAGGGGTCCTCGAAGTATCACGCACGCATTGCCACCTCAAAACCCGAAGCATCCAAGTTAACCTTTCGCATGTGGAACATGTATGGAGGGAAAGAAGAGGGAAGAAAAGCAAAAGCCAACCAAACCATGTTTTCTTCATCCTTGGCATGCTCCATCTACATCTACTACTACTACTACTACTACTGCCTTACTTGCATATAACTAACATCCATCACCCTCTTTGACTACCTTTTTGCTTTGCTTTGACGTAGCTATAGTCGTAGATCGTATGCCTTACCCCAAAGCTAAATTTAACAGCCAAGTGACAAGAATCAAGATGCACACCTATTGGCACAGATACAGGTATGGGATGATGTCATTTGCTTTGCTCACCCCTCCCCGAACATCACCTATTCTTGCATGGTAAACAATCAACAATAAACAATAGGTAGTAGGTATGTGGTGGCTTCTGGATGGAGGGGCTAGCGACATTTTACTCCCCACCGATAACCAGAGATAGTTGCGATTTGATCAGACCCTGAAGTTACGGAGTAGGTCTAAATAGGATTTCCTCTCATATCTACTGGCATCTCCTTTCCCGAGCCCAGCCGTTTCGTAACGCGTCGATAAATGGGACCGAAATTGGCCTCGTGAATCCTACCAAAGTTGTGACTGTACCATTCCACTGCAGTTTTATCTGGGCAATGATCAAGAGCATCATTATCAACCTCTAGGTACCCTGTCATCAGAGATACCCAGGACCTGAGTGACTCGCCCCACGTAGAACAGCCTTTTTCTGTTTCCTCATCGATTGCAGCCTTAACAAAGCTTTCCAGGAGCGTTTGTTCCAATGGGTAGCACAGGTTGCCGTAAGTTTCAAATCGCTTTCTCGGTGCTCCATCTCTTGCTTCAGTCAAAGGGCGGGGGGGATCGTCCTGGAAAGAGTGCGCAAACATGTTGGGAAACAAATACACTTGCAAGCCTTTTTCTGTTGGTTCGCCATTATTTGGATAATCAAACACTGCACAGGACTGATCCAAGCGTTCATAGCCAGCATTAATCTCCTCCAGCACCTGCTGTGGGTTCGGATGGTCCTCCATGATTTCAGAGGCAGGTGCGCGGTTTGGAACACTTCGTTTGAATCCTGCGCTCTCAAGCCTTTCAATAGCAGCTGTATAGTCGTTGTCTTGCACCGCAATCATAGGAGCCTATAGAGAATGGAATCATTGGTATAAGCATGGTTGAATTAATAGTGTACTATTAAAGGGGGACATATTACTCCAACGGCGATGGGGACACCTAGATGCCACATTGCGAGGGCTCCCCAAGGTACTACAGTGAAAGGTTGAAGGGTTTCGCTAAGTCTTAAGGAGAGCCTATCAGGCTCGGTCTCCCTCAAGCGCCTAAACATAGTCGTGATGGGAAATGTAATGGAAAGCCACTTCTTTGTGATTTGCCTCGAGTGGTAAGGAAGATAAACAGTTTCGGAAAGCTCCTTGCGTACATCGCCCAAAACAGCAGGCAGTAAAGCCAACCGCAGCAGCAGAACAGACCTTAAAGCGTGAACAACAGGGCGGCATGTAATTATATATAATGATTCCGTAGTCTTGGTCTTGGTCTTGGGTCTAGAAAAACAAGATGACCAAGACCAACTTCCTGATACTAACCGCCCGTACTTCATCACATTTCTCCCTGTCTAACACTCGTTTACGAATTGAAAATGAAAAACCAGGCCAGATAAATATTCAAGAACGGGGGATGTGAATTCATTCCATTCCAGTCCATCCGATCCAGCCCCTGGATCCTATCCTATCCTATGCTACCCGATCCTATGTAAAACCCAGATTCCTCCCAAGTTGATTCATGAAATCGTCATAATATGTAAAAGTAAAAAAAAAAAAAAAAAAACAACGCAGAATAAAAATCAATAGCAAATGTCAATGTCAATGTTATTCATGAGTTGCAGATGTCTCTCCCGAATCAGGCCAGATGCATGCCTTGGTTTCCTGTAGGTGTAGGAAAACAGTAAAAGAAGCAGAAAAAGAGATAGACCCCCATGTCCGTGCGCCGACTGTGCTGCGGTGATGATGTGATTTGGGACATTGCTTGGGTTGATTGGTGAGACAATAAAAAATATCGTGGGACAAAAAAAAAAAAAAAAGAAAAAAAAAATATGCGCAAGAATGGTAATTCGAATGGGAAACGACTCTAGATGCCGAGAGGGATATTGAATAATGAACATGATGGGGGAGTTTCGTGGCGCGCTTCAAGAGCCTACCATCTTAGCGGGAGAGATGATAAAAGGCCTGTCGTTATCGTGGGATCGTGGAAGTCATTAAGCAAAGGTGGATTGGCGCCTCCCCACGGGTGGTTCGCGGTATTGGTCGTAATGGCGCGGGTACGCATCACGAGGGTAGTCCTTGTCCTTGCTGCGGGAGTTGTATTCGGGTTCTCCAAATAACGGGGGGGAATGCCGCGGGGCGCTCACTCGGGCGCTCTCATAGCGAGAGGACGATGACGACGACGACGATGACTCGGGGGCCACCGGGTAGGCGTAGGTCGTGTTGCTGCGGGTTGGTTTTGGCTTGGATCGAGACGACTTCGGGGCACGCTCGGTGCGTGGTGGAGAGTAGGCCCGCGAATGTCTCGATGAGGACGAGGTGGGCGAGGGCAGGACGGGTTCGACCACCACTGTATCAATCTGATCTTTGACCTTGTAGCGCATCGAGGTCTTGGTCGGGCTGTCGCCCGGTGCCATCTCAGGCGTTCCGGGACTTGAGTAGCCCGAGTCGTACCGCTCTACGCCCCGGGGCTTCGAGGGCCGGACCATGCTCTGGAGAATCGACTCGGCTAATCGAACCGACGCCTTGGAGCGAGAGTGGGTATGGGCACTGGAAGCAGATCGCGAAGTCTGCAGGGAGGGCCGCACGGTCGTCGACGACACCTTGATTCCCGGCGAGGTTGCAGCGGTCGGCATGCTAGGTCTCTTGATCTCATAGACGCGGGGCTGCGATTCCAGGTGTTCATACGAGTTGTTGCGCGAGGCTGATGGGCGCACGTCCTCCCGGCTGGAGCGGGTGGACCGGGCGGGACGGCGAGAGGAGGTCGACTCTGGTTCCACAGACTCGTAGACATGCTGACGAGTGGGAGAGCGAGGCGACCGATGTCTCCGCTCACTCTCTCCGGGCACAGCCCGGGAGCGGCTGATATAATATTGGGCGGCATCATGCCATTTCTCATGCTTGCCCTCAAACGCATCGGAATAGCCGTCTTCCTCATACCGCGAGCGCTCAGAGCGACGGCTGGAGTCGGTCGACTTGGTCTTCCGCGAGGTCGACTCGCGACTTCGTCTCGACTCCGACGGTCGCTTGACACGCACGTAGATGGACGACGCACTGCTATCCGAGGCGCCGCCGCCGCCGCCGTCGTCATCGTCGTCATCATCATCATCATTATTATTATCCGTACCATAGTACGATCCCGCCCGTTCGAACTTCTCGTACTTTTCCCGCCGGCGTTCCTTGGTACGGTATTTGTCCCGATCGGAGTGGGTCGCTTTGACATTCTCGCGGATCGACTCTTTGGCCGCACGAAGGTGGTCGACCGGAACCGTCCTGGACTTCTTCTCGTCAGTCGTCTTGCTTCGTTGTCGCCGTCCGTAATCGTCATGTTTGCGAGACATCGGTCGGGGCTCTTCGGTGAAGCGCGCATGTTCGTCGAAGAACGCCGCATCAGCCGGCACTCTTTCTTCGTAGATCCGTCCGTCGCGATATTCCCGGGAGGTGCCACTACTCCGGGCGGGGCCACCGCGTGCCATCATCTCGCGCCGAAGTTCTGCCAGACGGACCTTCTGGTCGTACTTGATTCTCTTCGTCTCGTCGGAGAGCGTCTCGTAAGCTTGCTGCACCCGTTGAAACTCATCCTGCGCTTGACTCCGTTGGGACTCGTCCTTGATCTTATCGGGATGGCACTTGAGCACAAGCTTGCGGTGAGCAGACTTGATCTCCGTGAGTGTCGCATCTTTCTGCACTCCCAGGACAGCATATGGATCGATATCTGGTGCGGATGACATGTTGTGAGGGTATTGATGTGCGATTGAAAACCATCAACCGGGATGAAATTGTAGATACAACAAAAAATCAATGTTTGGAAAAGGAAAGACTGAAAGGCAAGCGAGGTGGTGGTGAGTAGATAAAGCAAGCTGCTGCGTTGTAAAGGGGGAGAGGAGGCGACAAGCGGTGGGAACGGGGTTGTTGTTCCTGACCCGTCCGGCCTAGATAGAGAGAGTCTCCGCCAGAGAGGTATGTACCACAATATACAACAAACGCTCTCTCAGCAGATGAAATGGGGTGACGACCGTGACGTGGGTACTCGTGACGATCAATAATGGTTCATCATTTAAAATCCGGGCACCAGACACGACCAATGCATCGAAGGATCGAAGTATTCGAAGTATTCGAAAAGAAAACAAGAAGATCGGGGAAGACAGTGGAACTCTCACGAGATGATCAGGTAATCTGAATAGATCGATAGTACGGGCGAGAATGAGTCGTGTTCGTCAGGAGAGGGAAAAGAAGAGCAGAACAAGCCACTCTTTCAGTCAGCAGCACGAGCACGGCCCTGAATGCCACAAATAGCGATGGGAACCACTTAGGCCCGGTGATTGGCAGACCAGGAATAAATCTATCAGGGGAGTGGATAATGGATCTGGAGTCCCGTGGGTAATTTCAGACCGTCTGAATGGGTGTAGTATAGAGGGAGATGGCCAGATGGGGGCAAATATTTTGATAGTCAAATGTCAAACCGAGGGGCAAAAAAAAAAAAAAAAAAAAAGAATGTGCTGTTGAGAATTTGAAAATTAAAAGAGCATGCAAATCGGAGATATCCCCAAGGCGAAAGAGGGCGAAAGGGGGGGGAGGACAGAACAGAGCGAAAAAAGAATGGTTTGCTGTAAGAGCACTGCTTGGACAGCAACTTCTGAGGCCCCCCAGGAAAAAAAAAAATAAAAGACTAGATAGATACTACTGCGCCACGCTGGGAAAAGACGATGAAGTGGCACCACTCTTAGTCAGGATGAATCAGATGGACGATGAAGATGAGAAATTAGGAAGAATGAAAGAAAGAGAATGGTTATGACGATGGTGATGATGCCTCTCTGGCTTGTTGTTCCGGATGATACTTTTTGGGCGATGATCCAGAAGATGCTCGATGATGCCACACAGCAGGCCAGAGCACTAATGGGAATCTTCAATCTTGACGATTGCTTGTCTGCCTGTCTTGCAGATTGGACACGGTGTACTGGACGGAGTACGTCGAGAGATAGGATAGATAGGATATAGAGAGAGAGAGAGAGAGAGAGAGAGAGAGAAGGGGAGCGAGAGATGGTGACTTGTGACTGTGAGGAGGTATAAAGAGCGAGCGGGTCTCCAGTCCGTCCTAAGCTGCGGTTGCCGGGGGAAAGACTGAAAGATGATGGAGTCAAGTGTGAAGTACAGTGACCCATCAATCAACCTCAAATCTCAATCCGAATTAGCGGTCAAAGCAAGGCGGAGCAATTGGAGAGGATGCTGGAGGGAAATAACTAGTCGTCGTCGTTGTCGTACTAATTATCATCGAGACGCTGAGAGTGAAACCACGTTGGAGGGACCCGCTTGGGTTGGGTTGGCGTTGAAGACACGAAAGTGATGGACGATGGAGAGATGAGGGATAGACAATCGACTAGTATAGATAGAGACGAAGAAGTGGTCATGAAATGGATTTGATTATTATTATTGACTTATTGATTCATTGATGCACTCTGTAAGGTAGAAGAGGTGCTGGTCTAAATGAGAATCGATATCAATTGAATATAAGGATCTCTGACATCCAGTCTTCATGAAGAGTCAGTCCTTCCTGTCCGGCAAAGTCAGGAACAGAAGTGATACAAATACTCACGCCAACACCAGGCTAGGTTCTGGAACAGATGATGAGAAGGATGATAAAGGATTGACGGTGTTGCTCATTATTATTGACTATGTCTGTCGACTTGCTACACGACATTCCTCATCCATATAAATCCTCCGTCTCCTGAGTCCTGAGTCGACTCGACACTCTACCTAACCTAACAGACTATACGAGTACTAACTAGGTCCCGAGTACGGAGAACACCCCCCATGCTCACTTGATATACACTATGGAGTACTGACTACTCTTGGTTCTTCTTCTCACCTTACTATTATTCCCCTCGCCTGGAACTAAATAATACGCCTCCTCCTTGCTCCAGCGGTTCTGAGAGATGCTCTGCTCTGCTCTGCAGCAGCACCACCACCACCACCACTAGGACTAAATCACCCACGGATGATCCTCGTATAGAGTGACTTCTTCTGGTAGATGAGCAGCAGGCAGTACGACCATCATCAGCTGGCTTGGGGGGTAGGCGATTTCCGCCCTTTTTTACCCCTCCAGAACTCCCCATATCACTGGACAGTTGACTATCACCGCAGCAGACGAATCAGCGTCCAGGAAAGCGCTTTTTATCGAACATTCAGATGGGCAGTCTGACCACCAGTCATTCCTCTCAAAAGCCTCGGATTCAGCCATCTCATGCAGCGAGAACGATGGGATAATCGGATACCCCGCACTAACTAACCTCCGTTGGCGCCGGCTGTGACTGCGTACAACAGTACAACTAACTACACAGTAGGTAGACTTTTAAAAGAAAAAAAGTCTTTGGCTGCAACACTGGGCCACCACTCCGCATGTCCACAAACGTTTGCCCCGGGTGATCCCTTCGTCTCATAGGCCGACGTCGTTCCCATCACTTCATGGATCTGGCTCGTCGTTGCCGGATCGAGTTTCAGGTTCCAATCACAGGCGTACAACGTGCCGGTGGCCTTGCTTTGTTGGTGCGCCTCTTTCTAGTTTCTACCTACGCGGCTTGCCTCACCTCTTTGCTGCACGTCTGCAATGACAGTCTAGAATTGGCTGATCGCGTTTCAACCAGTCCCACAATATGGAGTTCCTACCTACCTATCCACCTACGGAGTACGGTAGTCGGGTCATCCGTTCAAGTTCGGACATGTCCTTTTTTTGTTTTTTTTTTTGTTTTTTCCCCTTTTTCCGAATTGACTTCCTTCTCTAGCTGAAGCTGTGGCCTGCGGTGGGACATCAAGATATTGATCGCTCATGTGCAGACTGTGGAGGATCCCTATTCCCTGAATCCCCACCAGTCCTACAAAAATGCCTCTTCGTAAGTCATCAGTCACAACGAGGTACATGCGACCAGGCACGGCCAATTGTCATTGGTTCATAGCTCATTCACGGCGACAACGACCCCGATCCGATCCTCGCTCGCGTGAAACTGGTCCCGTGGGTGCCTCCCGCTCGGTTCCGTGACACTTCTGTCGTAGACTCGTAGTCCTTCATCGTCCGATATCGAGATATAGTCTATACTTTGAACAACCCTCACACCTCCATGAGAACTAGAGTATCCTTGAATCTCGGCGGTTAGATGCAAGTCAGAAGACGGCCACCATCCCACCATCCCCCACCATCATCCCCAACAATTAGAATAGAACCCAAGACCATGTCGATCGCTCAACGGCCGTTAAAAAAAAAAAAAAAAGGGGAAAAAAGGGCGCAAGGAAGCCTCACGAGGAACCTGGGAAGACCATAGCTTGCGGCTGGCTGTTCTGTGGCAGACCAAAAAAAAAAAAAAACCCCCCATCACAGATGGGTAAGCTGACCGGCGTCTCTTTGTAGTTTGTACCTATAACCCGTCAGCCTGTCTTGCATTCCTTTTTTTCCCCTTCCCCAAGCAGAAGAATGGCTTCTGGAAGGCATTACTCAAATAATTGGTTCCTGGGATGGAAGTCATCTGCACCGCGTCAGGTCTGGCTCCACGATTCTCCCATTATTGTTCCAAGTTCCAACGAACAGGCGAGCCATGACCGACTCTCGCCAGTCGCCATGCAGTGATGATTGTCCCGGCATTAGCTTGCAGGGGCTAATGCTTCACTTCCATGGTCGAGCGCGTCCAATGGCAGGGCCTTAGGCGTGTTGTCCACCAAGCACCGTCACATCCTTCTGCCGGTTGATAGCATGCGATTTGACATCAAGACCTGGAGAGTCTAATTCCAATGACCCAATGCCCAGTGTCCGTTGCAATACTGCACAGCTATCACAGATGCCTCAGAACTTTAAATCAGGTCTTGGAGGGGGAGGAAGTTTCCACTGGCTGGATCCATGTGGCTTTTTTGGGGAGAGGGGAGAGGGCGCCCTGTCGGGTTTATCAACTCCCTTCTCTTCAGTCCAAAGTCCCTGCTAAAGTTGGTTTCTCCATATCATCTGGACGATCAAGTAGACTGGGATGGCGCGGCTGATTGGCTTGCAAAAAGTACTCCGGACGTATGGGGTACCTTACGCTGGACCACGATACCTACCTATGATCTCTGGCTCACGACATACTGCAAGTCAGGTCAGGTCTATAGTAGTGTAGTACATGTGTTGAGGGGGTGAGGTGCACCGTACTCCGTGCAAGTCGCAGGCATTGCCGAAGGGGAAATACATATATACTTAGGTACTCCGTAAGCAGGGGCAATTGGATAGAAATAGAAACAATGACAATACAACACTCTCACCGGATCCGTACATAGCAGCTTACAGTTAACAGCTTACCTATTATTATGTATTATTATTATTCTCCGACTCCATTTCCATAATCCATAATCCATAATCCATGGATCGTCCTGCAACACAGCCACACACGCACTGTGCACACTACTGCTGACTGCACAGAAAGCGTACGGAGTAGAGATGGCATGCAACAGAGAACATCCCCGATCTAGCCGGCTGCATCTTATCAAAATCGGCGGCTAGTTTTAATCCAGATTTCCTCCTCCACTTTGGAATCGGTTTCACTCACTGATCAATCTCGGAGGGGAGGGGGGGCTGACCCACTTAGTCTTAACCTTAGCCTTGTCGCCGTTGTCAAGTGTTCAATTCCATAACCATGGCCATACGGAGTACAGGCATGTTGTTCTGTAGGAAGTCAGGAACTGAAGTCTGAACGACGATTTAAATTGGAGCTTAACGCGCCAACCACCCCCCCCCCGGCGTTGGGAGTAGTGAACTCCTTACCGTGAACAGGAGTAGGTTGGTTGAGTATTGGTAATGGATATAAACTCGACAGGCACCGAGTACAGCATGCCCACCGTGATCCGAGATCCTTGGGTGCTGCGAACTCTGATGTGTTTGCCTACTACTGTATTTGGGGGATAGTATGGAAGTATGTACTGTTCTGTAAGGGGTTCGGACAATGCAGTTGTCATTACAGATATCGAGACTCTATCAGTATGATATTAGGTAGATAGGTAGACGTCTGGTGGTAAGCTGCTGATTTTGCTAGGAAGAGAGTATACTCCGTACAATGGAATAAAGTACAAATCTCCCGATGTGAAAGGCATAAGCATCATCGCTGGGGTTATGGTCCATCACCTCGCTAGTCCTCCATCCCGCCATTCATAGGGCGCAAGCAAGCGCTTGTTGGTCATTCAGGCTCAGAGACTGTCCATGACTGGCTGTATGGAGTAGATAGCTTACCTCATGCTCGTGGTTCTGACGAAATCAAAATCAGGTGATGGGAGTGCTCTGCAGATGACCTGTAGGTTACCCTCTCTAAAAGCTAAAAGTAGGTAGGTGTTGTTGCCGGGGGTATGTCTGCAAGAAGCTCCCGTCAAGTTTAGAGGTTCAAGTTCGGTTCCATAGTCTGCAGTCATGTGCAGAGTGACGATGGTTGTTCAGACTAAGATGCCAGCATGTATCCTGGTCGAGGCTGTAGATCCATCGTGCTCCGATGCGTGATGTAATCATCGGGGATAAATCCAGATTTCATTACCAGGGTTACTACTAGGCTACGGAGTTCTTGACTCGTAAAAAACGTCAGCGAGCGGTCCAGTTGATCATCTTCGCTCCCCGTCGCGTCAAAGCTCAAGAGCTCTCTGCTGTCTGCTGCCGTGTCGCACATAGCATCCCAGTCAGCATGGCTGCGTGCCATGAAAGTGTCAAAACATGAAGGACGAGGCTCTCGTGCCTTAGGGTTCCGTCCACGTCGGCAGCTCCAGATCCACCACGATAGGAGCATGGAATTTTCTGCCCCCGCGATGTGGCCAGCTGGTGGCCATGATGGATGCGTTGACGATGCAGGTTTCCCTCCGCGCCGATCGGATTTCGTCGTTGCAGGTCATTTCATGTCCGTCCATATCTTCAGGCTTTGCACACGTTAACGCTGGGCTCGACGGCAGCAGCATGGCATTCTGCGACGATCCGAAGGTTGTGGACAAAGAGCTGGGGCCACTAATACAAAAGCCATCATTATCTAGACGCTCAGCCTTCTTGCCTGTCAAATCAACGAGGCTTTGTTTCTTGCTCCCCGAAGGAGGCAAGTTGCCTCGCACAACCTGGGCGTCAGGTAGTTCCCCAGTTGTGCCTGATGACGGCCTCGAAGGCCATACCACTCTCTCGTATCCCCGCGACTCATGTACATGGCCACAGACAGCGAGCAGAGGTCTGACCTGGCTTAATGCCTGAAGCAGGGCCGGGCACCCAACCGGCTCCCCCGTGCTGCGGGTGTCGCAGTGAGAACGAGGCGGCGTGTGCGTCACGACAACATCTGCATCCAATGGGATGTGGTTCCAAAGCGCAGGGGCATCGGCCGATGCGTATCCAAACGCCCAGTTCCCAGGCGATTGGGAATAGGGCGAGCCAAACACCTTAAATATGGTCCGGGGCCCTTCGGGCCGTGTCAAGCGGACAAGTGCTGACTGATGCCGGAGGAAAAGGATCGAGGGTGCTCCTTCAGTCAGGACTTCCAAGCATCGCTGGGGGTCTTCTAGACGCTGGTTGTGGAAGTCGGATCCATACTCAGCGTAGAAGCTTGCTTCCAGTGTGATATCGTGGTTGCCTGAAGGTGTACCACTCAGTAAACACGAAAGATCAAGGTAGTTGATGTCTACCGGACTGACCACAGACAATGATTTTCATTTCGAAATCAGCCTTGGAGATCCAGTCAATCGTTTTGCGCAACTCCGACAGGCTCCCTTGGTTTGTAAGATCTCCAGCATGAATCAGGACATCCCCGGCCGGTAGCTTGAATCCTGCTTCTGAGGGTGTATAACCGTGTGTGTCAGATACGCAGACAAAGCGCGTCTTCCGCCGCATCATGGCTTCGGATGAGGCTGTCAGCAAGCCTGTGGTGGTCGTTATACAGTCTTGTGTAGCAAGGCTGAGGCTCTTCAGAGTTGCAGACCAACACGGCGCAGCTCAGCTCTGTTACAACCTACGAGGCGTTATCATGGCAAACACGAGATCTGAGTCATGCGGGACTTTTACAGTAAGCGTTCAATATCAAATCGCGAACACGGATGTTAGTCAAGTACAAAGTAGGATGGAAAATGGGTCCTGTCGGCGCGCCAAGGAATCCTCATGAGATTCGAACGTTGCTGGTCAGGCAACGGTTCCTCAGAAATTCAGATACAAATACCTGTATACCTATGCAATGCTACTACCGATATCTCCATTAACAAGCCTTGTGTCGAGGAGAGTCACGTAGTAGTTGAGTTGACGAGGAGCGTCAGGAGCGTCAGGTGTAGTGCGGAAGACAATTGACATCACCAAACAACTATCTACTCCGTGGATTAATCCGACAGGCTAGACAGCAAGACAGTCCAGTGTGAATAACACATTAGGTGGAACAGACTCGAATTGGCCTATCATGAAACAATTCATCTTCGGGACCCAGAAAAGCGTGCAACAATTCAAGCAGGGCTGGAATCCAGCGGAGGGCAAGGAGGCAGCTCACGTGATAGCGGGCCACGGGATTGGACCGGGTTAGGGCTGTGGCCCTCAACTGACCTTTCCACACAAAGGGTAGTAGCCTTCGCTTAGCGATCTTCAGTGCGAACCATTCGACTTCGTTGTGTGCGTTGAACCTGACCAACAACGACAACAACCGCCGACAACATACATCCCCAGGGAGTATCCTAGAGCAGCGCTCTTCCTTTCGCTGGATATTTTCCTCTTGAAACGGTGACAGAAGAGCAGGATGTCCTCCATCGATCCAGTCGTGCGTACTCCCTGTTCACATGCATGCCGCCAGAAACCCTCGTTCTTTTGGAGTTGGAGATGAGAAAAGATGGGGAGGGAGGAGCGGCGGGATTTGCCAACTTGATATTCGTCTACAGTGATCGCTGACTTGTGCTGGGATATTTTTGCAGGTCGTCATTGACGGCAAGGGACACCTTCTTGGTCGCCTGGCCAGCACTGTTGCTAAGCAGCTGCTCAACGGCCAGAAGATCGTCGTTGTGAGATGTGAGGCCCTCAACATCTCCGGCGAGTTCTTCCGCGCGAAGCGTACGTTATCCGATTCGTTACCCCCTTGTAATTCGAACTATGGCGCAAGAGGTGGATTCGTTCAGGAGGAGCATATGCCGACATGGAACATGGGACGAGAGGCGGACGGCCATACAGTGCTTGGACTCTCGGTGCAGAAAAGCTGACTTGGGTTATTTTCGATGATACAGTCAAGTACCACGCCTACCTTCGCAAGATTACTCGCTTCAACCCCACTCGCGGAGGTGAGATTCTACCCGACTCCTGATGATGACGACGACTCGATCATTCTCTGCTGGGACCTTTTTGAGTACTGAACTTCGAATGCAGGTCCCTTCCACTTCCGTGCCCCCTCCCGCATCTTCTACAAGGCCGTCCGCGGAATGATTCCCCACAAGACCCCCCGCGGTGCTGCTGCTCTGGAGAGACTCAAGGTCTTCGAGGGTGTTCCTCCCCCTTACGACAAGAAGAAGCGCGTCGTCGTTCCCCAGGCTCTGCGTGTCCTTCGCCTCAGACCCGGCCGCAAGTACTGCACCGTCGGTAGACTCAGCCACGAGGTTGGCTGGAAGTACCAGGACGTTGTTGCCAGGTACGTTTACATCGCTGTGGTGGAATCCGGGAGAAGGAAGAAGGAACAATTGTGGCTAACGGATATTTCTACAGACTTGAGGAGCGGAGAAAGGTTAAGAGCAGCGCCTACTACGAGCGCAAGAAGGCCGCCCGCCGCCAGCTCGTCCAGGCCCAGAAGTCGGCGGGTGTCGATGAGAAGACCAAGAGCCAGCTTGCTGAGTACGGATATTAGATACCTCGTTGCGCGGTTGGTTGCTTGTCTCGGTGATGGGTTGGGTTGGGATCGCAAACGGTTCATCTTCCAGCGAAATTGGACGGCAAACCGATCGACCTTTTTTCCAATGTCCCTACCTCATCATGCATTACCACAAATGTTAATGTTGTGACGGACATGGAGGCTGGAGGAACCGATTTCTTATTCAAAAGTAAAAAATACGGAGTCGCATGGGATCAAAGGTTGTTCAAAATAGCTGACCGTTATTTCGTGCCGTGGCGGTTTAATCCAAAGAATATTTCTCGAGTTCAAGAATGATTCTCATGATGATTGATTATGCTCATTCCTTGGTTTTTTTTTTTTTTCTGTCCCCCCTTCCCTATCCATTGTATACCTGTAAGATTGCCGTATATCCTACTAGCCTGATCGAGCCCCAGATCAGATATTGATGTATTCGTACTCGCTTCACTTGACCAGGTCCAACAGTAATAGCGAGAAGCCACAATCCCACAAATCCACCGATTTGTCCAGCCTCGGATGTTACGGGCGTACGGCTTGCGGATCAAGTGCGGATCAACCGTCTGATGGCGGTCCAAATATCGATCAAGACCAGTTGGACAGCAGCTCTTCTGGCTGCAGTGGTCATGAACAGATGAAGGCCTTGGACACTATTGAGAGCTCCTTCGGTAGTCGGTATAGGCGTGTCCAAAAGTCCATGTGTGGGTGCCTGCGGTCACATATGGGCCTTAGCTGAGAAACAACATGACTGGGGTTAAAGAGGCCCTCCGTAACGCAGATATTCGAGCAGCAAGGAGATATCCACAAATCTAATTATTCTAGAAGGATTCCTTCACGTTTATATGACACCTTAACCCTCGACCGCCGTGAAACACTGAACAGTAAAGGGCCAAGCAACCATCCGCGAAAAGCTTGCGGATAAAGCGCAACTTCTCCGCGGTCCAAAGAAGTTTAGCAGCCGATCTCCCCGCATTACGATTCTTGATACTTAGTCATCTAGTAGTAGTTAGTAGTACATTCCGATCCCCTTCTCCAACTCGGCCCTTGTTTGTCTGGGTTTCCCCTGGTTCCGTGGCAGGGCATTATATACAGAACTTCGATTTCCCCCGTTGGCGTAGGAGTTTCCTGACCCTGTGCTCCCTCTCTTCTGTTTTGGCTTTTGGTTCCTGATCGGAAAGCCGCTGCAACATCATGTCATCTGTCAAAGCTCGGCTGTCCGGCTTATTGGGCCATTTTGCGGTTCCGGAACCTGTTTCCCCACCAGCGAGGTTCGAGCATCGCTTCAACCATCACACGCTCTCTCCAACGTTTTTCTTGCCTCGAGCGGCCGCAATTGAGCCCGACGTGAGTGCCAACTCGTATTCGGAGATGATTAGGGGGCAATGCGACTGATGTTTCCGAATATATATAGGCTGAAGCCATCTACCATATTACTGCTAACAACCAGGTGTTGCGGAGGACGTACATTGAAACTGCCGACCGCGCGAGGGGGCTGGCATACTATCTCAAGAAGCATGGTTTTAAGCGAGTTGGCATCTTGTGTCCCAATACCCCTGCGTTCCTGGAATCTATCTATGGGATCGCCGCAGCTGGAGCGATTAACATCGGTAAGGCACTATGAGCTTTTATGGTGTTTCGTGCTTCTCAAGGCCCCTAGCATGATGCTGACGGAGTGTGGTTAGCTGTCAATTACCGTCTCAAGGAAGACGACATCGCTTACATTTTCAACCACTCGGATGCCGAGGTGATCATCGTCGACCAGGAGTATGTGCCGCTGCTTCAGGCATATAGAGCGGCACATCCCAACACCCCAATCATCATTGATACCGACACCGACGCGACAGAGGGACAGTTATCAGGCCCCTTCGATGAGGCTGTCCTACAGGGCCTCAAGTACGACATCGAAACCGGCTCCAATGGCTGGGATGGGCTGGAAAGTCAGGCGGGCTCGGAGGACGACATCATTGCTCTTGCTTACACCAGCGGTACGACGGCGCGCCCGAAAGGCGTCGAGTATACCCACCGGGGCTGCTACCTCGCTACTTTGGGTAATGTCATCGAGTCTGGTTTGAATACACAGTTTGGTCGGTGCCGCTATCTGTGGACCTTGCCCATGTTCCATGCAATGGGTTGGTGATCCTTCTTCTATCCTGCAAGACCTGTGGTGAGTAGGCGCACAGACTGACCCGTTCTTCCTAGGCTGGACATTCCCTTGGGCCGTAACGGCCGTCCGCGGCACCCATTATTGCTTGCGAAAGATCAACTACCCAGAAATCTGGCAATTACTGAAGCAGGAGCACATCACGCATTTCAATGCCGCCCCGACCGTCAACACCTTGCTTTGCGCTGCCGATGAGGCCGAGCGGCTTCCCAATCCCGTTCAGGTTACGGTGGCGGCCAGCCCGCCTACCCCCCATCTCTTCGAGCAAATGACCAGCCTCAACCTGCACCCGGTGCATGTGTACGGAATGACGGAGACGTACGGGCCCATTACCAAGGGCTACTATATGCCGCAGTGGGATCAGCTACCGGCCGAACAGAAATATAAGAACATGGCGCGACAAGGGCATGGATTCTTGACGAGTCTGCCCGTGCGGATCATCAAAACCGACGTACCGGAAGGGACCGTCGTTGACGTGGAACGGAACGGTAAGGAGATTGGCGAGATCGTCTTTGTGGGCAACATCTGCTCGCCGGGATACTATAAAGACCCGGAGGCCACGCGAAAGCTCTTTGCGGGAGGTGTTTTGCACTCTGGGGATCTGGCGGTCTGGCATCCGGACGGAGCGATTCAGATTCTCGACCGCGCAAAGGATATCATTATTAGCGGTATGGGGCTGTGCTCCGGTCGAATTTTTGTCCTGATAGTATTGCTGACCATCTTGAATTAGGCGGCGAGAACATCTCATCGGTTGCCCTCGAGTCGATGCTCGTTACCCACCCCGATATCCTCGAGGCTGGCGTTGTAGCGGTGCCAGATACCCATTGGGGTGAACGGCCCAAGGCCTATGTGACTGTGAAGCATGGGAAGCAGCTGGAGGGACAGGATGTTATTGCTTGGGCCAAGGGGCACCGGGCGATCAGCAAGTTCATGGTGCCGCGGGAGGTCGAGGTGGTGCCAGAGCTTCCCAAGACAAGCACGGGGAAGCTGAGGAAGAATGTTCTCCGGGAATGGGCCAAGGGAGCGAGTCACCCATAGACTGGCTGGTAGAGTGCATATTGAGACGAGCAGACAATTTTTGAGTTCAGCAGCCTTGCCAATATCTATCTATATGTACATATATACTTCGTATCCCACTGGAGAACCGAAGACTATGATTCAAGTGTCTAAGTGTTTTTTTTTTTTTTTTCACTAATCACCTCTCTTTCTTTCTGAGCTGTGATCTAACCCTGGTGACATCAGACAGGATTCTGCCGTTTGCACTTGACCATCAGACAGTTTACCTACACAGTAGATATTAATCCACTGGATCTCTTTCTACTTTCTATACTAGCGAGACTAAAGTGAAACCAGGACCCACGGCATGCCAAGCCTTCTATTATGATGATGACATGAGATGAGGGGAACAACGGAGTCGAGATGTGAGATATGAAAGTAAAAAAAAGACTAGGATAGGTTGAGGACAATAAGTTGACAGTGTGAAGAGAATGCCACGGGTGGATGAGAATGCTGATTGAATGCGTCTCCAGTCCATCTGGTTGTAGGTTAATTGTTGGCCGTTGACCGTTGCCCTTACAAACAAAAGGCCAGGAACTTCCTTCTGCGGGGAGTGGGATGAGTGAGTGAGTATTTTTAGGTCTTGGATGGTGTCTAACTAACAACAACAGCAACACCCTGCGTATAGATAAGTGACTCTCATGAGATTCGAGGAGATGGGTATTTTTTTTTTGGATCTATCAGACTAGAAAGGTCTCTTTCTATCTATGTATATGTAGTATGTAGTGTATCTATTTAGTTAGTTGATAGAATCGAGCGAAACCTGTCTATACAACAGTCAACAACCACCTCAACTAGATATATTTATCCTCATCCTCATCCTCATCGTTCTTCTCGCTAGGCTATGTATGGCGTCTAGTTGATAATCGGTTTGAAGATCAATCAGAATAAAAAATCAGAAAAATCTCCTTTCCTGAATCCAGGGCGTCACCAGAACAACTACCCTACAGGGGGTGGGATTTGATCCATCATTTTGCCTCTCTCTCTCTCTCTCTCTCTCTCTCTCTCTCTCATCTTCATCACCCTCGCAGACGCCGCCTCATCGACCGGACTCGCTTCCCTTCCTCAGTCACAACTCCCAAGCTGCTCACTCAACTCAACTCCAGATTTCCTCTTGGGTCTTGTACCCCGTTCCACACGTGGGTTATCATTTTCCTTTCCATCCTCGCCATCAAAACTCGTCTCTCCCGATCGCAAATCCTCTATCGTCTTCTCCCATTCTCTCTATCTCGTCGCCCTGCGCTCTCCCCTTCGTCAGCGACTCTCCCTTTCCTTGCCTTCCGGATTGTGCAACTGCTGCAGGCACGCTCGGACGCGCGTTCCTATCGACACTCTTACTGACCCTTCCTTTGTTCGCTTGTACCTCTCTTTCTTCTGACGTTGCGTCTGCGGTCTATCGGGCAGCTTAGACGGATCCGTCTCTCCCATCCGTCTTCCCAGTTCTGTTCTCTTGACCGGGCTGACAAGGGTCCCGCTGGTCGAGAGCCATTCGCAAAACTCTCCTCCACACGTTCAGGTGGCCTTTTTTTTTTTTTTTTTTTTTGTTTTTTCTTTACATATTGATTCTAAGGGACACGGGAAATTCTCATGAATATTACGTCCCATGCAGAGCAGCTTTTATCAGATACGCGAGAACTGGTTTAGAGAACGCTCAGCATAAACGGCTTCTTTTCACGACTACACAAGCGACCCAAATGCCCCGCTCACGGCAGCCCGCTCGGTTCTCGAGCGAAGCTCCCTCCGACTCCTCCTCGTCCACCTCCCCCGATCGCACCGTCGACGATGATACCGATTTCTTCATGGCCCAGGCGAATGACTCGCAGTCCTCGGTCGGCGTGGGCCACTTCCGCGAGTCACACGACCCGAACTCGAACAACAACATGGTGCTGCCGCCGATCGGACATCTGCCGCCGGAGATCCTCATCGCGATCTTTGCAAGGCTCAGCTCGACGACGGATCTGTTGAGCTGCATGCTGGTATGTCGGGGGTGGGCGGCCAACTGCGTCGGGATCCTCTGGCATCGGCCGTCGTGCAACAACTGGGACAACTTGAAGAGGGTCACGGCGTCGGTGGGGAAATCGGATAGCCTGTTTGCATACTCGGAGCTCATCAAACGACTCAATCTCTCGGCTTTGACGGATGTCAACGACGGTACCATCGTCCCCTTTGCACAGTGCAAGCGGATCGAACGGTTGACCCTGACGAGCTGCTCAAAGCTGACGGACAACGGCGTGTCGGACTTGGTGGAGGGCAACCGGCATCTGCAGGCTTTGGATGTCTCTGACCTTCGCTCCCTCACGGATCATACGCTGTATACAGTTGCTCGCAACTGCCCTCGGCTCCAGGGACTCAACGTCACTGGGTGTCTGAAGGTGACGGACGATTCGCTTATCGTCGTCTCGCGAAATTGCCGCCAGATCAAGAGAGTAAGTTGGGGATGAAAGCCAAAGGAGTTTGTTTGTGGTTTCTTCGTGATAGCTAATACGGAGTAGTTGAAACTGAACGGTGTTGGGCAAGTTACGGATCGCTCCATTAAATCTTTCGCTGAAAACTGCCCGGCTATCCTGGAGATCGATCTGCATGATTGCAATCTTGTCACGAACGACTCCGTGACCTCTCTCATGTCCACCCTCCGCAATCTCCGTGAACTACGACTGGCTCATTGTACCGAGATCAGCGACTCGGCGTTTCTCGACCTGCCCGAATCGCTCACCCTCGACAGTCTCCGCATCTTGGATCTTACAGCATGTGAAAATGTCCAAGATGATGCCGTTGAACGCATCGTCAGCGCTGCGCCTCGTTTACGGAACCTGGTGCTGGCCAAGTGTAAGTTTATCACCGATCGCGCGGTGCAGGCCATCTGCAAGCTCGGGAAAAATCTGCACTATGTCCATCTGGGCCACTGCTCCAACATCACCGATCCCGCGGTGATTCAGCTGGTCAAGTCCTGCAATCGCATCAGATACATTGATTTGGCGTGCTGCAACCGTTTAACGGATGCCAGCGTTCAACAGCTTGCGACACTCCCCAAACTCAGAAGAATAGGGCTTGTCAAATGCACCTTGATCACCGACGAAAGTATCTTGGCTTTGGCCCGGCCCAAAGTGACCCCCCATCCTCTGGGCACCAGCAGCCTGGAGCGGGTTCATCTCAGTTATTGTGTGCGACTCACAATGCCGGTAAGTTTCTGCCAGAATTGCTCCTGCTTCTGGCTCTGTCAGAGCTAACTCATTTTTTTTTTTTGGCTCACGCAGGGAATTCATGCTCTTCTGAACAACTGTCCGCGGCTCACACATCTCAGTCTCACGGGTGTAGTGGCGTTCCTGGACCCCCAGATCACAAGGTTTTGCCGCGAAGCCCCTCCCGAATTTACTCAGCAACAACGGGAGGTGTTCTGTGTCTTCAGCGGTGAAGGTGTCAACCGACTGCGGGACTACTTAAACCACAGATCTAGCTCCGGTCGCGAGATGAGCGAGGCTACCATGTATGACGACGACGAAGAGCTGGACGAGGATGAAGGTCAGGTGACCGGCCTCATGCATGCGACAGTGATTAGCGACGAAGACTATATTGATATTGGACATGCCCCTGGTTGATACCCCTTTCCCTTACGTTTTCTTTAAGCGTGCTGTTTCCGTGGCGTCTCCCTTGTGCGGAACCCTCCCCCCTACCCTTCCTTTTTTTTTTTTTTTTTTTTTGTCTCCCTTTTTTCTTTCTCGACTTCATGTGTTGTTTGCGTCATTTTGGCATCCATCATAAAGGGATCATGGCCAAAGAGCGGGCGTCCCTCTCATTTTCGCCTCAATACGTACAGATCAGGACTTGTCAGATCCTATCATCTGGACTTGCATCGATAGCGGTTGATCCAGCTCTGGGGTTTTCGGGTTGATGTTTCATGTTTGTTTACTTGGGACTAGGCATATATATGTTGCTCTGCCACAATGACGAGGCCATCGCAGCTAGTAGATACCTTGGAGATGGCTGTGGGCAATGGGATCGGTGTATGGAGTATGATGGGATGTCTGGAGGGGTTTATGCTCAGTTGCATATGCATTTATAATGGAGCTCTGCGTTCCCTTTTTTTTTTTGATTATTTGCTTCATTCAAAATATCTACCAATTCCACTACGTTCTATATTCTATCCTTGCTTTGGGGGTGTTGTCCAGAGTCCTGACGCTGTGCACTCGTAGTTCTCCATCAACGTATCCAACGTCGTCACACACGCTGAGCTTCCCCCGCTTTCCGCCTTTGGAAGCGCGTACAACTTCAACTTCAACTTCCATCCGCTTCGGAGCATCGCTGCGTCTGGGGGCAGCATCAAATGCCAGTCGCGACTGGTAGTTGATTTCTAAAGCTAAGCTGATTTCCCTTAAGAGTCAGTGGGAATAATCGCCAGATGGCTCGCCAGTATTCGCGAACCAACCCGCTTGGGTTCACCCCGTGGCCCGTCACCATCATCACCGCCCTCGTGTACCTCGCGCTGGTGATCCCCTTACTTGTCGTCCAGCACGTCGTGCCGTCGGCGCCGGGCTCCGATCCAGCTGGTCTGAACCTCACCGAGGCATGGGCCGATCTCCAGGTCCTCACGAACGGATTCCACCCGTACAACTCGCACCGCAACGATGACGTCCACAAGTGGCTTCTGCAGCGAGTCCACGAGATCATCGACTCGGCACCCGCGCGCAGCACCGACTCGGCGCACCCGCCAGCCGTCTTCGTCTTCGACGACGACCAGTCCAACCTGACCTTCTCCGGCCGCGGCAACGAACTCGGCGTCTACTTCGAGAGCACCAACATCCTCGTGTACATCCGGGGCACGGAGGACGACGAGACACAGTGGTGGGCGGACCCGCAGGGCCAGCCGGCGAGCAAGGGCGGCGTGCTCGTCAACGCGCACTACGACAGCGTCTCGACGGGCTACGGCGCCACCGACGACGGCATGGGCGTCGTCTCGTGCCTGCAGCTGCTGCGATACTTCACGACGCCCGGCCATGCGCCGCGCCGCGGGCTCGTCGTGCTCCTCAACAACGGCGAGGAGGACTTCCTGAACGGCGCCCGCGTCTACAGCCAGCATCCGCTCTCGCGGCTGCCGCATACCTTTGTCAACCTGGAGGGCGCGGGCGCGGGCGGGCGCGCCTCGCTGTTTCGCAGCTCCGATACCGAGGTCACGAGGCCGTATGCGCGCGCGCCGCATCCCTTCGGCTCCGTCCTGAGTGCGAATGGCTTTGAGGCCGGGTTGATTAGCAGTCAGACGGATTATGTGGTGCTGGAGGGGGATTTGGGCCTGCGCGGGCTGGATATTGCGTTCATCGAGCCCCGGGCGCGGTACCATACGGACCAGGACGATGCGCGGCACACGAGCGTGGACTCGCTGTGGCATATGCTCTCGGCCGCGGTGGCTACGACCGAGGGTCTGGTGGACGACGCGAGCGACCAGTTTGACGGGGCGCCGCGCGAGGACGGCAAGGTTGCGAGCGGGTCCGGGTCGAAGGCCGTGTGGTTTGATCTGTTTGGCAGCACGCTGGCCGTGTTCGAGCTGCACACGCTGTTTGCGCTGTCGGTGACGCTGCTGATCGTGGCGCCGCTCGTGTTGCTGGCGACGAGCATCGCGCTGGTTCGCGCGGACAGGATGTATCTGTTCCGGTCGACGGCGAGAGTGCCGGGCAGCGATGACTTCGACGAAGGGGTGTCGCTGCAGGGCGTCCGGGGCTTTTTCCGGTTTCCGTTCCTGCTCGTGATCCCGACCGGGGTCGCCGTGGGCCTGGCGTATCTCGTCACAAAGATCAATCCGTATATCATCCACAGCAGCGAGTATGCGGTGTGGAGCATGATGATCTCCGCGTGGGTGTTTCTTGCGTGGTTCGTCTCGCGTGTGGCCGACTTTGCGCGGCCCTCGGCCTTCCACCGTGTGTACGTCCTCACGTGGATGTTCGTTGCTGAGTGGGTGTTGCTGGTGATTGCGACGGTCTACGAGAACCGGTATGGTCTGGCGGGAGGGTACTTTGTCTTCTTTGCGCTCTCGGGCACGTTTCTGGCGACGTGGATCAGCTATCTGGAGTTGTTTGCCCTGCCGCGCAAGTCCGAGTATGCCAGGCAGATCGCGCCGCCGTCACGGTACGCCAGCAACCACGGCAGTCGGCTGGGCACGTCCTCGGGCGAGCACGGCATGGATGACGCGGAGGACGAGGAGGACGACGACGGCGACGACGAAGACGAGGCCCGTAACGTGGAGGAGGAGCCGACGGAGTCGACCTCTCTGCTGCGCGGACGCGGACAGCGCACCACCTTTGCCAACTACGTCCGGGTGACGGGGGATTACCTCCACGGGGCGGGCGACGACGAACCGCGCGAGACCCATGTGTACGGACGGGAACAGGCGTGGAGCGCCGGCCTGCCCAAGTGGACGTGGGTGCTGCAGTTCCTGCTCAGCGCGCCCATCGTGCTCATCCTGGTCGGCCCGCTTGCGCTGCTGCTTACGGCGGCTCTGCGCCAGACGGCGCAGGACGGCAGCTCGCCCCTCTTCGTCTACATTGCCATCGCCGTGCTCACCACGCTGCTCGTTACGCCCCTCCTCCCCTTCATCCACCGGTACACGCACCACATCCCTCTCTTCCTCCTGCTGGTCTTCACCGGCACGCTCATCTACAACCTCGTCGCGTTCCCCTTCTCGCCCTCCAACCGCCTCAAGCTCTTCTTCCTCCAGGAAGTCGACCTCGACACGGGCGTCAACCGCGCGTTCCTGAGCGGCGCCCACCCGTTCGTCTACGAGGTCGCGCGCTCCCTCCCCAGCGCCGCCGGCCAGAACGTCAGCTGCGACCTCAGCGCGGCGCGGCCCAAATGCTCCTGGTACGGCATCCCGCCGCAGGTCCAGGCCACCGCCACCCCGGACACGGCCGACTGGGTCTCCTTCAACATCACCCGATCGGCGGACCAGCCGACACGCGCCCGCTTCAGCGTCGCCGGCCAGAACACGCGCGCCTGCCGGCTCGTCTTCGACGACCCCGTCCGCAGCTTCGCCGTGCTCGACTCGGCGTACGACCCGCGCTTCCCGCATCTCTCGCCGCAGGGCACGCAGGAGATCCGCCTCTGGAGCCGCGAATGGGGTCATACGTGGACGGTGGACGTGGAGTGGACTGTCCCCGCGGTGGACGGCGAGAGCCGTGGGGTGAGTGGCCGCGTCGTGTGTCTGTGGAGCGACGGCAACGCGCCAGGGGTGATCCCGGCGCTGGATGAGGTGCGGCGGTATAGTCCAGTGTGGACTGCTGTGAGTAAGTTATCCGATGGATTGGTGGAGGGGAGTCGACGGTTTGAAGTCTGAGTTTGGGTTCGGATTCCATTACATCATCTTTTTGTTTGTTTGTTTGTTGGTTGGTTTGTTGGTTGTGTTTGTTGTGTTTTATGTATGGAGTCTGGTATATGTCGAGCCATGTTCAAATTATTATTTGACTAGTAAGTAGTAAGTAGATATAGTAAACGTATCGAGATCTATATGTAACAGTGTACTAGCTGTAGCTATAGTGATACACCCCGTGTGCCACGGTTTCTTTCCCCACCTGATCCTGCTCGTCTAGAACTAAACTCTCTACTCTCTGGGTAGAATCTAGATCGGAATATCCATGCTCTCGGCGCCTCAGGGTTGGGACTTGGACTTGGGACCCCATGGGACTATGGGGTGGTCCGGCGTACTGGCCGGTTTCGGTGGACCATGTGGAATGTTCCAGGTTCTGTTTCTGTTCCAGTGCCTGGTCCGCAGTTCATCTTCCCATGGATGATGATGTATGATGATGTATAATGATGTATAATGATGATGATAATGATGGATGATGGAGTGCGGAGTGCTAGCGCTGAATATCCCCTGTCAAATCCATGGAACCAACCCGTAGAGTACCAAAGAACCAAAGAGTGCGTACCAGTGGATCTTATCAACTAAGCCCATCAAACCATGGGACTATGGTTATATACCCCCAGGGCCCCAGCAAAGGGGGGAAGGGGTAGGATGATTATTGGGGGCATTGACTCGACTTGTGACTAGGTCGAGAGACTGAATATATTAATCCCGTCACGGAATCCGTCACCACCACTGCTTCAACCCGGGTGATGCTCCCCGCCCGATCCACTCTCGCGCTGTTTGTGCAGCGAGTCGGTGAAGTCGAGCGGGCTGACGCTGACACTCGTGTCGCGCTGGGTCTCACCGCTCCATGAGTGCGAGATGCTGGAGGGGCCGATGTCGCGGTCCTGGTCCGGGTCCTGGTCCTGGTCTTGATCGTGGAGGGAGATGGAGACGGGCACGCCCTCGGAGTGCTCGAACATGGCGATGGAGATGTCGTCGGAGTCCATCCAGGGATGGGAGCGGCGGCGGCGGTGGCGGGGAGAGATGGCGAGGGGCCCGAAGGAGGTGGAGGAGGAAGGGAGGGGCGCGGCGTGGGTGAGGTCGGTAGTGACGCGGGTGGCGTCGACGAAGTCCGGGAAGTCGGCGACGGAGCCGGGGTGCGGGGGGATGTGGTAGGGATGATGGGGATAGGAGTCGTCGGCGGAGACCTTCCAGACGTGGGAGTGGACGAGGTAGACGAGTTTGCCGAGGACGGCGAACTCGAGCTTGAGCTTGATGCTGTAGATGGCGCCCTTGAGCATGGTCTCCAGGATGTATTTGTTCATGTACTCGACGACGAGCAGGCCGAGGTCGAGGAGGATGATGATGGCGTTGATGGCGACGAGCTGGTACATGATCTTGCGCTTGCCGCGGTCCGGGTCGAGGCGCAGCATGCGGACGGTCTCGTAGATGTAGAGGCCGGAGATGACGAACTCCTGCAGGCAGAAGCCGGTCATCTGGATCTTCTCCATGACGTTGTAGCCGCGGATGTAGGCGGCGCGGGCGGCGTCCGAGGCGGCCAGGTTGGAGCCGTAGGTCAACACGGTGGTGGGGAGGTGGAGGAGGACGGCGTCGACGAGGATGAGGAGGAGGACACGCCGGAGGATGCGCGGGCTGCGCACCACCAGGTGCAGGCGCGAGTACAGCACGACGGACTGGCCCGTCACCATGCACCACCAGCCGACGGTGAGGCAGGTGACGCACAGCCAGGTCTGCGAGGTCAACTGGAAGAATTTGAGCAGGAAGCCGATCGAGTAGGGGATGAGTCCCAGCACCGCGGAGACGAGCAAGCTCCAGAAGTACGAGCCGCTGTAGCGGCTGAAGGTCACAAAGACCAGGATGATGAGCTCGATGGCATTGTACCAGGTGATGCCGGCCAGCGTTGCGATGGTGATTTTCAACGCCAGGCTATTGCCTGTGTATCCCCCGGTAATGCCATCTCCCGGAGTGAGGCCCCCATGGGACATTTCTGTTCGGAGGGGGTTCTCCTTAAGTATGTAGCAACGGCATTGCTGATCCTCTGAAAGGGGGGACTCTATACTAGTATATGGATTGTTGGACTAGAGGGGAGAGAGAGATGGAGGAAGAGGAGGAGGAGGAGAGAGAGGCTGAAAAGAAAGGAAAGAAAAAAAGGCAGCGAGTGGGAGAAAAAAAGAGACGGGTGGAAAGAGCATGCAAGATCGATGATGATGATTATTATTAGTCTTGACTATTAAAAGACTATTAGCCTGAGCCCTTGGGAGTTGGGATAAGCCATCAGCCATAGCTCATAATGGCGTCTAATATTACGATTAACGATAATGTGAGACGTGGAGAAGTCCGGGGTGATGGATATCAATCATTCCAGGAGTCATTCTTCCTGTATTATTATTGCCACTGTTCTACTCTGTAGAGTGTAGTCCTTTGGGAGGATGAGAATTGCCATTCAGCCGGATCAAAAATATGAATGATTCCAAGCAGGATATGATAGTCACTGTCAATGAGCAGGATCTTGGACCAGATACGTAGGATGTGGGATGTACCTGGTTGGATCCATCGTACATAGTAAGAATAGATTTCCATCTGGACTGGTCTGACTCCGACTCCTATTTCAGTTCATTCCAAGACGAGAATAAAAGAAGAAGAAGAAGAATGAATTCCAGGTACAACAACCGATTCCCAACAGACTTCAAACCATCCTCCCTCGGTCAGCTTACAGCCTTAGTCCATCACGGTTACTGCATCAGGACGCCGCTTTCGAAATAATTCGTTCCGTGGCCGGTCGCGGTTTGGGGTTGGTCTTTTCCCTATTCCAAGTTCTATCCCAACAATCAACTGGGAGAGTATCATGATTCATGAAGATGAATAATGTTGACTCTGCAGTCTGCAGTCTGCACTCCCCAGCTCTGAGAATTGAGCCTCCCCAGTACTACTACCTACTACCTAGCTATCTACGTAGTACGGAGTAGTATCCAACTCTCCACAATCCATGGGCCATACAAAGGACACGAAAAAAAAAAAAAGACCGTGCGAGCCAGCATGACTTCATAGTGTATATTCCATAACCCCATCCCATCGACTTCCCGGTTAGATTCGATCGATCGATAGATAGTTCGATAGCTAGTTGAGTCTACTCCCGTAGTAAACCAGAATAGTCGATACTTGGTCTTGGTCCCGCGACTATCGATTTCGACGAAGATGAGATGAGGTCGCAATCCCCCCCCAACTAGTCACGCTCAGCCTACACGTCGTTGCTCCCGTCTCATTGGGGGAGGGCTAGAGATCGTCCAGTGTCACTGTCACTGTCACTCTCACGCACACTCTTGTTTGGAAATGATGCGGTGAGGGCTGGTGGTGCTTGTTCCTACTCCCTCCCCCCACCCCCAACCCCAGACCGTGGCATTGCGGGCAGCTTGGAGTCTGTCAGTCTGTCACTAGATACTCCGTGGTCTGTCGAGGGTGAGGGTGAGGGTGAGAGTTCGAACAACTCCTCCTCCTCCCTGGTCGCCAATTCACGTTGGTGTTGGTGGCACAGAAGAAGGTGACACAAGTCTTGTCTATAACGACCGAGTGAGGTGAGCAAGAGATTTCCAAACAACAGCTTCAGCCTATACTTTTCCCCAGTATTGCTCCCCCCCCAATTACTTCGCCTTGGCTAGTGAGCAATACGTGCCGGCGCAAGGAGGGACTCCAGTGATCATCAATCATGGAGACCTCTCTCTGGTATGTTGTATGTTACAGATATCGGTAGAGTGTAGGGTCAGGGTCAGGATCAGGTCGAGATTAGCTCTCGCTTACCTATCAGCGATGTAGTATGTAAACTGGAATCAGTAGCAGCAGTACCTTACTCTATAGTTCCCAGGTCCAAACTCAGAACTCCATGAAAGATAGTATCAAACACCAATTCCCTCTTCCCTTCAAAAGAAAGGGGGGAAATCAAAAACACCGTATACACCATCCCATGCAAACCGGCAAACCTGCAAACCCATGCCCATCCCCCCTCCCTACCTCTCCCTCTTCCCCCCCGTCCCCTCCAGCACCCGCTCCACCTCCCCCCGACATTCCGGCATCGCACTCCTCATCTCGCGCGCCAGCACGTCCCGGAAACTCGCAAACGCCTCCTTCTTCCCCTTCAGGTCCTGGTTGCCGCGCTGCACCAGCTCCACGAACTCGCGCGTGTAGATGTCCGGGTTGCGCGCCGCGTCGACGTAGTCAATAATCTCGGGCGGGAGTTGGATGCTGCTGAGGGGTGGGTCGGGGTTGTCTCGTAGGGCGGGCGCTGCTGCGGTCGTTGGGTCTGTGGGCTGGGGTGGTGGTGGTGGTGGTGGGTGTGGTTTTGTGTGCGTGGAGAGGGTGGAGAGGGCGAGGGTGAGGTTTTTTCTAAATTGAGAAGGACAGTTAGATGTGTTGCGAATTTGCATAAAAATGAGATGGAACGGAGGAGATACATCTTCCGGACGAGTTCCTGCTGCGTCTCTGGGCCTAGGTAGCCGTGGACGGCGGATTGGATTTCGAAGAGGTGCTGGATGACCTCCTTGAGATCGTCTGCCGGGGTGGGGGGGAAGAAGTGATTAGAATTGGGGGATGTGTTCCTAGGGGCATTGCGACGTACCATCCACGGTGCTTAAGGTGACTGGCGCCATGGTCGTGGTGGTGGATGTTTCGGTGAGGTGATTGTGGAATTGAGTGGATTTATTGGAGTACGGAGTATGGAGTATGGCCTCAAATGCCTTCCTCAGGCGGAGAGCTGGAAAGAGTGGGGATTGCGCTAGCCCATTTAGGTAGTCATTCATACGTACTAGTAGAGACTCAAAAGAGCCAACACGAGAAGAATAATACCTTGTATATTCCAGGTCTAATACATATATATATATCTCAATTAATTAAAGCCTAAGTGTAAGTGGTCGATCCCAAGCCAATGCCCCCAAGGATACAAAAGTACCTAGACCTCCTTGGTCCTCGAGCTCGCAAACTTGGGTATCTCAATCTCCGTCTCCACCATCTCCAACCCAGAGAGACTAGGGAACCGTCGGCTGAAATTGGCTTCCCAGTCGTCGCCGGGGCTGATCGGCGTCGGCGCCGTGGTGGATGTCGGACTACGATCCTCGCCCGTAGGCCGGCTCAGATCCCCGCCTCCCACGCGAAGCCCCTTAGGCTTGGGAGGCGCCATCGGTCGCGAACCCGTGCGGTGCCCGGAGGCCGACGACCATCCCGTCGGCGCCCCTTCTTGCGGAGACACGCTGGGGGCCCGTTCCTGGGACGATGGGTAGGGCGCCCCGGCACCCCGAGTCCCTGGCCGCGACTCCGGTCGCGCGTCGGTGGTCTGCTTCGCCTGCAAAGCAGAATCCGATTCGTCGGTGTACCGTCCGTAGCCCGTCGCGGTCTTCTGTGGCGGGGGTTTATTGCTCTGTCCCAGCAGTGACTGTACCCGACTCTGAATGGCCGATGACCGATGTCCATCCGATCCCGCGCCGGGGCCTCCCTCGCCTCGTGCCGCAACCCGGCGGCGATACTCGGCCGCTGCGGCCGCCACTCGCTTCTCCTCCTGCGACAACCGTCGGCGCTCGAGCTCGCGCCGCATCTCGGGGGAAATGTCCTCCTCGTTCTCCTCGTCGCTCACCTCAGCCGCAGACTCTACCGCCAGCTCCGATGCCGTTACGGACGGGAACGGCTTGGCGGCATCCTCGGCCGCCGGGGGAGACGGCGCCTTGTCCTGGTTACTCTGTTCGAATCGGCGGAACGCGTCGCCAAATCGACCACCGAACAGCGTCTTGGTTCCGGAAAGAGACAAGGTCGATAAACTGGAGCGCTTGCTGTGCTTGGTACTGCCGCTGTACCGCTTCTCGCGCTTCCGATTGAGCTCCTCCTCCCGCGCACGCAAGAAATCAACGTCCGAGGAGATGTTGGCTCGGTCGGGGATCTGGTCCATCTCGGTGCGCGCATGCTGCAGCGGTGCTCCACCTTCGTACATCGGCCGGGAGAGGTCGAGGGAGGAACGAGCACTTCCAGAACCCCGCGAGAATTCTAACCGCGATCCAGCATGGACAGAGACTGGCCGGGTCTTGCCATTGGCCGACTTGGACCGCCCGACCGGGTCATCGACGTCCAGATTCGACGGCCGTCCTTCTAACGACGGTCGTGACGATGTGGACGACAGGCTCGACAATTTGTCCGACGAGATCCGGCTCGGTTCGGGTCGAGTCGGTGAGGCCGCTTGGCTCAATCTCGGCGGTTTTTGATCACTTTCCGACCAACGGTGGGTAGAAGACTGGCGCTGATGGTCAGACGACGGGAATCGGTGGATGGGACGGCTAGATGGCTTGGGCTCTACGAATGCGGGCGTAGCCGGAGGCGATGTCATCGTCCCAGTTGAGACCATCACGGGCCGCTGGGGGACAGGCTGATACAGCGGGGTCTGCTGGGCCGACTGCTCGCGGACATGTCTCGATGGCTCGACGGGCTTGGTGTCCACCGCGGATGTTTGGGGTCGTTGAATGATCGGTAGCTCCCGAGGGGCTTCAGCCTGAGGGGGGTCGGGCCGCTTCGCAAAGGCGTCGTCCGCAAGCGCATTGGTCAGCCTGCGCGCAAGATCATCGTCTTCGGGCTTCTTCTCCGCAGCCGCCGGTTCAAAGTCGAATTTGTCCTTCTGCTCGTTCAGGATCGAGAACTGATCCAGCGCCGGGAATCGGTTCGAGAAATCCTCGATGGAATTCCGAGATCGGTGTCCGTTGCCGTCCAAGATGGCAAACGGATCAGAGGCGGAGCTTTCCCGGAACGGTGACGCATTGGCTTTCGCCGAGGTGTGCGGGGAATGATCCGGTTTGGTCGGACGCCCTCGACGCATCGGCGCAATCTCCGGAATGATCTGTGTTTCTTGCATGGGTGGAGAAAACACGGCCCCTAACTGAGGTGCTTCAACTGGGGAAGGGGGCAGTTCCTGGTATCGACGAGCTTCTGACACGGAGCGACTGGCATAGATCTAGAAGGACGAGTAGAGGAAGAAATGAGCCTTGCGGGGGTTTTCTCGGTCGGAAGACTTTTTCTCTTACATCACGAATTGGGACCTCTTTTCCTTGCATCGTGCATACTTCGCGCACAACCTCGTAGATAGTCGGGCGCTGTTGAGGATTCTCTTTCAGCATTGAGGCTACTCTCTATGTCAGCATTCATGCCGGTCGAATCGACCGAGCGAGTCTCACCGATGAGTGCTTTCAATCTATCCGAAAATAAAGGATAGGAGTGGAATTTGTAGCTCGCATTCAGAATGGCCATCTGCCCCACCTCCTCGAACGGGGTCGTGTAATAACACAGTTTGTAGAGCAAAACACCCAGAGCCCAGATATCGCTCTTCTCGTCGATGGGCTGCTTGCGATAGACATCGATCATCTCGGGACTGCGGTACTGGAGGGTTGTATGCCGTTGGACGTCATCCTCGATCAGTCGACCTTCGGCCGCCGTGGTCGCCGCGGGACGAGGTGGTGCCGTCGAACCAAAATCGCATAGTTTATAGAGAGGGGTCTTCCCCTGCAAGGAAATGAGGACGTTCTCGACCTTGAGATCGCGATGCAGTAAAGGGGGTTTGAGGTAGTGCATGCAGGCGACGCCCTCGGCGACATCGGAGAAGATCTTGATGATCTCGGGCTCAGTCAAGCGGTTCTGCAAGCGAGTGTTCATGAAGTCGATCAAGCCGCCCCCGGAACAGAACTCCATCAGCAGAAACACCTCGTAGCCGCCGCCTCGCAGCTGCGACGCATGGGAATCGATGTACTTGACGATGTGCCGGTGACCCTTGAGTTTCTTCATTGTCTCCACTTCCGTCCGCATATTCGCCAAAGCAGACTTGTCGGGGACAGCCACCCGCTTCAGAACCGCTCGATCGGAGCCCTCGATGGGCTGCGAAAGGCGCACGACGTAGACATGGGCAAAGCCGCCTTCGGAGAGGTATTTTTCCACGACAACGCGATGAGAACCGACTTGCACCTTGGTCCCTGGCAGAAAGGTGCCTGCCGGGGCATTGACGACGGCCACGGGGTTGAACGACTGGACCGACCGAGGTGGAGGCGCGGCGTGGGCCTGGTAGGCCTGGGTAGGAGGATGGTAGGAGGACATGATGATGGCAATGGGGGAGAGCCCTCGAAAGGGGCGAGCTATCGATAGGGCCGGACTGCGTAAACCACTCGTCACTGCATAGAGGAGAGAGAAAGAACAGAAGAAAGAAAAGAAGAAGAAGAAGAGGAAGAAGGAGATGGAGAAAGGATGAAGGAAGTGAACTGGATCGGCGTTGACGATCGAACAAACCAATCGACTAGCAGAGGACAGTTGGCGGGGAGGCGGAGAAACGAAGGGAGGCGGTGATTCTTGCAGTCACTTTTTTAAGTTATGTACCTGGGAACAAGTACCGTCAAGAACACAGGACACAGGAATGGAGATAGAAGAGATAAAATTTGCGAACAGTCGAAAACTCGAACCACAGAGAAGTGGGCAGTAACCACAGCAGGAACGGAATGAGAGCAACAGCAGTGACGATGATGATGATGATGATGATGATGATGATGGTGGTGGTCTTGACTTGGTTGAGGCGGAACTAACTAGTACTAGAGGGACACCCACTGTCCTATCACTACTACTACTTACTACTCAACTCGGTCCAAGGCGGCTCTTGTTTCCCCAGCACCACCGAACTCCGGATCTCCAGAAGTCCAGTTGCCAACAATGATATTTTATTATCAGTCACATAGATCCATCCGGCTACATTCTTGATATGGCGATTGCTGGGGGCTGGGATGGCGGGCTGACTGCACGATCATCCAGCACCATCACAAGGACGCGACTCTCTCGGCCATCCTCCGCTGCTGCCTACAGACATCGATCTGTACCAAGCATGATGTTCGTCGCAATTGACTATATGCACGAAGTATGCATGCAGTTCATCAATCTCCAAGATCGCTGGTGTGTCACATTCGATGAATGCATAAACCTATGCAGGATATGCAGGTAGTAACCGCGGAGAAAGCGTTCGACTACCTTGCGATGTCGCCTGTCTTTCAGCACCCCTCCCCCCCCTGGGGGTTAACATGGCATTCCGTGGCTAGACTATCTCCAGGAGAATATTCAGAAACCCGATGTCCACGCTGAACAAGCTTTCAAGAAGCCGCTGCCGCCAATCCTTGCCGGTCGAGAGTGGTATGCAGCTCACTGGGTCAAAAAACGGCCTTCCGGGATGGTTCAAGGTCATGATGTAAAGAAAATGGTGAAATTGATATGTGATTGTCCCAGCTGACTGGGGTTCAGTTCCCACCAGACTAGACTGTGGCGATCCATAATTAGCAATACATCCGACAAAGTACCTACACAGTACAGACTAGATAATCAATTGGGAGTTGTGTAAGGCATAATTATGTAAGCAGAAATCGTGGATAGAAATAAGTACCTTATGCACTTTCCCATTCAACCAATCAAGGCTTGTATTCCGATACCGGGACCATCACCGAAAGAGCAATATCAAAACAAACAACGCCAGTCAACTGTCAACAGTCGCCACATCCGCCATCCGCATTCTTCGGAGCATTTCCCAGTGAAATAAGCTTGATCAAAGACTTCACGGAATGCAGCTGACGATTGAACTATTATTCATGGGGGGTTTGTCGGTACGCGATCGAGATGGTTGTTTGGTTCCCTGAGATCTAAGTAGTTCTGAGAGCACGGCCAGGCGGCCGAATGGAAATTGCGCTGGATATTCACGGAGTGCTGTCGCATCATCTCGAGTACCTAGTATCTATCTCAGCGATGAAGGAATCAATATCTATCTATAATCCGTCATTATTCTGTAGATCCCTCGATGCGTGGTCGATATTTCATCTGTCGACCTACTACCTACTAGTATCCAGGACAGTACGGAGTACATCGTAGTACAGACTATATCAGAAACGGCACCACCAACAAGCCCCCCGACATAAGTAGATCGAAACCACCAACAAATCGAAGCAATTAGAATCCCCGTTCAATTCCCGTGTTTACGGAGTACAAGCCCTTTCGACCCCCGCCTGGAATCGACGGATGATTGCCGACCAGTATCTATCTATCTACCTACTCTGTAGGAGTACATAGGTAGTCCACCGGATCCTTTGGCCGTCCCTCGCTGCGGCTGATCAAATCACACCTTTTGCCGCCGGTCTTCTTCCTCATTTTCCTCCCCCCCCCCATCCCACTTTCTTCTTCCTCCAGTGTTTGTTGCCCGGTTATCCGCTGGAGTCTCGACCAGCATCAGCATCTACATCTCTATATACATATACATATACATATATAACCCTGTGGGTGTCTCGATTCTTTCCTCTCGGTTTGCACCGGCGTTTTGGCTGATACCCGCCGGCGAGTACTAGATCGAAAGCGCGGGAGGCCAGAAAGCCTCAAGTGCCCGTTTCAATGCTTCTGAGAATATGACCAGCCCATCGTTCACATCTACGCCTCAGATTCTGCTGTATTGACCAATAGCGCATCGAACACAAAAAAGAGTCTAGCGCACACAGTCCGAAACCAAGAATCGGTTGTCACGAGTCCCACCACAACAGGGAAGAGTATATAGCAAACTAACTACGGGCACCCGGGATCGGTTCTATACCTAGACGACAGCGGCATAACCATCACAGCCAGAGAAAGCAGCGACAGATGGACGGCCCCCCGCCGCCCCCACCGCCGCACGGCGAAAATCCGAATACCACCCACGGCTTCAAGAAGTCGTCCGGCCTCCCAGAGGGGAACTATGATATCTTCATCATCCCGCCGCACTCCTCGGGCTCCGGGTTCTTATACCTGCCGTCTCTGCAGGGGAACCGCAACAGCTTCCTGGCCGGTGCCGCGTCCGCGCTCGTGGCCGTCTACGTCTGGCAGGCGCTGTCGCCGATTATAAAGACATGGTATCTTGCCACGGCCGCCAACGGCGGCGGAATGGGCATTGCGGTGCTGGCAAGCGTGGTCGGTATTGCGGGATGGGGATTCGGCGCATACCAAGCGCACGTGAAAGGTTCCAACCGAGACTCCGCCGGAGGCTCGCGACCCAACCAGTCCAGACCGGGTGGTCCTGGCTTTGGAGGGCCCGGAGGCGCCGGCGGAGCTCACCACCAGTCCTCGGGGGCTGGTCCGGAGTACCCGCGGGGCTCTAATTTCGGCGGGCCCAACCCCGGGCCCCAGGGGGCCTATGGCGGCGACTACGGCGGAGGTGGGCCGGGCCCGGGAGGTCCATATCCTGGAAATCAGTATGGCGCTGGCGCTCCGCCGCCGAATGCTGGTCCTTCGCCGCGTGCTGGCGCTCCGCCGCCCAACACTGGGCCGCCACCGCATGCGCGTCCTCCTCGACCGGAACCAGAGCCAGAGCCAGAACCTGCAAAGCCAGAACCGGCTTCTACAAAGAGCAAAGCCGACAATAAGAGCAACGAAGAGTGGGAGCGAGCCCGGGAGGAAACGAGACGCAAGGAGGAACTGCGTCGGAAGATGGACGAACTCAGACGAAAAAGGGAAGCGGAGGCGCGCGAGAAACAGCAACAGCGCGAGCGGGAGGCCATGGAGCGGGAACTCAGGGAGCGTAGAGAGCAGCTGGAGAGGGAACTGGCCGCAGCCAAGGAGAAGGCCGAACGGGAGGCGCGGGAGCGAGCCGAGAGAGAGGCGGCAGAAGCCCGAGCTAAGATCGAGCGCGAGCTGGCCGAAGCAAAAGCCAAGGCGGAGCGAGAAGCAGCTGAGGCCAAGGCCAAGGCGGAGAAAGAGGCCGCGGAAGCCCAGGCGAAGGCCAAAGCGGAGCGCGAAGCGGCGGAAGCGCGAGCACGAGCCGAAAGACTGGCTACTCTGGCAAAGGAGCGTGAAGCGCGACTGAAGGCCAAGGCTGAAAAGGAGGCTGCAGAAGCAAAGGCCAAGGCCGAGGCGGCGGAGAAGGAGGCTGCCGCGAAGGCCGCCGCGAAGAAAGAGGCCGACGCCAAATTCGCGGCCCTCAAGGAAGCCGCCGCGAAGAAGTATGCAGAGAAAAAGGCCCGAGACGCCCAGGAAGCCGCCGCCAAGGAGGCTGCGGCAAAGGAGGCCGCTGCCAAAGAGGCGGCCGCCGCGCAGGAGACAGCCTCCTCAACAGCCTCAACTTACAAGTCCGCGACCTCGACGCCTCCTCCCCGAGCGCCATCACCGAAGAAGCCAGCCGGTCCGGCCAGTGCCCGAACAGCAACAGCATCGACGACCACCGCGGACCAGGAGGATGCATATTCCTTTCGGCCCTACGATCGGCCGCGCCGGCCGTACGGCGGCACCTCAGGCTCCTCGGTCTATTCCGAATCCTCCTACGCGCCGTCCCAGTCGACGGCCCGGACCACCCCACCACCTTCGACTCGGGGCGCTTACTCCACCAAGGACCCTGACAAGATTGTCATCCAGGGCGTGTACGCCTTCAACAACGCTTTTATGAAAAGCCCCGTGGCCCAGTTGGTGTCTGGGCAAGGGATGGTGACGGACGGCCTGGTGCTCCGCATCACCACCGAGGGGCTCTTCATTGACGACGACGTGCGAGGCGTCCCCCAACGGGAGTGGGACGTCAAGGCATGGACCATGAAACTGGTCGAGGTGTGGTGCCCTCAGTTTGCCGCGACGGCGCAAGGCCGCCAGAATCCCCCCAAGGCGGCCAATGCATTCTTTCGGCGGAACACGAACGAACCAACGCCGGAGGAGTCGGATGCGTATCTCGTGAACCTACTCAAGGTGTGCAAGAACAAGTGCCGGCTCGCGTCGCCCGACGCGGCAGAGCCGAAAGGGCTGCACGTTCTCCGGGCGAGCATTCGCGACCAGGAAGGTCGGCGTTACGTCTTCGTGCTGCAAGAGACCGAGGGGTGGAAGGTCGCGATGGGACTGCAGCGGCTGCGCAAGGGCACGCAGATCAGAGCCCTGGGCGCGTTGAGCATGGCCGGAACTGAATGCCGGACACTGCTGAAGAACCTTGGTCATATTGTGTGAAAGAGTTTTTTTCGTTCTTTCTTGTCTGGCTGAGATCATCATTGTTTCAACTGAGCGATTTCTGAATATTTTGTTGTGCCTGTTTTGGTTTTTGTTTCTGTCGACCCTGAGATTCCCCTGATGTCTTGACGAGTTGCGTTGCGTTGCGTTGCTTTTTTTTTTGTTGTTTCCTTCTGCATATATGGTGAGTGGTATATAATTCATCTGCATATAATCAATCAATCAATCAATCAGTCAATCAATCGATCTGAGCATCAACATACGATCATCATTCAGTCAGAGGAAGTTGAGTATCAATTGCAACGGAATGTCGACGTGTGATGACGAATGTATTCCATTCCACGTGCCGCTTTACCTTCAATGGCTTCAGCTTCACCTCTCCAACCTCATCCCTCATCATCACTATCATCACCATCATCACCAATCCATCATTCACACCGAATAGCATCGTGTCCTCTTCATCATGTCGTAATCGCATTGTACTGTATTCTCTTGTATTATTCTCTTGTATTGATACTGTCCCCCCGGGATCTCAGGTCAAATCTCAACTCAAATTCCAAGCCCTCACTCATTCCCTAGAGATCTCTACGAAAGCATTCATATTCATATTCATATTCATATTCCCCACCATCCAAAAAAAAAAACCAAGAGTGATTCTTACGTGCAACGTTTAAAAATGCCAATATCCACCCCCACCCCAACCTCCAGAACCAGAACTAGCGCCTTCTCCGAAGAAGATAGCGACAGCATGTCTGACCCGGGTCCGTCGGATAGAAGCGTCTCGGTCTCGGTCTCGCCGGATCTCTATCTCGGCCACGACGCTCTTGCATCGGAGTTTACGGCTCCCCTGCTTCCTAAGCCGTACTTCTCTGGCCGTGGCCATGGCCATGGCCATGAGGATGAGCATGAGCATGAGGATGGGCACGCAGTTGACGGCGGTAAGGAGCTCGAGCTCGGTCTTGAGACGGGGAAGCGGTGCAGTCCGCGCTCCACGTTCGTGGTGGATGATGGGTGGCCGGCGCCGGCGCCGACGTCTGCATTTGCGTCTGCGTTTGGGTTTGGGTTTGGGGCTGGGGCTGGGGTAGCGGGTGCGGGTGCGGATGCGGGTCTGGGTGCCGGTAAGCGGCGCGGGGCGGCGTGGAGACGGCGGTTGGTGCTGGTGTTTGTGAAGGTTGTGATGGCTGTGTGGGTGCTTGGGGTGGTGTATAAAGTTGGGCGGGGGTTTTTTGTACGTCCCTTTTCCCCTCCGTGGTTTCTGCGGCTATGGTGGATTATTGAGTGCTGAGTTTCATGAACGACTAGTCCACCACCCCCGCCGTCGACTTCGACATCGACATCGACATCGATACCCCCAGCACCGCAGACGACAGAACCATCACGGTCGAGCACACCGACGCCGAAATCCGCGGCGTCTACCCGCTCTACGATGCGCTCTCCCTCTCCACCACGAGCGGCAACATCACCGTCGCGATCGTCCCGCATCCGGCCGTAACCCGTCCCGGGGCTTGCGGGCGCGGGTCCGCAAAACCTGCGCGTCTGCGCATCCGCTCCGTCTCGGGGTCCGTCATGCTCTCCTTCACGGCTCCGGAGGCCGCCTCGCTCCCGGAGCTGGAGCTGGAGATGGAGAGGGAGATGTTGGACACCCAGTCCCAGTCCCTGTCCCAGTCCCAGTCCCAGTCCCAGTCTCAAGATCGAGACCAAAAGCAAGCGCAGCTCCCACCCCGCCTCTATGACCTCGACATCTCGACTGGCGGCGCCATCGCCGGCCGCGCCGTCTTCAGCTCAGCGCGCCTACGTGCTGGCGCGGACATCTCTGCCGTCCTGGTCCCTGTGCCTGCGGGGTGTATGCGGAATATGTCGCTGAGTACGCGCACGGAAGCGGGGCCGCAGCGGGTGCATGTGACCGAGCCTTATGTGTTTGAAGGCAAGGGCCAGGGGAGGAGAAAGAGGGATGTGTTGTTGGTTGCGGAGCACGGGGCGGAGACGGGGGACATGGAGGTTGCGTATTCGCGGGTGTGGGAGGGAGACGTGAGGCTGCGGACGGAGGGGGGCAGTGTGCGGGTTGAAGGGGAGGAGGTACGGGTTGTTGGGAGTGGGGAGGGGATGGTTGATGCTGTTGTTGGGGGTGATGACGACGACGACGACGACGACGATGATGATGATGACGATGAAGACGAGGCCGAGGGCGAAGAGGAAGAAGACGATGATGAAGACGACAAGGAAGATGATGAAAACGAGCAAAATGGCCAAAACCTAATGGATGTATCCTTCGAGTCCAAAGAAGGCTCCATCCTGTTCTATGTTGGATAGATAGATCTCTCGCACACAGAAGAAATGTCATGTCAGACCGGGATCTATTCATCCATATCCGTACCATATGCATGCAAGACAAGGCTACAATGTATCCAGTCGATCAAATCAGGCACATCCATGTCCATGACCAACCATAAGAGAAAAAACATGAATAATGGGAAAAAAAGAAAAAGAAACAAAATCAAAAAATCCCGTACATGGAGTATATAACGCCGCAGAATGTCTTCCACCATGCCTCAAATCAAATGCTTCTGCGTGATCTGCTCGAATCTGATGTTTGATGGCGGCGCATCGAATCTGGTGAAACATGACAAGACTCATCCCAGCCATCGGGGTGAGCAAAGGAAAAAAAAAAAAAAAAAAAAAAAATGAATATGAGCGAGAATACAAGAAAAGAAAGAAGAAGACGCCAAAATCTATCGCACATCAGGGTCGAAGAGCAGCTTGGAATCATGCAATGCACTTGGGGAATAGTTTTTTTTATCAAAAGACGACACATCGGACGGGGGCAAGCGGTCTGTAAAAATGCAGAGAGAAGATCCAGAGTCCAAAGTTCTATCGTAGTCGTGTCACGTCGTCCCATCTGTCGTTCTATCGTGGAATGAAGAAACAGTCCGGTTAGAAGGAGAATCCTCCAGGGAAGCCTTGGGACTGCCCGCCGAAGGGGTGACCTCCAGCCGAAGCGAATCCGCCGCCGCCGCCACCGCCGTTCATCATGTTAAAAAGAATGTTGGGATCGATGTTGATGTGCGTGGCACCGCCCATGCCACCCATGCCGCCCATGCCGCCAAAGCCACGGCCAGCGAACATGTCGGCAGGATCAATGAGATCATCACCGTTGTCGTAAGCAGCGCGCTTCCTGTACACTTGTTAGAGAGAAAAAAAAAAAAAAAAAAAAAAGGAATCTCGGATGGCAGATCCGAGGCAAAACTTACTGAGGATCAATCAGGGTTTCATAGGCTTCGCCGATCTCCTTGAACTTTTCGTCACCGGCTTCTCCGTCGCGGTTCTTGTCCGGGTGATACTGAATGGCCATCTTGCGATAAGCCTTCTTGATATCCTGCTCGGAAGCATCCTTGGAGACCCCGAGAATCTTGTAGTAGTCTTTCCGCTGGGCCTTCTTCAGCTCGAATTCCGCACGACGGATCTCCTCGGCGATGCCCTTCTCGGTCGGGTTGGCCTCCGCGACCGCCTTGTACTCCCGCACGGCCTCTTCCCAGTTGCCCGCGCCGCCGTAGGCCTTGGCGCGCATCTTCTGCGCCTTGATGTAGGAAGGATCCAGCTTCAGCGCCTCGCTGCAGTCATTGATGGCGTTGTCATACTCCTTCAGGTTGATGTATGCCTGAGCGCGGTTCTGCAGAATCTTGGCGTTCATGTCCTTGTTCTGCGGATCGACGGCCAGCGCCTCGGACCACAGCTCGATGGCCTTGCGGTAGTCCCTCGCCTTGAAGGCGTTGTTACCTTCCTCCTTGGTGCGCGTCAGCTTCTGGACCGTCCGCAGCAGCCTGATCGCCGACTTCATGTCCGGATCCAGGCCCAGACACATCTTGAGCAGCTTCAGGGCCTGGTCGGAGTCGCCCAGCCCGTAGAACGCACGAGCACGGATCATCAGCGCATCCGGATCCTGGTTGTTTTCCCGCAGCATGGAAATGGCAATATCCTGCGCCTTCCTCAACGAGTTCTCATTGCCCATCTTCAGCTGGGCCTCAGCGCCCAGCAGGCTCCACTTGCGAGGCTCCTTGACGCCGCGACCCAGCAGCTGGCGGGCTTGGTCCAAGCAGAATACGACCATCGACACCCCCCGATCCTCCGCCAGAATCTCCTCGGCCTGTTTCACGAAGCGCAACATCTTCTCGGGGGCCGCCCGGTCGGTGACGGACGCGGGGGGTTGCACCCGCGACAGGACCTCAAGGGCCTCGGCGGGGCGTCCCAGCGCGGTGAGAATGCGGGCTAGACGATACATGATCTTGGAATTGGTGGGATCGAGTTCCAGGGCGCGCTCGGCATCTTCCAAGGCTTCTAGGTAACGGTTTGCGGAGAGATAGGCGGCGGCACGGTTGGACAGGTAGACTGAGGAGCTGGGGTTGATTTCGATCGCTACTCAAATTAGCCGCAATGTTCTATATATATATTTATATATATATATATATATATATATATAAATCTGCATGATACTCACCCTTGGTGAACTCCTCGATGGCACGATTGTAGTTTCCATCCTTGAAAAATTTGTTGCCCGCCAGCTTGAACGAGTCGGCTTCGGCGACCGAGCCATTCGACTTATGCGGCGGCGGGGTGGGAGTGCGGTCGGGTTCAGCCCCATTGACGGCATTAGGGTTGTTCGAGGGAGAAGCAGGAGGATCAATGTCCATTGAGCTTCGATCTGCAGCAGCGGCCATGGCGGAGAGTCGACGCAGCTCGTCGGGAGGAAGATTCAACGGATGAAAATCGGGATCGTGGGAGTAGCGATCGAGAGTGGAGGAGAGAGGGGAGGCGGGATACGTGAACCTCGACGAAGAAGGCGGAGGGTATTTTCGGGAGGAATGAGATTTTGATTTTGAATTGAATTTGGACTTGGATTTGGATTTGGAGGGAGAAGAAGAGGGAGAGGAAGAAGGAGAGTGGGGATGATGAAGTGAAGAGGAAGAGGAAGAGTGAGTGTGGGAGTGGGAGAGGGAGTGGGAGAGAGAGTGAGTGGATGCGGATGTGGAGTGAGAGCGAGGTAGATGAGGACGGGGATGAATAGGGAGGTTGTTGTTGTTGTTGTTGTTATTATTATTAGGAGGCAGAGGAGGAGGAGGAGGAGGAGGAGAGTTGTAGGAGTGGCGAGGGGAAGAAGTCGAAGTCGAAGTTGAAGCTGTGGTTGAAGCGGACAAGGTCGAGGAAGAAGAAGTGCGAGGAGAGGGAACTGCTAGAGGAGGAGGAGGAAGAGGAGGAGAATCCGTGGTTGAGGTTGTCGTCGTCTTCTTCTTGTCCTTGTCCTTGTCCGGATCCTCTTTCTTGGGGGAGCGTTTGGATTTGTGACGAGCGAAAAGTTGCGGCAGAACCATTCTTCACTTTCTCTCTCTATCTCTCTCTCTCTCCCGGATAATAATGATAATGGAAATTCTTCTGCTTTCCGTCGTTTTCTGACGCTTTTTCCGTCACTCTTTTTTTTTTTTTTTTTTCCTGGCGATTCTCCAGTAAGGCCCGGTTGAGGTGCTGATTGGCGGAGCACGATCGAAGGTCAACGAAGGCGGTGGAATCCCTTTTTTTTTTTTTCTTCCTATATCAGTTTGTCACACTTGGTCACTTTGGATAGGAGAGGACCCCAAGTCAAGGAGGAAGAGGAAGAGATAGAGAAGAGAGAGAGAGAGAGAGATGACAAGAAGACTGAAGCGATCAAGCTGTGAATAATGGTCAGAGCTTAAGCAGAGAAGAACAAGGCAGCCATGATAGCAACAGCAGCAGCAGCAGTAGTAGTTAGTTAGCTCTATGGTGACTGTAGATCGAACGGGTAGACAGACTATGATGGCTACCTATGGCTATGGTGCTCTGAATGAACCGGAATTTTAATAAAAACAACACCTCCTCAATCATCAACCGCTGCAATACTCGATATTATATCCCCCCGATCAACCGGTCTTGTTGTCCTTCCACGCCTCCATGCCCACTTCCAAAAAAACCAGGAGGCTGGTGATCAACTGCTGCTGCTTAGCGTCCCAACTCCTACACAGTACACGGCTGAGGACGGAGGACAGGGGATTGGATACAGGTCCTCCATGTTCGATATCTCGATTCTTTCTAATCTACTCGAAGTAAGCTATCTAGTCTGTCACGTCTCTTGAGTCTTGACTATCTGCCCGAGATGGGTTATCTATTCCTGTCCACTGTCCAGTGTCCAGTGTCCAGTGTCCACTGTTCCATCAACAATGGTGTGATGGACTAAGGTATGTGACAATTGACGAGCATAATAATAAACCCATGATCAGCGCCCGGGAAAAAAAAAAAGAAAGAAAGAAATCCACCCACCTGAGCCAGTCACTACTGAGGAGTGACTACTGACTACTGACAAGTCATCGACTAGTCCAAGCGCTCTCGACTGAACAATGATCCAATCCAACCGCCCGAGACATGGAGATGAATGAGATGGACCACAGCGGCAGCGGCTACAGCAGTCAGCAGTCAGTCAGCAACCCTTGAACGTCCCAATTTCGATCGCCGTGCCAATTTTTTTTTTTCCAACGTTCTTCACATCTCGGACGAGCTGGACGGATATAACTCCATTAGTCCCTACGTACTCCGTACACAGTATTACTTCCGTCTGGTCTATGCTCCGGTGTCTCCAGTCTCCACCCGTTCTCGTCCTCGTCCAGCATCACTTACTGGCTAAGGCTAGATAGATAGTAGATACCCTACCCTACTCTACCTTTTTCCTGTCCAACTGGCAACTGCCCATCCGATCCGCTCTTTGGCTCCATGTCTCTCGGAAATGGCAATGGCAATGGCATGCAAGATCGACTCCATCAGTCCGTCGGGGCGTACTGTAGACTGGTTCTGGACCTGGCCGACCCCCCTCCCATCTGTCCGGCCGGTCTTTTGCTTCATGATTTCGCTTTGTCGGCGTCAGGGGGGGGGTATTGTTCTTCTGCGGTACTTCGGGTTACTTACTATGTCCTCCGGATAACTGCTTGGATCTGATTCCTGGATCAGAAGTACGATGTATAGGCACGTGAATCATGGGCTATCGCAGAGATCAGTGAGTGGTTGAGATGGGGTTTTATCGCCTCCTCTTCATTACTATTGTGTGTGCTGATGCACTCGGGTTTCCACCTGCGACTACTAACTACAAAGCAACACCCCAAGACACAGCGTCCATCGTCCAAACACTTGGTCTACAAGGTAGATAAGATAGATAGGTAGTCATAACTCATCAATTATGGACCAAAGAAAAAAAAAAAAAAAAAAGTAAAATATGCAGGCTCTCTAACTCCATCTATACCCAAAACCCAAATCTAAACTCCATCCATGCACACCCGCAGCACTCTCTCCTTCCCACTCCCCAACACAACCTCATCCAAACGGACTCCGGTTCATCCGCCTCGCGATCTCCGTCCACCGCGACCCCCTCCCCTCCCCTCCCACCGAGCCTGGCCATTCGGCAGTCCCATCGCGGTACTCCCCCCGCACATCCACATCCGCATAGAGGAAAGTAGAACCAGAATCAGAATCAGAGCCTCCCACAGCCAGCATCTGCCCTCCCAGCGGCCGATCGAAATAATGCCGCTCATACGGCGGCGGGACTTCCTCCACCGCCTGCGTCTGCCTCAGCGATAGGTCCATGGAGCGCGAGTGCGTCAGCACGGGCGGCCGGCGGCTCGCCGCGGCCCAGTTGACGTCGCCCCAGGTCGAGGACGGTGAGGACGGCGAGGCGCCTGCGCTGGTGATGATCCAGATGCTCTCGCTTTCGATCCAGGTGAGGCGGCGTGGTGCGCGGGCCGGGTGGTGGGTGTGTTGGGAGCTGGGGGCGTGGGCGTGGGCGTGGGCGCGGGCGCGGGCGTAGGCGTAGGCGTTGTTGTAGGTGGTTGTGGGCGTGTAGCTGTGGCGGGAGGTGTTTGTGTCGAGGGTGAGGTGGGGTTGGTTTCTTTGTCGGTGCTGGTGCCGGTGTTTCTGGCGGGGGTGGGCGAGAGCGTCGGCTGATGCGGGCCGTTGCGGGAGGTAGCTGGCCCGTAGCCTTTGCTCGGGCTCGGGCTCGGGGTGTGGCGTGGCGAAGAGGGCGTGGTCGAGGTGGATTTGCGGGATGGACATGGTGAATCTGGGGTCGGCAATGGGTGGTCCTTCGAGGGAGGAGAGGTCCATGGGGAGAGGACGGAGGGTCATGGCAGCATTTATCTTGCTTTGGGGTTGACGAACTTCGCTGGCTCAATGCGATCAGGTTCGTACAGGTTCGTATCGGAGCTAGATTCCCCTTGGCCTGTCCCTGCGTAGGTTCATGAAGTCCACAAAGTATGGGGTCAGTGGCGCGAGATACGAGACCCTAAGAGGCGGATGGAGCCAAAAAATAATGTCGGAATACGATGTGGGCTGGAAGGGGCACCCTGGGCCAAGTCAACAAAGATCCCTTGTATCACGGAGAGCGTCGAATGTCGATATAGAAAATGGAGGTTTGATGGCAAAACAAGCAGGAATGTGTCCTCGCCTTACCAGGAGTATATATGTCGGGATCCTTCCGGCTGGTGCTGATGCTGATGCTGAGGACGAGGCGGTGCTTCCCAGCAGCAACAACACCAGAACAAAAAAAAAAAAAACCAACAGTACCAGACAACAAAGACAACAAAGACAACAAAGGTGGCATCTCCATTGGAAGTCTGCGCCGCCTTAGCGGATCAACCACCTGAGTTCCAACCCTGTCTGCAGGGACTAGGAAGCATCGGCGGATCTAGTCGGTGTCAGAACGGGTCACCGTTACCCTCACTCTCACCTTCAAACCCCCACCATGACCCTCAATCATATCCGATCTGACAAGGCGACGAGATCGTTCTGCGAGATTACCAGAAGCCTCAAAAATGGATATGGCCCCGCCGCGCTTGAACTTCATGTAAGTGATACGTTCTGTACCAAGAACCATGGCAGAGGATTCGCTAAGCCTGGCTATTTGAAGAAAGCCATGACTAAGGCATCCACCGGGCCAGGTCAAGCCTTACAGGGAGAGCCAGTTGCATTATCTGTGTCCTGTCATTGTGAAGCAATGAGATGCCCCGAAAACGGCAAAGGGGGGGGGGTGTATCTAGCGGGTGTGGCAGGGCAGACGGAGTTGTTGGGAGAGAGTTGGGTGTTCGCAGCAAAAAAAAAAGCACTGCCACTTCCAACCTGACCGCTTCTTTGACCTCAAATATATCCGCGAATCCGCCCCATTTGATCTAAAGAAAGAGGATTTGCCAAGTAGTTAGGTGGCCTGAAGGGCTGACTTGAGATTGGGGTTCTTTGTTTAAATGGTACGAGTTGACCACCGTATTTTCATCGAGGGGAGAATCTTTGTTCTTTGTTGGGATGTTCGGCGATGTTCCCATCCTGTTGGCCATCGTCCGAGTTTCCGCTGGGCTCAGCCTTGTAGAAAAATCAATGACATGATTCTGTTGGAGCTTGGACGCCAGTTCCAGTCACACGGACCAGATCTGAATTTCGGAGGAATATGTACTCGGACCACGACCTGTTGTGTCACATCCAGTTCGCTGGATAGATGAAGATTTGGAAACTGCCAGATTGCCAAGATACCGAATGACTGTAGTGAACAATATAATATAATTACTTAGACAGACATCAAGTCCAATAGCTAATCATATCCAAGCAAGAAAATAATATATACGAAGTGATATATGTAAAGCAAAAAGGTATACTACTCTTCCCCAAGTCCATGACTATTCACACATTCCGGTCAACAACGAATCCAGGATCACCATCCGAACCGACCATCCTTCACATCAAAGGATTGATCTAAGCCAGGAAGAGAGCGGCGGCGGCGGCGGCACCAGCAAAGGCGAAAGAGTGGCCGATAGCGTTGGCGCCACCGGTGGAGAGGGCAACGAGGGCGGTGGTGGAGGGACTGTTTTCTTAATTAGCTCGCTTGCTTCTCTTCCTAATCATCTCATCTTCTCGGCATGAAAAACTTACGTGGTCTTTCCGGTAGGGCCAGCACCGCTGGGGATGACAGGGACGGAAGAGTGACCAGAGCCACCAGCAGGGCCGCTAGGAGTAGCAACGGGGACGGTGATGGTAGAGTAGGTGACGGTGGGCACACAGGTGGTCACGGCGATAACGGAGGTGGTGACACCGTGGCCGCTGGGGGCGGTGTTGGTGTGAACAGGGATGACGGGGAGGCTGCTGCTGGAGTGCTCAGGGCTGGCACCGCTGGGGCCGGCGGGGGTTCCAGTCTCGGCGGTCTTGGTTGAAACAGTCTCAGCGGTCTTGGTGGAAGCAGTGACCGTGGGGACCGAGTGAGTGGTCTCGGTGGAAGCAGTGACCGTGGGGACCGAGTGAGTGGTCACGGCGGCAGCACCCTCGGGGGTGGTGGCACGAGCCGGGCAGTTGGTCACGGTGGGAGCGCAGGAGGTGATGGTCACATCCTCGGTCTCGTAGACGGTCTCAACGGCACCGTTGGGGAGAGCAGCGGCCAGGCCGGCGAGGAGAGCAATGGAAGCAGCAGTGAAACGCATCTTGATGGTTGTTTGAGTTGGTTAGGTTTTTTTTGGTGGAAATGAGCCGTCAAGGCAAAGGGTTTGATTTTCGTTTAGAAAAAGAGAGTGTTGATAGTTGGGGTTTTAAAGAGAGTGGCTGACCGAAGTCAAGAGTAGCAAGTTGCGTCAAGCAGGTAAAGGAAGTCTGGGCTTGGGAGAGAAAGAAAGAGAAAAGAAGAAACGAAGGAGGGAGATGTCTGGGGGCTTTTTGTATGAACGGGGAGATTAACGCTGGAGATCATCTCAGGGGGGGGGGATTTGGGCTTGTACTCTGTAAGTTCGTAGGTTAGTGGATTAGTCGAGAGGGTGGATGGGGGCTGCAGGTTTCGCTGTTCTCAATGGCGAATGGCTTCACTAGATCTGAGTCAATCAGTAGGTCAACCACTGAGTAGATAGTTAATAATATAATAATAGATTACATGATTTCACGTCTTCCATTATTATTATTATTATTATTAGTATGGAGTAGTGTTATTAGTTTTATTATGGTTACTGTTCGCATCGACTAGACAACTAGTGAAATACCTACTACCTAGTAAGATAGTCACTAGGTAGTATCGAGTACCAACTATCAACTCATCAGATACCCTGTAAGCATTGGTTATTGAGATTAGTTCATCGGCGACCATTGGAATGCTGTTGATCCCGCTGCTCTATTGCTTGTTCGAGTAACGTTGCTTGACTTTGAACCCCTGAGGGTCAAACTAGCGAACCTACAGCGACCATTACATATGGTGGTGTGTAGGAAGAAGTTAGGTGAATCTGATATAGTTATCTCCATTAACATCAACATCAACATCAACATTCAGATACTTTCCTCAAGGTATGTGTCTCTTGTACAGGTACCGAGGAGTATCAGTAGTAAGGTAGGTAGGTAGTGTCACCTCAGTATTGTACTATGAACAAAGAACCCATCCAATCTCATCAGCCAAGTGACCACGATGTTGGGGTGTCCTGTTTCATGTTTTGAACTGTCAACCAATGACAAGCTTACCCCAGCCTCAGACGCTGTTCCTGAATGCGTGGTCCACTCACGACTCCCCTCTTTTATCCCGCTGTGGCGCTTCATCCCGCTGGCTTACCAATCAAGTGACCGCAGGTGGAGATGCGCTGCTCCACTTACCCCTGGGTCCTTTATTTTGATTTGAATTTTGGTCGCAGCTCAAGATGGAGTCTCCTTACCACCGACATCATTTCATGGCAGTCATTCCATTCTTCTTCAGGTCTATCACAACAAGTTAAATCATGCCTTGTGTGGGAGAGTATCTATCTATGGAGTACCTATGGAGCACATCCAACCATCAAACTCGATCAAAATACATCAGTCAACAAATCCTCCTGCGTCTCTTTCAAGCACCCGTTGAATGTACCTGCAGCTCAGACTCTTAGACCTTTGCGCTCTTGCGCTCTTGCAGTAGTACGGACGGCTAGGCTAAGTCGAAGCTGAAATGAAACACCCCTGCCAGGGCCCAGGCTAAAAAAGCACCCCAAGAGTCCAAGACATTCTGACAGAAAACCGAAGCACGACTACTGACTCGGGGTCTTAGCGAGGGCATCGAGATTCGAGACACGGTCCTTGAGACGCCACTGTTACACTTGTTGGAGTGCTTAATCAAAGCTTAGTGGATTCGGTGGTCTTGTATGATGTATCCAGAAGGTACGGAGTAGTTTGTCCGGAACTCCTGATTCCTGAACTCCTGGTGCACAAGCCATCTCCTCCGGAGTCTCCTGTCCCCTCGAGCGAGCTAGACAGAGACTATGAGGGGGATAAGAATAGAACATCTCAACTATTGAGACAGGACTTGCTAAGAGATACCCCTGAGGCCCTGCCCAACAAGTAGCAATTGAAATGAACAGGGACAGGTGGCTTGGGTCTACGGATACTAGCTAGACTCAGAAGAAGTCAGAACGCCAACCGAGACTCTATCAATAACATCAGTGCGATATGTGGTGGGATATTATCATATTAGACGAACAATATTGAATATGTAATCCACACTTACAGTCCACAGTCCACACTCCTATGCCGACAGCTCGTGGCCGTGCCATGCTTGGAGCCTTGGTAAATGGTAACAGGAAAATCAACCGCATTGGCAAATCAGAAAGATCCGCTCTTGTATGAATGCTGGTTCCTGAATTATCCCTAGAGACTCCCGTATCATCGTACGGCGTACTACTTCATAGAACCAGCCCTACCGGAATATTGATGCTCCAGTGGAGTGTGACTGACTGACTGTGAGACCTCTGATCTGAATCCAATCTATCCCTGACCATGACCAGGAAAAAGGGGTTCGACCGTTCGGTCCAGTCGAACAGCAACAGCGTTGCAGGCTTGCAGCAATCGAGATAGCTCAATTACCACCTACAAGCTAAGACACTGTTTCTTTGAATAGAAATGGGATGAACTATAGTAAAGAGGACTATCATACTATGGAGCTAGAGAGGAGGTTGGACTATCATTCCCGATGGAGTTATGATGACCACCCACCCAAGACTGGTTGACGTAGTGTCAACAGTCACCACGCCGCAGGGTTTTGTTCATGTGCCGCAGTGCCAGAGATGAACCGGAACGGTCTTCAGGTCTTCACACCGAGCAGGAATTTACCGCCCGAGATCTCGATCACATCACAGATATTCGATATTTGGTGGGGAGTGTGATGAACTGCGAGCGAGGATCGTCGGACGCCGCGCGTCTACTCTGTACAACACCAAGTTTACACTCTGTGGCTTATCTACAATGTAGACTTGAATATGGTGTACGGGTAGATATGCATCACAGATTCATAAGTCGTACAAGGATAGAGGGTCAGTGCATTGAGATATGTATAATAATATATATATATATATATATATATATAGTTGATCAGATCCCCAGAGTCATCATCCACAAGTGCCGAGATTCTATTCTACGGAGTATTACTCTGACAAGACTGTCGTTGTCGCCGATCAATACATTGCCAATCAGGGAGGTAAGGGCTCACAGTCTGTGACGTCGTCTATTCAGTCCGTGATTGCTTCAGGTTCTTCAGGTTCTTCAGTTTGACCATGTCGGGAATCAGGACGATTCAGTCATCAGTCATCGGTGTTATTGCTGTGCGGCTATTAAAACCATTGGTGGGTCTCCATATCGATTGCTCATTGAATCCGCAAGATGCAGTCAGTCAATAAAATGACACAAGTGACCGAATTGTCTGGGACCAGTAGATCTGTGAGATGATGTCAATATCCCACCTCAAATGTCGATTGAATCTGAGATGGTGATCACCCGGCTGAGGCTGAGGATTCCATAGTCATAGACTCATGCCGTAGAATCGAGGGTGGATCTCAGCCAGCGACTCAAAAGGACATAGCCATCCAGAACCAGAGTTCCAGTCTGCACAAGCCACACTACTCCCCGAGTATTTTAAGCACACTTGAAGGGTCTGAACTCTGAACTCTGAAACACTCCCTTCACCAAGGGACAAAGGTGGCTTGAGGGTGGTTTGGCAGAAGGGTTCGTAGTTTGTACTTTGTAATCTGCATTTCTGCAACTTTGGATCCTGTCAGAAAATTGGATCGGGATCATTTTTCTGGTCCTCGTAGGCTCGTAGCCAGAACAGAATGAATTCTGAGATCTGATTTTTTTTTTCATGGATGCCTAGTGGTGCCGGAGTGCCTGAGTGCCTGAGTGCCTAGCTGTCTAGGTGCCTGAAGGCCTCAAAAATCAACAAATACTCGGAATCAACAGAGTCAGTCGAGAGAATGAAGCAAGAATAACAACAACAACAATAATAATAATAAGACAGCTACGGACAAATTTAGATTCTCATAGTCATAGCTCCCTTCTCGTCTCTTGGACAGCACCATATATAGCACCCGACACCAGACTATCTCTAGGCGCCCTTTTGAAACAGGCCGGTTCCACCACTGTGAGCTCTATGATTAGTATCTGATTTGACCATCACCACGATGGAACTGGAGAATGACATGGATATAATAATCAATGTTGATCGATAGCAAGAGCAAGTAACAAGTATTGAAGCAATAACCATCTTCTCTGCTATCTATCTATAAACTATAAACTATAAACCCTCTTGTTCTCCGTTGGTGGTTTATTCCACGCCAACTGTCGCTTACTACTTTCTTTCTTACTCTTGTTGCGCTTCCCCGACCGTTGGGCCATCATCTCCAGTTCTCTCCATCCACCATCCAACTAAACTACTGCTCTTGGTTCATCGATCTCTCTTTTTTTCTTGGGTTTGTCTCAAACAAAACACACACACACACACACAAAATAAAAGAAGGGAACAGAGAGATCCCCAACGTTCGTTTATCTATCTATCTATCTATCTATCTATCTATCTCTTGATTGATTGTGGTTTTTTGATTCTTCTTCTACTTCTTCTACTTCTCTCATCCTCCGAACTTTTGTATTCTTACCCCTCCTTGTTCTTCCGCCGCGTGTACGGTTACTACTACTACCTCCTTCCACTACGACTACGACGACCACAACGACAACGACGACGGTATCGATTCCCCCCCCCCACCTCCCCGGCCCCACGGCCTCTTGGTCTTTCTTAAAAGTCCATCGCTCGAGTCTCCCTATTCATCGTCCGACGTCTGTTGTCGGCCTTTCCGCTCTATCCAACTCGTGAATCGTCGCCGATCTGGCTACCCTGGCTGATCCCAACGAGTTGTTCTTGCCGGGTGAGAGGCAAAACAACCTCGCCATGTCGTCCTCTCCCGCCGTTCCTTTGCTCAGACCACCCGTGCCTGGCAATCGCAACAACAGCGGTGGCCCTCGACCTCCCAAGCTCACCCTAGGCATTCCTCCATCCCCCAACACCAGACCGGTCACCGGCAATGGCGTGCCCACCCTCGCTGCCCCCGAAGCGCCCAAGCCGCAGCAACGGCCCTCGACCCGTCCCGCTCTTCCTCAACTCCGCCTCGCAACCCCCATGGGCAGCAGCTCCAATGTCCCGCGGGAAGTCCCTCGACTGGCAAACGGTAGGCCGGCCCCGCCGCCGCTGGCCACCACCGGTCTGAACGATTCCAACGCCCACTCGACATCCAGCAGCTTCACCTACCTCGACGGCAAGGCCAGCGGTCCTGCCTCGGCCTCGTCCTCAAATTACTCGGCTCTCTCGTTTGCTATGGGTCTCCGCCAACCGCACGGCAGCACCCCGGATCCGTCGTCGGCCATCAGCTCGGTGTATTCCGACCGTGAGGGCGGCGTGCCCATGGAGCGGGACAACAGCGTCAACGGACTTCTCCCGGATTTGGATAAGTTGAGTCTGGAAAAGGGCAGGCCCCTGGACGTCGACGATCTGGATGATGAAGGCTGGTTGGCTGCTAGTGAGAAGAAGAAGATCATTGAGCTGGGCAGTCTTGGGGAGGGCGCAGGAGGTGCTGTGACACGGTGCAAGCTCAAGGATGGAAAGACCGTTTTTGCATTGAAGGTGATTTTTTTTTTCTTTTATCTCGTACGGGATGGGCCCTTGTGTCTCTTTTACTAATTGGTTCTCTTGCTAGATCATCACTACCGATCCCAATCCGGATGTGAAAAAGCAGATTGTGCGAGAGCTGAACTTCAACAAGGACTGTGCGTCTGAACACATTTGCCGCTACTATGGTGCCTTTATGGATAAGTCGACCGGGACCATCTCCATTGCCATGGAGTTTTGCGAGGGAGGTAGCTTGGACAGTATCTACAAAGAGGTCAAGAAGCTAGGAGGGCGGACGGGAGAAAAAGTCCTCGGCAAGGTCGCAGAGGGGGTCTTGAATGGTTTGACATATTTGCACAGCAGAAAGATTATCCATCGAGGTACGCACTTTTTTTTTTTTTTTTTTTTTTTTTTTTTTGAGTCTTGGGAATTTGCGGGTTTGTGCTGACAGGTCAGATATCAAACCTTCCAATATCCTCCTATGTCGAAATGGCCAAGTGAAGCTCTGTGACTTTGGTGTCAGCGGGGAATTCGGGACCAAAGGCGACGCCAATACCTTCATCGGCACCTCGTATTATATGGCCCCGGAACGTATCACAGGTCAATCCTATACCATCACCTCCGATGTGTGGTCGCTCGGCGTGACTTTGCTCGAGGTAGCCCAGCACCGGTTCCCATTCCCCGCCGATGGCACAGAGATGCAGCCACGAGCCGGATTGATCGATCTTCTTACCTACATTGTTCGTCAACCCATCCCCAAGCTCAAAGATGAGCCGGAAAATCATATTCGCTGGTCTGATAACTTCAAATACTTTATTGAATGCTGGTATGTTTCTCCCCCGGCCCCGCCGCCTTTTCTTTTGGCCTGGTGCCTTTGTACGTTACTGACTGCAGGTAGTCTTGAGAAAGAACCCCCACGAAGAGCCACACCCTGGCGGATGCTGGACCATCCCTGGATGCGGGACATGAAAAACAAAAAGGTCAACATGGCCAACTTTATCCGACAAGTGTGGGGCTGGCAAGACTGAGTCTGCTTGTTCACACTCCACCCGTCCCATCTCATCACCATCTGCGAACGGGACTTGGGTCTAATTCTACCTCTACTATAATGCCCCTTGCATATATTACGGTCTTTCCTTAACGCTTACAAGTGGCTGGGCCTGCTTGGTTGACCAGGACGTCAGAAAAGCATACGACTTGTTCGAACTCATGACACTCCCTTTTTTTGGGGGGGGGGGGGCATCTTTCTAATCGCGGATGCCGGTGCTAGATATTCCACCTTTCCACCATTTGATTCGAATTTCATCCTCATCTAGGTTTCATGCATGTCCTCGGTTCCATCCGAACGGCAAAAGAAGCGAAGTGGAAGAAGAGTCTAGGCGAGCAGCAGTGCTGACGCAAATGGACCCAGCATGGCTGCCGCGAAAGAAACCAGAGCTGAGCTGAGCTGAATCGCCGGCATGCTATTCCTGTGTTTGTGATTTTTGAATCCATACAGCGTGAAGTTTGCACACATCATCTCTGCTTTTTTTTTTTTTTTTTTTTTTTCTTTTCTCTTTCCCCTTCCGTTTTTCCATATCTTGCGATTTGTATGTTGTTCTTGGCGGGTCATGGGTTTAGTCGATAATTGAAAATATCTCATTTCATTTCATTTGACTCGATTCGCGTCTATTTGGGAGTTTCAAACATTTTCACAAGGTCACTCACACAGGTCAATCTTCTAGCCTACTTAGTCAGGAGCAAGCCAGACCAGCCGGAGAACTGCCGTAAGTGGTCGCCAGGCGGGTTGTGCTTGGACAGTAACTCGTCATATCGCGTCCTACGACCACATCCCATCCTAAGTCTGCAAGAAACAAGAAACCAGAATGAATACCGATGACGCTGGATGCAATTCTATGGATCTGTCTCCGTATCTGTATCAGACGCCATATGCATGAATGCATGCATGCATGCATATATGTGTGTAGGTATGTATGTAAGTCATGTGTAATATGTAATGCAGATAAAAAAAAGACCTCCAGCACGCTAAATCCCACAGCTCTAAACCCCCAGACGCGCCGCGCCGCATGGGCTTCTTGACTACCTACCTACCTATCTATCTACCTAACTAACTAACGAAGTAACACAATCTAGGTCATTCCAGCTCACCCATCAAGACCGATTCACCGGCTGCGCGCCAAGAACCCAGCCGATCCCGCTCGCCAGCCCGCCCGTCACCATGTTACTCACAACGTCGCGCTTGCGGACGCGGCTCCCCGCCGAAGAGGGCGTGAGGTCGTCGTCGTCGTTGTTGGGGTCGGCGTGGGCGTGTGGCTGGGCGCCGCGCAGCGGGAAGGAGTGCATGTTGACGTTGGCGTTGACGTTCTTCTGGAGGGCGCGCGCGGCGCCGCGGGCTACCTCGAAGAGGCCCATGGGGGCGTCTTCGAGGTGCGAGCGGTCGCGCTGGGCGCGGATGCGCGCGGCGTGCTGGCGCCGCGTGTCGAAGGCGTCCTGCTCCGTGTCGGTGGGGCCGAAGCCGCCCGGGACGGCGCTGAGGGTGAGCGTGTCGCCCTTGGCGTCCCAGGCTTCTTCTTCGGCCGATTCGCGCGTGCGGAGCACGGCCATTTCCTCGTCGCAGCGGCGCCAGGCGCCCAGGATCTCCGGGAGAGGATCCGGGTAGGGGACGAGGGTGAGGGCCAGGGAGAGGAGTTCCATGCGCTGGGAGAGTTGGGTGATCTGGGTTTGGAGGGAGGGGGCTGCGGGGGACGCGGGGGCGCGGTAGCGGCCGGCATTGTAGACGGCGCGCCAGGAGATGTCGTCTTTGATGTCTGGGTTGGTGAGCGGGGAGGTGGTGGGGAGGAGGGAGGGTGGGGTGAGCCGCGTGAGGATGTAGGAGTATGCGGTGCCGAAGTCGTCGGCGGAGAGGGCGGAGGAGATGGCGAGGGACATGATGCGCCGCTCGGCCGTGACGACTGCGTCCTTTGGTGGCGAAAGGGCGGTGCCGGATGGAGAACTCTGGTCTTCAGCGGTGCTCGATGGCAGCCCGGCCTCGACCAGGTTCCGTCCAATGAAGAGGAGGTCGTCGAGTTTCGTGTAGCTTCTGGGATTCTGATCGAGTACTTTTTCGATCAGAGAAAGAGGGTCCGAGTGGACCCGGATGCTGACCGGTTGGAAAGGGACGCCGTGCTGTAGGGTCAACGAGTAGAACGAGAGAGCGTGTGTTGCTGATATGAGCGACTGGATCTGCTGGAAGGATATGGAGCCTGGAAAATGTGGTCGGAAGGCTTGCAGACTGCGCGAGTAGACTCGTTAGTCGGGTCGTCCTACTTCAAGTGGCTGCGGTGAACTCACATGTCAAACGCCTTCTTCATCCCTCCACGCGTCCTATTGCCATTGCTTGCATTGTCATAGGCCGTGAAAATGGCGTCTTTGACGGCTTGCTCGACCTGAGCTGGGCTTAAAGGAGCCGGACTAGCCTTTGTGTATATATCCACCGCCAGTTGATATTCTACATCTTGTTAGCGGCACTTACTAGGATAAGACGCCGTTGACTCACCTCTAGCCTCCAGAAGGGCCCTCAGTATTTCGATTTCAACAACATCCCGAGAAATATTCCAAAACAATCCATGGCATGTTGAGTGCTTGGCAGTCTGCTCGGACGATTCTCTCTGCCAATCACGAAGCCACAGCAATTGCTGGCGGATCTTCTGCCAATTCCGACCAGATTTCGGATGCTGAGCAATCGAGCTCAGCGTAGTACGTAATTCCAGAAGTTGCATCTCATCGTTACTGTGTAGGCACAGGTTCGCAGCCTGTCTGCATGGAATCGGATACCCCAGGTTGTCCAGCACCTGTAGGGAAAGAAGAATGGCACTAAGAAACGAGATCGAAGAAGCAGATGGGCGGGTCAAGGGGTTGGAGTTTGAGAGCAACGCATTCTGCAGGAGGCTGACGCGCGACGTGGATGGAATCTCGCCTGCATCGAACGTCACCGCAGGCACCGGAGAATCCTCCGATACAGCCAACAAGGACTCTTCAAGGCCTAGTAGCTCTGCAACATGCGTGAGGATCTGTATTGAGCCCTCTAGAGCGGATCTGCTAGTATCGGGGCTCGCGTAGATTACAGCAAGGCCTGACTGCCCGTAACGAGTGCGGAGATCTGTCCTTTCATCCTGTGAGAGATGTTGGCTTTCCTCTTCATAGCCTCCAAGATCCACATCCTCGGGCCCCCTCCATTGAGTATAGGCGTTGACCACGTTCTCATGGTCTACCAGGCTATGCGACAGCAGCCATTCATTGACCTGTTGCCATACCACACCCGTCGTGGTCTTCGGGCGATCATTGTCCTCGGGGAGTGATATTGCACTCTGATTGGCGGCCTCATTGAGCCTGCGTCGTTTCGAGCGATTGCCGCCATAGATCCAGGCACCCACTAGCCCACGTAGATTCCGTACCATATCCATTTTGTCTTTTTGCGGACTCGTCATCGAAAGAAAGATGTTGATGGCGGTCTGATCGTCTAATGATTCGAGCGTATCTAGGGAGAACGTCTCATCTTGGCTCGGGTAGTATTCGTAGTTCAGGCGCAGGAGCGGTAGTATGCTCGAGATCAGCCAGGTGCGCACCCTGGGCGAGCGATGGTAGAATGGCAGCAGCAGATCGAGGATGAGAGGCTGGAGGCCAGTCTCGAAATCGATACGGTGCGCCCGATGGATGAGAAATTGAGTCAAGAGGTCTGAAGGCCCGCTGTCCTCGTCGTCATGATATCGTAGCGGCAGTAAACGAAGCTTGCGAACGCGTTTCCTTGCGACAGCCTCGGGCAGGCTCTGAGTGGCCGAGACGTCGATGTCTCCAGCTGCGAAATCCGAAGAAGGACCTTCCACTAGTTGCTCCAACACCGACGTGTAAGTCTGCGGTTCAATGCTCTCGGGAAGAAAGCTCAAAATGATGCGCAGCAGACGCTCCAAGGGCAAACAGCCGGGGAACTGTGCTTGGAGATGCGGGAGAGGTGCAACGTTCCCAGTAGCACACAGCTGGGTCGCTAGAAGAATCGCATGAGCGCCGGATAGTCCTGCCAAAACCGTCATGGCGAGTCACAGTAGAGCAGAGACTCTCTCATGGACGCGGAATCCAGAGAGACGAATGTAGTTTCTGGACAGTTGTCCATGTGCAAGATGGCCAGCGAAACGTAGACGTCAACGGGGCGGCGGCGGGCGCTCGGACCAACTGGGCGGAAACAGGCGAATTGAATCGTCAAAGTCGCAGCACTTCAACCTCTCCGCTTGCTCCATCCGCAGCGAACCTGCTATCCAAAGCCCCTCCTGCTGGTTAGGCCTCTTTTTGTTTCTTATCCCACCAACACCATGGCTTCTGGTTTCGGTCTCAATGGCGGTATGTGATGGTTTGCTGTGTTTTTTTCCCCGCCTAATTGTTGATTCATTTGTCCCCCAATTGACTTGTCATCTTGCCCTTTATTGAGCGGACATCTCCGGCTAATGCTTCTGCAATTGTTCAGGTCCCTCCCGCTGCTATGGCTTCTGGCAGGAGGTTCTCGGATGCTACGTCGTCAATGCCGGCGAGGGTGAGGTTGGCAAGAAGAAGTGCATGCCTGCCCTGGAGGATTACTACGAATGCCTGCACCACCGGAAAGAGGTACGCCTGCCGAGTCGATATGAGACATCAGCCCTTTTTGTTTTTTTTTTCTTTCCTTTCTCTGTGAAGTATCCATACAAGTAACCTCTCTAACGGCTTTCATTAATAGGCCCTCCGAACGATGAAGATGCAAGCCGCGTACCGCAAAGCGGAAGCCGCACACCCGCGTGAGAATGCGCCCAAGGCAGAACAGATTCGCAGCTTGGGTCTGTTAGGGAAGGAGGAAGAGGCATCCGCGTTGCTGGCCAAGTCATAGAGGGGGGATTGTACGCATACCAGGAGTGCGGTTACACGGATTATTGTCATTTTACTACTACCAGCCATGTGTCGCTTTACCACAATGGAATCTTCAATTGTACAGAAGCATGTCCGCTACAGGTTGTTTCGCTCGGGTCATGCCGAGGGTATTTGACATGACACGGTGCGCGTTTAGCTTGGAAAGGTTGAGTTTGACGCGCTCTCTCACAACGGTCGACCGGATTCGATAATACCTCTGCGCTTCGACTTTGTAATACGGAAGATATAAATAGCAATGGCTAGGATGACATGTGCCTAAGCTTTTTTTTCTTTTTTTTGTATTGTTTCAAATTTGATAATGAGGTGTCATCTAAACCTCTGGAAAGGGCAAAGCGTTGGGGGGTTTCTGTTGGTGTCATTGGGTTCATAGAAACTCATCAATATAATTATATATATATGTATATATATATGCTGACCATCTAAGAAGATAAGTTGATTCATACCTTCTATATCTTTGGCTCTTATTATTGACCCAAACTATATGACTCTTGAGAGTATCCCTTCGATACTATTAGTCTAATTGTTGGCTGCCAGAGTACCCTGGGTAGTAGATAAGTACTCGTTCCTAGAGCAGAAGACGTGATTAGGATAGAAAATGAGGCAAATCTGATAGGACAATGATATGAGTGAATGAACCTCATATTCAAGGAGATTCGATTCCCTTGACATTGCTGGGATGTCGCATATCAGTGGTCATGGCTCAGTGCTCCAGAGGACTGGACTAACTATCATAGATGCTTCTTCTCGAAGAATGCCGCCTCGAATATCTGTATCCATAGTCCATAACTCCCGCGTCCAAACAGAAGACCATCTGGCATTTTCTTGGCGTGTAGTCGGGAGATGAACCAAGCTACAATGGCGGCTGGTTTGTGCAGGATGAGACGGGAAAAAAACGGATAAGTGAAGTCGAAAGCTGTCCAGGGGACTCTTTCCCCCGTAGTCTGATCCTATCCAGAGCTATCTATCTATCTATCTATCTATCTATCTAACTGGGGAGCATATCGGATACCTATTCACCACCCAATCCCACCATCATCATGACTTGACTCTAATTTGCAGGAAATAATTTCGCGGCGTCGATCCAGGCGAGGGATAGTCACGTGATCTAAAGAAAACCTTTACGGGAGTGGAGGCACCTAAGCCACTTTGGGTCTAGCGCAGTCAGGCCAAACATGGGTAGGCGCGCCCAGCCAAAGAGACCCCCAATGATATAAACAGCCTGCGTGACCTCGAGACAAGAGAAAAAGGTCGATGATCCAGGACGACGACCGGACCAGTCGTCTGAAACTTACGTACCGACTGAATACACCCGCCAGGACCTGTGACCGATTACCTACCCTACCTCAGGACCAGGTACGTCCACCCACCAAACGCGGCTCAACATCTTTATATTTCTTTTTTTTTTTTTTTTTTTTTTTCTTTTTTGAATTATTTCCGTTCGAGAAAGCGATAAAATCTCCGTCAGCTCTCGACTATCAGAAGAATCTCCACTCTTCGTTCCATCAATCTCTCCTCAATCTTTCCCATCGATGGCTGTGGCGCGGGTGTAACGATCTCTGTGTATTTTACCATACCTCCTACCTTACCCTTCTTCGTTACCTTTACTTCCGAACTACCTCACACTGCGGCGTCTTCGAGACGCTTCATCTTCAACAACGTCGCCTTTTGCTTCGATTTTTTTTTCTTTTCCCCTTCTTCTTCTTTTGTATTTGTGTTTACACTTATATACCCCCTACGCGCATAATTTCTTGTTTTCTTCCATTGCTGCCTTTCACTTCCTCTTTTGCTATCTGTGGCAAAAGTGACAGCCCGTCATGACTTCCAGGTAAGAATCCGGCTGTTTCCCGTATCGTATACATACCCATGACGCTAACCGTTTGCGCTTTAGACTTGATCGTCTTGTCACGTGAGTTTTCTCTCGCCAAGAGCCTCCTTCCCGATCCCTGTTTGCCCACTAACCAATCACTGTTGCAGATTACTAGAGACTGGCAGTACGCCGCTCATCAGGAACACAGCCGCCCAGCAGCTGGCTGATGTGCAGAAGCAGCATCCAGATGAACTGTTCAATCTTCTCGGACGCATTCTGCCCTACCTGAGATCCAAATCATGGGATACGAGAACCGCTGCGGCCAAGGCAATCGGTCTGATCGTCGCCAATGCAGATGTCTTCGACCCTAACCAGGATGATGGCGAGGAGATCAAGAAAGCTGAGGACGAGGATCTCGATGTCGACATCAAATCGGAAGAGTGTCCATTGTCCCCCTCGGATGACTCATTGCTCCAGCTCGAGCGTCTCGACCTCACTTCGATTCTGAAGTATGGAAAGCGACTTCTCGGTAGCGCAGGCAAGGAGTACGAGTATTCACTGGCTGCCATGGATCCTGCCTCTCGGCTGCAGCATCAGAAGAAGACGTTAACTTCCCGCCTGGGTCTCGCAGGAGAGTACATTGAGGATGACTTGATCAATGATAACGATCTTGTCACGAAGCCGACCTTGAAGGAGGATCCGTCGTTCGTCGCGGCGCGGGAGCACAGCATTCACAGCGCCTCTCAGCCCCTGGCATCGCCGATCGAGCCCCCGAATGGGGAGGAGTCGGGCTTGAGCAAGCGGCAGTTGAACCAGCTCAAGCGCAAGAACAAACAGAGCGCGAGACTGGGAGCTAATAAAGTTCGAGTGGTAGACCTAGCCTCGCGGAGACCCTCGGAGACCGTCACTACCCCATCCGTCGCCACGCCCCATCCCATCAAAACGGAAAACGGAGAGGAACGAAACGGCGATGCCAAGCCAGACTACTTCTCGTTGGAGCGGCCTGCTGGTGATGATGACTCCAAGATCGTCACAGAGTTCAAGGGTGCGGCGCCGGCGGTGGAAAATCCTTTGATCCAGCCAGAGATCACCGATGAAGGCTCGAGCCCGAACTGGCCATACGAGCTCATGTGCGATATCCTCATGGTCGATCTTTTCGATCCGAATTGGGAGGTCCGTCATGGTGCCGCGATGGCGCTGCGGGAGGTTGTCCGCGTCCAGGGTGCCGGTGCTGGTCGCGTGCAGGGGAAGAGCAGGGCCGAGAATGATGTCTTAAATCGCAAGTGGTTGGATGATCTTGCGTGCCGTCTCCTGTGTGTGCTCATGCTCGACCGCTTTGGTGACTACATCTCAGATAACGTCGTAGCTCCCATCCGGGAAACTGTCGGCCAGACACTAGGTGCGCTCTTATCCCAGCTCCCGTCACGATCGGTCATTGCCGTCTACAAGTGTCTGTATCGCATCATCATGCAGACTGATCTGGGCCTTGAACGACCTATCTGGGAGGTTTGCCACGGTGGCATGATTGGCCTGCGGTACCTTGTGGCGGTTCGCCAGGATGTGCTCATCAAGGACCCCAGACTCATGGACGGCGTCGTTGAGGCTGTCATGAAGGGTCTGGGAGACCACGACGACGATGTGCGGGCCGTGGGTGCAGCGACCCTCGTTCCCATCGCCGAAGAATTTGTCCAGACTCGTCAGAATACACTCGGCACTCTGATGACTATCGTTTGGGAATGCTTGTCCAACCTGCAGGACGACCTCAGCGCTAGTACCGGTTCGGTCATGGATCTGCTGGCTAAGCTATGCACTTTCCGAGAGGTCCTTGATGCGATGAAGGCCAATGCCGCGGTCAATCCGGAGTCGTCCTTCGGGAACTTGGTTCCCCGTCTCTACCCCTTCCTCCGACATACCATCACCAGCGTTCGCTCCGCTGTTCTTCGCGCCCTCATGACATTTCTACAACTTGAGGGAGACGGCACTAATGACTGGGTGAACGGGAAAGCGGTGCGCCTGATCTTCCAGAATCTGCTTGTGGAGCGAAATGAGGGTGTTTTGAAGCAGTCTCTCCAGGTCTGGTCAGAACTTCTCAAAGCCCTGGAGGCCCGCGGTTCGTTCAGCTCGGAGGCTGATCTTCTGGGCCATATACAGCCTCTGGTCACGCTGACTCTGGGTCCTTTCGGTGTCCCACGGTACCCCATTCCGATGAACGCCTCTCTATTCATCAAACCTTCGGGTGTGCCATTCCCCTCAAGCGCCGCAGCTCCTGCTCGGTCTTCTCCCAGCGCCACTGCGCCTGAAGGAATCAAGGGCCGTCGACGCAAGTCTGAGAAGAAAGAAGCACCGCCCCCGTCTGCTCACAATGTTGACGGCCATATGCTCCAGGGCGACATCGACCTTGTGGGTGCGGATACCATGCTGAGATCGAAGATCTATGCCGCCAGGGCATTGGGCCAGCTGTTGTTCTTCTGGGATAAGAACCAACTTCCGAGTCTGTGGCAGTCCATTCTGGAGGGTCTTTCTCATGCGGCCTCCACCTCGCAACTCTCGTCGGCTATGATAGTGGAAGAATATGCTAAGTTCTCGCGACCAAACGGCAAGTATGCCTCTACGCTGTGTGAGACTTTGCGTCCCATCATTGAGGGCGACCGTCCGCCATGGTACAGCGACATTGCATGCTACCTCCATGTTGCTCGGGCGCAGTGTCACTCATTGCTGAATACCTTCCGCGACCACGCGCATGTCCCTGGCTCCAGGTTACCGGCTCTTGCCGTTGTCGTTCAAGGCGATGCCGAGGCCGGACCCAACGCATTTTCACTATCCGACGCCGAAAAGGTCATTGGTCCCGACTTTGAGCGACTCAAGAAGAGCTTGACACCAGCTCAACGTATCACCGCTCTTCAGGTCCTCAACGATACTCGCGCAACCGCCGAGAGCGCGATATATGAGGCGCGGAACGTTAGGGACCAGAGAGATCTGCGTGTGCGGGCTGCTGCTGCCGGCGCCCTGGTGGCTTTGCAGGACATCCCCAAGAAACCAAGTCACATCATCAAGGGAATGATGGATAGCATCAAAAAGGAAGAGAACGCCGAGCTTCAGCAGCGCTCTGCCACTGCCATCGCCTCTCTTGTCGAGTACTATACCACCGCTGCGAAGCGCGGACCCGTCGACAAAGTAATCGGAAACCTTGTCAAGTACTGCTGCGTGGATACTTCCGAGACTCCCGAGTTCCACCACAATGCGACCCTCGAAAAATCCATCTTATCGCTTCGTAAGGAGGAGGACCGGCGCGACCATCCGGACGCTGCGAGGTTTGAGAGAGAGGCCAAGGAGGCCCGGGTTATGCGCCGTGGTGCTAAAGAAGCTTTGGAGCAATTGGCCGTCAAGTTTGGCTCCGAACTGATGGCCAAGGTACCCAATCTTGCTTCATTGATTGAACGGCCCTTGATGGAGACCCTGGCAGGCGAAGAATTGCCATCTAATATCCGTGATCCCGAAAACGAGCTGGGCCAGGAGGTTGTGGACGGACTGTCCACATTGCGTGCGCTCCTGCCCAAATTCAGCCCTGGACTTCACCAGTGGGTGGTCGGTCTCATGCCGCTTGTTGTCAAAGCGCTCCAATGTAAACTATCTGTTATTCGGTATGCGGCTGCCAAGTGCTTTGCCACTATCTGCAGCGTAATCACGGTTGAGGGGATGACCATGTTGGTTGAGAAGGTTCTGCCTACGATCAACAACGCTCTGGATGTTCACCACCGCCAAGGCGCTGTTGAGTGCATTTACCATCTGATCCATGTGATGGAAGACGGAATCCTGCCGTACGTCATCTTCCTTGTCGTTCCTGTGCTTGGTAGGATGAGCGACTCGGATAATGATGTGAGACTGCTGGCTACAACATCTTTCGCGACCCTGGTTAAACTGGTACCCTTGGAAGCTGGTATTCCCGACCCACCCGGTCTCTCGGAAGAACTACTCAAAGGTCGTGATCGGGAGAGGAAGTTCATGTCCCAAATGTTGGACGCTCGCAAAGTCGAGGAGTTCCAGATCCCTGTGGCGATCAAAGCGGAGCTTCGACCATATCAGCAGGAAGGTGTCAATTGGCTTGCTTTTCTCAACCGCTACAATCTCCATGGTATTCTCTGCGACGACATGGGTCTTGGTAAAACGCTGCAGACCATCTGTATCGTCGCCAGTGACCATCACCTGCGGGCCGAGGAATATGCTCAAAGCCAGAAGCCAGAGGTCAGAAAGCTTCCCTCGCTGATTGTCTGCCCGCCATCCCTTTCTGGGCATTGGCAACAAGAGTTGAAGCAGTATGCTCCGTTCCTGAAATCCGTCGCCTACGTCGGTCCTCCCGCAGAACGGTCCCGCCTGCAGAGTATGCTTCCCGATGCCGACATTGTCGTCACTTCTTACGACATTTGCCGGAACGACAACGAGGTCCTCAACCCAATCAACTGGAACTATTGCGTGCTGGATGAGGGTCATCTTATCAAGAACCCCAAGGCCAAGGTTACGATTGCGGTGAAACAGCTGCTGAGCAACCATCGTTTGATCCTTTCGGGTACTCCTATCCAAAACAATGTATTGGAGTTGTGGTCGCTCTTTGACTTCCTCATGCCTGGATTCCTCGGGACGGAAAAGGTCTTCTTGGATCGTTTCGCTAAGCCCATCGCGGCCAGCCGTTTCAGCAAATCGTCTTCGAAGGAGCAGGAAGCAGGAGCTCTGGCGATTGAGGCCCTTCACAAACAGGTCCTTCCCTTCTTGCTCCGTCGTCTCAAGGAAGAGGTTCTGAACGATCTTCCGCCCAAGATCATCCAGAACTACTACTGTGACCCTAGTGAGCTCCAGCGAAAACTGTTCGAGGATTTCACCAAGAAGGAGCAGAAGGCCCTGCAGGACAAGGTGGGAAGCTCTGAGAAATCGGACAAGGAGCACATCTTCCAAGCCCTGCAATACATGCGTCGTCTGTGCAACTCGCCAGCGCTCGTCGTCAAGGAAGGCCACAAGCAGTACAACGAGGTCCAACAATACCTTACCGCGAAGCACTCTCAGATCCGCGATGTTGCCCATGCACCGAAACTGGGCGCCTTGCGCGACCTGCTCGTCGACTGCGGCATTGGTGTGGACCCGCCCAGCGAAGGTGACCTGAGCAGCGCCAGCTATGTCAGCCCTCATCGAGCTCTGATTTTCTGCCAGATGAAGGAGATGCTGGATATCGTGCAGAGCGAGGTCTTCAAGAAGCTTCTCCCGTCAGTGCAGTTCCTCCGTCTCGACGGCAGTGTGGAGGCGACCAAGCGTCAGGACATCGTCAACCGCTTTAACACTGATCCCAGCTACGACGTGCTACTGCTGACAACCAGCGTCGGCGGCTTGGGTCTCAATTTGACTGGTGCCGACACGGTCATCTTCGTGGAACATGATTGGAACCCGCAGAAGGACATCCAGGCCATGGACCGCGCCCATCGTATCGGTCAGAAGAAGGTCGTTAACGTCTACCGGTTGATCACCCGTGGAACCCTGGAGGAGAAGATCTTAAAGTAAGTCCATCCCCTCCCCTCCCCGCATTCACAGCACGAAAAAAAAACTTCCTAACGAATACTTTTTTCTAGTCTCCAACGATTCAAGATCGACGTCGCCTCCACGGTTGTCAACCAACAGAACGCCGGCCTCGGCACCATGGACACAGACCAGCTCCTCGATCTGTTCAACCTCGGCGAGATCGCCGAAACGGCCGAGAAGCCCAGCGACGTTGCCGCCGCCGCCGGCAACGAAGTGGACATGGTCGACATCGACGGCAACGTCAAGGAGAAGGGCAAGAAGGGCTGGCTCGACGATCTCGGCGAACTTTGGGACGATCGCCAGTACCAGGAGGAGTATAACCTCGACTCCTTCCTGGCTACCATGAAAAACTAGCCTGGCATATCCCGCCAGGTGGGCAATACCTTATTTCTTTTCTTCTCTTTTCTTTGCTTCTCTGTTTTTGATCCTTTGATTTCAGCGGGTGGTTCTCTTCCTTCCTATCTTTTTTCCCCTTGCTTTGTGCTCTCCATGGACTTCCCCCATCCTGCATACGAGCACGAGCACGAGCACACGGCGTATTGAATTCAACCTGGAGGTTTCTTCGGCGTTTGGAATCGGTTACAATGACGACAAGCCAAAAACCACAACACAAAAAAGCGACAACGATATCTTACCTTGCCTACCTTACCTACCTACTTGACTTTCGCAACCTGTGTCGAAGGACCAGGGTATGGTGGTTCTTTATGTTCTTTATTTTCTTTTATTTTTTATTATTTTTTTCCCCCTCAGTTCTGATTTCTTTCCCTCGATGTCTTGTACTCTAATTACTTGACCCCTGTACAGTACATATACGATGTCTTCATGGCTTATGAGCAGTATGACCCCAACACTCAACTCTACCTTTCTTGGTTCCTCTCGTAGAATGAAAAAAATAGACGGCAAATTTAATTGTAGTTCGAAGAGTCAGATTCAATCTTGTACTCGTACAGTTCGAGAGGTGGTTATCAAGTTCAATCAAACACAGTTGATCATTTCACATCGGAGATGTAGGAAAAGGAAGAGAGAGAGAGGGCGAAAAAGAAAAAGAGCCAAACGCCATTCTTCGCCAGCGTATTCCAGCACTGCAGCACCGCGAAATCAAAAGACCAGGCCGTTGAATAGGGTGAAAAGAAGAAAAAAGGGGTCATGAATGGGAACGATGGGTACATCGAACCACAATACGACTGTCAAGAAATCGCTTGAATGTTACGGTCATGAATAAAATGAAATAGACAAAAAAAGACACAGGGCCGCCGATTGCACGATCCAAACATTCGTAAACAAGTACACTCCAGAGTGCACCGGATCAGCCACGGTTCTTAGGCTGAGAAAGCATGTTCAGGCGGCTGATACTGAGGACGCCCCGGCTCTTCGCTCTGGCGCTGGCGGGAGTGCCCGTCCGCCCGGAGATTGAGGAGGGTCGGACAGGAGTGTGAGTGCGGACCTTGACGGGACTGGGGGTAGGAGGCGCCTTGATTGGAGACGGGGCGCTGAATTTGAGTCTCTTGACACTGCGAGCGTCGGAAGTGGGTTCGACAGGTGGTACGTTCTCCGTGTCGGCTTCGTCTTCCGTCTCACGGTTCCGCTTCTTGTTACCGATACCATGGGGCACGCCCGCGACATTGGGAAGAGGAGTGGATTGAGCGTTGACAATCGACGGACGGACATGGCGGATTGTAGGAGTGACCTGTGCGGATTTTGCAGCGGCGGCGGAGCTCTTCTCAGGCGTCAGAACAGGAAGGGTCGGATAAACGATGTCTGTGGAGATACGAGGTGCGAACACGGCAGCCTTGGAGGGCGACGGGGATGGCTGGTCGACGTCATCGGAAGTGGACTTGGTGGCCGGCAACTTGGTAGTGGGAGAGAATTCAACGCGCTTTTTGGGCGACGGTGTGGGGGCAGTCTCCTCGACGGAAGCCTCACGCGACGGACCCGGGAGGAAGTTCGAGCTGAAGTCGGGAGCGGCCACATGGGTCCCTGCAGCGATCTTCGCGGGATCCCGGGAGAACAGAGGCTGGCGGCGGCGGAGGATGGACTTCAGTCCACTCAGTGTAGGCAGGCTACTCTTAATGCGCGGATTGAATTCGGTCTGGGGCGTGCGCGGAATACCAGCAGGTTTCGAAGCTGGGGATCGGGCTAGAGAAGGGATCATACTGGTTCGAGAAGGCTTCAGGCTGACAGACGAGGCACGCGCAGCAGAGGCTCGTGTGGGGGTCATCAAGGAATGGCGGATAGCAGATCGAGGACGAGGTATCGTCGACTTGGGAGTCTCATTTGTCTCAACAGGGCGACGGCGAGTGGAGATGTCGTCGGTTTTGCCGTGCTTGACACGTTTTGCACTGAGAGTGGCCGGAGCGGGAGAAGACCTCGCAGTCGGCTTGGGAGATTTATGGCTGCTCTCGGCATCGTCCAATCCCGCTCTCGAATTGCTACGTTTCAAATTTTGCAAGACCGGTTGGAAACGTCCGGGTGTGGCACGGAACGCCGAGGGATGGTTGGCGATGGAGTCCATCTTCTTGAATTCCGCCATGTGAGCATCGCTGAAGCGGTTGGCTTTTCCCTTGGGCTGCACAAATCTGCGATCCTTACCATTCGACTCTTCAGCACTGTGGTCAGCAGCAGTCTGCTTGTCTTTCTCTTGGACCATTTGAGCCTTGATCTTAGCGACATCCTCACGCACACTCTCCATGAGCCTCTTCGCCTCGTCGCTCAGCTGAGACTCTTGACATGCGAATTTGAATTCAAATCCTGGAGTGCCATACTGGCTCATGGGAGAGGCCTTGGCTTTGCTGGGAGTGTCTTGGGCCACGGATTCCTTGACTACATTTCCATTGGCGTCTTTCTTGATGGGATTGAAGCCCAGGATCATGCCCGAGTCTACCTGCTTGGTGGTGCTCTGATGGACCTTGCTGGGGTGCATTTCGTTGTGGGACGGGCGCGTAATGGCACTGGTAGGAGTTTTCGCGCCAACGGATTTCCTCGCGCTTGAGGAGACGGGTGTTTTGATGCTGGATGTCCTAACTGGAGTATGAATGGACTTGGTAGGTGTTTTGGTGGGTGTTTTGGCCGCGGGATGAGATTCGACCTCTGGCACTTCATCGCGTTCCATAACGGCAGGAAGCTTCTTTCTCTTTTTGTTTTTCTTGTTGTCGTTGCCGATGTTATTCTCGGTCATTTCGTTGGTGGTCAGATCAGCTGTCTCAGAGGGAGGTTGAGGTTCCTACAACAAGAAGCGAGGGCTGTCAGCACCATTGAACCTAGAAAATAATTGATCCGAAGGGCAATCAATGACAGCCATGGAGTTCCATCTAGGATATCTCAACTGGAGATTGTCTTGAAAACTCACCTCGGACGACGCCTTTCGTCGAATGCGGGCGGAACGGCGAACCGCCATGATTGTGGATGTCGGGAGGTTGATTTGATACCGGATGGTAGGAATTCGAAATGGATACGTCGAGCTCAGGAATGACAATTGACACGCGCAAGCGAGAAGACGCGAAAGGGATGGATAGCTGAGGGCGCAAGGGAGTGTTGATTGTCTGAAGTCGAGACTTTGTGAGACGAGAAAGTAAACAAACCCCAAAGGCGGTGAGCCGCTTTGACGTAACTCGACTTCTTCGTCTTCTTGACTCTCGACGCTCTACAGTCCTCCCTTTGCCACCGGTGTCAGAATATCACGGATATGATGCAAGAGTCAAGCCTAGCATGGTCATTATTGGCAGCCACCTCTTCTTCAACTTTCATTATCTCGGTGACATGAATGGGGAAGACAACCATCAGACCGATGTCACCCCACCCGTTCAGTAGAACTAACCATACAATGCACATTTTTAAGAATATTTTATACTAAGGATACCGACGACTACAGTCCGAATGGATAGGTCTCGTCCAATCCTAATGGTGTCTTGGGCTGCACCTTCTCCAGCGGGTTCACCGCTGTTGTCTGATCGAACCAAATATACGCGTCGAACTGGTTGTGGAGATATGCCTGCGAGTAATGCGAGATGCGCTCTGTGTCTGGTCGGTAGATGACTCCGATAAACCGCTCTAGACGGTTGTTTTCGGCCGCCATGGCCCTGCGTAGGTCCGGATCGATGCGGTCCGGGCGGAGATCAATCACGAAACTGGGGATACCAGTATCGTGGGCGATCATCTCCCAGCTGTCATCACGGGATGGCCGCACCTTCATCGCCTCCATGTCTTCGTCCCACTCGTGGGCGGCTGCTACGGTCCCAGTGTGCGTCCCACAGCCGAGAATGGCGACTTTCTCACGACCATAGTTCTCGCGAATCAACTGGCCGATGTTGACCTCGTTGCGACGGGTGCCCATGCTGGTGTACCGCGCGTCGCCGCAGTGGGAGTTGTGCGCCCAGACCACCGCTTTGGCGTTCGCAGGCTTGTGGCGGAACAGCCGCCGCAGCGTGTCGAACATGTGGGTATCGCGCAGCGTCCACGACGAGGCGGAGCTGTAGTACATGGCTTTGTAGTAACGCTCCGCATCGCGGACCAGGAACGCGTTCTGCTCGCTGCTGTGGAACTCCTCGCCATCATGCACGTCATGCTTGGAATACTGCAGCCGCTTCTCCAGCAGGTCACGCAGCATCTGCAGCACCTGGCTCTCGCAGTCCGCCATCCCCCGGAGGGACGCCAAACCGTACGAGGTTGGGTCATCTACCCACGGCTGGAGACAGCCGTAGCGCTTCCGCGCCTCTTTTCCGGCGCCGGGATCCACGCGGTCCAGATACTCGATGACGGCGCGGATAGAAGCGCCCATGCTGTACAGGTCGAGGCCGTAAAAACCGGCTTTCTGCTCATCGGGCACCTTGGAATTGCGGTCGCGCATCCACTCGATTAGGTCCTGCATCTCACGGTTCCGCCACATCCAGGTCGGGAACCGGTTGAAGGACTCCTGATCGCGGGCTTTGCCGCCAATGCTGGCGTTGGGGCCTGGACGCTGACGCACGTAGCGATCGATTGCCTCGGCGTCGGGCCAGTCAGCCTCAACGGCGACCATCGTGTAGCCGTGCCGCTCGATGAAGCGCTTGGTAATCTCCGCGCGCGCGGTGTAGAACTCCGAGGTGCCATGGCTGCCGTCGCCCAGGAGCACAACGCTGTAGTTCCCGAAGCTGTCGAAATGCGAGGCGAAGTTGGGGTCGGCGATGGGAGGCAGCGGGCGGGCCGCTTGGTTGAAGAGTTCCTGGAGTTGCGACATGGGCCGTGAGCGAGTATATAGTCGTTGGAATTGCATTAATCAATATTTGTATTGCCTTGCCCAAAAACCCGCTACCTCTGTGTCTCCCATCATTATAAAGGGATCTGGGGTGAAGTGGCCATTAGGGGCGAATGAAATCACGTCCCCGTCAATCTCCAAATCATCATGACTTCACTGCACCACGGTATTATATTGCTGCCACTCGAACCACAACAACAACAACCACCACCACCCTTGTTTTGTCTTTCCTACTAAAACAGATAATGCACAGCATTATCCGCAGCTGCCGATCCCCCAGACTCAAATCATTGCTATACAGACTAACAACCCCCCATCGTAACCTGACCACCATGGCCACCTCCATAAGCAGCTCATCCCCACGGTACAGCCGCTTCCAACAAGCCGTCGAATCCCTCTACGGCAACTTCTCCTCCATCGCGGACCCGGCCTCCTGGACCCCGCCCCCAAACTCCGGCGGCCACCGCGGCCGCTACCTCTGGACCGACGCCTTCGGCGTCCTCACGCTCCTCACCATGCACCGCGAGTACGAGAAGTCACTGCGCGACGCCGCCCAAGCGCCCGACGATCGGTACCTGGTGCTGGCGCGGCGGGTCGTCGAGACGGTGCACGAGGTGCTGGGCCGCACGCGCGACGGGCGCGCGCGGCTCCCCGGCGCCACGGACGCGAACCCGCTGGGCGGCGGCCTGCGCATCGGCAAGATGGACGAGCGCGGGCCCGACGGTGACGGCCAGTACCACCACTACCTGACGCTGTGGATGTTTGCGCTGAACCGGCTGGCGGTGGCGACGGGCGAGCCGCGGTATAACCGGCTAGGGGTTGCGCTGGCGCGGGCGATCCACCCGCGGTTCTTTGTGCAGCGCGAGTCGGCGCGGCCGCGCATGGTGTGGAAGATGGCGATGGATCTGTCGGCGCCGCTGGTGGCGAGCGAGGGCAATCTGGATCCGGTCGATGGGTATGTGGTGTTTCGGCTGCTGCAGGGGGCGGCGATGCAGAGCGGGGACGGGGCGGTGCTGGCGGAGGAGATTGCGGATTACAAGCGCGTGATGGAGCGGAAGGGAAAGCACTTCGTGTCGAGCGATCCGTTGGATCTGGGGATGACGCTGTGGACGGCGCATTGGTTCTCGGAGAAGGAGGATTGGGCGGCGCAGTTGGCCGGGCGGTGCTTTGAGCAGATCTGTCCTCCTACCTTCATCTTGGTTACCCCTGAGTGTATTTGAAGGATTTGAACTGACGGGGGCGTTTTTTTTAGATGACTTGTTCGAGATCAACCGCTACCTCGAGCGCAATATCAAGTACCGGCTGGCGTTCCGCGAGTTCGGCACGTGCATGGGGATCGAGTGCCAGGCAGCACAGACGACAGAGAAGGAACGCGCCGTCGACCTCAAGGTCTACGCGGACGCCATAACCGCTGCCTGGGACCCGTACATGGAGCTGTCCATATCGACGGACGTGACACCGGACGATCTGCGGCCCATCACGCGGATCATGTATGCCGCGGCGTTGATCCCTGGCGGTAAGTCACAGCGACATGGAAGGAGCAGAGATACTGACCCCTATGCAAGCCTTTCGAAGCGGATACCCAGAGCCCCCGTGTCCGGAAAAGTAAGAAGAGACAAGAGATGGCGTACATGGTTGCATTAGAGTATATACACCGGATAGGTCTCTCTACCGCGTATATCTGCACAGGATGAATGGAGCAAACACCCCAGATAGTCATACAAGCGTCTTACTAGCCCATATCAAGTCTATACACCCGGAATCCCCACGGTATCCCTCCACGCCGGCGCACCCAATGGCAAGATGTAGACCACATAGATCGTTCCAAGGGCGATCAGCAACCCAGACCACTGCAGGATTAGCAATTCACGACCCGTAAAGATAAAAAATCAAGAGGAGGGAGGAAGTGAAAAAAAACAGGAACTCACCTTTTCCAACCACGTATGAAACCAAATCGAGGTCATGAATAACATCCACCAGCCCAAGCCAACCACCCCAGCGACAAACCGCAGCGACCAAACCCCCATAACACCACCCTCCTCGCCCTCTTTCTCAGCCTGCTCATCCCCTTCTCTCTCCCCCTCCCCATCCCCATCCCCATCCTGCTTCTTCTCCCCACCCCGCGCCCCAAACCCACCCCTCCTCACCGCCCCAAAGGCCTCAAACACCAACATCGACGTCGCCAACACCAACATAAACACATGCCCACTCACATCATGGCCCCCAGCCCACACCCCACCGGCCGCCTTACACGCCGCCGCCGTAAACAGCCTCTCCAGACCCCTGGAGACACTCCCCTCCCGCTCGACGACCTCAACCGGCGTCTCCCGCAGAATCTCCTCACATTTCCCCCCCGTAACCACGAACCCGCGGTCAATGATCGCCGGCCCAAAGAACCACTGCGTGGTTAGATACCAGGCGGCGGTGGCGAGGGCGTAGCGGAGGAGCGCCTGGGCGAGGCGGCGGGGCTGGTGCGTCGAGGGGCTCGTGTACGCGGGTTGGGAGACGAGGAGGGACGCGAAGGCAATGGTCGTCCAGAGCCAGCCGACTTTGACGAAGTAGAGGTTGAAGATGTTGTCTTTGCGGGCGAAGTAGTTGACCGGGCTTGGGGGGGAAAGGTGCACGCTGGAGGCGAGCGAGGGAGTCATTGGCGAGGGGGACGCCTGGGAGCTGGATCGGATGCCCTGTGCGGTGGGAGAGAGGACGGAGAAGAGGGAGCCCACGAACAGGGTGAGTGGGTAGATGAGGAGGGCGAGCATTGGGGAGCGCATTGTGTTGGCGGTGGTTGTGATTGAAGGGGTGGAGCGCTCGCGGGAGGCCATTTTGCCTGGTCCTGTTTTTTCCAATATAGGGATACCGTAGTTTTCTGTACAATCGAAGATGAATATGCGTAGAATGAATGTAGGAAAGAGTGCAATTGAAGCAGGAAGATATTATTGTTAACAGCCCGTGGGAGAAGCCGCGGCTGAGGAAGAAGATTCAAGATGAAAATCGGATGACGTCGCTTTTCGCACGAGTCTTGGCAACAACATCGATCAGTGATTTATCAGGCTACGTTCAGACCGCAATTACAAGAATAGAACAGGTCAATATCAACAGTATTGATTATTATAAACTCATGGACTGGCAAAAAAAAAAAAACCAAAAAAAAAAAAAACGCTCTGTACATCATGTGGGTGAAAATAAATAGGTCTGTACAAGGTGTCGTGCAACTACCATCTACTGTACCCGGGGCAGAGGTGCTCTCAGCGGGAGCTTTCGAGAGGAGCTTCCGACGTAAACCCTCTTGGGATACTTGGTGATGACCCAGTCCTGCGCTTCCACGTCCCAGTTGGCGAGATCACGGCGCGTCAGCGTTGTGGTCCAGACCTTCTGCTCTCCGGGGGCGAGGTGGATGCGGTCGAACTTGCGCAGAACGACTCGGGGCTCATTGGGTCCACCAAGAGACACATACTAGATACAGGTCAGCGGAAATGCGCCTCTCCTCAAGGAATAGTAGTCTAGGTCACTCACCAGTTGAGGAACCTCGTAGCCCGCAACATTACCCGTGTTGGTGATGGTAGCGGACACCTTGACCAAGTCGTGGTAAAGAGTGGGATTGCCACCAGGAGCACCGCCCGCCTTGAGAATAGGCTGAGGAGAGCCATCGGTAGCAGCCTCGGGAATGTACTCGGAGTCCTCCCAGCCGTAGTTCGGGTCTGCAGAGGAAGCCTTGAGGTCGGTCGAGTTCAGCCATGGATAGATGAACTTGGTAATCCTCTTGAGCCCCTCGGGGAACAAGTAATCCGCAGCGCTACCGATACTTCCGTAAGCTGGCGCAGGTCCAGTCGTGCCGGTGGCAGGGACATAAGTGGAACCATTCAGAGGTTGGACGCGAAGGTGAGAATAGCCAAAGGAGGTGTAGCTCAATCCGAAGCCGAATTCATAAACCGGCGTCTCGTTACGCTTGTCAAAGTAACGGTAGTCAATGAAGACACCTTCGCTGAAATCATCCTGGGGAGCTCCATTGCCATTGTTAGGCTTAGTGACCAGGGGAGCACCGTAGGATTCGCGCGTCTTGCCCCAGGTGAAAGGGGTCTTGGCGCTGGGGTTGACACGGCCGTAAAGCACGTCGGCAATGGAGTTGCCGCTCTCCTGGCCGGGCAAGCCGGCCCAGAGGATAGCCGTGATGTTGGGGTTGTCATGCCATTCATCGACCAGGATTGGGCCGACACTGTGGATAACAACGACGGTGTTGTTGCTATGGCTAGCCACAGTCTTGATGACTTCCTCGCCATTCTTCCAAAGGGTGAGGTTCTTGCGGTCACCAATGTTACCATCAACACTGATGAATCCTTCTCCAGCGTCGGCATTGACAAACACAAGCGAGACGCTGTCCAATGATCCGTTAGTATTCAAGCTGAGAAGGAATGCATCTGAAAGAGGTCACTCACGAAGATTGAGAGGCAATATTCGCCATCTGGGTCAGCGCGCCGTTATGAGTCACGGGGAAGACATTGCCCCCGTTCTTGATGACCTCGCTCTGGATTGCCTGCTCTGGTGTCACGAGATAAGGGAACTCGGCAGTACCGCTACCCCAAGCCATCGCAAGGGTTCCATTGTCGCAGCCCCGGTTTTCGCAGCCGTTGGGGCCCCATGGGTTCGAGCCAGCATCTTCTCCAAAGATACCCACTTTACGCTCTTTGCCGGTTAGCGGGAGTGCACCAACGTTCTTGAGAAGCACAGTGCTAGCGGAGCCAACCTCGCGGATCAGCTGGGCATGGTCGCGTTGCACGTTGACAAAATCATTGACCTTTTTCCAGGCTCCCTCGGAAACAGCAGCATGCTCGTAGCCGTATTCGTCTCTAGTCCACGAGCTGAAGTTGGGGGGAACGCGAAGGCGATCGCGTCCAACCTTGTAGTAAGCCGTCATGATACGGACAGCCATGTCGTCCACGCGCCAGGCCGGGATGGTCCCGTTCAGGACACCAACCGTCATATTGGCACCCCAGAAAGAGAGACCATCATCAAAAGAAATGTCGCCAGGCATCGACATGTCCAAGCCAGCCAGAGCAGCGCCAACACCGCTGTGGTGGGCGCTCCAGTCGCTCATGACAAAGCCCTGGAAGCCAAGCTCGGCCTTCAGCAACTTGTTCAAAGTCTGGCTGTTCTGGCAACCGTAGCTGTTGTTGATCTGGTTGTAGGAACACATGATAGCGCCCACACCAGCTGTGTGAAGGTTAGTAACACGAGATGGACCAGGGCATATTCCAAGATCTTACCGCGCACAGCATCTGCGAATGGCCTTCTCCAAAGTCAGTTGGTTTTCAACCAAAGATGGGCTGCACTACTCACCAGAGATACAATTCGTGCATAGTCTTATCATCCACATTGGAACTCAGAGTCTCGGTGATGTTATATCCGTATCCCTGGGCCTCCGCAACCTGACGGAACTGCTCCTGTTCGTTGAGAATGTAATGCTTGGCAGTAGCAATCACGCCAGCATCCTGAATACCCTTGATGGTCTCTGCGAAAAGCACGCCAGTAAGAGCTGGGTCGGGAGAGAAGCCTTCCCAGATCCGACCACCATCGGGATATTTCCCCAGGGGACCAGCAGCCGGGCCCAGTTGGATATCGATACCCTTGTCATTGAACTCTTCACCCATTGCCTTGCCACGGAGGTACGCGAGCGTCTTATCCCATGTTGCCGCAACATTGATGCCAGCAGGGAAAGCCGAATTGAGGTCGGCTGCATAGCAGAACCGTTAGCAGAGTGGACACAAATGAAGGGTAGAAATCGGGGGCGTAGCTTACAAAAACGGATACCCAGGGGGGAATCTTGACCGCAAAGACCCCAGTTGATACCAAGTCTGCAATACTGTCTCAGCGTTCGGTCAAGAGATACGATACATCGCACGTAGATCAAACTCACCGAGGAACACTGCCTGTCTGACCAACGCATTCTTCCATCATCCAACTGGAGGACAGTGTCAGTGTATTGAACCATCTTTTTCCAAGTATTCCTTCGCATCACGTACCCAGTGCCCGTTGTCAAGTTGACTTTTTCTGTGAGTGTCATCTGAGAAACGATCTCGACAGCGCGTTGATGCGCCTCCGCCCATTCTCCCTGACCATTTGCCCAAGGCGACGGGTAAAATGGAGGGGAAGAGACTAATTCCTGATCATGCAGATACGATGGTCAACAAGGATCACAAACCATACCAAGGGAACAGAGGAATACAAACATTGGCATTGGCCAATGAGGCAGCCGTCACGGCGACCTCAAGCCAGCTGAACCTCATCGCGACCAGGAGTTGGAGAGTAACGGACGAGGAAAATAATCAGCTACCTTACAAAGCTCAGGAGGAGCAAAAAGGAAAGAGGAGAGAAGTCGAAAGTCGAGTGAGAGCTGGAAGCGAGGGGGAAAGGGGGGAAACAGCGAATATTAAATATAGATCCCAGCCATGAATGATTTGTTATTCAAGTCCAGCACAATGATGTAGCAGTCTCACACACACTCTCTCTCTCGGCAGAGCTACCGCGTCCATGCACCGTGCATGCTGCTGAGGAGAAAGTCCGACTGACTCTGCGTTGGAGTCTGACCCGCATGGGATGGCATGGAGATCGACATCCCTGATTTCCAGTTCAGAGAAATGTGGAACTGGGCGAGAGAGAAGCACAATATGAAGAGAACATCGGGTCCATCAAAAAGTGGCAAACAAGTGTGATTGATTTGAGAATGCTATCCAGGTATCCATAATCCCGTGGAGAGATGGCATAGTAAGGGATGTACATGGGAGATATGGCCTGGATGCCATTCTTGTTGGAGGTTGATTCAGGCTGAAAGTGTTTTTCTGGGGAGAAATGTAGAATTGTGGATTGTATCTAAACCCAGCTGGAAAGCGACCAGTCTGCTGTCTGCTAGTCTGCTAGTCTGCTACAAATTGCGGAGATGGCAGGGTCTGACCCTGATGAGATGACGCTATTTGTTTTCTGGAGTCAAAGTCGCGTTATAACTGAAGACTTAAGACTGAAGGCTAACAGCGGAATGCAACCTGTGGACAACCCACTGCGAAGAGCTTAGAGCTAAGGTAGAGTACAATTATATAGTACTTCCTGGTTAGGTACTACCAAGGACTACGGTACGTTGTACGGGATAAGAACGGCTGTTCCTGGTACTGTACCATGGATACTCCAGTGTTTGTATGGAGGCTTACGGAGTATTAGACGCTATTTTCACCGAGATCATGATATAGAAAAAGAGATATGTCTATAGCTCCAACCTGAAGCAAGTACTATTCACGGCTGCTTGTTCATTGCAACAGATCGCAGGAGGAAGAAAATGGATTCGGTGACTGGCAGATTCCTTATACCTAAGTACCTAAGTACCTTACTTGTCTTACTTGTGGCAGGTATTCCCCCCTTCCTCGGCCGCTACACAAGTTCCTCTTGTTGGAGCTTCAGAAGCATTCATGTACCAGATTGCAGAATGCTACTTTTGGCGCGATAAAAATCATTCGTTACTCCAGTCTATGTTCCATATTCAACTGAGTGCAGCTTGATGCTCTTATCCAGCGAACAAAACAAAAAGAATACCCTGAAAACCCAGCCACCATCGGCCGCAGAGACCGCAGACGAAGCTGTGGCCAAGTCGAGAAGAACATGGCTTCGTCTTGACTTCTGTATCCCACGGTTTTGAGTTCTTGGAGAGCTATATGTTAGTGTCACAACCCTGTCGCTCCTTTGGTCAACCAGTAGAATAAGAACTAGAATTGACAACCAGGCAAGGAGGATCTTCACTAAGCACCATCTAATACACCTTACTTACTGTCTCAAGCAGTTATTTCGTCCATGGTCAAGTGGTATACAGATTACAGACTCTTGTGACTCTTGTGTATCAACAAGCATGAGAAACTCCGATACTCCGACGAGGTTTTCAACATCTTGTCAAGGACCTTGGACTCAACCACTGTATTGAAAGATCTTTTCAAAACATCTCTCTTCAGCTTGTTCTGTACTTCAGGAGGGTTACATCCTCGATGATACGGATCCAGAAGGTAAGGTAGTATCCAACTACCTACTTATTAGGTTCTGACCACCGTGCAGTAAACAGTAAGCAGGTCGCTTGTGTATTCTCCGTAGTTTCCCCGGCATTTGCGGGGGTCCTGCGGGGAGGAGATTAGGACTAAGTACTAACTAGTAACTACCAACTACTAAGAAGCAAGGAAATCAAGAACAGCCGGTTCAATGCGCAAGCGGTTTAGGAATCGGCATCCCTGGCACGGCCGCACAGTGGCGGTAGTGGCACAGCTGATACGATGACTGATGGCTACGAGCAATCGAAATGACCATCATCGAGCTTTTCCAACTCCTCGGGCAAAAGCCGATGCCCCGATGTGGTGCAGTTTGAATGGTGGGGGAGGTCGCTTACAGTTACAAGTTTATAACAGTGGCACAACGCTAGAGATGCAAATTTGAGTCAAGACTTCGTGCCCTCGATAGCCGGCTTGGCCTATTCGCATCGCGAAGCCGATAATTAGCCGTAAAGATGGAAGTTCGTCTGCCGTTGGTGTTTGCAATTTGCATCGGAGACAGTGATGGAATGCGGGAGATTATTGGGATTTGCGGGGAGAACTTTGGACTGTCCACCTTCTCGTGTGCAGATGGGCGCCGGCGCGGTCTGTCTTTTCCCCTTGATTTCTCTTTTGATCTTGTCAGTTCTTATGGTGTCTTCTTACGGCTTCAAAGCAGTATTCTCAGCAATTGCTAACCACAGAGCCAAAGAGTCCCAATGAATGGTCATTGACGACCTTTTATGCCCAGAAACACTCCTACGGAGGCTCCGTCCATCCTAGCAATATCGCTGTCCTCCACGCACATACGACAGATCTCTTACAAAAGATTACAAGTCAGCGAATAGAATTCAGGTGTACTGAAATGAAGACTCACAAACAAGGTAGCGACACGTGATCTATCATGTCACTTGAGCACTTCAATGAAACAGCATGGTGGCTTGCTTGACAGGTCAACACTATTTATATTTATAGCTATCTTTGGCTTCGGATGCAATTCCAAGAAGGGGGATCTGCGGTCATTCGATTTCCATGTCCTGGCCCTTCGATGTTTCAAGAAAAAAAGGTCAAGCGCGAATTTGCAGCGATGCAATTCCTGGAATTTTCCATCAGCCTCCGTTACGGAATGACAAAGGAAAGTCCAAGGAGCGTCCGGCCGTTTACCATCATGGAATATACTAACAACGAAGGCGACTTCAGCGATGCCATCAAAACCCCTGAGCACTCGCACGACGATAGACCCATTTTAGACCCTAATGTCTCATCAAAAAGACTTGAATCTGTCTATAGCCAAATGGCAGATATCGTGCTGCAGGCCTCAAAGCCCTGCAAAGCTAATGAAGACGATGGATTCGATGACACATGGGTCGTACAGCATCTCCACTCACTTTTAACACGAATGAACTCGTTCAGAAGGGTGATGTTTCACCTCTAAAGCTTCCACAACATTCATTAAAAACAGTCTCATCTTACTACCAAGCCCTGGCCGAAATCGCATATGATTCACCTGTCTTCTCAGCGAAACGACGCCATTGACTCTGCAGAAGACTCTCGACAGAAGCATATTGCAAGATGTCTCTTCCGCGAAATCACCCGTGAGCATCAGCTCTGCGGCAATGACTCTAGCCCATTGAGGCTTTTTTGTTTTTTTTTTCCGACGACCTTCGACCACCGACTGTCCTCGCGAATGACAAACGCCAGATGACTGGCGTGGCTTTACATACGCCGCTCCCCCTGGGTTCACCCACAGTCCACACCGATAATGTGATCTCGGCCGTCTTTCATCTGGATCAGTCGTTCTACACCCCGCCCATGGCATGGCCGAGAAACACTTCCAGACTTCGCGTATAATGTTCCCCTCCTAGCACCACTACCAGGAAGGTAATGGATATTTTCCACGGCTAGGAAAATGTCTAAACATCATGATATAAGTGTAGGTTGACAAAAGCCTGTCTGCTCTAGCTGCGCAGCACGTGATCTAGATGTCACCCAATGGTTCTGATTGGCTGAAAATTCATATCAAGCTCTAGGAGCCATATTGATAGAGGCGTACGCGGTTTTTGTCAACATCCGTTCCATTATATCTCATTACTCTGATCTCAAAGTGTCCGGTCAATAATATTTGCTCAGACATTTGATTCCACAAGGAACATACAAGTTTGCCGCGATGTCGCAAGAACAAAATGGCATATCGCCTTCACAGCACCCATGCGATATCGAAGCATGGAGCATCCCAGACCCTCAGAAGCCTGACGGCAATGCAGCCACTGCAGGTCCAACTTCAGCATTCCAACAGCTAGCTATCCTCGATCGCTTCCTCGCCGTCTGGATCTTCTTGGCCATGGCGATCGGCATCATCTTGGGTAATTTTGTTCCCAACACCAGCAGAGCTTTGGACAAGGGAAGATTCGTGGGCGTGTCAGTGCCGATAGGTAAGCCTCTGAGCATGGCCTAGCCTTTTTCACTGTTTGCTAAGAGATTGTCTAGCTATCGGCCTCTTGGTCATGATGTACCCCATCCTCTGTAAAGTCCGATTCGAGACTCTACACCGATCGTTTCGCGAGAAAGATCTCTGGATACAGGTTGCATTCAGTGTCGTGTTCAACTGGATCATAGCACCTCTGTTCATGGTAGGTCGACCGAGTGCTGCATTGCGAGCTTAGTGACTGATTCTCGAAGCTCGGTCTATCATGGGCTTTTCTTCCGGACGAGAGAGGCCTCCGCGAAGGGCTTATCCTGGTCGGTATCGCGCGGTGTATTGCAATGGTTTGTCCCATTCCATACTCAACTGATCACTGCCTTCCGTGGTCTAAACTGACAGCTCCCAGGTTCTCATTTGGACCGGCCTGGCGGGTGGAGATGGTGAATACTGCGCAATTTTGGTTGCAATTAATTCGGTTTTGCAGATGGTCCTCTTCGCGCCAATTGCGATTCTGTTCATTCGCGTCATTGGGAACTCGGAGGGCCTGACGATTGAGTATTCGTTGGCTGCGAAAAGTGTCGGCGTCTTTCTGGGGATACCATTAGGAGCCGCCATCGTGACCCGTTTCACTTTGAGATTCCTCATCGGGAAGGAATGGTATGATCAGACCTTCCTGAAACTGATCAGTCCGCTATCGTTGATCGGCCTCCTTTTCACCATCTTGGTCTTGTTTGCCTCACAGGGCAGGCAGGTCGTTCATCAGATCGTATCAGTCATCCGAGTCGCCGCTCCGCTCATCGTGTATTTCTCCGTCATATTTATCGTCACTCTGTTGATAGCGCGCCGCCTGGGCTTCGGGTATAAATTGTCATGCACACAAAGCTTTACAGCGGCGAGTAATAACTTCGAGCTCGCAATCGCGGTGGCAATCGCGACTTTTGGCGTCGACAGTGATCAAGCTCTGGCCGCGACTGTTGGTCCGCTAGTCGAGGTGCCGGTCCTTCTGGCGTTGGTATATGTTGTCAAGTGGTTTGCTCGGCGACAGCAGTGGCAGTGATCGACCTTGGGGGGCATGATGGAAATGCACACATTGTATATAAAGAGCCATAATGACCATGAGCAAGATAATAGCGATAAGCAAACCCATCAGTTGTTGCTAATCTCATCCAGAACCTGGAAAAGAATCTGATTCTGTACTCTACACCCTTCTTCCGATGTCAGGCCCTTGGAAAATCCTGCCCAGAGCTTTTTCCGAATCTCCTCAATATCCACTCCGCGAGTGTTGTACTGTTTGATCAACTCGTCTGCGATTGCGCAAAGAGTCGTGTTAAGCACATCACCGTTCACCGGGAAACAGTCAGTGTCACCGGAAGAGCAGTCGCAAAGCGGAACGGGAGGGCAATCTGGAGGCTTTTGAACGTCCGGAGGTTGAGCACGTTGAGGAGACTCTGGAACCAGTTTCGGCTTCGTCTCGGTTACGGGCGCATTGATCATGTCGGCAGAGCTAGCTTCTGCCCTACTTGATGTGGTCGAACATGGGCGTGAACAGTTTGACCCCTGGCACTTGGATTGAGGCTGGCTTTCAGATTGCTTTTCGTTCTGGAGCTCCTGCTGCACAGTCTGTACCTCAGGCCGTCGAAGAGCCGGTATGGCGACTTTTTGAGTCACAGCGGGATCTTCACCAGCGCGGAGATACTCCTCAATGAAATGAGCCGGAATGGGCGTGCATGACAGGAGAGATCTCAATTTCTTATTCTCCAGCTCGAGTCTCTGGACAGCCAGTCTATGCTCGATGTCTTTTCTATGAGCTTCTTCTTGTAGACATGCTAGCTTCTGTTCTAGATCGCGGATGTGCTCTTGTTTTCTCGCCCGACTCCTTCGCTGGTTTTCTCGAATACGCGCAAGTTTGTCGACTTTCTGATCAGTTGTTTGTGGCGCAGAATACGGTTGGAAGCAAGTCTTTTTTTCCGAAGCAACCTTTTGGCTGCCGCCAAGGTCCATCCTGACACAATCAATGGAAGTAGTCCATCATAAACACACCAAATATTGGGTAAAGAGTTGATAATCGATATATTGACTGTGTTTCAGGAATACTCATCTGGATCTAAAAATGTGTGTTGGGGGTCACGGCTGATGGGCTGGATCGTTCGGAAGACGGGCTAGTTTCACGTGACTGCGGTGTCTCCATCGTCCATCCACATCTTCTTTGCCTGATCGAGAACATCGACTACAGCAACTGAGGATCAGGATAATGATCCATCAATTGACACAATTGACACGGGCCATCAGAACCTATTTTGTGTTTATAAAAAAAATCTACTTGTCACAGAGGCAGCCATCGACCCCAAAGTACTGCACTATGCTATATAAACTTACTGCGGAGTAGGTATTATTACCACTGACTAACCTTGTCAAATCTGTGGGATTCACCTACTATTTACGGAGTAGACCAGGTACAGTGTAACAGTACAGGTTTCGACCATGGTGAAGTTGCAAGCGCAAACTCCACACAGATCTGCCAGATGGGATCATAATGTGTAATTCTTGATGGGAATAATGAAATGTGATAAACCATATGGGAGCTCTCTACGCACCTCCAGACGCAGTCGTCTGCACGACGTCACTCTCTGGCCGTCGGCTATCGAAAGCAATAACCCCTCAACCCCGGCATACCACGCGTTTCTGTGTTTTGTCATCATATCTAGGTTGTCTTCTAGTCAACTTCTAGTGACCAACTGATATCAACTCTCCCATTTTTCCGTCTTGTGAATAGCATCAGTCTTGCTTACCTTGTCCACCAAGAGAGATGGTTTCAACACGACATCATCCCCGCGATTTCCCATCGCCGCCGCGTGCCAGGTCAAAGTCTCCAGGCCTGTCGGTCAACGGAACTGCCGTGAGACGATGGGTACACACTCCTTCGACGACTATCACTCTCTGGCTATTGGTGTCAGTGCCGTTGGTGGTGTGGGATTCCGGCTACGTTCTATTGCGTCCGCATTCCATGCCAGGTAACAAGCTACATTCACCTATCTGGACTCCGTACGCGCTCTATGGATCCATCGACTATATTTACGGCTGGCCGTCGTTCGATGCTGGGAACGGATTCACAGCCGCACAGACGGTCTTGAATCTCGTCGAAACTGCGGCTTATCTGTATTATCTTTTCATAATTTATAAATATGGAATATCGACGACCCCAACCGGTCGAGGAAGCCAGCACAAGACTCACAAGGGATTTCTGTGGATGTTGACGGGCGGAAAAGTCGTGTCAGGGCGTACAGGAGCGATAGCGCTCTTGGTGGCCTACAGTGCCTCCATCATGACCTTGAGCAAAACCATCCTCTACTGTAGGTGATATACTATCATCTACTCTAAAACAATCGATTGGCTAGCTAATCGAATCCCAGGGTTGAACGAGCTCTTCTCTGGCTTTGCGAATATTGGCCACAATGACGCTCTTACGTTAATCACCATGTGGATTATTCCAAAGTAAGCTTGCATCCTTCTCGGCAAACCAGTCAGTCTCTAACAATAATTTTAGTGGTCTGTGGATCGTCTTCCCAAGCTATAATATATACATCCTCGGCCAGGAGATATTGGCGGCCCTCGAGAGTGCCGCGCCTCTCTCACATATCCGTACCAAGTCAGCATAAGGGCTCATATTCGAATTGATTGGTGAAGATTGTCCGGCTCACCAAATGTGACATGAACACTACGCGCAAATACCCTCGGATAGTCGAGAAACTGAGGCCGAGGCAGAAAACAGGATGAGACCGTTTTAGTCTCGAGGCGACTGATTTTGTGGGAGTGACAGGTACATGCGTGTGCGCACTGACGTGATGAGCACTGCATATGAACCAGCGACTGCCTATCTCTACGAGATAGCAAGCGACATGTACTATAGACTCGATTTTCATTTTCCAATGAAACATCTGAAATTTTAATAGGCGATTTAGAATAGATTAACTGTCTACGCCTGAAGCCTACCAGAAAGGATGCCGTTCGGTGATCCAATGGTCTAATAGTCCCTTAATAAACTTCAATGCCCTGCTCTCGAGTCCTTTGGGCACCCACCATGCGACAACAGCGGACTTTCTCATAGCATTGGTCAAACCAGGTGCTCTCCTGGTTCTAGATGTTACTCTAATCGTTCTATACAACAGCCGTCATTGTTCACGATAATGCATCGCTGATTATTAATCCAGAGCACGATGGCGGCCAGAAATGCCAAGCCGCCATTTACTGACACTTCCCCATATTTGCCAGCGCCCGCACCAGCATCGGCCTTATCCCACAGTTTCATCCGCTCTCCAGAAATCTCCCAGGGTCCGAAGACGGATATCCCCGCACTCGCTGCTGACCTACTAAACGATGCTCCGGGCCTTGCGTCTTGGGTTTTCTCACCCGTCATGATCCCACCCGACTCTGTGGAGTCTCCCCCGGTCTCGTCCGCCGGTCCGACCCTGGCCCCCGATGACGGCGCGATACCCGAAGATTTCGATGTCCAGAGTCGGGCCAGCTCGCGAGACCCGGGCAGCGTCCAGACGGCGGGCGATACCGGCCTTGCGCAGGACGGCGCGCACGACCCCCAGCGCGACGACTCTAGAGACGACCTCACCCAGAACCCCAACGAGAACGGCGCGGGCGGCAAGCCGCCATGGAGCGAGATGAAGACAAAGGCCGGGAAGGAGCGGAAACGACTGCCGCTAGCATGTATCGCATGCAGGAGGAAGAAGATCCGATGCTCGGGCGAGAAACCCGCATGCAAGCATTGTTCGCGGTCGCGGATCCCGTGCGTCTACAAGGTTACCACAAGGAAGGCGGCGCCTCGCACGGACTACATGGCGATGCTGGATAAGCGGTTGAAGCGGATGGAGGACCGAGTCATCAAAACGATCCCCAAGGATGAGACGAGAGATATGGCGGCAATCGGCAGGTCCGTTGTTCGGCCGCCCCAACCGGGCCAGGCATTGAAGGCTCAGAAGAAGCGGTCAGCGGAAGAAGCTTTTGCGGCGGAGATGGACGAATGGGCCCGCGGGGACCGCAGGGCGCCGCAGGATACGTTCCCCATGCGCGGTGAGGGCAAGGCATCTGATGTGACGGGTCTTCTGACGGAGGGTGCCGAGTTCTTGCCGTCCTTGGAGATTCAGGAACATCTGGCGGAGGTCTTCTTCGACTGCGTGTACGGGCAGTCGTATCTTTTGCTCCACAAGCCGAGCTTCATGCGGCGATTGAAAGCGAGGACCGTTCCGCCGGTATTGATCCTGGCTGTCTGTGCTGTCTCGGCTCGATTCTCGACACATCCCCAGATCAACTCGGACCCGCCTTTTCTGCGCGGAGAGAACTGGGCTAACCCGGCGGCTGCCATTGCGCTCAGCCGACACGACGAACCGAGCATCACCATTCTCACTGTCTTTCTTCTATTGGGCCTTCACGAATTCGGAACCTGTCATGGTGGGCGTAGTTGGTCTTTCGGTGGCCAAGCGCTCCGCATGGCTTACGCTTTACAACTCCACCGGGAGCTCGACTATGATCCTTTAATGAATCAAAGTACAGGAAATGGGGCACAGCTTAGCTTCACGGACCGGGAGATTAGGAGACGGACCATGTGGGCTTGTGTTCTAATGGATCGATACAACTCGTCTGGAAGCCAGCGCCCGCCCATAGGAAATGAGAAATTCCTTCAAATACAGCTCCCAATCAAAGAGTCTTCATTTCAGTTGGAGATACCCGGTCCGACAGAAGACCTAGACGGAAACATTCCCAATCCAGTTCCGGAAGACGTCGGTCAGCTGTCCAATGCCAAGGACAACATGGGCGTGTCGGCCTACATCATTCGGGCCGTGATGATCTGGGGCCGCATCGTCGATTATCTCAACCTTGGTGGGAAGAGAAAGGACGAGCACCCATTATGGTCGTCTGAATCAGGGTATATGAAACTGAAACGACAGATTGAGGAATTCTCCGCGACCTTACCGAACCATCTCGCATTCACATTCGAAAATCTTCAAATCCACGCCGCAGACAAAATCGCCAACCAATTTCTCTTCCTCCACATCATCATCCACCAGAACATGCTTTTCTTGAACCAATTTGCTATCCCGCTGTCACCGGGGGGGCGGCCCCCCAAGGATATGCCCAAATCCTTCCTCAGTAATGCTGGGCGCGCGGCCGTGGAGGCCGCACATCACATTTCCGTATTGATAGATCGCGCCTCTGCATACCCACTTACAGTCCCATTTGCTGGATATTGTGCATATTCGGCGAGCACAGTCCACATCTGGGGTATCTTCTCGAAAAACGCACAGTTGGAAGCTCGATCGAAAGAGAACCTTCGACATACCTATCGATACTTGAACAAAATGAAGAAGTACTGGGGAATGTTTCATTACATGGTCGAGAGCGCCAAGGACCGGTACCGGCAGTTCGCAGATGCGGCCATCAAGGGCTCGGTTGCCACTCAGAATGGCGGTCAGATCACGCCCATGTTCCAGTACGGCGACTGGTTCGACAAATACCCTCACGGCGTATCTAGGCTTCACTGGGAGGACGCTGACTCCAGGCAGAAGGACCGCGCCGACGAAGCGGTGATGGGACAAAAGCCCGACCTTCAAAGCGTGGAGGATTTCTTTGCGAGCCTTTCTCCTTCAACACCTCAGTACAGCACTCCACGCCGATCGCATGTTAGGAAGGGAAGTAAGGCTGTTGCTGGGCCAGAGCAACCGACCCCGACACCGCCGGTGATCGACATGAGCATGAATGACGCCCCAGGCATGCTGGGTACATCGGGAACCGGCTTTCCCCATCCAACGATGTACGACCAACAAAGTCGAGCAGCTCCTTTCGGGCAGACAGGTTTCGAATTCGGCGTTCCCGAGGACCAGCTTCCCCAGTTGGACCGGCAATTCGTCTACGGCTCCTTCAGCGGTTTCGACCCTTCCTCCGCCTCGTTGGTCCCAGCCGACACTCCCGGCATATCGACTTCCAGTGGCGCGGATCCCCAATCAACTCAGGATACGTCGGCCATCTTCGCGGGGCAAATCGACCCCAACGTCCCGTCGGGCGCAGGGGAATACTACCAGCCCAGCGCCTGGTTCTTACCGTTCAACCTTGACCCGGTGGGCGCAGCCAGCCTCGACTCGAGCGTCCCCGCGCCCGGCTCCAGCAGCGGGAATGGCGCCGCAGACATGGCCTCGTTCAATGGAACGGGGAGTATACCCCTGGGCGCCTACGATCTGGGAATGGGAATGGACCAAGGAACTCATCCATGATGTCCGGTACAGCTTGGTATTCTGAGCTCGAGTTTTTTTTTTTTTTTTTTTGCGTTTGCGTCCTGCGTGGGAAGGGGTTTTTGGTTGGCTAGGTATTGGGAAATTATGGGAGTTCACGTGCTTAGTTATATATATCTGTCTTCTGTCTATATATATTGCCGTCGATTGTGACTTACTTGTATATATCCATGCTATATTACCTGTTTATTTTATATATATATATATATTTATATTTTTTTTCTTTCCATGTCAACCGGATTCTATCGAAATTAGAGTAAAGAGCATCGACATAGGATCAAATAAAAAGGGAAGTAAAAAAAGACTTTTTTCCTAGTACATCAAATGGGACAACAAAACAATTGTGCAAAAGAGCTAAGTCACGGAGGAAGGTAAAAAAGAGCAAAAAAGAAGGTTGCATCATCCGTGAATCGAACACGGGCCTCGTCGATGGCAACGACGAATTCTACCACTAGACCAATGATGCTAGTTGATATTGTAAATGGGCTATTTTAGATTTATAATCAACTTTCATGCTTTTAGATCAACAACGCACTAGAATCCGAGGACGCATTGCCCTGTCAAAGAGCTATATATAGCACACTAATAGTTGTAAATCGGAAGCAAGATGATCACACTACAAGTCACATGTAGCTCATACAACGAATACATACACATAGAAACAAGAACGAAATCGTAACTAAAACCAGGAAAGGGTCGTACAGCAGACATATCGTAAATCAGTCATCTATCAGAGATACTGGCCAAACCAGTGCCAGAAGAAAGAGCAGAGAGAAGAAGACGAAGAAGTGTACAGTGTATACCAGCACATCAGTCATCCCATGTCTCGTCTAGTTGGTCTATCAGGCGGTTCTCCGCGTCCACGTCGGAGGCGTGGCTGTCTCGTCCTCGGCGGCCGCCGATTGCGCCGATGAAGCCGCCGCTCGAACCGTTTGCGCGGCCGTGGCCGAGGGTGGGGGATCGTTTTAGGCGGAAGAGACGACCGAGCGAGGAGAAGAGGATGATGAACATGTCCTGCGCGAGGGATCGCCGGTCAGCTTATTTCTTGTTGGGGTACCGGGGCCCGAGTAAGGAATGAGGCGATGCCAGATAAATGAAGACAATGACTATATAGATTATCCAGATGTGCCAGTATAGCCTCTTTTCTGTTCTAAACAAAGGAGGGAATATGCCCATGTTCAACATAGGCCTAGAGCGAGAACAATGAAAGAGGGGGTGAGATAATCGGGGAAAGCGAAACTGCCTTCTCGGCGCAACCAAGCCTCAGACCAGCTAAAGTCAAGGTCAATCCAACCTAGAAATCGGCAACCCTGCGCTGCTGATCTCTTTGTAGGGGCTCAGGCGTCGTGGCCTGGATCGAGAACGAAAACACCGAAAGCACACCACAGTCAAGATACTCACTTTAATGAAACCAAAAATCCCCGCCCAGAGACTATAGTTTGGACACTGCCTCCAACCTCGCTGGTGCATGACTGTTCGCTGGTAGGCACAACCACCAATCAGGTATGCGGCAACGGCAATTAAGGCACTATAAAGATAACAGCGTTAGCCAGGGAGCTAGATGGTCGAAGGAAGTCTACTCACATCACACCAAACACGCCCGCCGGGCCAAGTCCCTCTCCATTGGCATGACCGATGCTACCGCAAGCAGCCGAACTTCGGACTTCAAAGAAGTACGTGCATTGATCCATAGTGCCAACGAAGGACGCTGTCGCTTGGTATGAGAGAGCATCGCGATCGCACAGGAAAGACATGATCGTCGACTTATTGCGCGAACTGTGTCCAATCTGCTCGCCGGGACAAGGGGAGCCATCCGTGTAGTTTAGGACAAGTTTGCGACCTCGAAATAATGGCTGTGATGCTTGTTGACTACATCACGAGTCAGCTTAGCGCCGAGAACAATCCCCAGTCACCCAGATTCAGCTTACCCAATCGAATATATCTTGCCTTCCTTCTCGTAATACGCGCTCACATTCCTCCATCTGTCGCGCTCTATCCCCACCACATCCTTTACATCCTCAATGACGGGCGCGCAGACATTCAATGTGAAATTGGCACCATAGTCGTGCCCCTTGGCATGCCAGCTCTCCTTCGGTATGTTTTTGCGACTTCTCTTGCCGTCCGACTCATCCGGTAGGGACACGGAGATCGAGTTCAGATCGTGGTAGAGACCGGTAGTGGGGGAGCGTGCTACACACGGCGCAAGACCATCCTTCTTGGCAGGAGTATCAGGGGCAGCGTAGGCGGATGAGACAGGAGTAGATAGAAGGAATAAAAGCCCCAGGAATGAGCCAGCCAGCGACTTCATACTGAGGAATCAATCCTTGTAGGATGCGAATGGGCGAATTTCGGTGGATGACGACGTAATAAGACCACGATGAAAGGAGGCTAACCAATTAAAGAGTGTGCTAGATGGATAAAATATAGTTCAAATAAAGGAAATAGAGGGGAAAAAAAGAAGATGATTCAAAGAGAGACACAAGAGGATGGAAGAAGAAGAAGAAGAAGACAAGAAGCAGTTGTTGCAGTGAGACTGTGGGATATGATGAAGCGGTCGCATTTCCCCAACCTCCACGTGCGGAGAGGAGAAGCTTCCACCAGGCACAATTACAAAAGCCATCCGGGAGGCTGAGACGGTGCACTACTATGGAGTAGACAACGGCTCTGACTGGATCTCTCATCTCACTCCAACTCCAAGAATAACACAAAACAATACAGGGGCCGAGACATTGAAGGCAGCAATCGGCTTCTGCTGATCCGGCCTCATACGTCGATAGTCGGAACGGGATCGATCAAGGATCTGCGCTTTTATCACTAAATTCCGGGGTTGTCTCTGATTTTTTTCCTCTACATATTTAAAACCCTCGGCTTCCCTTCAGATAAACAACTCTACACCGCAGCAGATCATTTCATCTGACTCGACCTTGTCAATCTTGACAATGGCGTCGAAAAAGTCTGATGACAAGCCCAAGGTTCCCATTCAACCTGTTCCGGAGAAGCGTGGCTATGAATTTCAGGGGCCGTATGTTGATAACTTACCATGGGGGCGATTTCTCTGTAAGCTGACATTGTATAGCATTGGAGCTTTCGGCATCATCTTCGGCCTACCTGTTCTGATCTACGCCTTCACGTTCCTCTGTAACGATATCTCTGGCTGTCCCGCGCCATCCCTTCTTTATCCCTCGACATTTTCAATTGATAAGCTGAAGCAGGAGGTGGGCTGGCCACAGGATGGGAACAGAGCGTTTTACGACACTCGAGTCACTCAGTGGGTGCTGAGCTACTACCTTTTGAGCTTGTTCCTGCAAGTGTTCCTCCCTGGCACCGAAGTCGAGGGAACTGAGCTTGCCTGTGGAGGACGGCTTAAATACAAGTTCAATGGTAATTATACCCCGCGCTTCGGGGACTTTTGGGTGGTTGTCTGACTGTCGCATAGCTTTCCTGTCGGCTGCCTTGATCCTGTCGGGATGTGCAGTTGGCACATATTTGAACGGTGCAGACTTCGTGGTTTGGACTTTCCTGTGGGATAACTATGTGCAGGTGATCACAGCAAATCTGATAATCTGCACTGTCATTGCATTCTTTGTCTACGTGAGGAGCTTCTCAGTTCCCGCTCCTGGTCAGCTGAACCCCGAGCTTCGGCAATTAGCCCCTGGGGGCCACACTGGCAATGCATTGTACGATTTCTTCATCGGCCGGGAGCTCAACCCCCGCATCGAGCTGCCCATCCCGTTCGTGAGCAAGACGGCGCGGACCATTGACATCAAGTCGTGGTGTGAGATGAGGCCCGGTCTGCTGGGATGGATCATTCTCAACCTGTCCAACATCGCTCATCAGTACCGCACCCACGGCTACATCACCGACTCGATTGTCTTCGCGACTGTGTTCCAGGCATTCTACGTTCTGGATGGCCTTTACATGGAGCCGGCCCTTTTGACGACGATGGACATCATCATGGATGGGTTTGGTTTCATGCTTTCCTTTGGCGATTTGGTCTGGGTTCCATTTCTGTACAACTTCCAGACCAGATACCTCTCCGTCTATCCCTACGAGCTCGGTCTGAGCGGAATCCTCATTGTTCTGGCCGTGACTGCAGTGGGCTACTCGATCTTCCGCGGCGCCAACAACCAGAAGAACCGCTTCCGCACCAACCCCGACGACCCCCGTGTGAAGCATATCAAGTATATCAAAACGGCCACTGGCTCCAAGCTAATGACGTCCGGCTGGTGGGGCTGTGCGCGCCACATCAACTACCTTGGCGATTGGATCATGTCTTGGTCTTACTGCCTCCCTACCGGTATTGCCGGTTATGCTATCATCGAGAGCATCAGCCCGTCATCTGGAGAGATTCATAGGCAGGCCGTGCAAACACCCGAGGCTCGCGGCTGGGGAATGGTGTTCACGTATTTCTACATGATTTACTTCGGCGTGTTGCTGATTCACCGGGAACGCCGTGATGAAGAGAAGTGCAAGAGGAAGTACGGCGCCGACTGGGACCGTTATACATCCCTTGTCCGAAGCCGGATCATTCCGGGTATCTACTAAGCGTCGCATGGGTGGGCCTCTGCTGCGCATGCCACATCCGTGCCCTTCCTTCTGTGTGCAAACTCCTGGGATAAAAGCTTGTAATTGTACTCATGCGCGGTGTATGCTGCTACTGAGACCTTTTTTTTTTCACAAAATAAAGATGAACTAATAGAAATATGCAAGGTGCATTTGCATCCAGTCAATCATAAATTATTGTTTAACAAATGATGTTGAGGATACAACTCATCGCTTCCGTTTCTTGGTATCAATCAGGACATCCAGACCCCAATCTTCGTCGCCTTCGTTGGGCACCCATCCTTTCAAAGCCTCCTTAGTATCCCGGACAGCATCCTTGCGTGCTTTGACGGACACAGTTAAAGCCACTGGCTCCTTTTTAAAGTTTTCGTAACTATACGCGTTGACCAGCCTTAGAAGCGACTCTTCCTGCAGCAACAGACTCGCTGCATCACCACCCTCAGCGGCATCCCCCGAAGCAAAGCACAGCAGCACCGTATCACGAACAAAAGCCCACAACTTCGCACGAGACAAAGCGGAAGCCCCCCTCGGCGTAACAGACGCGGCGCGGTTCCCCTGCTTGACCCCGTTGATGATCGTCTCATACAAACCCGTTTTCGAGCCCCGCAGCACAGGCAGGGCCTTGGCGCCGTTTTCAGCCACGACATGGCCCTCAAGCGGTAGCGGTAGGGAAGGCGCGGCCGTCCACACGGCCGACACGTTCCCCGGTTTACTCTTCCGCGGCGCTGGCTGCAGCGGCGGCAGCCCAAGTTCCGGCATGGGCTTCGGTTTCCGGAACGTCCACAGCGCATGCACCAGCTCCGTCGGGACGGAGAGGATCTCGAACGGGCGTAGCCTGTATCCGTAATGCGGCGTGTCGGAGCCAGGGGTGTGCGATTCTGGCCAAAACCGGCCCTTCAAGGGCTTCATCCGGCCAGTCTCGCTGAAACAGCGCGCGCAGCCTGCGCGGCTGATTTCCTCTTCTGGGAGGATGTAGCCGGCGATGTAGGCGTTGTCCGTGGGCGCGACGAGGAGGCTAGTCTCGTACGAGAGGAGGGAGGAGACCTGGTGGAGGGCGAGTTTGTCCGAGCAGGACTTGCTGCGGGTTGCTTCGGCGTCCGCGCGTGCCGGTTTGCGGCGGACGATGCCGAGGCGCGAGAAGTAGCCTCGTCCGTCGAGGAGGTCTGTCTCCGGTGAGGGGTCTGGACCTTGGGCTTGGGATTCAGGGGTGGTGGTTTCCCAGGGGCTCGGGTCATCTTGCGCGGCCATGCAGAGCTCCATGCTTGCGTCGCCGCAGGGAGCGCAGGTGCAGTACATGTAGATTCTGATGTCTGGCTGCAGTTCGAAGGGTGGCCATGCTATTGTCGATGACCGTGTAGGCGTTGTACTGCGCACAGTATGCTTCCAGCGGATAAATGGTGACGGTGTCCCTCCTGCTGTATCCGCAGCGGAGGACGCTCCCCGCTGCCGTTCCTTGGCCAGCACGACGTGGCATTCAGATAGAAGCCAGTGGTTGAATGCGCGGAGGGCTAGGATCTCCGCGTGCCAGTCATGCAATACCAGACCTTTGCACTTGGGAATCTGCGACGCCGGTAGACATTTTGCGCCAGTGCTATAACCATCAGCGCCAGGCCTAGTCGAGAAGGAGTAGAGTGAGACTCTGAAAAAACATACGTGACTGTCACACAGCTCAGTTTCTCCGAAGGTGTATTCTCCCCTACACTAGTCAGTCCAAGCCCAGATCCACAAGACAAAGAAGAATGCACACCTTTCACAACAACTATCCCAGCCATGGGGATCCATTCCCGCGATCCATCTGGGTAGACGGTGGGCTTGCTTCGAGGAGGCAAGCCATCGAAATGAGCATGCACCAAGGACGCAATACGTGACGGCAACGTAGATTCAGAGTCAGGGCTATCCATCGGAAATCATCTCGTCACAGCTATTCCAAACCATATCCATTGTCTTTTTTTTTTTCTTTCCCTTTCAATCCTCCCATCCAACCGTCACCAAGTCACGTGATGTATCGCCATCCTTATCAGAAAAGAAATGACCTTCCCCCAACTCCAACCAACCCCAAACAGCCATCAAGACCCCCCAAAAAACGCCAACCTCACAAAACCTCCAGAAACCAAACCATAGAATCCATTTAAAATGGCTGATAAACTCCGCACCCTCCAGAACCTCGAAGCCCTGCAGGCCCGCCACATCGGTACCGGCCACGCCGACACAACCAAGTACGAGTGGGAATCCAACATCATCCGCGACAGCTACGCCTCGTACATCGGGCACCCGCCGCTGCTGGCGTACATGGCGGTGGGGATGGGCGAGTCGAAGGAGAAGATGCGGGTTGCGATGATTGAGAAGATGGTGAGGGGTGCAGGGAATCCGCCGGAGGTGAGTTAATCTATTAATGAGGAGGAATGGGGAGGTGGTTGAGTGAACGAAGGGCTGATTCTGGTGGTTGTTCAGACGCAGGAATAATAGCCCGGGGGAGCGTATGAAATTGATATAAGAAATGCTGCCTTTGTTGGTGGTGATTGAATTGAAGGAGTGAATAACGCCCCTGCGGATTCGGGGGCCAAGAGAGACAGACTTCGGCTGCGCTCCGTTTATCCGGCTCATGTTCGCTTGAGGGGAATGGGGGCGATGGGAAATGCGGCGTCTGGGGAGGAATGATATACCGGCGTGTTGCCGCGGGCCATACTCGGCGATTCTGGTAGCAAGGCGCCCGTGTACGCCGTGCAGGTTGCAGACGGATCGCGAGAAGTTTGGTTGTGTGGATGGAAAGACAATGCAGAACAAGTTTGCTATTGTCCCATGGCAAGTGGTGGCTCTACAGCCTTTGCTGGGCACAACCAGAGGGGCCATTAATCTGTGTACTTAGAAGACAGCCCTAGGAGAGCTTGAATCTACTTCATGTTGCCTACAGGCGATGATTATCTTTTACATCTCTTGCGACATGCTTTCGTTTCATCCATTATCAAGCATAAGATCCAGAACTCCACTAACCCAAGCTGATGCACAAATGACGCTAGGAAATATTAGGTACAGACCAGCAGATCCCTTATGATACTTCGTCTCGCTTCGCAGGGGAATGGCGCACAGCATCAGTGGCTCTCGGCATTCCCTTTCTGCTGCGCCGCCAATTTGGTATTCTCCGCCTGCAGCGACGCAACCAAGTCCAGCCATTTCTGCCGTTCTGTTCGAAGCCGCTCAATCTCCTTCTTCAGCGTCTCAACCTCCTGTCGCAAGCCATCGGTTTCCGCCCGGGACCGCGTCTTTTCCTCGCGTTCGGCGTGCTTCCGCTGCTGCACTTCGATCTTCGACGCTTCCTTGAGCTGGTGCTTCTCGATCTTCCCGAGCTGTTTCAGGAGCTTGGATTCCTGCTGGAACAGACCAGATGCGATCTTGTGCAAGTGGGCTGTATCGGAGTTGCCCTTGTTTTTGTGGCGACGAGACGGGTCAGACGGGGTGGGTGTGCCGTCCACTATCGGCTTCTGGTCACTACTGGCGGTACTCGCTTGATCGCTTGCGCCGGAGTCACCTCCCGCCGCCGCAGCGATGACTTTGGCTTTCTTTGGGTCTATGTCATTGGGGGACTCGAGCCGAAGTGTCTGGATCTCGTTCCGGACGTTGTCCAGCTGAGCTTCCACTTCGCGTTTCCGCTGCGCCAGCTTGACGAGTTGCTTCTCATGGGACGAGAGCTTGCCTTTCTTGTTCATATTCATCATCTCTAACGAGGGTATGTTCTCCGCAATCTCCAGGAGTGGGGTGGTGGGCACAGAGTTGGGTAAAGACACTGCCTGTGAGGTCTGCGATGCCGCATCGGCAGCCGGTAAGTCGGGGGTCTTTTCGAGGTTTTCCGTGCCTCCCTTCCCTTTTGCCCTACTAATGTCCGACGAGGAGACTTTCTCGCTCGGTGCGTCAGTCTCGTCTGACGAGCTGTACTGAGCCGATGATTCGCGTGTGTGCTGCGGTAGATAGTCCAGAACGGCTTTGGGCGCATATCGCTCCAGGCCTGCGTTGAGCAGATATGAAAAGCTGGCAATGAGGCCGTGATGTTCCTCTTCTTCGTACTCGGTGTAGCCGCTCTCGGAGTCAGTGCTTTCATGTGCCCGGCCGTCCATTGAGGATCCATCGAGTGGTTTCCCTGAAGATAATTGTCGGTGATCCTCCCGCTTATCCTTCCCAGGTCCATCCGAGTCGCGACACGCCCAATCCAGGAATTTGACAGAATCGGTGCAAATACTCTTCGGGGTTCCTTTCTCGACCATCCATCGGGGAATACTGCCGCCAGGATCGCTCCGAGTCACCATAATCCACTCGACCGGATACGAGTCCTCGTCATCCGGCTGGTCATCGTGGCCGTCTGTGTTCTCGTTCTGCTTCTCCTGAGCCGCCGAGCCTGTGTTTCCCCGTTTCCGGCCAACCTTTTCGTCCAAAGCTCCTTTCTGCTGCGTAGCTTCCACCAAAACGCCGCCGCGAAGTAGGTTATCCTCACTGCAGACCGGCGACAAAGCCTTCCCATGCGGCACGTCCTTCCCCGGCGGTTTACTGACAGGAATCTCCCTGATAAACTCGACAGACTCATACTGACCCCGGATATATCCCTGATTCGGCGGCGCATCGGGGTGCTCACAGGGTTTCGAGACCATCATCCAGTTCCGGCCGCGTCTCCGCGCCTCCGCACCATTATTCGCAGTGCCGATCTCCGCATCCACCCCATTCACCTCCGTCTCCCAGTCAATGATTAGGGTCACGAAGTCCCGCGGCGTAGTCGGCTTGGGAAACTGCGCCGAGACATGGTACACATTGACGGTTCCCAGGGTTTTCAGCCCCTGCTCATCCTTCACCTCCACCCGCTCGAGGAGCCGCTCCGCCCCAATACCGCGCACCGCCTGGTCGGCAATATGCCCCTTGCGCATCCGCGCCTCGTTCGCCCGCAGCGTCTCGTCCATCTCGCTGGCGAGCTTCTCCTTCCACCGCGAAAAGGGCAGCCCCGCGTGCACGCTGCGACGGCCGAACCAGGCGCCCTTGCCATTGCTGCCCTGGACCTTGTAGATGGGGATCTCGAGCGGGTTGTCCTTCACGCTGCTGATCTTGATGGGTTTGCCCCAGTGTTTATAGAGGGATGTGGTCTCTGGATCTGTGGAGCGGGTCCTAGCGGGAGACGGTGCGAGGCGCGAGGCGGCGGGGGAGCTGGGATCGACGGCGTAGCGGGTGTGGCTGTGGGAGGGGAGGGGCTCAGGTACGGAGTCGACGATCAGACGTGCTTTGCTGGAGATGTCGTGGATGTAGGAGCGTAGTTTGTCGGGATCGGTGGGAATGCTGTCCCATGTGACTGGGGCGAGGCATTGTAATGCGTCCTGTAGCGCTGCCATTTTTTGTGACGCGAGCTGCGAGGTTTGCGCTTTGGTGAAAGCTTGATCTTCTTCTGATTGATCTGGGGATCTTTTAGGATATACCGTCAATCTGCTCCGTCTGCTTCCACGAAGAAAAAAAGATGTGTCGAGTTGTCGTCTGCATTAGCAAGCACTGCGAGTTTGCTGAATCTGAAAACAAAAGAAGCACAGGAAGATAAGTACAATCGACAATCAAGGCATCAATCAAAAGAAAACCAGCAAGTCCAGTGAAGCCCACACAGTCCTTATACCTAGATGATGCAATTCATGAAACTAGTCGAGATCGTTGTTTGTTTCTCCCCGTTTCTTCGTCGTTGTTGAGGCGGCCTTGTTCTGGGCATTGACGTCATGGCGTCTCTGGTGTTGGCCCTCCGCACTCTCAACATCACTAGTGAAGTGAGTCGTGACTGTTAGAGGTCTTCACATCAACTGTGCCTCTACAGGCATCAAAGTCTACATCTGGACTGCCCTGTGTCAATTCTCACCTCACATATTGGGAGGAACGGTGAACGTCTTCCGATGTGTATAAAATACTGACCTCGACACAGCCGGCTACTGTGCAAGCTGCACTGTTTCACTTCAAATTATAATGTTTTCTTCGAACTAGATACATCATACGCAAGTAATTCAGTACATGCGACGAACGAGTGATGACAGTTTCAAGGAAAGAAAGAGAGTGAAGATATACTGAGGGTTCCAGCCCTCTTTCCAAACACCCGAAAGGGAGTAAAGAATTATGCCAGCGTCCGACTCTCGTCATCGTCCACAAACTCCACTCAGTGAAGAGGGGCCGTGAAACGAGCGTATCCAGGTAATATCAAAAATCCAGCCCGGACGATAGGGGACGAACCTATCGCGCGACCTACAAGGGACAGGGGACAACAGACTGAGAAGGCTACTTGGTCTCAAGAGGGCTGATAGCGCGCCAACGAGGTCACAGACCAACGTGGTGCCCAGCCTGATCAAGAGGCCTGCCACAGGCAGACTCTTCCAACTCCTGCAGATTACCGCAGTTTGTTCCCGGCCGTTTGGACCCCATTCCCCTGTGGTCGATAAATCTGCTATCGCAGGACATGCCAGATGTCCTGCGATACAGCGCTGCACGGCATCCATCTCCCATTCCAGTCTGGTATCCTGCACCAGAAGAGAGAGGATATCAACAGGTCCCCGGAAACAAGAATAATGCCCAAACCAGTCAGGCATTGTCGGACGCCTCAACGGGACACTGTCGATCTTGCAGTTAGAAAGAAAAACACAAATGAGTGTGTGAGTATTCTTCATCCAAATCATATCCCAAGCCGTGAGGCATACCAGGTCTTCATGACGTATAATGCGGGATGCAACATGAGGGTAAAAGGGAAAAAAATAGCCGACCCGCCGCTTCTTGATGCAATGAGCAGAAGAAAATAGAACGCTGGAAAAAGTGCTGGCTTAACATGAAAAACAAGGAGTAATCGAAGATGTAACCAAGACTATGTTTTGAGCAAAATCAAAAGGGCGAAGCAGAAATGAGCTGGAGTATCCATGGTAGTTCGTTGCAAAATCAAAGATGAGAACGCCGTCACTGATGCCAATTAGTCTGAGGTGGGTATCCGTAGGAAGGTGGCCTCGTGATCTGGCCATCGGTGCTGCACGCGGTCGGTATGCGTTGTAAAAGAGTCTCGGTGGATGGGCTGAGTAGCACTCCAGGACCTGAGCCAAGGACACATGAAACGTCAGGCAGACAGTCACCAGGAGTGTCTTGGTTGCCATGGACTCGATTTACATGGTCATCAGCGCAAAGTCCTGGTATCGGCCGCCCCAGCCGAATCCATCGATTCCCGCAGAGGTGCCGCAGGGTTGTATCAACATACTTGGGAGCGGTAGAGCAGTGAAGGCAGCAGATGTCGCAGCAGCGTTATAATACTGGGTTGAGTCGTATGGCGAAGTGGTGAATGGCAGAATGTATGGTGATGTCGAGCACGGATATTGCATCTCATCTAGACCACTGAGACTGGCCCACAAATTCGGATTAGAATCGCACGTGCTGGTCGTTGTTGGGCTGGATGGTAGTACTTTCCAGGCGTCTACAGACGCGGGGTGCTGCATCGGAGGTTGCCACCAACTCTCCAGACCAGTCGAGCTGGGTAGAAGTGGAGTGGAACGGAGGACATCCACTACTCGAGGGGGCGGAGGAGACAATGGGACAAAAAGGTTTAGGATCGCCGCCTTGGCCTCGTCACTCCTGCCCCCGAGCAGCTCACCTGCGCCATCCTCCTCGAGCCCTTCAAGCGCCTGCACATTGGTGCGATAGACGAATTTGTTAGCAGCCTGCACGAACTCCTCCTGCAGCCTCTTCAGCTGATGTCCCTTGTCGCTCCATTCCCATGTATTGGCTGCGACGTCCACGGAGTAGATGTCCTGGTGGAACTCGACGAGAGCCTCGATGGTCTCCGGGGTCAACTTGAAGGCGACTTCGTTCTGGGAGACCATGTCGACGTGCACAACATATGCTTCGATGTGGATCATCTGGTGATTAAAGATGGCCTCCACCAGGGGGTTCTCGTCCTTCCTGAGTTCGGAGTCCGGTGCCTTGGGAAACATCAAGGAGCATAGAGTCCAAATCGCATTAGGCGAGGACAAGGTCTCCGTCAGACATCTTGTATGTTGTGTAACATTGTTCAGTGGTCTCTTGACCCGATTGACTCGTTTCAAGGTTGCCGTCAACCAGGGCTCGACTTTGGCGTTCAGTACTACATTGGGCGACGACCGTGGCGCAAACGCTGCGGCCGATGAAGGGAGTAAGACGGTAGGCATGATGGACGACTCCAGGCGGAGGGCCGAGAGCGTTGTTGGGTGACGATATGATACTCCTGACGTTTGCGATAGCCACTCGTGATATTTGCGGGGAGAAAACGATAACAGAGGGGGAAGACGTTAGAAATGATGAAAAGCGAAATGGTTAAAAATGATCATGAAGGCGACATTCGCCCACAGCCAGCGTATTTTTTTCCCTCTCAACACAGATCCGTCTGTGGTTCCGAAACCAGCACACGGAGAGTTACCGTAGCAGACGGCGAGTAGGCCTAATATGATCGCCCTACCGCCTGATCGGGTATAGATGAGACCTTAGAAACCAGGGTATATAGATTATTATCGACGTAGACCACAAGGTGAGGATGATGGATTGTTTCGGTCCAGATTAGCTGTGCAGACGAACGCGCAAAGATGGAGATAAGAAAGTAAAAAAAAAAAAAAGAAAGCAAAGAGCGTGGAAGAACAGATAGATGGCTGAGCGAACGTAAAATAACGGAGAGGAGACGAGACGAAAAGAAGAGTGAAGAAGAGGAGGATGAGGGAGAAGAAGGAAGACCAAAACGCGGACGAGGAGGGGCGGGAGAGAGATGACCCAAAAGGGAAATAGGAGGATTCTAGGAAGTGGATGGTGTGCGTGGGCGAAGTCTTCGAGGTTAATGGAGCATAAAACTGATCAAGGATTTTTCTCTTCTTGTTGTCGTTGGGGGGAAAGGGAAAAAAAAAGAAAAAAGGCAAAAGACAGCGGCAGATATTACTCAATATGATAGAAAAAAGGAAAGCATTATTATTATTGATCTAGTACTTTATTCTCAAGGTCTTCTGTCATACCACGAGGTGAACGACATGGTCCTAATATAGCCGGAGAGGATGTCTTATGGCGCACATCCAGCTCCTCTCTTCCCAACTCATTATTTCAACTAAACATCTATCTGCCGACGAGTGATTAAGTTTTTTTCTCCCCTTTCGCAATGACAACAACAATGAACAATTTTGCCTTCGTGGACACACAGATTCCCGATCGTATGGGACGAGGCAGTGATCTCAGCTCTTCAGTCCTCAAGTGGATGCATAGAGCATGGGGGTTTGGCGTTAGTCAGATGCATGTGGCCATAAAGGGGGAGGGGGAAAAGTTGGATATTGAGCAAGAAAGATTTCCTACCTGTCGAATTTCGGTCATCTATATGTATGGCTTGTCATTATTGTACGTATGTATGCAGGTATGGAGGTAGAAAGGCAGCTAAGCCTGTCGCATGCTTGTAGCTGGAGAGTCGAGAATCCTAGTATGTATGTATGTCTTTGTATGCGTATCCGTATTCTTACAATCCATACCATGATGGTGGTACCTCACAGGATACACTTGGTACCTGCTAACTACCGGAGTATAGGACTGTACAGAGTACATAGGAGGTATTATCTGAGACCTCAGGACAGTTAAGTTGCAGAATGCCTCAGAGCAGTCAAAGCAGTGGTAGTTGATAGCTACTAAGCCCCAATGCCCCACTCGCCATCGGCTGCATCTGCGTAGAGCCTTAGTGACTTGCTACCTACTAACCAGTAACTACGACTAATATGATTCGTATCTCAAGGCTCGAAACGGTCTCTCCGGCATACAGACCCCTCCATTCAGCCAAGATCGTCGGGTCTTTGGGGTTGAGAGAGAAGCAACTAAATGTGACATCGCATCAATTACTCAATCATCAATTAGTCAGTCATCGGAGTAGATAAATTAATTACTAGTTACATGATTCAGTTCATCTGCACTATTGTTGGTGTTGAGAACTCGAGATACTAACAGATAGCCAAGTGGGATGTACCCCAGAGGTGGATTGGACATACTACATTGTAATGTAGAATAATACTCTAAAGCAATACATCCGCCACTGGACCTGTTAGTGGGTCGTTTAGTTAGGAATTTTCAGCTGGGAACAGCATCCTTGCTCCACCTTTTTTCTTAGAATGTACTGTAGTAAAGTAAATTGACCTAAGCGAAAAAAAAAATTCAAATGAAGAAAATAAAAAGATGATATCACCGGCAATTAAGATATGGACTACGAAGTAGATAGTTACTACGGAGGTGTGATTAAAGCGTGTCTTGCGCATCCCATCAATGCGGTCGCCCTTGTTTAGGTCCTTCGGCCGAGAAGACCATGAATTCTTCGGCGACTGATTCTGAAAGGATTTGGGGAGAACATGGCCTTTCGCGAGATTGACCAGTCTCGGGAGATCATCGCTCGGGACGACGACTCGAGGCTCGTCGTGGATATTGAAAACGAGGTCCATGTCGGGTAGGTATTGCACGAACTCCTTCATCATCCCAACCGTAGCGTCTCGCTGCCATTGGTGACC